TCGCCGTGGGTCTGCACGACTACGTGGTGCGCAGTCGCGAGGCGCGTCTAGAGACGTTCGTGAACTTGCTGCTGCGCGCTGCCAAGGACGTTTCGTACCGCTCCGGCTGCAGTCCGTGCGGGCGGTTCGAGGTGGTGTCGAGGCTGCTGAGCGACTTCCTGACGGAGCCGCACCTGCGCGCGTCGGGCGGCGCGTGGTGACGAGGCCGGCCTGCAGGCCCGCGGAGCAGGAGCAAAGCGGCAGGAGAGCAGCGCGCCTGCAAGTTGTCGGAGCAAGCCGACCGAGCGGCGGAGAGCCAGCCGCCAGCCAGCCAGCCAAGAAGCGAGCGACGGACGAGCGAGCGAGGGCATGGCGCGTTAGGAGAGTAGGCACGGATCGTGCAGTTGGGTGTCGTGGCGTGTTATTTGGCGTAAACGGTCTTGCAGCGAGCGCCTGGATATTCATATAAAGGCTTGAGCTTTTTTTCGCGAGCTTTGCTGCGGCTTGAAGTTGTTGTGGTGGCTGCAGCACGGCTGGGAACGCATGAAGTGCTGAACAATTGAATAGTTGAGCTGACATGGGCTTGCAGTCATGCGAGGACATTATCCTGCAGCGATTCCCAGCTCTACATGCACAGTACACTGTAGATTGCCCATGTCTTTTGACTGAAAGCGAATCCTGGGCGAGGTGGTGCAGAGATACCAAGCTCTAGATTGTCCAAGTCATGTGACTGGAAGCGAATGACTGTCGATAGGTGGCAGCGTTTCTTTCGTGTTGGCGAGCAGGTGCTATCAGCATCGGGATGACGGCACGGTATCTCCGCCAGAGCAAGCATGCGATACCTGCGCTAGCGTTAAATGTATGTTGGCCCAATTGTTCAGGATTGACGCAGGAAACCGTCTCGGGTCAGTGTTGACCCCGAGCGTTTCTTGCGCGCGACTTGCTGATCGAGGGTGTGCTGAAAAATATCGCTAAAATGTCCAACCATAGCATTGCTGCTGGAACTCGCACTGCAAGCCCAACCTGCCGGCTTCCCGGTGCTTTTGCAGCGGATCTCTTTCAAGAATCTTGAGCCAAGATTACACCGTGCAGCACAGTGAAAACTTCAGCTCTAACCATAAGTCAGCCGCAGCAAAGCTCACGAAAAAAAAGCTCAAGCCTTTATATGAATATCCAGGCGCTCGCTGCAAGACCGTTTACGCCAAATAACACGCCACGACACCCAACTGCACGATCCGTGCCTACTCTCCTAACGCGCCATGCCCTCGCTCGCTCGTCCGTCGCTCGCTTCTTGGCTGGCTGGCTGGCGGCTGGCTCTCCGCCGCTCGGTCGGCTTGCTCCGACAACTTGCAGGCGCGCTGCTCTCCTGCCGCTTTGCTCCTGCTCCGCGGGCCTGCAGGCCGGCCTCGTCACCACGCGCCGCCCGACGCGCGCAGGTGCGGCTCCGTCAGGAAGTCGCTCAGCAGCCTCGACACCACCTCGAACCGCCCGCACGGACTGCAGCCGGAGCGGTACGAAACGTCCTTGGCAGCGCGCAGCAGCAAGTTCACGAACGTCTCTAGACGCGCCTCGCGACTGCGCACCACGTAGTCGTGCAGACCCACGGCGACGGCCACGCGCCCGCGGCTCGGGAACCGCGACGGGAACACGCCCGAGCTCACCAGTTCCCGCACGCGCGTGCAGTACGGACACCACTGCGGGTGCGACTTGTCCTTGGGCGCCGCCACCGCCGCCCCGATGCGCTCGCGCAGCGCGCGGAACGTCGAGTAGCGGTGCTCCACCTGGTAGTCGGCGCGCAGCTCGTCCTCCTCGCGCAACCCCCGCCGCACGCGCTCGCTCCTGCTATGCTTCTGAGTGTGTTTGCTCTTGCTCCTGCCGGTCGCGGCCGACGCCACGGGCAGACCTCTGGGTGCCGCCTGCAGGAACACGTCCAGCACGTAGGCCGTCACGTGGCCCTCGCGGTCGTACGCCGTGCACATCTGCACGTGGTGGACGCTGTTGAGCGCCACGGCCACCTTGGCGCGGGAGAGCTGCGAGAGGCGCGCGCCCAGCAGCTCCACCGTGTCCAGGCTCGAGCGCTCGCTCGCCGTGTCCGTGCACACGTCCATCTCGTCCAAGTCGCTGGCGGCCACCATCGCGCGGCTGAGGTTGGGAATTTCGCTTGCGCTGTCGACGGCGCTTTCGGTTGTGAGCCAGTGCTGTGTGTAGCTCGGCGTACTGTGTTGGCTTGTCGGTGATCTTGAAGAGGTACGCAACGTGGCCGTGTTTACTGTAGGGAGTAGGGTGGGAGTATGAAGGAAGACTGGTTGTCACATCGAGCGCGGCAGTTTTTTCACGGGTGAGATACCGGTGTGGGGACGGTAAATGGAAGGCGACTGAGGAGAAGGGGGATGCCTCGCGCCGCGGTTTGACATGCGCGTCGAAGTGGCGGCTCGCAGTGGCTTCCAGCCGCCGGTCGCTGGAATGGCGCTGCTGCAAGCAGGCTGTCGTGCGGCAAGACAGCAGGCGGCGCCGAATTGCGGGCGGGTTTCGAGCCGAGCCGAGCCGAGACGAGCGCAGTCCGGGGCCAAGTCTTCTGCCGCTTGTGTCGGATATGGGTTCAGCAGTGTGTAATCATGGCGCGGCAGAGCCGGGCCCATCTCACAAAGAGGGTGTAACCCAGTGTAACCCCTCGTTCCGACCCATGTAAAACGGAGCCATTGGCCGAAAAGGGGTTCACGCCACCACGATACTCCATCAGCCAACAGTGTCGTCGCTAGGCCAGCAGCATCGACCCACTACACCACTGTAGTGGGTGACGTCTACCATGCCACGATAGAGGGCCGGCACCTGTTATCATACATGTACAGTGTAGCGGTGTTATGCCGGCGCGCTTCGCCCGGGGGTGCAAATCGCGCTGGCACCCGTACCACCGACACCGGCGCGTCGCACAAGTGCATTGAGGCCACCGACGCTGATCGACTTGAGCCTCAAGCGAGAAGAACTTCCACCACCACAACAGTATCGGCAAAGCCTCCGGCCCCCCAATGTTCTAAAACAGTCGACTGCGGTTGCCTCGACGGCGCTTACGACGGCGGAGCTGCTCAAACTGGAGCACCTGTATTTGCAAATGGGCGTCTTCTAACGACTGAAGCGGGGCTGAAGCGGGCACGCGATCCCCATCGAAAAGATGCGATTGCACTCGGCACCGCACGAGCAACTTGACGCACAACGCCACAGACTAGAACAGGCATGACACGTACGATACTTATACTTACTTTAAGTATTGATCAACCAGCGCTAACGTGGCTGAGCTGAGCTAAACTATCTCGGACCACAGGCTCGACGTATGCATCGGCGGCATCAGCATCACGCTTCCGGACGATTACCACACGCTCTCGGTCGCGCGCATGCTCTCCGCCGACAGGAACGAGCTGAGGATCTGCGAGACGACGAGGAACCGCTCGCACTGGCCGCTGCCTGTGCGGTACGACAGGTCCTTGGCCGCTCTGAGCAGCTGGTTGAGGAAGCCTTCGAGCTGCCGCTTGCGGAAGTGCGTGCAAAGCTGGCGCCAGCCCGTGCAGGTCGCCACCAGCCCGCGGTTCGGCACGCGCGGCGGGAAGCTCGTGGACGAGTCGATGAACTTGATGCGACTGCAGTACGCGCACTGCTGGTGATACCTGTTGTCACTGCGCGCGTTGACGGTCTTCATGATGCGCCTCCGCAGCTCGCGGAACGCCGAGTAGCGGTGCTCCACCTGGTACACGGGGTGCTCGAGCTCCCTCTCGCGCCGCAGCCGCTTCTTGCGCTGACCCTCGGACTCACCGGCAGGCGGCGGCGGCGGGAGACCCTTCTGCACGTAGCGCAGGTAGACGTTCATGACGTAGACGGTGGCGCCGCCTTCGCTTTCGTCGTAGGTGGCGCAGATCTTGACGTGGTGGATCTGGTTGAGCTTCATGGCGAACTTGGCGATGGACGAGAGGCACGAGAGGCGACCCAGCGCTGCGTCCAGGCTGCGGCGCGACTGCAGGTCGCTGAGCTCGTCACTGTCTTCGGACGAGCTGGCGGTGGTGACGAGGCTCGGCACGCTGCTGCGGCTCTGCAGCTCGAAGAGCAGCTGGTCGTCGTGGCTGGCGCTCGCTCTCATGCTTCACTTGGAGGCTCTCTTGTGAGGTGCGCAGGAAATTCCGATGTGAAGCTCAGGTGTGATACAAAGTCTCCCATGGGAGGGGGCGGATTATGGGCCGTACAGTACAGGACCAGCAGACGTCAACGAGCAGAAAGGGCAAAGTTGAAGTTGATAGCCAATGAGATGCGTGATATAAGCGGTACGATACCGGTGTACCGGTTCTCTTTCGAGTCTTTCGAGCCGCCGTTCGTTTACAGCCGAAGCTGAAGCTGAAGCTAGGATCGCATGCTCGCAGGATCGAGGTGGCGGCAACGGTTGGCCTGGCGTGCGGCAGCTTTTGGATCTCGGGCGTCTAGTAGACGAGCACGCCGAAAAGTGCATGCTCAAATGGAGTGCAAATCGCGGGGCAGTCGAGGCGTTCATCACCATCGCGAGCTGAAGGCGGGCGGGCGGTGCCTTTATAGCGCCTTCGTCGCATGCGCACAAGAGCCGACCAACTTCAAACACAAAGGCACTTTGCATCGCCTGACAAAGCGCAGCAGGTGAAAAGGCCGTCCACTGCTTTTTGATACGATGAACACACTTTTCGCGCCGCCGGCGGTGGTGAAGGCGATCAAAAGGAACGGGTTTCGTCAGCTGCTGTCAGCGAGGACAAGCTCGTCTCAGCATACCACCGGCGCGAGAAGGCGGAAGGAGAAGATGAGGCTTTGGCTTGGTTGAGACATGGACATTCATTACGCGTAAATTAATGGTGGCAAGTTATATCGTGGTCAATCGACTCAATACGGTCCTCTCCTCGGTCACGGCGGCGACGGAGGCGCGCGCGCTGCCCTCGGGCTGTGCGAGGAAACTGTTCAAGATCTGCGAGACGATGATGAAGCGTCCGCAGTGGCAGCTTGCGCTGGTGCGGTACGACATGTCCTTGGAGGCCTTGAGCATCTGGTTCATGAAGCGCTCGAGGCGGTGTTTCCGGACGCGTGCCAGCAATTGGCGCAGCCCCGCTGAGAGCGGGCCGCGGTTGGGTACGCGCGGCGGGAAGCCAGCGGCCGACTCCGTGGTGCCCACGCGGCTGCAGTACGCGCAGAAGCGGAAGTGATCGTGGTCGTTCACCACGTTCGAGATGCTCTTGACCATGGCGCGGAAGTCCGAGTACCGGTGCTCGACATGGTAGTCGGGCGTCTGGCCCTGGTACTCGCGGCGCAGACGTCTCCTGCGCTGGTCCAGCGTCTCCATGGTCGGCAGACCCTTCTGCGTGGTGCGCAGGAACACGCTGACGACGTACATGGTGACGCCGTCGGTCTCGTACGTGCTGCTGATCTCGACGCGGTAGATCTCGTTGAGCGACATAGCGGACTTGGCCGTCGTCGACAGCTGCGCGAGGCGGCGGCCCGGACTCATGCTCGGGCCCAGCTCGCGCGGCGAGTCGTCGCGCCGCTCGGCATGGACGTCGGCGTCGGACTTGGACGGGAGACGCAGACTCATTAAGATTGATCGAGTGGCTTGAGCGGTCCAGCGCGCGTTTGATTGTGATGGCCCATCAAGCACGCAAAATAAATGGGTCCTTGAAGGCACCACAGCTAGACGGCTCTCGGGAGTCTGGCGCAAGAGCGTGTCTTTTAGACTTGATCAATGTCTTTATGCTGCGCAAATGTGTGTGCTCTTGTATAAATGAGCTGTGCGAACGTCGAACCTCGTGTGGGCCACATGATGGGTGAGCTGCGCCCTGTCGCAGGAGGGAGATGGGCGTTTCCTGATTACGAAGTCCTCTGGAGGATCGCCGATTTCATGGGCCAACATGTGCTGGAGGCCCGGGCGGAGCGAGGAAGGCGAGGCCTCAAGGACGGCAGAGCTATTACATGTACATGTAGCTGACCTACGTGTTGTACGCGGTGGCCGCTGCGTATCAGGGCTGATGTTCGACGCAGGTGCCGTGCTTCAAAGCCGCCGTGCTGGCTCGCGGATTTTTCCCGGTGGAGTCATCTTGCCTGCGCGCTTGCTCTCGCCGTGATCACGACGTGACTCGCCAAGAACGCGCTCGGCGCCGCTGGCTGGCTCTGAGCCACCCGATCGCGTGAGGCTCGCCGCGGCGCCGAGCAGCAGTACACATCCAACATCGATGCCTTTGCAAGACGCGAGGGAGCAGCAGCGCAGCGACAGACCAGTCGTGGCAGGAGCAGGCGCGAACCTGCGACGCTGAGCAACGGTGTGTATCGCACGACAAACTCGGTCAGCAATGACCATCGTGCTTTCTGCTTCAGCGGCGATAACTGTACCAGGCAAGTATGCATCGCTATGACAAGCAGCACATTATGGAAAGCAGCATGCAACGGCATACATGTATTGGGTTTATAGCACTCATCACTTACTGATAGCTCGGTGTTGCTCACCTCTCTCCACTGTACTCGCCAACAGACCCTTCCTAGCAACAGCTCAGCGCGGTCGAGCTCAGCGCAGTCCGCAGGTGCAGATCCGCCAGGAACTCGTTCAGAAACCCCGACACCGTCGCGTAGCGCTCGCACTGGACGGCGCTGTAGCGGTACGACACGTCCTTCGTTGCAGTCAGCAGCTCGTTGATGAACTTCTCCAGTCCGTGCTTCCTCGAGTGCACGAGTAGTCGTCTCCAGCCCGTGTACGTCGCCACGGGGCCCTTGCTCGGATACGGCGACGGGAAGTCTCCCGCCGTGACCAGCCACAAAACGCGGCTGCAGTAGGCACACCACAGCGGGTGGGAGTCGCTCTCACTCGGCGCGCTGACAACGTTCAGGATGCGCTGCCGCAGCAGCCGGAAGGACGAGTAGCGGTGCTCCACCTGGTAGTCGACGTGCTCGCTCCGCTTCTCGGGCTTCTGGCGCCACGTGCGCTTGTGCTTGTCCCGATTCGCTGCAGACTTGGGCAATCCTTTCAGCACGTCCTGTAGGAAGACGTCCATGACGTAGACGGTCACCACGGGGCCGTGCTGGTGCTCGGCGCGGTTGTGCGCGGCTCGGATGGCGACGTGGCTGATCTGGTTCAGCGAGACCGCGGACTTGGCGCTGCAGGACAGCTGCGACAGCGACTGCGAGAGGCGGCGCCCCAGGTTGGCGTCGAGGCTGCCGCGCTCCGTGTCGTCGCTCTGCTCCAAGCTGCTGCTGCTGCTGCTGCGGTCGCTCTCGGGTCGCATCTTGGTGCGCTTCTGAATTGTGTGCTGAGGCGGGGGGCGGAACTTCAGACCTCCCCTGATGGTTGAAGCTACACATGTAGGCTGAGATCTAGGCTAGAACCTAGCTTAGGAACTGATTTACCGGTATACCGGTTGTTTGACAAGCACGCGTAATCGGGCGCCCGTTTCGGGAGTAAACTTTTGCGCGCCGCTTGATGACCATCTCGTCGCTAAATGTGCATGAGGGTGTCCCCATCCTGTCCTCGTCCTCGCTGCATCCGTCGATCTCCTTACTAGGAGTCCTAGACTGCCTTGGCGCGGCAATAGTTGAATAGCAGCGCGTTCTTGCAGACGTCTACTGCAATGCTCAACCTTCTTTTGGCAAAGAGACGCCAACGTGGCGGCATTAACTTTCCATTTTGTCGCAACGCACGGGTTGGGGCGTATACACGTACAGTACTTGGTCACTGCGCTCAACAATGTGTACCCAGCAGCTCCTTCCTACGAGGCCTGCGCGTGTGGCTCCAGCAGGAACGCCTGCAGCAGCTGCGAGACCGTGACGAAGCGCTGGCACTGCGCGCTGCCGTGGCGATAGGACTCGTCCTTGGCGGCGGCCAGCAGCTCGTTGATGAAGTGCTCGAGCTTGTGCTTGCGGCTGCGCGTCACGAGGCGATGCCAGCCCGTGCAGGTGGCGACGACGCCCCGGTTCGGGACGCGCGACGGGAAGCCGCCGTACGTCGCGAGCCACAGCACACGGCAGCAGTACGAGCACCACACGGGGTGCATCTGGTCGTCCGCGACGTCCACGACCTCGCAGATCTGGCGGCGCAGCGCGCGGAAGTCCGAGTAGCGGCGCTGCGCGCGGCATTCGGGCCGCTCTTGGTCCTGCTCGTGCAGCAGCCGCCGCTTGCGCGCGCGCACGCTCTCGTTGGCCTTGGAGACAGGTAGACCCTTCTGCGAGCGCTGCAGGAAGACGTCCACCACGTACATGGTGGCGCCGTCGTGCTCGGGGCTGTCGTACACGCCGCGGATGGCCACGCGCTGGATCTCGTTGAGTGTCACGGCGAACTTGGCGCTGTCCGAGAGCTGCGACAGGCGGCGCCCCAGCTCCGCGTCCAAGCTGCGGCGCGGCTCGCTGTCTTCAACGGCGGAGGTCGGGCCCATGGTTTAAATAATCCTCGAGTCAACTCGCTTGACTTCTCTTGTCCGGTGCGGCGCTTTTCCAGTTGTGAGCACCTTGAAGCAGTTGGATTGAGCCTTCAACCTACATACCTACACCAAACCTGCGACAGGCCACCAATCACCGCGCAGTGTAGTTAACATGTAAAACACGCGAGAGTCATTCCAGAATGAGCCTCCACTCCAAGTACTTCGGAGGCGTCGGGGATGACCCTCCTGGGCCTGAGCGCTCGGTGCTGGCTGCGTTGCAATCACGCAAGCGCAAGCAGCGAGAAGAGGCGAAAGCCGCAGAGAAAGATGCGGCCGACGCAAACTTGCAGCGACTCACGGCCATGGAGAAGCAGGTCGTGAGGCTGCGCAGGACGCACCCAGACACGCTGCTGCTGTTCGAGTGCGGCTACCGCATGCGGATCTTTGCCGAGGACGCGGAGGTGGGGGGGGGGAGAAGCCATGTATCCATTATGAAAGGCTATACACTAATTGCTGTGGGGTGGTAGAATGCGGCTGCGGTGTTGGGCATTCGAGCGCAGCGACACAAGAATTTCGTGGAGGCGTCGGTGCCCGTGCACCGGACGTTGTTCCATGCTCGACGACTGGTCCACGCTGGGTTCAAGGTGGGGGTCGTGCGGCAAACGGACTCCGTTGCAACGCGTGCGGCGTCCAAGACGCCTGGCGCACAACGCAAACCGCTTGAACGGTGAGGTATCAGTTTGTGGTGGAGGCGGTTGTGGCATTTGGAGAGGGAATAATGAATGGTATGGGGTTGAGTGCAGGTGTGTGGCGGAGGTGTATACGCGCGCTACAATTCCTGACGTGGATGAAGGGGGTGACGACAGCGACGAGGAGGAAGACACTCGCACGAGGTTCATTGCGTGCATTGTGGAGGCGTCTGTGCACTCAAAGCCTTTCTTCTCACAGTCGATGCACGAGATCGACGAAGAGACCAAGCGGAGCCAGGCACGTTCACATCCAACCAATGCGTGCTTGCTTTTTCGGATGTTGACAACGGAAATGATACTGACGATGACCTTTTTGCCAGGCGTTCTCGGAGGAAGTGCGAATTGGTATCTTTGTGCACGACGTACACACCGGGGAGACCAAATTTGACGAATTTGAAGACGGTGCGGCTGAAGAACTTGATGCGGATGGAGTTGATAAAGAATTTATGTGTAAGTGATGAATGACTATCTAGATGGCAAGCGCCAACGCTTGCAGCGGACTCTGGAATCGCTCGACCCAGTTGAGTTTGTGCTTCCTGCGGGCCGACTCAGCGCCTACACAGAGCAAGTGCTGGAAAGTTTCGTGACAGCACAGAGTGATTCAGTCTTTATTGCGAGTGACTCCTCTGGAGACGAAGAGCTACGTTCCTGCATTCGCGTGGAGAGGATACCGAACGAGTTCTTTGAGTTCTCGCTGGCTAAGGAGACGTTTTCCGGCGTATTTCGTGAGGCTGAGTCTGAGTACACAAGCGTGGTCGCCTGTCCGAGTCTGCCGAAGCTTTGCGTGTGCTGCTTTGGGGGCATGTGGAAATACCTCTCTTCACTCGATATGGTCCAGACGCTCATTGCACCCAACTACTCGAGCTTGGCCAGCCCCACGGCAGCGTTTACGGGACAGTTCTACCTCCCCGCAGAAGCTCACCGAGATCTTGATCTGTTTGTGAATTCAGTACGTCCTGTGCAATTTGCATTCTTTAGCGACAGCATATTCTTCTTAACTCGGATGTTTCGTGGTTGTGTTGCATTGTACAGACCACCAAACGCGGCGTCGGATCGTTATTATCAGTGCTGAACCACACGAAAACGAATGCTGGTGCCAGAAAACTTCGCGACTGGATACACACTCCGCTCGGCTCTATTCCGGAGATCATGGAGCGGCAAAAAACGATCGAGAGCTTGGCATTCCCTCCCGGGCCGCTGTCAACAGAATCACTATCGCACCGAATTGCGTACGAAGAGCTGACAACGACTGTATTGCCCCGCTCCAAGCACCTACTGACGTTTCTACAGCAAGTTCATCTTGGAAAAGCGACTCCCAGCCAAGCTGTCGGTGCGCTCCAAATCCTGCAGGATCTCGAAGGGCATACCAAGGAACTCAAATTAATGCTCGCTTCGTCCCCGGACAATTCACGCACAACTGGGAATTCAGAGCCGGCTACTCTCCTCGTAAGGCTCCTCGGCAGCTATCCGATGCTGGATCCTCGCCTATCGGATCTTCTCAATGAAATTGATACCAAAGCCGCGAGGCGTAATGATGTCGAGGACACCATCCAGAGACGACTTCGGAGGAAGCCGTCACAGGCTCGCACGTACCAAGATCTCTCTCATGAGCTAGAGACGCTGGAAAGACAGTATGACGCAATTCTTGTGTGCTGCCGGGGTGTCCTCGACAACCCATCGCTGGAATACACTACGTTTCGAGGTGGAGCGTTGAATGACATCCACCATTTGATCGAGGTTAAACGTAGCGATCTCCACACGGTACCGCGCAGCTGGCTCGTCGTGAACTCCACCAAGAAACTCGTCCGGTTCCACCCCAAGGAAATCATCCAGCTTCACGTGCAGGAGGAATTTGTCAAGGAGCAGAAGGATCAAATGGTTCGATCCACGTGGCGGCAGTTTGTTAGTGATGTGGACGGTCAAGTGTACGTGGTGGGGATGAACTGTGTTGACATCTTGGCGAACCTCGACGCGCTGTGCTCGTTGGCAACGGTAGCTCAGAGCTATCCGAACTACACTCTGCCCGAGTTCGTCGAGGACGACAGCACAACACTGGAGATCGTCGATGGTCGACACCCCATTATTGAGATGCTGCTGGAAGGATCTTCCTACATCAGCAACTCGGTGCTGATGTCAAGCAGCGCGGACTCCCCAGGCTCCCTGTTTGTGGTTTCTGGCCCGAACATGGGCGGCAAGACGAGTCTGCTCCGCATGTGTGCGTTGGTGGTGATCCTCGCTCAAATGGGCTCCTTTGTTCCTGCTTCAAGCGTCCGATTATCATTGTTCGATGGTGTCTACACACTCATGCACCGCAGCACAACGACGTTAAACCCTCAAAATCGCGGTACTCCAGCTTGTGCTCAAGAACTCACCGCGCTGGGCTCAATTTCCCGTAACGCAACGAAGAGATCGCTGGTTCTCATCGATGAGATCGGCTTTGGCATGGCAGCTCACTATGCTGAAGCCGTGGGGGTTGCTCAAATACTGTACTTCGTTGAGACTGTTGGATGTCATGTCGTGTTTGCAACGCACCATACTGCATCGATCCAGAAGCTGCAGGATCGTCTAGGCGACAAATGCCAAATGAAACAGCTGGAGTATCAGTTCTACGAACGCGGTGGTGCGGAATGTGGAGACGCGGAAGCAGGAGATGTGGTGACATTCCATTATGTGCTGAAATATGGTATTGCGAGCGACAGCTTCGCTATCGAGACGGCGAGACGAGCTGGTATTGCAGCGAGTATATTAGAGCGAGCCCAAGTTTTACGAGGAAACCTATAGGAGAATCGGATATTCACAGGTAATTTAGTCGCCGGAGATCATGTCTACACCGGCAATCATGCCGGCATCGGAGTGACCCAGGATATGGCAATGCGCCGCAACAATGCCAGTATAGTCCTCCGGGCGGAAGCGGATCGTGACGTTGCCGGGGGTTGGAACGGAAATGACATCGCGCCAATCGCCGATCTCGTAGTCAACGCCGTGGCCGTGGCTCATGTCCACGATCTGGAAGGCGTTCGTGTGCAGGTGGAACGGGTGGTTCTTCAGCGTCACTTCGCCGCTCTCGTCCCTCCTGTTAATGATGACCCACTCCTGCACACGGCCGAGCTTCATGGTGCGAATGCTGGTGCCGTCGAACAGCGCGTGGTTGATGTAGTACGGCTTGTAGAAGAATCCGTCCTTCATCTCCGGGTCGCCCATCGTGAACTCGAACTCGAAAGGCAGCGGGTCCATTCCAGAACGGTCCTCGGCAGACAGATCCAGCAAGCTCTTCGCCGGGCCGTACAGCTCCGAAGGTGGCGGCACAGAGGTGATTAGAGGCTCATCCAGAGACTCACCCTGGACATGCACAAAAGCCAGTACTCCAGAGTACAGATCCGAGTGGTTGCCCATAAACCCATGCAGCTTGGGATCCTTGACCGATTGAATCGGGCGCAATATCTCCGGGCCACCCTCCGCCGTCGGCTCGCAGTTCAGGACGACATCAACTCGGGCACCAGGCAAGAGGACCACGGTCTCCATCGGTCGAGGCTTCGGGTAGTAGAGACCGTCACTGGCCGCCAGCATGATGGAGCAGCCAGGCACCTGCACTTCCAACGAGGCGGTACCACCGGCGTGCAGCACACGGAGCAGAACGTTCTCATGAGGCCTTACCTCGATCTTGGGCAGATATTGGCCGTTCACTGAGAAATACTGGGCAATCGGCGGGATCTTAGGCTTCTCCTGGGACGCGTCCATCTCTTCGAGTAGCTCCTTCGATAACTTGGCGTTCCTGATCGCGCGCTCCACTTCCTGCACATCTGGATACAGCTCGCGCACCTGCGCGTCCAGCTTCGTCTTCCCAGTGTACGTGAGGTCCATGTCCAGCGTACTGTGCGAGGCCTTGGCTGCGTCGGCCAGCGACGTCAGGATGCCACCGCTGAACTTGAACTCCTGCAGCACGACGACGTGCCTCTGCTTGATGGCCGCGTACTCCGCGGGCATCGTGGCCGGATCGTCCTCCACCACAATGGGGCCCACCATGCCTCCCCCCATCTGCAGGAACACGGAGCCGTGGAAGTGCGGGTGGTAGTGGAACAGCCCTCTCGGGTGGTTGAGCGGCACGTGCAGGCGCGTGTCGGCGCTCTCTCCGGGAGCCACAATGCGGAACACATTGTCCTCCGTGCCCGTGGGGTCCACGTGCATGCCGTGGAAGTGCAGATTGGTGTTGTTCGGCTCGTGCATGGTGTTGGGCATCCACGGACCTGGCACATTAGGCCCTAGGTTGTTCACCAGGTGAATATTAAGCACGTCGCCCGGCTTCAAGAGCAGGATGGGCCCGGGCACGCTGTCCTCGTACGCGCGCGTGTAGAAGGCGATGGGGCCGTTGTCCACGCGCTTCTCCGCCACGGTGAGCGTGGTATTGAGCTCTCCGTTGGCGGACGCCCTCGTCTCGAGCGTCTGCAAGGCCGGGAGCTGCTGCAGCACGCGGTTCAGCAGCTCCTGGCGCGTGCTGGAGCTCTCGGCCGTCTCCGCGCGCAGACTCGGCGCCTTGTCCGTGTGCACGTAGGACACGAGCAGCAGCACGGCGATGCCCACGCCCACGATGAAGGTGCAGGCCAGGTTGCGGCGCAGGCGCAGCGTCTGCGTCTGCAGCTGGCGCGCGCCGCGCCGCAGGAAGAAGTCGTTGTCCTTGGCGTCGTCGTCGTCCTCGGGGTCCCCGGGCCGCGCCTCGTCCGCGCGCTTGGACTCGCAGAACACGCCGGTGCCGTAGCCTCCGCCACGGCCGCTGCCGCTGCTGCTGGGGGAGCGCGGGGCCGCCGCGCGCTTGCGGCTGCCGTCGCCAGCGCTGGCCGCCGTCGGGATGGCCATCGATCGGATCAGGAATCTTCGAGTGGAGGAGGCCCCATAGACGCGACTCGCTTCATAGACTTTTGTTGTCGGAACCGACGTTGCTTTGGGCCAATAGAAGTTGCCGGTGTGCTGAACACCAAACTGGAGAAAATGTGACTACCAGGGTGTCAATAACAAGGAGTCGGATATTGTTTACGTGACACATTCACGCCGGGATGTTGATGAACCGCCGGTTGATACACTCCTGGCCACAATAATACGGCCACCCCAACAAAATACCATAACTCTGTCAGTTTTGCTTATTATGCGGTGCGGTTTGACACAAGTAGCAAAACACGGTGCAAAAGGCCTGACATGTGTTAACGCTCGCGTTTTTGCAATCTTACGGTGGCTCACATACAAAAAACTTTTTCGGCAAGGTGGTCACAACTTACGGCCACCCCATCCAAATACAAAATCCTATACTAATTGAATGCTTGTACAGAGTGAAGGTCGGGCAAATGACTTGAGATTTGTATGGGTCATGTTAGTGCACCCGCTAGTTGGACTAAATCGCGTCCTAGAGAAGAATGAAGGCATTGGTCATCTTAGCATAAGTGTAAACTACAGCTCCTGTAAATTGCGCGGGATCTCGGGTGATTTTGAGGGAGATATAGATGCCAACGTAAATCTAAAGTAGCGTCGTGACAACGTCCATATGATTTGTATGGGAAGATTTGATCTGGTAGTGACGAGTCGAATCGTACTCGTGTGTGCGGACTGAAGCCTCGATACTTGTTCCAACTTCGGTTACAATATTATCTACCTTACTTGTTGCTGCTGCAGTCATCCATTGTCCTTTAGCACTGCAGGAAGAAGGGTTTTTCAGGTGCACTAACATGACCCATACAAATCTCAAGTCATTTGCCCGACCTTCACTCTGTACAAGCATTCAATTAGTATAGGATTTTGTATTTGGATGGGGTGGCCGTAAGTTGTGACCACCTTGCCGAAAAAGTTTTTTGTATGTGAGCCACCCGTAAGATTGCAAAAACGCGAGCGTTAACACATGTCAGGCCTTTTGCACCGTGTTTTGCTACTTGTGTCAAACCGCACCGCATAATAAGCAAAACTGACAGAGTTATGGTATTTTGTTGGGTGGCCGTATTATTGTGGCCAGGAGTGTAAACGTTTTGTCCGTGAATAATGCGTTCCTTGTGTTAAATAACCATCAAAACCTTCTTCTCCTCCTTTCCCTTCTTCCTCCCCCTTTTCCTTCTTCTTCCTCCTCTTCTTCTTCATCATCATCATCATCTTCTTCTTCTTTTCCGTCTTTCTTCTCCATGTCGCTTGAATTTTCTTGCTGCCCTCACCGCTGCTTGATCAGGAGAAGAACGACTCGCCGGTCTGCTCGGACAGGAAGCGCTTGACGAGCGCCGGGATGATGTGGTAGCCACGCAGCGACCTCGGGCAGGTCGTGTAGTCCTCGCGCGCCACGCGCACGAGCTCGTTGATGAACGTGCTGAGGATGTGCTTGCGCTCCTCGGTGGTGGTCGTGAACTTGACCTTGAGACTAGGTTTGCACGGCGCCACGTGCAGGAAGTCCAGCAGGCCGGAGCAGTACGCGCACGCCTGGCACTTGGGGTGGTGCTTGCGCGCGATGTGCGCCACGTTCGAGCGCAGCCGCGCGAAGCTCGAGTAGCGCTGCTCGATCTGGTAGTCCGGCCCGCGGTTCTGCGGCTCGCGGTCCGCCAGCCGCTTGTGCTGCGCGGGCTGCCCCGCCGACAGCTTGCGACTGCGGCTGCTGCGCGTGGAGGGCAGCCCCTTTTGCTGGCGGTAGCGGTACACGTCCAGCACGAAGTACACGACGCCCTCCTCGCGCTCGATGGCCTCGTGGATGGCGATGAACTCGATGCGCGACAGGAACAGGCGGATCTCCGTGGCGCGCGACACCTGCTGCGGGTACATCATGACGGGCGCCAGCTCAAGCTCGCGCAGCAGCAGAATCTCGGACGACAGCGGACTCATCTGTTGCTCGGCAGACTCCGTTGTTGCCGTTGCCGCCTTTTGCTCCTTATTGCTGCTGTCTGCTGGGGGTGGCAACTGCGCGGTCGTTCTCATTGCGGCCTGGTCTTGGTCCTGCTCGCCCTCGTCCTCCTCGTCGAGCTTTGTCATCCTAGCGCCGTCGTGGGTGAGTCGGTCTGGGCTTACCTCCGCCAAAACTGAAGTGAGACACAGTTCCAGATCGACCTCGGATCCGGCCGGAATCACCTTTGAGAATACATAATACGGATGAGTCGGATATCGATTATTACGACTTTGATTAGCTTTGTATCGGATTTGTTATCCTTGTGTATAGAGCCCTTGTGAGCTCTGATAGCTGCGTATCATGATGAGCGTGGGTTCTTTTTTTCGGGTTCAGTCTTCAGCGGTGAGAGCTCGTGCAGAATCATGAAGCGATAAGTATCAAGACGATGGATTTGATGCTTTGTCGGCTGTGCTTGATGACAAGACGCCTAGCGACATGCAAGCGACGTAGAGCGATCAAGGCTGGCTAGGTGCCTGTGGGCATATGATGTTTGAATACCACTTGAAATGTAGCCACTTCATCCTGTAGACGAACTCCCTCTTCCGATAGTAGAACTCTGTACGAAACAAGCGCGGACTCAATTTGCGTTATCTCCGCACGATACTAGCAACCTCTACAACTCATTAACACTTACTCGCAGTCCAGCACCACGCGGCTGCGGAGCTGGCCGGCGGCCATGCGCTTGAACACGTCCGGCAGGTTCGTGAGCGGCTCGACGGTGTACGTGGTCTTGACGTGGCCCTCGACCACCATGTCCAGCGCCTCGATGGCGTCTTGGCGGCTGGCGACGTACGAGCCGACAATGCGGAACTCGAACGGGATGATGAGACCCACTGGCGCAACAATGGCGGCACCAGTGGGCACACCGACAGCGAAGAGCGTGCCGTGCGGGCGCAGGAACATAAGCGCGTCCTTGTAGGCGGCAGTCGAGTCGGCCACCACAATGGTGGCGTGACCACCGCGACCGCCGGTGGCAGCGCGGACCTGCTCGATCACGTTGCCCTCCTTGAAGTCGATGAAGTCCTTGATGCCGTACGACTCGATCAGCTTGCGCTTGTCGTCGCCAGTGTCGATGGCCACCACCTTGTAGCCCATGGCCCGCGCGTACTGGCACGCCAAGTGGCCCAGACCGCCACCAGCGCCGGGGATCACCACGTACTCACCCGGAGAGCCACCGATCTGCTTGAGTGCCTTGTACACCGTCATGCCGGCGCACAGAATAGGAGCTGCAGCCGACAGATCCAGGCCCGACGGAATAGGAGTCACGTGGTCCGCGAACGACACGCACCACTGCTGGAACGAGCCGTGACAGGTCAAACCGTGGACGCCAGCGGACGGGCACGTCGTCTCATAGCCCTTGCGGCAATCCTCGCAGCCCAGGCATGTGTGCGCGAGCCACTTGACGCCAACAGCGTCGCCGATCTTGAGGTTCGTGCGGGTGTGCTCACCGATGGCGGCGATGTAGCCGGCACCTTCGTGGCCGCCGATCATAGGGAACTGCTTGGGGAGCGGAGGGCCCTCGCCCTCCCACACCGACAGGTCAGAGTGGCACACGCCCGTGTAGGCGATGCGGATAAGCACCTCGCCGGGCTTGAGGTCCTCGGGCTGCACCACCGGCCAGTCCTCGCGCACCTGCAGCGGTTCCTTGTCGGCCTCGTAGATGACGGCCGTCTGCGTCTTGGGGACGTTGTAGCTCGACTGCGGCTTCATGGCTCGAGTTCTGCTTGTGCTGCTGCTGGAGAGCTGGCGAATTCGCGAATGGGGATGGCGAGCTGGAGTGAGTTGCGACCTTCACGGGGCGGAGGCAACGGATGGAGCCCGAACAGTACACGTACGTTGCCAAGGATCCCCGCGGCTAAAAGAGACGCTCGGATATTGCCGCTGGCAGCATGGCAGCGTCTCTGCTGGATAGGATTAGCGGATGGGCTGAGAGTACCGCACAAGGAAGGGGGCAAGCGCCGCAGATGGCTCCGCTCGCCCCAAGTGGCTTCGCCAGCAAGCCAAACTGAAGTCATCTGCGCGGAGCGATGCCGAAAGCGTTATCCATATACCGGTAAGGCGTTCTCTCCAGCTGTGCCGCGGTATGGTATTGATTCCTCGCTGCAACCACGATATCAGGTGTTGCCTTGGCCACGATCGAAGGCATTCGTTCGCGTACCGGTACCGACTCATGTCGAGTCGACGCCTGAGCCGAGCCTGCCAGGCTCAGCCTGGAGAAGGGAACAACACATCGTGAGGCTCACGATGTGTTGCTCACGGTGAGCGGCCTGCTTGTTTGGTGGAGGAAGCGACGGGCCCAGCAAATCCTGTCGTGTCAGCTTGCTGTCATCCCTCTCACATGACATCGCTCGCGTCGCGAGTCGCGAGCACGCACACGCACGGCGCGGCCCTTATCATTGAGCCTCAAGGTTCCTCCATGCCAATACTTGGCATGCTCGACTTGCATCAGATGAGGAATGGTCGAAACGACTGCGCTGGTGGTGGTGGACGAAGTTTGGTGTGGCTGCAGTTGAAGTGAGTTCGGAGTGAATGCGAGAGTGACGGTCTACTTCAACATAAAGATTGCCCGATCCCGAGGCCGCTATACATTCCCGTTGGGCCGCGTTCGAAGACTAAGTTGTCGCTCTCGCCTTGAAGAGATATCAACGAATACATCGGCGGCTGATCCCCAGTGTTGGTGGCGGTTTGCTTGTCAGTACGCGCGGGCCATGGGCTACAGGGTGGTGGCCATCGACACTGGCGACGACGAACGCGAGCTGATTGAGACGTACGGCCCGTACGTCTACGAAGTATTTGATGCCGTACTGTAAGGCATCAAATACTTCGTCGATTTAGAAGACGGCAACGCCGTGGACCAAGTTTGCGCTGCCACTGGTGGCCGTGGAGCTCACGCTACCGTTGTCGTTGCTGGGGCAAAGGATGCGTCACTCGATTTGATCCCTCAACGCGAAGTGATATCGGAATTCCGTGTTCAACACGTTGGCAGGACTCGGATAAATCGTCAATCCACCATCCGTCTACAGACTGAAGTTCATCACGCACCGACCTCGACATGTAAGGTTAGTAACCGGTAGCTTCTCAGTGCTATCTGGGTGGTCATTGTTGTTTGCCCTTCATGCGTGTAAAGTACCGCAAGCATCACGTGCTCGTGGATGGAGCCGTCAGACTTACAAAGCCACACACTATGCTGGCGATCGCTACAAGTTGAAGTTGGCAAGGTTATCCGCACGCGACTCGTTCATGACCTACAGGCCACCAAGCACGAAGCCCTTTGAAGCGTGCCATCCTCGGGCAGAAATCGTTGTGAGATGAACCTTGTCTGTCGACAACTTCCCGCGCGTCGGCTCTCTCACCGCTTGCGCCGAGGTCCCGAAGGAGCTCACTTCGTTGTCGATCCCATTCCGAGATTTGCCAGCTCCCCAGCACTCCCGAACAATGCTGCGTGTGGTCTCCCGTCTCGCTCAACCGTCCAAGCGTGTGGCGCAGCTTGCACCCAAGTCCTTCACGGCAGCAGTGGCCGGCCACGGATTCCAATGTCGCTGCGGTTCGTGTGCTTCCCGACACTTCTCGGTGCAGTCATAGACGCACTACGACATCCCCAAGACACAGGCGGCCATCATGTACGAGGCGGAGGGTGCTCCGCTGCAAGTCCGCAAGGACTGGCCGGTGGTGCAGCCCGAAGACCTGAAGCCCGGTGAGATCCTCGTCCGCATGGCCTACAGCGGCGTGTGCCACTCAGACGTTCTCATCTGGGAAGGCGCCGGCGCTCCGGAGGGCAAGAAGATGCCGCTGGTCGGCGGCCACGAAGGCACGGGCTACGTGGCCGCAATCGGCCAGAACACCAGGACCAACCTCAAGATCGGCGACCCGGTGGGCGTCAAGTGGCTGGCCAACTCGTGTCTCGGGTGCGAAGACTGCCGCAAGGGCCATGAGACCACTTGCGAGAGTCGTCATGCACGGCTAAGGTAAGGTGCCAGTTGCGTGCCTACAACCAGTTCCGTGCCTACTTGTTTTAGCCAATTAGCATCTTCTCCTTGTTAAACTCTCGTAGTCTCTTGGTTGATTTATCCAGCGTCACTTTCAATTTCCGTGATGATCCTCCTAGGATTTGCATAGCATACGAAAGTGCTATCAAAAAGAGGCAGGAAACTGGCAGCTCACTCCAAATCAACAAGTTTTTCAAAACAATAACAAGAAACCTGCAAAATAGACACGGACCAGCGTGAAGTACATAAATTCAGCCCAATCGCGCAAATTTAGCGGGTGCAATCAGATTTCAGAATGGGCAATTCAATGAAAAGTTATGCCACAGCAAGTCCGCAAGTTCGAAGGACGGCACGAAACTGGCAGAAGACCTTACACGGTGGACGGGTCCTTCCAGCAGTGGTGCGTGTCGTACGCGGACCATGTCACGCCGATCCCAAGGGGTTACGACATGGCCGCGGCCGCAGCGTTGCTGTGTGCCGGTGTGACGGTGTACTCTGCTTTCAAGGAGATCAATGAAGTCCCGGGTGAGTACGTCGTGATCCCTGGAGCAGGCGGCGGCCTCGGCCACTTGGCCTGCCAGTACGCGCGTACGATGGGCTACAAGGTGATCGCTATCGACTCAGGGGCAGACAAGCGCAAGCTACTGGAGGGCTACGCAGTCAAGCACTTCATCGACTTTAAGGACGGCGACGTGGTGGCGCAGGTCAAGGCCATCACGGGGCGCGGCGCTCACTGCGCGTCCGTTGTGCCGACACGGAGTCGTCGTACATCGACGCCTTGCAGTACATTCGCCCCCATGGTACGGTGCTGATGGTGGGCGTGCCCAAGGGCGGCGTGGTGCCTGTTTCAGTTGAGGCCACCGCGGCGTTCGCGCACCGCATCATTGGTACGAACGTGGGCAACCGCCAAGACTCGATCGAGACGGTGAACATCGCAGCGGATGGAGCGGTGGAGACGTTCTACAACGTTGAGCCACTCACCAACCTGCCCGATGTCTTCAAGCATGAAAGCCGGCACGCTCTTCGGTCGCACCGTGCTCGACTGCGAGTAAGTATTCTCTGCTCCTACACGTTAAGATGGAAAGTGGAGACTGTCAAGAACGAATTAATGCAAGCTTGTCGTCTCTCACCGAGTCACGAGCTGTTTTTGATAAGGTAAAGTGCCAGTTGCGTGCCTACAACCAGTTCTGTGCCTACTTGTTTTAGCCAATTAGCATCTTCTCCTTGTTAAACTCTCGTAGTCTCTTGGTTGATTTATCCAGCGTCACTTTCAATTTCCGTGATGATCCTCCTAGGATTTGCATAGCATACGAAAGTGCTATCAAAAAGAGGCAGGAAACTGGCAGCTCACTCCAAATCAACAAGTTTTTCAAAACAATAACAAGAAACCTGCAAAATAGACACGGTTCAGCGTGAAGTACATAAATTCAGCCTAAACACGCAGATTTAGCAGGCCCAATCAGATTTCAGAATGGGCAATTCAATGAAAAGTTATGCCAGCAAGTTCGAAGAACGGCACGAAACTGGCAGAAGACCTTACGCTTCAAGTTGAAGGGAAGGCAGAACCGCTGCGGCGCCAATCTGCCACGCACGTAGCCAAACCATATGCAGCTTTGCCGTGCCAAGCAGGAAATCTTCTCTGCACTTTACACGGATGCATCCAGGCGTTGAGTGCGCCGCTGAGGTCGGATGGATGCCAACAATCGTCGACGTCTCGGTCGGACAAGCCTCCCAACACCGGTTCATTGTCGAATTCGCTGCCGACCCCCAAGAGCTCAAGAGTCTTCCAAGCCAAAGTCTAAGACCATGCTGCGCGTTGTCTCCCGCATCGCGAAACCATCCAAGCGAGCTGCCCAACTCGCACGCAAATCGTTCGTCGGCCTATCGTCTGGCCATGGCTTTCAATGCGGATGCATGAGTTGCGCGCCCAAAGCGTCGCGACAGTTCTCCGTCAAGTCCCAGCCAAGCTACGACATCCCCAAGACGCAGACGGCCGTCATGTACGAGGCCGACAACGCCCCACTTCAAGTCCGTCACGACTGGCCGGTGGTGCAGCCCGAAGAGCTCAAACCCGGCGAGGTGCTGGTCCGCATGGCCTACACGGGCGTCTGTCATTCGGACCTGTCAGTCTGGGAAGGCCTTGGTCCTCCGCTCCCCAAGCAGTTCCCCATGGTCGGCGGGCACGAAGGCGCCGGATACGTAGCGGCGATCGGCGCCAATACCAAGACCAAGCTCAAGATCGGCGACGCAGTGGGCGTCAAGTGGCTCGCGCACACGTGTCTGGGCTGTGAAGACTGCCGCAAAGGATACGAGACCACCTGCGGAGAAGCGGGCGTCCACGGTTTGACCTGCCACGGCTCGTTCCAGCAGTGGTGCGTGTCGTTCGCCGACCACGTGACGCCGATCCCCACAAGTCTCGACTTGGCGTCGGCAGCTCCTATTCTGTGTGCCGGCATGACGGTGTACAAGGCGCTCAAGCAGATCGGCGGATCCCCTGGTGAGTACGTGGTGATCCCCGGTGCTGGTGGCGGTCTGGGCCACTTGGCTTGTCAGTACGCGCGGGCCATGGGCTACAAGGTGGTGGCCATCGACACTGGCGACGACAAGCGCAAGCTGATCGAGTCGTACGGCATCAAGGACTTCATCGACTTCAAGGACGGCAACGTAGTGGACCAAGTTCGAGCTGCGACTGGCGGCCGCGGAGCTCACGCCACCATTGTCGTTGCTGGAACCAAGGATGCGTACAAGGACCCGTTGATGTTCCTGCGTCCGCGCGGCACTCTCGTCGCAGTGGGTGTCCCCAAGGACACGGCGGTCGTGGCGCCAGTGGAGCCTCTGATTCCGTTGGAGTTCCGTATCGTTGGCTCGTACGTTGGCAGTCGTCAGGACGCCATCGAGGCCATCGACATGGCAGCCGACGGCCAGGTCAAGAGCTCGTACACCGTTGAGCCCCTGACCAATCTGCCGGATGTGTTCGACCGCATGCATGCTGGTAAGCTGAGCGGACGTGTGGTGCTCGACTGCGAGTAAGAGAGCGCTCTATCTGGATACTATGAGGCAATGCATCGTCTTGTCTTGAAAATTTTGTGGTTCCTATGGTTGATGAAGAATTCTCCGCCGGTCTTTTCGTTGCGATCGCGTTGGAAGGCGATCTGCGACGTGTGAAGTTGAAGTGACAGGTCGGATGATGGCTGCATGGCGTCCAATGTGCGACCATTTTGCTTAGCGGGCGGTCGCTGGCGTTAGTCGATCCGTAGTCTCACTTCTGCTTTTGCCGCGAACCTCACACCCGCGTAACTCCGACTACCGATCTTCCAGCACTTCCTCCAGCTTCTTCTCGACGATGCCAGCTTCGACCAAGTCGAGCAGTAGCGGCAGTGGCAGTACAGGCAGTGACCTGGAGCAGGGCGAGCTCCGCACGAACGGCAGCTGGGAGAACATGAAGAAGGCCGACGGACTCAAGGACCGCGCGAGCACCGTCCACGACCTGAAATACTACGGCGAGGAGCAGAAGCGTCTGTACCAGGAGCTGCCGTTCCGCGTGCTCGCGGGTATGCGTCGTCGCTCTTTTCGGAGCGAGCGGGACTTCCCTCAGCTCCGTCCACGCAGTTCCTGGGCCAATCTATCACGTCTAGTGAAGAAGGTTGGTGTCTATCCCTCATTATTCCTTTAACTTGACAGCCATAGCTGACCTCTGTTGTGACTGACAGCACGGGGAGAAGCAGACGCTGCTTGAAGACGACGACGACGGCTCGGAGCCCGGGTACACGTACCCGCTGCTGTTCTCGTGCCTTGTAGCAGTCATCAACGCGTTCCAGTATGGCTACAACACGGCCGTGACGGGGGCGATGAACCCGGCCGTGGTGTTTCCTGGCCACTCGGACATGGTTTGGGCCCTCTGCGTCTCTGGCTTTGCAGTCGGTGGACCGATTGGCTCACTTGCGGGAGGCCGACTCAGTGCCCAACTTGGCCGCAAGAAGACGATGCTGGCCAACTCGTGCGTCTTTCTGCTGTCGGGGGCCATCATGGCGTTCGCGACCAACATCTACATACTCATCGCCGGTCGGTTCCTCGTGGGTATCGCCTCCGGTACAGCCACGGTCATTGTGCCGCTGTATCTCGGAGAACTGGCGCCGCCCAACCTCCGCGGAGCTTTGGGCACCACGTACCAAGTTGCGATGGTCGTCGGCATCCTGGCCACCGATATCCTGGCATTCGGCTTCGCAGGAGAGAGTCAAGGCTTCACTCATCCAGGCTGGCGTCTAATGTTCGGCCTCGCGGGGATTCTGGGAGCTTTGCAGCTTGTCCTGACTCCGCTGCTGATCGAAAGTCCTCGCTGGCTGCTGAACAATGGCAAGGCCAAGGAAGCGGAGGAGACTCTACGCCGTCTGCGTCAGTCTGATGATGTTTTCGACGAACTCGACAGTATTTCCGCTGCTGACGCCGGGGAGTCGGGAGATGTTCAAGGTGTGGGGGAAGTTCTCAGGGACAGGAGCATCCGCTTGCCTCTGCTTGTCGCCGTGGTGCTGCAACTCGCGCAGCAGTTGAGTGGCATCAACGCCGTCATGTTCTACGCCAGTTCGTTCTTCCAGAACGCGGGGCTGGAGGACCCGTTGGTGGGGATCACACTTGTTTACATCGTGAATGTGCTGGCGACGATTGTGGCGCTGATGCTCATGGACTCAGCCGGACGTCGGCCGTTGCTGCTCTGGTCGGTGGTGGGGATGCTCGTATCGAGTGGAGTCCTGACGGTGGGGCTCATGGATCTGCTGCCGTTTGCCAGCATGTTCAGCGTCGGAGGGGTCATGAGCTTCGTCTGGTTCTTTGAGATCGGCCTGGGCCCGATCCCGTGGCTCATCGCAGCCGAGATGTTCCCGCCCAAGTCGCGCACGACGGCGACGTCCATCGCCACGATGGTCAACTGGCTGGGGCTCTTCATCATCGGAATTGTGTTCCCCACCATGCAGAACGCGCTGGGCGACTACATCTTCGTGCCGTTCGCGGCTCTGCTCGCTCTCACGCTCGCGTTCTCGCTCAAGTTCGTGCCGGAGACGAAGGGCAAGACCCTCGACGAGATTCAAGCAGAAATCAACCCGTACTAACCGTGAAGACGACGGTACGAAGGAAGTAAGGAAAACAAACAACCCACAGCTAAGATTCCAATTACAGCATTCATAACGTTTTATTACTGTTCATGATGATGTCCAGCGCTGCTGCGTTCACAGCCCAAAGATCACCAAAGTTCACTATGTGCACTTTTCATAGCGACCGTATCCAATATGGACCCACTTCACAGGCCTCTGTGTGTTGTGATGCGGAAAGGAGGAGCCTCGTTTCCGTGGTTTCTTTGGCGTATCTAAGACTTGGCGATCTTCTTCATCGTCAGCGACGCTGGACCACTCGTTGATGTCTGAAGACGACTCCCAGTCGGGTTTCAAGCCGCTATTTGTCGTACCGCGCAGCAAATTCTCGTTCGTCCATTCGCCATGGGGTTCTCCCTTCGGCACTATTTCAGCGCGTGGACATTCTGGGGTCGTTTCAGGAATTTCGGATCGCCCTTCGTTGTCTCCTTCCTCTCGTTCTTCTTCCTGGCCACAGACTTCAGGTGTAAATGCGTCCGCATCTTTAGCATTCCGGGGTGTCTTCCGTCTTGCAAGTTCGTTTGAGTCTTTTGGTCGGTCCAACACGAGCTTCCAGACCGCGATGCCGACGCTAGCGGTGCACGCTGCGGCAGCCAAAGTTGATAGCAAGATCTCCACCTTCACCATGTCTGCATCGCGTCCTCTTTCGCGCACTCGCATGTACAATTCTGTCGTCGATAAACTCGCAGCGTCACCTGCTCGTTAACGGTGTAAAATCTAAAGTGATGGCCGGGAGAGCACCTGCTCCCGATGAGGACGTATAATTTTCACGCTCGTTCCGGACACTTGAAGCCTTTCAGCCAAGTCAAACCGGAGAGCAGCAGTCCGGAGCTCAATTGGCGTAAGCTATGAAGCCTGAAGTTCCGACAACAAAGACTCCAGAAGTGCAAAGTTACTGAACAACCCAACAACAACATTTAGAGAAACGAGTCGCTTGATAGATAGAGCTCGTCAAGAGATACGTCGCGCTAAGCCGGGTGTGACTAACAGCTTATGAGCTCACTTAGTTTGTTCATCGTGTTGGGATCCTATCGTGGCGAGTAGGTGCTATCTGTCGTTACGTCTGCCGACGAAGGTCGCAAGTTGTACACACCGTGGAGCGCGCGCGCGCTTGATCTAGCGAATTGACGCGGTAGACCGCGCTCGAACATCGATCGTCGAGCGCTGTTGTCGTCTGAAGCCGTAGTGTCAAGGCGTCGGAATGGGTACCAGTAAAGTCACTCGGTTCAGGCTCCGGCGCGAGGCTGGACTGAGCAAGTAGCGGCAAATGCCGCGACGAAGCACTCGCACCGACACGACTCGAGTGAGCTCCATCGTATCCTCGAACGAGGTCATAGTCCGCTGAAGCATCGGGTACTAGTAGTGCTGGCCGGCGTGGCCATCCTCAAGACACTGCTCCTGCTGGATCAAAGTCACCAACTGTATCAGTTGAGCATACTCCACCCTCGTCCCCTGTAGCTCGAACAGCAGCTTGACCACGCTGCTGAAGCGGAATCGAGTCAAGTGGAAGCCGAACGAGGCCAAGACGGTGCGAAGTCTGTCGATATCAACGACGCCAGTCCTGTCCAAGTCATACGACTGCAGGGCCTTCTTCAAGTCCGCGATGGTGGCCCCTCCTTCTTTCAAGCAACGCGTCACCGAGGTGGCAAACTCGGCTCGCAGCTCCACGATCTCACTGAAGTGGTGCACCACCTCCCCCAGCGTCCCGGCATCGATGCGGATGACGCTACAGATCAGCACAAAGGCACGGAAAATGCTCTTCTGGAGGAGCAGTCCGTTGATCAGCAGCGGCAGCGGGATCAGGATCACGGGAATTATCCCCACCTTGTCGTTGATCTCGTCAAAGCTGTACACCGCGCCCTGGACCATCAGCGCGACGAAGAATCCGTTGAGGATCGTCATGAACATGACCACAACGTGCCAGATCTTCCGAGAAAAGCCCTGAAGCGAGACATCGGGCGAGCCAGGCTGCACACCGCCTGGCCCTGACACTGAGCGCTTCTTGCACAATATACGCGGGACGTTGCGCAGGCAGCTCGCAACCAGTTGAAGTCCTGCGTCACTCCTGAGTATTCCACGGTGCTCCGCCTTGTGTTCGTGCTCCAGCTCTTCATGTTCTGCGTGGATTCGGTTCATGTTATCCAGCGCACTGTCGGCCGCTTCACTCTGCCAGGCACTCGCCTCTTGCTCTGCGACTGCGTTGAGGTTTTCCGCCAGAACGGCCTTCTCCTTGCTGTATCCGGCGATGGCCAACAGGCGACGCACACACCACCGGAAGTAGAGCAGAACCAGCACGTGGAGCAGCACCAAGACCCACGCAAACGCCATCAACGTCTCAATGAGCTCGTACCGCACCTCCACCTCAAAGTCATCGAGGATCTGGACGACAGCGGAGAAGGCCCAGGCCATCCCGAGCAGCAGCAGCCACATGGACGGCTCCACTTCGATCATGTGCACGATGCTGTTGGCCTGAGCTCGCCTCAAGTACTTGGAGAAGGGAAACAGCTGAGGGAGACCGAAGCGGCGGGGGAACAAGTGCCGTAGCAGACGATGGCGCACGATTTCGTCCTTGAAAAGGTCCTCATTCGGTGCCTTACCTCCCCAACAGCAGCGAGAAGAGATCCCATTCTGCGAGAAATTGAGCACGTCGACCAGGTCTTGCGTCGTGATGAGCTCCGCCCGGTCGATTCTTTTGTTGTGGCCTCGCAGCAGGACCAGGACCCAAATGGCCTGGAGCACGAGCGCGATGGCCAGGATGAAGATGATGAGGTCGGCCACCTGGAAGGCCAGCATGGTGCCGCTGTAGCCGTCGATGCCGCCCACCTCCGTCAGCATCTTGATGATGAAGCTCAGCAGCCCGAGGATCATGAGCTCGCGGTAGACTTTCTTGAGCATGTGCTGGTACTTGTCGTGGCGCGCGAGGTGGTGCTCCAAGTGGTGCAACGCGGCCTCGAACACCAGTAAGCAGGTCGCCAGGGCGCTCAAGAGCACCAACACGCGGAACAGCTCGACGTCTTCGCCCACTCGGAAGACGGAGCCACCGGCCATGGTGACCAGTTGGCTGGAAATCGGAGAGTGAGCTTTAGGGCGGCGTTAGTCGCTTATTAATCTACTGGCACACCACGGCGATTATGAACGTGTTGGGGGCCTTCGAACCAGCGTAATACTCACTGTTCAGTATGTAGGCTGCTGCTGGATACAGCAGATGCCGAGATTTAATCAAGCTCCTGTTCCTTAACGACGACGCATGGATCATCAACTGCGATCCGCCGGTTACGCTGGCGATGCGGTAGAACGAAAAGCATCGACCGAGGTTGAAGGCAACCTGTCACATTGCCGCAACGTCGTGTTATGTTGCCGCAATCAAGATGGCTACACTTCGCAAAAGGCTTCACCGAAGCGATGACTGTGGACCCCAGCATACATGTACATTCGAGTCGCCAAGCTTGAAGCTCGCCGCCATTCATACCTTACTTGACCGCTGCTGTCGCGAGTGGAGCTCATCGAATGCCATGTTGAGATTAGCTCGCCCGATTATGTGGTTCCAGCCTTAATGCCACTTCCCATTCGCTGATTCGTGGTACACACATTGTCACCAACCTGTGCGCGGCACCTCATCACATCACGCCAAGTGAGGAGCTCCGCACCGGAAGTATCGACCAGCAACAGCATGACAGCCTTCTTCTCCTCGAGCCCTCATTCTTCAAATAGCGCCATGACCAGCATTGCCAGCTCAAGACCCATTCTCGCCACGAAGCTCCACCAGCCAACCGCCTCCCCGTTCCGAGGTCTGCTCGACAGACTCATGGGCCGGAATTCCACCACCACCTCCACTCTACCTCGGAGCTTGGCTTCAGCCTCCTGCGCCGCCTCGTTGCTGTCGGGTCCATTGCCACTGGACGAAATTCTCGACCGCCGTCACCAACTGCAACGCGTCGTTGACGTCGTCGTGCTGGACGCCACGCGGGACAAGAAGAACGAGCTCGTCATCACTTGGAAGCTGTCGCTACGGAGCGAGGCGCCTCGTGAACAGGTCGGCATCTTCGTGCCGAATAACGCGGCGGTGAAGGGACTGGAGCTAACCACGACGTTCCATGACGTGAAGCAACTCGGACGCATCTTGACCTTCTGCGTCGAAAACTCCGAGAAAGACTGCGCTCCAGACTGCGAGTTCTGCTCCGAGCTGCGCGGTTACCTCTGCTCGCACTGGGTGCGGGATCCGCTCGTGAACGTCTTGAATATGGGCGAGACGGTGCTCCGTAAACAGGTGATGGCGATGCACATGGCCACATTGGTGGCGTTCGCGACGGGGAAGAGCACGGTGAGTCGCGTGGTGACGACCCCGAACGAAGACAAGGGCGTGCAACTTGCACCCCGACTCGCTCCTCTTGGCGGCAAGGGGGTGATCAAGAGCGCGTCGACTTGTGCAGTACAGAACGAAGTGACGGCGGTACTGTACGACTTCTTCGACGCACTTCACGCTTGATGGATGCGTGTTACGCCTTGAGTTCTTGTTATTATTTTCTCGCTGGCGAAGAGTGCTATACGACCGCAGTATGACTCGTCAATGACATTTATTCTTTATATTAGCGTTTTGTTGTTTTTCTTCACACGTAAGGCTTAACGTTGTACATATCACGCAGCACTCGAGCGCTCGAGCCAGCGAACTGCTGCGAATAGCTTCTCTGCAGCATCGGTTGTCTGCCTTCGAGTTCACTCTTCGAGTTCATTTGGACACTGTGGAAGTTCAGTGACGTGCCTCGACGTACGACAGGGGTACCGGCCTTAGCGTAGGCGAAGTTGCTGCACCCAAGACCCGACGCGAGACTCGACTGCGTCAACAGAGAAAGCGGCTGCGTTGACGCCGAGTCGCGCGCGCTAATCGAACTTTCCCGGGCTTCGTGAATCCCCGTGTCAAAGGAGACGTCACTCCCGTGAATTTCCGGATACTCTCGGCCACGGCGCTGCGCGATTTCCTCACGCTCTTGCTCAACGATCGCCAAGAGCTGAAAGAGCTGCGCGTACTCGACGCTAGTCCCCTTGAGCTCAAAGAGCAACTTGACTATACTGTTCAACCGGAACCGGGTCACACTGAAGCCGACGGAAGCCAAGACCGCGCGAAGCTTGTCCACTTCGATGAACCCGGACATTTCGTGGTCATGAGACTGAATCACCGCCTCCAAATACTCTATCGAGAGTCCGCCTTCCTTTAGGCACTGCACCAATGATGCTGCAAACTCGGATTGCATCTCGATCGTCTCGCTAAAGTGCCGAATCACGTCTCCAAGCGCGGTGGTATCAATCCGAAGCACGCTACAAACGAGCACAAAGTCGCTGAATTTGTACTGCTGGAGTACCAAGGCATTGATCAGCATTGGCAACGGGACCATGATAGCAGCGACCAGACCGAGCTGTCGGTGGATTTCATCCAGGTTGTACAGCGAGCACTGCACGAACAGCGCGATGAAGAACCCATTCAAACTCATAGCAAAAGTGACTGCAGCTTGCCAAAACCTCCGCGAGAAGAAGCGAATGTAGATTCCAGCGAGCGCGTCGCTGTCTCGAGACGGTCCAAACGAAACTTTACGCCACAGCGTAGCGGCGACCCCTGTCGTTGACTTTCGGTCGTGTTCGGCCTCTTCGTGGATATCGAGTACTTGGTTCATCGTCTCAATAGCGTCGTGGGCAGACATACTCTCCCAGACATTGGCTTCTCGCTCGGCAACTGCAGCGAGGTTAGTAACCAGAGCGAACCGGTCTTTGCTATAGCCCGCGAGATCGAAGAGCTGGAGTACGCATGACCTCAAGTAGCCCAGCATCACGACGTGAAGCAGCACTAATATCCACGAAAAGATCACCAGAAGCTTGATAAGCGTGATGCCATCAATAAGCTCCGCCAGCCCACAGATCCCCCACGCCACGAGAAGCAACAAAACCCACATGGAAGGCTCCACTTCGATCATAGATGAGATTTGGTTCGCTTGGGCTCGACGAATGTACTTTGAGAAGGGGAAAAGTTCGGGAAGGCCGAAGCGGTGGAGGAAGAGTTGACGTAGTAGACGATGTTTCACCATATCCTCGTCCATTGTCTCGCCTTTGCTGCAACAAACCCGCGGAACTCGAGTTGCAGGTAGCAGCATGTGGCTCGGAGTATCTCCATTTTCTAGAAATTGTACCAGATCTTGCGTTGAGATCAACTCTGCTCGGTCAGCCTTCGAACTGCGTCTTCGCAACTGCAAGAGGATACAAATCGACTGCAGGATGAGAGCGATCGCCAGGCCGAAGATGATGAGATCCGCGACCTGGAAGGCGATCATGGGTTTGCTGTAGCTGTCGACAGGCGCCACCTCCTTGAGCACCTTGAGAACGAGACTGATCAAGCCCAGCACCATCAACTCCCTGTAGACCTTCTGCAGCATTACATGGTACTTGTCGTATCGCGCCAGTTTGTGCTCAAGGTGGTGAAGCGCGGCCTCGAAGCCCAGCAGAAACACCGCCAAGATGCTCAGATGTACCAGCACCCGCCAGAATTCGACGTTGCCACCGACTTGGAAGAGCGACGCGCCCGCCATCTCGAATGAACGTTGAGAAGTGAGGACGAGATCCCGAAAGCGTGACGCGGGTGTTATCGACGATGTTGAGGAACCCGTTTCAATGGTGTTGCAACAAAGAGCAGAAGGATCTTTGATCTTAACGACGGGCGTAAGTAAGCATAACGGACGTGGCGTTGTGGGGGCGATACGTCCAGTAGCAACGAGCACTTTGCTTAAAGAAAGACGTGACTTACGCAAGAAGTTATGCACTCCAAGGCGTCGACGAATCAGTGATTCTTCTGAAACTCGATCGACAAAAGACAGCAAAACTGCACGGAGTTTGTGCATGGAGCAACGTTTATCACGATCAAACATACTGGCATTGTACTACAGGAACAAGCACCGAACGCTACACTATGGGCTCACTGTCCGCGGATTCCTCAATCGATTGAGATAAGTGTCGGATGTTGAACATGCCGTGCAGCATCCTCGAGCTGGACCTTGTGAACTGGCGCCGCTGCAGCATCGGGCGTTGGTCGCACCTTTGGTTATTCGGGCTGTCATTAATCGTCGGCATTTTGTGCTGCTGTCTTGGGGTAGTGGCCTTAGCGTAAGCGAAGTCGCATTGCCCAAAGTCCGACACGGAGCTGGACTGCTGCAGTGGTGAGCGCTGGAACGACGTATGGTGAGACGGAAGTGAAGGACAAGGGTGAACAAGGTGTTGAAGGGACGCATCGAGGTGGTGAACTCCGGATCGACGAAGCTCCAGACGACGGAGAGGGAGCAGACTGCCGGCCATGCTGCTATTCGGGGCAATGGTGGTGTTGGGATATAATTCCGTCAACAGCGCAATGTGGCGAGTGGAAGAGAAGGCTCTGGTGAAGTTCGGGCGCGCGCCATCGTGAATACGATCGTCTCCAAACGGCATCGAGCTCTGCTGGATGAGTGGGTACCCGCCACCGCCAAAGCGCTCGCTCTCGTCCTGGCTCGCCTGCACGAGTGTCAAGAGCTGGATCAGTTGTCGGTACTCCACCTCCGCGCCCTGCAGCTCAAAGAGGAGCTGGACGACGCTGTTGAACCGGAACCGACTCAAACGGTAGCCGAACGACTCGAGGACAGCGTGAAGTTTGCTCACGTCGGCCTAGCCCGTCTCGTTCAGGTCGTGATCTTTGATCGCAGCATTCAAATCGGCGATAGTGCGTCCGCCGTCTTTAAGATGTTGCAGCGCGGAGGTCGCAACTCGGCGCCCAGCTCGATGGTCTCGGTAAAGTGCATTAGAACATCGCCCAGTGTGTCGGTATCCAACTGACGGATGCTAACGCTCAGCATGTAGTCGCGGAATATTTGCTGCTGCAGTACCAGAACGTTCAACGTGATAAGAAGCGGGACGATGACGGCCGCGACCCACCCAAGCTCATCGTAGATCTCGTCCAGGTCGTGCAGAGCGCACTGCAGGAACAACGCGACGTAAAACCCATTCAGAACCATGAGGAAGATGACCATGGCGTGCCAGATCTTGGGTGAGAGGCGGAAATGAACACGAGGCTCCACGTCTTGTACGGCGTCGGGCTCGGTCCGGAAGAAGTTACGCAGACCCTTGCTTCGAGACGCGTTCTACTCGTGTTCGAGCTCTTCCTGCCGCCTGTGAGCTTCATCAATTGCACTCAACGCGCTGTCTGCTGCTTCGTTTCTGCCAGGCTTTTGCCTCTCTATCCGCGATAGCTTCTAGTTTCGCTATGAGAACTGTTCGGTCGTTGCTGTAGCCTGCCGCCGCTAAAATCTGAGCTACGCACGAGCGGAAGTAGCCCAACGCCACCATGTGCAGCACGAACAACAGCCACGCGAGCACCATGAAGACCTTGGCGAGTTCGTAGTCGACTTTGTAGCCAACTTTGTGGGAAATCCCTAGCATACCACACATCGCCCAGGCGACGAGAAGCAGTAGAGTCCACATGGACGGCTCCACCTCGATCAAGTCCGAGATCTGGTGCGCTTGAGCTCGTCGAATGTACTTGGAAAACGGAAAAAAGTTGGGGAAGCTCGAGGCGCACGAGAAAATGGTGACGCAGCAGCCGGTACTTGACAGTCTCCGGTAGAGACAGCTCCTTACTCGCCGAGCACAGCCACGCAGTAGAATCACCACCTTGCTGCGTAGAACGCAGCTTGTTGACCAGATCTTGCGTCGAGATCAGCTCGACTCGGTCCGTACGCCGACTGTGATTGCGCAGCTGCAAGAAGATGCAGACCGCCTGCAGGACGAGGGCGATCGCTAGGACGAAGATAATGAGGTCTGCGACCTGGAACGCGGTCATGGTCTTGCTGTACCCGTCGACGGTCGTGACCTCCTTGATCACTTGAGGATGAGGCTGATCAAGCCCAGGATCATGAGCTCGCTGTACCTTCCGCAGCATGTGGCGATACTTGTCGTGTCGGGTGAGGTGGTGCTCGAAACGATGAAGCACGCGCTCGAACACCAGCAGACACAGCGCCAAGACGCTCAAGTGGATGAGCACCCGCCAGAATTCCACGTCGTCGTCGACTTTGAAGAGAGAACTGCCCGCCATAGTGTAGATTGTTAAATGAGCCAAGCCATTGGTCTGCGGGGTGTTCTCAGTGTCTTCCGTCTACATTCCCGCCATAGTTCAGTCGTAGCAGGATTTAAAATCGCATAGCAAGTGTAGATAAAAGTTAAAATATATGCAATAAATAAAAGTTAAAATATATGCAATTAAACCAGCTTCAATTGATAATATTGATTTTTTTGTTAATTAATTTAGTATATAAATTTAAAATACTTTTTTTAATCAAGCAAATACTTTAATTTTTAGTAGTTGCTGGAACATTGGAATGAATATCAGTATCCAAAACTGTTTGAGTTGAGCGATAAGCTTCATAATTGAGGGTGTGGAGATCTACTGTAGTTTACAGTACTGTGTACGCGTCGTCGGAGGCTGTCTGTATCCGGGAGTCCGAAGCCCTCTGAATGTTGAACATGTCGTGGAGTGTTCTCGACGTCGAGCTAGGAAACTGGTGCGAGTGGCTGCGGTCCAGCACGGGGTTGCGTGGGCGAACTCCGTTGCTCTGCTTCATGTTAGCTTGTGGGTCGGACGCAGCGTTAATGGACCTTCGACTCATCGGTGGCAACGTAGGCGTGGTTAACACCACGAAGTCGCTCGCTCTCGTGTCCGAGCCCATGCTGGTCCGTGCCAGTAGCGGTCTTTGTTGGGCAGATAGCGTCGTCATCCTGTCCGAGCGGAAGCTTCGCGCGTTGTCGTTGAACGACATGATGCTTTGGCGTAGAAGCGGATGCTGGCGCCGTTGGTTCCCTTGAGCACTTACACGGGGAGATTCGGCCTGACAAACCATCAGCAGTCGAAGGAGCTGGCCGTACTCAACCTTTGTGCCACTTAGTTCAAACAACAGCATCGCGACGCTGTTGAATCGGAACCGCGTAAGTCGGTAGCCGAACGCAGAGAGGATATACCGGAGCTGATCCACGTCAATCATGCCGGTCTTGTGCGGGTCGTAGGCGTCCAGCTCGGCGCGTAAGTCGAGGACCGAGCAGTCTTCTTGCCTCAAGCGCTCCAGCAGCGTAGCCGCGAACTCGGACCGCAGCTCCACGATCTCACTGAAGTGGTTCACGACTTCCCCCATGGTGCCGGCGTCCGCGCGGATGATGCTGCAAACCGCCACGAAGTAGCGGAACATGCGCTGCTGGAGCACAAAAGTGTTCAAGAGCACGGGGAGCGGGACCATGATGGCCGGGATCAAGCCGAAGTCTCCGTACACTTCGTCCAAGTCGTACACCGCACACTGGATCAGCAGCGCGATGAAGAATCCATTAACCATTAATAGGAAAATGACCACCACGTGCCAGGTCTTGCGAGAGAAGTATAGGATGTTGAGGTCCGGCGACTCTGGCTGCACGCCGATGGTTCCTCGGGGCTTGGCAACAACACCCACACGCCTGACGTTACGATAACAGGTTACCAGTAGCTGGAGCCCCGTGTCATGCCGAAGTAGCGCGTGACGCTGCGAATTGCGGTTATCTTCAGCCTCTTCGAGCTCTTCTTGGACGCGGTTCATGGCGTCCAACGCGCTGTCGGCAGCTTCGTTGCGCCACGCAACGGCTTCGTCTTGGGCGATCGATTCGAGGTTATCAATCAGTTTATCCCTGTCGTCACTGTAGCCCGCAGCTAAGAGAATCTGCCGGATGCACGTCCGGAAGTAGAGTAAGACTGCAACATGAAGTCCGACTAGAATCCACGCAAAAGCCACGAACACTTCGACGAGGTCTCGACTCTCGGGCAGGTCTTCGATGAGGTCTTCCAGTATAGTAACGAAACCGCAGATCCCCCATGCCACAGCGAGTAGAAGCACCCACGTGGACGGTTCTACCTCGATCATGTGCGAGATCTGGTTGGCTTGAGCTCGACGCAGGTACTTTGAGAACGGGAAGAGCTGAGGCAGTCCGAAGCGCCGAAGGAAGAGGTGTCGAAGCAGTCGCTGTTCCACCACCTCCATGCCGTACGATTTAGTTTCTTGCGGCCAAAGGTACCAGGAAGAGCGTCTGATCCCTGAAGCTGTTGACGCTGCGAGTGGCGACGGATTCATCGAGTCGACCAGATCTTGAGCCGTGATGAGCTCCGTGCGATCGCCCATGTTGTTGTGCTTGCGGAGCTGCGAGAAGATGGTGATCGCCTGGAAAATGAGAGCAAGCGCCAGGATGAAGATGGAGAGGTCGGCCACCTGGAACGCCAGCATCGTCTTGCTGTCGGCCTGAATGCCCGGGATCTCCTTGATGACCTTCAGTCCGAGGCTGAGCAAGCCCAGGATCATGAGCTCTCTGTAGCCCTTTCGAAGCATTTGCTGATACTTGTCATAACGCGCGAGTTTGTGCTCCACGTGGTGCAGCGCGGCTTCAAAGATAACCAGACAGAAGGCCAGGACGCTCAAGTGCACGAGCACCCGCCAGAACTCGACCGTGTTGCCGACCTGGAACAGCGATCCGCCCCCCATCTCGCTTGTTCTGAAGTGACTACCTAGGTAGGAGACGAACCATTACAGAGGCGAGTTCATGGCCTTGATTAAACATATCGCTCACCGGATGGCGCAGTGCACAGGGTGTCAGCGTATGTTTGGCCTAGTTGACCACAAAAGTTTGAGCTCCTATCCGCTCAGGACGAGGATAGACTATCTGCCGGACTGCACAATGGAAGCCGCCGCCCTTCTCAGGACACTACATTGCACGAAGGGAGGGCTATCCACACGTTGGCTAGGACGAAGAGCAAGATGATCGAATGCGAAAGTGTTGTGTCCGTGGTCACCACGGCGTGGTATTCACTGATCCAGCGACCTCGACCCACGATAAGATGGTTCTACCACCCTTTTTGACCGTAAACAGACAGTACACTTTACGACAAAGGCACTTCAAGAATGGTAAAAACTGTAGAAATCAAAAGCGCTGAAAAGGAAGCGCACGCATCCTCATATCTTTGGCTCTTGCTTATCTTCTTGCTTGGTGCTGGGTCAATGGTGCGTTCGCGTCGGTCGATCAGTGATAAATTTTGCTCCAGTACGCAAGCTGGTAATCAACTCGAGTCGGCCAACCTCGCCAACTGCGTGTTTGCATCAGAGAGAAAACACGATGTATTATAGTGAGCACGATTGCCAAACCAAGGGGGATGAAGGCTATCCTGCAGCCTGCTATAGACTCAGTGTCAACAGGCGGGTGGTAAGCAAGTCTGGAGTCGTTTGAGTCGACCACATTTTTCTTACCAACCTACACCATAGCAGTCGCCTTCAAACTTTGAATTTACGTGCTCGAAGGCAAGACTTTATATCATATCGCTAAGTTCTAGGTACTTGCCTACAGCACGGTGTACACAGTGTCGGAGGGCACCGTGTCGGACTGAGAGGCCGATACTCTTCGGATGTTAAACATGTCGTGAAGCGCCCGAGAGCTCGAGCCAGCGAACTGGTGCGTGTAGCTGCGCTCCAGCATAGGAGGACGCGGGCGCGTGCCGTTCTCCGTCTTCACATTCGCGTTCGTGTCGGACGCTGCGCTCACTGACACCGGCCGCATCGGCGGCAACCCACCTGGTCCATGACTGACGTTGACGAAGTCACTCGGCCTTGGTTCCGACCCCAGACTCGGTTGAGACAGTAGGGGCACCTGCCGTCCGGTAGTGGGGGCTGCTACATGGTTCGCACGTAAGCTGCCTCGGCCACCATCGTCCAATGACGTCTGACTGCGTTGCAAGAGCGGGTGCTGGCGCCTCACTTGGCTTCCCGCCAATTCGGACTGGTGCTCGTTCTGAGCCAGCATCAGCAGTCGAAACAGTTGCCCGTACTCGACTCTGGTCCCATTCAGCTCGAACAACATCATGGCGACACTGTTGAATCGGAAGCGCGTCAAGCGGAACCCGAACGAGGCCAAGACGTAGCGAAGAGTGTCCACGTCGATCAATCCCGTCTGCTTGGGGTCGTAGGCGTGCAGCTCCCTCCTCAGATCCACGATGGTGTAGTCTCCTTCCTTGAGGCATTCGAGCAGTGAGGAGCCGAACTCGGTGCGCATCTCGACGATCTCGCTGAAGTGGTTCACCACCTCGCCCAGCGTGTTGGAATCCACGCGCAGCACGCTGCAGACGATGACGAAGTGGCGGAACATGCGCTGCTGGAACACGAACGTGTTGAGAATCAACGGGAGCGGCACCAAGATGGCGGGGAGCAGGCCAAAGTCCTCGTAGATGTCGTCCAGGTCGTACACGGCGCACTGCACAAGCAGAGCGATGAAGAAGCCGTTGAGAATGAGCAGGAACATAACGGTCACGTGCCACGCCTTGCGCGAGAAGAAGCGGATGTTGATGTGCGGCGTCCCGGGCTGCACGCCGCTGGGAACTCGGCCGGTGCGCAGCTTAGCGACGCCGATCTGGTTCATGTTGCGGCAACACGTCGCGACGAGCTGCAGCCCGACGTCTTTGCGCAGTAGAACGTGGCGCTCAGCGTTTCTGCGGTCTTCGATCTCCTCCAGTTCCTCTTGCACGCGGTTCATCGTGTCCAGGGCTGTATCCGCAGCTTCGTTCTGCCAGGCCAGAGCCTCCTCCTCGGCGATCGCGCGTAGATTATCCACCAGGATGGCCTCGTTGTCGCTGTAGCCTGCAGCGTCCAGGAGCTGTCGAAGACTCCAGCGGAAGTAGAGCATCACTACGACGTGGACCACCAACAAGAGCCACCCGAAGATCATCAACGTTTCGACCAGTTCGTGACTTTCGGGTAGATCGACATCCCACTCGTCGAGCATCGCAACGAAACCGCAGATCCCCCATGCCACAGCGAGTAGAAGCACCCACATGGACGGTTCTACCTCGATCATGTGCGAGATCTGGTTCGCTTGCGCTCGACGCAGGTACTTGGAAAACGGGAAGAGCTGCGGTAGTCCGAATCGCCGAAGAAAGAGGTGGCGGAGTAGTCTCCGTTCTACCACCTCCTTGTCGAACGCTGCGCCCGTAGTCTTGCGTGGCCAACAGGAGGACCCCCCACCGCCGTGAACGGGTCCTGAAGTTGGCGGAGTTCCAGCGGGAGGACTCAAGGCGTCCACCAGGTCCTGCGCGGTGATCAACTCCGTGCGATCCGCCACCTTGTTGTGCTTGCGGAGCTGCGAGAAGACGATGATGGCTTGCAAGATGAGCGCGAGCGCCAGGATGAAGATGGCCAGGTCGGCCACCTGGAAGGCCAGCATGGTCTTGCTGTCGGCGTGGATCCCGGGCACCTCCTTGAGTAGTTTGAGGCCGAGACTCAACAATCCCAGGATCATGAGCTCACGATACGCCTTCCGGAGCATGTGCTGGTACTTGTCGTGCCGAGAGAGCTTGTGCTCCACATGGTGCAGTAGAGCCTCAAAGAGCACGAGGCAGAAGGCCAGGATGCTCAAGTGAATGAGCACCCGCCAGAACTCGACCGCCTCGCCCACCTGGAACAGCGATCCGCCCCCCATGACGCTCGTTTGGAAGTGAGACCGGGACTCATGCTTTCGCTTTCGCGTCGGGATTAAGCGTCGTTCCAGCAGATGGGATCGTGCAATGTCAAAGGCTCGGTCGCTCGTGGCAGTGAGCCACACAAGTTGGAGTGAAGACGGGCTCCTGGCTGCTCGGAGTGACCACAGGCGATCGCCACTCCGTGTGGTGCCTGCCAGCCGAGCCTCCGAATGTTAAGGCGTCCCCGGTCACACTACTAGTAATAGGAGACACACAAATTAAGCACTCACCTGTAGGGATTTATCCACGGGTAGAAGCACATTGGACCATCCGAAGTCCTTCAAGGATGGCTGTTGGATTAGGTAGAGTGTCTCCATTTGTACGAAGCACGCAATGTGTTGGTACAGTAGGGGTGTTTCATTTTAGCGTTGGAAAAGCCCCGTGACTCGCAACTTTTCGGGACATTCGGAGATTCCCCTGAAACTTTCGGCTTGGCGACTTCATGTGATCGCCGTTGGAAAGACAGATCACATTCGACGGCACAGATCTCGCGCTTTGCCCCCGCTGTAATAGGGAGACTCGTCTCTCTGAAGTATCAAGCTGCCTAGTTGAGGGGGGGGCTCGACTTGAGGACGACGAGCTCTCGACACTGAAGTTGGACGGCAGTAACGGTTTACACGTGGGTACATTCTACACAGCGTCCTCTATACAGATGCCTGCTCCAAGCAGATGTGAGCCCGCTTCGCATGGCTCAGCCTGCTGCTCCGCACACCTTCTACGATTCAAGCTGGGGCCAACACCTTGCGAGTCCGAATGTTCGGAGAAGGCCAGCGACTCCACCTGCCAATGCATTGGCGTCCACCGACGCTCGTTCCAGTCCACAGCCAGCGTTCAGAGCAATGAGGTCTGTCTTCGACCCCGACGACGACTTCGCCTTGGCGCAGGAGGACGAAGGCCTCGGACGGCGGCTGTCGGCGCTCTCCAACAATTCCAAGCACGCCTTCACTCTTAACCAGGTGCAGCGCGTCAAGGTCTGCGCAACGTACGACCGCGAGGATGAGGGCGGCGCTACCGTGTACGTGCTTGACGTGTACCTGCAGTACGTCCAGCGGGGGCTGCCGACAACCCCAGGAGAGACCAAGAGCGAGCGACGGTCGAGACTCGAGCAGGAGAAGGAGGAGGCGGAGCCGGAATACCAGGTAGAGCACCGCTATTCGGCCTTTCGAGAGCTCCGGAAGCGGATCGCCAAGATCGTGCACGACCGCGAACCCTTGAGGTGGTGCGCCTACTGCAGCCGCGTGACGTGGATCGCATCGGTTGAGAGCTTCCCGTCGAGGTTCCCGAATCGAGGGAGCTGGGCGCAGTGGACGGGGTGGCGGAGATTGCAGGTTCACATGAGGAAGAGGAAGCTCCAACGCTTTGTCAACCAACTGCTACGTTGCGCGAAGGACTTGTCGTACAGGAGAGGAGGGGGCCAGTGTCAGAGGTTTATAGAGGTCTCACAGATACTCAACACCTTCCTCATGGACCCCGACCTGCGGCCGGAAGGCTGTGTGTGGTGACATACTGTACATGTACCGCTAATAGAAGACAAGAGGTGACGATGCAAGATTAACAATGTTTGCCAAGGGTACCAGGCGACCTACACAGATACATGGCTATTGGGTCTTCGAACTTCTTATCCATGGACGGCGGTGTAGTTGTAGTAGACCGTGTTCTCGTACTCCGAGTCGCAGTACGGGAACGACACGTCCGAGTCCGTCGGAGCGAACAGCGTCTTGCCCGACGTGTACGTCACGTAGCAGCCCAAGATGGTGCAGATCACCACCACAATGACAGCGGGGACCTTCTCGTACATGGGGATCGTGTTCCAGCACTTCTTGAGCAGGAACACGATCGGCAGGATGATGCTGTTGAGCGAGATGCAGGACGCGCCCACGAAGTCCGACAGGTCGGAGAAGTGGTCCTTCAGCACGATGGACAGGATCACGAGCACCACGATGATCGCCATGCGCATCAGGACGTACTTGATCGTGTTACTGCCGCGGTACTCTGCCGCCTCCGCTTCAGCATCGCCGAAGTGCGGGTTCTCGGCGTCTGCCACCGAGATGTACGACATTCCGGACCGGCGCTCGGATGGGTTGGCCGACGCGTTCACAACTGATTCCTTGGCGGGAGTGCTCATGTCGGCGTACGTGAGACCGCTCTCAATGTCGCTCTGGGACTTCTTGTGCATGCCCAAGGCAAGACGCTCCGCCAGGTAGAACACCGGGTTCAGCAGCACCGAAAACGCGATGGTAATGTGCAGCTGCATGAACAGGTAGGCAAGCACGACGGCGCCCCAGTCCGACTTAAAGCCGAGCGTGGTCATGCCTGTGTCGGCGTCCGGGTAGATAGTGAACAGCAGGTTGCCCGAGATCTGACAGCCCACAGCCGAGTACGCCGTGCTGGCCAGGATCAGGAAGAGGCACGAAATCAACGTGATGGTGAAGAAGACCACGCGTGGCATGCGCTTGGGCTCGCTGTGCTGGCGTTGCAGGGCCGGGATAACAATACCAGCGCCGTAGGCTAGCGACGACCTGCGAGAAGCTAAGATCCGGCGACGGCACCGACGGGTGGCCGCGCATGCCGTAGAGCACCACCGACACGCCGATGATATCAGCGATCACGGTACCGGCACAACCAGCGAAGGCAGCACCAGCTCCTTCCTTGAGTGTGGGGATGAGGCACACGGGCAGGCACATGAGCGCCATGAAGATGATCCACACAGAGTCACTGAAAGCGTCCGGGAAGAGTCCATTGAGCAGTGAGCCGCCGAGTACGAGGAATACGCACGGGACCAGCAGACACGAGGCCATCTGAGCCACAACGGCGAGCCAGTGGCCCCACTTGCCCATGCACCAGTGACCCAGGTCACCGTAAGTGCGGACGGACTTGGGCGCCAGCAGCATGACGCGGCAGATCGCCACGGATGCGTAGACGTTGGCGAAGGCCATGAATGCCATGGCGATCACGGCGAGGACGGGTCCGGTACGCGAGAAGTTGCCGGGCATACCAAGCGTTCCAACACCGTAGACGCAGCAGAAGACGTTGAAGGCCATCTTGAAATCCTCGAGGGTCATGAACTTTCCGCTCGCCATCGTCGCTCGGTAGACTTCTACTCTGAAGGTGACTTGGGGGGATGGAGGAGAATTGGAAAGTGAGACTGGAGTACTTTTGCCACCGCTCCGTTGTGCTGGAGGTAGAGGCTCCACTAGCTCTGTTGATCAAGTCACCTCAATCAGCTGTACTTGTAACATACGGACACCCGCCCTCACGGTTGCCAGCCCATCCGCCAACTCCGTCTCTAGGCAGAGGCTACAGGATTGGAGGCGCGTCATGACTGGGGTGTGCCTATTAGGGCGACTCGCTCGGCAGAAGAGCTGTACAAACACGAAAAGAGGTTTTGCCAAAGACAGCGAGTTTCGTTGCTGATACAGGGACTGAGCTCACCAACTCAGCAAAGAGCAGCCTGAAGCCCACCACAGCATTACTGTCGATTCACATCGGCGATGCGGCACACAAAACCTCATCGTTCGTCTTTGGTACAGCACCCGTAGTTCTGGTGCTTAAGCGCATCTTGGACTCGGCAACTTACAGTATATCTACCGGTGCCTTGGCTTATGGTGTGCCTGTAAGGGGTAGCTGCTTTAAGACGAAGCCGCAGGTGCACGATCGATCCCATTTCCGGCTTCGCTCGCACACGAGAGACGTACGTTCAACTGAGACCGTCCAAGAGAGACCGTTTCGGTGATGGACCACCTGACGCCAAGTTGGTCACTTTCGGCGCAGAGACCGTCCCCCTGAGGCGAGTCGGTATACAAAAAAGGGTCATCTGATTAGGGCTGACCAATCGCGGCACTCACGCGCGCAGCTCGTCATCGCCAGCAGCTTCAACGTCGCGTCTTGCGGCGCCTGCATCATTTCCCTCGTTCTCTCTCTCTACTCAGCCCCGATGCATTCGTTCCGTCGAGGGCTGCAATACAGTCGAGCGGGCTTGCCGGCAAGATATATTCGGATGATCCTTGTCTCCTAATCCAGAATCCATGATTAGGATCCTCTCATGCGCCGATTCACCTTGGAAGCGAACTGCAGCTGGAAGGATGTACATGAGCGCCTTGGTATATAATTGATATGTCTGCATAGTGCTGGTGAGCAGAGTACATGTACAGAGTAAACCCTTGTTCGGGTGAAGGAATTTATTTCGCGTCGCTCGTTTGAAGTGAAAAGTAAAACAGATGGAGTAGCCATTCAATCACAAGACCTTAAAACGAGTTTGTCAGCGCTCTATCAGACTCTTAGCACTACACGATTTTGCTATGATACACTTGTCGAAGACTGAGGTCGTTCCAGCCGAGATTAGCTACTCGCTATTGAAGGTGATCTTCGTTAAATACTTTAGCAAGTCTGAATAGCTTAGCTCGGGGCGTAGGATTGATCTAATCGGTAGTTTGGCGCTATATCGGAAATTTCACAATAGACCTGGGAAAATGCTCAATGACTTCGCAACCACCCAGCACGCTGTACTTGTCGGTCAAACTGGACACTTCTGGCCTTACTTGGCGCCGGTCTCGACATCACCGGCAGTGGCGCCGAGTCCACTTGTGTACCTAACAAACGACATGCCTGCATGCAGTGGAGCTCGAGCGCCCCGCGAAGAAGCAGTCGACAGTTGCCTGGTTAATTCAGCTCAATGAAGCCCAGCCTGCACGGCGTGCGTCTGCTTCTAGCCTGCCGCGAGCTTCGAGCTTCGATGCGAAGAAGCGTGACCGCAAGCGTTGCGGTCCTCATCCGCAGCATGTTCCGCATCCGTCGCGACATCGAAGGAGCAGGTGCAGGAGGGATGATAATGACGCGACAGTGTTTAGCATCTTAAACAAGTGAGTCTAAGTAGTCTGTCTGCCCGAAGAGATTAAGCGACTTTGTGTGTGCCATACAGTCGATTAGAACCGAGTATGGTCGTAAAATACTGAGTGACTTCGGAAATATCAAATCTCCGTTGCTTTGTTGCTTTCCCCACCATTTCACTTTGCAACGAACCAAATCACTGAGTGGGCACAAATACAACAACGAATTTCGCAATAGATCACCTACTCGGTTTGAGTTCTACTGCACGCGTGACGCGCCGCGACGTGTTATCGGAGCCGCTCTCCTTGCTGGTCTGAGGGCCGTTCCTAACGGAGCGTACACTCTACGAGTGCATGGAGTTCGTTAAAGCTATTGTGGAACCTAGAAGGCTGTACTTAATGCACTACTGCAGTTTTGCGCAGTAATTCTCTCTTGTAGCCACATGAAGCATCAAATGCATTGTCGAAGTGCAAAGCAGCGTTCGATCGCAAATGCAAACGAGCACAGCTCGTGAAGCTCATAATGGCGGCCGCCCTCAACGCGAACTCGACCCTTTCGTTGGGCATGGATCACGATCATGTTAGGAACGGCTTTGAGATCATGCTTCCTTTCACCCCAAACCACAGCCGAGATCATGCCCCGGTGATCTCGTCAGGAATGGCCCTGAGAGGAACACAGTGCCCAGCATAGCACACTGCTCAGCTATCCGTCCACTCGTCATGGGATCTTGGTACACATGTAGTTTCTTTCTTCAACCTCCATCTTCCGATTTACCCCATTCAACGTCAAGCGTTCTTGTCGCAAGCTTCGTACTAACAATGCTGCTCACTCTACTGTATCTGTACAGTATCTGCACGAGCCTCGTCATGCAAGTCGGACTGAGAATCGGCCTACCGCTGTGCATTTGGCGTCTGCGTAACCTCGTTTTGTACCGGCCAGCGCAACATGACCTGCGAGATACTGTTGTACAGTATGCGCAAAAGTTCACATCGGGAACGCCCAGCAGCTACGCCAACCAACTCCTTGGCCAAGAGCTCGGCTATTAACGTCTCTGTCAACGTAGCGGGGTTCTGGTCCAAGCTCTTGAGCGCTGTTGCGGATACTGTACTGAGGGTGGTTAGCAACTGAAGGGCATCGTATGAACAAGACAAGCAAGAGCCCCGTACGCCACCGAACTCGTTTTTGATGAAGAAAATTAACCGTGGCAGTTAGTTGACTTGGCCTACCGACTAGCCAGGGGTACTGGGCCGACTAAAACGCCGGTCTCTTTCCATTGGTTGTCACGCATGACGCGCAGTGAGTTGCGAGCGCGCATCTTCATCTTCGTATCCTCCGACTCTTTCGGGCACATCTCTATCAGCTCACAACTGACATCAGTTTAGCTAGTTGTGCCTCTCGGTGAGCGCAGCCACGCACGCCGCGCGCAATGGCGCCGTTGCGGCAAAGCTCCTCAACTCTCGCTCAGTTTTGGATTCCCCACGTCAAAGCCAAAGCCCCCCAATCCAACCTCCGCACCGAAACCCCCTACGTCGACAGCCATGGGCAAGTGCGGCGAGAAGTTCCTCACGCTGGAGGGTCTCAAGATGGCCTTCAACGTCTTCTGCTGCGTCTACGGTGTTGGAACGCTTGGTATGCCCGGTAACTTCTCGCGTGCCGGTCCCGTGCTCGCCGTCATTGCTATGCTCTTCATGGCCTTCGCCAACGTCTACGCGTCCGTGGCCATTTGTCGCGTCATGCTGCTGGCGCCCAAGTCCGTCAAGACCTACGGTGGCCTGGGTCACTGGTGCATGGGCAAGTGGGGCCACTGGCTCGCCGTTGTGGCTCAGATGGCCTCGTGTCTGCTGGTCCCGTGCGTATTCCTCGTACTCGGCGGCTCACTGCTCAATGGACTCTCCCCGGACGCTTTCAGTGACTCTGTGTGGATCATCTTCATGGCGCTCATGTGCCTGCCGGTCTGCCTCATCCCCACGCTCAAGGAAGGAGCTGGGGCTGCCTTCGCTGGTTGTGCCGGTACCGTGATCGCTGATATCATCGGCGTGTCGGTGGTGCTCTACGGCATGCGCGGCCACCCGTCGGTGCCGTCGCCGGATCTTAGCTTCTCGCAGGTCGTCGCTAGCCTACGGCGCTGGTATTGTTATCCCGGCCCTGCAACGCCAGCACAGCGAGCCCAAGCGCATGCCACGCGTGGTCTTCTTCACCATCACGTTGATTTCGTGCCTCTTCCTGATCCTGGCCAGCACGGCGTACTCGGCTGTGGGCTGTCAGATCTCGGGCAACCTGCTGTTCACTATCTACCCGGACGCCGACACAGGCATGACCACGCTCGGCTTTAAGTCGGACTGGGGCGCCGTCGTGCTTGCCTACCTGTTCATGCAGCTGCACATTACCATCGCGTTTTCGGTGCTGCTGAACCCGGTGTTCTACCTGGCGGAGCGTCTTGCCTTGGGCATGCACAAGAAGTCCCAGAGCGACATTGAGAGCGGTCTCACGTACGCCGACATGAGCACTCCCGCCAAGGAATCAGTTGTGAACGCGTCGGCCAACCCATCCGAGCGCCGGTCCGGAATGTCGTACATCTCGGTGGCAGACGCCGAGAACCCGCACTTCGGCGATGCTGAAGCGGAGGCGGCAGAGTACCGCGGCAGTAACACGATCAAGTACGTCCTGATGCGCATGGCGATCATCGTGGTGCTCGTGATCCTGTCCATCGTGCTGAAGGACCACTTCTCCGACCTGTCGGACTTCGTGGGCGCGTCCTGCATCTCGCTCAACAGCATCATCCTGCCGATCGTGTTCCTGCTCAAGAAGTGCTGGAACACGATCCCCATGTACGAGAAGGTCCCCGCTGTCATTGTGGTGGTGATCTGCACCATCTTGGGCTGCTACGTGACGTACACGTCGGGCAAGACGCTGTTCGCTCCGACGGACTCGGACGTGTCGTTCCCGTACTGCGACTCGGAGTACGAGAACACGGTCTACTACAACTACACCGCCGTCCACGGATAAAACGTTAGAGGATGGGCCTTGTCGTAGCCATGAATCTGTTGTAGATCGCACGTATTCCCGTTAGTGCTGTTGTTGGTTGAATTCTTGAATTTAACACTTCAAGTTGAATGGATTTAACAGCTGGTAGATTTACAACATAACTTAGAGGTTATATGCAGCGCCTATCACACTTGACCAGCTACGATTCAGCCCGACGCAACGATCCTTTTGTAGCGGCCGTGCCCGACCTGCACCCACCGCGTGGTCGGCACGCTCGCTGACTTAGGTTTTGAGGACACCTTTGGAGACACTGGCACTGTAGACTCTGTTCCGCGCTTGATGTAGCGGCCGCTGCCCACGCGCACCCAGCGGAACTTCTTTGGCTCGATCATCTCGTCAGTGCCAGCTTTCGGCTTAGCAACCTCGTCGACCGAAGCCACCACGCTGGACTTGCACTCAGTTGAGACTTCTTCCTTTGTAGCGCTGTCCTCCGAGGACTCCTCGTCACTGGGTGTTGCCGGCACGATATCTTCCAAATCGTCAATGACGTCCAACTCCTCCTTGACAACGCTCAGCTCCAGGCCCTCGGAGTCGTTCTCCGGGGCCGCGGAGCAGTCGGTCGAGACCGTGGGCGCCTCCGACCCAATGTCGTCGCTCAGCGCTCGCCGCTTGCCGGACAGGAACGGATTGCACTTATTGAGCAGCCGGTCCGAGCTCACCCTCGGGAACGCCTTGCCCAAGTGGTCGTCCAGGACGAAGGAGGGCGCCGACTCCCAATTGGCGAGTGCCACCACTTGCACCCGAGAGGGCGGGGCTGCGTACAGAGCAGCCTTCTCCGGTGTGATCAGCTTGCACTTGTCTTCGAACGCGATGTGTTGCTGTCTCGGCTCGACCCCGCGCTCAAAGGCAGAAAGACTACATATATCGGCGTCAGCAAAGACTCGCCGCGAGTTCTTTGCCATCGCCATGTCTCCTTCCACGCCTTGGCACAAGAGCGGCTTCGTGGTGTAGCGCGCCACGATCTGCCAGAGCTTGAGCGCCGCGCGCGTCATCTTGGCGAGCGTCTTCATCCTCAAAAAGGTGTCGTCGACTTTCATGCTGATGCCATCCGAGTAAATGGCAGCGATGTGAGGAATTTGAAAGTGAGCTGCCCGCTTCACGCGCCCAAAGCGACCAAGACCGAGACCCAGCCCCGCGTTGCAGGCCGCACGCGACACGCGTTTGGATTGGAATGCCGCGCGGTGCGGCATGCTCTGGTGCACCCCAGCTGGCGCGGATCGGACTCTGCAATTTTCTTAGCTCGAGCGATCCCTTCGACCTGGCGACAGCATGTCAACGCCTGTCAACTTATGTTGGGACACTAGTGTTCATCAAGACGTTGTGGCTGCCGGCCGAGCAGAAAACCCGAATATCCCAACCAGATGCTTATCAAATATTTTGGTAAAAAAAATGTTTAGCCGTGACTCCACATCGCTTGGAATGCAGTGGTGTGCTCTCGCTTAAATAACACGGTGAAGCTGCATCCAGGTGGTCTTCTTATCGTGGTGATCCGCTCAGGAACGCCTCGATGAGCTTGGGCAGCGTCTGGCGCAGCCGGCAGTGCCGGTGGCGCTGCGCAGGCGACTGCGCGAAGTCGGCGAGGTCGGAGAGGAAGCGCGCCAATATTTTCTTGCGCTGCGTCTTGGTGGTCACAATGCGCAGGAACCAGAGTGGCTGGCCGGCGTGGAACCTCGCGAACGTCTGGAACTGCCGGCAGTACTGGCACAAGAAGTGGGCGTTGACGCAGGCGGCGGTCATGGCATCGTGACGGAGCCGTGCAAACTCGGCGAACCGACGACACACGCAGAGGTCGGGAGCGCGCTCGGGGGCATCGTGATGCTCCGAAGTTGAAGCTGTCGTGGGCGTCGCGGTGCTTGTCCGCGAGCCCAACGACAGCACCGGCTGCCGGATCGGTGTCGGTGGCGCCGGCAGCGTGCTGCTGGTCCGCGCTGTGGGGAGGTGGGAGCAGGACTGGTACAGCGTGTAGGCTTGCACAACGTAGAGCGTGGCGCCGTCGCGGACGCTGGTCCGGGTGTCCATAATGCGGATCTGGTCCAGGTTGGCCACGAACTCCATGGCCGCCGAGGGCTGCGTGCGCGGTGCAGAGGCCGACGGCGTGAGCGTGGGCGTGTGGAGCGCCGGCAGCGGGTTTCGCTTGGGCTGCGCGCGCGTGGTGCCCAGCAGCGTCTTGAGACGCGCCCGATCTGCTGAAGGCTCTGAGCTGGGCTCCATGGTGCTGGCTGTGGGGCGTGGGGTGGCGTTTGTCTGCAGTTTTGAGGAATGGGAAGTGAGCGGCGGCGCAGAAGCGGCCGGTTAAAAAGGGTTAAGCTGAAGTTGCTGGGTGCGGTGCCACTTTCCTTAAACATGGCTACAGGTTCCTCCCGAGCGGGCTCCATAGAACTCGCTATAGGTGCCTTTGCAGGATACATGGCATGAGCGTGCGGGGCCTGCACTGCGATCGCATGGGGTTCCTGCGATGCAGTGAGAGGGCTTTGGTCGCCTTGGCCACGGCGAGGAAGAAGCTTCTAAAGCCTTAGAGTTCGACACGCGTGAGCTCTGCGCGCGCTGACCGTTCGTTCGTGGCAACGGCGCCTTTAACGCTGGTGTTGATTGTGCGCGCAGTCGCCGGCAGCAATCTGCTCCAAAGCTTCAACCTCCAACTCGCGGCTTGGTCTCGCGCCGCGTCACGCGTGGGTCTGCGGCAGTGGAGCTTGTCCTCAATTTCTAGCGCAGCACTGCTGAATGCAGTGTATTGTCGTGCCTTGGAGGGTTGCTTGCCTACATAGTAAATGTACTTCACTGTACATTGGTGGAGATGCTCGCGCTTTCTTGTACTGTAGGCACAGTAAGCTTACTTAAGTACATGCATCTCGGTGTTGATTGCTTGCTGGTGTACCACGTCAAAAGTGTAGGTCGCTGAGCGGGAGAGCTTGGACACGAATTGACAGTGTTGATTCAACAGATCATTGTACAGTACAAAGACAGTATGCTGGTATTCAATGCAAGTAACTTGATTTTGCATTCATTTAATTTATAACTCTTTCGGCCTAATACATGGCGTCGTTTAGCAGGAACGCAGTGAGCAGCGGAGGCACGAGCTGCTGCGCTTGGCACTTGTGCTTGCCCGTCTTCTGGACGCGTCGCTGGCCCATTGCAACAAAATCGTTGGTGAAGCGTTCGAGAACCCGCCTGCGCTTCTCCTTGCCAGCGAACCGCTTCACCAGTCCGCGCGGCTGGCTGCTCGAGAACCGAATGTACTCAATGAACTTGAGGCAATGCTCGCAGGAGCACTGCCGCTCGGTGCTCAAACAGGCCGAAACGCTCTTCCGGAGCTCCTCAAAGTCGCGAAATTGGCGCTCTACCCTGAAGGTCGGACAAGCTCCCGCCTTCGCTGCGCGCTCTTCGTTCGAACTTGGCTTGCTGACCGGCAGGCGCGACGTGGGCAGGCTCAAGAACACCTCCAATACGAAGACCAATTCCTGTCGCTCGTCGGTCCGCGTCACGTTGATCTCCACGCGCTCGACGCTCCAGAGCAACCCCAACGGTAGAGACGCATTCCACCGGCGATGCGCCTCGAGCTTGGTTCCCAAATACGACTGGAGTCCATCTACTGCGATGCAGTGTGTCGGTGAGGCGATTGGGTCTCCGCCGGGAGAAACGGGAGCGAGCAGCTTTGGAAGCAGCCCGGGTTTAGCCCGGGCGTTTTCGCTTGCTAAGCACGTAGCTGCAGTAGCCATATCGCTGTAGTCGTAGTCTGCAAAGTACAAAGTGAGAGCTTTGGACGATATACGTGAGGTCCAGTGAGTCAAGTCGCTACGGGCACCATAAACGGAAATCCCTCATCAACATTTGCTTCATACCGTAATCACGGCCTTCACAATCATTGATCCGCGTTATACACTAGGCAATGCCAGGGCGCGACTGGCATGCAAGCGCATGTTGAAGGAAGGAACACTGAATCACTGAAGCACTGAAGCACATAAATTAAGGTCTTACCAGGACCAGTTCTCACTCCTGCACCTTCACGTAGCGCCCGTAGCCTACACAGACCCACCTGGCCGGTTTGCCCGACGACGTAGGCTTTCGTCGAGCAGCCGGCTGTTGCAGCGGCCCAGAAGAGCTCTGCCTCTTGAAGAGGTTGGTTTTGGGGCTCGAGGCGGTAATAGGTTCCTCGTCGAGCACGATCTCAGACAATTCGCTGCCTGCGATGCTGCACGAGTCGTCGGAGGTATCCGTGGCGGCCTCCGAGCTCGCGTCGTCGTCTTTTACCGGAGTGGATTCATTCTTGGGCAGACGGAAGCCGGTGACGGCCTCGAAGTCGGCGAGCGAGACGATGCCCGACGCCACCACCGAGAGCGCGGCTTCGCGCATGATGGAGCCGTCCTCGTCGTCCTCGAAGTCGAGAGGGTCGCCCTCCGAGGACGTGGAGCTCAGCGGTGCGCTGCCGTGCATGAGGTCGGCCTTGTCGGCAGCGGCTCCATTGCGAGCCTGTCGCCGCAGTCGGCGCGCGCGCTTGACCGCGAGCTTCCAGAGCGTGGCGACGAGGCGAGCGGTCCACAGGGTCGCGGCCGATCTTGGCGGCGTCTTGATCGAGGGGGAGGACGGTCGAGGGGGTGCGAGCATGGCAGAGGAGTGCGCGCGGCTTGTCGTTTTCGCGAGTGAGGCCACTGAGACCAAGGCCGATAGACGCACGCCATGGCTGCCGAGGATGTTTGGCACCTGCTCCTCCAGGGTGCCTGCAGCTGGCGCCGGAGGCGTCACTCCAAACCAGCATTTCCGTCCAGAATCGGCACCGTCGGCGCTTGATAAATGATACTATGTCCCGACGCTGTCAGGCATGTCCAGGGCCGTCACGGGGCGGAATGCCTTGGGACAGCTCCGCCTGCCACCCTCGCTTCCTGCAAATGAGCCCCCCAGTGGTATCGGACAGCATCACTTAGATGGTGCGCGCGGAGATATATGCGTGCGCGTGCGAGGCCACCATGACGATACCCTTGATCATCAAGTCGATGCTGGTCAATGATCCATTTACCAACAACATCTGGGACAACTTCAACTAACGGTAGGGTAACAACCATGGCCGCGCCAACCGAGGATCGCCAGCAAGCGGTCCAACGCAGAGTGAGCAGGCTCGTAACGAGCAAGAAGTACCGCAAGCGCCACCACCTCGACCGCCACACAGGCCCGGAGTGGAAGCAGTTCGTGGCAGCTCGCCGCGAGTACTCGCCGTGACGGCCAAGTTGGGCAACTACGTGAAGGACCTCCACTACAAGGCAGCTTCACACCTGTGCCACAACACAGACGTGATACTGCTGCCCAAATTCTCGACTTCGTTCATGTTGCGCCCAAGTGCCCCGTGGACGCACGCGTTCAACGACCAGATGAACACGCTGGCCCACCACCAATTCCGGCGGAGACTGGAGGCGAAGTGGGAGGTGGCGGGCAAGGCCATGGTACTGTGCTGTGAGATGTACTCGAGCCGCACATGTGACCGTTGCTGCCGCCTCCACCTCACACTGCGCAATGAAGATGTATTCACTGCGGCTTCCTGGCTGAACGAGACGAGAACGCGGCCTATAACATTCTGCGGTCCCTCTCGGTTTACGCAGTGACTGTAGTGCAGTTGTAGTTGGTATTGTAGCACTTGTGCTTGGGTTGCAGCGAGGATGGCCCCGCCGACGAGAAGCGCTGCCAGGAATACTGTAACACAACTTCAACTGCATTGTTCTCTATTGTTCACCATTATCATTGTTCTGTTTTGCTATAGTAGTAGTAATTGTATGTGTGCGTTTCTTCTTAACTGTAGAGCGAGTCCAGCAGCGCCTGGTACTTGCGGTCCACGGCGCGGCGGCACACGTCGCCCGTGTCGGGGTCCAGCTCACCCGACTTGACACTGAAGTCGGCGGCCATGAGGATCCACTTGCGGACGCGAAAGCCCGAGACCGAGCAGACCTGAGGGAGGTCCTCAAGCACGCCGTCAAAGTGCACGGCCCAGTGCTGGCAGCGGATGGCCTCGCCAACGGTTGTCGCGGTGCTCCCGATGGCATGGCCGACCTTGAGGGCGTCCTCATCAAGTACGCGACCGCTGCCAGTGTGCTTGGCTGCAGTGCGAGAAGTCGTTGCGCTTGTCTTGAGGAAGAAGAGCGCGCTCAAAAAAGTGCGGCCGTCGCCGACTAGCACGACGCGGTCCAACTCAGGCATGAGCTCCATCATCGCGAATTCAAATGGCTGGATAGGGACCCAGTCGCCAGTCGAGAGCACGAGGAAGTCGCGCGGGTCGCTGATCTTGAGGAACCCCGTGGGCGTCAGGAACCCGCGCTGCCAGAGTCGAAGCCACCCGTCCGAGTCGCAGGTCGACGTGCACTGGCTGCCATCGTCATCCTGTTCGGGACCAGGGCTACTGCAGGGGCCGTGTGGAGCGTACCGGTAGCCCATAAAGACATTGCGGCCGCGCAGTACTGTCTCCTGTGAGCGCTCATCACAGCGAATGGTAGTGCCCGGTAGCGCTCGACCAGAGCTGCCGAACTCCCACGCGTGCTGGAAGTTGATGGACGCGAACCCACAAGTTTCAGCCGTCCCGAAGAGCTGGTAAATCGGCGTGTCCACTGTCTTGAAGAGCCGCTCGAGCTCGAAGTCCAGCGGCGCCAACACCGAGTGGCAGGCGGTGCAGCTTTCCAGTCCGACCTTCTTCTTGATGTTGTTGAGCACTAGCGCCTTCGCCAGCATGTACCCCAGACTCCTGTGCTTGGCCCCCTTGCCTCTGGCGAAAAGCAGCTTCTGCGAGTTGTTGGTGGCGCGCGTCTTGGCCCATCGGTACACTGCGGCATTCACGTCCCCTTTCGCGCGGTAGACTTGTTGGCTGAAGCGAGCCCATGTCGCGGGCGCCGCGAAGAACACGGTCGGCTTGTGCTCGGTAATCACTCGGACCAAAGGCTGATTATATGTTGGCGCGCACGCCACCGACAAGCCGGCAATCATAGGCACGTAGATTTCCAACACTTGCGATGCCACGTGATGCAGAGGCAGGTACCCAACGAGACGATCGCGATAAATGAGCCCAAAGCTGCGCACCAAGGCAGCAGCCGTGAACAGTACGTTGTCGTGAGAGAGCTCCGCGCCTCGGATGCGCCCGAATGCATCGTAGTCAAAGGCTAGCAAGCAGCACTGATCAGGCGTCACGCGCGACGCTAGTGACTCCAACGACGGAGTCATAGCTGCCTCGTCGGTGGCGAGTGTATTGATCGCCAAAAGATCTTGAGCTCCGATCACGTTGATACTTGCACGCAAGTCAGCGACGGCGCAGTCCACTGCGCCAAGCCCACCCAGCACAACAACAGCACGGATAGGCGGGCGGAGCGCCTCTGGCTGATCGTCCAAGGCTTCAAGTGCCTCGCGGAAATTGCTCTCCAACATATCAACAACAACAACCGTGGCTTTTGCCGCAGGAAAAATGTCGTCCCTCAACTCGCGCGCGCTCCACGAGCTTCGAATGTGGGCCACGACGCCGCCCAGCGCCACCGCCGCCAGGTTCACGGCTTGCAGCAACGGACTCACCTGTGCACTAATCACAACGCCTTCGCCAGCACAAAATCCCAGTTGCAACAACGTTCTAGCGATGCAGCGCACGCGCACTGCATGCTGCGCCCAGGAGTAGGCCACGTCCACGGGGGCGGCCGCCGACGCCGCAGAGCTCGGGAATCCGTGGTGAGTCTTGTCGAACACTTCCTCCCGGCCGGTCAGCGCCGGCTCGTCGGCGAACCTCGACACCGTCTTCAAGAACGTGCTCCACACTGTGGCCGGTGTGGTAGTGACCAAGGCCGCAATGGTGGACGCGTCCTCCCCTTCATGGGTGACACTGAGCGCGCGGCTCCACGCGCGCGCCCTGCTGGCCCTACTGGCCGCGCTGCTGAGGCGGCTGCGGCGGTCCATGTCGCTCGGCGCGCTCTCCACGCTGCCGCGCGAGTACATGTAGCTGTGCTTGGACAGCCTCTCGTCGCGCGTGGCGTCCTTCTCGGCCGTCGACTCGATCTTGATCTCGCCGAAGGGCGGGAGCGGGCCGTGCACCATCTTCTCGTTGTGGTACTTGCCGTCGTCTCTTCCTCCTCCGCCGCCGCTGTCTTTATGTGGGCTCTGGCGCCGGTGCAGCGAGAACCGGCGGCGTCGGCGACTGGGATGGGCCACGTCGTCAGGCTTGGGCGTCCACGCGTCGCCTGAACTCGCGGACGGGCGGCCGCTACTGGAACTCGAGCCGGGCGCGCGCACCACTGTGGCAGTGAAGGAAATCATGTCGGACGTCACGCGGCGCCGGCAGCTCTCGGCGCCCCCAGCTGCGGTCGTGTCGCTGCCGTTACTCACCATGCGCTTGGGGGCCGCCGGCGTGTGGCCAGGGGAATTATTCACGCGCGCGCGAGTGCCGCCGGCCTGTCGGTCGTCTGACGGCGGGGCTCGCTGCTGCCGCTGCTGCTGCTGCTGTTCCTTGGCGCGCACGCCGGCCTGCGCCGTCATGCCGGCAAAATAAATAATGATACTGATCGGTAAGATGGAACCTGGGAATTTCGGGAACCGAGCGTACAGAGAGCTACCGAAGTCAGATTCGGCGGTCATAAAGAGGGAATCGCAGGTGATAAGTGTTGGCAGTTCTACTAATGCTGGAGTTTGTATTGGTGAGTAGATCAATGCATAGAGTGTGCGAGGGTATGCTAAGATGAATCTCTCATAATCGTGTCTCTGCCGCCGGATTTTGTTTCGCCAAACGTGTCGCAGCCACAGATGGCTGCGGTCAAAGGGCCAAAAGGACACAACGGGCCAAATCCCTCACATCTGGTAATATATGCAGCTTCGAGTTGGCGCTGCTATGGGGACGTTGGGGCAACTATTGTCACCTTGTGCCTGCATGACCGGGCAGGACGCTAATCCAGAGCTCCAGGATCGAACCCACGCCGCAGACGAGGATCGAGGCCCAGGACGCACGCACTGCAACGACTGCACTACATACCTGCCGAACAACACAACCAGGCTGCGCACAACACCTCCAAAGCTGACCTGTATTTGGCTGCAGCTCTAGCTCTGGCGGATGTGGATGCCCGTATCGAGCCTCCGGTTCGCGTGGTGGCGCGGCGGCGGCGTCGGGTCCGCGTGCTCCAGCCCCAGGTTGCCCAGTCCCTCAAAGTCGGCGCCGCAGAGCTCCGTGAGCTGCGACATGGGGAACGCGTCCAGCGCGTCGGCCTCCATGTCGTCGTACACGGCCTGCAGCGTCGACGCCTTGAGGTCCTTCACCAACGCAAAGTTCCACTGCGCGAACACCTCGGACGAGATGCTCATGCTGCACAGCACCCCAAAGAGCAATCAATATCCAGCAGTCAGTGGGAAGAACAGCACGCCCCTAGTGATGACAACAATACAAATCCTTACCGTTGCCGGATGCGCTCCTTGACGTCGCCGACGGTGTCCCGCTCGCTGAAACGCACCACGCACGGCACACCATGCGGGTGGATCCACTTCTGCGAGCTGTTCTGGAAGTTGAAGTGTACCACGCCCTTGTAGAACCACTCGGGGCGAGCTTCGTCGTCCGACATGGCTTCATCCTCATCTGGCTGCTGCTCGGATGTCGTGTCGTTCTTTTTGACGCCGACCTCAGGGTTGCCTTGCTCCTCCGTCTCGATGACCACGGTCGTTTTACTCTTGACAGCGAGATCGTCGCTGATCAGTTCGTAGGACGGGATCTGCTCCACCATGATCTCGGGCGTATTGGGGTCTGACGAGGCGTTATTTCCCCAATAGCGCGACAGCGACGTATCCTCATCCAACACACGCTTGATCATCGTTCCCTGCTGCACAACCTCGCACGCGCGCAGCGGCGTGTCCTCCGGGAGCCCAAAACCATCGCGAATAAGCTTCAGCAAGTTGCAGACCTTGTGCGTGGGCATCACGAGCACCTCAACGTTGCGCTGCTGAGCAGTCGGGGACGGCGACGCTGCCTGCTCAGTGGCGAAGCACGCATCGTAGATGCTCAGATGGACAAGCAGCTCCTTCTTCGCCTCGATCTCCGTGATCGCGTGATCCAGCAGCTCGTAGTGCAGGGTGTTGGTGCGCTCCAGGTACTCGGTCAGGAACTCTTCCAGCGTAGTTTGGTCATCTCCAGCGTAGCGCGAGTGACGCAGCGGTGTCTTCAACGGCATGCCATTGATCGGCGAGTGCTGGTACAGTCGCACAAATAACCGCTTCGGTCCGACAAGACCCAGGTGCGCTGCCACTGCGTCGATCACCTCGTCGTACACATTACTGAGCAGGAGCGGGAGCGTGAAAGACTCTTCCTCGGAGTGCCCATACCGATGGAATGTCACCTCCACACGATCCAGCAAGTACCGGAAGTAAGACGCCACATCGGGATACCTCTCCACTATCTGCTTTCGCTGCTGGTGGAGGTTCCCCATTGATATCTGCGCTGCTCCAGCTGATCCGTGGCTATGAGGGCCCCGGCTACCGTTGGTATACAAGGCGCTCGAATCATTGTCATTGTCGCTCTCGGGGGATATCGTGGCCTTCACTTCTTCACCATTAGGTCCAATATACGTCGTTTCAATGGTATCGGGGTCATCTTCGATGCCCAGATCTGTGCCGATCACAATTCCGCTCGCCATCTCCTGGTCCTCGGCGTACTGGTAGCAAATAATGTCACCGTTTTGAATCTCCGCCGAATGGAGCGATGTCTCCATACCGATTGCGGACACAGTCGTAGGTTGGATCTCCTCGTAGAGGCGCAAATCGGTCGTAAAGGGGATCGATAGAGCCTCGTGCAGGTACTGAGCCAGCTCTGATCCTGTAATCCGTGAATCCACCACAATATTACCCACATACTCCAACCGGTCTCCAAGCTTTCGCTTTAGATCGTAAAACTTGATGAATAACAAGATGTTGTGGCTGCGGACGGGAGGCGCATGGTCCAATGTCGTGCTGTCACTGGCCTCGGTGTACACAGCAGCAGCGTCCTCGTTCTCATCGCCCATTTCCTGGCTAGGCTTGGGCTCCGACTCGCCCTCCTCGATCTCCGGGGGTGTGAACTCGTCCCAAAAATGCCTGTGGATTGTAGCTGCAGGTCCCTTGCCGGTTTTTCTTACCCTGTGCGGATGTGTTGATGGAGACGATGGCGACGTCGGAGGTGACGCTGCCGGCTGTGATGAAGATTCTGGCGGGTCGTTTAAAATCTGAAGGAACAACTTTACAGGCGTTTTGGGCGATGCGTCATCCTCGATCAACGAGTCCACGCGGCAGCCATATCCGTCAGGGTCCACCGGCAGGTCGGGGCGAGTCGTACGGTTTTCACGCACGATAACTTTCCACAGGCGCTGGCGTGACATGGGCACCCCAGTCTCTTTGTAGATGCGACGACAGAGTTGGCGGATGGATGCCGCACGCTTGATGCGCACGCGAAAGGTATTGGCGTTATTGAAACTAGAGAAATCCATCGTCTTCGTGACCCGCTTCAGCTTGGCGACGCTCGCATCTGAAGCGATGCGAAAGTTCATGTACAAGTGCTCTGTTTGCTGGGCTTTCTTGCGACGCGCAGCTGCCTTCTCCTCTTCGTGGAATCGAGTAACCAGTTCATCCGGGATCAGAGGCGGGTCTCGTTGCCAAGAAGGAAGCTCGCTTTCGGCCTCAGTGTTGTCGTCGTTGCTGGCATCACCATCCGCCATCGAAACATCTTCTGTTGACGTCGCTGGTGTAATTCCCGCGTCCACATTCATGCTCGCAGCCTCCTCTCGGATAGCACTGATATCGTTCTCACCGTCACGAACGTACACCAGCATATACGCGCTCGAGAAGTTCCTGCCAAGAGGCAGCATCAAACTGTTCGTCGGTCCAGAACTACTATCGCCGTTGGTGCGTGTGTAGTCATACACTTCCTCTACTGTGTGGCTACTCTCCGCGTCTGGAGCTCCACCTGCATCCACCGATCTAAACTCGAGACTGTCCATGCCATTCGGCTCGTTACTCTCCGCTCCGGCGTGTTCCGGCGAATTGAATAATGCCGATGAGTACAGTGGCGACGTCGGCTCCGTGCCTAGCGGGGTTACAGGAGTCCCTGCCGATCCAAAATTGCCCTCGATTGCTACCTGCTCATCTACGCGCGTAATTTGGTCATCGTCAAACCTGAACCAGTCCGTACTTGTAGCAATGTGCTTGCCGGGCCGAATAAATACATAATAGTGTCCTCCGTGTACATCGCCACTATGCACCAACACGCTGTGCAGGTGATAAGTATATCGTGAGGGCTTCTCCTTGTCGCCTGCAGTTTTGTTCTCCTCCTCCTCATTAGTCGAGATGAACTCGTCCAAGACGAGCGTTTTCGGGAATTCAAAGCGGTCGTGAATCTTCACCATGCCATCACGCAACGGCTCGTACTCAAAGCGCTTCAGCTGAATATTAAGCACGGGCGGGAAGGTGAGAAACTTAATGCCCTTCTTGGCATCCTGCTTCCCGTGGCCTTCCGCTTCGTACTGATTGTCTCCATCCAGCATCTCCACCTCTACGTACTTGCGGAAGGACTGCATCAAGTCCTTGCACCCTTTCACATCCAGCTGCAGGTCGTAGAAGCTCTCGTCCCGGAACGACTGGAAGTCCACGTTCACGCACTGCACAAACGAGCGCACTTTGCCCTCGAACAGCTTGGGGATGGCCGCGTCCACCCTGGTGTGTTTCATCTTCTCCTCCAATCGATCGCACAAGATCCGGTACAGCTCCTGAACGTCGTGCTGCATGAACGAGTCGATCTGGCTCCAGCCGAACGAGCGCGTGAGCTCCTTCGTAGACACGGCCTTGCGCTGCCTCTGCAGCCTGTAGAAAACGCGCTGCAGTGCGAGCGACACCGAGTCGTTCGTGTCCTCCTGCGTCGTGGGGGTCTCGTACACCACCTGTCGGAACGCGCGCAGGTGGAACAGCGTCTGCAGCAGCGAGTTCAGGTAGCACGTGGCCCCCTGGTTCTTGAGCCCGACCATGCCGGTCTCCTCCTTGGAGTCGTACGACAGCAGGTGCTGCGTCGTCTCGAGCGTCGTCTCCGCCTGTTGGTTCTCCGCCTCTGTCCGCGTCTCCTGCGGCGCTGTAGCCGCGTCACTCTCCGTCACGTCGTCCACGAAGGTGAGTCTCACCTCGATCTGCGCCTTGCCCTCGACCGTGAGGAACTTGTTGCTCGGGTTCAGCAGGTCGCTGCGCAGGACGAACTGGCTCATGCCGAACTCCGCGTCCTCCCGGGAGAACGCGTGCACGCTCGTGGTCTTGACCACGTGAGGGCCTTCCCCGTGGCTGAGCAGCGTGATGCTCACCTCTGCGGGCCGCGCGTCGCCCGCCACGAGCTCCACGAACACGCCGACGTGGGTGGCGTCCGCGGGGCTGCGCGGCTGCCACAGCACGCGCCACGAGCCGCCGCGCGCGTCCGTCAGAGGCGCAGACGCGACTCGCTCGCTGTTCAGCTCCAGCACGGCGAAGCTCTCGCGGAACAGCAGCGCGGAGGCGGAGGACGGTGCAGCCTCGACATCCATGGGCTGCGCATCGTCGTCGGGCCGCGTGCTGAGCTTCTTGCGGCGCTGCGCCTCGGGCGGCGAGTCGCCCGCCGGACTCCGACGCTTCTCCACCATGACGCCGACAGCTCAACTTGTGAGCCTTGGCTGCACTATGGAGCAGACCGGTGGTTGGCTATTGACGACTTTTGGCCAATCGATGGACGGGATGTGACGTTATAGTTGGTGCAGCGTCCGTTTTGGACTGCGCCTATTACCTGTGGGAAGTTGGAGATCGTCATGGTGCAACTTTGCAGGACTTCTTGCTTAGGTCAAAGGAAATGCCACTAACCCAGGAATAACTGTGAAAAAAATACCATCGTGACGCCTTACGATGAGGGATCGAAATGCCAAGCGTGTTATTATGCTTGGCTCTGTGTGTACGCGCTTTCCTTCACTACGTATTGGATCTTTGTGGCAAATGGAAACGGGGAACTTGTCCGGGGTGGAAAATTCTGCTTGTAGCTCCAGTACTTCCCGAACGTCCCAGGTAGACGTGCGCGTCCGACCGCTTCGGCTCCTCGTTCGTTCACGGCTAAACGTGGCAATGCATTGGGTAGACACGGACTTGCGCTCTATTGGCAAAGGTGACAACCACAAGTGTACCACCGTTATCCTGCTGCTCACCAGCCCGTCGAACGCTTATGGCTATCGTCAGAGTAAGCTGCCGTACCAAACCACCACCGGACTCGTGTAGGCCGCGCTTCCAACCGCGCACTTTGAGTAGTCAATACCAGTGCTTAAGCACACGAACCTGCACTTACATCGCTGTGTTTGTGATCGATTCACAGTTAAATTAAAGGTGTCTAGAGGCGATCTCTCCAATCAACGAAACTCGGCCATAATTCCACGACTAAGCGATTGTCCAGCCAGTCTTGGAACAAGAGCTTTCCTGTGGTACTATGATCCGTCGGTACTTCTTAGAGCGTGTTGATACTGAAGTCACGAGCACACCAGTGACGAGAACCCTTTTTCGGGTTCGCTTCGACAAAAATTCGTGTAACTTGCGTCACCTAAACATGTGAGCGCCGACGTATCTGTGAGAAACTGCGTCGATATGCCACTGCACTGAATAATTTTGTGGTTGGAATGCTATTGCTCGCACGGTACACACTTACGTATGTGTCCGCTTCGAACAGCGCGCTGGGGTCACTTCGGCTGTCGATCTGTGGAGACTGACGCGAGCCACTCGAGCAAAATGTGTCAGACGCCCTGCACAGTGCGATCAGTTTCGACAGCGGACGAATTAAAACTTGCTTGCAGCGCGACCATCGAGTTACTCTATTAGCAGAGATGCCCGCCAAACTTGACTGTGAACTGGAGTGCCGATAGCTGCGCTGACCAATCCTGCTTTGAATCCCATCACGGAGCTCTGACATCTGCAATGCCATAGGGCTGCAGTGTTTTTCTTCGACAAGAACCGTCTTGCTGCCAAGGTTGGCAACGCAGGTAAACAAACGCAGAATAATGAAGCGCTGAGCAACCACTGAACAACATCCGCAAGTAGCCCCGATTACCTAAAACGGAACTGTATTGTGTCCACTTCACTACGGCTTTGTTGCCTTGCGCCTTCTTGGCGAACATCGTTCGACAGCACCAGCACCGAAGCAACCATCCCGAGCTCGATCTCCCCGATCATCGCATATTTATGCGCATCGTAATACGGAGCAGCCATTGGATAAAAGCATGCGCAACGATTCGCGACCATCACCAGGACATGTATAAATTCCGCTGGTCTGCGGCACCGGGACAAATAGCTTCCGCGCGACGCGTGTGCGACCTACAAGCGCTCTCCACGGTCCCGAAGCACGCCACTACGTAGAGAAGACGACGAACTAAATGTATCCAACGTTTCAGCGTTAAAGGAGCGCTGTAGGCTTCGCCTGGACTTGACATGTAGGACGCATTAATTTTTCCTACCACCTCCATAACTGCATACCAGGATGGCACACCAATGGACTGTCCCACGAACAAGCAAGTCGGTAGGGCAATAAGCGCCGCCAAACACCGTGAATCGCAGGCAAATTGACCCACATAATGCCCTGGAAGCGGCTAAAAGCTTAGACCAGCGGGTCGGGATCGTCGGTAAACGTGCAGGTTCTCTGCTGCCCCCAGCATCTGACCGAGAAGAACGATAAAAATACCCATCTCTTTCGATCTACCTTGTTTGGCCATTTTGGTGACTACTAACCCGGTTTTCGAACCTGATAACCGATATGCTTCGTGCTAACGAGACCTACCCTCCTGTGCCCATCTTGGGAAAGCCCAGCGGCCAATTGTGCACATCCAGGTGTGCTTTGTGCCCAGAACCCGGTGTAATCGGCCACTGAAGTTTCTGCGCCGTCTTGGCCCAGTATTTTTGCACTCGCGCATTCGCCGTCGCTCAGGAACAAGCCACGCCCGCCCCACGGCCCGCAAGGACTCGAGCACCCACTTGCCATTCCTTACTCGAGACTTGCCATGGACTGGGACCCAAACGCGACCGACACTGATGGCTACATCTGCCCTCCGTGCCCCGTGTTCTACCCCACGGCCGAGGAGTTCCAGCAACCGCTGAAATATATTTCCAGGTGCGGTAATTTATTCCACCACCTCGAGACTCGACGCCCTCGACGCGTTCTACCGGCTCAAAAGGCTGCGGTCCCAGCAGTTCCAGCGGCCACGAAGGCAGCACAAGCCCAATTAATAAATTGGCACAGCCTGCAGCTGCACCAACACTGTTGAGACCTTGCCTGATGCCAACCGACGCGACGTCCACGCTTGGCCTGTCTGAAGGCGGCCACGCGAGGGCGAGCGCTGTAGAATTCTACCTCTACAGATGTAGAGCACACGAGGGCTGCATAAGCACCTTGGAGAGAGCAATGCTCTTCTGAGAAGATGAGAGGTTTCGATAGCTGTGCTAACGTTTTCTCTGCTCGCTTGTGTGGCTGCAGCATTCGCCACATCGGCATGCAGGCCGGCATCTGCAAGATCGTGCCGCCCAAGGGCTGGCGTCCACCGTTCGCCATCAACGAGAAGACATTCCGCTTCCGCACGCGCGTGCAGCAGCTCAACTGCATCGAGGGCCACTCGCGCGCGGAGGGCCAGTTCGTGGAGGCGCTGAGACTCTTCTTGTACCAGCGTGGGGAGCCCATGAAGGAGCTGCCGCGCGCCGACGGGCAGCTCGTGAATCTGCACTTGCTGTACAAGACGGTGGTGGCTCTGGGCGGCTTTGAGGCTGTCTGTGCGAGTGACAGGTGGGAGCAGGTGGTGCGTCGAGTAGGCCGCACGAAGGCAGCGAGCGAGCCGTCCGAGGAGCTGTGTCAGACTTATAAGACACACTACCAGACCATGCTGCTCGCCTACGAAAAGCAGCAGCAAGGCAAGCAGGAGAACAACAACAACAATAGCAGTAGTAGTGACACAACAGAGGCGAAGGTCAAGGTCAAGGTCGAGGAGGTGCATGCCACGCCTTCGGCCGCCAGCGCCTCGGGTGATACCAAGGCCACGCCGTCTTCTAAGCCGCACAGTATCAGCGGCAGAAAGCGGTCGGCCGCCACATTAACAACTCGAGAAGAGGACGACACAGAAGAAGACGGCAGGCTGCGCGTTAAGCGTACACTGTTCTCGGAAGGCGAACACACCAGCAGTGAGGAGAACGACGCTCCTACAAAGACCGAAAAGCGACAAAATGACCAGACGCGGAAGGTTCGAACGCGTGATCTGGAGCCCGAGGCGCTTAAACCCTCGGAGACACGCAACGTGCGACTCGGAGCGCCAGAAATCCTCGCGGGGCAGAAGTTTTACCGATTTTTCCCCGACGCAGGAGCTGTATTAGCTGAGGTGAAGCGTGTTTTCGGAGGTAAGAAGCCCCATGTCGCCGTGCGCTACTTGGAGGACGGCTCAAACGATGACATCGAGCTGTCCACCATGGAAATCCTCATCGCCAACGGGTGGGACGCGAACGCGGCTGAGCTCGCGTACAACAGCGAGATCTGCCAGGTTTGTCTGCGTGGCGATTGCTGGGACAAAATGCTGCTTTGCGACGGCTGCAACAGCGGTCAGCACCTCTTTTGCCTCGATAACCCGTTGAAGGAGGTGCCTACGGGAGACTGGTACTGCAAGGAGTGCGTGGAAGACGCTATGGACCCGGACAAGAAGAAGGACAACCCAAAGTTTGGTTTCGATATGGGCGCAGAGATCAGCATGGTGGACTACAAGGAGCGCGCGGACGCCTGGAAGCGAGGCTACTTCTCTCTGTCGTCGGATACTAACCCCGACGAAGCGATTAGTGACCGTGACCTGGAGAAAGAGTACTGGCGGTTGCTGAGTATCCCGATGCATGAGCAGCGCCTTGAAGTGCAGTACGGAAGCGACGTGGACACGGGAGCCAACGGCAGCGGCTTTCCTCGTCTCGACCTGTACATGAAGAACCTGCGAACCGTGTCAAAGCGCTGGAAAAACCTGACTACCAAGGCCAAGAGTGAGTACATGTTACAACTGAGCAAGTTCTTTTCGCACGGACTCCGCGAGGGCTTGGCGTCAGCCGCTGGAGGAGAGAACGTCAATGCTGACGCGGCCAAATCGTTAGAGGAGCTAGTGCAGCGCTACGCACAGGACGACTGGAACCTGAACAACATGCCTAAGCTGCCTGGCTCCGTGCTTCAGCACCTGGACGAAGATATCAAGGGTGTCATGGTGCCGTGGCTGTACGCCGGGATGTGCTTCTCCACGTTCTGCTGGCATGTGGAGGACCACAACTTCTACAGCACGAGCTACTTGCACTGTGGAGCGCCCAAGACCTGGTACGGCATTCCGTGCGCCAGCGCGGAACACTTCGAACGCACCATGAAGGAGCTGACGCCCGAGCTGTTCGGTAGTCAGCCCGACTTGCACATGCAATTGGTCACGATGTTCTCGCCCAAGACACTGCGAGAGCATGGCGTGCCGGTGTACCGAGCTACGCACCGACCGAACGAGTTCATCGTAACGTTCCCGTCCGCTTACCACGCCGGCTTCAACAATGGCTTCAACTGCGCCGAAGCTGTCAACTTCGCCACTGTGGACTGGTTACCGTGGGGTGCCAAGTCCCTGCGGAAGTATCGCGAGTTCCGCAAGCTGCCAGTGTTCTGTCACGAAGCGCTCGTGTGCACGCTGGCCGAGACTCTCGTGGACGGCAGTAGCTTCGACTTTGAGCACACCGAGTCCTCCCTGCTCCCAGCAGTTGAACAATTGCTGCACGATTACCGCGAGTTCGAGCAACGCGTGAACGACAGCGACAGCAAGACGCGGGTCGTCAAGCGCGAACTCATGGTCGAGTTTGAGAAGCACCAGTACCGTGTGGTTTCTGCTGGTGTTGCTGACCCCGAAGCCTCTTCGACGACTTTGATGAGACGCAGCATGGTTGCTCGAGCTTGCACGCGGCCGTCAAAGATGGGGACCACCAATCCGACTCGAGGCAACAGAGGCGGCAAGATGAGGATGAAGATGGAGACTGCGGACGCAACCATGCGACCCAGTAGGATGGTGTTGTGGGCCGGTCGGTCAGGTAAGAATGAGGGTCTCCGCTGCGTGACGTGCAAGCAGTACTGCTATCTCCAGGCTGTGGTCTGCACTAGATGTCGCCCACCTCAAAGCAGCAATGGTGGCCCCACCGTTGGCTGTCTGGAGCACTACCCGACCATGTGCAAGTGCGGAGACCCGGAGAACTTCGTGTACTTGTACCGCTACGAGGCTTCGCGTCTTGAGGAGATGATCAACAGTCTGCGCGGGCGACTGGAAGGAGCTCAAGCGTGGAGCAGGGACTGTGACGCCGCGCTTCGGCCACTCAACAAAGTTCACGTAACGAAGCCGACAGTTGAAGACTTGAAGCGCCTGCTGTCACGCGGAAAATCCTGCGATGGCGCTGATCGTGGGCGTCTGGATGCACTAGAACTAGCGATAGCGGACACTGAGCGCTGGGATTCGCACGCGCAACGCCTGCTTGGCTTCCTTCGCCAGGAAGACGGGAGTGTGTATTTGAACGTGACCCAGTTCGAGTCACTGCTGCAGAGCTCTGAGAAGATGATCGTTGAACCCGCTGGACTCTCACAGATCCGAGAAGTTGTCCGCGAGTGGCACGCAGCTCACGCTGCCGCCGTGGATATGCTGAGGTCGACGATCGATGTGCAGCGCAACGAGGCCGCGAGCAAAGTTCATCTCCGGACTTCACCGTCTGACGCCTTGTCGGTTGTCCGCTCCATGAGCGCTCCGAACGTGCTCCTGCACGACAACGTGCGCCACGGCATGCTCACGACGTCGATCTCGGAGCTGGGTTCTCGTCTGCGTGCCATGAAAGAGAGCAGCTCAGGCGGGAGTTTGCTCAGCCAGCTCGCGGGCGCGCAGCGGTATCTTGAAGTGCTCTGCAAGGTGAACGTCTTGTCCGCTTCCATCGTGGAGAGAGCGCAAGGACGCACTGCCATGAGCGCGCCGACGCAAGAGCAAGTGCACCGCGTGCTGGGTGAAGTGCACGACTTGCACCTCGTCGATCCGAACACTATTGCGAACACGGAGGCGCTGTGTAAGCTGCTAACTATCACCCAAACGGAAGCAATGGAGGTGGACGCAGCGCTACGAGACCGATCGAAGAGCACTGAAGAGCTGGAGGCATTGCTGCGACGTGCAAAGTCGCTCCCCATTCCTCCCGCGAGAGTTCAAGAGCTTGAGGAACGACTCGAGAAGTGCCGACTGTGGGAACAACGCGCGCACCAGATTCTGAGCGTTGTCTCGGGATCTGCGGCCGCGCCGAATTTCAAGTCGATGATGGAGCGGCCGTCAGTGGACCAGGTCGAGACGTTCTACGCCCAAGCGGACAGCCATTTTGTGCCTAGCACGTCGCTGCTTCGACGACAAGTGCACTCGCGCCTGCAAGACTGCCGTCGCTGGTGCGACGCTGTCCACGCGCTGTTCCTGCGGCCGTCGAATAGCCATCTCCCGCTCGGTCAGTTCTTGCAGAGTGCTCTGGATAAGGTGCAGCAGCAACTCTCGCGCTCTGTCGACCAGGCGTTGCGAGCACACTCGCGTTTGCACTGCGTGTGCCAGCAGGTGCTCAGTGAGCGAGCTCAGCTCGTGACTTGTCAGCGTTGTCGCTGCTACTTCCACCCGCAGTGTGTCCCCGAGCTATTGCCGCAGCGTGCCAAGGAGGCGTTCCTTTGTGCGTCATGCCGACCACCGCAGCGGAAGCGTGCAAGTCACGGTAATGCGCCGATCTTCTGCGTGTGTCGTGGGCCGGAGCACGCGCCCATGATCTGCTGCGACTTCTGCGATGAATGGTACCACTCGACCTGCGTTGATCTCTCGCCTCGGGAGCTCGACGGTATCGAAGCGTTCCGCTGTCCGCGCTGCTCGCGACGACAGAACCTCTACTACTTGGACAAGAAGCTGCTGCGTCGCGAGTGTTTGGGGCGACGCCCAGCGTTGGCGAGAGTGGAGAACGTTTTGGCTCAGATGCAGGCGCAGCTTGTGGCGTGCCCTCCTGGAGCTCACGAACTCATGGCGTACGTCCACGCAGTGAAGGGCGTGGAGAACCATGCCAACAATTTCGTCCGAGACTTCGCGTTGCGACCATTTTCACCCGCTGCTTACTCTACGCTGGACTACGTCAGGACGCAAGAAGCCGCCGTGGTGCAGCTGATGGAGCGCGTAACGAGCCTGGAGGTTGGACTGGAGACAGCGCAACTGCAACTGGGCGCAGTGCACTGGTGTCTGCGGGCTTGCCAGCTTGTACTCGGTCCGAATAGCCACGCGCCACGATACGCGTACTTGGCCGCGCTGCTGCAGGACGTGAAGAGCCAAGAACCGGGCTTTGTGTTCCCTCGCGAGGAGTATCGGATGATGCAGTTGACGATCGCCGAGCGAGTGAGCAAGGCGGCGCAGTGGATGCGCGCTGCCAAGACGCTCGAGGTGGAGGAGTGGAATGTCGAGAAGGCTCGCCGCCTGCAGCGAGAAGCGGAGGAACTGAGCGCGTACCTCGAGCTGCCAGCAGCGGAACTGCAGCTTGTACAGAATATTGTAGTGGGTCGGATGCATCAAGCTGTCGGCGCTGTTGCAGTGGAGGAAGAGGAGGAGGAAGAAGAGGCGACGTACGATGAAGAGCCTGATAGCCCCAGTGCCGTTGCCTGGAAGAAGCAAGCGCGCTGGTAGCGAGCAAAGCCTAGACAATACTACACACAACTGTTCTATAAGGTTAACTCCTTTTCGTTAAGAGTGTCCTCCGCGGGACATCAGTCTTTTGACACTTAGTATCTGTAGTAGGCGGGTAGATTATCTTGCGGATCGTACCGAGGCTACGTGTAACACGTCCCCACTCATTATTATCTTTCGATCGTTCTACACACAGTACACGTTGAAGTGCGTGTAGAGGTCCCCACTGCAAGATTCGCTCAAGCGAGCATATGTGCGATGAGTGCTGCGGTGGTTCTTGTTGAAGACAAGTGCATGCCTATGTAAACTGAGCACAGCCACATCGTGCGGGGGGGGGGGGGCGACTGGTGGACAAGATGAAGAACTGCTTAGCGTGTGTATCGACGGACAACCCTCTTTCTTTCGTGCAAATGGCGTCGGATTTCCAGCTCGCCTGCAGCCGACGACCAGACTTCAAGACAGACATCACTTGCTACATACCGCATCGCCCCTGTCCTAAGCGAACCTCAATGTGCGTTCTAAAAGTTAGGGTTAGCTTCATGGCTAAATGATTAGATTCTAAAATTTAGTAAATAGGCTAAATTATCCGACTCAAAATATGTGCTCGGCGACGCGCCCGTCTGCATATATTGTGCGATTATAGTCATTTGCCTTATGCTCGAGCTTCCTTGTATATTTGAATACCTTGTGGTGCGTTGATGCGAAGCATGACATGTTCTTCGGTCAATGCGCTCGCCATCCGTCTTTGATTAGCGTGCTTGGCACAGCAGTTTAGCATCAAACATATGTCAATAATATGACTCTCTCATTGGTCAATACAGAAATTCGCTTAGGACAGGGGCGATGCGGTACATGTATACATTTTCGTTGAGACTCGAAATGAGGAAAAAAAATGCATTACGGTTACTGTAGCTTCGAGATTGCACGTGTTGGGGAAAGGCCATTCATTGTCTTGACTAACCTCCTGCATTACCATAATCTTTCGAGTCTCCACCTGTGGGCCACAGATTTCGAACGCGCTACAGTACATGTACAACAGCGTGCTTTGCACGTTACATACGGAGTTATCTGGTGGCTACGCCGATCCATTCGGTGGGCAAAGCGCGAAAACGCATCCTCCCGCGAGGTATTTTAGCAGCATCCCCACGAATGAAAGATTGAGGCTCCTGTGTCTATCCCTTACGATGTCATGAAAGTTATCAATGTTGCCAACAGCAGCGCATCGGACCATAATTTTTGTGTTAATGTACAGCAGAATTCATGTACAACAGCGTTAAACGCCTTTAGGATGTTTGCCCGGCTCAACAAATGACGAACAAACAGCAAAAAAAAAACACGGCTTTACCAGCTCAAAGCAAAACGTTGAGATCTCGCGGAGGCGTGCGGGCAGCCTGCACAGCACATGATTTTGGACGTCCTCCGTAGGTGCCAGGGTTCTGTAGTGTCTGTAACGTTTTGCCTCACATAAGTAAAGGAGCTCGTCGCGAATCTGTAGTTCAGCATCGCGTATGGCGATGTGATCCCCCGAAAAGCTGAGATGGTGAGCGTACGGTGGACGTGGAAGTCCTCCTCATTCCACAATTGTCGCAATGGCAGGCGGATCACTCTTCCAGGTCGGCGAGGATGTCGAGTTCTGGAGAGTACTCATTCACCTGAGCATCCTGGCCTTCTGCCTCGTGCTCTTCGAAGCAGGACTACACCGTCTGGAACACAAGTTCCCTCCCTCCAGGAAGTATCAGCACATGCTCAAGAAGGCCTATCGAGAGCTCATGGTGCTGGGCCTCATCAGTCTCGGACTCAAGATCATCAAGGAGATCCCGGACATCGACAGCTACAGCAAGACGATGCTGGCGTTCCAAGTGGCCGACTTGACCATCTTCCTATTGGCGCTGGCGCTGATCTTGCAGTCCACGGGCGTCTTCCTGCTGCTCCGTAACAAGAACGCAAGAGCTGAACGCGCCGAATTGATCACGACCCAAGATCTAGTGAATTTTATCAACGGCACCAAAGGCTCGTTCGCTCAAACGCTTGTCTGCTGTGGCCGAGCAGCCAAGAAGCGGTCTAACGTCAGGGAACTCATCGAACTCCGCCTTATCCGTCGTTTGTTCCTCCACCGCTTTGGACTGCCGCAGCTCTTCCCGTTCTCCAAGTACCTCAATCGCGCGCAGGCTAACCAGATCGCGCACATGATTGAGGTAGAACCGTCGATGTGGGTAGTGTTGCTTATTGTTGCCTGGGCGATCTGTGGAGTGCTTGAGGTGCTAAAGCACCTTGACACGGAGATGCCCGAGAGTCACGAACTCGTGGAGGCGTTCATGATGTTTGCGTGGGTCCTGCTTTTGGCTCACATTTCGATCTTCTTGTACTTCCGCTCGTGCGTACACCACTTGCTCCACTCGGCAGCGTTCAGCAACGACAAGGTCACGCTCACTGCCAACTTGACTGCCATCGCTGAAGAGGAGGCGAACGCCTGGCAGAACGAGGAGGCCGACAAGGCGCTGGAGGTCATGAGCTGCATCCAGGAACACCACGAGGAGCTTGAGTTCCAGCGTCGCCGCAACAAGAACATCGAGGCGCAGCAGCCCAAGAAGAAGACGACTCAAGGCGGCAGCACCGACACACGAAATCGAGGAGAGAGCTTGAGCGGCGTCATGCCGGGGTCTCCGCGTATCGACATCCGCTTCTTCTCGCACAAGGGCTGGCACATCGGCGTCATGATGCTTCTGGTGCTCAATGGGTTCCTCATCACGCTGTTCGTGCAGTGCGCGTTCTACGACATGGACGACATCTACGAGGACTTCGGTACGCTGCCGACGATCATGGTGCCGCTGCCGCTGGCGATCAACGCGCTGTTCTTGCAGCGGCACATCTTCTACGACTTCGTGATCGTCAGCAACACGCTGCGCATCGACTCGCACACGCTGAGCGATGTGGTGGAGAACTTCAGCGAGGTGGTGTGTCTGCGGTCCGAGTTCGCGACGTCGCTGCTGCATCACATGACCCAGCAGGAGCTGTCCGTCACTGATCTGCAGGCAGAGCTCAAGGCACGCGACTCAACAGGCTCCGGATTCATTGACGTGGACGACCTGCGCGACGTGTTGGCCAAGTTCGGGTTCCGTCTCACGCGGTTCCGGTTCAACACCGTGGTGAAGCTGCTGTTCGAGCTCGAGGGCACGACAGTCGCGTACTCGCACGTGGTTCGTCTGGTGCTCATGGCTCAGAACGATAACCTGTTGGAGGCGACTATGGTTAACACGCAGCAGCAGCCGCATCCGTTGCTGCGGCCGAGCGTAATGATGTTCGACGACCTGGGCCAGTCCAGCATGCGGTCGCAGTCCAACTACAACATCTTCAACTCGACGCGGCAGCTACCGGTCATGGGGGAGCCCAGCATGAACGAGCCTGGCCTGGCGGACTTCGTCAGCGTCTCCATCAGGAGCATGGCGCTGCCGCAGATCTCGCACCGCGGCGCAAACACGCGAGGTCGGCAAAGCAGCGTCAGCTCGCAGGCGCTTCACGACATGTTCAACCTGCAACGACTGTCCGACTCGCATGTGCGCCCCAACATCATGCGACTCTAGGTAGTCCAAAAGTGAAAGCTTGAGCGATCGTAGCTCAGCGAATATGTGTATCGACCTAAGTGTAAGTTGGTAAGGCTAAGGAAGCAAGAGTTCTATCATAGCAACCTACATCCTGTCGTGGTCGTCATTTCAATGAAATGACGACAAACAAAAGGATACCATAGTTCACAATCGGTTTAATTCATTACTTGTAGTTCTCGTGGAGCAGCCGTTCAACGTAAATTAATCTCGCGCTTGGTTTGAGGCGTTAGAGATCGCGAGTCCTTGAAGTATCCAGGCGGCCAAATCCGTGGTTCAGGAGGACGCTGTCGTCCTCCGACAGCTCCAAGGTTCTGGCTGAGCTGCGATTGCTCGAGCGTTTTTTGGGAGTCGTAGGTAGATCCGTGTCGAACGAAGTTGGTGCCCCACCCACCGGAGGCAGGAAGAACACGTCGTGCAGAGCTTGAGAACTGACACTCGGACGCGGGAAGTTCGACTGGTGCGTTGGCGCGCTCGTCCCAGGGAGAGAGAGCTTGGGCGGCGACGTGCTCTCCATCGAGACGTTCACGAAGCTGGCCGGACTGGACCAGTCCAGCATGATACTCGACTGACCGAGGACGTTGTCGTAGACCATAACACTCGGCCGCAACAACGGATGCGGCTGCTGCTGCTGGGCTGAGGTTGACTCGAGCAGGTTATCATTCTGAGCCATGAGCACCAGATGAATCACGTGCGCGTACGCGACCGCCGTGCCTTCGAGCTCGAACAGCAGCTTCACCACGGTGTTGAACCGGAACCGCGTGAGACGGAACCCGAACTTGGCCAACACGTAGCGGAGATCGTCAACTTCGATGAACCCCGAACCGGTAGTGTCTCGCCCCGTCAATTCTTCCTGGAGGTCGCCAATAGTGAGCTCTTGCTGTGTTAGATGGTGGTGCAGTGAGGTCGCGAACTCGGACCGCAGACACACCACCTCGCTGAAGTTCTCCACCACATCGCTCAGCGTGTGCGAGTCGATGCGCAGCGTGTTGCTGACGATCACGAAGTCGTAGAAGATGTGCCGGTGCAGGAACAGCGCGTTGATCACCAGCGGCAGCGGCACCATGATCGTCGGCAGCGTACCGAAGTCCTCGTAGATGTCGTCCATGTCGTAGAACGCGCACTGCACGAACAGCGTGATGAGGAACCCATTGAGCACCAGAAGCATCATGACGCCGATGTGCCAGCCCTTGTGCGAGAAGAAGCGGATGTCGATACGCGGAGACCCCGGCATGACGCCGCTCAAGCTCTCTCCTCGATTTCGTGTGTCGGTGCTGCCGCCTATAGTCGTCTTCTTCTTGGGCTGCTGCGCCTCGATGTTCTTGTTGCGGCGACGCTGGAACTCAAGCTCCTCGTGGTGTTCCTGGATGCAGCTCATGACCTCCAGCGCCTTGTCGGCCTCCTCGTTCTGCCAGGCGTTCGCCTCCTCTTCAGCGATGGCAGTCAAGTTGGCAGTGAGCGTGACCTTGTCGTAGCTGAACGCTGCACATCGAAGCAGGTGGTCCACGCACGAGCGGAAGTAGAAGTAGACTGAGATGTGAGCCAGCAGCAGAACCCACGCAAACATCATGAACGCCTCGACCAGGTCGTGACTTTCCGGCATATCGGTGTCAAGATGTTTGAGAACTTCGACCACTCCACAGATCGCCCAGGCCACGAGGAGGAGGACGACCCACATCGACGGTTCTACCTCAATCATGTGCGCGATCTGGTTAGCTTGCGCGCGATTGAGGTACTTGGAGAACGGGAAGAGCTGCGGCAGTCCAAAGCGGTGGAGGAACAAACGACGGATAAGGCGGAGTTCGATGAGTTCCCTGACGTTAGACCGCTTCTTGGCTGCTCGGCCACAGCAGACAAGCGTTTGAGCGAACGAGCCTTTGGTGCCGTTGATAAAATTCACTAGATCTTGGGTCGTGATCAATTCGGCGCGTTCAGCTCTTGCGTTCTTGTTACGGAGCAGCAGGAAGACGCCCGTGGACTGCAAGATCAGCGCCAGCGCCAATAGGAAGATGGTCAAGTCGGCCACTTGGAACGCCAGCATCGTCTTGCTGTAGCTGTCGATGTCCGGGATCTCCTTGATGATCTTGAGTCCGAGACTGATGAGGCCCAGCACCATGAGCTCTCGATAGGCCTTCTTGAGCATGTGCTGATACTTCCTGGAGGGAGGGAACTTGTGTTCCAGACGGTGTAGTCCTGCTTCGAAGAGCACGAGGCAGAAGGCCAGGATGCTCAGGTGAATGAGTACTCTCCAGAACTCGACATCTTCCCCCACATGGAAGAGTGACCCGCCTCCCATCGCGACAGACAATAGTAAAATGGCAATGGACAAGTAGGAAATGGGTCTCTTATGGCCTCACCATCTCAGCTCTCAGGACTGTTGGCGCGGCTTACGTTGTGTCGAACCACGAGCCAGACTGCTAATGCGTTACAGACTGTATTGTCCCTAAGGCTCAGGGGGCACTAGAGCGCAGATTTCAACAAACTCGCCTCTTGTCGTCATACAACTTACAACAAAGTCACGACGTCGGATATCCGCGCCTGCAGGACCCCTTACGTGGCGGTTCTTGCGCAGCAGCCGCTCAGTGCGTTTAATTTCGCGTTCGCCATCCGAGATCGTGAGCCACCCAGCCATCTGAGGCTCGTCCAGCACATGATTCTGCGGGACGGCGCCGTCCTCCGTAAGTTCCCAGCGGTTCACTAAATTCACGTCTAACAACACGAGGTTGCTCTAATGCCCCAAGGCAACTTTTCGGTGATCGATTTATGTGTTTTACACCAATCTCGACACAATTCAGCCAAAAAGCATACTTTTGACTTGATTGCCCCCCCCCAAATGCTGCAGCTGATACTTCTGCTAACTCTGCTACTGTCGTGTGTGGGCACGCAGCCCGCCGGCAGTCGCTTGGAGCCCGCCACCGACGACGTGTACACGGTCGTGAGCCGCATCGACGTGGACGACTCGGTGGTGGCGGTGGTGCGGCGCAACGGGGTCCTCCACCTGCTCTACGACGAAACCATCATCGGGGCCGAGTTCGACGACCCGTATCTGCGCAAGCAGACGGCGTTCCCGGGCTTCACAATTATGCAGTGCGCCGCCTACTTGAAGGACAAACCCACGCGGGCGCTGCAGATCGGACTGGGCATCGGCACCGTCCCGAGCTTCCTACGAGAGATGGACATCCCCACCGGTGCGAGCGATTTCGGGTGAATTCTGCTTTTGGCATAATTCTGCTTTCGGACTAATTATGCCTTTGGATGAATTTGCTGCTCAGATGTGGTGGAGATCAGTGAGGCCGTGGTCACGCAGGCGGCGGACTATTTCCAGTATGAATGGTGTCCGAGACCTGATGAAGATGACGACGAAGATGAGGATGAGGAAGAGGGCGAGCAGAGATGTCCCAATGGACGGACATTGGTCATGGATGGACTCAAGTTCCTGGCTAGTAAGCCGCAGGATTTGGGGGTGCAAACGGAAGACGAGGAGGAGGAGCACCCCTACGACCTGCTCATTGTGGATGTCTACACGGGCTGGAACCCTTTCGCCTTCTTCGTTCGAGAGGAGATGCTGCACGTTCGCGAGAACTGGCTGACGCAAGACGGAGTGCTCGTCATGAACTTCGTTGGCTACATGCACGGCCCGCGCGCTGCAGCGCCCAAGTCCATCTACCGCACGTTGCAGAGCGTGTTCAAGTACGTCAAGTGCTTCCGTGAAATGGAGGCGCCGGACGAGCCCGATGCCGCCAACATTGTCTTCTACGCTTCAGACAAGCCCTTTAGCTTCAACTTGCCGAACACGCGCATGTACCAGAACCCGCAGCCGTACACATACTTCAGCGTACGACGTCTGGGTTGATTGACTGTTCGTCTGGATAGCGAGCTGACGCAGTGTTTGTTGCTCTTTATTTTTCCGTCGCAGGTTGTCAAGAATTTCCCAAACTGGGAGGTACAATTCGACTCATATCCCATCGATCCCTGTGCTTTATTAACGTATAATGTTTGCTCTTCTTGCAGATTTTCACGGAGCTGCAGGCTGAAGTAGAGGTGGCGATCCACCAGGAGATGGACGATGAAGAAGTGCGCTTTGTGTCGACCGACAGTGACAAGACTGGGCATGAGAATCCTGCCACTGCGCCTCGCGTACTGACTCAGGCCGATCACGGACAGGAAGACTTTCGTGAAATCCACGCGGAGACTCAAGCGCACATGCGCGAGCGCGTGCTGGTGCAATTCCCACCTGCGCTGTGGGCGGAATTCAAACAGAAGCCAGGCGCGACGCCCCCGCCCACAAGCAAGTAAATGCAGATGTCAAATGTGGTCAAGCAGCATTACGGCGTGCGATTTCAAGCTTGAATGTATTGAGGCAGTTAGTCAATTTGTTGCGACGTGCGGTCGCTCGCCGAGGGTTAAAGTTGTCTGGTGTTGGACCGCGCACGGGACTGGGACAGTCTTTCAAGGTTAAACATGTCGTGCAGCGCCTGCGAGCTGACGCTTGGGCGGGGCATCACAGGCTGTTGAATCGCAGAGGCATCTGGCTCGCGCTGTAGGAAGAAGCTGCTAGCTGGAACATGTACAAAGTGGTCTGGGTGGTGTGGCTCCGCTCTTACGCTGGACTGGGCAAGCGGAACATGACGCGTCGAAGCGAACAAACTGTAGTTAGACTGCGATAACGCACTTGCTTGCCCCATATTGTCATAGATCAGCACACTCGGCCGCAGCAACGGATGGGCCGGGTACTCAGCGGCCTGGACGTTCTCCACGAGGTGCTCGTTCTCAGCCATCGCCACGAGACGAACCACTTGGCTGTACGCGACGCTCGTTCTCTCGGTCTCAAACAGCATCTTGACGACGCTGTTGAAGCGGAACCGCGTCAGGCGGAAGCCAAACTTCCCGAGCACAGATCGGAGCTCGTCCACCTCGATGAGCCCCGAGCCAGCGGCGTCTCGCGCCTTCAATTCTTCCTGAAGGTCGGCAATAGTGAGCTCTTGCTGCGTTAGATGATGGCGAAGTGAGGCCGCGAACTCGGACCGCAGACGCACCACCTCGCTAAACGTCTCCACCACGCTGCTCAGCGTGTGCGAATCGATGCGAAGCGTGCTGCTAACAACGACAAAGTCGTAGAAAATGTGGCGCTGGAAGTACAACGCGTTGAGCACGAGCGGGAGCGGCACGAGTACTGCCGGTAGCGTGCCGAAGTTTTCGTAAATCTCGTCCAGATCGTACACGGCGCACTGCAGGAACAGCGTGATGAGGAAGCCGTTGAGCACGAGGAGGAGGATGACGCTGACGTGCCACGCCTTGTACGAGAAGAAGCGGATGTCGATGTTCGGCGACCCCGGGACGACCCCACCGATGCTCTCACACCCGTTGATCTTCCTCGAGTCCGCGCTAAACAGCGCTGATACACGGCTGCAGTAAGTTCCAAGCCGCCCGCCGTCTTGCTTGGCAAGCTTCCGCTCGCGCTGGACTCGCTGGTACTCGAACTCTTCGTGCTGTTCTTGAATGCTGCTCATGATCTCCAGCGCCTTGTCCGCCTCCTCGTTCTGCCACGCCTTGGCCTCCTCTTCGGCTATGGCGTGTAGGTTGGCAGTGAGGATGGTCTTATCTTCGTTGACAGCGGCAAGTCGAAGGAGATATTGGACGCAGGAGCGGAAGTAGAGGAAGACCATGAGGTGGAGCAGCAGCACGATCCACGCGACGATCATGAAGGCCTCTATCAGCTCCTGTCGCTCGGGCATGTCCGCATCTAGGGCCTCGAGAACATTGAGTAGTCCGCAGATCCCCCACGCCACAGCAAGGAGAACCACCCACATGGACGGCTCCACCTCGATCATGTGCGAGATCTGGTTGGCCTGCGCTCGACTGAGGTACTTGGCGAACGGGAAGAGCTGGGGGAACCCAAAGCGACGAAGGAAGAGACGGCGAAGCAGCCGCAACGCGACGAGTTTCTTAACAACAGTCTTCTTCTTGGACGCTCGACCGCAGCAAAGCAGCGTTCGGATGAACGACGGCACTGCGTCCTTGGCGTCGTCTACAGAATCCACCAATTCGACGAGGTCCTGCGTCTTCATTAGCTCGGCGCGATCCGCTCGATCGTTCTGGTTGCGGAGTAGCAGGAACACGGCAGTGGACTGCAAGATGAGCACCAGCGCCAGGAAGAAGATGGTGAGGTCGGCCACTTGGAACGCGAGCATGGTCTTGCTATCGCTGTCGATGTCCGGGTTCTCCTTGAGAATCTTGAGTCCGAGACTGATTAAGCCCAGCACCATGAGCTCTCGATAGACTTTCTTGAGCATGTGCTGGTACTTGTCGGACGCCGGGAAGTTGTGCTCCATGCGGTGCAGCGCCTTCTCGAAAAGCACGAGGCAGAAGGTCAGGATGCTCAGGTGCACCAGCACCCGCCAGAACTCGACATCCTCGCCGACCTGGAAGAGCGACCCGCCGCCCATGGTGCTGTTTGTAAAGTGGGTCCGTGCACCAAGTGCCAGGCTTTACGGATTGCCAGCAAAAGCACCATCTTGGGCTTTGCCAGACTTCCCAGCTGGCGACCCCGCAAGATACCGATGCAAGATACCGATGCATGGCAAAGCTGAACGTCGTGTTGACGGGTGAGCCGGGCCAACCCAAGTTGAGCTCCCAGCGCATCGAGCTTTTTGGAGAGCGATGCCTTGCATCGTTCTAGCATAGTGAGACGGGCTATCGGTTCGAGCTTCTGTGTGTTTTAACGAAGCGCAGGACCTGGATATTAATCATGTTATCGTGTGGATAGCCGGAGACCTTCCGGCCTCGGTTTGTGGAGTCAACGCGAATGGGGCAACGAGCCAGCCGAAAACATGATGCGGATTGCGCTTTGCCCCACCGAATGGCTCGATCGAGACTGACTCAAGGACTCAAGGAACGACTTGCTGATCATTACTGGCGATCGATGCTCGTGTACTGCGAAGAGGGTGGAAGTGTAATCGTTGAGAACCAGAGGTGGGGGTTCATACGTTATTCCGGGGAATCTACCGCCACCGATCAGGACCACATCCGACCGGATTTGACCACTTCTCACCTTTTTTGGACCCGAATGATTCCGGTTTATGGGAGATTCGAGGGCCCGAACTCCGATAAATTTAGGTGAGATCTCCGAACTCCGGCCGCAGCCCTGGAGGGGCGCAGCCGTTTTCCCTTTATTTACCGAGAACTTGTAGCTGAGGAGTTCGCAGTAGGCATGGCCTTGTCAGCAGCGCGCAATGATAACAAGGCAGCACGGTTGGACGGCGCTCATTCCCTCCCCGTCTAGTTTATCCTGAGGAAAAGGTGGATGACATGGAGTTGTCGCGGCTGTTTTCACGTCCGTTGTTCGTGTGGATCCCGGAGTATCGAGGAGGCAAAGGTCTGCCGTCGTGCATCAGCCGAGACTGCAACTGCAATCCGAAGGTGAAAGACTATTGCCGTCGTGTGGTGGAATCTGTGGAGTGCAAGTGCGACCTGGTATTTGTGAAGTGTAGGCGCGCTGTAACAGGATCATATGTTTCCATTGTGAGCTCGGATTACTTTGCACAATGGTCCGATATGATTTTTCACTTTCCATTTGTTCTGAGCCAAAAGCTAGTGTTCTCGAACTCACTCATGGAGATGGTTCATGACGGTATTACCGCGCAGGATGGGTTGCAACGTAGCATGGCCAATATGGAGCGTAGGCGCAAACAGCGCTACTACAAGCTTTTGGGTCTGTTTTCCAGTGGTATCAAGCGAAACCACGAGCGTTGCTTCACCTATCAGGCCCCCACTCCAATATCAGAGGATCAGTATGCATATCAAAACAAAGTTGTTGACAATCACACGCTTACGACGGCATGGCTACACGCTACAGAGCTGTACGGGTCGCTGTATGAAAAAGTGATGAAATACTGTGTTGTAAAGAGGGTCATGAGAATGGATCACTCTGTCAAGTTCTGCAAGCGGCTAAAGCTGTGGAAGGCCAAGGGGCAACGTGAATCTCTCAAAGATGCGAAAATGCTTTTGCTGTTCCAGAATGAAATTGGGCAGATTATTGGGCGGCGGCCGACCAGGTCTGAAAACAAGGAAGAAACACGAGCCTTGCTTCAACATGTGAAGTCGCAGTTTCGTGCGCCTTGTGGGGATGACCTGGATCATGTAGTTGTGTCGGATAACGCGTCGGCTGTCAAGAAAATTGTCACAGAAGTGATTGGTAGCGAGGTGGTCACAAAACAGGACCCCTTTCACGTGATAACTCGCATCACTGAAAAATAAAGGCACCCGTCACCAGCAAACGAATTTCAAAGGAACTCTCCCGTGCGATCTACAATGTGGATCGTGAATTGCGCCCTACTGCTGAAATGGCTCTTCAATTTCAAAGTGTAGTCAGCGGTGTTTTGCGCTCAAGTGTATCGTGCAGCCTGAAAGATTGGAAAGGGTCGTGTCAGAGTAATTTGGAGCAGATTCAGCGTGGCGAGTTGTACGTGGGCTCAAACACTAACGAGGAAGGCGGTCATCGAGTTCGCGTGGTATCTACTAGCCAACTTGAGGGCTTTCACTCTTCCTCATAAAACCTGCTTACCAGAAATGTATCCATTGATGTTGGCTTGCGGATCTTAGATTGGTTTATCGTCAAGCATAATTTGTCTATCGGTGCTAAGTTCGGGCGCAATCCGCCCATGAATGGCGTTGATTTGATGTCGGCGGGCCATACTGCATTACTCTGTGGAACGATGGTCCCTACTTCGCCTCAGATGGAGTATGTGATGCAGCTTTTCTCTTCGCCGCTTGTACCCCCGCAGTATAGAACGGAGACCGAGCGGGACTTTGACTTTGACTCCTGAGCACAGGTATTTCTAAGTGCAAGAGTGAACACAACATGTCTCGAAGGGACTCTTAATCGCTCCCGGCAACACCAGCGGAACTGCTGTTGAAAAGTGCCGTTACTCCAATCGGCCAAGCTGAAGCATGACGAGTTTTTTAAACTCTATTCGACTGGCAAGTACCGAGTGTGAAGGCGACCAGGGCTTCTCTACGGAGGAACACGAGCTGCTCAGGCAGCTGCGCAGCGAGCAGGCTGCTAGCAAGCGTGAATGGTGCACGTGTGAAATGATAACAACGATGATGTTCAATATTGTTGTTTGCAACAACACAAACCCTAAAATACGGCTACAACAGCGGAGCTATGCTACGATGGTCTCAAAAATTAAATCACTTGATGCTGATCCTGAAAGTACAAGCTCCGCTCGAAAACAAGCAAAAATATTCCATTTTGATCCTCAAGAAGCTGTTTCCCTGGTTTTGCGTTCACCGATAGACTGCGAGGCTGATTTGATGCGCGATGTCTTCAAGATTCTGCGAAAGTTCAAGGCCGGCACAGCTCATAAACGATTATCCCACCGTATCTACGACTTTGCAAGTTGTGTCTGCGCTGGAATTGGTCAACGTGATGAATCGGTGCGGGAGAAGCGCTGGGAAGCGCTGAAGGCGGTCCAAAACCGTAAGAAGAGGAAACTAGCGATGGTCACGAACCCCACAGACGCTCCATTATCTTGTCCAGCCCGTGATGAAGAAGAAAAACGAGCCGAGCCGTTAATTACTCTGCTTACAGATCAAGAAACTGCAGCGAACGATGACATCGATGCTTCGACCACTACAACTAGCGGAAATGCAGACGACGCACCTCCAGCAAGACTACAACCGCTGGATATTCGTCGTGACACTGTTGGGATTGGTGAAGATGCAGGACAATCAAGTGTTCCAGCAAAACGGCCTCGGCCATCTACTATCGCACCAGAGCACTTGGCTGAGTTGCGTAAACTGTCTGATTCGCTGGTGTATACTCGTGGAAAATATATATTGCTGCAGCAGGAGCTGAAGAAATATTACCCTGACGCGAACCTCACGGATAATCAACTACGTTGCCGCCTTAAACGACGTCGAACAGCAGAAAAAATGGCCCCAAGCCAGCGAGTAGCGGCAACGAGATATCTGACAGCATTGCTCCACCTCTCGGTCCAGCTAGCAAGGCGACTTCGTGTTCGAGCTGCCGCCAGAAGCACTTAAAGTGCGGTGAAGGGTCTCAAAATCCTGCGTGTTTGCTAGCGAAGAAGAATACTACTCGTACGATAACAGAGTTCTTTAGCGTATAGCAATAAAAATCTACCAGCATCGAGACAACATTGTGGTCAAATGTGGTCAAAGTGGTCGCGAGACAAATACCACCATCTCCCATGCGCCCATGATTCCCCCGGTATTCCGTTTGAGTAGAGCAAGCACGCCCTAAAGAAGAAACGCGCTCACCCAGCACGGGTTGGAAGGCCTCGCGGACGGCCACCTCGAGGCCACGCTACAGCTGTCTATCCTACGGATACGACTGCCGAGAGCCCGGCGTTCTATCGCGGCGACGTCACTGTGGAGCGCTGCGTCCGGCATGAGTGGGTCTCTGTCTCTGGCTATCGTCCTCGTCGAGCGGGTCTGTGCGTCTATCGACGGGTGCGGCCGCCGAGTAGGCAACATCAAGCTGTCCGTGGGCAGTGGCGATACGGCTAAGGGCGGCGGCGTGCGCTGGCTTGAATACGACGAGCACCGCTGCGGGCGGCGTGGGCGGCGACGTGGGCGTGTCCAGCGGCGAGAGCAATAGCTTCACGAGCGGCAATGTGCTGATGCACACTCCGGATGGCGGCGTGGGCGCAAACAGCACGGCCGCTTCGTCGGGCCTGATCAAACTGACAACGGGCTGGGCTCGGCGGGCGACTTGCGGCAACGGCGGATCCGTCTTGCTCAGCGTGGGCACGGGTAGCAGCGGTGCTGGCGAGGCTATCTCGCTGCGGTTTGGCGACACACAGGCTGGAACAGGAGCGGCTCTTGCAGCGCAGGTGACGTGTCTGACTGCGGAGGCGAAAGTGGTCCGCTGTCTTCGGTTTGAGTGCTGACGAGCAGCAACAAGTAAACGTTGCGATGGTCGCTGCCTAGAGACAAGTGACCAACCTGATCAGGAAGAACCTCGTCATCAGATGCCGCAAGCCCGTGTCCTCCGTGTTTGAGCTGCTGCTGCCGCCCGTGCTGACGCCCTCGCTCGTGTTCATCGCCAACCTGGACTCGATCTTCGGTACCGGGGGCAACTACAGCAGCTCGTCCGATGCGGCCACGGGCACCATTATGTACACGGGACTGGACTCGCCGGCGTACACGGACTACGGAGCGCTGAGTACCAACATGCCGACGTTCTACAGCAGCGGCCAGAGCGTGAGGCGCTTCCTGCTGATCAGCTACATCAAGTTTGTGTCCACGACCACGACGACCACGATGATCGAGAAGAACCGGAGACCTAACAGCTCGTCCACGTAGGGCTTGACGCTACCCTAGCGCTCGATGGCGAGCAACACAACGGGCATGGCATTTAGCGTTCAGCGTTCTGCAAGGGCTGCGCTGCGTTCGAGATTGCTAAGGACACCAAGCTGTGGATGAAAGGCCAGCTCATGAATGCGAGATTGGTTCACCTCGCAAGAAGGAGAACAGAATGCATGTTTGATGGAACATGTGCGATGTAATGATCTTATCTAAATCGATCCTACCTGACTGTCTTGGTTGCTCTTTCGTTTTGTGCAGTAAAGACGCAGTGCTCGAGTCAATGGCAGACCTCCTTCCAGTGCTCGTTCTCGCTGAAAGCGGACGAGCTGTCGGACGAGTTGAGTTTGTCCGGCTCCGTGGACCGCGAGCTGCCGGTCTTCTAGTACTTGCCGCGCGTCGTCTCCAGCTGAGGGGTCATCTTCTGCGTGAGTTCGACCTCCTTGTTGATCGCGTCGCAGGCGCATCAGTGCTCCGAGCTCCTGGCTGGTCCTCAGCAGCTCCGCCAACTGCTTCTTCAACTTGGCGTTCTCCTCTCGCATGCGCGCGAACTCGTCGTCTTGCTCAGCTTTCTCCATCTTGAACTTGGAGAACTCTTCGCGCACGCGGTCGATCTCTCTCTCCTTCTCGATCTTCTCGATGCACAGTTTGGAGAAGATCTGACGAGCCAAGCGGCCACGCTAGATGCGGATAGCTGCTGCCTCCGCCTCCTGTCTGCCCTCCTCCTTCATCACGGCGAACTGCTTCCGCTCCTGGTTTTTCGCTCCTCCTTGTCCAGGTCCTTGTAGCCGTGCTCTGCGCTGCACTGCTCCACCTGCCGGCGCTCAGGCTGCGCCCCTTCGTCACGTCAAAGTGCTTCAGCACCGCCTCGGTGTCTCCAGCTCATAGCGAACGTCTGTCACGGCTTGAACTCCCTTTGAACGACCTTGTACTCAATTCTAAACTGACTTATAAACTTATAAACAAACATGCGGCGGAGTGTCGGAGTTCGGAGCTCGGTGTCGGATATGTCGGGGCCTGTCGGCCCCAACATATCGTATGAACCCCAGAGGTCGGAATATAAAATATCATATTGTATTTTGGTTTTGGAGTCGCAGTAATAATCATTGCAATACAGGGTCAGCCAACAATGCAGTATTTTCACAATTATTGGCAATAAATATATACGGGATTTTTGTAGTAAGCTTAGTTTTTGTATTGGCGCAAGTGTTGATATTGTATTGGTACAATTTTCCATTGTACAGAAAAAATAATATCAATACAATAGTTACGGCATTTTTAGCACGGATTAATTTATTATTGCTTTAGGGAACACCCTAAAAAAATAATATCAATACAATAGTTACGGCATTTTTAGCACGGATTAATTTATTATTGCTTTAGGGAACACCCTAAAGCAATAATAAAATGCCGTAACTATTGTATTGATATTATTTTTTCTGTACAATGGAAAATTGTACCAATACAATATCAACACTTGCGCCAATACAAAAACTAAGCTTACTACAAAAATCCCGTATATATTTATTGCCAATAATTGTGAAAATACTGCATTGTTGGGAACACCCTAAAGCAATAATAAATTAATCCGTGCTAAAAATGCCGTAACTATTGTATTGATATTATTTTTTCCAACCCCTGTTGAGAACGTCAACGTGGATGCGTGCCGGGTTATCCGTTCAAAGCCTTCTCGAAAATAGGAAGATACCGCACACTTGCACTTGTACGAATTGTTGAGTGGCAACGCTGTACTTTACAGTGCGCACCAGTTCCACGAAGTTGGGTTTTGATGATTTCTTTGACTGATACCTCAGCACGCAGAAAACCTAACTTTGCTGAGTCGCCTCGAACCTGAAAGCCTTTCCAAGTTGAACATGCCGTGCAGTGTTTAGGAGCTGACAATGGGGGACGGAAGCCCAGGGTGTTGTGGGCGCTTGATTCAGTTACGGCTGTCCATTCGAGCACTTGGGTTGGGTTTGGGCTCCGTGTTCGATGGGGGTAGCTGCTTGGTTGAGGAAAACAAGTTGTAGTTTGACTGAGACGGTGCACCGAAGTTGTCGCGAGCGAAATTGCGAGAGCGCAGCAGCGGGAGTGGCTGGTGCTGGCCGACAAAGTTGGCCCTGGCGGCGTGGCTCTCGCTTTTAGCCATCAAGACGAGGCGGATAACTTGGGAGTAAGCGAGAGCCATGCCCTCGAGCTCGAACAACAACTTCACGACACTGTTGAAGCGAAACCGTGTCAGGCGGACTCCAAACTTTGCGAGAACTACACGAAGGTCTTCCACGCCGATAAGCCCCGAGCCACTGGGGTCTCGAGCCTTCAGCTCTGCTTCCAGATCCATGACAGACAACTGACGCTGCGTTATTTGTTGCAACAACGAGGTTCCGAACTCAGACCGAAGCTGAATGACGTCGCCGAAGTTTTCAACCACATCGCTGAGCACACGAGAGTCCACGCGGAGGATGTTGCTGATGACAACGAAGTCGTAGAAGATGCGGCGCTGAAATACAACCGTATTCAGCACCAAAGGCAGCGGCACCACAATGGTCGGTAGAGCTCCAAAGTCGTCATAGATCTCGTCCAGATCGTACACAACGCACTGCACGAACAGGTTGACGAGGAATCCGTTCAGAATCAGCAAAAGCATGACGGTGGCGTGCCAAACTTCGTGAGAGAAGAAGCGGAGCTCAAGCTCTGGCGAACCAGCTACGACTCCACGGAGGGCCTCCAACTCCTTCTCCTTATTCGAGTCCTTGGGTACAATATCTTGAAGCCTTGTGCTTTGTTCACGCTGGCGCCGGCAATGAAGCTCCTCGTGCTGTTCTTGGATACTGCACATGATCCGTAGCGCCTTATCCGCCTCCTCACTTCGCCAAGCTTTTTCTTCCTCTTCAGCGATCGCGTTCAAATTTGCGCTAAGAACTGTTTTATCTTCACTGAATGCCGCTACCCGCAGAAGGTAGTGCACACACGTACGAAAGTACAGGCACACTATGAAGTGCAGAAGCAATAGGATCCACGCTATCATGAAAAACGCCTCCACAAGCTCCTGGCGCGCCGGTATGGTGCCGTCTAGCGCCTTCAGTAGTCGGAGCACTCCGCAGATCGACCATGCTACGGCGAGCAGAGCGATCCACATCGACGGTTCCACCTCAATCATGAGCGAAATCTGGCTCGCTTGCGCGCGACTGAGGTATGTGGCGAACGGGAAGAGCTGTGGTAGTCCAAATCGTCGCAAGAACAGGCGTCGTAGTAGGCGCAACTCGACAAGTTCCTTGTCCATGGACTTTCGCTTCGCTACTCTGCCACAACAGAATAGTGTCTGGACGAACGAAGGCCCCATGTCTTCCGAGTCCGTTGAAGTTATCGCTTGGGCCAGGCCTCTCGTTGTAACCAACTCGGCTCGATCAGCCCGGTCGTTCTGGTTGCGGAGCATCAGGAATATGGCAGCAGACTGCAAAATAAGCGTAAGCGCCAAGAGAAAGATGGCCAGGTCGGCCACCTCAAACGCGATCATTGGCTTCCCCTCGCTGTCGAAGCTGGGGACTTCCTTGAATATCTTGAGTCCAAGGCTGATCAAGCCGAGGGTCATGAGTTCGCGGTATACTTTCTTGAGCATGTGCTGATATTTGTCGGACGGAGGGAAGTTGCGCTCCAGACGATGCAGCGCCTTTTCAAAGAGCACGAGGCAGAGTGCTAGCACGCTCAAGTGCACCAGCACTCGCCAAAACTCGACCGTCTCGCCCACTTGGAAAAGAGATTCGTCTTCCATCTCGGTTTTTGTAAAATGAACTTCTTGAAGATTTACCATCGTGGACTTCGGGTCGGCACCTCCAGAAGATCCGATCGAACTCCGACTTTACATGAGCGAATGTTGCAGAGTTTCCCGTCTCTCATGTGCAATTTGTTCATGTGAGCCGGGTATACCGAGGACGCGCAGCGTGACGGGTAGACGGATATCTTTCAATGTGCTTGGTTTGTGGCGGAAACGGACGCACACGGCACCAAATGATACTGCATACGCGCTTGTTCTTCGACAAAGCAACTGGTAAGTCCACACGTTGGGAGCATTGTGGTCGATAGCCCAGCGATGCTGTCTATCTCGCTGCACCAGGCAAATGCCCTAGCACACTTGGAATAAAGCAGCGGTGGCACTTATCGAGCAACATAATGTAGCAATACCGGCACGCATCCGCACCACGGTGTCTGCTTTCACTTAGCAACGGCGTTCATCTTACAGCCAGGCTGACTTCGCTCAATTTCTGCTCTGGCACGCGAAATGCTGGTGGGCGCAGGTGTCCTCACGCTGTTGATGACCCTTTGAGCGTCCAGCACAAATAACATCTAACTTGTTGCTGCACGCTCGCAAATACGTGCAGTCTGTTGCAACCTCCGCAGAGATCATGGGGGAAAACAACACACGGAGCTGAAGTTGACGCGCCGAATTCGGGCCCGCCAGCCGTTCCGCGTCAAGCTGTTTATCACCGCCTCGGACCGCGTCAACCAAGCCGCTAGAATAGCGACCACCGCTCACGCCCACACCCTCACATCGTGTTCATCGCTCCAACGTCGCCATACTGGCAAGGTGGCAGCTTGCGACTCCCTCCTGCACGCGAGAGAAGCCTTTGCTATCCTGGAAAGCAGCATGGCGAGCTTGGAGCTGCTTGTTTCAGCGTAGGATATGCGGTGTCAGGCTCCAGTCTCCAGCACTAAACCGGATTCGGTGACTCATTGCGGCGGTCAGTAAGCGTCGCGGATCCCGGCGGTCTTTCAAAGACCCAAAAACTCTTTGGGACTTCCATCCGTCGCGCGCGACTGCCGACTGCCGCGCCTTTCACGTACGTCGGTGGCTGGCGATGGCTGCCTCCAGGCCCTGGAGTCCAGGGGATCGGCGCCGGGCGCTGTGGGCCAGTCACGCGCTCGCACGCGCGTCCACAGCCCATTGATGCCTGCCGGGGGTTCGCCTTTCGCGCCCGGCGAGAAATGGAAAGAGACAGCCAGGTATACCCGGAGTGATGGTCGTTCTGCTTGGGGAGCAGCCTGCGCCGATTGCGCAGCCAATCATCGGCCGTCATCGTGCTCTGTCTCATATCTTCAGTTTTGCCTTGATGCGCCCATTCTATTTCCCAGCTCAGGCGACTGGCGGATGGCGCCGCGCATGTCGCCAAGTCTCGGCCGCCGGGTAATTCCCAAAATACGGAGTGCTGGGGAAACTTTTGACATTTTCAACCTTTTGCGACCAAACACGGAGTTGTGGGAAAACTTATTCCCAAGACCAGCCTATAGAATCGTAGAGGTAGCCTTCACTGCCGAAAACACCAGACTCAAGAGCCCACGTGCACTTCTCAATTTTCTTCGAGACAAGCGCCCCACAAGCTGCAGCAATGACCGCGACCAAGATGACCGCGACGACGGCGTACGTGGCCGACCACGAGCGCCCGCACCAGCTTCAGAAGCTGCAGAAGCTCATGCCGCACGACTGCGCCATCGTGGTGGCGGCGCAAAGCGGCGAGGACGTGGAGCTGCCCACCGTGACCCGGCCCCAGGGCATGCAGGAGCGTCTGCAGCTCGACCTTGAGGCGCACCGCCGCTGGAACACGAGCCTCTCGGTCGGCTTCCTCAACAGCGTCGACCGCATCGAGATCAACGAGACAAGCGTCGGCGAGGACAAGGCGGTCTACTACACGCTCGAGGTGTATCTTAGCCTGCCGTCATCACGACTGCCCACGAGCCCCTGCGACCCGACGGACGCGCCTTCCCCGCGCCACCACGCGACTCGTCCGACGTTCAAGGTGGAGTGGTGCTTCGCCGAGTTCGAGACGCTGCGCGAGAATGTGCTGAGCGCCGTGAGCAACATGCCGCAGTGCACGTGCCAGTACTGCATGGACTTCCTCGTCTACATTCGCTACAAGTACAGCCAGCCGCGTGGCATCGTCAAGCTCACTGCTGGCACCGAAAAGCGCCGGCAGATCCTCACCACATTCATCAACGACTTCGTGATCATGGGGCAGCGTCGGGCACCAACACTCGGCAAGCGCAAATGCGAGGCCCAAAAGCTCGTGCCAGCCATGCTGGAGTCGTTCTTGCTCAGCAACGCGCAGAACAGCTATTAAATCGGTGGGCAAAATCCTAGCATGTTAGGAGCGCACGTGGCGCATTATCTAAATTACAAGTAAATTATTCATTGCGCAACTCCAGCATACTCTTCACGTGTAGTTACAGCTCGCATGCAGTGATAGAGTTCCAGTCCTCGTCGAACTCCGTCTGAATCTTGGCAGGTTGTAACACTAGCTCTTCACCTTCTCTCGCTTTCGTGACACTTGCGAGCGGATCAAAATCTCCCGGAAGTGCGATCTCTGGCGGGAACGAATCTACGATGTAGATATCGCTGTCAGAGCTAAGCTGCGCGACGTGGCCGAACCAGTATATCACCATCCCGGGGCCGTAACGATTCACATATCCTTGCAGCTACACGACCACAGCGCAATTAGGTTCACTAATAAAGTCAAAGACAACCACAGCATCTACCGCGACGCACCTGGCTCGCGTTCTCCGTTTCATGCGTGTGTCGGTCGCCGAACATGGCTTTGCTATCGATCCAATTGACCACATGCAGATGTCCGCTCCTGGAGTCCTTCACACCGATCGGCAGTAACAGCCTCACGTCGGGCGTCTTGGACAGCCCCTTCTCCCGGAGCACGTCTTCGCTCTCGAACACCAGTTGCCGGTTGCGCAGCGTCTCCAGCAGCAGATACTCGTACTCGACGCCCATGTTGTGGCGGATGCGGTCTGCCAACGGCGAACAGTACACGTCTCCATCGATGCACTCTCGGATCTCCTGCATCACCCGCGCGTACGCTTGCTCCGAGAGGCCTCGGCGGTTCGGCGGCTCCGCTTCGTCCAGCTCGCACTCGTCCTTCATGGCCTCCTTGAAGAAGTTGGAGATGGTGGTCTTGCTCCAGCCGTACTTAGCGTCCAGCAGCAGCCGCGCCATCATGCACGGGGAGAAGTCCACGGACCTAGCGATCTGGCACATGGTCTCGCGCCGGCCGAGTCTAGCCACGTACTTCTTGAGCGCCTTCTCCTGGCGGTGCAGACGCAGCGCGGCGCGGAACTGGCGGTGCTTCAGCTGGCGCTTGATCACGGAGAAGATCTCCTCCGACACGGAGAGCTGCTGGCGCGCCGCGGCATCCGTGGGGAACGCGTCCAGCAAGCAGATGAGTTCGAACTCGTCCTCCTCCATGTTGGACCACAATATATTGCAATAACATTGCAATATCGCATTGAGATATGGAACTGGAGAATGTCATGAAGATGCGTTTTGGTGGGTTAAAGTCACGTTGACTTGGATAAATTATTGTATCTAATACACTGGACTAAACTATGCAGGATCGAGAGTAAACAACGCAGGCTCAATCCCGGAGGAACGACTCGAGCAAGGCCGGCACGTGCTGGTGGGCCTCGCAGCGGTGCACCGTGTTCTTGGAGGGGTTCTGCGCGAGGTCGACGAAGTCCGTCATGAACTCCTGCAGGATCTCCTTGCGCTTCTCGACGTTCTTGGCCGTGAGCGACACGAGCAGGCGGGGCTGGCGCAGCTTGAAGCGCATGTAGCGGCCGTACTCGTAGCAGTACTGGCACGTGAACTGCGAGTTGGGGCACGTCCAGAGCTTGATCTGCTGGCGCAGCTTGGCGAAGTCGGAGTAACGGCGCTCCACGCGGAAGTCGGGCTCGCGCGTCTCGCTGGCGTCGGACAGGCGCGTGACCGCCATGCGCGGGTTGTTGACATTCGTGGGCAGGCGCGAGTTGTAGTGGAACTGGAACACCTCCAGCGCGTAGTAGGTCACGCCGTTGCGCTCCACGGTCTCGTTGATCTCGAGGCGGTCGATGTTGCTCAGGAAGGAGAGCGAGGAGGACGCCGTCGACCAGCGCAGCGGCTCCACGCGCACGGGCGTGAGCGGCGGCGCCTTGATGGCCGCGGGCATCTCGCGCTGCGACTGCTTGCGCGCAAGGCGCGGGATCAGGTTCAGCTGCAGCGGCGCGTGCTCGTCGGGGGCGGCGATGGCGACGACGACAGGCTGCGGCATGCTTGGCTCAGTACACTGCGGTGGTGATTTGAGTGTCAGACGGTGAATTCCGAAATGAAGATGAAGGTCCGGCGGTGATCGCCAGCCGCACGTAATCCAAGCTTTGAAACGGGCGGTGGATGCTTCAAGCTGGGGGCGTGTCTCTACCAACGCGGTCCGACGTGGACCTCTGCGGCCGCTGATTGGTCAGCTGAGCGGAAATTTGCGTCTCAACGTGAAATTTGGAGCACATGAGTTGCACATAAATTGGCGTGGCACAATCACCCCCGCGATAAGTGGCCGTCGCGCCGCCTGTGGGGAGCTCTGGGCTGCGCTTTGCGTTGCCTTTTGCGAGCTTCTTGGCTCTGCTTTGCTCTGCAGGGCGGCGTTTTCGCTGATCACGGTCACGGGCGCTTACGTCCGCGTTCGCATCACTTTTCGGAGCGTTGTTTGCGGTCATTTCTGGGCAGAAAGGCGAAAAATCACGAGAGTGTTGGTACTGGCCCAAGGCGCAAGTTGCCCTTGCAGCGCAAGGCGAGCTTGGCTTGCACCTCGTGCTCAATCGCTGCTGCTACAAGCATGGGTGGGGCGGGTGTTGCTCGATCGCTCCCTCGCTCGGCGCTGCAGAAATTGCTGCGGCGCAGATATCATCGGCTGGGGCCAGATCCGCTGCCGGCGACGCGGCGAGCGAGGTGAAGCCATCTGAGTGCGGTGCTGCGCTCGAGGCGTTGTGGCTGGACGGAGGCTCATTTGCCGCCGGGATTCCTGAGTTCGTCGTGGTCGTGCTTCGTATCGCGGACAGCCTTGCCGACAGCGGCGACCACAAAACTGCAGCGCTAAAGCGGCTGGCACACATTGGAGACCACGTCTGGTTCGGTGCAGACAAAAGGGAAAAAGGCTGCGGAGACACAGCGCAAAGCAGGCAGGCGGCAGCTACTGCATCTAGTGTAGGTTGGATTTTGCGGCAGCGATCTGGGCGCCGTGGGCGACTGCCAGGCCGGTGCAGTGTGCAGTACCAGCAGCAAGCGTGCCCGAGATGGCTTGAAGTTGCCGGGAAACTTCAGGTTTTGAATCGCGCCGCGCAATCCAGGATCCGATTGCTCCGGGCGTCATCATGTGTGGACCACGCCCTCGGATCGAGGCTGAGGCCTGCGAGTCTCGACTCGAAGTTCTGGTCTTTAGAACAGGGCGGCGTGGGCACCGCCAGCTAAGCTCCGACTTCGGCAGTGTGTCGCGGATGCGATAGCCCGGGCCTGCTCTCGAGTCCAACGGCGGTCGCAACACCCACTTCGCGGCAGCGAGAGAGCTCGGACAGCGCGAGCCACACCCAGTTTGGTTGTGGCCACTTGCTGCCAGCAAGTCGCTGCTGTAATACAGTGTAGTGGACCGCTCCCGAGCTCGAATTCCATCAATCTAGCAGCGAGTACAAGCACCATTCCGCGAGTTCCTCCCCACAGGCTATAGCAGCTTACCTAATGGCCGCTTAGCGCCGCAGCCATTCAAAATAGGTCGCAGACACTTCTCGCCTTGCCTGCCAGCTCGGCGCCCCATCCCATACACTTCGTCGCCATTACACCATGGAAGCCCACTTCGTAGAACCCACCGCAACCGACCATGCCGTCGGGAGCGACCTCCCCGCGCGTTCTAACGCCATCCCAAACCGCCCTCGAGGCGCTCCACAGTGCCAGGCCCCCGCCTTCGTCGTCTCCCCCGGAAGTCCGCGGCCCCAGAAACTCGTTCGTGCCGCTGCAGCGCCTCGAGTGCGTTCGTGTGGCCAAGAAGCTGCGCCGCAATGGCCACCGCCTGTACGTGGTCGGCGTCTTCTACAAGCGCAGCGAGGCACGCCGCCGCCTGTCCGACTGCGTCTACAAGGCCTCCGTGGCCTCCAAGCTGCCGCCCGACGCCATGAGCGCGCTCATTATGTCCGAGCGTGAGCCTGACTACGTGGTCGAGCACCGCTTCTCCGAGTTCCGCGAGCTGCGCGCCTGCGTTGCAGCGCTCGTGAGAGCCAACTGCGCGCACAGCGTAGAGTGCGCCGGCTGCCAGAACTTGCAGCGCGTGATGGTTAGTCCGCAGCACCAAAACTGGACGGTGAAGCGGATGTTTGGCAACAAGGAGCAGCGCTTTGCGTTGCTGACGACGTTTGTCAACGACCTGCTGGCGCTCATGGGCGAGCGTTCGACTAGCGGAAGCATTACGGAGGAAACTGGCGGTGCGGGGAGTGCCGATTGCAGCGTTCGAGAACGGGTGTTGGAGTTACTCCAGAAGTTCCTCAAACGAAGCTATCAGCCGTCGCTGGGAATTATCTAACAAGTTCATGTAGACCTGGGCGGTAATTTGACGGACGAGAATGTGTTGCAAACACGTTAGCGTACTTGAGACTGGATGAACGCACAACTATGATAGCGGCCGTACTTGTTCGCTACTAATCGCGAATTATTTTTTGGTTGACTATATTCCTAAGAACAATGCTTACTGTTGGCGGCCTCTATTATACTAGTGGAGCACCGCGCTCGCTGGGCTCAAGACTCGACCCCCAAAACTAACGTTGTGTTGGTAAAGTATCGTCTTACGAAAGAGCATGAATCTGCAAGCAATAGTTTACATTCTACTACAGTAGTAGGCAGCAAGCAATTTATAAGGAGTTTTACCTGGAAGCGCCGGTTCCCTCGCGTGTGTTCAAACCACTACCTACAATACACTGAAGTTGATGTTCGTCTGCAGCTTCCTCTATCGTGTTCGGTGTTTCATTCTGCTGGTGCTCCCTGATCTTCACGCGGAACTCTTCTCGATACTCTGGATGAGTCGAGAGGCACCGACCAGTGTAACCAGCCCGGGCGCTTAGTGTTGCAACCAAAAGCGGATCGCAACATTTGCTTTCAATACAACTTTGTCTCGCAGAAGTGAAGTTTGCCTTATCGTTGTGCTTCCATCCAAAAGAAATGTTTGATCCGGTAGACGACCTACACGCAATCTCGAGTGGAGTACTTCACGGGTTTATATTTCATGGCAAACACCTCTATCGGCAGTGGGTCACTGTAATAACATGCAATACGAATGCTTGTTCGTCAAGAAATCTATGCGGCCTCGGTCTCTTCCGGGGCACGGTCAAACAGGAAGCTGTACAGCAGCTGCGGCACATGAGCCTGGCCGGAGCACACTCCGCGGCCATCCGCCGACGAGTTCCGAACTGTAAGCGTGAGTAGGTCGTTCAGAAGCTTGGTCAGTTTGCGCAGTGCTCGCTCCTCGCCCAGCAATCGCAGCGTCAGCGCCTTCGGGTTCGCGCTGCCCAGCACGTAGAGCTCGACGAACTCGGCGCAAAACTGGCAGTGCGCATCGCTGTGAGCTGACCACGCGGTGTCATAAATGTCACCCCGCAACAAGGCCAATTCGGCCAGGGTCTTCTCCATCTTGAGCGCTGCCTTCAACGGCCTCCCGCCGGTCGCAATCGGCTCAACGCTGGTAGGGCTCTCGTTGTCCATGGAGTTCCGGAACACCTCGATCGTGTAGCGAGCACTGCAGCCTTTGCCTGTGCGGCCCGTCACGCGGATGTCGACGATGGTCTTGAGTTCCAGCAACGCCTGTCGACGCGCCGATATCCACGCGGGCTCGATGCACACGGGCACCAGCAATTGCAGCTTGACTTTGTTGGACAGGCTCGGCAGCATCGTATGTATTGGAGACAGCTGGGAAGGGCTGTCACCGCTCGGTGGACGCAGAACTGAAGGAAGTCGCGAGTGCAAGGCACATTCGAAAGTGAGGACCTGAGTGCCGGTACCGGTGCATGCACGTATCGCAGCGCCGTGGATGGCAGCCAAGGGCTTCAATGCGCAGGCACACGCGGAACGTCTAAACATCAACACTGAAGCGCAAAGAGTCGGTCCCTCCGACTACCTGGCCCGTCACGGACGCGTTACTGCGAACTGTACCGGTACAGTTCAGTGTCTGCAGATGTCGGTCTTCGAAGTCATGCTCACAAGGACAAAGAATTTATTCGGCGGTGGGCCATTTACTATTAGCGCGACGGATACGTTACATAACTTGGCGATCTATACTCTAGACAACTTCGCTCGCTGCCTTGAACAGGAAGGTGTGCACGAGCTGCGGAACGGAGGTCTGTGCGTCGCAGCAGCCCCGAGTGTCCGTGCAAGTGTGCTGCGTGGTCACCTTGAGCAAGACGTTCGCAAACCCAGCTAGTGTCTTGGCCATCCGCTTACCGCCCAGCAAGCCAACCCAAAAACCGTCCGGGTTCGCCCCAAACACGATCAAGTCCAGGATCCCAGCGCAGAACTCACAGGGGTCGCGACGGTGCGCTGCGTGCGCAAGCTCATACACTTGGTTACGGAGGTGCACGAAGTCCATTTGGGTCCTCGCGATTTGGGTAGTCGGTCGCCGCGGCCGCGCCTCGTCCGGCCTCGCGGGCTCCTCGTTGTCTGCGTTTGCCACGGCGGACGAGTCTGCAAACACCTCGACGACGAACTGGTCTTTCTTGCCTACGCTGCTGACTTGCACCGCGTCCACTTTCTTCAGTTCCAGCAGGGCGCTACGCCGAGTCGACACGAGCGAGGGCGCGATGGCGACGGGCACTAAGAGCTGGAGCTTCGAGCCCAGCTTGTCGGAGAGAGGCGGCAGCATGTCTTCTTGGTGGTGCAGTGTGCTTTATTGCGTTCGATGAACTGTGGGCTGAGCACCACAATTGGAAATGGCCAACCGCATTTTCGTGGTTGGCACCGCAGCAACAGAGCCTTCAACTTGCGCACCGCTCATCAATCACTGCTGTTTAGATTGTTGAACCGCTCATCATAACAAAAAGATTAGATGCGTTCCGGTGCAATACCGGTATACCGGTACATTGTGCCCGTCGACTCGTCTACAGGGCAGCAACTGAAGTTCGCAAATGCGGGCGTCTTCAGGTTGCAGCCACTCCCCAAGCGCTCCAACTTGGACTCCAAGCTCACCTCACAGGCCGTAGACATCAGCTTCCGGCGGCGGTCGTGCGCCGCGCAAGTCGCGCGGCCCCGCCTGCGCTCGGGATTCAAGGCTGAGACAGAGATCGGGCACGTTGCAGTCCCTCTTCTCCACTTCTATCCGCCGGCGTGTTTGTCCGGTGCTTTGGCGCCCGCCCAACCGCCGCGGCGCAATGCCATCCGTCACGGCACCAGTGCACCTATCGACGTTGCCAGCACGCCGCGTTGATAGCTACTGGAGACGAGCAAGGAGCGCCGGCAGCACGTGGCGGAGGCTCCTGCCTCGAGCGTGTCCGCTCGTCGCCCAAATCGCACAAGAAAATGTGACGCGGCCAGCGGTTCTGAAGTTCCCGCGGCCAGTCGTTCCTTGATCGAAGCGCATGGCGCTTCGCACGCACGCGCTTGCGAGGTGCAAGATTCGTACACGCGACGCCGAATCTGTAGGCTCGCTGTCGTTTCTTGTGGCTTGCAGTTCATGGCCCCGCGTTTTTGGCGGCCGATACATGCATAGAGCGCCCCCACTCTTGAAAAGAACTCGCCAACAAGACACCCCCAACATGCTCCAGTCGCTCTCGATCCGGCCGCTGGTGCCCGTCATGGGCGGCGACCCATGCAGCCACTCGCGCCCCGAGCCAGTCGCCGACATCCTCACCTCGCCCGACAGCCACAAGGGCATCAACGCCACCGTGCACGTGTACTTCCGCCAGTCGGCCGACGATCAAGCCCAGCCGCTGCAAGAGCGCACCCCGGACTACTCGTTCCGGTGCACGTTCGCGGAGCTCAAGAAGCTGCGCTCGCAGATCCAGTCCAGCGTGGGCCGCGGCGGTCACTGCGCGCACTGCAAGCGCGTGGCGACCTACATGGCCTACTGCTGGGAGCGTCCGCGGCTGCTGGCGCCGTCGTGGCAGGGCGGCATGACCCTGCAGATGGAGCCGCTGACGTCGTTCCTGAACCAGCTGCTCTGCTTCGCCGCCCAGCTCGGCGCCGAAGACCACCCGGAGTTCGCTGCTATCATGGCCCGTTTCATGCAGCCGCGCGATGAAGTATAAGCCTCGCCTCGACTTGACATTGGATGACCGATGCACGCCCGGCAATTAGCTGACGCGCCACGTCCACGTAGGCCCAACCGACCGGGAGCAACACAGTTTTGCTGGACCGGAATCGGACCGAGCGTACCCGCCTGCTCAAAGCAAAATATGCTTTGATGCAAGGAGATAGGGACGCGGGGTCGATGCCCACTTGCGAGGGTACCCGCCTAGCAGCAAAGCTACCAGTGTTTGGTAGCCAATTCGCTGCTGGTGAGATTGGGACCTCACGCTGCTCCACGCAGCTCACTTGGGCATTTCTGAAGGACGAAGAGTCCGCGCAAGCGTCGAGGCTATTGTGGTCGTCGTTTGATTCACCCCCTCCCTCCCTATCACACACTCATGCTCTCGCTCCACGTAACAACACCTTGTCTGCTTGTATTCTTGAGCATGCAGTGATCATATCATTAGGAATAGAGTAAGAGAAATACAGGAATGTCTACAGAATCTCGGATACCAAAGGTGATTCGGAGACTCCGTGACGGAGCTCAGCTGTCTGGCGCGCGAGGCAGCAGGAACTGGCGCATGACTTGGTGGCTTTGGACCTGACCCGAGCACCACGGCGTACCCTCGATGGAGGAAAAGTGCTTCAGCATGTCCAAGACGTCGTCCATAAACTCTTGTAGTGACCGCTTGATCTTATCTCGTCCGACGAGGACTCGGAACACGCTGCTGCCGAAGCGCTTGTCCCCGCTGTCAATGTAGAGAATCATCTCCTTGCAGAACTCGCAGGACGCGTACGTGTGCGCCAAGTGGGACGCACTGTAAAGCGCCCTACGAAGGCTGTCAAAGTCCGCGAGACTCTTTTCGACGTGGTAGGCTGGCGTTCGACCGTCGCCATAGAACTTTGAGCATGCAGCGTCGAAGTCCCGTGGGCTGGGGCCAGAAGTATACACTTCCAGCACATAGTGCGTTGTTCCTTGGCGACGCGAGGTTGCACCGGAAACGAGCACCTGCTCGATCTCGTCAAGCGTGAGCTGGCGACGTTGAGTGGTGGACACCGCCATTGCGTCCACCGAGACGAGGTGTGGTAGCGAGCACGAAGGCGATGATGTGGAGCGGGCGTGCTGCGGTGTCTGCATGTCGAGTCGACCGATGAAACGCGCTGCGTCGGAAGCAGCCAATTCTGAAGTGAGCCGGCGGCGGCCAGGCTCTGCGAACGAATGTAAGAGTCATCAACACTCAGGGAATCCTGACAGACGACACGACGTGCATCCAATCGGTTGTATTCGTCTCAAGGTGAGCTCGATGCCCGCTGCCGCTAGACCACGCTCGGCCCCGGCTCTCTGGGCTCGTTCTCGCTGATTCCTACGTGATGATGTTCTTCTTCTCCTGGTGAATGCTGCAGCGATCTTAACGGCGACGTCTTGTAATCGAGCTGATTAGATGAGCGTTCGCGGAGGACCTACATGTACATGTTCGAGCACCGGTGGGGCTCACTGCGAGCCTCGCGCCAATCCGTCCAAGGTCGGGTTTGCCCAAACTTCACGACTTGAGGCGCTTCTCCGTGTCGGATGAGCCTCGCGGTCTGCTTCAACTACATCCACCAAGCTGCGGGCTGCCAACGGCGTACACAGACCGAGCGTGCCGAGAACGCAGCGATAACACGTGCCTGTTACAGGCAGACCCCGTTGCATCTACGCAAACCTTACTGCAACATTTGACTTGACCATGTTGAAGATGCTTGTCATGGCTACACTCACTACACTGTACATAACCTTTTGAAACCAAGCAGCAAATCTGGCACAGCGGGCGCAGCTCCACTGGAGCAGCTCCAGCGCTGTGCTGGCAGCGCAACAGCAACACAGCACCGCCTCGTTTTCACTCTGCACGTGTCCGCGGGAAAAGGAACTGGTCTAGAAGATGCCAGCACTGTAGTTTCCCGTAGCAAACGTGCTCGTCGGTCGAGGTGCGCAGGGGCACAACCAGCGTGAAGATGCCATTCGTGAACGCGTCCAGCACCGGCTGGGTCTTGTCATCGCTGGAGGCCGCTACAGCGCGTGTCAGCTCCTTCTCACTTGAGATGCAGTGCGCTTTCGTCGCCTTGCAGAACGCGCAGCGCGATAGCAAGTGGGTGACTTGCACGGCGCGCCGAAGGGCGGAGCTCAAGGCAACGAACTCGATGGGCAGCTTCTCCACACGATACGTTGGCCCGCGCGCCGAACGGAGTGATAATTCATTCGTCGGAGGAGCGGGGCGTCTGGGTGTTCTCTTCGTGCGATTGGTGACTTCGAAGCACGGCGAATTTTCGCCGCTCGACAACGCGGCCACCGAAATCGACTCGACCTTGTCTCCGAACGTAGAGAGCTACCCGTAGTTTGCACAGCGATCGATGACTCGCAGAGTGAAATGAAATGACAGCGTGGCAATGCTGTACTGGACGGAGTTGGAGCGGTACTGGGCGTAGATCTCATAGCTGGGAGCTTGGGTTAGCTATGACCTTGACGATCCAAAACTGCTCTACCAAAAGCAAGCCGCTCTCTAACTGCGACGTGAGCGCTGGAAGCGATCTCTTCTTCCAATCGACTCGATTGCTCTTGACCTAAGGTCGCTCATCCGCCGACCAACACTCAACATTTCACGCGTACGCGCGCAATCTACTCAACTGCTAGGATACCATGTCCTTCGGGTTGTATAGCCTGACTCATAGGTTGCGAAGTGCGAGACACCGAAGCTGACAGTGTTTCGCATGCATGCATACTTTTTATTAAGCTTTTGGGGGAGGGAGTGCTCGGACGACGCTATACTTTACGGAGCTTCGTGCGAGGTCGCTGCCCCTAGCAATAAGTACGTCTACAGTAGTCTAGCAAGAGCTTTCAGTGGACCATCGGATCCGAGTCTACGAAGAGGAACTTTAAGAGCTGCCGCGGCAGCTTCTCCTGGTATGGGCAGGGGTCCGAGTCGATGACGGGGCAGGACACTGCGAGCCGCAGCAGGGACTCGACGAATCGCTGCACGGCTTTCGTTCGTTGTCACTGCGGCAGCATCCACGTCAGCAGTGTGCCCGGTAGCACGGCTCCTAGAAGGAGGTAGCGGGCCACTTCGCTGCAGAACGAGCAGCTCGCCAACGGGTGCGCTGCGCTGTCCGGCAGGACTCGTACAGCTCGTCGCGGAGTTTAACGAAGTCGGCGAACTGCTTCTCAGGGTGCGCGTCGGGGTGGCGGAAGAGTGCGACGGGCTCTAGCCCCATTGCCACGTCTTGTGCCAGCTCGGCGGCCTAAAGACTGGTCGGGATGCGCGTCGTGGACTGCAACGGAGTGAACACGTCGATTACGTAGCTGTTCTTGCTGCCCAACGCGCGGGCTACTTGCAGTAGGCGGATCTGTTTGAGCTTGATGATGGTCTGCATGTGGCGCGAGTATCGCTCGGGCACGAGGTTCAACTTGGCGAGGCGCGCGAGGCCTCCAGCCACGGCGCGATTCGGAGTCTGCTGCTGCAGGACGTTCGGCATTAAAGCAGCTTCGGGGTGGTCCAGGGCAATTTTTAAAGTGAAAGCGATGGCGGTGGCGGCTGCTACACCGCTGAGCCAAGTTCCGGTCCTTGCGGCTGAATGTGAATGTACATGTGACACTGCGCAGGAAACGCTTCAAAGTGGCTCGCTTGCTCGGGTCTCGGGACGAACACGTCGCGGCTACAAAGTTCTTGTGGGGGTGAAGCAAAGTGATAATGCGGACGTTGTGTCATCTCGACTAAGTGCGGATGTTCAGGGCGAGCAACACTTGCAAACTCACTGTCTCCAAGCTGTCTGCAAGGTGCACGGGTCTGACTCAAGTGAGACGGGCATCGTTTACATTTGTGTAACACTAGCGAAATGAACTATCAAAATGAAGCTGCAACTTCCTCGTATCGAGATGAGATTTGTGTTTCACTTGCTACCTATACTACTTTCTACACTACGTCCTAGCCATCCACGAGCTCCTCATTCGTCGTAGCGCCGAAGCTGGAGGAACTGCTCAACCAGAACAGGAATGGACTGGAAGCCGAGGCACCACACGTCCTGCGGGCGCGTGTTCACATCCGACTTGGGGTGCCCCACGGCGTATTCAATGAGGCGGTTGATGAACTGCGAGAGCAGTTGTTTGCGGGTCTCTGGGCCAGTGCACAGCTTCACGAAAGCCGTTGGTCGGCGGTAGCACGCGAACATGAAGACGCGGATGGAATCGCAGTACGGGCACGTGGTCATGAGCTGCTGCTGCGAGGCGGCCGTCACACGCCCGCGCAGCGTCTCAAAGTCACTGAAGCGGCGCAACACGCGGAAGTCAGGAACTTTGCGCTCTTCAGCTAGCGGAGACAGGAGCTTCTCCAAGTGCCAGTGCTGCTTGTTGTTGCTGTTGTTGTTGTTGTTGTTGTTGTTGTTGTTGTTGTTGTTGTTGGTCGGGATGCGGCTGAGCTCGTGGCGCACGTACACGTCCAGCACGTAGAACACGACGCCCTCCACCGTCTTGGTGTCGCTGATGTCGATGTGGTCGATGTTCTGGAGGAACGTGAGCGGCTCTGAGTAGCACTTGGGCCACACGCGCTTGGGCTGCAGTGCCGGAGCGGACACCTTCAGGAGGAACGGGTCGGCGTCGAAGTGAGATCCGTTCGTGGTGGCGAGCATGCTTGGCTTCGGTCTTCGATCGTCGCAGTAAGTTGAACAATGCCTTGTATCGCGCAGACTGTGGTGCAGGAGGGAACGACGCCGCGGCGCTTTGCGTCATGCAAGGCGAGGTGATGAATAAGCCGATCCACTTTGGTTTAACGACTTATGGGCATAACAAAGACATACCCAGTAGTCATTTGTGAATCTAACAACTTGGTGTTAATGTATTTTAGCTCACTAATCAGAGGCTCTGAAGTTGAAGTGTTGATGGGTATTGTGGTCCCGTCTCACAAAGACATGTACTGTACAAAGCTCGACGTTGCATGGCCTGCAGCGAGAACAGATTTGACACAACGCTGGAGCTGCATTTACCGGTGTTCGCCGCTGGGCCATCGGTGCTGGCACCTGCCATCGTTCTCAGTGGAGGCCATTCATTTGGCGCCTCGAACCGCGCGAGACCGTGGCGAGTTAAACGTCCTAGCAAGTGTAGAGATTGCGCGCAATGCGCGAGCGAGTGATTCATGCTCGCAGGCTGTGCTTGTCAGAGTGCGACAGGGCCAAACTGAGACTCGCGTCGCGTCATTTACCACGCCTCACGCTAAAGAATTTGAGTCGGCCGATGGGCCACTCGCAGCCTGCAGGTTGCGGGCGAGCATCGCCGTAGGGTCTAGCAGGGCACAACAGAAGCCAGCCAAGATCTGACTTCAAGATGCCAAGTTGAAGCGGTCAAGAGCGCGTCAATGTGCTGGTTGAAGACCGTAAAGCACTCCCCCTGCCAAGCCCGTGACGCAGGCGAAAGTGTACTGTGCTTCATGGGCTCTCAAACCAATAAATATATGTATATCTCTGTGGCCTGCGGCGATACATTGTGGGAGAGCAGCGCCCTCCTCTCTCTATGCAGGCCACCACTGCTCTGGAAAAAATACTCTTTAACTGCGCGCGCCGCTTCACTGCAGATGGTTGACCTCTCCGGCCTTCTTCAGGAAGCGCACGAGGCGGTACGGGATGTGGTCGAACCCGTGGCAGTGCGGACTGCGCTGACCGTCGCCGCCCCGGCCGATGGCGAGCGCCACCATGCGGTTCAGGTACGCCTCCATCATGTCTTTCCGGTGGGCCTTGGTGGCCCAGAGCTTCTCCACGATGCCCGACGGGCGCTTGCTCGAGTCGCCCACGAACGCCGTGATGTCGTCGCAGTAGATGCAACCGCGCGCGGGGCGGGGCTGCTGCGCGTGCACCCAGATGTTGTAGCGCAGCTTGACGAAGTCGGCGAACTCGCGCTCCACCTGGTAGTCGGCGTCCTGCTGCTGCGGCGCAGACGTCGTCGTCGTCGGCAGCTCCGTGACGCTGTGGCGGCGCTGCGGAGCGCCGTCGGCCGCCGCCGAGGAGCGGCGCGTGGCCGAGTTGCGCGACGTGGGGATGCGGATCTCCGGGTTCTTGAGGAAGACCTGCACCGCGTACAAGAGCTTGCCGTGGCGCTTGACCGTGGCGTTCACCTCGATGTGGTCGATGGCCTTGAGGAAGCCCAGCGCGTCCGCGGCCTTGGCGTAGTGGCACGGCCACATGCGCAGCGGCTGCAGGTCCGGCACGAGCAGCATGCTGCTGTTGGCGGCGGCCTTGCCGGGGGGCGTCGCCGGCCGCGTCTCCTCGTCCGCGGGGCCTCGAGGGCGATACATCATGCGCATCATGGCTGGCTGGCTGGCTGGCTGGCTCTGGTTTCTTCTTGGTGTGTGAGTTGTTGGCTTGTGTCGGTAGAACTGGGAATGGCTCGCTCGCTGGCCGGTCGGAAGCCGCTGGTCTAATCATTCGCGGATGCGCGCTGCTTTTCTACGGTCCCACCGTGGAGGACCCAACTGCAACGAGGACAGAGACGGTGCGCGAGAGAACGAATTAGGGGTGAAGCAAGGGCGAGCACGCGAGGTGGAAGCCAAGCTCGACGCTGGTCTGAGGCGCTCGCACCATGGCTCGCGCTTGGGCGAGGAGCTGCTGTGTACGTCGGCGCATCTGGACGAAAGCGCGTGTTAAACCACCATTCGGCAGATCGCCGCTATTTTCGAGACAGCCTCGGGCCCAAAAGCACGCAGCGACCGTGGCTATGGCGCTCGGATGCACCGTCTTCCCACATGGCTTCATCTGATGTGGCGCACATCACGTCGCCGCCAACTTCAACGCGAAAACTCAACGTGGGGCCGCTGGCCTGGCTGACCGTCCCGCCGCTCGAAGCAGCAAAGCAATTTGGTTGGCAACCATGACCCCCAGCACATTTCCAATGGATGAGCGCACTGCTAGCTATGGCGATGCACGCTTATCGAGGACGAATCTGCCGTCAAAGCAACAGTCGCTGCAAAATTGCTGGGCTAGAGCCAAGTGCGCTCGTGACGACACCGTGCTGGTCCAGCGCAACTTCAACCTGGTATCCTCGCCCGAATTACCGCACGCCAACGTAGTTGCGGTTAGGTGCTGCTCGGTAAACACGAGCGCCGCCCGCTGGATTTGATTCCTTTTGCTGTAGCACTTTGTCATTGGCCGGCAGGTATCCTGAGTCACTCTTGCTATTAATAAGCACTTCGGCCCGCGGTGCACGCAGGTCTCTTAGCGACCTGTTGCTTTTTGTGAAAAGCTTACAAGCTAAATACCGCTGCCCCCCTTGGCTGAGCCCCCGGGTCTCGCTCTGTCCAGCTCTCCCCGTGGTGTGGCTCAACCGGTGGGCGCGGAACTAAAATGTTTTGCACTGCAAGCTTATAGTGTCCCGTGCCGGGGTATACCGACCCCGTGCCAGGCATCGGGGCGGCGGACTCGCGTGTCGGCTGGAGTGCCGAAATGGCTACATCCTACGAGGGGTACCGATTGTGAGGTACTCGAGTTGCTGCCGGAAATGATGGCGCGACGCGCGTGTGAGGTGGGACTCTTGGAGGTCCGTGGACGTCTCCATCCCCGCTCGAGGACGGGTGTCGTGCGTACGAAACAACGGAATATGGTGTGAATGCGGAGGGGTTGTCGTGCCCAAGGACGAAGGGTACACCTGCAACTCCGAGAAGCGCAAGGAGAGGTATTGACCTTAGGATCGAGGGCCCCTCGGCTTGTAGATTCAGTCGTAAATCTTCCCTCTCTTGTGAACAACAACAACCACAAAGAAAGCTTTTGTAACAACTACAACGTTATCTTTAGTTGAAGCTTTCACTCGTCTAAACACCCAGTCACCTTCGACCCCGTGTAGGCCCCTTCTTTCCAAACAGTCCCAGCGTACTCGACCCTGACGGTGGAGGTATACGACATTTGGTGGAGAAGCAGGGTACGCTGCTAACTGAAGAAGGACTTGCGCGGTGCAAGTGACTGAAGAACCCTCGCCTGAGACGACTCCGTCAATCGGCGCTCACTGCTGATCATGACTCAAGGCGATCCCCGCGAGCAGCAGGACTCGGCGAGTGAGGGCTTCCACTCGGCCGGGTCTGCTGACGGCGACCAAGCGGCGACGAACCCCACTCCGACGGGGGCTGTGCCAGGAGGCCAGCCGAGCGTGCCCGTGCCCGCCACGATGGCGGCGCCCGCTGCGATGACCGTGCCTACCGGGACGGTGGAACAAGCTGCGACTACCGCGACGACCGCGACGACCGCGGCGTCCGCTTCGACGGTGCCAAGTGCGGCGACGACCAACCCCGCGCGTCCGACACTGCCGGACGTCACGACTCCTGAGGGTCTGGCCGCCGCCCGAGACCTGCTTCAACGTGCGCTGGACATCACCAGCCGGCACGCTGGCCAAACCTCTGGTCAGTCGTGGGCGACGACGAGACCGAACCCCGTGGCCCAAGCGACCGCGACCCGCGTGCCCACGAGTACGGCGCCCTCTGCTGCGCCGACTGCGACGCCTCAAGTCGCTGGAGGAGGATTCATCCCTCTGCCGGGAAGTATTCCCGCTGTGCCTGCCCCGACTACGTCGACCGGATCTGGTGCCCCTTCAGTGGGGAAGCTCACTCGTCGGCCCCTGCGTGGACTGCAGCGCCGTCGACGGCCAGCGTCGTGCCTCAGGCGCAACCTTCCGTCCCTGCGTGGAACGCTGCGCTGCCCGCGTCAGGAGTGGTGCCTCCGACTCAGTCGAGCGCCGCTGGGTTGGCGTACACGCCATCTACGGCGAACGTTGTTCATACCCCGACTCCGAGTACGACTTCGGTGCCCACTTCGGCCTCGGTCCCGACTCCGCGCCTCCGGTCCGCCATTGCGGCCTATGACGGCGTCTCTCTCGAGGGAATCCCTGCCGCCGCTGGATACGGCTTCGGCGTGTCGCCGGTGGGGGTACGGTTCGTAAGTGCCCCGGACGCGGCACCTTCTCGGTCTACGTGGACTGCTGCATCGACGGGCAGCGTGCCCGCCTCGAACCCGTCCGTGCCTCCGCCTGTGTACGGCGCTCAGACTCCAATGAGTCAAGGAGCTACGGGTCCGATCGCTTCGACGTACTACGGAGGAATGCCATCGCACATCAATAACGCGGTGAGGATGATCCAGCCGTTCCACTCGGACCACGCCACGGCCGACAAGGCCAAGTTGTTTTGGGACCCGTTCGCCCGAGCCACGACCGGACTCGAGGAACAGTTACGCATCAGTGTGTTCCGCGAGTGCCTGAAGGGCAAACCTGCTGAAGAGTGGTGGATGTACTCCAAGATCGACAGCTTCGAGACGCTGCGCATCCCGTTTCACAACCAGTTCATTTGCCTTAGCCCCCTACAACTGATCGAACGCCTCAAGACTACGAAGCGTCCCGCGGCATGTCCGCCGAGGTGTGGGGTGATCTGGTCAAGAGTCTCTGTGACGAGGCCTAGTGCTTCGATCCGACCATGAGGTACCAGTACTTCCTGTCGGGACTGAGGAACCGTGAGTGGAAGGCGGCCCTGTCGTCTGCCATGGCGAGCACCATCCAGCAAGCCGTGCTCATCCTCCTGCAGAGAGGCATGCACATTCCCGTCGAGGACGACGCGGACTTCGCGGACGATAAGTCATCCGAGAAGAAGTCGAAGGACTCGGCCGTGAAGGAGATGATGGAGATGCTTCGGCAGAACCAGAGCTTGATCATGCAGCAGCAAGCCGAATTGGCGCGTGCTCCGCGGTCCCCGAGACGTCCCAGCTACGCCGCGGTCGCGTACGAGACCCAACCTATCGTGCCGCCTCCGATGCCGAACGCTCCGCCTACGCTGCCTACTGTGCCCTACACTCCTGTTAAGGGGATCCGTCAGGGACCCGACATGTACACGCAAGATGGGCGTACCGTGTGTGGCCGCTGCCACATGCTCGGATGCAGCCGGATCAACTGTCGCCGGCAACGATTCACCTGCGGGAACTGCAAGTAGCAAGGACATGCTACCTCGGAGTGCGAGGTCCCGGCTCGAAACCAAGGCAACAATGGTGGTGGGCAAGGACAGCCCCGTCGTCAAGGTGGCGGTGAAGGCCTGCGTCCGTGCTTCGGGTGTGGTAAGACGGACCACTATGCGTCTAACTGCCCGGCGATCAAGTCGATCCAGCAAATGGCGGCGCAGACGCAAGCTGCCGCCCCCGCTCAGGGAACGCAGCCTACTCAGCAATGAAGGGGGCACGAGGGAGGAGAGGGGAGTGTCGCTCCTTCCTCTCGCCCGTGGAACGACACCGGGTGGCGTACCCCGCGTACGGCTACCCTGCTGACCGGCGAAGCTCGCCGAGAGACTGAGACTGTGGGTACGGTAAGGACCATGCCGATCGATGACTACAACGCGAACAAAACTACGATTGGAACTGATACCACAATGGTGAAGAGGCCTAAGTGCCTGGAACGCCCCGCGCGTGAGGCGGTGGCGCCCGGAGCTCCGCTCCGAGAACGAACTGGATTAATTGGGACTACTGCGACGGCTGCGGGGCCCGTTCTGTGGGAACGCCCCGGGCCTATTGAACGATATGCGGACGCTCCTCGACTGGAGGAGCCGAAGTACGAGATTGCTACAACGACTACAACGGAAACCGCTCCAAGGACGGAGCCGGGAACTACAAAGACTACAACGGGAGCCGCTCCGAGGGTGGAGCTGGAAACTACAGTTGCTGCTACTGAAGTTGCTCCAAGGACGGAGCCGGAAGACGAACCCACTATTACTACGGAAGCTCCCCAGGGTGTGGAGCGTGCTTGTGAACCTACTGTGACTACCGCAGCTCCCCAGGGTGTGGAGCGTGCCTGCGAATCAACTACTACTACAACAATTGGAGCTTCCCAGGGTGTGGAGCATGCTGAAACCGAAGAATGCCAGCGTCGATTGAACGCTGAGGAAAACGACTTTGTGAAGGACGCCAGTAGCCGCGTCCAGGAAACTACTACGAATACTTTGTACGAGAGCGTCATGCGATTTGCGCTCGAGAAACCCTCGCTGGGACCCGAACTGAGCGTGGAGCAGGTGAACTTTATGCCGCCCAGCGAGAAACGGAAGAGAGACGTCACGGGAGCACCTACTGCTTTGGCCGTGACCGTCAAGGAGGCGACACCGGAGAACGACGTCGTCGGGAACGCTGACAGCGAGTCAGACACGGAGGAGGAACCTGCCGGAACGGCAGACTCGGACCGCTCAGGTGAGCACAGTCAACCGCATATAAAGGCACAGCAGGGCAGGCAAGGGCCGCTCTAAAGACGCTGAATGAGGACGCGGAATCGGCTCACTTGGAGCGCGTAGGGTCCGTGACGGACGGAACCTCCGAAGTGGTGAACGACAATGATGACGACAGTGAAGGACTAAAGACCGTCGCCCAAGATGGGCAGGACAGGGAAGACGATAAGGCGCCTCCATACAAGAGATTGTTCACGCCTGAGGAGCTGGATGCATTGGCCGACGGCCGTACTCTGGGTGCGCAAGAAGAAAAAGAAGAGTACGACAAAGAACTAGAGGAACGCTTGATCCCTCTGGACGAGGTGGAGCTGCTGAAGAAGCGAGCCCAGAACGCAAAGAAGCAGAAGGAACTCACGCTGGAGGAGCTGAGCTCCCTGCTGAACCTACCCGTGGAGACCCTGGAACGAACGCGTGAGTCGTCGCCCGGAGTGCTGTCCACGCCCGAGTATTGGATAGACTGGTACCGAAGGACGCTTGCCGCGTCCGAGGAAGCCAGACGTGCCAACCGCGACTTCCGCGAGACGAAGCGCGAGAAGGAGAAGCCGCCGCCCATCGGCTCGGTGGTGCAAGGCGACTCAGACGCCCGAGATGGCGGAGGTGGGAACGACTTCATTGGAGACGAGATCCTCGCGTTACTGAAGGAACGCGAGTCCTCCAAGCCTGTGACCCCGGACGAGGAGGTGGTGAGGAGGAACATCTGCGTGACGTTCGCCGTCCCCGTCGAGGTCGAGCCGCCCGAAGAGGAAAACGGTTCCGACCTGCTCTCGCGATGGCGTGCGCTGGTGAGGACTGTGGTCTATCAGTTGATCCTCGAGGACGAGGCTCGTTGCGAACCCCGCTGCAGCTCGTGTCGGAAGCCGGCGACTGGCTTGCCGACCGGCGAATGCCGACCCGTAGAACCAGTATTACTACCCGCAGTTAATCGCGAGCCCCGTGCCCGCGAACTAGTCGTCGCTACCGCTGGCGTGCTCGGCGACAGCGTGATGGCCGCCGTGACGGCTCAGATACTCGACCGGTACGAGACCAAGGCACCCGTGATGCGCGCCAAGCGTGCCGAGAGACAGCAGTTGTGCGAGTGTCACCGTGCTGCCAGCGACGTTCTCTCTCGACGACACCGTTCTCGTCGCGAGGTGCACTACGACTGTACTTCTCTGTTCTGCAGACGCTCCGAAGCGTTCGGGAGCAACCCGTCGTTCACCGAGGACGGCGACGACACCAGCCACTATGTGTGCTCCGTCCGAGACCCGGATGGTGGAATACGGCTACGGAAACCCGGCCTGGTTGAAGTGTCGGACGCAGACGCCGCTGACACCGACGAAGAGGACCCCGTACCCGCTGGCAAACGTGTCATTTGCTCGGTGGGGGGCATCGAGACCGTCTCCGCTGGTTTCATCGAGGATCTCCCAGCTGAACTGCTCATCGACTCTGGTGCAATCGCCAGCCTGGTTGAGTCGCGTGTCCTGACCCGGCTTGGGCTCACGGACGCGCCACTGCGATCGTACCACGGCAGGGTTAACGCCGTGCCCGGCCACAAGTTGCGCATCCGGGGCGAGATTGACTTGCCGTTGTGTTTGGGGACGCTGAAGACGATGAGGCCGTTCGTCGTGGTCGACCACCTGCATGTGGACTCAATCCTCGGCACGGACACGCTCAAGGCGTTCCGCGCCGTGATCGACCTGGATGAGAGCACTATGACCTTGAAGGACACTGGCGAGGTCCTCCCCTTGGGTACTCCTCGCGTCGAGGAGACGTATGTCTCTCGCATCGCGTCGACAGTGCGCATCTGCCCCGGTGGCCTGGCTCTGGTGGCCTCGGACGTCGTAGGCAAGGCTCCGGAGAACACCACGGTGTTGATCGAGGGACTCCCCGAGCTGGACGAGAACATGAAGGTCGCCCGAACGCTTTGCTCGATACGAGAAGGCAAGACTATCGTCGAGGTATGTAATGCCTCGACAGAAGAACTCGTCATTAAGAAGGGGACCGCGTTGGCGATCGCTACGGTCGTGCCCAAGTCGGCGTTGGCGTTGGTGGACGCGAAGAAGAGGAAGAAGACCTCCCTGGACCCGAACGAGTCCTCGGAGCCCGTGTCTTCGAGCGGCAACTCGAGGTGGATCGACGCTGTGATCGGTGCGGCGGCCGCCAAGTCTCCGGCCTCGCGTGAACCGATGCCAGGCCTGAAGGACGCTATGGATGCCGGGCTGGAGCCGGACTTCTCCGACTCCAAGTTGGGCAAGGAGCAGCGAGGCCTGATGAAGGACCTGCTCGACTCGTTCCGTTACATGTTCGTTGAGACGTCCCTCAAACCGGGACGCACGCATCTCTTAGAGTTCTCGATTGATACGGGTACGAACCCGCCGATCAAACAGCCTCCGTACCGCGTCTCGCATGCCGAGGGTGAAGTGATGGAGTTCCGAGATACAGCAGTACCTGGAGCTGGGGCTGATCCAACCGTCTACGAGCCCTTGGGCCAGCCCCGTACTCATGATCCGCAAGCCCGACGGGGGGATACGTTTCTCTATAGACTACCGACGGCTTAACGCCGTGACTATCAAGGACTGCTACCCGATGCGACTTATCGATGACATCCTCGACGTGCTGAAGGACGCAAAACTCTTCTCTACCATGGACATTGCTTCCGGCTATTGGAACGTCCCGATGGTCGCCGGTAGCGTGGAGAAAACGGCGTTTACCTGTAAATACGGGCTGTTCGAATGGCTGGTGACGCCCTTCGGGCTCTACAACGCAGTACCCGCTTTCGAACGTCTCATGGAGAACGTTTTGGTTGACCTGAAATGGCGCACCTGCCTGGTGTACCTTGATGATTGCGTGGTTTTCTCTACGGACTTCCCTACACACCTGGTACGCTTGAAGCAAGTATTGGAACGCTTCAGAGCGGCCGGGTTCAAGCTCAAGATGAAGAAGTGCAAGTGGGGAAGGGACCAAGTGGCGTTCCTGGGACACATCATCACGCCGTCCGGCATCCTGCCGAACCCGGAGAAGGTCAAGGCCGTGATGAACGTGGCCAGACCGCACGACTTGCACTCCGTTCGAGCATTTTTGGGACTCACTAGCTACTTCAGACGCTATATTCCTGGTTACGCGGCTATTTCTGCTCCTATTGAACGCTTGAAGGTGAAGGGCGTGGACTTCGCGTGGAACGACGACTGCGAGGCTGCTTTCCTGCAAGTGAAGAGGCGTCTCGTTGAACCGCCGATCCTAGTCTACCCTGATTTCTCAAAACGCTTCAAACTCTACGTCGACTCCTCTCACCTCGCGGTGGGAGCCTGCCTGATGCAGACTGTGGACGGCCGTGAGCGTGTGGTCGCCTACGCGAGCAAACTGCTCGTCGGCTCGGAACGCAACTGGATCCACAAGCAGAACGGAGCTTCAGAGATTGAGTGTTGGGGAATTGTGTGGGCGACACGCAAATTCAGGTGTTACCTGGACAGGAACGAGTTTGATCTCTACACGGACCACAAGGCACTCACCTGGGTGTTTAGTGAGGGAAACCGCACCAGCAATGCCAAGCTGGCACGCTGGGCGATGGAACTGTCTCCATTGCGGTTCAAGGTGTACCATAAGCCGGGGACGGCCATGGGGCACGTCGACGGACTATCGAGGCTGCACTCGCAGACTATCTGCGCGCTGTCGATGGCAGAGCTGCTGAACGACGACTCGGAATCTGAGGGTGACCGTCTCGGCGCAGTCGGGGAGGGGTCCAACCCCGCCTCGCCACCTCGTGCCTATCCTTCGCGTCCTCCCAAGTCCTCCCGTGCCCTGGACGACCAAGAGGTTTAAGTGCGCGAGACTCTGACGGAATTGACCTCGTGAAATATGACCGAAGCGATCGCCTGGGAACACACTTTGCGGTGAGGAGGCTGACAGTTGTCCGAGTTGTTTCAGTTGCTGCAGCTTGGAGAGAATACGCGCCTCCAAAGCAGGAGGAGGCTTTCCGGTGGAGAAGATAACGCTTAATGCCGCGAACTACGTCCTCGAGTGGACGCCGTACGGACCCCCTGTGACCGTGCTGATAGTGACTGCGGGCGTCGTGACTCACATTTGGCGTGGCTGCGACAACCAGAAGGACGCCGACGAATTCTCGCCTACGGGCATGATCATTCGCGGGCTCAAGGACCTGCGAGCGAGGGCTGCTGAACGCGAACGTTCGGAGAAGGAGAGCCTGCAACAACTGCGAGGCGGTGACGCTGCAGAAGACCAAGCTACCTATACTGACGCCGTGGACGGCGTTGAAGTGACCATCGATGAAGAAGCTCCTCCTCGTGCTCATGCGGCTATCTCTGCCGAATTGCGTGCTGCCGAGGAACGATCGGCTCTCCTACGACTCGAGCTCGCCCGTCACCCGGAGGTCCGTCGAGGACGACGAACGTGCGGTCGGGGAGGATGTCCCGTGCCGGGGTATACCGACCCCGTGCCAGGCATCGGGGCGGCGGACTCGCGTGTCGGCTGGAGTGCCGAAATGGCTACATCCTACGAGGGGTACCGATTGTGAGGTACTCGAGTTGCTGCCGGAAATGATGGCGCGACGCGCGTGTGAGGTGGGACTCTTGGAGGTCCGTGGACGTCTCCATCCCCGCTCGAGGACGGGTGTCGTGCGTACGAAACAACGGAATATGGTGTGAATGCGGAGGGGTTGTCGTGCCCAAGGACGAAGGGTACACCTGCAACTCCGAGAAGCGCAAGGAGAGGTATTGACCTTAGGATCGAGGGCCCCTCGGCTTGTAGATTCAGTCGTAAATCTTCCCTCTCTTGTGAACAACAACAACCACAAAGAAAGCTTTTGTAACAACTACAACGTTATCTTTAGTTGAAGCTTTCACTCGTCTAAACACCCAGTCACCTTCGACCCCGTGTAGGCCCCTTCTTTCCAAACAGTCCCAGCGTACTCGACCCTGACGGTGGAGGTATACGACAATAGCGAATTTCGTTTTCGATCTCGAGAAAGCGCCCAATACTAGGTTTAACTTCTTTAAAGCCAGCAAGTGCTGATTCCAGCTATGCGGGTGTTCTACAGCGCATTGGGTGCACTACACGCAAATCTCTTTGGCATGTACACGGGGCCATACTGCTGATGTCAAGATAACACTATCCAGGCTGCACTGTGATCGATATCGTGGGCAATAGGTTCATAGCAAGTAGCGTACAGACAGCAGACTAGGACAGCCGTAGCCGCCGGGTACGTAGAGGGAAAGGTATCTAGTATGCGGGGCTGGCTGGCCCTGAGTGCAATCGGCGTTAACCGCATAAAAATAAAATAGAAATAAAACAAGGTAATGTCCTATACATGTACTTACTGAAGTGCTCACAGCACATCAATGCACACATCAATGCATTTGCCCCAATGACCGGACCATCGAGGCATCATCTACGGATCGCTCGCAATTCAAGTACACAGCACATCAATGCACACATCAATGCACACATCAATGCACAGCGCTGTTACTGCTGACGCCACACGCCACCACCCGCCATGCAATTACAACGTTAAAAAAACTTCGCTACCTGCGCTCCTGCGATCGCGTGCTGCCGGCCCCTGTTGGCGTACTTACACTATTATATTCTACAAACAACACTTAAGTTAATTTGCCTAGGCAGGGTCGTGGCAGCTCGCGGGGTCTTCAGTGTCGTCGACGGACAGCGAGTTTACGTCGCAGTCGCACCGTCGGGAAGTGGTGTGCAGGCTGCTCCGCTCATGATTCGTCGCGGAGGAACCGCTCCACCAGCGCAGGGATCGTCATATAGCCGTCGCACGTGTAGTAGCGCTGGCGCGGCTCCTGCTTCCCGCCGATGGCCAGTTCGATGTACTTGTTGATGCCCTTTGCCAGCAGCCGACTGCGAGTTTTCTTGCTCTTGACGAACAGCTTGATGAACAACCGCGGCTGCGAAAAACTCGTGACGAGGAAGTCCATGTTCTTGCTGCAGTACTTGCACGCCGCGCCGCCGTCGTGCTGGCGCTGCGCGTAGCTCCAGACCTGGTAGCGCAGGTTGGCAAAGTCGTTGAAGCGCTTCTGGATGGTGTAGTCGGGTTCGTCTCGCCGCGCCGCCTCCAGTCGCTTATTGGTCGGGATCCGGTTCGTGTGGTGCTTCAAGTAGACGTGCAGGTAGTAGTAGACGACGCCGCCGATCTCGGCGAAGTTGGTGATCTCTACGTGGTCGATTTTCTCCAGCACGCCAATGGGCTCCACGGCGCTGGACGAGCGGTGCGGGGTCAGACACACCGGTGTGAGCGGCGGCGCCCACGCGCGTTCCCAGAAGTGCACCATGATGTGAGGACGATGTTAAATGGTGGCGCGTTGCGGCAGCGACGGACACGCCGGAGGCTGCAGCCTTGGCGCACGAGTGGCAAATTGGAAACTGAAGCTCGGTTCAGCCCCAGGAACGGAGGCAAGCCCCAAGCCCAGCATGTGGTCTGCCAAGTATTTATACCCAGCGCGTAATTTTTACGCGTGTGTAGCAGCGCCCGACCACCCGAGCGCCGTATGGGCAAAGCGGCTGGGCGCCATTTTCGCGTTCTCTGCACGCGGCACCCGCCATCACCTCCAAGCACGAATATTCAGGATAGGCGCCGGAAGCCCTGGGTCCGGCCATATCCGCCCAGTTCCCTCGTGTCTCCGAGCGAGCTCGATGGGAACGGCACAACACCGGCATGACCCAGGGCGGTCGCAATATGCCGCTGCAGCTCGAAGCTGGACGCACCAGGCTCCGCCGAGGCCGGACGTTTCTCAAAGTAATGCGGTGAGTGTTGTGTGCCACTGACAACCAACGTGGACGCTACATGACCTAAGACGAGGCGGTTTCAAGCGGGGGGCGCCACGTTGGCCATTTTTGGCCATGGTGTCCGTTAAGTCGGACAATGAATGTCGGACCTCTGCTCCTGCTGTCAACATCGCAACAGCCGAAAGAGCGTCAGGATTGCCTCGAGCTTAATGCAATGCCTGAAAGCGGCGGCAGCAGTATCCGAGCTAAGCAAGTACCATCAAGACTCCGTGAGCAGGAGCTACAGGTATTCGTATTCGGCTCAAGCTTTGTTCAGAGCCCCAAAGCTGTCAATGGCTGATACCAATTTTGTAGGACGAACTGCTTTTTTTTCGGCGGTCTATCATGCTTTGCTTATTTTTTTTCGACAGAGTTGAACTCGGCGAATACCGAGTTGTCGCAGCAGATCTGTCGTCCTCCGCCGTGTTGAGACCTTTGTAAATTTTGGCTGCCGGAGGTGCTGGTTGGCAATGGGACAACCGATAAGATGTCGGCGTACTACTTTCCAAAATTCCCCTCAAAGAAGGCTGCGTCTGAGCGAACAATTCTCACCGAGCCGCCTACCATCCGGTCGCGCACCCAACTAACTCCGGACTTGACCAACGGACTCAAGATTCCTTGCGCCGAAAGTATCGAACCAGCTCGATGAGACAGCGAGGAGGAAAACATGAGCGAGTCGTGGTAGAAGACCGAGACTTCACAGACGTCTTAGCTGTTATAGTAACTCAATAGAGGTTCTGAGCCTCATCATCATCAAATTTCCCTCAAATGAGGGTTTCAAGCGTGCTTCATCTCCAACCCAGTGATGACCGAACTGTATTCCAGATATTAATATTACTATGCCAATAGTACATTACAATGTCATGTTGCAAGCTCGCTTGGTATTTGCAATACAAACAGCGGAGCGCCACGCTGCAGAAACCACTATTTTCTGCAGATTGCGGCAAGTTACACTTTCCAAAGATCAATGCATTAAATGTTCGCTTGGAAGCAGACAAGTCGTCCAATTTCTTTTACCCTGGAACTGCCTTGATGCTTCACTTCAATACATATCGTTTCGGATGCTTCATCTTCAAATATTTCCGTAGTTTTTCGGGCACCACAGATCCCAAGCAACGATTGAATGTAAAAATTCATGCCAAACCTACCGCGTTTCGTCAACACAGGTCAGTCAATGCACGGCTTCTATTGTTTTTTTCTCTCCACAAATCGCCAAGTATATAAGAAAACATCATAGAAGTCGTGCATTCTTGTAGTGATCAAAATAAAATTTATTGAGTCATTGTGTCCTATTATTAAGAACGAAAGAATATGAAGATTTCGATTCACTTACGCCACAACAGCACGAGGAAACGAGAAACGACGAGTATTTTTGCTATTGAATTCGATTAGTAATTAATCGAGGAAAGTTTTCATAGATTACCCAAGTTCACAATCAGTGCATTAGCTGGGAGTGAAATACCCGTGATAGCCGCAAGAATCTCCACGCATGAATAGGGTGTATTTATGTTATTTACACTTGGGGATGTTTAGCGTTCTTTTCTTCAGTTTTCTATGTTACTTTACGTTTTAAAAAGAAGAAGTTGCGCCATAGCCGAAATATCGTTGCGTGAACAAATGTTACTCGTTTCAAGTATTCCAAGCTTGTTTTGTTTTTGAATTGTGGATCCAGTGCTGTCACTTAGCTAATACGACCGCTATGTCTTCCAAGCTGTAACTCGGGTAATTAACTCACCAGACTGCCTCGAAAAGCAAACTCAGAGCCCTTAGGTTTAAGAGGTCTTCGTTATGCACCACCACCATCCGGAAGAGGTAGGCTGCTCAAGGCACAAAATAGAAGACGAAGATGTCTTCTCTTAATGCCCGAGACTTTTCCTTGAAAAAGAGTTATTTTTAACAACCCTGCTTCCACTGCGCTGGTATGCGCTTTAACTAGCGCGCCTCCTCTGCATGAATGGCCCAGGCAATGGCACCAACGAGAGCTCTGGACCTACTAAAGAAAGTTTTTAAGTAAGTACTGACTGTGTATTTGAAGTGTAAGGTTCTCAGCACGGACCTTGACGTAGATGATCTATCCGATTTATCGTTGTCATGCACGATTTTTAAAACATTAAAATATTTTTCATGTGCCGACGGCAAGGTCATGCAGCTAAACTTACCGAATCGACTGAAAGTTATTTCGCAATCCATTCAGCCCAAGTTCCCGATTCGATATTTTTTGCCTTTTCACTGTCTTGTATTAGAAGACCATTCAGCTGCGCTTGAAAACGATACAGTTATAAAATGGGAGTACCGTCGACAACGCATGAACTTGCATATTGCGATGTAAATAAATGCATTCAGTCGACATTATTTTAATAATAAAGCTAAGAGAAAATAGCATGTACTTACTGTTAGGTAAGTGAAATTTGGAGAAAAATAACTAGTGGGCCAGCGTCTTCAAATGCTACGTCTCCGATACATGTAACGTTCAATGCACGCTGTGATACATGTTGTAATTAGTGCTAGCAGTATGTACTCCCTTGGGACTCCTACATATTGTTGTAGGCAACCCGTGTTCTTGGGTCGGGAGAAGCACGAGTTCGACGATAGCGGCAAGCAGTGTGACCGTGGTGTGCACGGTGTGGCGCACAGCATGGTGTTCGGTGACAAGGGCGGAGCGGCTGGTGACGGGAGATGCTGCAGTCACCAACGCTATTGAAGTTGCTGGAAGTGTCGACGGCGGCCGTGGAAGATCGCCGTGGAGAGAGGACACGGCGGAGAGAAGCAGATGAAGACTATGGGAGCAAGGAGAGGCGACATTGGATCCAAAACGAGCGGATGGAAGGCCGCGACGGGTGAGGGTCCCCTTGATCGCGCAGTAGTCTAGGTTTTAGTATAGGCTTAGCCAGGGGAGCTCTGGAACGTGCGGCCGACCGCTCCACCTCCCAGTTGCGATTTGGACGAGAAGAGTCTAAGTTAAGCAGCTAATCTACTACGCGAGGGGTTCTGCGGCAGGAGTGCCGGCCCTTCCCAACAACACAAGAGGTCTCTCAGCATTCTGTTCTGCGGCGGTGGTCCTATACTGCGTGGGACGTCGGCGGAGCGTGCGAGCAATTGCAAGGTACGGCCCGAGTAGTTACGGAGTGAGTCAAGATGGGTTGCTGTAGCGTCTAGAGTGGCTGGGAGCGCGGTTAGTAACCGCGCGGGTGCGAGGTGTCTATCGGTGACGCCCCGACCGAGTGGACGGTGTCAAGCGTAAACAGGAAGGGTCCTCGTTCTTGCATGTTTACATGTTCGGATGATAGGCGTAGGAGCAGGTCCACAGACCTGTCCGAGGTTGTCGGCTGTCTAGGAACGCTCCTTCCCTAAGCCGGTCTCTATCTACGCCTCTGCCCTAGCTCCTACTCTCGCCAAAGTGCCTGCTCCCTCTAGTTGGACTCTGCGTTTGAGCAGCGTAGTGGCCGGAGAGCCGACATTGTCCTCAACTCACTAACTCATATTCTTACGACTCGCGCGTTGGTATCACGCCGATGCCACCGGCATCGGGGTCAATGCATAGAGGAAAAAAATCCCGCCCCTAATAGTGTCGATCACCTCATAACGCAGACGTTGATTCTGCTGGATTTGTGCATTCCACCCCCTGGCCTCTAGGTACAACTCGGAGGTCATCCCATCAGCTTTTCCTCATCAACTTCACCTGGTCTTACAGTAAGTACAGTAATCTCCTTCCTCAGCGAACACCTGATATTTATAAGACACATCAGGTTTATATATTATGAAAGGATTGTGTAAACAGCCCTATTGATCAAATGTACTGACTTAGCCACTGTAGTACGGAGTACACGCAGCCTGGCCGCAGTCAACTCTCGTAAATCTCGTAAAGTGCAGCTTGTTTCCCCAATGCGGTCACTGACTTGCCTGGAGAGTCCCCAGTGGAGACGAAATCACTGCGAGACAGAGCTCCACGTGTATCTATCTACCTCGCGGAGATCTGTAGCTCTTACAGCTTCGTTACATGTAGGTAGCTGCGCTGGGACAATCGGTCTCCTTGCACGTTGACTCGACTACTGTATCGTTCCCGCGCATCCTTGAAGCTAGGCCCGGATATCTTCCCGCTTTACGAGAGCTGATTGGTGGAATCGTAATTTACAGGTCCAGTGGGACTCCACCGTTCACTAAAACAATACATCTCCCTAAGTGTGGTACATTTCGGGAAACATGCTTTCTCAAAAAGTACATGTATAAGGCGCTGAGCAAGCAGATTACTGTAAAAGGTCATCCAATGATAGGATTCCTATCCGCTCTTGCGCGTCATCTTCGGATTGTATTAGCAAGTCTGGTTGAAGCCGTCTGCCAACTTCGAGCAGCATACATTTCGCTAGTGTCTAGCGCCTCAGCACTGACCAGCTAAGCTCCTGTCATTCCCCGATTTGCGTCCTGATGGCGACTCCAGTGTACGACGTTGTGGTGGTCGGCGCCGGCCTCATAGGCAGCGCGGCCGCCTACTACGCCGCGAAAGCAGGCAAGCGCGTGCTGCTGCTGGAGCAGTTCGAGCTGCTGCACGGCAAGGGCTCGAGCCACGGCAGCAGTCGCATCTTCCGCGTGGCCTACCCGAGCGACACGTACACGGAGCTGTGTCTGACGTCGCTGCAGCTGTGGCGTGAGATCGAGAGAGAGTCCGGCGTGGAGCTCATCCGCATGACCGGCGAGCTGGACTTCGCCTTCGGGCGGCTGGACGACATCGTCCTCGTTGAGAAGACTCTGAAGAAGTACGACGTGCCGTTCGAGTCGCTGACCGGAGACCAAGTCAACCAACGCTTCCCCGGCTTCTCGTTGCCCGACAACAGCCACGCGGTGTACAACCCGCTGGCAGGGGTGCTGAACCCGACGCTGGCGATGGCCACGATGCAGAAATTGGCCCAGGGACTGGGCGCGAGCATTCGTGAACGCAGCCCAGTCACAGACATCGTCGGTGAGCAGCAGGCGGATGGGGCTACCCTTGCAGTCGTCACCTTGGCCGATGGGACGCAAGTCCGTGGCCACCAGTGCATTGTCACGGCAGGCGCATGGACGAATAAGGTGCTGAAGCGGTCGGACGTGGACAAGGTCAAGCTGCAGCCGATCGCAACGTTCGGGACGTACTGGAGGTGCAAGCACGAGCTGTACACCCCGGACAAGTTCCCCGTGTTTCTCAAGTACGGGTACCCGGAGATGTACGGCTTGCCCATGATGAGCCCCGAGGAAGGAGTCAAAATTTGCCGCCACGATGGCCCCGACGTCAACCCGGACGCGCGTCAGGGCGTGGTTCAGCCTGCACCCGAGCAAGAAGACCTACAAGATTTCGTCGCGGACAACTTTTCGCAGGTTGACTCGAGCGCGCCCAACCATGTGGATCACTGCATGTACACGATGACGGAGGACGCCAACTTCCTTATCGACTTCCTCCAAGTCCCGTCCGGTGGGTCTGCAACGAAGAAAATTGTCGTAGGTGCCGGCTTTAGTGGCCACGGGGCCAAGATGACGCCCGTGATCGGCCAAATGCTCGCGGACCTGGCGCTAAAGGGAAAAACGCACCAGCATCCTGACGGATTCCGCCTCTCGCGGAAGATTTCCGCTGCGCTGGAACACCACTCGTTCTCGAAGTTGTAAGAAGGCACCACTGCCGGCGTGCCCAGCAACGCAGAGTAGTCGTGAAGTTTAACCACAAATTGATTTGATCCGCATAATTCGTGTCTTGATCAGATGAACACGACTGGGTTAGCTTGTTAGTAAATATGGACATTGAAGGAGGCACGGAGTTATTAGCGTACTTATCGTAACCCTGCAAAGAGTTCCGACCCAAACTGGCTTCCGTTGCAGCTGATATTGATCGCAAAAATATCAAATGCACGCATATAACCTGACCAATGGAAAGGAAGGTCCACGTTAAGGATCTCTCTACTGTATGTACACTCATTGGCGAACCGCTAGCTTGTTTTGACGCTGATGACAATTTTTGAGGGGATCCTGGGCCAGAGCCACTGCATCGTACAGATACCGGTAGGGCCAGCATCAGTTCAATGTAGCGCCTTCACGCATCTACGGTAAACTACCAAAGAAATACGAGCCGCTGAAGCAAAACACAACTACGGACTTTAATGCCACGAACAACCTTGGCAGCAGCTGACTGCGACGCCCGACAGTCTACGCTATCGATACCACCGCGGTGCCTCCTCGCCAAGCCTCCTCGCCAAGTTGCAGTCGTGCTTGGTCGAGCTGCGATGCGAGCACAACCCCGCCAGCGCCACCTATGGCACCGCAAAGTCTTGCTAGAACCACTGCACGGTCAAAAGCGTTCACACTTCACACTTCCGAACGATCGCAACACGATGAGTAAGCATCTTGGTCCGTTTTAGTAAAATATCTGAAAAGCTACTACAGCTCAGTAGAATCGACTAAAACTTCAACTTCCAGGCATATCAACGCAAGTTTGACCGGCGTGCAGTTGACAACAAATTATCTGATCGGTGTGAACGAACACTGGCTGCTAATGTGAGGTTGCTTCATTCATAATGTTAATCCTTGGCGGACGTCGTCTAAAGATCGATAACTACATTGCTACATCATCTAGAAAATAAATACCGGTATGATACGAGGACGATCTGCCGGTCGTATCGAGCTCTGCTGCTCTGCCGAGTTGAGCCGGCAACACGGCGCCGTCTACGCCTCCTGCTTCTGGAAGAAGCGCTCCACCAGGTACGGGATGGCCAGGAAGCCGTCGCAGTCGAAGTTGCGCGGCCGCGGCTCGACCGACCTGCCGCCTAGCGTGAGGCCGACGAACTCGTTGCAGAACGTCGCCATCAGCTTCTTGCGCGCGTCCACGCCCGTGGCGATCTTGACGAGCAAGCGCGGCTGCGACATCGAGTGCACGATGTAGCTCATGAAGGCGTCGCAGTACTTGCACGTGCAGCCTTCCTCGTGCTTGCGCTGCGCGTAGCTCCACACCTGGTGGCGCAGGTCGGCGAAGTCGTTGAAGCGCTTCTGGAGCGTGTAGTCGGGCCGGCCGCTGGCGGAGGAGGCCTGCGTCGTCTTGCGCGTCGGGATGCGCGACGTGGAGTGCTCGAGGAACACGTCCAGCACGTAGTACACGACGCCGTCGCGCTCCGTGGTGTGGTTGATCTCGACGCGGTCGATCTTGGCGAGGAGCGCCAGCGGCTCCGAGGCCTTGGACGAGCGCGTGGGCGTCATCGTCACGGGCGACAGCGGCTGCAGGTGCGGCACCGTCAGAGGCGCGGCGGTCATGGCGGCGGTGGACATTGTGGTGGACGAGTGAGTGTGCCGAAGACGGGAAGTTGACAAGTGAGCCACCACCGGCCTCGCTGCGCTTTGCGCGCGGCTGTCGGTGGTGCGGGTCAGTCGCTGCAATTCCTGCGACCGAGCAGCCCCGCCCCGTCTCGCGCGCGCCGAGCCAGCGAGGGCGGACAACCGTGAAGTTACCCATCACCGCCAGCCAATCCGCTTCAACTTCGCGCGTTCGTTGGCCTCCAAGCACCAAGAGCACCGCAATCTTGAGCGCCGTCGCGCCGCCGGTGCCTCCCCGAGATAATCACGACGGGCTGCGCCGCTGCGCGCGCACCAATCCCCTCGGCGCCTCGAGTTGTCGCCCGTGACGACGCGGCCGTGGCAGGTCTCGTTCTGCTTGGCGTCGCGGAGCGGCCCTGTCCCGCGTGGGTGTCTCGCGGAGCTGTGCCGCTGCTCCATCTCAGCGAGAAGCCCCCCTTCACTGCTCACAACCTCTCTGAATCAGAGTATCTGATAGAGAGAGAGACGCCGCCCGAGCGACCGCGGCTTCAGAATGCCCCATCCATCGAGGTGCATTGCGCCCCGACCTCGCGCGGCCGAGGGTGCTTCGTCGACAGTCGAGTTGAGAGCGGTGCCGCGCCGCACCACCAGGCTGGCATTGGTGGGGCTGGCTTTCATGCATGCAAGCGACGCTGTGTTGCGGGACGCATGTCATTCTGCTGGCGGCATGGTTGATATGCTACCAAATGCCTGGCCAACGCCGCCTGCACTGCCAGCGTTTCGGCGATCTTCTTGCGCTGGCGGCGCCAACAGCAGGCGAGCAGCCGCCCACCCATCCACTGCCCGTGCCGCTGCTTTCGACGAAGGCTTCGCGCGTTCGTGTGCGGGCCTGATACTTGCGCGGCGAGTCACTCCTTGAGCAGAGACGTCTAGCCGCGCTTGTGCAAACCGCGTCACGACCACCAACTTCGGCTGGCCCAGCTCAGCCCAGTTACTGGGCGGGGTATCCGTACACTGCAGCCGCCCCGTCGTCAAGGCGCTTTTAGTGGATCCTCCACCTATCACGCAGCGGGGCGCCCTGCTCAGAAGCCGGCGATCTTGGAGGGACTCGGTCATTATGTATACGTGCGCGCAGCCTGCGACGTGGCAGATGACCACCGACATACCAGGATGTAAGACTGAAGATCAGCTTTACACCAAATAGTGTGGCAAAGACGCCAAACAGGCTGCCCACAGCTAAAATAGCTTGCAGCACATGATCACTTGTCAACTTCCCGTCAACGAGCCACTCCTTGTCGGCCGGTAGCACAACACACAAAGCCACCGGAATGTCCACCGCCGCCATGACCGCCGCGCCTCTGACGGTGCCGCACCTGCAGCCGCTGTCGCCCGTGACGATGACGCCCACGCGCTCGTCCAAGGCCTCGGAGCCGCTGGCGCTCCTCGCCAAGATCGACCGCGTCGAGATCAACCACACCACGGAGCGCGACGGCGTCGTGTACTACGTGCTGGACGTGTTCCTCGAGCACTCCACGTCGCGCATCCCGACGCGCAAGACGACGCAGGCCTCCTCCGCCAGCGGCCGGCCCGACTACACGCTCCAGAAGCGCTTCAACGACTTCGCCGACCTGCGCCACCAGGTGTGGAGCTACGCGCAGCGCAAGCACGAGGAAGGCTGCACGTGCAAGTACTGCGACGCCTTCATGAGCTACATCGTGCACTCGATGTCGCAGCCGCGCTTGCTCGTCAAGATCGCCACGGGCGTGGACGCGCGCAAGAAGCTGATGGCGACGTTCTGCAACGAGTTCGTCGGCCTCACGCTAGGCGGCAGGTCGGTCGAGCCGCGGCCGCGCAACTTCGACTGCGACGGCTTCCTGGCCATCCCGTACCTGGTGGAGCGCTTCTTCCAGAAGCAGGAGGCGTAGACGGCGCCGTGTTGCCGGCTCAACTCGGCAGAGCAGCAGAGCTCGATACGACCGGCAGATCGTCCTCGTATCATACCGGTATTTATTTTCTAGATGATGTAGCAATGTAGTTATCGATCTTTAGACGACGTCCGCCAAGGATTAACATTATGAATGAAGCAACCTCACATTAGCAGCCAGTGTTCGTTCACACCGATCAGATAATTTGTTGTCAACTGCACGCCGGTCAAACTTGCGTTGATATGCCTGGAAGTTGAAGTTTTAGTCGATTCTACTGAGCTGTAGTAGCTTTTCAGATATTTTACTAAAACGGACCAAGATGCTTACTCATCGTGTTGCGATCGTTCGGAAGTGTGAAGTGTGAACGCTTTTGACCGTGCAGTGGTTCTAGCAAGACTTTGCGGTGCCATAGGTGGCGCTGGCGGGGTTGTGCTCGCATCGCAGCTCGACCAAGCACGACTGCAACTTGGCGAGGAGGCTTGGCGAGGAGGCACCGCGGTGGTATCGATAGCGTAGACTGTCGGGCGTCGCAGTCAGCTGCTGCCAAGGTTGTTCGTGGCATTAAAGTCCGTAGTTGTGTTTTGCTTCAGCGGCTCGTATTTCTTTGGTAGTTTACCGTAGATGCGTGAAGGCGCTACATTGAACTGATGCTGGCCCTACCGGTATCTGTACGATGCAGTGGCTCTGGCCCAGGATCCCCTCAAAAATTGTCATCAGCGTCAAAACAAGCTAGCGGTTCGCCAATGAGTGTACATACAGTAGAGAGATCCTTAACGTGGACCTTCCTTTCCATTGGTCAGGTTATATGCGTGCATTTGATATTTTTGCGATCAATATCAGCTGCAACGGAAGCCAGTTTGGGTCGGAACTCTTTGCAGGGTTACGATAAGTACGCTAATAACTCCGTGCCTCCTTCAATGTCCATATTTACTAACAAGCTGTTCATCTGATCAAGACACGAATTATGCGGATCAAATCAATTTGTGGTTAAACTTCACGACTACTCTGCGTTGCTGGGCACGCCGGCAGTGGTGCCTTCTTACAACTTCGAGAACGAGTGGTGTTCCAGCGCAGCGGAAATCTTCCGCGAGAGGCGGAATCCGTCAGGATGCTGGTGCGTTTTTCCCTTTAGCGCCAGGTCCGCGAGCATTTGGCCGATCACGGGCGTCATCTTGGCCCCGTGGCCACTAAAGCCGGCACCTACGACAATTTTCTTCGTTGCAGACCCACCGGACGGGACTTGGAGGAAGTCGATAAGGAAGTTGGCGTCCTCCGTCATCGTGTACATGCAGTGATCCACATGGTTGGGCGCGCTCGAGTCAACCTGCGAAAAGTTGTCCGCGACGAAATCTTGTAGGTCTTCTTGCTCGGGTGCAGGCTGAACCACGCCCTGACGCGCGTCCGGGTTGACGTCGGGGCCATCGTGGCGGCAAATTTTGACTCCTTCCTCGGGGCTCATCATGGGCAAGCCGTACATCTCCGGGTACCCGTACTTGAGAAACACGGGGAACTTGTCCGGGGTGTACAGCTCGTGCTTGCACCTCCAGTACGTCCCGAACGTTGCGATCGGCTGCAGCTTGACCTTGTCCACGTCCGACCGCTTCAGCACCTTATTCGTCCATGCGCCTGCCGTGACAATGCACTGGTGGCCACGGACTTGCGTCCCATCGGCCAAGGTGACGACTGCAAGGGTAGCCCCATCCGCCTGCTGCTCACCGACGATGTCTGTGACTGGGCTGCGTTCACGAATGCTCGCGCCCAGTCCCTGGGCCAATTTCTGCATCGTGGCCATCGCCAGCGTCGGGTTCAGCACCCCTGCCAGCGGGTTGTACACCGCGTGGCTGTTGTCGGGCAACGAGAAGCCGGGGAAGCGTTGGTTGACTTGGTCTCCGGTCAGCGACTCGAACGGCACGTCGTACTTCTTCAGAGTCTTCTCAACGAGGACGATGTCGTCCAGCCGCTCGAAGGCGAAGTCCAGCTCGCCGGTCATGCGGATGAGCTCCACGCCGGACTCTCTCTCGATCTCACGCCACAGCTGCAGCGACGTCAGACACAGCTCCGTGTACGTGTCGCTCGGGTAGGCCACGCGGAAGATGCGACTGCTGCCGTGGCTCGAGCCCTTGCCGTGCAGCAGCTCGAACTGCTCCAGCAGCAGCACGCGCTTGCCTGCTTTCGCGGCGTAGTAGGCGGCCGCGCTGCCTATGAGGCCGGCGCCGACCACCACAACGTCGTACACTGGAGTCGCCATCAGGACGCAAATTGTTCATTGCGTACGTGTCTAGGAAGTGCGTGTATTGTTAGTTAGTCAGCAGCGCCAGCTGCTACGAGTTTGTCTTAGTTTAAATAAAATTGGTTGCGTTGCCAGTCCGGCACGCGCCGGCGGGGTATCGGAAGTTCCGGTACCGACGGCCTGACGGACTTTGGCTGAGATCAGCACTGTGACGACCAAACTCTCGCGTGCGGAGACAACCAGCACGTTGCATTCCTTTCCATTGTTCAGGTTATATGCGTGCATTTGGTAGTTTTGCGATCGATATCAGCTGCAACGGAAGCCAGTTTGGGTCGGAACTCTTTGCAGGGCGATCTCGTCTTGTCAGGATAAGCTACTCAAAGAAGCCGCCTGGCGACGGCTTAGCACGCGAAGGTGTCGTCGCAATGAAGCAACGTGAGCTTGTCGTAGAGACCCAATTAGGGCCACTTCAATCCACAGCTGGTGCTCGATCCAAACGAACATGTGGGGAATTTTAGCAGCGACAAATGTATCATCGCCTTATGGCAACCGAATGAAAAAACGTCTCAGCTCCATGAACTAAAGGCGGGTGCCATGGTCCCCGAGGCCTCCCTCGCGTTCCTCGGCTTGTGCGAGGTGTCGATGGCAACGCGGAAAGTGTAACGGCACATATCAGTGCTAGGACCAGTGAAGTCCAGCTCGATATACTTGCTGAAATCGATGTCATGGTACCCGTAGCAAAAGGCTCGAACGCATTGCAGGTGTCGTGTAAATGATGTTGTAGCTGTATTCAGTCGACTAAGTACTACTACGCTACGAGTTTGCCGTCGAACTCATGCGATCTACGGTGGTTGCTTGAGGTAGCACGCCTAGAAAATAAATACGAATAGATATGTGGGGCGGTCTCTCCGCCAAAACACATAGCGCAACCTTCGATCGGTCGCAAGGACTGCAGGCTTATGCCTCTTCCTTCCGGAAGAAGCGCTGCATCACGTACGGGATGGCTTGGAAGCCGTCGCACGCGATGTTGCGTGGCCGCGGCTCCGTCTTGCCGCCGACGGCCATACTGAGAAACTCGTTGCAGAACGTCGCCATCAGCTTCTTGCGCGGGACCACGCCCGTGGCGATCTTGACGAACAATCGCGGCTGCGACATCGAGTGCACGATGTAGCTCATGAAGGCGTCGCAGTACTTGCACGCACAACCGTTTTGGTGCTTGCGCTGCGCGTACGCCCAGACCTGGTAGCGCAGGTTGGCGAAGTCGTTGAAACGGCGCTCCAACTGGTAGTCAGGCTGGCCGCTCGAGGAGGCTTTGGTCGTCTTATTGGTCGGGATGCGCGACGTCGAGTGCTCCAGGAACACGTCCAGCACGTAGTAGACGACGCCACCGCGCAGGGTGGTGTGGTTGATCTCAATGCGGTCGATCTTCTCCAAGACCGAGAGCGGAGCAGACGCTCTGGAGGCCCGAGTCGGCGTCAACGTCACGGGCGACAAGGCCTGCAGGTGCGGCAGCGTGGTGGTGGAGGAACCGGTAGACATGGTCGGTGAGTAGCTGGCGAGGTGGACTTGGAAGGGTGCGATCGTTCGGAAAGGGGTTTGTTTGACTTGAGAGTGCTTGGGCTCCGACTGAGACTTGAGCGAGTGAGTCGTAGGCGGAAGGAAAGTTGACAAGTGAGCCAACTGGACGACGAGGTTTCGTCTCGCCAGCGGCTGTCGGCGGTGAGGGGCAGCAAGGGTGGACAAACACAGTGTGTTCAACACACCCTGTCCTCCCTGCATAACCGTGATCGGTGCGGTGAGGAGAGAGCTGGCGCTGCCCTTTCCCCCGCGCGAGCTTCTTATGCGGCGATGGAGCGAACAGTTCACCTGGCCGGCACTGGATGGATACTATACTTGACCGCGATACAGCCCGAAGTCCGTAATTGCACTCCGTCTCGGGCTGCCATGTCAGCGTAGAGCTAGCGAAGCAGTTTATTTAGCGGGGCCACAACAAGGGAACCACTGTACAGTACCTTTTTGCATGGCAAAATGTGATTCGAGTGTCGCTGGTTCTCCAAATTTGTCAGTTATCACGAACTTCGGACCCAACAACTTGTTGGGACATGGGGGCTTGTTGAACATGCCCCCATGTCTTTCGGCGATCTCTAGAAGGTGGGAATGTGCTTGTCGGCTAGAATCTAGAATCCCCCGGCTCACGCTTAGCTGCGAGAAATTGTACCTCCCACGAGGTTTTTTTTTACTTTCACTACACTGTACTTGTAAAAGTAAGGCTCCGACTCACTACGAGCACTATGCAAAAGTGCGCCAATACGCAGCACTTGGCTACTGTGTTTCCTCCAGTGTATTGCACGTGGTCACGCTGCTCTTGTCGACGACGCCAGTGGCACCCTGCGCAACCTGATAAATCTTACGAGAAATCATCGCCACAAATTTTGTTCTTCGCGTGGACTCATACAGCCAGGTCACCTTGACCACGACAGGCCTGTTTCTCGTTTGGGCATTTCCAAGATGCAACATTCGCGAGAATGAGGTTGGAAAGCCGCGCTAGACGGTCTCCGATTGGCTATAATTGCAACGAGCGCAAACGAGCGCAATTGATGTTGTAGTTGAACGGCGCCCCGCACGCCAAGCGAGCCAGAATGGCGCCGATGAACCTGTATTTTCCACGCGGAAACTCGCGAGGGAGTGCGCAAGGTCGACGCTGGTTTCCAAGGTCGGGATTCCCGGCCTCGAAAAGCGTAGCCACGCTTCTCCCGTCATTTCTGGAAGCACCTTAAAGTTTTGCAAGTATGTACTGTACTAACAAGGCCAAGTGTTGGAACCCCTTCATATGGCGCTGCCGTCACCTTCGCAAATGCTCCGTGAGGTTGCTGCAGTCGTCTGCTTCCAAGCACAACGCGCAAAAGTTTTCAGCGAAGGTGTACTCACGCCTCGCAGCCTCCAAGTCTGCCGTTACTCTTCACCTCTCTTTGGAGCAAGCAAGGCAAAACTGGAGACGCTGAACACCTTTGTAAGTCACTTTGAGCCAGCAGCGGAGTAGGAACGCCGAGCTCCGAGTGTGTGCCGTAGATTCAAAACACGCTGGCGCACAAAAGGGAACGATCTCCCGCTTCGCTTTGCTCGGCTCGGCTTATGGCTCACCTGTGCCGGTTTGCTCTTGAAACTCGAGTGTGTGCTTGCTGCACAGACAAGCAGGTGATCCCCTCATCGCCATACTCCAGCACTTGCCGTGTCGTGCTTGATACAGAACGAGAGTGCTTGCTCGCAAATGCAGCTGCCAATAAACGCTAGGCTAGGCGAGTCCAGGCCAGGCCATCCTCTTGTGCTGGCATCGCACGCAAGACCGCAAGGGCAAACTGCAACTCAGGAGAATGATACAGTCGCACCGTTTCGGGGGTCGTCATGTCGTGTACCGTAATGACAGTGGCATTTGGTGTTCCAACACACAAGGATCTTGAACGGCCGCATCATTCATATTTTTGAGACCCTTCATGGAGACCGCCTCCAAGCCGGCGGCCAGCGCGCCGTCACGCGGGTGGCAGAGCAAGAACGAGTGGGTTGTTCTCGTGGAGAACATCGCGCAGTCCCGCGCGCGGCTGGCGTCCGGCATCCAGCTCGCGATTGAGAAGCAGTGGGGCAACAACTTCGCCGGTGAGGAGAAGTAGTATTTTTGCAAAATTGCATTGTATTGTATTGTACTACTGTTCTGATTATTACAGTATTATTGTATGCGAGTAGCAAGTCTGCAGGAGTACGCGGCGGCAAAGGAGAATGAGATCCGCAACGTCTGCAGCTCCAACTACCAGGAGTTCGTAGACTCCATCGAGGAAATCGTCCGCATGAAGGCGGACGTCTCCAAGTTGCAGGTATTAATAATGTATTATCACTTCCATTGAGCAGTAATGCATGGCTGAAATAGTAGTTTTGCTGCTGTAGAATGATATTCATCGATTCCAGAGCGAGCTCGCTGGCGCCACATCGGAAGTTTTGTCGATCCACGACTCGCTGGCAACGTGCTACACCGTGCAGAAGCACATCGACGAGTCCATCGAGAAGTTGCAGCAATGCCAGCGGATTGTAAGCTATGTACTAAGTAGTACAACTGAGGTTTACTTAAAGTAGAGTGGAAGACTGACATAAACTCGATGCATTTTGCTGGACAGGTGGCATTAGCAGCAGCTATTGAAGCCTATATTCAGCAAGGCAAGCTGTTTCATGCACTCAAAATGCTGGAGGAGCTGCGAGTCGAGATCGCAGCCTTCCGGGTATGATACGCAGGCACTTTGCTGTCGATATATTTCGCGTTGGCTCCTCGTTCATATTGAAATCGATCTTCTGCTGTATTAGGGTCGGCTGTTTCCGCAGCGCATGAGCGACTGGATGCACGTTGCCATACGGACGATCAAGGATGAGGCAAAGCGAAGTGCATCTGTGTGGCTGGAAGATATTCGAGCGGCGTCTTCGGTTCGTGTGTTTTCGTGGATCACGGGCTGAAAGTGTCTACGGTCTCGAGACTGACCAACTATGTATGATACCCACCCAGGCTATCGGTGAAGCGGCAATCCATCGCTTGGAGAATCAGATAAGCGAGCAGTACTACGAGCAAGATATCCTCGAGAAGTGCGGCCATGCGCCTCCTGGAGCTGTGCTGGGGAGATCCCCCAGCAGCGGAAACGTTCCTATCAGCCCCCGAGCATCGCTGAGTCCAACAAGTTCTGGGAGGTCGCTAGTGGGCGAAGACACTTTCAAGTTACCCTCGATCAGGGTCTTCAACTCGGACGCTGATACGCTACGCGAGCGAAGCAATATCCATGCCAACTACATGAAGCAAGCGCTGGCCCAGCTGTCGCCAATGCTGAGGATCCTGCACGTGTTTCGCGTGATGAGCCAAGTCCCTGAGCTTGCCGCGTTCTACAACGCGAATCGCTTGGTAGATAGAATCGATTCCTTTGGTCCAAGTCGGCTAGTTGTATTCGGCTCTAGGTTGACTAACGTCTGTGATTTATTTGTATAGCCGCAACTCCAGCTGACGTCGTTTCTAAGGGGTGCAGTGACAACGATCACACCGGAAAAGTTCGTAGCCCAGCACGAAGAGCTTTTCAAGAAGTTCACGGGGGCATTTTGTCTTGAGCATTTGCTCTGGCGCTACTCTGATGCAGCCTTGCTGTCCAAGAAGGAGATCAATGGGATATTCCATCTTGTAGTGCAGAGTTTGTGCGGCATTGTGTCCACCTCTGTACTGAGCATCAACGTGCCGGCCACGATTCTCGATATTAAGCTCAAGGCGATCGTGTGCGCGCGAACGTTGAGTGATGAAGTGCACGAGTATAATTCTACACTCATGTTCGACACTTTCCGCCGCCTCGGGACCCATTTTCGAGGTACGATCATGGCTGACACCAAGAGGTACGTATAAACGGAGGTTGCGTAAGGAATAGTATGGGCGATGCTCACACCCAGCTAATGTCGTGCTCTGAAACAGGCAGCTTCGCGAGTTCATGTCAAAGGATACGTTCGAGCGTGTTAACGTTTCTTCCGAAAAGCTTCGGGCGGTACGTACAGCTACTATTTCTAGTTATCTTGCGCTTGGCAAGGCTAATTAGCAGTATATTCGGCGTCTTGCAGACCCTCCAGTGCTGCGGGCTGGAAAATGAAGAAGGCCGTATGCTAAAGAATGTGGATCTGGGAGCGAATCCGGTGGTGCTCCCGTTTACAGACGTATGTTTCCGCACGCCGCCAACCCAAGCAAATGCTGGACTTACCTAACTCGTGTGTCGTTGAATGGCCAGGTCGTCGTGAAGAGCTGCACGTGCATCGATGCTTTGGTGCAGATGATGTTCGACTACGAACGGTATGATATCATGCATGTGCTGTATGGGAAATGAGTCGTAAATAATGTGACACCATGGGATTCATAGGTACTTAAACATCGATGACTGGGGTGAATGGGTCCGCAACGACACCATTGAGGCTCTTGGATTCCTCAACGATACTGTCAACGAAGTCATCGACCAGCACACGGACCTCCAAGTGTCGACGGTAATGTTGAGAAGGCCCCCATCCCTGTACTTGTGTGATCAATCTAATAGTCGCCGGTTTTGTTGGTTTACAGGCTGTTATGATGGGCACAAACGCGTCGTTTTTGGCTTGCGCGTGCGACCGATTCGAAGAGCTTGTCAAGGTTCAAACTGAAGCGTGGGAAGCGCGGACGTATGGTTACAGTGTCAGCAACACGCTTCGAGGAGCCAATACGCAGCTGGTGAAGCCTTGCTCCAGTCGTCTGCTACTGAGCAAGGCTGCAGCGAAGAAGAAATTCGACAGTACGACAACTAGAGCCCAAGACATGGTTTGTGAGCTGATGGTGCGTATATGTTGAGTATCTTTATCCACTTTTACTGTACAGGGTCTAACCTCTGCTTTTGCGTTCCGCAGTTGAAGAAGATTGATGAGCTCCTTTCGAGCTTCTACTACCTTAACTGGACTCCGAGCGCTGTCCTAACGCAGCCAGACCCTTCCATGTGGGACCTCATCAACTACCTCAAAGTCACATTCACGCAGTTGGAGCAGCTACCTCCAGCCGTCCAAGAAGCAGTGCACTTCGCCTCCTGTAGCTACCTGGCCAAGTCGCTGGAGCAGATTTTGAGTGGCCCCACGGTGAAGAAGCTGAACATGGAGGGCATCGCCAACTTTAAGCGCAACCTGGACGTTCTGCTGGATTTCATCGAGTCGGTCCCAATTGCTCAACTGAAGGACTGCTTTGTTCCAGTCACGCACCTGGTTGATCTCTTCGTTTCGGGGGCGGTTGAAGCGTTTCTGGATCCACAACAACGGTACGCTCCTGAATTGTACTTGCAGTTTTAAAACGAGCTCGTATATTAACTTGTGCTGTTCCATGTGCTCAGCGAGACGCGAGGCAAGTATTCTCACTTGTCCGCCGACACGGTGTCGGCTGTGCTGGCAAAGATGAAGGATGGGAAGAGCTCGTCAAAGGCCTGGAGCGCTAAGTTCGTCCACGCTCCCAGGAAGAGCCTGTTCGGCGCCAAAAGTACCCGGAAGTAAGCCTGGCCGACGTTTACAGCTTGGATCTAAGCGGACAATGAGAACGGTATAGTAAGCTTACACTTCGTTTGGCTTGGGCTAGCTTGTATTCACTATCTAGGTGGCTGCTGTTGGTGAAGCGATCGACTCCGTTAGTTGATGGAGCCAGCTGAGACGCAGCGCTGGTGTAGCTTGGCTCTCATCGCCAAGTAGAACCAGCATATTGCCAATTGCTGGCTGCCGTTCCCCAAGCTTTGCTACACTACGGTGCATCTTTGAACCAGCGGCGGGGTCGTTGCCGGTGCGCTTACTGCAGCTCGATAAGCGCACTGCACCGTGGAGCAGAAGCGTGTCAGTCGCACTCGCGCCGTTGTCCTCGCATTGATTGGACCGCGCAGCGAAGGAGTTTTTCCTAGCCAACTCCTCTTCGCTCTGCTGCCGGTGGATACGAGTGAGTTGACTGAACATGTTTCTGCTGATTCCGTGGCTTGGTCCTTCGCCAGTGTCTCCGAATCGATCCTGCAGCCGCTCCAGTTTATCCTGAGTGGTTTGTTCGCGATCGAGAAGGCGGCAGAAGTTCTCGAAGGTCAGCGCGGCACCCACCCAGCTCCTCATTTTCTCCAAAGACGCTGGCATCGTCGTCTCTGGCTGCTTGTCCTCTGTCATTCTATCAAGGAGCTCACTCGCCCAGACACACTCTTCACTGCTCTTGGAGTGACGTGCAACTAGGTGGAGCATGGACTGCTGGAACTCGACGAAGACGCGACGCAGCGCGTTCTCCTGCCGCTGCGTCTCGACGGTGGTGACCTCGCTGTTCTCCAAATCGGACCAGAGGCGGTCGACGCGACTGCGGAGTATTGTTTCCAGCGAGGCATTGGCCAGACTCGCACTCTCAGACTCGGGTCCAGACTCTGAGCTCTTGGTGATCTTGGTGAGTGACTGACGCACTCGCTCATGCAGTGCAGACCCTTTGAGTTTAGCCTTCGGCTGCTTCGTTCTGGCGGAGAATGCTGCTGCTACGTTCTTCTCCTCTGGCTCGAGCAGGAACGTAGCTGTCGTTGGAGAGCTGCCCACGCTTACTTTCCTCCACGACAGCAACACACGCAGGAACGTCACGACTTGGCGCATGAGGTTCCCAGCGTTTTCCTGTGATGATCGTGCATTGCCACTGCAGGAGAAGAGGTTGGGTGCCATGACTGTAGCGAGGGCTTGGAGGGTCATCTGGTTGAACGATCGATGCGTGTTCACCTCCAGCAAGTGCTCGAGCAGCCAGTGGAAGACGGCGCTCTCTCGGGCCCCCAACTTCCGCAACACCCGCGTGATCTGGGCGTCCACGAGGTCAACATTCCCCGCTGTTACAATCTGCTGTCCGTCTTCGTCCTCCTCCGTCCGCGTGGTCGTCAACTTGGTGACGGCGACCAGGTCGTGCACGTCCAAAGCGTCCAGCAGAAGCACCGGCAACTCGCGCAGCCAGAGCTTCAGGAGACTTGCGTACACGTGTGGGTCAGCGACCTGAGAAGGCTCGAAGGAGCCTCGGTTGATGGCGGCTTTCGAGCGCTGCACCTCGTCCTGAACCGGCGAGACGCGGTAGATGAACTTGCATCGCAGTCCGCCGTGGCGAATGAGCTCCCGACGTAGCATGCGCAGCAGCGCTGGCACTCGGTCTTCCGCTTGCGCGCTTTGTGGCGTTGACGAGCGACACCTCATGTGAGATAGCGCGATCCCAAACTGCTGGTGGAGCGCGGCCCACTCGGCCGATGTCGGTGCTCCCTCGTACTGAGCTTGAATGGAGTTGAACTTGACGCACAGGTCGTGCGAGGCTCGGAACGGGTCGCCAACGAAGATTTTACCGCTGGAGCGGGTAGAACTGCTGGTCTCGTCGCGGGATGAAGCGGGGTTGGCTGAGGGCAGTGCGGCCTCCACTGACCGCCAGTCGAAGCTTTGCCGCGTTGCAGCACGCACCGAAGTATCGACAGGTTGTTGGTCATTGTACGCGTGCATCGCCGCCACAAGACATCGCGAGGAGGAAGACGAAAACGACGAGAGGAGGCGATTCACGCGAGCACTTGTGATGGTGTCGATGCTTGCGAGAGGATCATCCTGGCGTGATGAGACCGACAGCCATGACGATGACACCGACGGTGACGGAGGTGGGGACAAGGACGTTTTCGGGCGAAGTACTGCCGCCGGCGAGGGGGATTTCGGAGCGCATTTGGATGGCGGGCTTAAGGTTCCACCGCTGGAGGTTCTGGACGTGTCGTTCACCTTGACGAAACGAGTTGAGGAATCTCGGTTCGTGTTTCCACGTAGAACTGGAGACTTTGCTGAAGACGGTAAGAGCTTGAACTCCGTCGGTGGATGGCGGAAGCTGGTTGTGTTCGCTGTGTTTGGCTGTTGCTGAGGTATGACTTGTACTTGATCAGCTTCTTTGGGTTTGTTGCCGTCCCGATGCTTCTCTGACTCGGCATCATCAGATGTAAGGTTTAGTAGATCATCTTCACTCGCTGATGCTTTATCATTCGCAGGGGGCGGTGACGACCCAGCTAGCGGTGATGGCACTGCAGACTCTCGGAATTCAAAGGTTTTGCCCAGAAGTCCAGTCGATGCTTCGCCTTCGTCTCCATCCTCACTCCGTGAAGACACGGATGCTTCGCTGAGCACATTAGCATCGCCTCCTCCGATCTCTTCGGCGATTTCATCTTCCAGTTCTTGCTCAATCGTGGGAGCTGGCGCTGTCGGAGGCACTGCAGAGGCGTCAGTACTAGCGTCAGGGACCTCTCCAGCTTTCGCGAGTTGAGCGTCGACACCCCCCTCCTTTTCACCACTCGCGAAGACGTATTGGATGTGCGCTTCGCGGCGAATGAACTCGTGTTGCATGCACTCCAGCGCCGTGGGGCGCTCGGCCGGGTCCTTGCGTAGGCAGAAGCGCAAGAAGTCCAAGAAGGCGGCCGACCATTTCTCAGGATGCGCGACTTGCGGCGGCGGGTTGCGCGGGATCTGGATGAGCACGCGCATCGGGTGTTCATCGAAGAGCGGGGGCTTCTGGTCGGCCAACTCGATGGCCGTGATACCCAGCGACCAAATGTCGGCCTTGAAGTCGTAGTCGCAGTCCTGAATGAGCTCGGGGCTCATCCAGTAAGGCGTCCCGACGAACGATCCTCGGCGCGAGAGCGTGTCCCGCAGCTGGGCCGACACGCCGAAGTCGGCGATCTTGACTTGGCCCGAGTCGGTGAGCAGGATGTTGCCGCCTTTGACGTCTCGGTGGATCTTGCGGCGCGAGTGCAAGTACGCGAGGCCGTTGAGCGCCCCTCGCATGATGACGGAGATCTCGCGCTCGCTCAAGGGGCGAACGCGACGGACGTCTCCAACGGATCCACCGGCGCAGTGCTCCATGGCCACCCACAGCGCGCCGTCCTTGTAGTAGGCCCCATGGAAGGCCACGACGTTCGGGTGGTCGCATTCGCGCAGGAATTGGATCTCGCGACGCACGCTCTCGATGTCTTCGCCTCGCTCCCCCGCTTCGAGGGCCACAGGGATCACTTTCAGCGCTGCGAGGCGCGATCGGTCGGTCTTGTAGCAGGCCCGAAACACACGCCCGAAGGCGCCGGCGCCTTCCTTGCGCTGCAGCTCGAAAACCTCCTCCGGGTCCACCTCCTCGAGCCCCAAAGTCTTGAGAACCGGCAGCTCGGCACTCGTGACGGCGTACGACGCACGGCGAGGCTTGGCCATCGTAAAGAGCGACGAGAGAGTTGAAGGACGCTGAGAAGTCTGGGACGCGTCGCGAGCGAGCTTGGGGTCCAACCGCCCAGTCTTCAAGTCTAAAGAGTCCCTACGTTAGACCTATTCCGGTTCGAGGCGAGGAATTGTACGACATGAAGGGCGTCTGGGACGAGATCGATCCTGCAAGTTCTCGAAGCTGCATGCAACGCGGGTGACGGCTTGCGACTTGCTCGGATCTATTGCGTGGATTTTTGTGGGCTTGTCATTTCGGAATTCGACGTAGGAGGAGAAGAGATCAACAGCAAGAAGGAGAAGATGACCGAGCCCGTGACCGGCCAAAGTGTTGGTATTGATCTGGGCACGACCTACTCGTGCGTCGGCGTGTGGCAGAACGACCGCGTGGAGATCATCGCCAACGACCAGGGTAACCGCACCACCCCGTCGTACGTGGCCTTCACGGATACCGAGCGTCTGATCGGCGATGCCGCCAAGAACCAGGTGGCCATGAACGCGCACAACACGGTGTTCGACGTCAAGCGCTTGATCGGCCGCAAGTTCACCGACCCGGAGGTGCAGTCGGACATCAAGCACTGGCCGTTTAAAGTTGCTCGAGGCCCGGAGAACAAGCCGCAACTGGTGGTGCAGTTCAAGGGCGAGTCCAAGACGTTCCAGCCCGAGGAGATCTCGTCCATGGTGCTGATCAAGATGCGCGAGATCGCCGAGGCGTACATCGGCAAGCAAGTCAAGAACGCCGTGGTTACGGTGCCAGCGTATTTCAACGACTCCCAGCGCCAAGCTACCAAGGACGCCGGTGCGATCGCTGGGCTGAACGTCCTGCGTATCATCAATGAACCCACGGCCGCGGCCATTGCCTACGGCCTGGACAAGAAGGGCGGGGAACACAACGTGCTGATCTTCGACCTGGGTGGCGGGACGTTTGATGTGTCGCTCCTAACGATCGAAGAAGGCATCTTTGAGGTGAAGGCCACGGCCGGAGACACGCACCTGGGCGGCGAGGACTTCGACAACCGTCTGGTCGAGTACTTCGTGCAAGAGTTCAAGCGCAAACATCGCAGAGATCTCAGTGTGAACTCTCGTGCGATGCGTCGCCTTCGTACAGCCTGCGAGCGCGCGAAGCGTACGCTGTCCACGTCGGCGCAAGCGTACATTGAGATCGATTCGTTGTTGGACGGCACCGACTTCAACTCGACCATCACGCGCGCGCGGTTCGAGGACCTGTGCAACGAATTCTTCCGCAAGACGATGGATCCGGTGGCGCAGGTCCTGCGCGACTCCAAGCTGTCGAAGAACCAGGTGAACGAGGTGGTTCTGGTTGGAGGCTCGACGCGTATCCCCAAGGTGCAGCAGTTGTTGGTGGACTTCTTCAACGGCAAGGAGCTGTTCAAGTCGATCAACCCGGACGAGGCCGTCGCGTACGGCGCCACGGTGCAGGCTGCTATCCTGAGTGGCAATGACTCGTCGTCCAAGCTTCAGGACTTGCTGTTGCTGGACGTGGCTCCGCTGTCGCTTGGCCTGGAGACGGCCGGTGGAGTCATGACGAAGCTCATTCCGCGTAACACGACGATCCCGTCCAAGAAGACGCAGTCGTTCTCGACGTACGCGGACAACCAGCCTGGTGTGCTGATCCAAGTGTTCGAGGGCGAGCGCACCATGACCCGCGACAATCATCTACTGGGCAAGTTCAATCTGGACGGCATCCCGCCCATGCCTCGCGGTGTCCCGCAGATCGATGTTACGTTCGATGTTGATGTGAACGGTATTTTAAACGTGTCGGCCGTGGAGAAGTCGACGGGCAAGGAGAACAAGATCACGATCACGAACGACAAGGGCCGACTGTCGCAGGCCGACATTGACCGCATGGTCGCCGACGCGGAGAAGTACAAGGACCAAGACGAGCGCAACAAGCTGCGCATCGAGTCCAAGAACGCGCTGGAGAACTACGCCTTCTCGTTGCGCAGTTCGACGCGCGAGGAGAAGTTGGCGGCCAAGCTCAGTGAGGACGACAAGAAGACGATCGAATACAAGGTCGCGGATACGTTGCACTGGCTGGACGCTAACCAGGCGGCGGAGAAGGAGGAGTTCGACGCGAAGCAACAGGAGCTGGAGAGTATGGCCAACCCGATTTTGCAGAAGGTTTACGCGGCGGAAGCGGGCGCTGGTGCTGGAATGGGTGGCATGGGCGGTGCTACTGCTGCTGGCGCTGGTGCTGGACCCCATGGCCCTGGAGGTGCGGATGGTGATGAAGGTCCGAAGATTGAGGAGGTGGACTAAGCGCAGCGAAGCAGTGTGCTGCCACCCCTCACAACTTTTTTTTTATATTTTGTGTGCTTGAGAAGATCGACTTGAGCTTTTAGCGAGGATTGGAGATGGAGCCGATCCTAACATTTTAATGGCATGATGCCTTGCCCTTGCGGTCATTGTTTTGCTGTTTTGTTTGTCCTCCTAAAGTGTTGCAAGAGACCAAGACGGAGACGTCCTGGCCACAACAACGGCTGCACAGGTTACTGAAAACTTTCTCCACTTTAAAACCACCTCCGCTTTGGTGATGAAGGCCTGACTTCCAGCTTGTTGCACTTGCTCGAGCCTAGTGCCGAAGCACTCTGTTCTCCGTCGTATTTTAATAATTTTATTAAAATAGTTACAATGGTGCGAAGCTTATCAAGTGCGCAGGGCGACCTCGGATGCCTCAGGTTGAAGAGAGTTCTGACGCTACAACTATTCGCGTTCCTACTCCAGAGACTTCTCCTGCTCGTGCTCATGGAAGTACGCTGATGTTTTTTCGGAAACGGCGCAACCGTCGACCTACTCGTGCAGCTTCAGACTCGCAGCCTGCTTCTCGATGGCCTCGATCTCCCTCTCGCTCACGATAAGGTGGACATCTCCGAGACCATCTACGGCTCCATCCCCAAGCTCACTAGCGAATGGGTGCCGAGCGACCAGCTTGGCCAAGTTGCCACGATGCTCTAGCCACCTCAACAGTCGGACAGCTTCGTAGCCTAAAATGAAAATGCACGCTGGGGCCTGTGCGCCAGGGCGCAGGAGTTCGTCATTTGAACCACGCTGCATTTCAGGTTAGCTTTGACCGGACCACGTGTAGATTGTAATTTTCGTGATAATGGCGTCCGCGAGCACGTCTCCGACCTGTTCAGGAGGGGCCGGTGGGCCTCCTTCTCCTTTTTGGCCTCTTCTTCTTCTCCTTCTTGGTCTTGGCCGCGTGGGCTCTTGCTTTGCCTTTAGACGACATGGTTTTCGTGCAATGCGCAAACCCAATCTTTGACAGCAAAAGCTGATTTTTCTGTATGCAACCCCAGCTTTTGAAAACAAAAGCTGATTTTCACCGTACCGCCTGCGAGCGCGCGAAGCGTACGCTGTCCACGTCGGCGCAAGCGCCCATTGAGATCGATTCGTTGCGTTGCAGAGACCTCCTTCTGGTCTTGCAGACGAGAGGTCATGGCCACGACAACTTCAACTTCCACTTCAGAAGGCGCCCGTATCTGAGACTAAGCTTTTCGCGTCCAGGAAACCACTTGTCCGCCTTACATACTATATACCTGGCAGCTTCAGAGGCCGTGAGGTCTCCTGCCGGACGGACACCATGAGACCGAACGCCACTTACTTCAGATCCGTTATCGCTGGTCGTGCCGGTGCCGCGACCCGTCCGTTGGTTAGTATGGCGCTTTGTATGGGCCCCATGGCCGGGGCGCCCATTTGGGCCAATTCAAGCCAACCACTCGAAAACCAGACTCAGATCGCAACAAACCGACGACCGCGAGGCAACGATCGCCTCGGCGCCCTCCCGGCCATTAGCCCAACACGAGCGAGCCCCGCGCAGCATGGTGGACGAGGAGGCGGCCCGCTCACTGGAGCAGGAGGCCATCGCGCTCGTGAACCTCAGCAACTCGAAGCAGTTCTCGGCCGCGCAGCCGCAGCAGCAGCTCGACAACCAGGACGTAGCGCTGGAGCTCTACGTGGATGCCCGGGCCTCGGACGCCACGTCGGCCGGCCAGCCGGCGGCCGTCGAAGTGGAGGCCGCGCCGCAGGACGACGCGTCCGCCGAGCTGCTGGACGGCAACATCTCCATGAAGTCGCTGCTCGTGACGCTCAAGAAGCGCAAGCTGCAGCACCCGCAGGCCGAGGCGCAGCAGCAGCAGCCCACGGGACCCGATAACGCAGCGGAGACCGCGACGGTTGACGACGCCAAGCTCCCGAGCTTCCGCACCGTGTTCCAGCCGCAGCCACAGCAGCAGCAGCAGCAGCAGCAACAACAGGAGGCGGTGGCCAACGCGGCCGCGGAGCCCGTGCCGCCCGAGCTCAAGTGCAAGTACCGCACGGGCAAGTGCCACAACGTGCGCGCGCTCAAGTCGTGCGGAGACTACCACAACCTGTGCAACTACCACCGCCTCCGGGCCAACGCCAACCAGCGCAAGCTCGACCGCAAGAAGAAGGAGCAGCGGCTGCAGCAGCAGCAGCTCACGGCCGGAGCGTCCTCGCCGCGCGCGGTCAAGCAGCAGCCGATCCCAGCCTCGTCACATGCGGCCGCGGCGGCACTCGCGTCGCTGGTGGCCGCGCAGCCGCAGCACCACTTCGACGTGCTGCAGCAGCAGCGACCGTTCTTCGCCGCCGGCGTGACCGTGCAGGAGGTGGGCAAGAACAATAGGAATAGAAGCACCGGCGCCGTGCGCCCCAAGCAGGAAGACGCCTGCAGTTATTAGACTCCACCCCATGGAGCAGATGCGGCATTTTGCGAGCCAAGCCACGCACGCCCACGCTTGGGCACCGCCTGCTTCCATAGACACCACATAAACCGATAAACATAGCAGCAACCGACCCCGCGACGGCGGCTCTGGCCCGCGAGTTACCTCCACGCAACTTGAGTGCTACAGTACATGGTTATTGGGTTGGTGGCACGAAGTGTCATCTTGTCTAGCGCGTGGATGAAACGCCGGACCAGGCGCGCTAGCTCATAATGCCGCACGCTTCATATTGCCTCAGGTCCGACGATTCCGAGACACAAGAGAGCAGTACTGACCGCGTTATGTGTATATGACCAGGAAGACCATCACGACAAGCACCGCCACCAGGAAGAGAATGAGTCCTAGCTGGCACTTGTCTGTACAGCACAAGTAACAAAAAATACTAAGGTTAGCCAATATTGAAGCGAGACATGATATAATGATTCATCGCAACCTTTCGTCTTGAGCAGTTTGCTCAAACGGCCCATAACAAAGTTCATGCGTTCCTGAGCTTCATCCACATCATCGGTCAAGTCGTCAAGCATTCTAAAGGCAGACACAAAAGCCACAATAACGTTTCGCTGGTTAGCCAAGGATACAACATAAAACAGAAACTCAAACTCGATTGACACGCACTTGTTCTGCTTGTTGACTTCGTTCGAAATCTCCACCGTCACTCCGTGCAAGCGCGTAATGTCAGTCTCGAGCCCGGCAAAACTTTTGTCCTGCTCCTGCATAATTTGCTGCACGAATTCATCAACAAATAGAACGTCAAGATCCGCGTTGGCTCGGAGTGTCTGTGATCCTTCCACGCAGCCACAGGTTCTTTGTTTACCTGCTGTCGCTGCATTTCGTCCTGCATAAACCGCTCGTTCCTGTCTTGGCCGCTATTCACTCGGAAAGACGTCGACGACTTCGATGGTTGCATCAACTGCAAACCAGCCAGCAAAAATACTGTCAGCTTCGCTTTATCTTCTCCAGTTTCAATTCCGACGCTCGCCCACCTTGCGCTCTTCCTTGCGGATCCGAGCCTTGACAGCGTCCGTCGAAATCTCAGCCGAGACAGCTTGCAGCTCCTGCAGTACAGCGATAAACCACACCAACGATGAGGTGCCATATTCATTCCCTTAGCACAAGCACTAGCACAAGCACCCTCCCACCTTTCTAGTGGTCGCGACGAACGCTTTCCGACTTGCGATCTCCGCCTGCCACGAGTCCGCACAAGCCACAGTTAGTAGCCATCTCTACTGTATCTCTGTAGGGGGGGTCTCTTCAGTACCGCATCAATGTGCTCGAACTTGGCTCGGTTTGCCTCCACCATGACGATGGTCTCCTCCAAAAACTTGACCGACTTGTCCGCAGCGGCCACGGCGCCCTCGATCTCTGCGTCAGACAGCGTCAGTTCCTCCTCCTAACAACGCCGCGCTGCACTCATATTGCAGTACGCACGGTGCGTCAGCGCCGGCAGCTCCTTGGCCGCGGGCGAGCCTTTGGCCTCCAGGATGGCGCGCCACTTGGCGTGCTTCTGGTTCACAGCCGACACTTTGGTCTCCAGCTCACTGCGCGCACAGAGACGGAGTCAGCAGGTTGGCGGCGGGCAGAGCACAGAGGCAGAACGGTAGAACGCACTCCTTGAACACGTAGAACGGGTCGCCGCTGGCCGCCGCCATGGACGACTCCTTCTTCTTCATCATCTTACAGAGCTCTTCCCAATGACTTGGGATCTGCCTTTGGGTGCCTTTTTGCGGTAAATCGTACCTAAGGGAGAAAAATGTCAGATGAAAAGGAGAAAGAAAAAAGCGCGATGGATTTTTACACGGTATTTTTGAGTTTTTGTTATTTATTATAATACAGCCACTTTCAGACTGGCGAGGGAGTATCCTGCGTGGAAGTTATTATAGCACTACAACCTTATCCATCGTAACCAGATACTTACTAGATCTTGTCTTTTCGTTTAACTGACTGCTGTGGCGCCTCATCACAAATCGGTCTGCGCCGCTTGGGCGCTGGGTCGAAGAGGGAGGCGTGGACGACTTCGGGGACGAGACTCGATCCTGTGCAAGCGCAGAGACTCTCGATCGAGGGGCACGTAGCCGCGAGCTTCAGGATGCCCGCCACGAAATTCGTGAGGATGGTCGACGCGCGCCTGCGTCCGAAGAGGCCCAAGAAGAGACTGTCGGGGTTTGGGCCGAACACCAGCAAGTCGGTCATGCTGCCGCACAAGCCGCAGTGGTGGTCGCGGTGGGCCCAACGCACGATGTTGTACACTCTCGGTCACGCAGAATGATGAATTCGTGGAGCTCCCGGTTGATCCGCACGGTTGACGTGAGCGACGACGCGACTGGGCTCGCTGAAGGGATCCTGGGGGATGTTTCGCTGCATGGGCGACTCTCACACACCTCAACGACATAGCACAGCGTAGTGCTTGCTCTCGAGCACGAAACGCGAACCGAGCGGGTATTCTTGAGCCGTTGCAGTGCGATCCGGCGATGTGACACGTTCACGGGCTCGAGCACCACGGGCTTCAGCGGCTGGAGCGTCCTAACGGGTCGATCTGTCGGCATGCCGCTGCCTTGATGGTGCTTGCTAGGATATACTGTACGCTAGAAGAAGCTAAATGAGCACGGGCTCATTCTGCTACGCTAAACGTATACTAACTTAGTGTACGTGTAGTGCTCAATGCATCGTCCAATCAGACAGATTAGAATTCGCCGTGGTACTCTGTTGTTGTCTGCAACCCAATCAACTCGATTGGGTGGAGTAATTGTACAATGTACATCGGCCGGCAGTGTACATGTAATGATGTGCTTCTCTTCTGGTTGGGATGCTACGACAATGGTGTCATGGTAATACAATCAGGTAAAACTATGGTTGATTAGTCGAGTACTTGCATCACCAGGGCTCGCAAACGGTGCTGACCGGCCCGTGTAGCCGTCCAAGCCGAAGTCGGGTACTCGTACCCGCCCGCCCACAAGCCACGGGTGTACCCGGGCCAGCCAGGGCTCAAGGTTTTGTACGGACGGACCAACTGTTACATCTCCCGACACGGTTTTAAAGTTAAACATTTAAGTAGGAACTACGCGAAATCAATACAGAGTGAAAAGGACTTGTGGAGGCTAAAAGAAGACGGCGTAGGAGCATGATATAGCTAGTATAAGTAAGAAATAGTACTATTTAGTACTATTTTCGTCAACTTCGGGTACCCGTGGCACCGCCCGAGGTTTGCTTCGGGTACCCGTACCCGACCCGAAACCGGGTATACCCGAGGCGGGTAGGGCGGGTACAAGAAACGGGTACCCGATTGCGAGCCCTGTGCATCACTTGTGGTATGGCTGGGATGGAAGCCATTTCATTTAGAGTATACAGTAACAACCCTGGCGGCCCATACAAACTTGAAGTGTACTCAAAGGACATCGAGCCAGCGATTCTCGAAGTTGAAGTGGAGCATGTCCGGGACCCCTTGAGCAGGTTGGCCGCAGCATGCTTTTACTCTCTACAACAGACAGACAACGGGAAACCAACTTCGATGCAGAACACAACAACAGAGGAATGGGTAACATATATATTAGCTATCCACCACAGCGATCAGTTCTACGTAAACCAAACACACTTTAGTCGACCTCCTCGATCTTGGGGCCCTGGTCCGCGCCGCCCGCCGATGGAGCAGCCGAGGCGCCGGCACCGGCAGGCATTCCGCCCGGCATGCCACCCATGCCACCGGCGGCGGCGTACACCTTCTGCAGCACGGGGTTGGCCACGCCCTCGAGCTCCTTCTGCTTGGCCTCGTACTCCTCCTTCTCCGATGACTGGTGCGCGTCCAGCCACTGAATCGTCTCCGTCACCTTGTCGTCCACCACCTTCTTGTCGGCCTCGGGGATCTTCTCCTTGAGCTTCTCGTCGTTCAGACTGTTGCGCAGGCTGTACGCGTAGTTCTCGAGCGCGTTCTTGGCCTCGATGCGCACCTTGTTGGCCTCGTCCTCCGACTTGTACTTCTCGGCCTCCGCCACCATGCGGTCGATCTCGGCCTGCGAGAGGCGGCCCTTGTCGTTCGTGATCGTGATCTTGTTCTCCTTGCCCGTCGACTTCTCCACGGCCGACACGTTCAGGATGCCGTTCGCGTCGATGTCGAAGGTCACGTCGATCTGCGGCACACCACGGGGCATGGGAGGGATGCCGTCCAGGTTGAACTTGCCCAGCAGGTTGTTGTCGCGGGTCATCGAGCGCTCGCCCTCGAAGACCTGGATCAGCACACCGGGCTGGTTGTCCGCGTACGTCGAGAACGTCTGCGACTTCTTGGTGGGCACCGTCGTGTTACGGGCGATCAGCGTCGTCATGACACCGCCGGCCGTCTCCAGACCCAGAGACAGAGGCGTCACATCCAGCAGCAGCAGGTCCTGCAGCTTCTCCGACGAGTCGTTGCCGCTCAGGATGGCCGCCTGCACCGTGGCGCCGTACGCGACGGCCTCGTCCGGGTTGATCGACTTGTTGGGCTCCTTGCCGTTGAAGAAGTCCGACAGCAGCTGCTGCACCTTGGGGATACGCGTAGAGCCGCCGACGAGGACGACCTCGTGCACCTGGCTCTTGGAGAGCTTGGCGTCACGGAGCACCTTCTCCACGGGCTCCATGGTCTTGCGGAAGTAGTCGCCGCACATGTCCTCGAAACGAGCACGGGTGATGGTCGAGTTGAAGTCAATGCCATCGAACAGAGAGTCAATCTCAATGTACGCCTGGGCCGACGACGACAGCGTACGCTTAGCACGCTCGCAGGCAGTCCGCAGACGACGAAGGGCACGCTGGTTCTCAGTGATGTCCTTGCGGTGCTTGCGCTTGAACTCCTGCGTGAAGTGGTCCACGAGACGGTTGTCGAAGTCCTCGCCGCCCAGGTGCGTATCACCAGCAGTAGCCTTCACCTCGAAGATGCCCTCCTCGATGCTCAGTAGGGACACGTCGAAGGTGCCGCCACCCAGGTCGAAGATCAGCACGTTGCGCTCGCCGCCCTTCTTGTCCAGGCCGTAGGCAATGGCCGCGGCCGTCGGCTCGTTAATGATACGGAGGACGTTCAGGCCAGCAATGGCACCGGCGTCCTTGGTAGCCTGACGCTGCGAGTCGTTGAAGTAGGCGGGCACCGTGATCACGGCGTTCTTGACCTCCTTGCCGATGAAGGCCTCGGCCACCTCGCGCATCTTGATCAGCACCATGGACGAGATCTCCTCGGGCTGGAACGTCTTGGACTCGCCCTTGAACTGCACCGTGATCTGCGGCTTGTCGCCGGGACCGGACGAGATCTTGAACGGCCAGTGCTTGATGTCTGCTTGCACCACCGGGTCGGAGAACTTGCGGCCGATCAGACGTTTGGCGTCGAACACCGTGTTGTGCGCGTTCATGGCCACCTGGTTCTTGGCGGCATCGCCGATCAGGCGCTCGGTGTCCGTGAAGGCCACGTACGACGGGGTGGTGCGGTTACCCTGGTCGTTGGCGATGATCTCCACGCGGTCGTTCTGCCACACGCCGACGCACGAGTAGGTCGTGCCGAGGTCAATACCGACAGAGTATCCCGAAGTTGTCTGGGCCATCTTGCTGTTGGTCTTGGTTGTGTGAGTGTTGTGAGGTGTGTGAGTGTAGACTTGGTCTCTCACTCTCGGACTTCGCTCCGAAGCTGGTTGTTGCTGTGTGATCTTGTCAACGCAAATTCAAAAGTGAGCTGGTTGGGTGCGCCCGGCATTTGCCAGCTACATCTCGGTGCTGTGACAGGACCACAGGGTACATGCACTCGACTTCGAGATGATTCGACCTGCGTTACATGGTACGCACGGCGGTAAGGCAAAGTTCTAGAGCTTCTAGATGGACCGACTGTGCATGAGACAGTATAGAGTAGTATTTGGGATAGTAGTTCAAGTCTGGAATACTATTCGTTGATTTAGTAGTAGTTGAATTGTCAGGTATTGTTGTTCTTTTACTACCGGAAAACTATAATACCCAAATAGTAATACCCGGATATGTATACGCGTGCTGCAATTCGAAGGGGGCAACGCAGAAAGCTGGATAGTTATTATGCGGCATGAATTGGATGCACAGACCTTCCAGATCTTTTTCAATCGTGGCTCTTCAACCAGATGCCAAACAGGTTTTGCTCACTTCGTGTATGCGTACTAGATGACCAGCCCTGGGAATATTCTATCTCAACGGTTGCCCCTCCATTGAGCGCCTTTCTCATTGGCCCGCGGGCGCTAACATCCGTGAAATTGCAGCGTGGTGACTGCTCAGTCCAATCAAGGATACCAGCAGTTGGAGCTGAGGTTGTTCTTATCCTGTCATGACGTACTTCCGCGACCCAGCCATAGCTTATGTTAAGCATTTGAATTGGGTTTTTACCTTGCCACTGGTTGCAACCAGCTGCGCTTTCACCCCGTGCTCTTAGCTTGGAAGCATCCAGTATAAGTAGTGGAGGGCGTCTTGGAGTCGCTCAGAGAGCGTGAGCGCTGTCGTATTTTTCTGGTAGAGGATATGTGCAGAGCAAGGAGCCAAAGTTACTGAGAGCCATCTCGTTTGCAGCTCATTATCCATTTTACTCCGCAGTCACCAGCACCGCGGATCTCAACGTTTAGTCCAAGTCTAAGTCCAAGTCAAGTTCTCAGTGTTTTTGTCAACCATGAACCTTACCAAGATCATCGCTCACCTCGCCATCATTGCGGCTGCCATGGGATCGCTTGCCGATGCCGGCAACATCAACCAGCACGCCCCGCCATCGGGCGTCTCCGGTGACGACGCCTTCACCAGTGCGACCCCCGCTCCTGCGACGCCCGTTGTGACCCCTGCACCAACGACCGCTGGCCCAATTGCGCCAGACGCACCATCGGCGGCTGAAACGCCAGCTCCGACTCCGTGCCCCACCCCGGCCCCGACGACAAACTCAGAGGGAGTGAAAGCGACACCAAGCCCATCGAAGCCGTCGGACGAGGATGCCGACAAGTCCAAGAAGGACAGCAGCACCCCAGGCCAAGTCGAGGCTGCAGCTGGATCTGCTCCTAACGACAAGCCCGTTCAATCTACCAAGACCACCCACGATGAAGAGCGGACAACCAACAGTAACACCACGGCAGCTAGTGCCACCACTGGTGGCGGTGCAAATGGAGCAGTCGGAGGAGCTGCCCACGGAGGGGTTGGTGCTAGCGCTGGAGTCGGCGGAGGCGTGAGCGGCGGTGCCAACGGAGGTGTTGGTGCCGGAGCCGGTGTCGGCGGCGGAGCTGCTGGCGGCGTTGGCGCTAGCGCTGGTGTAGGTGGTCGTGTCGGCGGAGGCGTGAGCGGCGGTGCCAACGGAGGTGTTGGAGCCGGAGCCGGTGTCGGCGGCGGAGCTGCTGGCGGCGTTGGCGCTAGCGCTGGTGTAGGTGGTCGTGTCGGCGGAGGCGTGAGCGGCGGTGCCAACGGAGGAGCTGGTGCTAGCGCTGGAGTCGGCGGAGGCGTGAGCGGCGGTGCCAACGGAGGAGCTGGTGCTAGCGCTGGAGTCGGCGGAGGCGTGAGCGGCGGTGCCAACGGAGGTGTTGGTGCCGGAGCCGGTGTCGGTGGCGGAGCTGCTGGCGGCGTTGGCGCTAGCGCTGGTGTAGGTGGTCGTGTCGGCGGAGGCGTGAGCGGCGGTGCTAACGGAGGAGTTGGAGCCGGAGCCGGTGTCGGCGGCGGAGCTGCTGGCGGCGTTGGCGCTAGCGCTGGTGTAGGTGGTCGTGTCGGCGGAGGCGTGAGCGGCGGTGCCAACGGAGGAGCTGGTGCTAGCGCTGGAGTCGGCGGAGGCGTGAGCGGCGGTGCCAACGGAGGTGTTGGTGCCGGAGCCGGTGTCGGTGGCGGAGCTGCTGGCGGCGTTGGCGCTAGCGCTGGTGTAGGTGGTCGTGTCGGCGGAGGCGTGAGCGGCGGTTCTAACGGAGGAGTTGGTGCCGGAGCCGGTGTCGGTGGCGGAGCTGCTGGCGGCGTTGGCGCTAGCGCTGGTGTAGGTGGTCGTGTCGGCGGAGGCGTGAGCGGCGGTTCTAACGGAGGAGTTGGAGCCGGAGCCGGTGTCGGCGGCGGAGCTGCTGGCGGCGTTGGCGCTAGCGCTGGTGTAGGTGGTCGTGTCGGCGGAGGCGTGAGCGCCGGTGCCAACGGAGGAGCTGGTGCTAGCGCTGGAGTCGGCGGAGGCGTGAGCGGCGGTGCCAACGGAGGTGTTGGTGCCGGAGCCGGTGTCGGTGGCGGAGCTGCTGGCGGCGTTGGCGCTAGCGCTGGTGTAGGTGGTCGTGTCGGCGGAGGCGTGAGCGGCGGTGCCAACGGAGGTGTTGGAGCCGGAGCCGGTGTCGGCGGCGGAGCTGCTGGCGGCGTTGGCGCTAGCGCTGGTGTAGGTGGTCGTGTCGGCGGAGGCGTGAGCGGCGGTGCCAACGGAGGTGTTGGAGCCGGAGCCGGTGTCGGTGGCGGAGCTGCTGGCGGCGTTGGCGCTAGCGCTGGTGTAGGTGGTCGTGTCGGCGGAGGCGTGAGCGGCGGTGCTAACGGAGGAGTTGGAGCCGGAGCCGGTGTCGGCGGCGGAGCTGCTGGCGGCGTTGGCGCTAGCGCTGGTGTAGGTGGTCGTGTCGGCGGAGGCGTGAGCGGCGGTGCCAACGGAGGAGCTGGTGCTAGCGCTGGAGTCGGCGGAGGCGTGAGCGGCGGTGCCAACGGAGGAGCTGGTGCTAGCGCTGGAGTCGGCGGAGGCGTGAGCGGCGGTGCCAACGGCGGTGTTGGTGCCGGAGCCGGTGTCGGTGGCGGAGCTGCTGGCGGCGTTGGCGCTAGCGCTGGTGTAGGTGGTCGTGTCGGCGGAGGCGTGAGCGGCGGTGCCAACGGAGGTGTTGGAGCCGGAGCCGGTGTCGGCGGCGGAGCTGCTGGCGGCGTTGGCGCTAGCGCTGGTGTAGGTGGTCGTGTCGGCGGAGGCGTGAGCGGCGGTGCCAACGGAGGTGTTGGTGCCGGAGCCGGTGTCGGTGGCGGAGCTGCTGGCGGCGTTGGCGCTAGCGCTGGTGTAGGTGGTCATGTCGGCGGAGGCGTGAGCGGCGGTGCCAACGGAGGTGTTGGTGCCGGAGCCGGTGTCGGCGGCGGAGCTGCTGGCGGCGTTGGCGCTAGCGCTGGTGTAGGTGGTCGTGTCGGCGGAGGCGTGAGCGGCGGTGCCAACGGAGGTGTTGGTGCCGGAGCCGGTGTCGGCGGCGGAGCTGCTGGCGGCGTTGGCGCTAGCGCTGGTGTAGGTGGTCGTGTCGGCGGAGGCGTGAGCGGCGGTGCCAACGGAGGTGTTGGTGCCGGAGCCGGTGTCGGTGGCGGAGCTGCTGGCGGCGTTGGCGCTAGCGCTGGTGTAGGTGGTCGTGTCGGCGGAGGCGTGAGCGGCGGTGCCAACGGAGGAGTTGGTGCTAGCGCTGGAGTCGGCGGAGGCGTGAGCGGCGGTGCCAACGGAGGTGTTGGTGCCGGAGCCGGTGTCGGTGGCGGAGCTGCTGGCGGCGTTGGCGCTAGCGCTGGTGTAGGTGGTCGTGTCGGCGGAGGCGTGAGCGGCGGTGCTAACGGAGGAGTTGGTGCCGGAGCCGGTGTCGGTGGCGGAGCTGCTGGCGGCGTTGGTGCTAGCGCTGGTGTAGGTGGTCGTGTCGGCGGAGGCGTGAGCGGCGGTGCCAACGGAGGTGTTGGTGCCGGAGCCGGTGTCGGTGGCGGAGCTGCTGGCGGCGTTGGCGCTAGCGCTGGTGTAGGTGGTCGTGTCGGCGGAGGCGTGAGCGGCGGTGCCAACGGCGGTGTTGGTGCCGGAGCCGGTGTCGGTGGCGGAGCTGCTGGCGGCGTTGGCGCTAGCGCTGGTGTAGGTGGTCGTGTCGGCGGAGGCGTGAGCGGCGGTGCCAACGGAGGTGTTGGAGCCGGAGCCGGTGTCGGCGGCGGAGCTGCTGGCGGCGTTGGCGCTAGCGCTGGTGTAGGTGGTCGTGTCGGCGGAGGCGTGAGCGGCGGTGCCAACGGAGGTGTTGGTGCCGGAGCCGGTGTCGGCGGCGGAGCTGCTGGCGGCGTTGGCGCTAGCGCTGGTGTAGGTGGTCGTGTCGGCGGAGGCGTGAGCGGCGGTGCCAACGGAGGTGTTGGTGCCGGAGCCGGTGTCGGTGGCGGAGCTGCTGGCGGCGTTGGCGCTAGCGCTGGTGTAGGCGGTCGTGTCGGCGGAGGCGTGAGCGGCGGTGCCAACGGAGGTGTTGGAGCCGGAGCCGGTGTCGGCGGCGGAGCTGCTGGCGGCGTTGGCGCTAGCGCTGGTGTAGGTGGTCGTGTCGGCGGAGGCGTGAGCGGCGGTGCCAACGGAGGTGTTGGTGCCGGAGCCGGTGTCGGCGGCGGAGCTGCTGGCGGCGTTGGCGCTAGCGCTGGTGTAGGTGGTCGTGTCGGCGGAGGCGTGAGCGGCGGTGCCAACGGAGGTGTTGGTGCCGGAGCCGGTGTCGGTGGCGGAGCTGCTGGCGGCGTTGGCGCTAGCGCTGGTGTAGGTGGTCGTGTCGGCGGAGGCGTGAGCGGCGGTGCCAACGGAGGTGTTGGTGCCGGAGCCGGTGTCGGCGGCGGAGCTGCTGGCGGCGTTGGCGCTAGCGCTGGTGTAGGTGGTCGTGTCGGCGGAGGCGTGAGCGGCGGTGCCAACGGAGGTGTTGGTGCCGGCGCCGGTGTCGGCGGCGGAGCTGCTGGCGGCGTTGGCGCTAGCGCTGGTGTAGGTGGTCGTGTCGGCGGAGGCGTGAGCGGCGGTGCCAACGGAGGTGTTGGTGCCGGAGCCGGTGTCGGTGGCGGAGCTGCTGGCGGCGTTGGCGCTAGCGCTGGTGTAGGTGGTCGTGTCGGCGGAGGCGTGAGCGGCGGTGCCAACGGAGGTGTTGGTGCCGGAGCCGGTGTCGGCGGCGGAGCTGCTGGCGGCGTTGGCGCTAGCGCTGGTGTAGGTGGTCGTGTCGGCGGAGGCGTGAGCGGCGGTGCCAACGGAGGTGTTGGTGCCGGCGCCGGTGTCGGCGGCGGAGCTGCTGGCGGCGTTGGCGCTAGCGCTGGTGTAGGTGGTCGTGTCGGCGGAGGCGTGAGCGGCGGTGCCAACGGAGGTGTTGGTGCCGGAGCCGGTGTCGGTGGCGGAGCTGCTGGCGGCGTTGGCGCTAGCGCTGGTGTAGGTGGTCGTGTCGGCGGAGGCGTGAGCGGCGGTGCCAACGGAGGTGTTGGTGCCGGAGCCGGTGTCGGTGGCGGAGCTGCTGGCGGCGTTGGCGCTAGCGCTGGTGTAGGTGGTCGTGTCGGCGGAGGCGTGAGCGGCGGTGCCAACGGAGGTGTTGGAGCCGGAGCCGGTGTCGGTGGCGGAGCTGCTGGCGGCGTTGGCGCTAGCGCTGGTGTAGGTGGTCGTGTCGGCGGAGGCGTGAGCGGCGGTGCCAACGGAGGTGTTGGAGCCGGAGCCGGTGTCGGCGGCGGAGCTGCTGGCGGCGTTGGCGCTAGCGCTGGTGTAGGTGGTCGTGTCGGCGGAGGCGTGAGCGGCGGTGCCAACGGAGGAGTTGGTGCTAGCGCTGGAGTCGGCGGAGGCGTGAGCGGCGGTGCCAACGGAGGTGTTGGAGCCGGAGCCGGTGTCGGCGGCGGAGCTGCTGGCGGCGTTGGTGCTAGCGCTGGTGTAGGTGGTCGTGTCGGCGGAGGCGTGAGCGGCGGTGCCAACGGAGGAGTTGGTGCTAGCGCTGGAGTCGGCGGAGGCGTGAGCGGCGGTGCCAACGGCGGTGTTGGTGCCGGAGCCGGTGTCGGTGGCGGAGCTGCTGGCGGCGTTGGCGCTAGCGCTGGTGTAGGTGGTCGTGTCGGCGGAGGCGTGAGCGGCGGTGCCAACGGAGGTGTTGGAGCCGGAGCCGGTGTCGGCGGCGGAGCTGCTGGCGGCGTTGGCGCTAGCGCTGGTGTAGGTGGTCGTGTCGGCGGAGGCGTGAGCGGCGGTGCCAACGGAGGTGTTGGAGCCGGAGCCGGTGTCGGCGGCGGAGCTGCTGGCGGCGTTGGCGCTAGCGCTGGTGTAGGTGGTCGTGTCGGCGGAGGCGTGAGCGGCGGTGCCAACGGAGGTGTTGGTGCCGGAGCCGGTGTCGGTGGCGGAGCTGCTGGCGGCGTTGGCGCTAGCGCTGGTGTAGGTGGTCGTGTCGGCGGAGGCGTGAGCGGCGGTGCCAACGGAGGTGTTGGTGCCGGAGCCGGTGTCGGTGGCGGAGCTGCTGGCGGCGTTGGCGCTAGCGCTGGTGTAGGTGGTCGTGTCGGCGGAGGCGTGAGCGGCGGTGCTAACGGAGGAGTTGGTGCTAGCGTCCACACTACTCGCTTCCTGCGCATGTAATTGATGTGTCCAGAGCTTACGAGTATGTCTTGGCATAGTTTGTAGGCGCATGTGAAATAAACTTGTTTGTTTGCCATCGGTGCGATTCGGATATGAAAATAAAATGTTGTCGTTTAAAAAACATACAGTGCACTGTAGCGTGTTATGCAGACCAATTTCATAGATGACTTTGAATCGACAACCTTGTGAAATCAATTTTATATTAGACTAGGGGTTAGCAACAACTCGTACACGACTTGGACAACCAGTGCCTGGCCTGAGCAACTTTCTCGACCGCCAAGTGGAGAACACTGAGCTGTGAGAACCGTCAAGTCTGTTATGAACTTGGCGAGTCGTCGTGCCACCCGCTCGCTGCCCAGAAATCGAAGTAGAAGCCCGTCAGGGCTTGAACCAAACACCAGCAGATCTGCTATTTTCAAGCAGAACCTGCACTGGCGGGACGGATGAGCCCGCCGCACAATATTGAACACCCTCTCGTGGAGATAGACAAAGTCCTGCAGCCCTCTGTTGACTTGCACCGCGGCGGATCCTTCGCTGTCGGTGCTGTCAGTTGTAGAAAGTCGCGAGCTGGTGGCGGTGACTGATTCAACGCGTGGGGAGCTTGCTAACACTTCGACTGCGTAACAGGATTTGCCGCCTGAGGGCGAAACATGAATCGAGCAAACGTCCTTGAGCTCCTGCAACACGATACTGGAAGTTGGCGCGTTTGAGGGTTTCAAAACCGCAGGTCTCAGAGAACGAAGTTTCTGCTTGCATTGAGCTCGTGTCATGTCTTCTTCTCTAACGAGAGTGGGTGGTCGCGCTCCAAGTTCGAAAATGAGCTACCCAGCCAGCCATGATACGAGTTTTTGCCGCACGTCCAGCCGTTCCTGTATGTGCTTTGCGGTAGGATGGACGACCTATGAAGCATACCGAGTAGGCATCCTATCGACCCCGATTGGACGAGTTCCTTTCATGCTGCACAGTGTTGCAGATTCGCAATACTGTATCCCCTCCGGACATAATATGAAACACTTCTGGGGGGTCTTGCAAAAATGGCCTTGGAACCAAATCGAAATGATTTCGCGGCCGCTAGGGCACATCAGGGCTGGAGGAGATGGCGTTGATTTTATCCGTGGCAACCGCGAGGCCGCATACCAAAAACTGAATGCATTAACGCTACGAACAGGAGACCCATAGTGATCATGATACTGTTAGAAATGGCAATCAGGACATAATGTGAAACACAGGGAAAATCGATATATTTGGTTTACCGGACGTCTATAGACTATCAGACGATGTACTAGTAGTTAGAAGCAGCCTACCAAAGTATATAAAAGCATTGGAGGCCACATGCATATGCTTAAGGGTCACTTAGCTGTCTAATATGGTAGAATTAGCTCCCATCCAACCGAGGTCGTTGCCAGCTCGTTGCTTACCCCCTACGACTTCGCACTCTCTCTATCGATCATACCAGCCTTTGTTAGGGCCGTAACATCCATCTAGAGTAGATAAAGTCCGTAGCAATGTTCGCTTGGCACCTTTACCTTTAGGTAATCATCACTTGCCCACACCCTGTTGCAGGTAATGGTCTCGACTAAGTACGATTTTCCATTAACTGCTCCGTTTTGAACACAAGAGGTAGCAATCGAAAGCCGCACTGAAGTGGGTACTTGTGTTTTCACCATACCCAAAAACCTCCGACCCTCCGACTTTCTCCGACTCGTACACAAAACATGCGGATAGGAGGGGGGTCACCTTTCACTATCACCCAGCTACGCGCTACGCGCGAACCTAAAACCCCTAAAGGCTCGCTGCGCTTGCTGGGCCAGAACCCTAAGCCCGCTGCGGCTCGCACGCGTCGCCTCCGCTTGCTAGGTAGAGCACTGCTGGGTCCACTGTCAAACCGCAGGCGGGGGCTCGCTACGCTCGCTCCGTGCCATCCATCCCAAGGCTCCGACCAATGAGCAAACGGGACGACTAATCTATCTTGGACTGTGTATGCATAACCCTTTGGGAAAGTGTAGGGTAATACTGTTATGCTCCGACCGCGCTTGACTGGGGATTTGTATAGCTATCATCTTAAGTGCGGTCGGAGATTTGATGATATTCTACCATATGATTTGCTAATACAAATCCCAAGGAATAAGTGTTTCAGAATAGCGGACTGCTTCACGCTTTGTCCGGAGGGGATACTGTATAAATTTCTTGCTTCACCAAGTTTCATATATTTAAGTAGTTAGGAAAATAGTCGTATTGTGCTTTGCAGTTATTTTGCCGACCATTTTAGACGCTAAATATGGCAAAGCCTGCTCCTAAATATGTATGAAAGAAGATACACGACCTGCTAAAATTATGCATAAATCCACCTCCTCATATATATATCGACTTGTGAGGGCCTGTCAGCAGCATGCATTGGCCCAGTACAACACCGTCCATGATCCCCAGCACATCCACCCTCTTATGCATAATTGCCGTGTGTGTAGGTGCTTGTGGATAAAACCCGACAGAATTGCAGCTGCACAGCCACAATTGCACTTTCAAAAGTGCAATTGTGGCGCTTTTAGCGTAATTCTTGGCCTCCACCCATTTATGCACCTCGATTTATCGTTAATCTAGCAGGTGGTCGCTATAAATATAGCAAATCTCGCCTCATATTGCCAAAATCATTGCAAAGCACAATAGTTGCTAGCTACATTTTTTTTAATCGACCTCATCGATCTTGGGGCCCTCGCCCGCGCCGCCCGCCGATGGAGCGGCCGAGGCGCCGGCACCGGCAGGCATTCCGCCCGGCATGCCACCCATGCCACCGGCGGCGGCGTACACCTTCTGCAGCACGGGGTTGGCCACGCCCTCGAGCTCCTTCTGCTTGGCCTCGTACTCCTCCTTCTCCGATGACTGGTGCGCGTCCAGCCACTGAATCGTCTCCGTCACCTTGTCGTCCACCACCTTCTTGTCGGCCTCGGGGATCTTCTCCTTGAGCTTCTCGTCGTTCAGACTGTTGCGCAGGCTGTACGCGTAGTTCTCGAGCGCGTTCTTGGCCTCGATGCGCACCTTGTTGGCCTCGTCCTCCGACTTGTACTTCTCGGCCTCCGCCACCATGCGGTCGATCTCGGCCTGCGAGAGGCGGCCCTTGTCGTTCGTGATCGTGATCTTGTTCTCCTTGCCCGTCGACTTCTCCACGGCCGACACGTTCAGGATGCCGTTCGCGTCGATGTCGAAGGTCACGTCGATCTGCGGCACACCACGGGGCATGGGCGGGATGCCGTCCAGGTTGAACTTGCCCAGCAGGTTGTTGTCGCGGGTCATCGAGCGCTCGCCCTCGAAGACCTGGATCAGCACACCGGGCTGGTTGTCCGCGTACGTCGAGAACGTCTGCGACTTCTTGGTGGGCACCGTCGTGTTACGGGCGATCAGCGTCGTCATGACACCGCCGGCCGTCTCCAGACCCAGAGACAGAGGCGTCACATCCAGCAGCAGCAGGTCCTGCAGCTTCTCCGACGAGTCGTTGCCGCTCAGGATGGCCGCCTGCACCGTGGCGCCGTACGCGACGGCCTCGTCCGGGTTGATCGACTTGTTGGGCTCCTTGCCGTTGAAGAAGTCCGACAGCAGCTGCTGCACCTTGGGGATACGCGTAGAGCCGCCGACGAGGACGACCTCGTGCACCTGGCTCTTGGAGAGCTTGGCGTCACGGAGCACCTTCTCCACGGGCTCCATGGTCTTGCGGAAGTAGTCGCCGCACATGTCCTCGAAACGAGCACGGGTGATGGTCGAGTTGAAGTCAATGCCATCGAACAGAGAGTCGATCTCAATGTACGCCTGGGCCGACGACGACAGCGTACGCTTAGCACGCTCGCAGGCAGTCCGCAGACGACGAAGGGCACGCTGGTTCTCAGTGATGTCCTTGCGGTGCTTGCGCTTGAACTCCTGCACGAAGTACTCGACCAGGCGGTTGTCGAAGTCCTCGCCGCCCAGGTGCGTATCACCAGCGGTAGCCTTCACCTCGAAGATGCCCTCCTCGATGCTCAGTAGGGACACGTCGAAGGTGCCGCCACCCAGGTCGAAGATCAGCACGTTGCGCTCGCCGCCCTTCTTGTCCAGGCCGTAGGCAATGGCCGCGGCCGTCGGCTCGTTAATGATACGGAGGACGTTCAGGCCAGCAATGGCACCGGCGTCCTTGGTAGCCTGACGCTGCGAGTCGTTGAAGTAGGCGGGCACCGTGATCACGGCGTTCTTGACCTCCTTGCCGATGAAGGCCTCGGCCACCTCGCGCATCTTGATCAGCACCATGGACGAGATTTCCTCGGGCTGGAACGTCTTGGACTCGCCCTTGAACTGCACCGTGATCTGCGGCTTGTCGCCGGGACCGGACGAGATCTTGAACGGCCAGTGCTGGATGTCTGCTTGCACCACCGGGTCGGAGAACTTGCGGCCGATCAGACGTTTGGCGTCGAACACCGTGTTGTGCGCGTTCATGGCCACCTGGTTCTTGGCGGCATCGCCGATCAGGCGCTCGGTGTCCGTGAAGGCCACGTACGACGGGGTGGTGCGGTTACCCTGGTCGTTGGCGATGATCTCCACGCGGTCGTTCTGCCACACGCCGACGCACGAGTAGGTCGTGCCGAGGTCAATACCGACAGAGTATCCCGAAGTTGTCTGGGCCATCTTGCTGTTGGTCTTGGTTGTGTGAGTGTTGTGAGGTGTGTGAGTGTAGACTTGGTCTCTCACTCTCGGACTTCGCTCCGAAGCTGGTTGTTGCTGTGTGATCTTGTCAACGCAAATTCAAAAGTGAGCTGGTTGGGTGCGCCCGGCATTTGCCAGCTACATCTCGGTGCTGTGACAGGACCACAGGGTACATGCACTCGACTTCGAGATGATTCGACCTGCGTTACATGGTACGCACGGCGGTAAGGCAAAGTTCTAGAGCTTCTAGATGGACCGACTGTGCATGAGACAGTATAGAGTAGTATTTGGGATAGTAGTTCAAGTCTGGAATACTATTCGTTGATTTAGTAGTAGTTGAATTGTCAGGTATTGTTGTTCTTTTACTACCGGAAAACTATAATACCCAAATAGTAATACCCGGATATGTATACGCGTGCTGCAATTCGAAGGGGGCAACGCAGAAAGCTGGATAGTTATTATGCGGCATGAATTGGATGCACAGACCTTCCAGATCTTTTTCAATCGTGGCTCTTCAACCAGATGCCAAACAGGTTTTGCTCACTTCGTGTATGCGTACTAGATGACCAGCCCTGGGAATATTCTATCTCAACGGTTGCCCCTCCATTGAGCGCCTTTCTCATTGGCCCGCGGGCGCTAACATCCGTGAAATTACAGCGTGGTGACTGCTCAGTCCAATCAAGGATACCAGCAGTTGGAGCTGAGGTTGTTCTTATCCTGTCATGACGTACTTCCGCGACCTAGCCATAGCTTATGTTAAGCATTTGAATTGGGTAGAGCACGGCAATCAAGAGGCATATACTAAAACGTTAGCAGGCATCTGCCAGAAAATGTCCGTGAAGTAAAGACCTCAAAGCGATGCGCTGAAGACCGTTGAAGTAATAAAGAAGAGACTTGGTCGGCAAACATTATGCGGGATCCTGCGCTCAATAGCTACGTTAATGGCTAAGAGCCTTTGTTGAGAGCCTTCACTTGTGAGTCCATACAGTTTAGTACTTCGTAGACCTCGGTATGGCTTCCGCGGGACAAATATGCCGTTACATTTTATAAGGCCATGTTCGGGCTTGTCGTGCAAATATCTGTACATCCGTTTCATGCCACACAATAACTATCCAGCTTTCTGCGTTGCCCCCTTCGAATTGCAGCACGCGTATACATATCCGGGTATTACTATTTGGGTATTATAGTTTTCCGGTAGTAAAAGAACAACAATACCTGACAATTCAACTACTACTAAATCAACGAATAGTATTCCAGACTTGAACTACTATCCCAAATACTACTCTATACTGTCTCATGCACAGTCGGTCCATCTAGAAGCTCTAGAACTTTGCCTTACCGCCGTGCGTACCATGTAACGCAGGTCGAATCATCTCGAAGTCGAGTGCATGTACCCTGTGGTCCTGTCACAGCACCGAGATGTAGCTGGCAAATGCCGGGCGCACCCAACCAGCTCACTTTTGAATTTGCGTTGACAAGATCACACAGCAACAACCAGCTTCGGAGCGAAGTCCGAGAGTGAGAGACCAAGTCTACACTCACACACCTCACAACACTCACACAACCAAGACCAACAGCAAGATGGCCCAGACAACTTCGGGATACTCTGTCGGTATTGACCTCGGCACGACCTACTCGTGCGTCGGCGTGTGGCAGAACGACCGCGTGGAGATCATCGCCAACGACCAGGGTAACCGCACCACCCCGTCGTACGTGGCCTTCACGGACACCGAGCGCCTGATCGGCGATGCCGCCAAGAACCAGGTGGCCATGAACGCGCACAACACGGTGTTCGACGCCAAACGTCTGATCGGCCGCAAGTTCTCCGACCCGATCGTCCAGGCCGACATCAAGCACTGGCCGTTCAAGATCTCGTCGGGCGCCGGCGACAAGCCGCAGATCACGGTGCAGTTCAAGGGCGAGTCCAAGACGTTCCAGCCCGAGGAGATCTCGTCCATGGTGCTGATCAAGATGCGCGAGGTGGCCGAGGCCTTCATCGGCAAGGAGGTCAAGAACGCCGTGATCACGGTGCCCGCCTACTTCAACGACTCGCAGCGTCAGGCTACCAAGGACGCCGGTGCCATTGCTGGCCTGAACGTCCTCCGTATCATTAACGAGCCGACGGCCGCGGCCATTGCCTACGGCCTGGACAAGAAGGGCGGCGAGCGCAACGTGCTGATCTTCGACCTGGGTGGCGGCACCTTCGACGTGTCCCTACTGAGCATCGAGGAGGGCATCTTCGAGGTGAAGGCTACTGCTGGTGATACGCACCTGGGCGGCGAGGACTTCGACAACCGTCTCGTGGACCACTTCACGCAGGAGTTCAAGCGCAAGCACCGCAAGGACATCACTGAGAACCAGCGTGCCCTTCGTCGTCTGCGGACTGCCTGCGAGCGTGCTAAGCGTACGCTGTCGTCGTCGGCCCAGGCGTACATTGAGATTGACTCTCTGTTCGATGGCATTGACTTCAACTCGACCATCACCCGTGCTCGTTTCGAGGACATGTGCGGCGACTACTTCCGCAAGACCATGGAGCCCGTGGAGAAGGTGCTCCGTGACGCCAAGCTCTCCAAGAGCCAGGTGCACGAGGTCGTCCTCGTCGGCGGCTCTACGCGTATCCCCAAGGTGCAGCAGCTGCTGTCGGACTTCTTCAACGGCAAGGAGCCCAACAAGTCGATCAACCCGGACGAGGCCGTCGCGTACGGCGCCACGGTGCAGGCGGCCATCCTGAGCGGCAACGACTCGTCGGAGAAGCTGCAGGACCTGCTGCTGCTGGATGTGACGCCTCTGTCTCTGGGTCTGGAGACGGCCGGCGGTGTCATGACGACGCTGATCGCCCGTAACACGACGGTGCCCACCAAGAAGTCGCAGACGTTCTCGACGTACGCGGACAACCAGCCCGGTGTGCTGATCCAGGTCTTCGAGGGCGAGCGCTCGATGACCCGCGACAACAACCTGCTGGGCAAGTTCAACCTGGACGGCATCCCGCCCATGCCCCGTGGTGTGCCGCAGATCGACGTGACCTTCGACATCGACGCGAACGGCATCCTGAACGTGTCGGCCGTGGAGAAGTCGACGGGCAAGGAGAACAAGATCACGATCACGAACGACAAGGGCCGCCTCTCGCAGGCCGAGATCGACCGCATGGTGGCGGAGGCCGAGAAGTACAAGTCGGAGGACGAGGCCAACAAGGTGCGCATCGAGGCCAAGAACGCGCTCGAGAACTACGCGTACAGCCTGCGCAACAGTCTGAACGACGAGAAGCTCAAGGAGAAGATCCCCGAGGCCGACAAGAAGGTGGTGGACGACAAGGTGACGGAGACGATTCAGTGGCTGGACGCGCACCAGTCATCGGAGAAGGAGGAGTACGAGGCCAAGCAGAAGGAGCTCGAGGGCGTGGCCAACCCCGTGCTGCAGAAGGTGTACGCCGCCGCCGGTGGCATGGGTGGCATGCCGGGCGGAATGCCTGCCGGTGCCGGCGCCTCGGCTGCTCCATCGGCGGGCGGCGCGGACCAGGGCCCCAAGATCGAGGAGGTCGACTAAAGTGTGTTTGGTTTACGTAGAACTGATCGCTGTGGTGGATAGCTAATATATATGTTACCCATTCCTCTGTTGTTGTGTTCTGCATCGAAGTTGGTTTCCCGTTGTCTGTCTGTTGTAGAGAGTAAAAGCATGCTGCGGCCAACCTGCTCAAGGGGTCCCGGACATGCTCCACTTCAACTTCGAGGATCGCTGGCTGAGTTGACTACACTTGACCGCGCTGGCTTTGTCCAGAGGCGGGTTAGGTTTCTCAATGTCGTGCGGAAAATGGCTACATTAATACAGCAGGCAATGTGAAGTGGACGAATACGGAGAGGCATTCATTTGTGCGTTCGCGTTCGTTTAGTGGTGGAACATATCGGGCGATGAAGGACAACAATCTCTCTTATACAAACATCACTGGACGAGAGCGGCTCGAGTCCTGGTCGCGCGACACGCGCTGCGGTGGCGATGTCATGGTCGTGTCGGGGGGCCTCAGGGGGCTTCTGTCGAGACTCATGCTCGGCAGCACAGGTCTGCTGTTAATCTTGTTGTCGCCGCTGACGAAAGACGAGAAGGAGTCCACGCGAGCAGGTGGAACAAACAGTGACGGAGGCGCCGCAGCGACCGCCGCTGCTGTTGCTGTGCCGCCCGTGCTTCCAGTGACGCACGTCGAAAACGGTCGCTGCATGCTGGCGGATGGTGACGGTTCGCTAGCGTAGTCGAAGCCCGGGTGTTCCAGACGATAGTGACTCGCACTGGTGCCCGACGACAGCGACGGCAATGGAGGTGGCCAGTCCACGATTATATGCCGGATGGACTGCTCGTTGCGTGTCTGGAAACGCACCATCAGCTTGCGCGCGTTCTCCACAGAAATGTCCGGCAGTTTGCGCAGCGCAGCAGTCTCCACGAGTTTCATGAGCTCGTCGAACGTCATGAGCACGCCGAGCTCCGCGCGAGCTACCACCACGCGCATGATACCAGCCTCGTCGCTCGGGTGGAAGTATCCATTGTTGCCCTTGGACGACTGGCCTCCCTGCGCGCGCTTCTTCACGCGGCGATGCAGCGCCGCAAAGTGCACTCCGTAGATTTTAGCAGCGGCGCGCAAGCTCATGCCCTGCTGCTCTACGGCCGCGATGGCCTTCTCCCACGTCTCGGGCGGCACCGTGTGGCTCAGCTTGTAGCCGCGCTTCTCGCTCGATGCGCTGTCCTGCGACGAGTCATAGTTACTGCTGGCAGCGGTGGTTGTGGAAGGTGGCGGCGCCAGACTCGTGTTGACGCTGGAGCTGCTGCTGGCTCCGGTCGTGTTGCCGTTCTCGCTGTCAAAGCTGCCGCTGCTCGTGTTGGAGCCGAGCTCCTCCCTGTCTCCTGAATGTTCACGCTGGGCCCACAGGGCGGCCGCTCGGCGGTCGTCCACCACCATGGAACGACGCTGGTGCTGCTGTTGTTGCTGTTGCTGACGCCGCGCGTGCTGCAGCGGCGAGCCGCCATCGAAGTCCGGGCGCACGCCGAAGCGCGAGAAGGCGTTAGGCTCGCCCGCGTAGCGGCCCACATTGCGCTCGCTTCTATCTCGCTCGTCGTCGCTGCTGCTGCCCCCGCAACTCGCATTGCTGTTGGTCACGCGGGCGATGCTGCTGCTGCGGCTGCTGCCAATGCGCTCGGGCAGTCCAAACGGGAAGCTGGCGCTGCCGCCGAGCAGCGCGAAGCCGTGCGCTCTCTTGAACTCGAGGATCCAGCGCGCCGGCGGGAAGTCCGGCGGGATGGCGGCGGCGCCGCCGTGGCTGGCGACAGCGCGCACCACGAAGCGCACGTCGTCCGAGGTGATACGCTGCTCGTGCCGGAACTGCTCGTGCAGCACGCCCAGCACCTCCTGCTCGTCCGTCTCGCTGAGGAAGCGGCGCACGTCCTCGCGCGGCGGCGACGCCGAGGCGCTGCGAGGGCGCCTCAGCGCGGCCGCCGCCAGCAAGGGCGAGGCCCAGGGATCGTCTCGGGGCGGGGCGAGGCGGCGCATGCTGCTGCCGGTGGTCGGTTCTTCAGGTCGGATTTTTTCCGCCAGAATGGTAGGCTCCCTGCGGTGAGGATTCACGAATGAGGAGAACAGGGGCCGGCGCCGCGCACGCCATACTGAAACCAAGAGATCGGCGCCCTCGTTTTTGTTCGCGGGCCTTTTATACAGCCCCCTTCGGCGAGCTTCGTTCGCTTTCGTTGCCGCCGCCGTTAGCTGGTCGCTGCTGCTGGGACGGCTCGGTTGCCGCTGGCGCCGTCGTGCGCCCTCGTTCTCGTCGTTTGCAGTGCCCGGAATAGGCTGCTGTCCGTGCGGCGGCGAGGGCAGACAGCAGCGGCGGGGTTTCGAGCGAGCCGCGATCGCAGCAGCGTGCGATGCCGGTGAGTCTTTGATCTGCGGAAGGAACTCGGCGGCGTTCGAAGACGCCCCCGTCTCTGTGTCGGCACAGCAGCCAGCTGGCAATGCCGGCGAGACATTGACGACGAGTGTTTCGCCGCCGTGGCGACGCGAAAGAGAGCGGCGAGCGCGCCGGCCGGCAGGCAGGTAGGCAAAGCCGTCGATGCATGGGGTCATGCATCGGCTGAGCACGCATGCTGCGTCGAGCGCACGACGGCAAGCCTGGTCGTCCGATGGTGGGCGACAGATAGGACCCGACGGCACTATTGCTGGAGCGCATAGAAAGCCGGTCGGATGACTGCACACTTGCTCTTTGTATGCTCAGCGCGAGCGCTGCGATTGGCCTACCAAGTTAAAGTGACTTCCTTGCCTGAGGCAATGGGCCCCGCTTCCACTGCTGGTGTTGCTGTTGCGGTTGCTACTCCTGCTGATGCCCCAGGCCCTGCTGTCGCCGTTGATGCCGCGACTTCGTCATCGGCTGCGATAATAGCGCCACCTGCAGCTCGGCGAGCGATCAGTTGACGCTGGTACAGTATGAACCGGCCTCGAAACTGTAGCGCGAAACGCACTGGTGCGATCACTGTTGCTGCTCGCGCCCCCGCTGCAATAACTACTGCCCGGGGTTGTCGTAGTGCGACAGAAAGAAAGTTTGTGGCGGCAGTCCAGCTAGGCAGGGAGTGCAGACGGGCTCCGTCGGTGCCAGCTCATCGGGTCTCACCGCATACAGTCGTGGATTGCTACGACCCTGCCGTGGCTTGGGATGCGCAACCATGTGGACCTATTGCTGGACTTGTCGTCATTGCGACGAGCAACAGGGGTAACTGTTTTGTGTGATTTAAGAGGCTAAACCTTACCTCTCGTCTGCGTTTGGACGCGCTACTTGTTTGAGTGCAGGGTACACGTGCGGCTCGGTGTGTGTTCGTAACGTTTTGCTGGAAAAACACAGCGTAAGGTATTGTGATAAGGAAGGTTTGAAGAGTAAAAATATACTCCTTCATCCTGCTCTTGGGCTTCGCGTAAAATTCAAGGCTTGGCTAGTGGGAAGTGCTACTTGCTACCATGGTGGGGAGATACAGCCACATACTACGCTTGCTTGGTAAGTTAGGAATCCCGTGGAATACACTGTGCACGTCGGTAAACAAGGGTATTTTTCTTTTTGTCGTTTCGTTACATGTCTTACAACACGGCGTTTGGTTTAGCAAAAAGTTTGTCACCACGATTCGGCTACTCTACAATCTAGAGCAGGACAAGCGTAGTTTTCGGGAGAGCTCGTGCATGTCAATACAATACTGCTATGAATTTTGCATTCGAGTTGGAGGCCGCGCAGGTACCACGTAGTGAAAAACGCGAGCATGTAAGTGAATGCCCGCTCCGATGAACTGGTTGAGTTTGTGATACGGCCGCATAGGAAAGTTTAGTGTGGGGCGACTTCAGACGATGCATGTTGTAGCTGCTCACTACCCAGGAGCTTACTAGTAAACTTAAGTAAGTTATCCAGGTACTCGCTTCTACTCTTAGAAAATGCATGTTATCCTTATTCGGTGAAAATGAGTAAATGTATGATTAGTGAGTAGCATAGTTTAGATCGCTGGCTGCTCCATCTGCGTCGACTACCCCCGCCCCCAACCAGTGGTTGAACCACCAACACCACGTAGACATGGTATACCAAGGAAGCCGTGGTCGGTGACGGTGGTATCACATAGCTTCCATACGTTGTGAATTCATGATAATGGCAAAACCACGACTGCGAGTGCGATTCTCTCCTTGTCTCAGCATGCTTAAGCAAATTTATAAAGTGCACGGAGAATGTTTTCACGGAGACAACCCCTGCTAAGCAGCGATCACGAACACAGTGCGCTCAATACCAAACAAACGCTTTATCCGAGCCCAGTAGCTCTGCGAGCTCAAAAAATATTACAACGTTTACCCGAGCTCTTTTAGCACACCCATGGCGTACATCGGCTACTTAGCTTTAATATCTTGCAAACCGAACACAGTTCCAACGACTAGCCGTACATGCAGATCACTGATGAGCACATGTAGCTTCGAAGACTGGAGAACAACAAACTAAATTAGTCAACAACGATCTTCTATTCACAGCTTCCTTATCGTTGGGGCATCCCAATGACGACAAGTCCAGCAATAGGTCCACATGGTTGCGCATCCCAAGCCACGGCAGGGTCGTAGCAATCCACGACTGTATGCGGTGAGACCCGATGAGCTGGCACCGACGGAGCCCGTCTGCACTCCCTGCCTAGCTGGACTGCCGCCACAAACTTTCTTTCTGTCGCACTACGACAACCCCGGGCAGTAGTTATTGCAGCGGGGGCGCGAGCAGCAACAGTGATCGCACCAGTGCGTTTCGCGCTACAGTTTCGAGGCCGGTTCATACTGTACCAGCGTCAACTGATCGCTCGCCGAGCTGCAGGTGGCGCTATTATCGCAGCCGATGACGAAGTCGCGGCATCAACGGCGACAGCAGGGCCTGGGGCATCAGCAGGAGTAGCAACCGCAACAGCAACACCAGCAGTGGAAGCGGGGCCCATTGCCTCAGGCAAGGAAGTCACTTTAACTTGGTAGGCCAATCGCAGCGCTCGCGCTGAGCATACAAAGAGCAAGTGTGCAGTCATCCGACCGGCTTTCTATGCGCTCCAGCAATAGTGCCGTCGGGTCCTATCTGTCGCCCACCATCGGACGACCAGGCTTGCCGTCGTGCGCTCGACGCAGCATGCGTGCTCAGCCGATGCATGACCCCATGCATCGACGGCTTTGCCTACCTGCCTGCCGGCCGGCGCGCTCGCCGCTCTCTTTCGCGTCGCCACGGCGGCGAAACACTCGTCGTCAATGTCTCGCCGGCATTGCCAGCTGGCTGCTGTGCCGACACGGAGACGGGGGCGTCTTCGAACGCCGCCGAGTTCCTTCCGCAGATCAAAGACTCACCGGCATCGCACGCTGCTGCGATCGCGGCTCGCTCGAAACCCCGCCGCTGCTGTCTGCCCTCGCCGCCGCACGGACAGCAGCCTATTCCGGGCACTGCAAACGACGAGAGCGAGGGCGCACGACGGCGCCAGCGGCAACCGAGCCGTCCCAGCAGCAGCGACCAGCTAACGGCGGCGGCAACAGCGAAACATTTGAAGTTTACACAACTGCGCTCCAGGTATTTTGCGCTCTATCGTTCACTAATTGACACTGATACCTGTGGGTGTATCCGCAGCACCGTACTGTACCATTGCACGGCACACACTCGGCACTCGATACACTTACTGCAACAACTTACTTGCCTTCTTTTGAACGAGTGCTCGGATGAAGCGAGAGCGCGGGCAGTGCAACTTACCTGTTACCATCGTGCCTTCCGCCTTCCGATCCAATTGTAAGCGAAAAAGCGGGCTGCGTCGTACCAAGTACGCTGTAAGCGCAACCAAGGTTCACTTATCAGTAAGTGTCGCTGCCGCCGCTCCTTACTTAAGCTCATGCTTCCAGCTTCCTGAAATCCGCCCAGCCAGCTTGAGGCGTCTCGATGCTGATGGTGGACCACGATGCAAGGAGGACAATCGATGACTTCCGATTCACATGGCTTCACTTTGTGTGCTACGTCATCTCAGCGGAAAAATCCGTTACACGCGTGCTGCGCTGCGATTGGCCCATAAGAAGATACGATCCCACTGTCTCAGCCTTCCAGAATTTTCGATCCCCCAGCTCATACAAACACCAAGTCAAACGCCCTGATGTGAAACCGCCGCCGTCGCTATCGGCGCCCATCATTGACCGAAACCCCTGGAAACTGCTGGCCAATTCGCGTCCATCACGACCAACTTGGTCGGCGAAGGAATTGTCTCGAAGGGGGCTGCCTAGTGGGTGGCAGCGCTTTGTCCTCGGCGCCCCACGTTCAGGACGGAGGTCGTCTGCCTCTAACTCGGCAGAGTCCACCTCCACCCCCTCCCGACGATCTTTCGACCAGCCCCCACGCCCTCAAACTCATTTCCGAATTTCCCGTGTGGAGAAGAAGACATCCCCCCAAGCTCCCCCCAAGCAACAACAACAAGATGGCTCAGTCTGTGTCTGGATACTCGGTCGGCATTGACCTCGGCACGACCTACTCGTGCGTCGGCGTGTGGCAGAACGACCGCGTGGAGATCATCGCCAACGACCAGGGTAACCGCACCACCCCGTCGTACGTGGCCTTCACGGACACCGAGCGCCTGATCGGCGATGCCGCCAAGAACCAGGTGGCCATGAACGCGCACAACACGGTGTTCGACGCCAAACGTCTGATCGGCCGCAAGTTCTCCGACCCGATCGTCCAGGCCGACATCAAGCACTGGCCGTTCAAGATCTCGTCGGGCGCCGGCGACAAGCCGCAGATCACGGTGCAGTTCAAGGGCGAGTCCAAGACGTTCCAGCCCGAGGAGATCTCGTCCATGGTGCTGATCAAGATGCGCGAGGTGGCCGAGGCCTTCATCGGCAAGGAGGTCAAGAACGCCGTGATCACGGTGCCCGCCTACTTCAACGACTCGCAGCGTCAGGCTACCAAGGACGCCGGTGCCATTGCTGGCCTGAACGTCCTCCGTATCATTAACGAGCCGACGGCCGCGGCCATTGCCTACGGCCTGGACAAGAAGGGCGGCGAGCGCAACGTGCTGATCTTCGACCTGGGTGGCGGCACCTTCGACGTGTCCCTACTGAGCATCGAGGAGGGCATCTTCGAGGTGAAGGCTACTGCTGGTGATACGCACCTGGGCGGCGAGGACTTCGACAACCGTCTCGTGGACCACTTCACGCAGGAGTTCAAGCGCAAGCACCGCAAGGACATCACTGAGAACCAGCGTGCCCTTCGTCGTCTGCGGACTGCCTGCGAGCGTGCTAAGCGTACGCTGTCGTCGTCGGCCCAGGCGTACATTGAGATTGACTCTCTGTTCGATGGCATTGACTTCAACTCGACCATCACCCGTGCTCGTTTCGAGGACATGTGCGGCGACTACTTCCGCAAGACCATGGAGCCCGTGGAGAAGGTGCTCCGTGACGCCAAGCTCTCCAAGAGCCAGGTGCACGAGGTCGTCCTCGTCGGCGGCTCTACGCGTATCCCCAAGGTGCAGCAGCTGCTGTCGGACTTCTTCAACGGCAAGGAGCCCAACAAGTCGATCAACCCGGACGAGGCCGTCGCGTACGGCGCCACGGTGCAGGCGGCCATCCTGAGCGGCAACGACTCGTCGGAGAAGCTGCAGGACCTGCTGCTGCTGGATGTGACGCCTCTGTCTCTGGGTCTGGAGACGGCCGGCGGTGTCATGACGACGCTGATCGCCCGTAACACGACGGTGCCCACCAAGAAGTCGCAGACGTTCTCGACGTACGCGGACAACCAGCCCGGTGTGCTGATCCAGGTCTTCGAGGGCGAGCGCTCGATGACCCGCGACAACAACCTGCTGGGCAAGTTCAACCTGGACGGCATCCCGCCCATGCCCCGTGGTGTGCCGCAGATTGACGTGACCTTCGACATCGACGCGAACGGCATCCTGAACGTGTCGGCCGTGGAGAAGTCGACGGGCAAGGAGAACAAGATCACGATCACGAACGACAAGGGCCGTCTGTCCCAGGCTGACATTGACCGCATGGTGGCGGAGGCCGAGAAGTACAAGTCGGAGGACGAGGCCAACAAGGTGCGCATCGAGGCCAAGAACGCGCTCGAGAACTACGCGTACAACCTGCGTAACACGCTCAACGACGAGAAGCTCAAGGACCAGATCTCGGAGGATGACAAGAAGGCCATCGACGACAAGGTGACGGAGACCATCAACTGGCTCGACGCCAACCAGTCGGCCGAGAAGGAGGAGTACGAGGGCAAGCAGAAGGAGCTCGAGGGCGTGGCCAACCCCATCCTGCAGAAGATGTACGCTGCTGCTGGCGGTGCTCCCGGCGCCGAGGGTGGCATGCCGGGCGGCATGCCGGGCGGCATGCCCGGTGCTGGCGCCCCACCCGCTGGCGCCCCGGACCAGGGCCCCAAGATCGAGGAGGTCGACTAAGCAGTCGGGAGACTGAGTCAATGTCTCGCGTCGCGGTGGCGTCAGCGTGGATTGCACGCGCTACGGGCATAGAGTGCTTTGGCCGCGATCTCTGTTTGCTTTCAAGTCGGTTGGTCTAAGTAGTGGTTAGCTTTTGTAGAGAAGCAGCTGGAGTTGATCGGCTCCTTCAAAGATGCACAAGCTGCATGAAATAAAGTCAACGAGGAAGCCCCTCTTTTAACTTACTCACCTCTTGCTTTTGCAAAAACGACACACCGATGAATTCATTGTTTGCTAAAGGTGAAAATGAGTGAAAAGGAGAAGTTTGGTCTCCAGAAATTCAAACTGTAGCTCCTTGTGAGCGCCGTAGCCCCACCCTCATCTTAGACCACTGCCGACTTGACGCCATCCTTCGCCGTCGTGCTCCCCTTGGCGCTCTTGAGCCAGCAAGTGCCGCCCATGTGGTTCGACCACGAGAAGGCCTTGCAGCCAGAAGTGTTCATGCAGATCGAGCAACACCCGTAAGCATCAGCGCTGGGCTTGTTACCGATATCATTGCCGACGTAGTCCACGCCGATCTCCAACGCGCAGCTCGGTGCGGGAGGGCTCGCGTAGATGGCAGCAGAGATCACCTCGGCGTTGGCCACCGTCTCGCCCTTGAGGTTCTTGAGATAGCACACTTCTGCCTTCCGCGAAAACGCGCGACACCCATTCCAGCCCTGGCAAATGGCGCAGCACTCCTTGGCCGTGCCCGCTGCCTTGCTACCCATGTCGTTTCCGACATAGTCGATGCTGCTCTCGAGGCCGCACATGGCATCGACGGGTGCTGGGTAGATGTCGGCCGAGGTGGCCCCTGCCTTCACCACCATGCGGCCCTTTGCGCTCTTGAACCAGCACGTGCCGCCATTGTAGTTCGTGAAAGTGTAGGCTCGGCACCCCGGTAGAGCTTGACACTGAGCGCAGCATCCCAGTGCATTGCTCAGCGGCATCGACGCGATGTCGTTGCCGACGTAGTCGATGATGCTTTCGAGCGCGCAAACGTTCAGCGCCTCTGTCGACATGACCGCCGACACCACGTATCGATTCTGGCTCACCGTGCCGCGGCCGCTTTTGAGCCAGCACGTGCCGTTGTTGTGCGTGCTGTAGGTGAACGCCTTGCAGCCAGGGTAGTTCTCGCAGTGGTCGCAGCAGTAGCCCGGACTGATGGCCGGCACGTTGGTGAGGTCATTGCCGACGTAGTCAAATCCGTTCTCCATGCTGCAGACCGGGTTGGGCTGCGATGGAAATCAACTCACACAGCAATGGCGGATCGCGGGCCTCGAGCTGAGGAAGCAGAAGCGCTGCCAGCAAGGTGGAGAGGAAGGAGAAGCTCGTCTTGAGCCTGGAAGGCTGGTACAGTAGCTGCCTGCGGTAGTAGATATATAGGTCCGTCGCTTTCGAGGGAAAATACAAAGTGAACCTGAAGCGCCGACGCGGACACAATGGGCAGCATTGGAGCCGCAAGGAAGCCGAACAGAGTTGCATAGAGGCCGCATCTGTAGTTGGAAGCTGAAAAGCGATTGAACTTCCACAGCGACGCTGGCCTGAAGGCAGGGGGGTAACCAAGTCCTGCTTGAAGCATGCAAATTAAAGACATGGCATGATGTCTCTGCAAAATGAAACGTGAGTCGCTGCTGGCCATCTATCGTCGTGCGCTTCCTAACAGCAAAAAAATAATTCGCGTGCAGCTAGGTTCAGTCCCAAGGACTCGGCATCATAACCAAATTTTGAATCCATCTTGTTAAGCATTAGCATTCACTGCAACCACGAGGTTATATCTCTGCTTCCGTCCTCGATCCATATATGAACGTGTAAAGCCGTCGAGGGACTTGTTCTTGGCATCGTGCGAGTTTGGCGGACGTCAATGGGGCACGAAATCGCCAGTTGCAGCAGCGCTTTAAGGATAAGGAAATCGCACAGTACGCGCGAGCGTTTTTCCTTCGGGAGCGCCGACGCAAAGAGCGAGCCGGGCTACAAAATACCCACGCGGAGGTTTCTCGCGACTTGGCTGCAGAAGGCGCACTGCTTTACCAGGTGCGAGGTTTTGCAGCAGGAGTACAGCTCGTCACGAAGCCTGGCGAACTCGTCGATCGATCTCTCAACGACTTGGCGGTATCGTCTGCAAATTGCCTGCAGACTTCTGTAATCACACCCCAGCTTCTGTAGATCATACACGGTTTCTGTAATCCGACCCATTCCTCTGTCCATACGCTACTTCCTCCTGTAGATTGGACCCTCGCTCCGCAAAAAACGATGCGCTCGAATAACGTAGCCTATTGCGTTTGGACTACGCAGCACCTGCAACATCAACACTATTTTTTTTTACCATTATCTGAGTTTGCGCTGATGGATGTAAGTGCCTCTAGTCAATTGATGGGGGGCTTCTTTCGCACATTGCCATTGATCATTGCGTCACGGAAGCAGCAGTCCATTGACGCACCGATGCGCTGGGTTCTCCTTCTTTGGCTCGCTTTGACCTTCTGCCTGATCAAGGCTCAAGGACCTGTCGCCATCTCTCGCAGATACCAACCCACGACCGGCCGCATCCAGCTCTTCCCCGCTTCACCACGAGCAGCCGCACTCACGCGCCACCACTGCAACATCCTGCAACTCACCGCGACTCGCCGGTATCTCGAGGCCGTCGCTGCCAGACTGAGTCTCGACGTGCAAAGGCTGCTAGTGGTGCGTCGTCTCTCCAAGGAGCAGCTCCTGGAATCCAGCATCCAAGGCAAATGCGACTGCGAGAGTGCCGCCGCCCCCACGACCCCTACGCCCACACCGGCACAGCCAGTGACTCCCCCAGAAGAAGGGGGTTCTCTCACCCCCAACGGATCGTGGGAGCTCAAGCCGACAGAAGCCGAGAGAGCAGGCAGCGGCTCGGCAGCTGACGAAGCGGCAGCGTCCAGTCACTCGGGGTCGTTCTTCACCAGCTCCATGTTCGTCCTCGCCGTGTTCTTCATGGCGGTGCCAGTGGCCTGCATCCTCGGCTTCGTGCTCTTCTGCAAGCGCAGGAGACGGCAACAACACACCCACGCCTGAGCCTGAGAGCCTGAGCTCCAACAGTTGAAGTTGATGTCCACTATGATGTTCAGTAGGTTTCATGCACGATACCAGTTAACAATACTTCTGAAGTAACGCTAAGGCTAATTTGTGCCCAGTCAGTCCTTTATGGCCAAGAGCTCCACCATGTCGACGTCGAGCGCCGCGCTCGCTCCGTCGCTGGACGACTCGTCCTGTAACGTTATGTTCGCAGAGGCGCGCACTGTATGGTCTTGTTCATGTCCTCGAGCCTCGTACCAGGGCTCGGAAGTTCTGGCGCCAGCTAAAAGGTCAATTTTGGCGCCAAAAGTACTAACTTGTTGTTTATTTGTGGGTAGGAAACACTGCGCATGGCCGATATCAACGAGTTCCTCATCTGCAAGCTGTGCAAGGGGTACTTGCGGGACCCGTACACGGTCAAAGAGTGTCTGCACACCTGTACGCTATCGAATTGTGCAAGTTCTTTCCTCATCAAGACATTCGACAGTTGACACCATTTTTTATTTTGTTATGATTGCAGTCTGCCACGGCTGCATTCGAGGCTTCTACCTGTACGACAGCACCAAGTCTTGCTCGTGTCCGACGTGCCACGTGCGTCTTGGTGCCAAGCCATGGGCCCACATCATGTCAGTATATTTGTTTTCTAAAACTTTGTATCGCTTGATCCTGACCTTTTGTGCATTGCTTTTTTGTGCCTTATAGCCCAGATCCAGCGATGAAGGAGCTGACAGAGAAGCTGCTGCCTGACTACAGGGCCAAGGAAGAAGAGGAAGGTGAGGGTTGCAACTGCATGCTGTTCGGTGGTCTGGCGAGGATAACATTGACTTTTTTGTTTGTTGTTATAGAGAGCGTGTTCTACGCGAAGCTAGGGATTAAACGCAAGCGCGTTGATGCTCCAGCTACGCCACGCCGATCCCGCATGAAGACGAGTGGCCCACGAGGCCCGTCGCCAGGAAACATGATCCCGTTCGAGATTTACCCTCAACGCGGGTTAGTTCATGGATTTTGCGGGACGTTTGTCGATTCATTCCTGATTGAGTTTATACATGTTCGCAGCCCTGCGGTCCCGCTGTTCCTGCAGCTCAACAAGTTGCACGCGCCTTGCATGAATACACAGGCTCAATTCAAGGTACGGTATAGGCGCCTTTCATGCCGTCATACCATCACATGCGTGCTCATTTAGTTTTGCTCTACCCAGATTATCAGCCTCCGCAAGTACCTGTCCAAGAAGCTGAAGGGAGTAAAGCCCGAGGAGATCGAGATCCTGTGCAAGGGTGTGGCCGTTGGGCCGGAATACTCGCTCGAGTTCATCCGTCGCACGCGCTGGAAAGAGAACTCGAAGATGATTCTCGAGTATCGGCGGCAGATTGTTGCCCCGTAGACCGCAACTGTCAACGAATACAGCACTCTTGATACAACTTCTCAAGAATCGACAGTTCTATTTTTCAGCTCTAAAAACATAAAAAAAATCTGTCGGAGACAGAAAATAGCTCAAAAGAAAGCTGAGATTTGGTGGTTTCGGGTTATACTATTGGCTGCTCAAAAATAGCAGGGGTAGCATTATGTTTTTTTGCGAAGTGGCTACAATTTTTGGCGATATTACACCAAAATGGTATCATGGGAAAGCTTGGTTAGCTGTCGATACAGTGCTGTGCATTTCGCTGTCGTAGGACGCGTGCGAAAGGCGTGGCATTAGTCTGGATTTTGAGGTTTTTCTAAGCAATTTTATGAGCTTGCTCTCTAATCAAACTTTATACCCAATCATATGGTTGAAATCATATATTTAGCCAATCAGGTGGGATCACAAAAAATGAGGTTAAATTGAATTGTCGATTCTTAAGTGGGCCAGAGAAGTACTACAATCGTAGGAATCAACACAGGAACCAAAGAAATAATTGCATTTCATTTGATTTCAGCACCAACTTGCTGCTAGAGAATGTGGCGAATCTCCGCCTAACGGAAGCTTTGCAGGGAGGGACCCACACCACGCTGAGAACGAAAAATAAAAACAAAGCGCAATTCGTACCGATGAAATGATCGATAGCTTCGATAATAGTACGAAGTAGAAGATTGCTAGGATCACGCTTTTCAAATGCGTTAAATGGTTTCTACCTAAAGGAGGAAAATTAAAGTAATTCAATGAAATAAGCTACCTAATGTGCAGTGACAATGTGCTCGTCCATGATGCGAGCGAGGAGGCTAATAGTTGGCGTCCCAGATGTGCATATGATCGCGCACGTCTTCAACGTCGAGGACCTTGGACAGAAAACGCGAGATGGATTCGAGCTCCCGGTCGTTCGGGTCGTCGATGAAGCTGGAGCAGCCGATGGCGTTCTTCGGGTGCCAAATGTACGCCATGGGCGAGTTGTCGACGATGATCGTCTGCGAGAGCTCACGGGCCAGCAGTGAAAGGTCCTTCACGTAGTTGCCCTCGTACTGGACGCAGTGCTGGCGGTACAGTCGGTATTTGATGACGCCTTCGGGGTCCAGTTGGTCGAGGAGCGGGTCCGCGTACTTGCTGAGACTGGCCGTGTAGATCACAATCTCGTAGTACTTGGCCATCTCGACGAGGAATTCCTCGGCCCCAGGCCTCTTGGCGACGAAGACGTGGTGGATCGTGCCGTCGATTTCAACGGGGATGACGAAGTCGGGATTGGGCGTGGGTCGGAAGGACGAGTGCACCAGCGTTTCATCGAGGTCGAGTACGAGGCACATTTTGTCCGAGTCGTCCGGGGAACGGGGAGGCAAGATGCTCGGCCGCAGCTCGATGACGTTGTTGCCAGCTGCCCCGATCTTCGGCGGTTTCGGTTTGGAAGGCTGTTCTGGGTTCGACTTGTTCAGAGCTGGCACTGGTTGCTGCTGCTCGTGACTGCCGAATGCCGACCAAATATTGACGAACAGGTTGCGGAAGCTTCCCCGTGGCTGGACCTTGCTCGTATTCGATCCCTGGCGGGCTGCGATGCGGCCGCTTGTCAGGATGGGCTGCTGCTTACCATTCTTGTCGGCTCTGTGGACGATGCTAGCCAGTGGGTTGGAAATAGTCAGGTTCGCGAGCTGCTGTGTTGGTGGTGCAGTTGCACGATTTTTGCTGAGAGTGCTAATGCTGGCGCTTCGACGCGCAAACATCACATCACTGCCGGGTTGGGCCCCCTCCGGCTTCGGACCTGCGCGCAAATTGGTCTGCGTCTTCGATCGTGCAATTGGCATCATTGTCGTCGTTGATGTCGTTGCTGGTGTCGTGGTGGTGGGGTGAAGGCGCGGCGTACCGGTACGCTTTCGAGTCCTGTCCGAAAAGGGGCCTGCGTCCCTCTTGACGTGACTTCCGAGGTTTCGAACGGTGTTGGTGGTGGTTGGTGTGGTTGGTGGTGTGTTGGTGGGAGGTTGACTTCAAATGTGATACTAAGCTGGGAAACGGCAGCGTCGGGAGTCGAAAACCAACCGGGTCAACGGCACCACGGCCCACTTGACACAACTTGCATCCTCAGAATCTCGTCCGGTGACCTCGTGTGGAGTATGGCAACCCATTCACCCGAGATTTCTCCGCTCGCATCCGTGTATTGGTGCTGCTGCCACGGCTATCCTTCACCTTGACAGTGCGGCATTTATTTTTACGATGCGTTTCACTCTTCTAAGCCTGTGCACTTATCCCGAACGATGCGGGGCGGGTAGACCGATGTTCGGATTTCATGGATCATACGTTGAAGCATGCTTAGTACGCGGTGGAGAGATATGCTGTACAAGTTCATCCTTCGGCGAGCTTCGGAGCACGCTGACGATTAAGTTACTTGCCCTTAGATTGAAGCTAAAGTTATCGTCTGCTTGCCTCAGCCAGCTTCAGGACAGTCTGGACCGTTGTCTGAACCCCCCTCATCTTCAGCGCGAGCGTTTGCAACAACGACAACTGCGCAGTCTCTCACGTCGCCACCCACTCTGGTGAATGACAAAAACACCTTGGCATTCATTATCTGCCGGTTGGGTCAATGCCGATAAAAAATATGCAGTCAAGCGTGCGAGTCTATTAGGGGTAGTCAATGTCCGCAGCAACAGCTCACTTTTTTCCGCCGCAGCAAGTCGGATTTTTTTCCGGGGCTGTGATTGGCCAGGAAAAAAATCGGCGACCGGAACAAAAAGTCGTTCCGGTCGAGCCGCAGGAGCAGCTCCAAACCGGATGCTGCATAATGCAGCTTAGAGTTGAAGGCTTAAACTGCATATATGCAGTTTAAGCAAATTTTGACTTGAAATTTGTATGACTGTCCTTTCCCCCACTTTTCAAACGTCAAGATAAAATTACGTTTAGTTTCTGTTCGCGCCTTTTTATTTTTCCATACAGTCAAACCTGTTTATATGATCCTCTCTATTTGAGCCATGCCGTTTATTTGATGCAGGCTTTGTCGCTACCAAATATTTCACTTAGTTTTTGTATGATCTCTGTTTATATGCATACAAGGTATATGAGTCACATTTTTGGGGACCAAATTAGGTCTCACCTGTTTATTTGATTCACACTGCTCACGGCCACACACTCTTCAAAGCAACTGCTCAACACTCAACGCCTACCGCAAGCCTTCTTCGCTCGCCATGTCTCCTCGCACCTGTCTGACGCTAGAACAAAAGCTCCAAGTGCACCTAAAGCTCAAGCAGAATCCTGGCATGAACAACCCCATGCTCGCCGAGTGGATCTACGCAACTTTCAAGGCCCGGGTCAGCCGTGCCACACTCGCCCGACTGCGCAACCTGCCTTCTTCCTACTTCAGCCACGTCAACCTGAGTGCGACCAAGCGGCGCCGAGTGAAATTCCCTCAGTTCGAGCGGGAACTGAGGAAAATTTTCTTTCAGAACGAAGCTAAAACGGCGATGGCGGACGCCGTGCTCCTGCTGAAGGCGCATGAGCTGGCGGAGCGCTTAGGCATCGATGCCACGCAGCTCCGGCTAAGCAACGGCTGGCTTCAAAGCTTTAAGAAGCGCAATGGGATCCGCTCCCATACGCTACACGGCGAAGGTGGCGCTGTAGAAGCTGATGAAGTGCGAGATGCGAGGCTAGAGCTACAAGAGTTGGTGGCGCAGTTTACACCCGAGAATGTGTTCAACTTCGACGAAACGGCGCTTTTCTATCGCTTAGCGCCTAATCGAACGCTAGCTACGACTATTCGCAAGGGCAAGAAAAAGAAGAAGCAACGTTTGACTTTGGCCTTCTGCTGCAACGCGACTGTCTCCGACAAGCTCGACCCAATAGTCATCGGTACGGCCAAGAACCCGAGGTGCTTTAGAAAGGGAGCGGCGATTAAAGGTAAACCTATATTGTACAAGTCCTCCAAGAACGCCTGGATGACATCCGTCATTTTTGACGAATGGCTGCACCTCTTCAACATGAGAATGGCGGCCGCCAATCGCAAGGTCCTACTTCTAGTCGACAATACTTCATGCCACAAGATTCTACGACACCTGACTCATGTGACTGTTCACTTCCTCCCTCCTAACATGACATCTGCCGTACAGCCGCTGGATGCAGGTAAATATTTTATCTATATTGTGGTGTAGTCTAAACTAACCAACTCTATTACGGTGTTTTTTTTATTCAGGTATTATCTGGTCGTTCAAGGCTCGGTACCGAAAGTATTTTGTGCGGTGGTGTTTGGATGCACTTGAAGCTAACATTACACGCAAGCTCAACGTACTCGAAGCTGTCCAATTCTCCATTGATGCTTGGGCGGGTGTGACGCCAACGACAATTACAAATTGCTGGGTCAAGACTCGCATTTTGGGAGAAAAGATGCTAGGAAGGACTCGTGCTGACACGGATTACATTGAGGAGGTATCCAGCAACGAGATGGAGGAGTTAACGGCGATGCTATCGAGGTGGGAGGGCGCTGTTAGCGCTAGTGAGTATCTGGCAGTGGACGAAGACGTTCCTGTGCACGAGCCAGATGTGCTAGTGGACAAAGCGGCAGGAAGTGATGCAGTTTCGCAGGACGAGCAGGAGGAAGAGGAGGAACAGGAACCCGTAGTTCAACCTGCCATTGCTCTGAGACACTGCATGGAGCTGGCTGCATTTCTGCTGCAATGCGGAGAGCAGACTGACAGAGAACGAAGAGCTTTACAAACCGTGACCGCTTTGGTTCGAGAGACTACAGTGAAGGCAAAGCGGCAGCGAACTATGCACGATTTCTTTACGTGCACCACATATTTTTTTTTAACTGAGTCCATTTTATATGAGTCATTGTAGTAGATGGTCACCAACAGGGCCTCATATAAACAGGTTTGACTGTATGTCAAAGACCAGCGTTTGTCAAAATTCGGAATATAATGTTTAGCAAGGGCGCGGGACCCACTGTATGATTTGAACAAAAATCGCAAGGTATCGGACTGGGTGGCTCGCAGCGACTTCCATTTGCCGCTTTTGCAAAATCCGCCTCATTCGAGAATTTGCGCGGCCAGGGCTCAAGTCGGCAGAAGAATCAACAGAAATCACGGATGATCGTGCGAGTCATCGGCGCTCGAGTACGGTGCTAACGGTACGCTCATAGCGAACGAATGATATACCTTATTGCTGACCTGTTTTATTTGGTACGTGTTGTCCTTCATGATAGCACGCTCCTGCGTGGGGTGCTTCTTTAGCGCTTGGTAAGATCGGTCATTGGTCAGAGATGTCTGCGAGAATCATGCTTGCTGACAAGACTTTGGATTACTCTTGGTCCAGTTGTTTTTGCTGCTTACACGCAAGCGTCTGCTGCTACAGCTGTACAAGCTGTCATACTCAGTCAAGCCGTTGGGCTCGATCGCACTGCTCAACCCGCTGCATTCGTACCTGGCGTTCGAAGGCCTGGGGGAAAGGCCCACTCAGGATTCCGGCGCTCAAGGCTTCCGACATCTTTTGGCGTTGATGTAAGCGGCGAAGACGACGGCAGGAGTTGATGCGATATGGCGTACTCCAAACAATGGTATGTTGTATATCATGCTGTCTTGTATACTGCATTGTATGCAGTTTATTATACGTATGTTGTATCGTAGCCTACATGAGCTAACCGGAGTAATATTGATGCTGTTGAAGGAGACTACGGCGACCAAGCAGTCATGATTAGCCCGAAACGAGCCCGCCTGAGTGAAGACGACGACTCGAATGAGGTAGTAGCGAAAAGAACGAGCCGAGACGAATTCCGGCCAAGCCGGAGATGCCGCTTTGGTGTTCATTGTATGACCGATGGGCGAACGAGCCGACACCTGGCATGGCTGGCGCTCCTAATGATAAGGACGAAACGTAGTAACGTGAACGTTTGCAAACTAATATAAGCGATTTGGATAAATGCAATTGCAGTCGATGCGGTTCCCAGTATAGCAAGGCTTTGGATACCCACACACATAGTTCTAGATGCAACTTTGCCTTCGCGGTATGCTCCAATTAGCGAAACGGCTTGTAATCGCTGCTTTCCTGTAGACTGGATTGTCAAAGTCATGGCTTTGGCATCGATCAACCTAAGCAGCAGCTAATTGAAGTATTCAACTGTAGAACTTCTTGCACCCATGGAGAAACCCTGTGGTAAACTACATCCGCTCATTGTATACCTCATGCATGAATGCAGGTGTAGCGCTTTAGTGTGTGTTGTTAGTTGGGAAGGGTCCAGGCAACGAACTACTTCGGTGTTGAAGTCAGTGAAATTTGACTTAGTGATCAAACTTGGTAATCCTCGCTGCTTTGTTGCTTCAACTACAGAATGACGTGCTTCTGTCTACAACGACACATCCTAGCTTGCATCTTAGGTATTGTCTTATGTACACAATGGTAACGTTTCATTTGATTACCCCCTGAATATTTTTCTGGATGTCTATTTCATTTTATGTTTGTATAGTGCATAGAATGCCTCCGGACGTGCCACTAGCTTACAGAACGCCTAGAGGTGACACACCTACTTTGTATATAAGTTTTTGTATGGGAAGTTTCAAATTCCGATTTTTTGAAAATCGGGACTCGCTAGGCCCTAGTTTCTGTTCGGCGGGCACCCTGTCACTATCCGTGGCAAGTAGCATTATTCAGCATGGGTATGTTACACTGGAGCCAATATGCAGGTTATTTTCAGTATTAGCACGGCCTTGTTGGCCCCCATCGTGCATCCTATCTTCCCTAACCATTTTTGTATACAAACATCAAGTCTAATTACGTTGCATATGCAGTTTACATGTTCTTTTCAGTTTTGGTCTGGAGGGGTTAATAGCTACTAAAATAATTAGACTTTACCTCCAACCTTGAAGTCATCTAACGGGGGTCTGAATTATATTTTCAATTTTTTTTAAGTACGCTAACGTGGTCTTCGTTTTGTTTTGTTTTGTTTGATCATTATTGTCACTTAGCTGTCAGCTAACGACTACTCAAGACCGGGTCCTCAGATGCCAAACCTCGTCATCTGAAGAATGGGGTTCCTACACTTCGTATCGCCTCAATCGCGTCTGCTTTACCCAGCGTCTGCCTCAGGCTCTTGCGCCCCTACATGAAAATATGCATCCCTCCAATGGGTTATGTCGCCGTCCAAAAGACGAGATATATCCGCCCAAGGGGAAACCTGTTTTGGTCGGTCTGAATGAAAAACGTGCCGGCTCCTGCGATCATCCATGGTGATATTCGCCAATCTATCCGCAGCCTTGTTGAATGCCCTTAAGTGGTGGTTCCACGTGCGGACATGTACTCGATCTGCTATGTCCCTGCATTGAGCATAGATATTGCGTAGATGCGGAGCCCTCGGAGGCCGCCGTCGTCTCATTTGTGCCAGGATCATTGCGCTGTCACCAATCACATGGTTCCCTGTCATCTTCCGCGCTAGGGCATAGCTCAACCCAGAAACGTGGTCTTCACCCAAATATGAAGCAAAATTAGATCAGAAACGTCGAAGTTACTTGCTAAAGAACCATTTTTACCTATCTGTAGCTCACGGCACTTTGTATGTGACCTGGTATATACCTCGCCGTCAACAAAAAATTGGGACTGCTTCGTATTCGGACGTATCACTGCAGCATATGTAAAATGTAGTAGCCAGCAGCACCGAAAAATGAGCAGTGCAATGGGCGCGAATGGACTACCCATTGCAGCATTCTCTCGTTTCGTTTGTTTTATCCGTCGTTGAGTAGTATTGCAGCCTTTTATTACTGTCTTACAGGTATACCCCCTTTTAGCTTGCGGCTCACAAAAAGTTGTGTTGTTCGCGTGAGGATTCTTTTAAAGCTTTGGTGTATCAAACTCAGGAAATATTTGAATGGCAAAAATCAAACTTCGACGTGTTCACTGGACGGCGAAGAACCTCCTCTGACCACGTTGAAGGCGTGCGCGATCACCTGCACATCTGGGATGCCAACTATTAACATTTTTTACCGCGTCCGCCGGAACAGCGATCATCTGGTAGACGTCTGTCGCTGATTTGTTTTGCTCTGCATCTACTTTTATTTAAAAATTAAACCACACGTACATGCGGTAGAGCTGTTAACCCTTTAGATACTGGTGCCAGCGCATTAACTTTTAGGCAAAACAGAAATTATGATCTTTTCTCAACGTAAGAAACGTAGGGATACTAGCATATATTAATAAGAGAAAACTATTGTGGAAACCGATTAGATTGTCTAATTGGGATATAAATCGGTTGATTAAGCAGATGATTAAGCTTAATCGGGTCTGATTTGCTAAATCCGACCTCTTAATTAGATCGACAGACTAAGATTTGTACTCTGATTTGCCAGAGAGGTCAGTTGTGCCTACAACGCCATGTGGCAAGCTGATTTAGCTGCTCCACGGCTTACAAAGCCCGGGACGGCTGATTTGCATGCTAATCAGCCCGAATGTCCGACACCCACACGGCATTCGGTGGCCGATTTAACGTAAAACCGACAAACGCTAATGCTGACGAGAAATGACAGCGCAAATACATGACTTCAGAACTTGATAAATAGATAGCAGTACACATCGAAGCTCACAGAAGCGTATTTAATGCACGCGATGCTATTTCTCGTTAGTAGGTACGCGAATCACTCAGCTCGTGGCGGTAAGTGGTCGCTCGTCGTATTTCTGGCGGGTAATGAGGCAACCCCCATTTTATTAACGTTACACCGATTTATACCCTTACCAATGCCATATGAAATCATAAGGATCCCCGATTTAGTACCAGTCAAATCTCTCATGAACGCTGCTTTATCAGCTAATACGCTCGGGCAATCTAATCGGTTTCCACAATAAATGCAAGTTTACCCACTTACTAAAATGCCACGATGGGTACTGTTTGTTTTGTTTAAAATGCTGGTAGTGCACCTTATCCTCAGCCCCGTTTGAGGACGACAATGCAACCTGGAGCGGTTTTGCCTGAACGGTCAGATTTGGCACGGCATTTGCAAGATCTCCTCAGTGCAAGCAAGTTTTGCCGCGAGTAGGACAGGAAGATTAGCGTAGGTGGCGATCAGCGACATTCCATCTACTGTTAAACTGGTGCAATTTGTTTAACAACTCTACATGTACATGTATTGTGCTTTGCAGAAGTTTTGCCGGTCCGATTTAGTGATTAGATCGATCTAGCAACACAAACAAAGTGAGGTCATAAAAATGCGAGTCATCACAAATCCTGCACTAAATCGGGCGCCTACTGGGCCAATGTCCTGCTCGATTTATTAGCCTCATATCTGCCACCCGATCAGCAACGGGTACACCAACAACAACGCGTGTGTCGGCGCCTACTGCTTCACTAATACTGCTCTGTTTGCTGCGTGCTGTAGCTCAATAGCTTCGTCTCTTCCAGTAAAAGAAGCTCCGGCCACCTGCAGCGCGACAGCACCGTCCTTGTGGACCTGCCTGCTACCCCAAAGTACGTTTGACTGTAAGTTACTATGCCTAATCAAAATGCAAGTTGTTGGCGCCTACTGCTTCACTGATACTGCTCTGTTTGCTGCGTGCGATTAGGCAGCTACTTGCCGATTTAGAGTCTCTGTAGAAGGTCCAGAATGGGCGTGCCTCGCGCTGGTGTCTTGCCACAAGATTCTCAGCTCCGCGGTGTGGTAATGTTCCGAACCGGCGAGCGCTCCAGAGGCCCCCGTAAGGGCATTCGGAAGAGCCTTACGTTTGTTGTTGCAGAGGGGTTCGACGTCGCCCGGGCTAAAATCTTTCGACTGTTGACTGGAGCGGAGTTTGGGCCCAATCCTAGTGCAATCGAAGACGAGAACGTGTTCTTCAAGGCTACCAAAAATGCACGGCAGCAGGACTTCAAGATTCTTTCCGTTAGCAATTTCGAGGAGCTGTTGAAGCGTCGATGGGCGTGCATTACCGACGATGACATCGTGGCTCTGGCATCCAACGAGGAGCAAATTCATACGCAGTTTGTGTTTGAATTTTTCGTCTATCTCGCCCCGGTGGTAAGGCCTACTGATGGGATTCGTCGGACCACGGCGGATCGAGTTCGTGCCGCGGCAGCGGAGATCGTGACTTTACAGGCAGAAGGTAGAGAGCGGCTCGGACCAATCGCCACTCACCATTTAGCTATCCACCGCGCCCGCCAACCTGAAGGCACTCCGTTTGCGATTCCTGAGGACAATACGATGCAACAAGCAAGAGCTCTAGATGCAGCGGTAGCAGCGTTGGAGGATACTGCTGCCGAACCGGAGGAAGATGTCATGGAAATTGAAGTCGAGCTCTTTGGCACGTGGGTGAAGATGCGCGTGAAGCACTCGACCCTACGAGAAGCGGTGGGCCTCCCCCAACACGACATCTTTACCAGAGGGATTTTCCACGGTTTTCGCCCCGAAGCCATCATGCCACAAGGTGAAGACGTCCCGGATGAAGACCACCAAATGTCTGAAAACTAAACAGAGGCAGTTCTTGCTAGGTAATACAGAAGCTTCAACGTTCATTAAACTATTATTCATCGGCACTATTAGTTTCGTGCTGGGGTTGTACAATAAACTCGGAAGACCGGAGTTTCTTGTCATCGTGGCTACAGTGCGCATATAGATTTAGTACGCCCTTCCGTTTGCTTGGGTGGTGACTTCGACAGCAGGAACGCATCGCCACATCCAGCACCAAAGCTGGGTACAGCGGAAAGATGAAATTTGCCTTCTTCTGGATCCAGCGCTTGAGTAGTCCAAAACAAACCTCGATTGGGTTTAATTGAGGTGAGTACGGCGGAAGGTAGAGCAGCCTCGCTCCAGCTCGGTGGATGGCCTGAAAAAAACAAAACATAAAATATCTTTGTCAGCTTAAAAAAATGTTAAAGCTATCAAACTGACTTACCGCTTCTAGCTCTCGATACATGTGAATTTTTGCGTTGTCCATTACAACTATTGAACGTGGCAGCGGCCAGGGGTTCGGAAGAGGTAAGATTTTTTCAACAAACGCTTTATGAAAGGAGTTTCTGGTGTAAGTACCCTCAGTATAGTCCCAAGCGACAAATCCACTATGGTCCAAAGCTGCCAAAATAGACAACCGCTTACCGCGACTGAAAGGTAACCGTACCACCGCCTTTGTATTCTTTTTTGACCACGTGTATCGCCGATAGGCGTGACGCCCATCTTTTGCGGTTTCGTCAATAAAGAGCAATTGCTCTGGGTAAGAATACATAGCCTCTAACTTCACCTTGTACGTATACACTTCGTGCGGCACACACTCTCTTGCCGCTTTGGTTATCACCTTTCTAGTCAAGTTCATATCAAAATATAAAGCTCTACAAATGGTACTCAGTGAAACATTTTTCACAATAGGGAAGGTGCGCTTCATAAAGTCCTGTAGCCCCTCTAAATAGAATGTGGGATGGTGCTCAACCAGAGGTCCGCCAATACCATAAAAAATTGTATTGCCAGCAGCATGTCTCCATAATAAAGATTGCAATATAGCGGCAAGCAATAGTAAATATCGACGTAATTTATATTGTATTGTTAGTTATTTCTTCATGTTCTTCTAACTCTCGCTCTTCAACCACTACTTCCCGTAGGCACGCCTATCTCGATAACATCTCTGCGATCCACAGGCCAAAACACGCCGAGCTCCTCCTCTTCAAAATGCGCAATGGCATCTTGTGGTAAATCTGACGCTGGCTGCCAAGTAGGACGAGGGTATCCAACCCAGCTCACAAAGTAGTAGTCGTTGCCATCCAGATCAGTCTCTTTTGCATAAATAAACTCAAGGGTGTATACATTTGGCCCTTCAATGTCGGAGCTGTCACTCTCTGACGAAGTTGAGTCGCTTACAACAGCATTCGTAGGGGCACTTGGCGCACCGACGCTAGCCCCTACTATTTCCGCCAATGTTGGCCGGCGGGCTGGCTGACGAGTACGACTGGTACTTGAACGCTTTGAGTCGGCCAGCTTGCCAATATGTGCGAGGCGCTTGTTTTTCTTGGGCATCACGGTTCAAGAGGGATAGTGATGGCCCAAGGGAAACAAGCGCATAGAGTATAAATCTAATGTTGATGTGCATTGCCGCTATAAATATAAACGGTATCGCTATAAATTGTAGCCAGTAAAAGTGCGATGACTATAATTAATATAGAATTGGCTCTAACAATAAGTGACCGCACATTACCTTAAAATTGATCATGCGGTATATCTATTTAAAGAGGTAAATAAGCGCATATACATGCAACGAGGCATACCAACTCTAGATAAATCGCATCTTCTTCGTCAATATTTGCATGTTGACTCCGGGGAAACCTGCATCGTAACAGCGAATATTAGGCTTATACATGTATGATTCGTTTTAGATCTCAGTTTCGTCTAATTTTAGCAATGAATATTAAAAAGTATCACTAAAATAATGGCAAGGTAAAGATCGCACTTTCGTTAACTGGATTACGATCTAAAGGGTTTCCTCAACACTAACGCTAGCAACCGTCGTAACATCCCACATGGTGCGGTTGACGCGAAGGAACGCGAGCTGTTCGAAGTTCGCCGGGAGCATAGCACGCCGCTGCGGGGTCAAAACGAGCTTTGTGGTGGGCCGCAGAACCGCGCTTTTTTCATATTTATTGTCAATAATTGGGTCAATATCATATTGTATTGGTAGCTGGGATGTCCAATAATAAAGATTGTTATTGCAAAACCCAATTATTTATTGAATTGAAATATTTTCCTCCGACCTCTGTGCTCAACATACTTCCGCACACGCTCCACTACGTCACACGGCCACCGTGACGAGCGGGTGGTTCGGTCGTCACCTTCTACCACTCCCTTAGATAAGAACAAAGAATACCATGTCTGTATAGTTCTCACACTAGGTCCAAATATATCACTTACGTACTGGAGGGAGATGCCATACACATGAACAAGAAAGACAGCGCGCCAGCGAAAGTCGTGAGAGTACATTGCGCACTTACGCAGGAGAGGAGATGTTCGAGACTGGCGGAAATCGTGGCGATTGGTCCTATCCAGTAGGTAGTGTCCGATAAAATTTGCCCCTTTCTCATTCAAAAAATGAGTAATATGGGCTATTAGGATGGGACATCACTGTTCACCGATTTACAATAAAACGATCCGAATTGCGTTTTTCTACCGGCAAATAGGACGGCTATAAAATAAATCTGCGTGGTGCTCTATACAAACCAAGGTACAACTTGATCGAGTTGCATTTTTTATGAAGAGCTCCAGATTTAACTCAGTCTCGTACTTAAGCAAGTCGAGCATGATTATAAGTCAAAACGACAAAACGCTTGCAAAGCACAATAAGGTGCTCGACCAGTCTACCGCAATGTTTTACTTTTTCCGCGGAAAAATGGTCATAACTATTTTTCTAGACATCCTTGTTGAAGTGTGGATGGCTACATCAACGGACAGGCGGTTAAGTGCGGATCGAGGCAGCAGCGACAGGCTGCTAGGTGCGAACAGGTACAGCAGCCGCGAACTGCTGGGTGCTGAAGGAGACGGCAGCGGCGGGCTGCAGCAGTGCGGAAGAAGACGGCAGCGGAGGGCTGCAGCGGTGCTGAAGGAGACAGCGAGGCGACAGGCGTGGCAGTGGCGACCGAGAATTCGGGAGCGACGGACGCAGAGAAGCTGTTCACCCAGTTCATAGTGAGGTTCGTGCTCTAGGCACCTAGGTAACGGACGAGCTGGCGGCTTGCCGCCGCCAGCACCTCAATGCACATCAGTTCTCAACTTACCTCCTTCCTCACACCCCGTTCACTGCTCAACAGGTTATGAGCCCAATGCCCCACGACTACGCCGACGCTGTCCAAGCTCCTGGAGTCGCTCCTGTCCCAGTGCCTGGCCAAGTCGCTGACCAAGTCGGAGATGACGCTGCCGGCAACCAATTCGACGTGTCGACCCGCGAGAGCGGACGTGGTGCTTCCGACTCGAGTGGTGACCGGCTTGATCGACTCGAGGGTCTCATCGAGAGTCTGGTGCGAGACGCCTCACGCGATCGGCTGGAGAAGGCCCAGCTGCAGCACGGAGTGTATGTGTCGAACTCATCGGCGGCCGGCTCGAGCGCCTTCAGCCAATTCCTGGCAGCTCGTCGGCAACGAGTGAGGGCCGACTCGCTCACCGAAGCAATGCGGCAATGCAGCAGCAACAGTTCGCGCCTGCTCAGCCGCAGCCAGTGCTGTTCCAGCAGCATGCACTCGCGGCGGACCCGCGTCTGCAGCAGCAGCAGTTTGCGCCTCCGAGAGGCTTCGGGTTGAAGATCCCGTCCTTGAAGGACATGAAGCTTCCGATCGAGAGATTCTCTGGCAAGGAGATGTACGAAGGCCTCGGCGCAGGCTTTAAAGATTGGGGGCTCAGATTCCTGGACGTACTTATCGCCGCGCAGGTGATTAGCGGCGGCGACTGGCCCGAGGACTTTAAGGCTCGTGCTTTGAACCGATACCTCGAGGGCCCAGCGCGCAAGTATTTTGACCGGATGAAGACAATTTGGTCGGCGGAGTCGCCAATGCTGAAGCATTTGATGAACCGGATGTTAGAGGTGTACGAAAAGGAGATCACGGTTGAGCAAGCAACTCGCATGATGCGAGCGCGCAAGCGTGCTGATCGTACCTGGACTGAACAATATCAGTATTTGCTGGCAATCTCGAGTGCTGCAGACTGTTCGGACCGTTTTGTGCTGCAGTACATCTGCGAGTGTGCGTCGCCTGACGTCAAGAGGGCGATGCAAACGAGGATTGACCGTCGTCGCGCCGACCATCTACGACAAGCGTGGGAACTGGCGGACTTCGCTAGCACGCTCGAGGCGGATATGAATGGTGGAGGAAATGCGCACGGCAGAAACTTCCGCGGGAGTCGCAGCGGTGGCCACGGTGGCAACACTGGCAGCGGTAATCTAGTCGCGAATGCTGTCAAGGATGCAGGCAGCGAAAGCATCGAGCGACGCTGCTGGCGCTGCGGCGAACCGGGCCACCTGAAGAAAGACTGCACGGGCAAGAAGAAGGAAGGCCAGGCGATGTTCGCACTCGCTGTGGGCAACAGCAACAGCAGCTCGTGGGTGCTTGACAGCGGAGCTAGTCGCCACCTGGTGAAGGATGCCAGCCTGTTGATTGACCCTGTGGACTGTAGCGAGACATGCAAGGTTGCCGACGGCCAGTCCATGTCGGTGACCAAGAAGGGCAGCATCGTGCTTCGTGCCGCGGTTGATGGCACTGAACACGACGTTGTGATAAGCAATGTGTACTTCGGTGACCGACTTGCGCAGAACTTGCTGTCGTACTGCAAGATCGAAGAAAAGGGCTTCATATTGGTCTACAAGGGAAAGCGTCGGTACCTGGCGAGGGTTGCTGATGGCGCTCGCGTGTTCGAGGTGGAGAAGATGAATGATGTCCTGGTTGTGAACACGGTGAATGCGGCGATCGCAGGAAACGCAGTGAATGTGGACCCGCGCGACGATAAGAGCAGCGAAGTGTATGCTGCGCTTAGGCAAGCTGAGAAGGATAGTCTGCAGTGCGCACCGGTGAAGTGCACGTTGATGGAGCTGCACGAACGCCTCGGGCACCTCATGTTCGACACGGTCGAGAGGATGGCCGACGCATCGGGATCTGGGATCGAGCTGACTGACAGGGCCCGGATTAATTGCCTGACATGCGCGAAAGGCAAACAGTCGAAGAACGCTCAGTCCAAGCAGGACTCGGGCAAGAACGCGCCGATCGACAGGATTGGTGGTGTGATCTGTAGTGACCTCAAGGGACCAATGACTCCTACGGATCGCAACGGCAACAGGTACCTGATCAATTTCGTGGACCACCACACCAACTACTGCAGGGTGTTCGTGGCAAAAAGGAAGGACCTGGCCGCTAAGATGTTCGAGCGCTTCCTGGTGTACTTCGAGCGGCAGTTCAACTGCAAGGTGTCCGTCTTGCGTACGGACGGAGGTGGCGAGTACCGCAACGTGGATCTGTTCTGTCAGTCAACGGGAGTGGTGAGGCAAGTAAGGGGGGCCAAGAATCAGGCTTCCAATGGAAAAGCTGAGCCCATGCACAGGACTGTCTTAAACATGGCGAGGTGCATGATCTTCGCAAGCGGACTAGCGTTGCATTTCTGGGGGGACACAGTGCAGTATGCGGCGTACATCCTGAATAGGACTCCGACGAGCGCGAACCCGAGCCGAGCGTCACCTCTTGAGATGTTGACGGGCGTGCAGCCGCAGTTGGCCGATATTGTGGTGTTCGGGAGCGCGTGCACGGCGTGCCGGGACCCAGGCAAGAAGGCGTGGAAGCCTCGAGCTGAGGTCGGGATGACTATCGGAAAAGACGATGAGACTAAAGGCTACAAGGTGTACCTGCCGCACGACCGCATCGTCATCGTGACGTAGCATGTGCAGAATGTGGAGACGTTGAATGCGCCCGGCAATGAGCAACTGCAGGCGCAGCTTCGCCGAGAGGACCCCGAACTTGGTCGTGCTGTGCAGGAACGGGGGGAGGCTCTTCGTCGGAAGGAGAGAATGGCTGCCCGCGGCAAGGGTAAAAAGAGGTCAAAGCGCAGCAAGAGGTAGAAGGCCAAGAAGTCGAAAGAAAGCAATGAGACAATGGAAGGAGTACCAGAGGCGGAAGCGCAGCACCAAGAACATGTTCCCCATCCGCCAGCGGAACCAACTCGTATGCGAACGCGCAACATGGGGCGCAAGCATGTGCCGGTTGCCATGGCAAGCTTCTCGGAGGACCCGAAGAACTACACCGAAGCGATGAATTCTGACCATGCCGCTGATTGGAGCAAGGCAATGGCCGAAGAGATTAGTGCGTTGGAGGCAAACAACACGTGGGAAATCGTGGCGAAACCACGACACGCAAAGCTGCTACACTCGAAATGGGCGTTCAAAACTAAGAAGCATGTTGATGGTACTCTGGAAAGGTTCAAGGCCAGGCTTGTTGCTTGCGGCAATGAACAGGAATATGGTGTGGACTATGTGGACACGTTTAGCGCCGCGCTGGAGGGTCTCTCTGTTAGGATAGTGCTCGCGCTGTCGCGCAAGTATAACGTGCCTGCCAGGCACGGGGATGTACCCAACGCGTACGTGTGAGCTGAGAAGGAGCCGGACCTGGAGATCTTGTTGCATGTGCCGCGAGGCATGACGGTGAACAGTGAGACGCTGGCTGACCTGGGAGTTGCGAACGAAAGGCAGATAGCGCTGAGGCTGCGCAAAAAGCTTGTACGGCCTGAAGCAGGCGGATCGCCTGTGGGCTCTGCACCTACGGAAGACGCTGTTGAAGCTCGGCTTCGAGCAGTGCTACACCGACAGCTGTGTGTACAAGAGGGGCAACGGCTCGGACCTTACGGTCGTAGGAGTATACGTGGACGACTTGCTCGTGACGGGCACGAGCGTCGCCAATGTGGTCAAGTTCTTCGAAGACATGAAGGTGTTGGACGTCAAGGACTTGGGGCGTGTGTCCAAGTTCCTGGGTACTGGCATCGTGTACGATGAACTGCATGGCTACATGTTGAATCAACGCCAGGCGATCCTGAAGTTGTTGGAGCGCTTTGGGCTCGCTGATGCTAACGCGGTGAGGGTACCAGTCGTGGACGACAAGGACGAAGGCGATGACAGCGCTTTGCTACCGGGCGATGTGAATGGTACACCGTCCCGCCCTACGGTTCAACTCTGTCAGTCACTTGTGGGGAGCCTACTGTGGATTGCGCGGTGCACAAGGCCCGACATTGTGTTCCCCGTGCACCGTGTGATCCGGCGTGCACATGCTCCTCGAGAGTCAGATTGGCGGAACGTCAAAAGGATCATGCGGTATCTGAAGGGTACTATCGACGTCAAGCTGCGCCTGGAGGTTGACGCCAGCTCAGTGCAGGGGGCCGAGGTGAGGCTCGAGGGCTACAGCGATGCTGATTACGCGGCCGACCGAGTCGATCGAAAGTCTGTGAGCGGAGGGGTGCTATGTATCGATGGTATCGTGGTCGGCTGGTTTTGTAAGAAACAGAACAGCGTTGCACTCTCAACCATGGAGGCTGAGTTCGTAGCGGCCTCACAAGTTGCAAGTGAGCTGCTTGGGCTGAGCGCACTACTCGGTGAGCTTGGGGTCGTCGTCCACGAGCCAATCCTCATGCATGTGGACAACCAGGCTGCTATTAAGCAGTTAGAGGGGGAGGACTCATCTGGAAAGGCAAAGCACATTGATGTTCGGGTGAAATTCGTGAAAGACTTCGTTCAGAAGGGCGTAATCGTGGTGGAGTACTGCGAATCGCGTAAGATGCGGGCCGACCTCATGACCAAGTCATTCCCAGCACCACGCCTCGGCGAGCTACGAGAGCTGGTCTCGCTTGAATGAGGACTTCCCGGGAAGGAGTGTTGAAGTGTGGATGGCTACATCAACGGACAGGCGGTTAAGTGCGGATCGAGGCAGCAGCGACAGGCTGCTAGGTGCGAACAGGTACAGCAGCCGCGAACTGCTGGGTGCTGAAGGAGACGGCAGCGGCGGGCTGCAGCAGTGCGGAAGAAGACGGCAGCGGAGGGCTGCAGCGGTGCTGAAGGAGACAGCGAGGCGACAGGCGTGGCAGTGGCGACCGAGAATTCGGGAGCGACGGACGCAGAGAAGCTGTTCACCCAGTTCATAGTGAGGTTCGTGCTCTAGGCACCTAGGTAACGGACAAGCTGGCGGCTTGCCGCCGCCAGCACCTCAATGCACATCAGTTCTCAACTTACCTCCTTCCTCACACCCCGTTCACTGCTCAACAATCCTCTCAGAAATTTAAAAATATGCCGCAAATCTACAGAAACTCGCCTACAACAAGGTGATCTTGTCGTGGTTCTAGTGTTTTGCAAGCGAGCTACCTGCATCAAGGAAAAACCAGGATGCTTTGACGAGCGCCTGCCAGTTTAGCGCAGCGAAACATATTGGGGTTTGTATGACGAAGCATCCCCCTTGGCCCTTGTGGTGAAAAAAGTACGCACTTTGGTGAAGAGCGTACAGATTTTGGCTCTTCCTGTAGCACATTGCGCGTTTTCTGCAATGGGGGATGCTTCGTCATACAAACCCCAATATGTTTCGCTGCGCTAAACTGGCAGGCGCTCGTCAAAGCATCCTGGTTTTTCCTTGATGCAGGTAGCTCGCTTGCAAAACACTAGAACCACGAAAAGATCACGTTGTTGTAGGCGAGTTTCTGTAGATTTGCGGCATATTTTTAAATTTCTGAGAGGATGTCTAGAAAAAAAGTTATGACCATTTTTCCGCGGAAAAAGTAAAACATTGCGGTAAACTGGTCGAGCACCTTAGTTTAATTTTTAAATGAAGCAGATACTTCAAAGCAAAAAAACACACCGACGGCGCCTAATACAGATGGTCGCTGCTCGGCGGATGCGGCAAAAAACATGTCAATAGTTGGCGTCCCAGATGTGCAGGTGGTCGCGCACGTCTTCAACGTCGTGGACGTTGGTCAGAAAACGCGAGATGGATTCGAGCTCCCGGTCGTTCGGGTCGTCGATGAAGCTGGAGCAGCCGATGGCGCTCTTCGGGTACCAAATGTACGCCATGGGCGAGTTGTCGACGATGATCGTCTGCGAGAGCTCACGGGCCAGCAGTGAAAGGTCCTTCACGTAGTTGCCCTCGTACTGGACGCAGTGCTGGCGGTACAGTCGGTATTTGATGACGCCTTCGGGGTCCAGTTGGTCGAGGAGCGGGTCCGCGTACTTGCTGAGACTGGCCGTGTAGATCACAATCTCGTAGTACTTGGCCATCTCGACGAGGAATTCCTCGGCCCCAGGCCTCTTGGCGACGAAGACGTGGTGGATCGTGCCGTCGATTTCAACGGGGATGACGAAGTCGGGATTGGGCGTGGGTCGGAAGGACGAGTGCACCAGCGTTTCATCGAGGTCGAGTACGAGGCACATTTTGTCCGAGTCGTCCGGGGAACGGGGAGGCAAGATGCTCGGCCGCAGCTCGATGACGTTGTTGCCAGCTGCCCCGATCTTCGGCGGTTTCGGTTTGGAAGGCTGTTCTGGGTTCGACTTGTTCAGAGCTGGCACTGGTTGCTGCTGCTCGTGACTGCCGAATGCCGACCAAATATTGACGAACAGGTTGCGGAAGCTTCCCCGTGGCTGGACCTTGCTCGTATTCGATCCCTGGCGGGCTGCGATGCGGCCGCTTGTCAGGATGGGCTGCTGCTTACCATTCTTGTCGGCTCTGTGGACGATGCTAGCCAGTGGGTTGGAAATAGTCAGGTTCGCGAGCTGCTGTGTTGGTGGTGCAGTTGCACGATTTTTGCTGAGAGTGCTAATGCTGGCGCTTCGACGCGCAAACATCACATCACTGCCGGGTTGGGCCCCCTCCGGCTTCGGATCTGCGCGCAAATTGGTCTGCGTCTTCGATCGTGCAATTGGCATCATTGTCGTCGTTGATGTCGTTGCTGGTGTCGTGGTGGTGGGGTGAAGGCGCGGCGTACCGGTACGCTTTCGAGTCCTGTCCGAAAAGGGGCCTGCGTCCCTCTTGACGTGACTTCCGAGGTTTCGAACGGTGTTGGTGGTGATTGGTGTGGTTGGTGGTGTGTTGGTGGGAGGTTGACTTCAAATGTGATACTAAGCTGGTAAACGGCAGCGTCGGGAGTCGAAAACCAACCGGGTCAACGGCACCACGGCCCACTTGACACAACTTGCATCCTCAGAATCTCGTCCGGTCACGTCGAGGTGCCTGGCAACCCATCCACCCGAGAAATCTCGCACGCATCCATGCGGCTGCCCAACTGCTGCCACTGCTATCATTGACAGTGTTGCATTTATTTTTGCGATGCGTTTCACTCGTCTAAGCCTGTGCACTTATCCCGAATCGAACTAACAGTAAGCATGCTTCAACGTATGATCCATATTTCGGTATACCTGCCCCGCCATCCGGTGGAGAGATACGCTGCACCAATTTCACCCGTCGATGGGCTTCAGAGCATTTTGGAGCACGTCGACGATACCATTGTCTGTACTTAGAATGAAGCCTATGGTATCGTTTGGAGGACGTTTGCTAGCCTCGACTTGCTTCAGGACGGTCGGGGCCGTTGCCTGAACTCCACGTCTCCTGCAGCACTGCAACGGAAAACACCGTGATATTCACTACGTAAACGATGGGGTGAGGACCCATTTGGTACTAAAATAATTAAGCTTCCCTCCAGCCTTCAAGTTCATCTAACGAAAGTCCGAATAATATTTTCCAACTGTACGCTAACATGGGGGTACCTAGAAATAAAACGAGTGAAATTCATCACAACCCGAATATGAAGTCAATATTAGACGAGAAACGCCGAAGTTACCATTGTCATTTTTTGCCTACAGTATCGCAATATACATGCAGGGTATCACTTGATAATAGTTTGTAGATGGCCCGCAAAACCTTAGACAGGTGCGAAGACTGTTAGGCTCAAAAATCTATATAGTCTAAATTAGTGAATGCGGTGTCCTCGCTGTCGACACCGAGATAAATGGTTCTATAAATCTATAGCTCTAGTCTTTAAGTACATGGCGAAAATATACCCGGCAGACGCTTGGATAGATGTTCGCTGCGGCGAGGTTGAGGTTGCGGGTCAAAAAAGTTAATAGTTGGCGTCCCAGATGTGCAGGTGGTCGCGCACGTCTTCGACGTCGTGGATCTTGGTCAGGAAACGCGAGATGGACTCGAGCTCGCGGTCGTTCGGGTCGTCGATGAAGCTGGAGCAGCCGATGGCGTTCCTCGGGTGGAAAATGTACGACATGGGCGAGTTGTCGATGATGATCGTCTGCGGGATCTCGCGGTCGAGCAGCGACAGGTCCTTCACGTAGTTGCCCTCGTACTGGACGCAGTGCTCGCGGAAAAGTCGGTATTTGATGACGTTTTCCAGGTCCAGCTTGTCCAGAAGCGGGTCCGCGTACTTGCTCAAGCTGGCCGTGTAGACCACAATCTCGTAGTATTTCGACATCTCCACGAGGAACTCCTCAGCCCCCGGGCGCTTGCAGACGTACACCTGGTGGATCGTGCCGTCAATGTCAACGGGGATGATGTAATCGGGGTTGGTAGTGGGTCGGAACGACGAGTGCACGAGCGTCTCGTCCAGGTCGAGCACCAAACACTTCTTGTTGGCATCATCGGGTGCAAGCGGGGGCAGGACGCTCTTGCGTAGCTCGATGGTTCCAGACGCCGCTGCCGCCTTCGGCTTGGGCGGTGACGACTTGCCCTGCGCCTTCTTGTCGAGCGCCTGTTGCTGCTGCTGCTCGTTGATTCCAAGCGCCGACCAGATATTCGCGAACAAGTTCCGGAAGCTTCCCTGCTGTCCATTGGCCGCCGAACCCTCACGGGCGATGCGACGCCCGGTAGCGAGAATGGGCTGCTGCTTGCCGTTCTTGTCGGCCTGGTGCACGATGCTCGCCAGCGGGTTCGTCGGATTCAGGTCTGCGAGCGGCTTCTTGGGCGACGACTTTTTGGCGCCAGTATCCAGCGCGTTGCTACTCAAGCTCCGACGCGAGAACACCGCGTTGTGGAACAACCGACCGCCGGGCTTGGCTCCGTCCGCCTTTGGAGGAGCGTTCAGGTTCGTCTGCGTCTTGGATCGGGTGTTGGGCATCATTGTTGCTGTTGTTGTGGTGGTGGCTTAGAAAGCTGGTGCGGACGGTGCGCTGTGGGCGGAGGTGGCAGTGCGGGCTAGTCCTCCAAAGTGATAATAATTAACGGAGCGGTGCGACGCGAAACTCCGACGGCCCCAACGGCCTGCACACACTTGACACGCTCCCTCAAAGTCTCGTCCACGGACCTCAAGGTGTCGAGCAACCCGTTCCCCCTTGATCCTTTAAGCCAGCTCATCATCACCCTATCGTTGCCTTTGGTGTGGAGGTTTATTTTTGCGTTGCGATTCTTCTGTGCCTGTGCTAGCGAGTAATTCCACCGCCCAGAACAGCGAGATGCCACACACAGGGCGAGGGTAATCACCACCAACGTCTATTGCTGAGGCCAAAGCGTAGACATCTTAGCTACGCATACTGAAACAAGTGTACGAGAGTTCAAGCAGGACCGGTAATGGCTCCATGGATTCTCAGCCTTCAGGAATAGTTACCCAACTGATCCTTCGAGTCCGTGTACTACAAGCTGCGAGCTAGCATCATTGTAGCGATGTTGAGTTAGTGTACTGCCTGGTTTTCAATGCAGGACGGTGCAAGTACGTGGACTGTAACTCACCCTATCGACACACTGGCGTGCACTAGTTTCAGGTTCCTCACACTTACGGCAGATTCAGAAATCCAGCGTTGGCCTCAGGACATTTGAACGAACAAAGGAACGGCTCACTTGCGCTACGCAAAGCGAAGGCGGATTCCGCTAGGACCACTACACAATGTAGCCTACATTCCCAAGAGGCTGTTCAGACAGACAAGCGCTCGTACGCGGCTTCGTTCGTATGACACATACACAACTTGGGCCGATTCCACGCGGTAGTTCCTTCACTTCAAAACTCGATCCAAGCGAGACCTGATCCTCTCACTGATGCGAGATTATGAGCCCAAGAGAATTACTCTACTCCCCATTTGCATTAGTCCACGGCTGCAGCTTCAGCTGCGGCTGAAATGTACAAGCCTTTCGGCATTAGTGGAACGATCTAACCTTTTCGACGGAGGGAAAACCTCAGCGTATGATAGAGCAGCGCCCTGAGGTCCCACCGCATTAGTGCTCGCCGAAGTAGATGGCGCAAAGGCTCAACAACTGGCCTTAAACGGCTTGAAGCTTCCCCGCCGCGCACAACCCAGAAATCCTTTTCAAACCCTCCAGCATTTCATAGTTTTAGATCCGTTTCGAATAGCAGTCTCACTGGGAGGAAGACTTGAGATCACATACTTTTCCGTGTGGACAATCAGGTGGTCGGCTTAGTATAATAAAAGCGGATAAGACCCGGGAGCCTTCTTCCGAGTCACTTCGACACGAATTGCCACGTCATTCCATCGACCCACACAGCTTCGGTATCATACCACCACCACCACCATCGTTCGATACCATAGCGGTCGATGCCACGTCTGAGCATGTGCAGCTCAATGAAGCCGCCAGTTCGACGGTCTCACAGGAGCTTTTCGCGGCTCGAAGAAGGAGACAGCAGCGACGCAATGAGCGAGGAATCTCCAGGTCTCCGACTCAGGTCACGGTCTCAAGAAAAAATCCAAGTTCCTCCCTCTCCACCTCAAAGACAATCGGCTGATGGGGAACTCTCAAGAAGGACGAAGACTTTACTGGTTGGAGCTCTGTTCGTTGCTGGGCTTTGCGTCTGTGCGCTGATCCTGTTGAGAGTTCGAGATATTGAAGACTTTATTATTTATTCACCCCACAGCGAGCTTCGACGACGGCTTGCTGAAGCTTCCAGTACTAAAGACTCGGTCACCACGCTGCACTTGGATGAGCGATACGCCTTCGATGGGACTCATTCGGACTTCGCCCAGCAGTTTTATCGACGACATCTAGCTGGGGATGAAGCAGATGCGATCACGGACACAAGCGACCTTGAGGAGGTGGTCAACTACGTCAAGGACGAGTTCGGATTGGCCTTTTCCGATCTCCCGGCGATGCTGCAGCATGCGGTTGTGTGGGATATGGGCTACGTGGCTGCGGCGGCTCTGGGCTACGTCAAGGTGTACACTAAGTGCGGAGTAAAGATGTCAGAGCTGCAGATAACGCGTACTGCGTACAGAAGTACGGGGTGTAAAGAGCAGAGGTGCTCGTCGCCCAACGGCGAGATCTTCTACCAGTCGCTGTACTGCAGCGGCTATCAGATGGGGAACGTTAGCCTCTGTGCTGCTACGAACGGGATTACTCCGGTGCACGGATCCATGTGGGCTAACGGTGGCACGGACGACATGGTGCCGGTGAGCGAGATGAAGCGGCACGAATGGACCGACGCTGGGATCAACTACACCATCATGGCCATCCACCTCACGGGGGACCCGAACAGATACGGGAAATGCGTCATGCCGGCAATGACGGTGCCGTGTGTGGCCTACGATGCAAGCACAGCCGACGAATCCGACTGGTGCTCGCCAGAGCATGGGGAGATAGTACCGCAGTGGCTCGAGCTCCTGAAAGCCGCAAGCGTTGAAGTTACTGAGAGTTCGGGATGGCAAAAAGCTGCTCTACCCGTGACAATCACGGCGTTGGTACTACTACTGCTAGTGTTGATAGCAGTGTTTGTTTTCTGGCTGAAGACTCGCGCGAAATTGCGGGAGACGGAGGATATCCTCGAGCAAAAGCGCGCGATTTTGGGCGGACGCGGCTCCGACGAGTTCTCCATGCTGGACGACATCGACTTCATCCTCGACGCGTCCATCTTCGAGAAGGATGCGAAGTGGGAGGCCTGGATGCCCACACCGATGAAAGCTAAACAGATGAAGAAGAACTACGACAGAAGCAGCGAGGACTACGACACTGTGCTCTTGAGAGGGAGCTTTGACGGCCTAATCGACGTGGACGGCTTCTATCTTCACGAAGGTTCGGCCCACCACCGCCATCTCCGTTCTCCCAGCAAGGCCACAACCGCTGGCTTGACGAGCTTCGCATCCGGTGGCTCTGGTAGTCCACGCAACACGTTGACGCTGACCTTCACGGACCCGACGAACAGCTCACTCTCCACTGATCCATCTTCTGGATCGATAGTGAGTCCCCTGATAGAGTTCCAGAACGATTTGGCAGTGTCAACTCGCCGAGTTCCGTTCGTCGACGTGAGCTTGGTGCGGCTGATAACAGCGGGCGCGTATGGCGAAGTCTGGCTAGGACGCTTGCGTGGAGAGATCGTGGCTGTCAAGCGCCTCACGCGTGAACGCCGTCGCCAGCTCCACGACCTCGAGGTCTTCGCAGCCGAAATTCAGCTCATGGCCTCCTTCGCCCACTCGAATGTGCTTGGACTGCTGGGTGTCGCCTGGAACACGCTTGAGAACATGCTTCTGATCATGGAGTACATGGAACGTGGAGACTTACAGCAAGTTCTGCAGTATCACAGCGACAAGGGTCTAGAGCCTGAGGGCTCTGATTCTAAGGAGTTCTCCTGGGCCTCGCACAAAGCGAAAATCGCTCGAGACATCGCCTGTGGCCTCAAGTATCTGCACGGTTTAGAGCCGATAGTCGTGCACCGAGACTTAAAGTCCAAGAACGTGCTGATCGACGACGCGTACGCAGCCAAACTCAGCGACTTTGGCGTCAGTCGACTACGTCGTGGAGAGGAGACCATGACGAGTGGCGTGGGCACTGCCAACTGGACTGCGCCCGAGGTGCTCGCGGGGTACAAGTACTCGGAGAAGGCCGACGTCTACTCCCTTGGAGTCGTGCTCACTGAACTCGACACTGGGGAGCTACCGTTCTACGACGCGCGAACATCGGACGGCGACAAGATGGAGGCCATCCACATTTTGAGTCTCGTTGTTAGTGGCAAGTTGCAGCCAAGTTTTACACTCGACTGTCCCGAAGACGTGCGGAAGTTGACGCTCGCGTGCCTTAGTCCGCAGCCGGAGTGTCGACCGTCGGCGAACGAGGTCATGGAGGAACTTAACCGCCTGCTGGAGTCGGACGAGGATGGTCGAAGACCCGCGACCGGCGGCTTCGTTTGAACGAACAGTCGGCAGTAAGCTTAAAAAAAGGTTTTCAGCATCTACTCATGGCCGCCTACGACGTGGATTTCGCTGCGCTCGGCCTCTCTCCAGAGCGGTTCGAGGCCTTCAAGACCGTCTTCTCGTCGCTGGACAAGGCTCACACGGGCGCCATCTCGACGAAACAATTGGACGCGCTCTGCTTCCAGCTAGGCGAGACTTTCGACGAAGAGGAGCTCGCTGTCGCCGCTGCGAGTCTCGCAGACCCTCAGACCGGACTCATCCACTTTGCCACTTTCCTGCTGTGGTGGGTCAGCGAGTAACCAAGAGCTGGATCAAAGAGTAGGAAGCAGTCTACACGGATATAATACACTCGAGTGCTTCATTATTCTTCAGCTCTTTGTCTACTTGATCCGCGTGGGTGACGCTGCTGGAGCTGCAGCGAGAGCTTGAGCCACGACCTTCCTGATACTCAGAGCTCGAGTGATGAGTTCACGTCGCTTGGCGCGTGAGTGGAGCAGCAAGTTCCGTTCATGAAGGCGACGCAGCTTTTCAGGCGCTTCAGAGAGCTCGGGGTTGCCGCTCAAGTCGATGACCCGCAGCTTGGGCAGGACGTCGGTCGTTGTCGGGTCGATCAAACGCAGTCGATTGTCCGCTAGCAGCAGCACCTGCAGCTTCCGTAGTCCAGCTCCGACCGGCAGCTTCTCGTCCAAGTTGTCGAACGATATCTTCTCAATGAGGTTTCCTCGCGCGTCCAGCTCTTCGAGTGCATCGTGTCGCTCGAATGTCGCGATCGAAAGCTCGCCCAGACGGTTGTGCGCGACGTTGAGACGCTGAAGGTAGCGCAACGCACCGATAGAACTCGCTGGCAGCTCCTCGAGGGCGTTTTCGCTTGCATTTAAGCTTGAAAGCTGTGGGAACGCCCGAGCTAAGCCGTCAGGTAGGGAGCGCAGTGCGTTCCGACGGATATTCAGGTGGCTGAGGCGTGGGAAGCGTTGCGCTAGTTCATCTAGCGGTGGAAGCTCAGTCAATCGGAGAGACGACAGGTCCAACGTAGCGCCATTGGACTGAGCTAGGCTCGCAGCGTACCGCTCTTCGAGAGCTGTAGCTTGTGCTACCTCGGGTTGCTGCATTGTTTCAGTGTGACAACGTGAGGAGAAGTGCAAACGTGTGTGTGTTCCTGTATTTATAGGGGATAACACATCCAAGGCCCGATGCCACCTAAAGCGTTTTCTGGAAACGAACGAGCTTGAAGGAGCTGTGCTGCTTCTCGCTCTCCTTCTGCTCGGTATACCCGAGAGCGCGGTACAGTTGCTGAGTTCCTTCCATGGCGCCGATCGTCTCGAGACGAATCTCCTTCAACGCGCCGCAAGATGCCACGAACGCCTCGACAGTTCTCACCAAGGCCGAAGCCACGCCACGACGACGAACTGCGGGGGAGACGCTCAGTCGGCAAAGCTCTGCGGTTTGCTGGCCTTCGTCAGTCGTCAGCGGCTTGACACCCACGCAGCCTACAACTTCACCACCAACTTCAGCAACCCAGAAGCCGCTCGTCATAAGGCCTGCACCATTGGGAGTCTGGAAGGCTTGCTGCACGTCGAACATGTCTCCGCTGGGACCTCTAAGGCGATTCGCGACGAATTGACGCACCGCTCGGGACCCCTTAGCAAACTCCAGGTGCGTGCTCTCAAACAGCGAGCGCACGGTGGCCAGGTCATCGTGTTGGAACGATCGGATAATCATCACCTCCGGTTGCTTGTGTTGCTGCGCGGCGCTAGCTGTCAAGAGGTATCGGTGCTGCTGCTCGCGGGTAACAAACCGTGAGGTCCACTGGAGGCCGTCCGTATCTTGGTCCTTGCAGTTGTCGGCGAGGTAAATCGCGTAGTGGGCGTTGCAGAGCGTCCCGTCGACGAACTCGTCGAACGGTTCCAGTGTTGCCAGTCTGCGCTTCTCGTCTGCGGTTGTACAGGCTGCGAAGACACCGTTCATGTCCAGAATGCGGCACCGTTGCCAGTGAACAAGAGCAAGCAGACGCCGAGCGTGATCAGCCGCAGTCCGGAAGCCTCGCGCGCCGCGAAGCGCGCAGCCCTTTACCGCAAAGTATCGCTGCAGCGTCGATCCGAACGCACTGGTGTCTCCTGTGGATTTCTCGTTGGAATCGGCGGCAGGCTTGTCATCACTCTCTTCACTTGCTTGGAGTCCAATGGGGTCGTACAGTGCCATGGAGCTGTTCGGGAAGGCTTCAGCGACCCAGCGAAGGAGCGCCGTGCCTTTGTCCGGCGCCAGATACGACTATCAAACACAATGTCAGTCAGACAACCATCAACACCTACAACACTCAAACCAAAGTCCGCCTTACCACAACGCATTCAGCGAGAACAAGCGTGGGCAGACTACGATCCACCCCAGCAGCACTAAGTGTAGCGTCCAGTCTCTCCTTGTCGCCGAGATCACACGAGATCAACGAATACCCAGCAGACGGCACTCGGCACTGCCACGCCACTTTCCCATCATCAACGGACGCGACAGACAGATCATCCGTGTCCTTCGGGAACAGACCTGCGCGAATGTCGTCGTCGTTCAGAAGCTTCGTCTTCGCCCTCACGATGGCGTCACAGTCCACCTCCACGAAGGAAATTTTCCCAGCAAACGCGCGCTGCTCCAGGAGACGGAAGAACAGCGTGTCGAAGCCGGCACCCAACGAAACGATGTTCACTTCAGCGGATGTTGCATCTAAATTCCACCAAAGCCGCCAAAATGTCAGTTAACGATGAACCAAAACCCCGCAACTACGGCGAAACTCACGCTGCGACAGGAAGAGCTCAACACAACGAGTGATAGCTACGTGCCGCAAGTAATATCCACGATGGATCTGCAGCCATCAGCGTCGAAATCAAGTCATGTTAGCTCCCGGAAACCATAATTTCGAGGTTAAACCTCCTCCAGAGGCCCATATTCGTACCAGAGGTATGCGGCGCGTGGGTTTCTCTACGAAGAAGCGCAGAAATGGGTCCTCGAAGTAGCCGAGCGTCACTGCGGAGCTGTATCAAAGGACACAGGGAGGAATGATACACTGACTTTAGCGACAATTGATGGCGGCTGTGATGCGGTTCACGACTCGTGAAAAGCACTGGGTGATAGTCTGACGCGTGAAGAAACGTACAGCTTGCACTTGACGGCGTCAAAGGCCGTCTCCGTGACGTTATGGTCGCTCGTGCCGCGCCACTCCGCGGTCGACGGCGACGCCATGGCCAGCAGAATGTGGAGTATACGATGTATACGGATATACTATTTGATGTGAATCACATAATAGCACAAGTCACATGTTGCTCACACGTCACATGGTATGGGCGGGGATGACGCCCCACTGACTGCTCAATCGGTTTGGCACCAGCTGGAGGCTCTCAGCCAAGCGAGCGTGCTACAGCTATCGGCGCAGAGTCATCGGCTTGTGAGACTTTCAAATATGTCGGGACCATTTCGCAGACAAGTGAGGTCGAATACGACAACACCCACAAGTCTCGTACACGACGGTAGAAGAACAACTTTCGCTACTTGGAGCACTCACCTAAGGTGAGTCACCTGACAAATTGGCTGGGCTTACGTGTTGATCGAAGTCGCCGCGTGCTTTGCGGGATCCCGGATGGCGCTTGGATAGACCCGTTGGAGCCACTCCGCAAGTATCACCAGGTGCAGGAGTCCGCGTGGTAAACACTGCAAACGCGTCCACAGTGACGCCTCCACGGCTCCGCTCCACTCGAATCCCCGCCAAACCTCTCCGCTCGCAGGTTCGTACCTGGATTCAGTGTCGCACGCTCTGCTCTTCGATAGTCGTGACTCCGGGTCAAGTAGCTCACGATCAATTGCCAATTCAAGACTCACTTTTCGTTTTACCCCAAAGCGAGAAACCAACTCCAAGACTCAAGTCTCGAGCGAACGAACTGCCAGGATCATGCGCGTGAACGCTCTTCTGATGGCCGCTGCTGCGGTAGCAGCACCGGTGTTTTCGTCGGCGGTAACACCACTGTCGGGTACTACAAGTACCAGAACATCCGCTTCGCCGCCGTACCGACCGGTGATCTGCGTTTCGCCGCGCCGGAGCTGCCGCCTCAAGAGAACGAGACCAACACGGGAACGAACCTCGCCGACGCCGACGTCGACTGCTCTTCCACTGAAGACTGTCTGTACCTGGATGTGTGGACCCCCGCCAACGCCACGAACCTCCCCGTAATGGTGTGGACCTACGGCGGTGGCTTCTCCGCTGGTTCCAAGTCGCAAAACACCCCCGAGGGGCTCTTCGACTTGAGCCAAGGCTTCGTGTTCGTGGCCTACAACTACCGTCTGGGCATCACTGGTCTTGGCAATGGCCCAACGTACCAGCACGAAGGCGGCGCAGCCAACCTGGTGGTCTGGGACTCCACGCGCGCGTTCGAGTGGGCCAAGACGTACATTGGCAACTTCGGTGGCAACCCGAACGACCTCACCGCTGTCGGGTTTTCGGCCGGTGGCTCGCAGGCCATGTTCCAGATGACGCGCTTTGGCGGCAACGCCCCGCAGCTCTTTGAGAAGGCGTACATCATGTCGCCGGGCTACGTCCCGGGCGCTGGCCACCACCATGCCAGAACGTGTCGTCGGCTGTGGGCTGCGATGGCGGACACCTTGACTGCCTGCGCGAGGTGGACTTCAGCACGCTCCAGGATGCTGCCAGTGACGTCGTGTCCGACTACACGTACCAGTACCAGCCCCGCGTGGACGGCTACATCATCCCAGACACGTACGAGGCCAGTCTGTACCAGGGCCACTTCAACTTCTCCGGTCCGTGCGTGATCTCACACGAGCAGGACGAGGCCAACAGCCAGGCGTACTCGGGCGTGGACGACGCCGACGACATCCCCACGATGCTTCGCGTCTTCTTCCCGTCCATTACCGACGACGTCATTGACGAGCTGCTGGAGCTCTACCCGGAGGACGACTACACGAGCGCTGGGCTTCGCTTCGCTGACATGAAGCAATCCCTCGACTTGACGGCCAAGAACTTGGCGCTCACGAACGCTCTGAAGAATGAGACCTGGAACGCCGAGGTGGCGCTTGGCACGGCCACGCATGGAGCCGACCAGAGCTACTACTGGTACAACACGTACACGCTGTCCACGAGCTCCAGCACCTCGCGTCGTGCTCAGGCTACAGAATCGGCTAACTCGTACTACGCTAGCGTTTCTGCTGGCAGCGAGGCTACGGGGAGTGCGGCGATGGGTAGCTCTGTCGGCGGCATGGGCAGCTCCACGGGCATGGGCATGGGCGGTGGTGCTGGTGGTGGTGCCGGCGGCGACTCGTCGGTGAACTCGACCGTCGCCATTATGATGCAGAAGTACCTGCTGTCCTTCGTGATCACGGGCAACCCGAACACGATGTGGCCCAACGACAAGATCTACTGGCCGCAGTACAACGAGTCGAGCGTGGGCACGGAGATCGTCTTCAACGACACGTTCACGGTTGCCGACGACGACCTCGCCAATGCGAAGAGCCTCTTCTGGAACAAGGCGCTGTGGTACCAAGCAGGTGAACAGTGTTCACTGAACACTGGGCGTCACTTTGAGCCATACCGGTACATTTTTGTTAGCTCGTAGCGTGAACGAGTGACAGCCTTTCCCGAAGGCATCTAAAATGGATACCATCTTTTGTGAAAGCATGGCTACACTCTTATCGACCATGATTGGCCAGGTCACTTCAACTTCAACATGCCAAGTAACGGTCACGGAGCCTTGCAGGCAGAGAATGCTGCACGTTGCAGCATTCTCTCGACAAATAGCACCATGCTGCATGCCGGTATTACATGTAGTTTCCCACGTCTTGAAAATATCAGTGCGTGTAGTCTGAGAGGAAGACTCGTGAGCTCATACTTCTGGGGCCACCAAGAGTATGTACGGGATAGAGGTTCGATGCAGGCGCAAACACTAGTGAGCTGCAGTTGCCCTGCAATGCTACACAAGTCAGTAGGAGTTGTGGCTTCCGACCTGTGCCACCGGCGCAAAACTGAAGCCGTTGAACTACGTACAGGTATCAGGTCAGGACTGGGATTCATTCAGGAGAGCCGGCGGCGTGCCAAATTCGCGATGTGCCATGCAATTTGCGACAGCTCGACAGCTACAAGGGCAGCTCGCGCGAACTCACAATGGTCTCGACCGGGCTACACAAATTCGAGGCCAGCTCGACGAGCAGTGCCGCCACCAGAGACGGAAACGCAAAGGTCACTACCCCTCAAGTCAACTCGGCGTTTATCCAGCATCCACCACTGGCTGGGAACCAGCCGCGACGCCCAGGGGCAAGACAAGTTCACGGAGCTTGGCGACCCCACGACCATGATCAGCGCGATGACGAGCGCGTGCCCAGCGTATGCACCCTCTAACGATGACCATCGCCCGAACCCGGTGTTGATTGGCGAAAGCTCCAGAGACAAAGACAGGATCTCAATTTCCACCTCAATTCCGGCACCGCTTCCTTCGAACTTGAGAGCTCGCTGCGTCGCAGGACCCCTCGGGTCCCATTCTCAGTCTCCAGCCTTCCCACTCATTCCCGATTCTGCAGCGCTACAGCGCTCAGTGGCTGCAGTCTGCGCTGCGCTGCCGCCTTGCACTCCCGCCTGGAATAGTCGGCGCGCGATCTCGCCAGCGAGAGCGTTAAGAAACGGCCGCGCGCAGCGGATTTCCGCCCAGATTTGAACCGTCTCCGCCGCCGCCGCCGCCGCCATCGTCTCCATCAGTCCGCATTCCTCCTCCCCGTGCCCCCACAGCCAGCACCGTCGTCATGTTCCAGTTCTACTCGTCGGACGGCCCGAAATTCGGCGAAGAAGCGGCCGAGATCGAGCGATTCCGCGCGCGTCACCGCCGTCTGTGTCGCGGCCAGCAGCCGGACGCGACGCCCAGCCCGCAGGTCGAGGACCTGGACGTGGAGGACGGACGCACCCGCAAGATCTCGGCCAAGTGGCGGCAACAGCAGCAGCAACAGCAGCACCAGGTGCCTCCGGTCAGCAGCAACCAGTTCGACGACGCCAGCTGGGCGACGGACGCCGAGATGCACGTGGGCTTCAACGCCTTCGACTTCTCGACGGCACCCGAAGCCTTCTACGAGTCAGAGCAGCAGCAGCAGCAGCAAGAGGAGAGCAACGCGCCGTCGTGTCAGGAAAACCAGGTAGAGCAGGAGCAGGACGATGCTGCCTTCAAGAGCGCCAGCCTGTGGGAACGGAGGTTTCCGGGCGTCCGAAAGCCTGGTGGACCCATTCGACAATTGCCCACGCTTGGACAGGACGCGCTGTGGGGAGGACCCGTGCACTACGCCTCGCAAGAAGCGCAGCGACGAGCACTCTACTACCAGCCGCAGTACTACGCGTGAGGGTAGAGTACTCTCCTTGTCTGCATGGAGCTCTTCATCGCCAGAAGTGTACTATTAGATCAAATGAAATTCGGCGAAGACAGTCTAAAGGTACGATGCATTCAATCACTTGCGGCAGCATTTCTCTTCGTTGCCGGCATTACGACCTTAGTGGACTTGACTACAAGAAGCTTACGGCACTTCGGCGCTGCTGACGAGCACGGGCTGGTGGCGATGCATCACCGACGCGAGGTACACGATGAGAAGCAGCAAGAACGCAATGACGGCGTGACGCGGGTCCTCCTGCACCCACGCGAGCAGCGAGCCGTCCTTCTCGACCAGTTCCTGGTCGCTATCGTACCCGTCGACATCTTCGTCGTCCAGGTCATCATCGTTCGGGGTCAGGTTGGCCACTGCGGCAGCGTTCCCATGGGACTTACGGTCGGTGGCAGTTGAATCGTGGCCGACGCTCGAGCGTTGCTCGCTGTTGAGCGCGCTGGCCGTCGAGCCACTCCTGCCGACTCTGTTGGGCAGCAGCTCGCGGGTGCTGCTGCTACGTCGTCGCAACTGGGAAAAGTTGGCGTCCCAGGACGACCAATTGTCCGTCGGGCCCGCATGGCGCCGCACTTTGCTCGCGTCGATGAGCGATTCCAGCCACTCCTCGCCTTCGTAGATGGTTTCCGTGCGCAACGCCAGAATCTCGCCGTTTGGTTTGATGATCGCAATACGAATGCTGTCGTTCTCGCCCTTTTCCCACGCGAACCGAGCGACATCGGGGCCGCTGTTTGCCGTGATCTCTACGACCTCGCAGCGAGTCAACTCCATCATGTCACGGTACTTGCGCGAGCGTTTGTGTGAGTAGTACGAGAACAGAGTTCCATCCAGCCGGCACCAGCGCTTGGACCAACGCGACGGCACCATTGTGACCTCCTTAGAGCTGCCAAGTCCCAAGGTCTTCTGTGTCTTGCGCTTCTCAAACGAAATCGACAGATACCCGACCTTCACTCGGTTCTCTGGCTTCTGGCGCTTGTAGTTCTCCCGCAACGCCTGAATTTCATCGTGGTAGGTGTGCACAAGGTCATCGCGCGCGAGGTCGAGGAGACTCGGCACGCGTTCCATCAGTTGAGTCCGAGCCGATGGATCCATGGCGTGAAAGCCAAAGATGAGACTTTCCAAAGCCAAATGGAACGGCGGAGGAGGCAGCGCCATCTCTAGCTCGGTGTTGCCACGGAAGCTGGTCACATGGGACAGAGTGCTTTCGGCGGACGATCCAGAACGAGAGGTGGTTGTCGCCGTCGAGTCCGTGCCCCCAGTAGCGTGAACAGTAACCTCCTCAAAAGAGGAGGCTACAGAAGTAGTAGAAACAACGGAGTGGCTGTGCTTCTTGTCGTCCTTGAAGGACCCGCGCTTCTTCACACGCAGAACCATTTTGCCTTCAGGGTCGATGGAGAACCGAGCTTCATCCTTCGGGCACAGCTCGAGCTGCTGATGCTGCTCCTGAGGGTGCGCTTTGTCCCACAAAGACACCATACTATCCAGCGGCGTCTTGATATCCTCAAACGAGTTCGCAAGCGAGCGGAAGCGCATATCGAAATACTCGAGCAGGACACGCAGCTTCACCTTGATGTCCACTTTGAATACCAAGTGCTTTTGGAACTTGCCAGCCGAGAATCGATGGAAGTAGTCGGTATCCTGGACAATGCTACCAAGGGACAATCCCTTGTACTTCAGAAGGCTTTCGCTGAGAGCACCAGGATCCACATACAAGCCCACCGTGAATCGATATTGGTGGGAAGCGTAAGGCTGGTCGAACTCATCCGGCGACACCGAGAACTGGTGCGACCATGTTCCAAGCAACGCGCTGCCGTCCACGACCAAGTCCCCGTTGAACATAACGCTGCTGTCTCGGTCCACCATCGGACCAAAGTGTACCATGAGACTGCGACTCTCACGGCGCAGCATCTCAAGTTCCTGCTCATCATACTCAGCCCACTCATCCTTGGTCGAAGGCTGCCGGTGCATCTTCGGGGGGCCAGTGTGGCTGTGCTTCCTCGCCCTACTGGTTTTACGAGGCTTCGACACGGGGGCGGTGTCTTCGGCCTTCATCTCATCATCCGGTTTCTCCTCGGTCTTCTTAACCTCTTGGTCTTCCGATTCATGGTGAGACTGATGAGACTGGTGAGACTGACGGTTGTTATCGTCGTGACCCTGTTCAGCAGTACCGAAAAGGTCTTCCGCCTCGCTATCGTCTTCGTCGTCGTCGTCATCGTCATCATCATCGTCGTCTTCGTCATCGTCAGACTCGGAGTCGTCTTCGTCTTCGTCTTCGCTATCCATCCCTTGGATCCGTTCATGCAAACTGCCGAAGATTTCGTCTTGAGCGTCCAGCACCTCTCCGCCCCACAGCGATGGCAACCGTTCAATGAGTCCACGCTTCGCATCGTGCTGAATGGAGTTGCTGTCGAAGAAGAGAGCCTGGATGCACTTGCAAAGCGCATGCGATGCGATCGGCGGGTACAGTTGTCCGCGCAGTCGGTACTCAAAGCGGTCGTCCTCGTGTATCCGCATGACCATGGATTCCGCCTTTTTCAACGACTTCTCAATGAATCCGAGAAACGTCTGCAGCGCAGCAGCATTGGGACCCATACGCGGAGCCAACTCGTCGCGCAGCAGGGCTGTCAACACCGACTTGGACACGCGCTTCCTTGCTGTGACCACGAAACTGCGTCGGAATGTCGTATGGAAGAGAATGTGGTCGTAAAACTGCTGATCACCGTGCAGAGTCTTGGCTACCCGACCGTGAAACTTCTCAAGCTCCTTCCCCGCCGTCTCGGGGTCGATGTACATGCCCACAGCCAAGATACGCTCGTCCGTCCAGCCCATGCGTCGCACGATGGGGCCAACACCCACCAGCAGATCTCCATTAGCCAAACTCGGCGGGAACGTGATCCTCGAGTACATTTCCTTCAAGGGCCCGTAGGTCATCCGGGACTCGAGGATCGGGATCACGTCTTCTCCGAACGAGTCGCGCTTCAAGTTGCCTACGTGCTCGTTGTCCAGGAGGTTGTGCGCCATCACAGGCGTCGAGTGGCCGCCTCCTTCTCCAACCTCGCCGCTCTCCCCGTTCGCCAGCGAGCTGTTCTGGTGCACCAGCAAGTTGCTGGCGCTGCTGTCATGGTCGATTCCGTCGTCGCCCATGTCGGGGATGGGGAGGTACGTGGGTCGGGCCCTGCGCTCCGCCTTGTTGTCCGCGGGCGCCTGCTCCACGCTGGCGTGGAACACGTCGCAGAAGACGTCGATCCACTGGTGTCGCTCGCGCTCCGTGGCCGCGGCCAGCGTGAGCTTGGTGTCCTTGATGAAGAGCAGGAAGCCGAACGGCTTGGGCTCGCTGATCATGCGGATGGTGATGGGCGTGTGGGGCGACAGCGGGATGTCGCCCTTGCGGTTGCCCTTCTCGCTGAAGTACTGCAGCCGCGTGCGCTCCAGCACGAAGTCGCGCCACTTCCACGTGAACAGGCGGCGGTCGCGGCGCATGAGCTTGCCGAGCAGCAGCACGCCACCGCTGGCTCCCGCCCCAGCTCCAGCTCCGGCTCCAGCACCGGGGGCGACAGCAGCGCTGCTGCCTGCGGTGGCGTTGACTGCGTGCAGTGGGGGCGTGGCCGGCGTCATCTGTGGCGTGTTGAAGGCCGAGGAGGGGCCCGTGGACGCCGCGAAGCCCGAGGAGGAGGACGAGACCATTTGGTCGAAGACTGCAGAGGCCGAGAGCGAGTGCGGCGCGTCGCCAGGGTCCGTGGGGCGCCTCATGTTGTCGCTGCTGCTGCTGCTGTGAGCCCTCTTGGTCTTCGTGCAGTCGCGCGCGTCTTGTACCGAGAGCAAAGAGGAAGTGGAGCGACCGACGGCGTGGCAAAGGCGATTCCGCGACCGACCCCAAGTCTGACTGTGCGATATCAAATCAAGCCGGACATAGTGCGTACACACGTGTTCGTATGGGCCGTAAAGTGTGTGGACCACTTCACAAACCACCATCACTCGGGGCCATCACTCGGGGACAGTGCGCACTTTGAATTTCATCAGGACATGGCGGAGCAGACGCCGTCGCGCTACTCGTTCCTGGAGATCAAGGAGGCGCAGCGCGTGTGCGGCGAGAAGATGGCGCAGGCGGCGCTGGAGGAGTGCGGGTCGGCGTCCAAGGCGCAGCAGCAGATCTTCCGCGCGCACGTGAGCGACCTCTGCGCCACGGTCTTCGCGGCCGCGCTGCGCAAGTACAACCCGGAGGACAAACGTAATGCATACTATAAGCAAGATAAACAGGAGTGATGGTCACTCCTATTTTGGTACAATGTTGCAGAGGAGGTGGCGCCCTTGGACGAGAAGACGGCGGCCAAGCTCAAGGAGATGGAGGCCAAGCTCAAGGAGAAGGAGGCGGCGGTCAAGAAGCTCCGCGAACGAGTACGGAGAGATGATAGTATACTAACTATGGTAGTAATTGGCGGCTGATGAGAGTGATATTTCTTGCTGCAGGTGCCGAGGATGGCGGCGGCCAATGCGCGTCGGGAGCTGGCCAAGGCTCGAAAGCGCCACGCTCAAGTGCTCGTGACGTACGTTGGCTGAAGCGCTGCTTTTGTAGACTGGAAAGGGGCTGACGTGGGTGTTGTTGCTCCTGCAGGGAGCCGGAGCCGACGGAGGACCTGGGTGTTGAGCTCACGGGGGAGCAGCTGGAGGCGTTGAAGGCGGCGTATGTGAAGGTAGGCTCGGCCCTGGGTGTGTGTTGCACTGGGGAGGTGGTGGGATATTGACGTCGGGTGTTTTGTGATTGGTGGCAGACGGCGTCTTCCATTGCGATCACCAGCGCCAAGCTCTCGCAAGTCATGAGTCAGACGACCGAGACGATCAGCATTGTAGGAATTGGAGCTGCTGGTTTTGGACGGAGACGGGGTTAGTATGTGCTGACAGTTAGTTGTGCGTGTAGGTGGAGCGTGCGATGAAGAGGCCAAAGACGGAGGTGGATATTGCCATGGAGAACAGTCCCGTCAAGGCGAGGGCACTTTTGAACGAGCAGGTATGGGTACTGTATTATTCAGACTGGGGTTGTGCGCTTCCACTGACCGGTTGGTTGCTGTTCGATGTTCACAGGAAATGGACAGCCTGCAGCAGACACCTCCTCTTCGCACACGCCTCGCGCTACAGCTCAGCGCTTCGAAAAACGTGTAGTTTATTTTTTCATATATTCCTATCGCTGAACCTGGCAATACACGATGGTTTTACTTTGATCTGTCCGGTCACTTTTGCTTGCAGGTCTTCGATTCTGTCCTTCGGCGTCATCAGTTGGACGACAATTGCTGGCACGCATGGTAGGTACATCTTCTCACTTTTATCTGCAAACGCGAGTCCAGACCACGTTTGCTGGTCAACATACGAGAGGTCTGGAACGAGCTGGTAGTGATAACCACATGCGGGACGAGAATTCAGCCTGTTGAATTGGTATCCTTTGAGGCTACTGTATCGCCGATGTATCCTCCAACGTTTGGGTGCTGCGCTTCCCAACGCCAGGCTTGCCCAATCACACTGGTCTCTTCCGTGACCAACGCACTTGGAACCGTCATTTCTTCCAACAAGAAACGGGAAATCATACTGGAGCAGGAGCAGCATGCGGTTTCCCACCATTTGATTCAGATCTGGAGCTGGAACGACTCGGTACTTCCCTGGGGTGGCCGGGATCGTCGGCATATTCATCGGTTCTTGCTGCTTTTAAGTTGTGTGCGTTCTCCTGCGAATTTCAGATCTGGATCCATCCATCACAGGGCCATTGCATTGCACCCAAGGATTTGACTAGTTTTGACGACCTTTGCGTTTTTGACACATAACGGTAGTGTACTCCCTAACGCTGACATGTTAGTTGCTATACATGTTAGCTAACTGTTAGTTAGTGTCTAGTATTTTGAGCTAACATGTTAGTAGCGTTAGAGCAAAAGTATGGAGAAGAGTATATGTTTGCACGGAAGGCAGCCGAGAAGGGCGATGTATCAAACTGAACACAACTACAAAACCCTCAAAACTAAGAATTTACCATCCAATCTATAATACTTTGAAGAATCTGCTAACATAGGGAAACATTTGCTGGGTGGAGCTCACATGGGAGGCTGGCACACCACTTATCAGCGCAGACGATGACCGATTTTAAGAGTGAAGACGACTCAGGTGCCTCCTACCTATGTCAAAGTCCCAGTGCAATATAGACACCCAGACCAGCTAGTAAATACGCTTTCGTACAGATTACTAAGTAATCTCCTCATGTACCCATTTCCTCCAAAATACAGTGTAGCTAACATGTGTAGTTTTCAACTAACTGTTAGTTAGTGTCCAGTAGAATCAGTTAACATGTTAGTGGAGTACACTACATAACGGTCAACGTTTTTCAGTTGCTTGAGGCAAGTTTTTTCTGTGAATCGAGTCATTGTTACAAGAGCTTTTTTGATATAACGCGAAAACGATGAGGTAAGGCTGCTGCGGTTTGTTTATAGTCGCCACAGTTCTCCACTCAACAACAACCATTCTTCGTCGGATTAAGCTTCAACTGTTGGCCATTTTGGTGGGGATGTTGTGTGTGTTTGTGCGTGGTCATCGATAACACATCTATCTTAACTGCAGTACCCATGAAGAAGTGGAAAATCCTGTTTTGTTGATACATCCAGGTTTCCTTTGATGATGAAACCAAAAAAAAGGTGTTTATACCGAACTTGAGAAGGATTGAACTTTCTTGTTCGTTGCTCTTTGATCAGTTTAAACCTTTATTTTTAGAGAAAACTATAAAACTAGGGCTACGCATAGGCTGGGATAGCAAATTTACGGGGGCAGCCAGAACTTTCACCACAGCAGTAGTATTACGACGACTATCAAGGCGTGCGAGCGCAACCTCAAAGCTTAACTACTCGTCGCCTCTCTTGCCTAGCAAGTGAGACGAAGAACTATCAGCTTCATGGGCGACCTTTATGAGAAACCTGGAGCATTGAATATCTTGTATCATAGTTAACGTTGCGTTTTGTTTTCTTTGCATTGTTTGTACCCTGAAAATTATCTGTAGACCACGACTTCTAGCGCCAAGATGCGCGCCGTATACCCCCCCCAGCTGTAATACCGCCGCACGTAGCGGTCGTGGGGCCATTAACGTAGTCGTAAGCTTTGAAATTTAAGGATTTCTAAAAAAAATAGTCTGCTCAATGTCAAAGCTTGATATAATTGAGGGCTATACTACAGACATGGAGTAAGTGTCTCCTGCGGTCACACATTCGGTCTTGTAGCTACTGCATTTGTACTTCGTAGTTAAAACTCGTGTTGTCCTCATACCGCTCCAAACTTACCAGACAGTATCTACTTGTCAGATCGCGTTACCAGGCAGATGCTGCGGCTGCGAAGCAGGCGCAGGAGACGCCAATGGGTAATGATAAAAAGCCTGCTATAAACTAAAAACAAAACAACTACAGATACGGTCAAAAGACCCCTATCCTAGCCATTGCGGGGCCCTAGTGCGGAGCTCCGACCCCACCGCTACCTCCGACAGTGATGAAGGCTCCAATTAGCCCTCCTCCACCCCCGCCGCCCCCCATGTCCCCGCCCAAGAAGCACGTGTCTCCGGATTACAGAATGCGGCACTCGTTTAACAAGCCGACTAAGCCGAATGGCGACCTGAACAGCAGCAACGGCAGCACCAAGAAAGCACCAGGTCTGAACCGGCCTTCTGCGTCCCCCACCGAGGGGTCCTACTTGGGGTGGCTAGGTACGTAGGCCGGCTGCTTGGTTTAGTGGTAGAATGTGAAATTGCACAATAGCTGTAGTCCCATGGCGCCTATCAGCGAGACCGAGGTAGACACGGCCTGCGACGTCAACTACAACAGTCAGCCGAAACCACGTCTCGAATTCAGCGTCGTAGTGAACCTGATAGTGGCGAATTATGGCGAAAAACGCGCGACCATGTTAGTGTAGGGAACTTGTGGCTGTACTGAGCAATAGTTCGCGAGATAAAGGAAAAGCAGGGGGATAGGTACGTACGTAGGTGCCGGTTGCTTTAGAATGCGAATGGCTGAAGTCAAGTGACTCGATATCGGACTCAGTTACCAGCTCCAGTTACCGGGTCACCAGGAGAAAGACAGCCAGTGACAAAGGACCACGATACCGGCCTCAGTTTACTGGCTTCAGTTACCGAGGCGCGAATTAACCCGATTTGGGCTGCCTAGCAGCATGACCTATCGGCCACTGCTATCCCAGAAAAATGCCATGATGGATACACATTCAACAAGTAAACTGCTACGGACTAGAAACTTTCGAAAGATCGAATTCAATTGAAGTCCAAGTTGAAATCAGTTTTCGGAACTGGACGATCGAGCCCCGGAAGGGGCTGAGCTGTTGGGCTTAGTCGAGTCACCAGTCCACATTGTAGCGTTCGATTGAACAAGCTAAAGGCTTCTGTCAAGGGAGTTTATTATGCGCAACGGCTCTGGGCGCCGTTGGGCGGCTTGTACCGAGGGTGATCCGATCACCGACATCGTTAGCGTGCTTGTTTGCACTTTTAGGGCAACTTGTTTCCGTACCCCGGCTACTAAAATGTCACGGGCAGTCAGAAACTTGATGATGTTCCTCGAAGACGAGCGCAAGAACAAGATGGACAAAAGAATGCGACGCAGTTTGAACGAAAAGTAGATTATGGGTTGCATGTTATGGAAGCCCGCGCACCCAGAGCTTGAAGCAAACATGCACTGTTGGCGGAACGTGAGGATGCTTCGCTGGTCCATCGCAACGGCATTTGTTGTGGTCAGGAAGCCCATCCGCAAGGTAGTGAACCGTGCTGTCGCACAATCCATCGTAGTTTTTTTTAATTATATTTTTCGATTCCTCCAAGGCCGGCTAAACTTCCTCCACTAGTAGCAGAAGACATCTCGCTTAGCGCCGCGCGAAACTGAAGGAGTTGACCAACTCCTCCATTGCAAGTACAGCGCAAAACTCAATTAAGGAGGCACGATTCACGAGCTGTATGTTCTGGCTAAGAACCCAACTGGCTGGACAGCGTGAAGCAACATTTGTGTGGCATTTTAAAAGTTTCCCCTCGTTTTTACTTCAACAAGAACTGCAAATCTCTGGGCCTCTTGGCCCGGGTCCCCTAATACCAACAGTGATCCAACCAATGCATCCCGGAGTCCGCCTCCATTGAAAGTGGTACAGCACTGGTACACGACTCAAATGGCCAGAAGACGTTGAAGTCGACTGCGTTGAAAGCGGTACCGCACCTGGTACAGTCAACTTGCCAGAAGCACGCCATGCTCATGGGGACAAACGGATTTTTCTCTCGGGGTATTCGAGTGCAATGGCCAGGTATGTGAGGCGTGCTGCGTTCGTCTTCGTCGGTGAGCTTCACTCTGCTTTTTGCGCCCTCAAACAAAGTTCGAATCAAACCGAACGAAGCGTCAACTACACCAACCAACGGCAACTCCGACACGCATGACCATCACCAAGGTCGTCACGAGCGACCTGTTTGAAACGGGCCCAGCGAACCAGCGTCGATTGATTCGCATGAACCAGCGCTTTTCGGGGTGTGGTGACAACAGGAACCGGAAGTCGTCGAGGATCGGATGGTGGACGACCGAAGAGCACGACAAGTTCCTCGAGGCCATGGAGCTGCATCCATTAGGTCCATGGAAGAAGATCGCGCAGCAAATTGGCAGCAGGACCACTCGTCAGGTCATGACCCACGCGCAAAAGTACCGACAACGTATCAAGCGACGCGAAACCCGCAAGACTCGAGGCAAATGTGAACAATTGAAGAAAGGCAACACCGCTACTTCCAAGAGTGAGAACCGTGACGTCATTCACGAAGTCGCAGTAGACGACGAACCCCTGAATTTGTTGCTGCAGCTGGAGGTGATCGCGTTGGAACCGCTGCCCCTCGAGACGACCGAGTCGCTGGCTGAAGAGGTCTCTGCAGCCGACGTCCTGCTTTTTGACGAACTCCAGCACCTGCTTGATTCTGGCATTGGCAGGGATTCGAGGGCTATGGAGCTCGAGTGTATCGATTGTGACGAGCTGGTTGAGGTGCTATTGGTCCCGGCGATCAATTAGGAGTCCGTGAACATGTAGCGCTGACCATCTTCACACTGTACTCTGATCATCTTCACACTGTGATTCTGTTGTTGCGCATTGTTGGCTGTAATCGTCCAATATAACCATGGGTTTGGTAACTTGCTTTTGTGCTCGACAAGTTTGGAGCAGGCGTGAAACTAACAGACACCTCTTTCACCTCATGGTGTGCACCAAGGAGAGGGCACCTCAACGACAAGTTGCCAAGCCTCAAGAGCTTCGAGGAAGCCCCAGCGGTGCTGCCACTTTCCTTACGCTTCTGGTGGTGGTGCTTGGGCTAGACGTGCTGTTGACTTCTGGAGCAAAGGCTGTGCTACCCCTGATGGCCTTTATCGAAACATATCCGACTCGGTTCGCGGCGTTTTATCAGCCCAAGGTAGAAATGTTGGCAGCAATGGTGCAGGATCTTTTCGACGGACTGGAGATTTCGGCGCAATTGAGCGAGGCTTGGGACTTCACTGCTGCGCTGGTCACCCTTGTGTGCGCGCATCAGGTCATCGAGTCCGCGAGAACCACAGTCGCAAGTAGATTAAGGACTTCCACCGAAACAACCTCCGACCAACCCTCGAGCAACCTGTAACGCAGTCAAGACTCGCCATGTCCACAGTCGTTTTCATTGATACTTGCAATATTTCCACGGTACGTCACGCCTTACACGTTCAAAACCTCGACGACTCTTACAACACCCGTCGTCTTTCCTACTCCTCAATTACCGCTCCACCTCTGTAGATCTGCAAGAAGAGCCCCATGACGACAAATCCCAGCGAGATAAACGCGTAGGCGACAAGCACGATGAGCGAGCTCGGCAGAGGCTTCAACAGCATCAGCACGATCCTCAGCCCCGAGTTAGTGTACGGCATGTAGCGCTGGGGTGCGTCGAACAACGCGTACTTGATGAGCACGCTCTTCTTGTGAGAGAACGCGTCGAACGAGTACTTGCCGTGGTACGAGCCCATGCCAGAGGACCCCACGCCACCGAACGGCAGATTCATATTCACCGACTGCATGATGCTGTCGTTTACGCACGCGCTGCCGGAGCTGGTCTCGGCCAAGACGCGCGTGCGCACCTTGTAATCCGACGAGTACAGATACAGCGCCAGGGGCTTCTCGCGTTCGTTCACGAAGTCAATGGCTTCATCCAGCGAGTCGTAGTACACTATCGGTAACAAGGGGCTCAACACCTCCTCCTGCATGACAGCGCTGCGCGTGAACGCCTCCACGTCCTTCTTGAAATTCAGCAGCGTCGGCGCCACGAACTGGTCCTCTCGGTCTTTAGCGCCGCCAAACACGACGTACTCTGCGTCTCTCTCCAAGAACGCTGCAGCACGATCAAAGGCCTTGGGCGAGATGAGTCGTCCGTACGACGCGCTCTTCTGCGCGTCCTCTCCGAAGAACGCGGCGATCTCTCGTTGAATAGCGGCCACCAGCTCGTCGCCCACCTTGGCGCTCACCAGCACGTAGTCCGGACGGAGACACGTCTGTCCCGCGTTCATGAAGGCCGCCCACGTGATGCGTCTCGCCGTGACAGCCACGTCGCAAGTCTCGTCGACAATGGTCGGGGACTTCCCGCCGAGCTCCAGGATCGTCGGGGTCAGCGTCTTGGCCGCAGCTTCGGCGACGATCTTGCCGATGGTGACGCCGCCCGTGCAGAGGATCAGGTCGAACTTCTGCGCCAGCGCGGCCTGCGTCGCCGGGATGCCGCCGTGCACCACGCGCACGAAGCGCGGGTCCATGTACGAGGTCACGAGCTTGAGCAGCAGCTCGCTGGTGTGCACGCACGTGTCGTGCGAGGGCAGTCGCAGCAGGACGCAGTTGCCGGCGCTGATGGCGCCCACCAGCGGCCACAGCGAGAGCTGCACCGGGTAGTTCCACGTCGACATGATGCACACGACGCCCAGCGGCTCGCGCTGGACGTACGAGCGACCCGGGAGGTTGGCCACGTTGGTCCACACGCGCTCGGGCGCCGCCCAGTCCTCCAGCTCCTCCTCGTGCAGCGAGATCTCGCCGCGCACGGGCGCCAGCTCGGAGATGAGCGTCTCGGCCGGCGGCTTGCGCAGGTCGTGGTACAAAGCGTCCTGCAGCTCGCGCACGTTCTCGGCCAGCATGCGCCGCAGCTGCTTGAGCTGCGCCAGCCGCGTCTTGAGGTCGCGCGTGGCGCCGCTGCGGAACGACGCGCGCAGAGCGGCCACGGAGGACGCGACGGCCTCGGCCGAGGTGGGAGGGACGCGCGTGGTGCTGTCGGCCATGGGGAGGGCGAATTAAAGAGTGTGGACGATGTGGGGAGCAGCTCCGACGGAACTTCAACCACGTCACCACGCAATGCTGCTCTGCGGTACATGGATGGATACATGTATCGATTTCGACGGGATGTGTACCTACCAATGCTGCCTGTGCCGCTCGAGTGATACCAGCGTTCATCCCTGCGTTGTGTACGCGCACGTGCACATGTTCCTAGGCCAGTCGGGTAAAACCCTTGCTGCCAGCAAGGCAAGTTGCTGTCGTTGACTTGTTGCCGTTGAGAAGCAACCGTCCCCAGCAAGAAATGTTAGCGTTGTTCGAAAAATACACCGGTCCGACAACAAGAGCAACGAGGTGAACCTCTGCAGCCACTTGTCGAAACACGTTCTCTGCTGCGTTCAAGCTGCATGTAGCTACGCCTTCACCACCCTGTGCTTTCTCCCGGGCTAAACCCTGAAAAACATCAGACCCTACTGGGAAAATGTTGGGGTCAAATTTCAGGTTAAAAATAGCCGAAACAGCGCATCGCTATTTTTGCGTCCGGAGACGAGAAGAGGTCGCTCGCTATCTTTGGCATCTCCTCGCTGCTCAAGCTCCGCCCCCCACCGCAGCCTCACTTCGCCCCTCGCCATGAACCCCAGCAACCCGTTCCAGGACCCGTCCGTGCTGCGCGCGCAGACGCCCGCGACCCCGGGCATGAACTTCTCGGCCATGTCGCCGCCCGCGCCCGTGGAGCCCGTGGGCGGCGCGTACCAGGCGGCCCAGCCGGGCGTGCCCCGCCAGAACCTCATGGACGAGATCGGCAGCCAGATCAAGGCCACCAACAGCCAGACGATCATCAAGGTCATGCGCCTGCTGAACCTGGTGCTGGCCTCGGCCACCATCGCCGTGGGCGTGCTGGCCTGGATCTTCGGCCAGGTCGACACCTTCCAGAGGGTCATCGCCGGCATCTACATCATGTACGAAAGCGGACGGTATTGTCGTGATAGGAAGGAGCTTTGTGACTCACTTGTGCTGTTGTTGCTGCAGTATGTTTGGGTCGCTGCTGCTGGCGTTCGAGCTGCGCACGGAGAAGATCGACGTGGTGCTGCGCAAGAACTTTGGCTTCATGTATGGCAACAAGACGCGCACCATCTTCCTCGTCTTGTACGTCCGTTCGTAGTGATATTTAACTCGTGTGACTTGTGAGGATCATGCACTGACTTGCTTGTGTTCAGCATTGCTATCTGGCCGCTGTCGATGGGCAACTTCTGGCTGACGATCCTGGACGCGGTGCTGCTGTTCCTCAACGCTTTCTTCAACTACTTCGTCATCTCGCAGCACCCGGCCTTCTCCACCGTGCCGCCCGTGTACGACCCGAACCAGCCCCAGGCGGCCTACGCCCCCGCGCCCCACATGAACGTGTAAGCAAACAGAAGATCGACTCTCGACGAGCTCGCGGCTGTCAAACCTGCCCATTAACTTTTTTTATTTCTCCAAGTATTTTTCCTTCCACCAACCTCTCATTGTATTTCCTCTGGTCGTATCCAAACCTGCACTGTATCCATCTCTTCCCCCAAATGGCTACACTTCATCCAACATGTCGCAGGTCGATACCCCAACCACTAAAAGCTTTAGAGCGGACCCCTTGGAAATGATGCAGGGGCCCACGACGCCGGCGGCGACGTCCTCCTCGGGGCGCAGCAAGATCGAGCGCAAGATGGCGCGACTCAACCGCCGCAAGATCGCGGCCGAGGCGGAGCGGGATGCGCTGGCACGCGAGGCGGAGGCGGCGCGCGTGGCCGCCATCAGCCGCAGTCGACTGAGGCGTCTACCGCCGTGGCTGCCCACTCTGCCCTCTACCAACAGCGAGGACGGCGCCGTACTGCGGGACCTCAACGACGTCTCGCGCCCCGTGGCGCTGCGCGTGGGCGAGGAGATGGCCCGCTACTGCGCGTACACGCAGCGCGTGGTGGACGCGGCCCGGCAGCACATTGACGCGGCCATCGCGCACATCGCGGACGGCGTGCGCAAGATCTGGCCGCACGCGTCCGTCATGTGCTTCGGCTCGTACTCGACGGGTCTGTGGCTGCCCAGCAGCGACGTGGACGTCGTCGTCATGGGGCTGTCCAACTCGGAGGACCGGGACGTGCCCACGCGCTTCGTGCCCGACGGCGTGAAGGAGCTCGAGCAGTTGGCGCGGCAGCTGCGACCGCAGCGCAGTTGGGTGCAGCGCGTGGACGTCGTGAGAGGCGCCAAGGTGCCCGTGGCCAAGTTGATCTTGCGTCGCGGCAGCCAGAAGGACGGGGACGACGCCGCGCTGCTGCGCGTGGACATCTCGATCGAGAACCTGCAGACAAGCCACGGAATGGAGGCCAGCAAGCTCGTGCGCCAATATGTGAGCGACCTGCCCAGGTTGAAGCCGCTGCTGATGGTGCTGAGGCAGTTCTTGAGGGAGAAGGCGCTGAACAGCGCGTTCACTGGAGGCTTGAGCTCGTACGCGGTGACGCTGCTGGCGGTGTTCATGATGGAGATGCAGAGGCATCAGGAGGAAGAAGACGAAGAGGTGGAGGGGGTTAGAGGTGAAGGGGAAAATGAGACGGCGGAGCAGCGGGAGGCGATGAAGCTTGGACAACTGCTGCTGGATTTCTTGGAGTACTATGGCACATCATTCGACTACTTCACTACAGGAATATCGCTCAAGCCCGAAGCCTTTGGCGCGTATCCTCTAGCAGCACACTTGTCGATCGCAAACGGCCTGCCACTCATGCCACAGCTTGTTATTGATGATCCGGTGTACAAGAACGGACAGCACAATGCAGCCGCTGGAGCTTTCGCACTTGCTCGCGTCGTGGCCGCGCTAGAGAATGGCTACTTCGCATTGTGGTTTCACCGACCGACCCAGTTTGCACCGACACCGCTATGCCAACTATTGCACTGGTCTGGCCACCAAGCACGGGATGTAACCAACTCGGCAACCACGACCAAATAAGGACAACGCGCCTAAAGTGCTGGTAGGGCCATTGGATCCGGAAGGCAACCACGGGCTGGGATCATGTGCGACGTTTAGGCCGAGCCGATCATATTTACTGAGGTAGGCCAAATGTCTGCCGGATAGATCGAGATCTAGGACATCAATTCCGTCGCAGTAGTAGTAAAGGTCGGCGGGCAAATAGAGAACAGGGATCGCAAAGTAGGAATGATTGTCTATGAATTGCTTCCGCGTACACATTTGATCAAGCCAAGGGCTTTTGTGCATCATGGCGACTCGCCATTGGCGAGCCTGCGATCTCGATGAAGTTGTGTGCCCACTTCAACGATATTGATGATGATCGAGGAACCTCAGGGTGCCAACCAAGGGATCAGAACATTTTCACTTGGCAAGTGAAAAGGTCCTGGTCCCTAGATTGGACCCTGTGTCAGACTCAACGCCCAAGGTCGACTCATAACGATGTGCATGCATGGGGCGATGGATAAAGCGATGACGGAACGAAGATCTGACAGAAAGCGCTAGCGTTAGTGATCATTGCTTGACAGACCACTCTACTGTAGGTGTGCTCTGCACATGTATTTGAATTTGGGCGCTAATCTAAGGTGGTCTGTCAAGCAATGATCACAAACGCTGACGCTATCAGCCAGATCGTGCCATCTTCGTCAGTGTAGTGCAAATCGGATCCAATGATGCCTCCATGATATTGACTGTGAGTAACTTTGTGCATCACCGGCACTGACATTGCACTACGCCGCACCCGTTATGTGCCTTCCGAGCAATGAACCATTTCGCAACCTGCCCCCTCCCACTCAAGCGCGCGTCTCCACCATCAATAATGCGCGGCTTTCTCGCTTTCACCCTGCTCGCAGTGACTCCGGTCTCAGTCTCCGCATCCCAGGCCTCGAACTTCAACGTCTCTCAAGCCACCGCCGAGTCGTACCAATGGGGGGGTGGGGTGAATGCTGCGAAACGTTGCAGACCACTAACGCCACCGACCTCGACACCGTGGGCTCGGACTTTGACTGGGACTTCTACGCGGTCGCCGACAAATTCTCCACGTCCAGACCGGGAGACCTGCTCAAGTTCAAACCGGTGGACCCCACCAACCTCACAACCATCTCGGGCGTCTCCGTCTACCGCATCCAGTACGTCTCGGAGGACTTCGATGGGACGTACGTCCCCGTGTTGGGCTACATCGCGCTGCCGTACTATCTTCCTGACAGCGGCAAGTTCCCATTGATTGCCTACGCCCACGGCACGATCGGAGAGTTCCGAGGCTGCGCCATCTCGAACGGCCCGGGTCTGTTCGACTACAGCAGTTGGAGCCTGCTAAGTGAGCGTGGATACGCGATCTTGGGCACCGACTACGCTGGGCTCGGCACGAACGGGACCGACCACAAGTACTGCGCGTTACCCGCGCACGCCAAGAATCTGTTCCACTCGGCCACTGCAGCTCGCAAAGTGTTCGGGTCGGTGCTAACCAGCAATTGGATGTCTGTGGGGCACTCGCAGGGCGGCGGAGCCGTCTGGAAGCTGGCGGAAGACGTTGAGAGTATCGCGCAGTCTCAATGCGCCGACAATGCGACGCAGTGCACCACCGAACCGGACAACTACCTCGGAACGGTGGCGCTCGCGCCGGCCACGAAGATTTGGGATATGACCAAACTGGTGGCAGTGCAGCTGAAGTCGAGCGCCAACATCCACGCGTACTCTATCGTAAATCTGATCCCCATGGTGGACCTGGCCATCCAGAGGCTGCCCGCGTACAACTCGTTCATGCTGGGCAAGCTCGCATGGGTCTTGCCAGCTTCGCGAAGCTCTGTGCCAGCGGGATGCTCGGACTTACGCTCGATCTGGACTTGACGCTGTACCCGAAGCAGGAGCACTCGGGGGTTCTCACTGCCGCTGCCCCGGACTGGCTCAAGTGGATCTCCGATCGATTCAGCGGCAAAACCACGACTGGATCCTGCACGAAGGAGACCAAGCAAGCGTTTGACAACGAGTACGTCCGCGCGGCGCCAGAGATCGACCTGAGCACGAACAGTGTCAACTAGGTGGGGCCATCGTAGTTGCGCGTTGATGACACCAGTTTAAGCTGGCATCCGTGTCTGATGTCGAAGTTGCCCTAAACTACATGTACTCTGCAGTTTGAGCATTTCTGTTGTTTGCGAAACACATTTTCCTGCGGGCTGTGGTGTAGCAGATGCCATTTCATCCCATCTCGAGGCTATCGACCGACGTCGCAAGGTAAAAATGCCCAGGCTGCCAAGCGCCAAGTCAAGTATCTGCAGAGACAACGGCTCGAGCGACGTGGACTGGAGAGAGAGAGGAGTTCGAGCTCTTAGTCGAGCTGCAAAACCTCAAGGCGAGGCAAACCGGGACGAAAGAGTACAGGCCAAAACGTTTGACGTACGGAATCTGAAAATCGATGGCGTTACTTCAAAGAGAAAAAGCGGAAGAACGGCAAAAGCAATTGAAGGCCGCCATCAACACTCGCGTTTATTGCTCAGGTGACGCAGCTGCTTCAGAGCGTCATGACCAACGACACTCCGTCAGCTTCTCCCAGCAACAGCGGCGAGATCATACTGAAGCTGTTTCTGTCTGAATTGGATTCACTTTACGCCCAAACGGACGACGTCGTTGCCAGCGATATTGATAAGATAACTCCCCGACAACCTATGGCCAGCTTTACGCTAAACTGGACGAAAAGCACATGCAGCACAGTATCGCCCTTCTGCCGCTTTCTTTCCCGAAAGCCATCGAAGTTATTTCGTTCGTCATGCTTTCGGATCCACAAGTTCGTTGTGTTTGCTGCGTACAGGACCCGGAAAACACGTCCGTGGTGGAGTACCGGTTATTAGTGTAGCGAAGAGTCGAATAGCAGTGGAGAAGCGGTGATTTTCACGGCTATCAAGAGGTTCATTGAACGGGATCGGGTGGTGTTTGTGTACCGCGCACTCACGGAAGGCCAAGGCAAGTTTTCTGGAATTTGCTCAGATGAAACTGGGTGGGTTGTTGTTCGTCGTCAGATTGGAGACACAACGCAAAATGTGTGTGACTCGACGATTCTTGAGAACTGCGTGCGCATTTTACCTGTGTGCTGTGGTAGTCCAGTGAGTGTTTGGATGAATTTGCAACTCTGGTGGTGATTCACCACGGATTTCACCACTGGTGAAATCCGTCGAGCAAGTGGTAAGTGAAATAATGAGTTTGCTTGACAGCGTGGCTTTCGGGCAGCTATCATGCTAAAACAATTACGTAGTTAAGGCGCCTTTGACCTCATGCTTGCTCATACGGAACAGAGACATTATTGCCCTTCATTTGGTAATATTCACAATAATTTTACGGAATTTTTCGGGGGAGACAACCACCGAGGTCGTCGAATTTGGTTCACCTTTGAGCAACGACTACGAACGGCAACGTTCGGCCAGGGAGTTGAGATTTAAAAATGCTTGAATTTTCCGTGCGCAGGTTGCTAGGGCCTTATATATTTAATCTACTTGCGACTGTGGTTCTCGCGGACTCGATGACCTGATGCGCGCACACAAGGGTGACCAGCGCAGCAGTGAAGTCCCAAGCCTCGCTCAATTGCTCCGAAATCTCCAGTCCGTCGAAAAGATCCTGCACCATTGCTGCCAACATTTCTACCTTGGGCTGATAAAACGCCGCGAACCGAGTCGGATATGTTTCGATAAAGGCCATCAGGGGTAGCACAGCCTTTGCTCCAGAAGTCAACAGCACGTCTAGCCCAAGCACCACCACCAGAAGCGTAAGGAAAGTGGCAGCACCGCTGGGGCTTCCTCGAAGCTCTTGAGGCTTGGCAACTTGTCGTTGAGGTGCCCTCTCCTTGGTGCACACCATGAGGTGAAAGAGGTGCCTGTTAGTTTCACGCCTGCTCCAAACTTGTCGAGCACAAAAGCAAGTTACCAAACCCATGGTTATATTGGACGATTACAGCCAACAATGCGCAACAACAGAATCACAGTGTGAAGATGATCAGAGTACAGTGTGAAGATGGTCAGCGCTACATGTTCACGGACTCCTAATTGATCGCCGGGACCAATAGCACCTCAACCAGCTCGTCACAATCGATACACTCGAGCTCCATAGCCCTCGAATCCCTGCCAATGCCAGAATCAAGCAGGTGCTGGAGTTCGTCAAAAAGCAGGACGTCGGCTGCAGAGACCTCTTCAGCCAGCGACTCGGTCGTCTCGAGGGGCAGCGGTTCCAACGCGATCACCTCCAGCTGCAGCAACAAATTCAGGGGTTCGTCGTCTACTGCGACTTCGTGAATGACGTCACGGTTCTCACTCTTGGAAGTAGCGGTGTTGCCTTTCTTCAATTGTTCACATTTGCCTCGAGTCTTGCGGGTTTCGCGTCGCTTGATACGTTGTCGGTACTTTTGCGCGTGGGTCATGACCTGACGAGTGGTCTTGCTGCCAATTTGCTGCGCGATCTTCTTCCATGGACCTAATGGATGCAGCTCCATGGCCTCGAGGAACTTGTCGTGCTCTTCGGTCGTCCACCATCCGATCCTCGACGACTTCCGGTTCCTGTTGTCACCACACCCCGAAAAGCGCTGGTTCATGCGAATCAATCGACGCTGGTTCGCTGGGCCCGTTTCAAACAGGTCGCTCGTGACGACCTTGGTGATGGTCATGCGTGTCGGAGTTGCCGTTGGTTGGTGTAGTTGACGCTTCGTTCGGTTTGATTCGAACTTTGTTTGAGTGCGCAAAAAGCAGAGTGAAGCTCACCGACGAAGACGAACGCAGCACGCCTCACATACCTGGCCATTGCACTCGAATACCCCGAGAGAAAAATGCGTTTGTCCCCATGAGCATGGCGTACTTCTGGCAAGTTGACTGTACCAGGTGCGGTACCGCTTTCAACGCAGTCGACTTCAACGTCTTCTGGCAATTTGAGTCGTGTACCAGTGCTGTACCGCTTTCAATTCAGACTCCGTAATGGGTTTACTGGGCATTTCGTGGATCACTGTTGGTCTGTCTGTATACCCCGCCTCCAAAGTGAACGACAGTTCTGACCGAGGATATAGTTTCGTCATCGACGAAATTTCAGCGAGGATGTTAGACTGTAGCGATGAATTGTAACGGAGTACAACGCCGTTGATGACACCTAGAAGGATTACTCTGTGTTTACTTTAGTTCAGGTTAAGATGACGCTAGGTTTACTCTTAGAATGACCGGCTGCAAAAGAGCAGCAACAAAGAAGGAAAACCCGAACTAAGCCAAGCTAAATACACTTTTCATTCCGCTTTCAAGAGAGTAAAGCCTACGACGTTACATGAATGGAGTTGTCAAATCGATCACGATAGCTTCAATTGGGGATTTTGGCGTCACTACGCTGGATGTTGTTAGTATTCCCGATACCTTCGACTTGTCAAAACTCAACTGATCGACTGCATCCCGCTGCGAGACCCATCAGAAGGTTGGAAAGCCAATTACGCGTTCTGGATAAGAGATGTGTTCGACGCTTTTTTGATTTCATTCGGCGGCATTTCGCAAACTCAATCGATGGTTGTGGCCGGCGCCCTCACAAACACTGGAGTTTTCATGTCCTCACTAGCCACAACTGTTGTATATGTACTGCTGACACTTGGAGTCGCAGCGATGTGGCGCTTTCCCGTCCCTTTTGGACTGATTTTCCTTGTGAGGCCTTTCGTCATAATTATCACGACGTTTGCAATGTTGAGCATTGGTCCTCGTACGATAGCAAACTCACCAGTAATTTCCACTCAATTAAAAGCGTTCGCATGGGTCATTGTCAGTGGCAATGGTCTATCCACTTTATACTGCAGCTTTCTATCGACTGTCGGTTTAACAGGAAGAAGTGCTGTCTTGGGGGAGGGCGTGCGGAACTAAGAGTGCCGCCCCCGCAGTTCAGGCGGATGGAAGCTTCCCGAAGCCTCCACAGCCGCCCTACATCTGCATATCTATTTTAACTTGGTTTAACTATACCTACGGTGAGTCGTACCTACACTGACCTCCTATTAGCTTACCTTTCTACCAATCAGATACAGTCGAGGTTCGAGCAGACAGCTTTCGTTTTTGTATTACCCATTATCAAGTTACTGCGAAATCAATCATCGCAAAAGCTGCGGCTGGAGTTCATGAATATGTTGCTATGATTGTGGTTTTCTCGGTGGATGTCTTCAATGTCTACTACGTGGGTATCTGCATGCAGATTTCAAAATCGACGATGACAACAGTCGTGATGGTCAGTTGGATTGCTTCCACGTCATTCTTGGCGTCCGTGCTATCTTTCACCAAGTAAATATCGCCAGGAAAAAGAGAGTATCACGAAAGTCGATCAATACACCAACTATCGACTGCTTCGAAGACTTGCCGACGATAACAAGCAAGCTGCTTCAGGAGTTCCGTGCATCCAAAACAGCAAGCTCTCGGATTCGGGTGTTTGCTCCGTTCCCACTTCAACTATCAGATAATAGAGCTGCAATGTTAGCAGGGATAGCAGATATCGACCGACCGGCCCACGTGCATGCAGTACCGCCGGCTTCCATTGCACCAATAGCGATACCGACCGGTGAAGAGCAGCATGTTAATTCAACTCCCAAATCGTTCAAGCGCGGCCAAGTAGCCCCTGCTAGCTCTACACTCTCATGCCAAACAAAGTTTCCTTCTAGGAAAGGGTCCGGTCCGAGACGGCTTTTGACACTCATAGACCCCAGCACCGCCATTTCAGCGGGTAAACTGCGTGCAGCTTTATCGCACAAAGCAACAGAAACGGCCGTGTGGGATATGCTTCAAGCTCTGTTCCATGCCGAATACCTTCTCCTTGCCGAATACGTGGAATGTGCACTGCCACGTTGTATTTGCTCGTACTTTCCCAGCGACCTGCAGCAAATTACTACGCACAAACGGCAGTGCCTTTCACCAAATTGCTCGGGACTGTGACGAATATTCTGGTGTTTACAGTGGTCGAACTCGTGGGTTTTATGGGTCTTCTTATCGTTTTACGTAAAAAGTTTGGGGTCTCACCGCTGTACCAGCTCGCGTTTGTCTTGGAGACTCATGTTCGGACAGTACGAGGACACTTGTTGGTGTGGACGGTTTTCATTCTACGAATGGCGCTGAAGCATCAAGCTACGCCTTCAACTCATCTCCTGTTATCAGTGATGCGTCCTCTGACGGTATTTCTCATCGTTATTCAGGAGTTGCCTCGGATATTCATCTTGGGTGGAGCAATCTCCATCCTACGAAGAAGTTCTGTAGAAACGCTGTATCCCGTGCATTCTGGATGTCTGTGGACTCAACTGCAGTGACCAACCTAGACGGAGTACTACTTGTATGTCCATAGTTGAAATGCGATCTATGAATTGTTTCCGCTTACAGCACGTGAGTTGCCCCTGTCACGTGAGTAAATGGTTGCTTCTCTAGCTACTGATCTCCTGCGCGGCCGCAGCAGCACGCTGTTCTTCCAGCAACTGCTGCTGACGCTCGATCTCCTCGTAGTCGATGTTGGCCAGGATGTAGATGATGAACAGCGAGACGACAGTCATCTTCAACAACTGGCGCACGTCCTTGAAGGTCAAAGCACGCATGGAGGCGATGAAGATCTTGGGCGCGAACACGAGCAGACAGATCTGATCCCAGGCAAAGGCGCCGAGCACCTCGAGAGTCAGCAGTCCCGTCAGAATGCGCGTGAAGCGCGGGTCGGGCATGGGCACAATCTGCAGCACCTTGTTGAACATGGGCATGCGCTCCGTGCACAGCAAGAAGACGCCCACGATACTGATGCCGAGAGAGTACAGCAGACCCGGGTTCTCCGTCATAGGCTTCATAAACGGCCGGCCCTTGTAGTTCACCGCGCACACACTCACCGTCTGCACGCCATTGATAAGGAAGATGACCGTGCTCATGACGTTGGGCTGGAACTCACCAGGCTTCGAGTGCGTGAGGTCGCCTTCCGGCGTGTACTCCTTCGCCAGGTTCGTGAGGTAGATCATGCAGCCCAGGTGCAGCGCGAACTGTCCGGCCAGACTGGCGAAAAGAGCCGGATGGAAAATGGACGTCAGCGGACGCACAGGCGACAGCTTGTCGAGCGGGGTAGCGCGGCTTAACGTGATGCTGGCCACAGTCGAGATCATGCCCAGCGCCATCATCTGCGAGTTCGCCCACTTGACCTTGTCCAGGTACAGCACCGACAGCGAGTAAGAACTGATGAGGCAGTTTACGGCCAAGATCTGGTACATCTGCATCGTCGTCACGAGCGCACACCGTCCCTGACGAATGATGTCCACGCAACCCTTGATGGAAGGAGCACGAGAAGTGAACGGAGAGGCAGTCGACGCGTCACCCAGCTTCACCATCGGCACCTCGCCATCATCGAAGTCGTCCATGTACTGCGCCATAGCAGCGTTGTTGGCGAAGTTCGCAAAGCCCTTGGATCCGGTGCGCTCCATCTGCAGCTTTTTCTTCTCTTCAGCCTCACGCTTGGCGAAAGCCGCGATGGCTTTCATCCGAGCAAACGACTCACCGCGAGCCTGGCGCGCGCGCACATCGGCCTCCAGTTCCTCTTGCTTCCTGCGCATCTCAGCCATCTGTTCTTCCTTCGTGAGAACCTTCAGCTTCGGGTTCTTCTTAGCCAGAGCCTGCTGTTTCTTCTTGATCGTCTCCATAGCCTTCTTCTTCTGCTCGCTAAGAATGAGCTCCACGTAATCCTGCTTCACCTTGCAGTGCGCCGTGTTCACGTTTTGCTGCGCCAGGCGCTTCTTGAGTGCCGACACGTGCAGCTTCATCAGATCCTCACGCGTGCTCACAGTAGCCACGTTGCCCTTTTGGTACTTCGCCAGGCCAGTCACACTCTTGTCCGCGTTCGCCGATCCGAATCCACCCAGAAGTGCAACGCCAATGTGAGCCTGCTTCAAGGCACCCACGTCGTTGCCACCATCACCGCACATGAGCGTGTGGTGACCGTGAGTCTTCAGCAAGGTCAGCACCTTCTCCTTCAGCTCCGGTGTCATACGCGCATACACGCGAATGTGTTCGAGGTTCTTCCAGATCACGTCGTCCACTTCACCCGCGGCAATGAGGGTCTTACCGTTCACGCACAGGTCGTACTTCTTCACCAAGATCTTAATGTCGCCACTCTTGTACGGTGCCAGCACCGAGTCATCATCAGCGCTAGTCCACTTGAGCGGGTCGCTAGACGATGAGCTCTCGCTCAAAATCAGAGCAGGGCGAGTAATAATGCCCACTTCCTTCGACACATGCACAGCCGTCAGCGTGGCATCTCCCGTGATCATCGAAACCTGGTGCGAGCTGTCCTTCAGGACCTTCAGAATGTCCCCACTGTCCTTGCGCACCAGACACTGGAACACCGCAAAACCAGCAAAGTTCAAGTCGTTTTCAGCCCACGCACGAGGCTGCTGAGCAACCTCAGCCTCCGACGGCCGGCCGTTAATGTCCTTGTACGCAAGGGCAAGCACACGCATTCCACGACGAGCAAGGCTCTGGTAAGTCGGCCAATACCATGCCGGGATAGACTCCGGGCGCATTAGCTTCGCAACAGCCTCAGGGCTTCCCTTCACAAGCGAGCGCACACGCATACCCTTGTCACCCAGGTGCACCTTCGCAACGACGCTCATTCGCTGGAGTTTGGACGCGAAGTGGTTGCGGTGCATGATCTGCACGAAGACATCCTTCTGGTTGATTCCTTGGCCCCAGCGACGCTCACTCGCGCGCTCAAGGTCCTTCTTTGCCTGGCACTGGCGAGTCGCCGCATCGTACGAAAAGTCGATAGCACGGATCGAGGCCTCTTCCACCGGGTCACCGACCATCTTGCCGTCGATCTGAACCAGCGACTGGCAACCAGCAAGCACCAGAGTGGCGTCCAAGTTAGCCGCGATCATCGGCACATGCCCAAGCACATTGTCCTTCGGGGCAGCAGGAGTCGGCGTAGTAGTGTCTTCGCAAACCACACCAACCGCAGTAAGTTGATCCGTGGTCAGTGTGCCAGTCTTGTCGAACAGGCAAATGTCCACCTTGCCAGCCAGCGAAATACGGAAAGGCTCCGTGCAGAAAATCGATAGCTTGACCAGGTTAAGCAGCGCCGAGTTCACAGCCATAGCCGTCTGCATCGGAAGCTCAGCCGGAATGACGCTGGTAATGATAAGCACACAACGCAGAAGCAGCTCGAACGTAATCTTTCCCTTCTGTGCAATGCCATGACGGAGCACGTAGCCCGACGACAGCAGAGCGAAGATAAGCAGCAAAAATGCAAGACCGTACGCATCCCACGAGCTGCCCGTAACCTTGCCACTCGAGAATTCAATCATGCGCACCAGCTTGCCCTGCGATGAGCTAAAGCCCGTGCGAAGCACATACGCAGTGCAGCCGTTGTCCGGAGCGTGCGGGACTTTTTTTATCGGCGTGGCAGCGGCTGGACCATCCGTGGACGTATCCGCCTGCATCACCGTAGTTCCACCGAAAAGCACATGCACCTTGTGACCAGACTTCATGTCAAGCTGCTCCGCCAGGTCCTCGGGGCTCATCTTCGTGCCAATAGCCTCCTTCATCTGCGGCACACTCTCACCCGTCAGCGTAGCCTCGTTGAGAACAGCAGAGCCATCCAGCAGCAAGCAGTCGCAAGGAACCATGTTGTCGTGGTCGCCATCAGTTTCACGCTTCACCGAGATGATGTCACCGGGCACCAGCAGGTCCGAGTTGACCTTCGTCCACGTCTTCTCGCGGTACACGTAGAGCTCGCGCGCCTTGTTTCCCATGCCACGCAGAGTCTGCAGGTTCTTGAGACGACTCATGACCGTGACACCCTCGAACATGAGAATCATACCCAACGTGAACAGCGAGTACTGCCAGTACTCATCCAGCATGTACAGACACACGCTGAAGATCTGGAACACCGTCAGAGGCTCCAGCAGCTGCTGCTTGAACATGTCCACGAAGTTCGGCTGCGGGATGCTGAACTCGTTCTTACCGTACAGGTCCAGCTGCGCCTCGACCTCGCGCTCCGACGTGAGGCCATGGGACTCCAGGTAAAACTTGACTGTCTCAGTCGTCGGCGCCTTCAGCTTGCGGAACAGCACGCCGCCCTTGTCTCCCGCCTCCTCCTCAGCAACGTACTTGTGCTTCTGGAAGAGGAAGTACGGCCGTCCCGCGGACGAGCCATCCGCGTGCTTGGGTCGGGTGATCTCGACGATGCTGCTCTTTCCCTTGAAGGAGCGCGGCATCACCATCACGAACGTGGCCTCGTCCAGAGACGTCACGGGCGTGTACTTGATGAACGCCTTCACGCGCACCGACCAGATCTGGAACAGCAGCATGAGGCCGTGGGTCATGACCGTGCCCAGCAGGTACAGCAGGGGCACAATGGCCGGCAGGAACGGGTTGGGCAGCGGCGGGCCGTCCTCGTCGCGCTCCAGCATGGCCGTGTAGTTGATGGTGGGCTCAGCAGCCGCCGCCTCGCGCACTACTCCCTGGGAGAGCATAGCGGCAGCGAGTCCTCCGTCCTCGCCGGGGGTCGTGACGTCCCCCGAGCCGGGGATCACGATCCCCTGCTCCTCCAGCTCCTTCATGGCCTGGGCGTAGGGCTCGCCCACCGTCAGGAGGCAGTGGTAGAGCGAGAAGGCGTAGAGGAAGAGGAAGGGCACGTGCTCCAGGCCGTAGCCCAGGTTCATGGGGTTCACGCGCCGCCTGTGCAGCGACAGCTTGCGGATGGACTTTCCCGTCCATTGCGGGGGCGCGTCGGGCTTCCCCATGGCGCGCAGTTCGCTCTGCAGGTGACTGGAATGAGACAGAAAGGAAATGTGAGACTTTGGCTGTTTGCCCTTCAATTGCGCGGCTTCTGGGGGGAGTTAGAGCGTGCAAGAGACTGCACCAGCAGCCCCTGCGTGCGGGGAAGAAGCCTGCGCGCAGTGTAGGGCGGGAACATGGCGGGGAGACGCACCTGACGTCTACGGGCGTCTGACCTCGTCGAAATGCGGGAATGTGCGCACTCCACACGTGGCTCGCAAGAGGGAAAATGACGCTTTTGTCACTAGACGAGGGAAGGAGTGATGGTCGTCACTCATTCGAGGGTACTCGCGTAATTCCGATCCAAGTTTCAGCCAATGAGAAGCGAGGCGAACTTCAACGTGCAGAAGAGTGTGGGTTGCACCACCACAACAGGATTTCCCGGGCGTCGAGCATGGAGGCCCCTGTGTGCGTGTCGGTCGTGTGTCGCGCCAACCCTCGAGTGGAGGCGCTGGAGCACGTCGTGCAGCTGCTGACCGCCTACGTCGACTGCTCCTCCGACTGGACGGTGCTGCGCGCGGTCGAGCGCGGCTTCGTGCACTTGGTGCAACGCCTTCTTCAAGCGGATACTCGCCACCATTTGGCCAAACTGGCAACGGTTAGAGGCGCGATCCGCGTCGCAGTTGACACAGGGCACGTGGGGATGGTCCGCGTTGTGGCAGGCATCTACCCGCAGGCTGTACTGGACGAGGTCGCGGTCAAGCAAGCAGCTACGAACGGTCACTTGGATCTGCTCCAATGGATGCACGGCAAGATCGCTCAAGGGTGTTCTGAAGCGGAGAAGCTGTGCAAGTTGCTGTACTCGTCCGATACAATCGCGTTGGCGGCGGGTGGAGGGCATTTGGCAGTGGTCAAGTGGCTGGTTCAAGCGAGAGGGGGCGAGTGCTCGGCTGCTCCGCTGCACCAAGCAGCGAGGAGCGGTCGGCTGGAGATGGTGCAATGGTTGTACGACAATTCCGGGTGTATTATTCTACCTCGTGCAATGGACGAAGCTGCCGGCTGTGGGCATTTGAATGTGGTGACGTTTCTGCATGAGAAGGGGTCTCGGAACGGAGGCAAGAGCAAGTGTACGACCATGGCGATGGTGGGGGCTGCAGTCAACGGACATTTGCAAGTCGTCAGGTGGCTGCATGAGCATCGGGATGAAGGATGTACGACGGATGCCATGGATGGAGCTGCTTGCAATGGTCGCTTGGAGGTTGTGCAGTGGCTTCACGAGAATAGAAGCGAAGGCTGTACAGCGCAAGCCATGAACGGCGCAGCGAGAGGTGGTCACCTAAACGTTGTGAAGTACCTTCACGAGCACCGCGCTGAAGGCTGTACACACAATGCTATGGATTGGGCTGCACTTGAGAACCACTTGGAAGTCGTGCAGTATCTGCATGAAAATCGCTCTGAAGGCTGTTCGCGGCGTGCTATCGACGAAGCTGCGAAGCGCGGCCACCTGCAAATGGTGCAGTGGCTGCACTCAAACCGAACCGAGGGATGCAACAGAGTGGCAATGGATGCTGCTGCCATGCTTTCTCACCTGGACGTCGTGCAATTCCTGCACGCCAACCGACTGGAAGGCTGCACTGTCGCCGCCATGGACGGTGCTGCAGAGTGCAATCGACGAGATATTGTGCAGTGGCTGGAGGAAAATCGCTGGGAAGGATGCTCGATGCGAGCGATGGACCGCGCGGCAAGAAACGGGCATCTAGAAATGGTGCGATGGCTGCATGAGCACCGAGCTGAGGGTTGCACGACGGACGCCATGGACGCCGCTGCTGAAGGAGGTCACTTGGAAGTTGTGAAGTTCCTGCACGCACATCGAGATGAAGGCTGTACACAATACGCCATGAATTCGGCGGCAAGGAATGGTCATCTTGCTACCGTGAAATGGTTGCACGAGCATCGGGCGGAAGGCTGCACCACGACCGCAATGAATGGCGCTGCAGCTAACGGGCACTTGGACGTCGTGCAGTTTCTCCACGGTAGTCGCAGTGAAGGGTATACCTCGCATGCATTGGACGCTGCTGCCGCCCGAGGGGATTTTGCAATGCTCGAGTGGCTTCGTACACATCCTGGCGAAAGCTGTACAGCTCAGGCTTCTCTGTTCGCTATTGCGCACGACCACGTTGAAGTGTTGCAATGGCTCCGAGAGCATTTCCCGAGTACGCTGGCGGGCGCGGAGGACCTCTACGGCACAGCCCAGTACTTCGGCCGAGTGCACATTCTTGCCTACCTGGACAATGCTTGGGCGGTTGCTTGATTGGCCCATGATTGTTTGTATTTAGTGTATTGTGGTTAGTGTGTAATGAACGTATTAGCAATTCAATCTACTGAGGCAATGGTGTCCATTGCATGTATCTACGCAAGACAGGGAGCTTGGTGTGAGGCAAGCAGAGCTGGTTACAGTTGCAGGGGCTCAAGGTCGGACCCCGGCAGCGACACGTCCACGCTGTCGAACATGAGGTCGGAAGCAAGTTGAGCCAGGAAGTCGAAGTCCACATCCAAGAGAGGGAAGTGGCCGCTCGATGGCAGCTCGTCCGCGAACGTCGCGGTGTGAGCACCTCCGTTCGTCAAACAGATGCCAGCTTCAACTTGGATTTCTCCAGTCGCAACAGCTGGGGGCATTGGCATTGGCATGGGCGACACGACAACGGATAGGACTCGCGCCTCCACCTTCTTCGCGGCAGGGCGAGGAGCTTCGCGTACGGTGGTGGTGGCGGTCACGCTGGCCGCGCGACGCTGCAGGCGCTGTCGGTACTTCTGCGCATGCGTCATGACCTGGCGCGGCGTGCGCGTGCCGATGCATCCGGCAACGCGCTTCCAGGGACCCGATGGGTACAGCTCGAGCGCCGCGAGGAACAACTCGTGCTCCTCGACTGTCCACGTGCCCAGCGCAATGGGCGAAGGATTTGTCGCTGCCGCCCTTGCCTTGGCCTTAGCCTGCTGCGGAGCGTGGCGCATCTGGTCCATGCGGATCAGTTGCGGGCGGTTCCGAGTCGTCTGGAAGAGCTGGCGCCGCGTTGACTCGGTGATGGTCATGGCGGTAGCGCTGAGTTGAGTTGGATACGGCGGCAAAGAGGCTGGTGAGTTGGGCCCTTTGCTGCTCGATGGAGTCGGCGTTGAACTGAGCCGAGCAGTGCGTCCGACCGAGCAAATTGCCGAATGACACGCTTGGAGACCGCGCCTCAAGTCGCGCGAGGGGGTGTGAAGCTACTCATCGGGCTCATAGTGGGCGTCATATGCGGAGTGGAACGGCGACCTGCTGAGGAATTTTCTCGCGCCCCAAGCAGCGCCTCGATTTCCCGGACAGCGCGGCCCCGCGTGGTACAGTTCACTTCAGAGTTGGCGCCTGCGTCCGAACAATTGTCATGTTGGACTTCACAGCTTCAAACGGCGCCGAGGCCATGGTCTCCACCAAGCAAGAATCTCGATGCAAGATCATTGCCAAGATCAGAGCCACGCTTCGTTCGTGTATGTTCGGCCTGGTTGAGTTCGTCCATCAAAGCAATTGAGCACTTCCAGCACTGTTGACACGCAGGCCTATTTCGGGCCACCGCGGGTCAGAAGGCAGGGGCGTCCGTGCCTCTTTGACCCGCTAGTATCATTTCAAGACTCGACACTAGCGGGCCTCATTGCGTTAGTGTCGCGGTGAGTTTAAAATGGCTCATGTGATGGGTCCGCCAGCAGCAGATGTGCATCTTCCTCCATCAGGTCCAGCTCCACGAGGACGTGAGCACAGCAGTGGCGGGCGTCGACACTCCACCGGCAGCAACAACCGCATCACGTACGCCAAGACATGGGCGGAAGATGTGCAGAATTACCACGTACGACCAAGCCTACATGGAGTTTGGTGGTCGTATCGGATATCGTAACACGCTGGTTAATCTTTCTTTCTGGTGGTCGTCGTCCACAGGCTGCCAAGTCCGTCCTGCCGTGGCTGCCGGAACAGCAAAAGCCGGTGAAGCACGTGACGCGCTACGAAAAATCCCGCGAAGAACGGGAGTACGATGTCGTGCTGGGACGCTTCCGCGACGAAGACAAGGAGCAGGGCTACCAGCAGCGCGAAGGCCTCGATGTGAAGCGCTCGCTCGAAAAGGGCCGGGTATGACTCGCAGCGTTCGCTGCTGCAGCGTGGAAGATACCAACGCTCACCTCCAATATTTCCCTCGTGTCTTTACCCTTCCCAGGCCAAGCAACTTCGAACGATACAGCGCTTTCACATGATCACCAATGCCCCCATGTACCCCGGTGCAAAGGACCCAACGGACAAGCAGCCAGTGCCCCACCCGTATCGGAAAAAGAGCGCAGCCGAGTACAACATAGTTACAAATATTCCCTACAACGGCACAAGTGGAGCGCCACCTTCAACCACCGCCTCGCCGTCTCGCAGGCCGTACCGAGAGTTCAACATCCTCACCAACAAGTACGCAGCCCAATTTATTTGCATTACATTTATCTAGCTCTAACACTTTAAACTGTTGTGAAGGTATCACGATCGCCACGACGACCGCTTCGAGCAGGAGGCAGTGCAGGCCAAGCGGATAGCAGCCCAAAAGTACTTCAAGACACGCACATTCGACCCGGTTCGCATCACGTACGTGGATGAGGAGCGCGAGAAGGAGTTTCTAGTGCGACGACACGAAGAGCAGCAAGTTCACGGCAAAGATCGAGTGTTGATGCTGCCGCCGCGCGAGCAGTTCTCCGAGGGGCGGCTCTACAACATCCTCAACCAGCGCGTCATCAACTCAGCCAAGTTGGCCACCATGAACGAGAAGGATCAGCGCGTGCTCAACAAGATCAAGAAGACTGCGTACGAGACGAAGATGCGCGAGGTCGGCGAGAACCAGCAAGCCCGAGAAACGGATCTCTGTCTCAATCGATACGCCCACGAACGCCACATTGAGAGCCATGTCCACGGATATGATGTGCTCTCGAACCAACCTTACGTTGGCCGAGACGCCAAACCCATCGTGTACCCGAGGACGCACGCACAGCTATCAGCGTGGCAAACCATTGAAAGCGGTCTACTGGTAAGGGACAGAATTGCTCCGAAATCGTCACCCTCGGCTGCTGCCGTCGCAGCCGCGAGACCACCGTCAAATCCAGACTCGCGACTCGTTGGCGCTCGTGATGATGCCCAAACCGGCGAAAGGAAGCCCAACATCCTGATTGTCGATCAAACGCCAGGGACTGCGCAGGTACGCTGCGATTTGCTGCCTACCGGATCGGGTGTATTTTGTTCTAACCTTTTCTTACTGCACAGAGTTGGAAGCTGCCTGAAGGCGCTCGATCAGCCGTTCGCACGGGCGGATTTTAGGCTTAACGATAAATATCCACACCATAATACTATCGAGGTCGAACCGACTTGATGGTAGATTGATCTACTCGTGTTCAGAGAGCAAGCCCACGACGACTTCTTTATAATCTGGCCGAAACGAATCTGAAGCGAGACGCTGCCTACGAGAACACTAATAGGAACAATTGTTAATGAATTGGCTGGAGCTTCCCTTGCTGCGACGAAATACAGCACCACCAGACCCGTTCTTCCGATTGAAAAGACAGCCACTCGATAATGCATTAAAAGTTTGCAGGCTCGTACCGTAATATCTTTATCCAAGATGAATATCCGAGGCAACTCCTGAACAATGAACGAAAGTATACCGTCAGGAGCACGAATCACTGATAACAATGAGCTGAATGGAAGCTTACCTTGATGCTTAAGCGCCATTCGTAGAATGGAAACCGTCCACACCAACAAGTGTCCTTGTACAGTTGGAACATGCGTCTCCAAGACAAACGCGAGTTGGTACAGTGGTGAGACCCCAAACTTTTTACGCAAAACGACAAGAAGACCCATAAAGCCCACGAGTTCGACCACTGTAAACACCAGAATATTCGTCACAGTCCCGAGCAATTTGGTGAAAGGCACTGCCGTTTGTGCGTAGTAATTTGCTGCAGGTCGCTGGGAAAGTACGAGCAAATACAACGTGGCAGTGCACATTCCACGTATTCGGCAAGGAGAAGGTATTCGGCATGGAACAGAGCTTGAAGCATATCCCACACGGCCGTTTCTGTTGCTTTGTGCGATAAAGCTGCACGCAGTTTACCCGCTGAAATGGCGGTGCTGGGGTCTATGAGTGTCAAAAGCCGTCTCGGACCGGACCCTTTCCTAGAAGGAAACTTTGTTTGGCATGAGAGTGTAGAGCTAGCAGGGGCTACTTGGCCGCGCTTGAACGATTTGGGAGTTGAATTAACATGCTGCTCTTCACCGGTCGGTATCGCTATTGGTGCAATGGAAGCCGGCGGTACTGCATGCACGTGGGCCGGTCGGTCGATATCTGCTATCCCTGCTAACATTGCAGCTCTATTATCTGATAGTTGAAGTGGGAACGGAGCAAACACCCGAATCCGAGAGCTTGCTGTTTTGGATGCACGGAACTCCTGAAGCAGCTTGCTTGTTATCGTCGGCAAGTCTTCGAAGCAGTCGATAGTTGGTGTATTGATCGACTTTCGTGATACTCTCTTTTTCCTGGCGATATTTACTTGGTGAAAGATAGCACGGACGCCAAGAATGACGTGGAAGCAATCCAACTGACCATCACGACTGTTGTCATCGTCGATTTTGAAATCTGCATGCAGATACCCACGTAGTAGACATTGAAGACATCCACCGAGAAAACCACAATCATAGCAACATATTCATGAACTCCAGCCGCAGCTTTTGCGATGATCGCTTTCGCAGTAAACTTGATAACGGGTAACACAAAAACGAAAGCCGTCTGCTCGATCCCCGACAGACGATAGAAAGCTGCAGTAAAGAGTGGGTACTGCACCTTGAGTGAAGACAATCCACGCATGGGCTTTGAGTTGACTCGAAAGAACAGGCGAGTTTGCTATCGCTCTCGGCCCAATGATCGAGAGAGTAAATACCGTGATAATTGTTACGAAAGGCCCCACAAGGAAAATTATGCCAAAAGGAACCGGAAAGCGCCACATCGCTGCGGTTCCAAGTGTCAGCAATGCATACGCGACCGCAGTACCTACGGAAGACATCACCACTCCACAGTTTGAGATAGCTCCTGCCACAATCACCGCTTGGGTTTGCATGACGCCACCAATTGAAATCAAAAAGCCGTCTAGCACCTGCTAGATCCAAAACGCGTAGTTGACTTTCCAACCTTCCGATGGGTCTCGCAGCGGGATGCAGTCGATTAGAACCGATGCTAGTATTGCGGGGAGAGGGGTCAGGAAGCAAACAGCGAGAACGCGAGTTACCGGTGTGCGTTCATAGTAATCTCGGAATGCAAGCAAACGCTCAACAGAGTATTCGCTGCGGTGTCCAATCTGCCCCAAATGCCAGAATGCTCGACACGGTGATACAAGCGTCTCCGTCAGGTCCGCTAAGGGATGGAGAAGTCTGGTCCTTATTGAAGGTCTGATCTTGGATTGATAATGCTTCATGAGTTATGTCGTGCAGCACAGCGACGGTAGCTGAGTCAATGTTGCGTGAGCAACCTACGAGTAGAAAGTTTATTATTGTCCACCTTAGTCTCCAACACCCTTCTTGGAGACCCCAGAAGCAAAAATAGGCTAGACCAAGCTTCCTGCGGTTAGAGTAATTCCTGCTTCCTACCTGCCGTGAAGAGCAGTGCTAATAAGCTTTCTGCCGGCAAAAATTGTTTTTCGTGAGCGGCGAATGGCGCGGCATTTGTCGCGCGTAGATCATGCTGCGCATCACTACATCGTGTGTATGTGCAACTTGCGTACTGATGCCACTCACTCAACCATAGTGAAGATAGTTCAACAGTAGATTTGCATGGTGGTAAATCAGCCAGGATAAAGGTCTTTTGGCTACTGTAGATGAATATCCGACGCCACTCCTAAACAATAATGCATATGAAGTCAGGAGCAAACACGAGTAGCAACGTCGAAGCATTTCCGCAGCAAATGAACGTACCATTGTGTTTCAGCGGCATCCGTAGAATGTACACAGTCCACACTATCAAATGCCCTTGCACCGTCCGAACATGGGTCTCCAAGACAAACGCGAGTTGGTAGAGCGGTGAGATCCCGAATTTCTTACGCAAGAGTACGAGGAGGCCAACAAATCCCACGAATTCGACCATTGTAAAGATGACCCGACCAACTTGTTGAAAGGTACAGCAGTTTGTGCATAGTATCTTGCCACCGGTAGCTGAGAAAGTGCCAGCAAATACAACGCATAGAGTAGTGGCAGTGCACAATCGATGTATTCGGCGATCAGCAGGTATTCGGCATGGAACAGGGCTTGAAGCATATCCCACACCGCAGTCTCAGTCGCTTTATACGATAAAGCTGCACGCAGTTTATGCGCTGAAACGCTCATGTTGGAGTCCATTAGTCTCAGGAGCCGTCTGGGTGCGGACACTTTCCTGTTGGCGTTCGTGTTTTGGCGCGAATTCAACAGAGGAGGGCCTGGGGTGGCAGGAACGACTTGATTGTGCCTCGGCATTTCGAACGTGGAGTCTAAGAAATTCTTGCCTTCTGCCACATTGAGTTTTTGCGGGCCCTTTTTGTCGTCAAGATTTGCAATGGAAAGCGACTTTAGCGTCAACCCCCTCACTTGCAGTCTGAATTTTGGCGATGGATATGCGTGGGTCTGGTGGCTGAGTGTTGCGATTTCTGTCAACATCGCAGCTCTGTCGTCCGAGAGCGGAAGTGGGAACGGAGCAAACACTCGAATTTTACAGCGAAGGGCGTTGGAAGTGTGCAATTACTTAAGTAACTTGTTCATCATAGTCGACAACTCTCCGAAGCAATTGGTAGTTGACTCGGTAGCAGATCGATTCACTTTGCTTGACAGTCGTCTCTTCCTCGCGATATTGATCTGATGGAAGATCGCTCGAACGCCAATTATGACGTGAAAACAATCCAGACCAACAATCCTACGTGCCTCCAGCAGCCTTCGCAATCACCGTTTTAGCTAGAAACTTGATCAGAGGCATGGTGCAAACAAACGCCTCTGCTCGGTCCCGGATAACCGATAAAAAATCGCAGTAAAAAATGGGTAGGCCATTCCCACGACCCCCTGAGCCACACCGATCCACGCGTGTGCCTTCAGCTGGCTAGCAAGCAAAGGGGATTTCGCGATCACGCGAGGGCCAATAACCAGGTACGTCAACGTTGACATGATGGCAATGTATGGCACAATGAGGAATATCAATCCAAATGGGATGGGAAAGCCCCACGTTGCTGCGAATCCAATCGCCATTACAATGCAGACGCTAGCAACGCTGAGGGATATATTAAGACCCCAATGTTCGAGATGGAGTTCGGTAAAAGTGCCGCTCAAACTTGCGTGATGCTACCCAACGAAACCACAAAAACGTCCAACAGCCCACGGATCCAGAACGTGTAGTTGGCTTCCCACCCTTTGGACGGATCCTCCAGCGGGATCAAGTCGACCAGAAGAGTCAATAGTATACCGGGGACAGGAGTCAGGAAGCAAACGGCGAGGACGCGAGTGAGTGGCGTGCGCTCGTAGTAATCCTGAAACGCGAGCATCCGCTCGACGGAGTATTCACTGCGGTGGCCAATTTGACTTCAATGCCAGAACGACAAGAGCTTGTGGTAGGCTCATGTGAATCGGTTGGGTTTCTTCCTAAGTGAAAAGTGCGAGGTGCGTCCGATGGTCCGATCCTAGCTTGATGGAGGCTCATGTTTGTCTTCACGCGCTCGGTGCAGTGGGCGGCTCTGTTGGTGACAATCCTCTTTACGAACTGAGCTTAACGAAGGAATTCGTGTTGTGCAGCGATGGCATCACGCGTATTTCCGTCCTCTTGACGTGGGCACAGTCTTATCATCCCGATTTGGGATGATAATAACTGCAAACTTCGTCATGTGTGCATGGCAACCGTCCACAAAACAGAATTCTGTCTGACCCCCCCCCCCCCACACACACACACTCCAATTGTAGAATGTGTTCTCATACACTAGTTTCCGCGTCTCATTCTCTCTTCGAGCAGTACACACCCCAGCATGGAAAAGACTCGCTGATAATAAAAGTAATCATTCAACTTCCAGCTTCCCGACCGGGATATAAAATACTACCATTGTACATGAAGCTACGACGTCGTGTTTCACGGTGGCTTCGTCGTTTGAATGCTTTGGTACAGTCGCCGTGATTTTGCAGGCGAAAAGGGTCTCAGACCCTTAGCCCGTGGAAGCTCCAGACCTCGATGGTCTCGCACTTGAAGCTTTCATAGTCGACCAGCGGTGGCGAGTCGAACGTGGTACAGGCGTGAGTGAAGCCGCGCCTGTCGTCCAACTGGAGGCACAACGCGATTCCCTTGTTGCCCCCACCGACAAAGATGGCATCGCGTCGCGTGTACATGAACGAACTGTCGATGCCCGACCAGTCGTACACGTTCATGTGCGGGCTCAAAGAGAACACGAACGTCCGGCCATTGCCGAAAAACGTCTTCGATCTCTTCCACGACGCTGGGCAGAACGCTCCGAAGATGTTCTCGTGCTCGTCCTGCACCACCAAGATGGTCGGTCCCTTGTTCTCCAGCCTCGAGAAAAAGCTCAAGAAGTTCCAGCCGTGCACACGCGTGGTGAAGTTCAGCTCCATTTGGTTGCACGTCAAATAGTTGGGCAGGTGCTTCCACAGGAACTGCATGTGCTTCTCCGTGAGGAACGCGGACTGATGGCCAGCCAGAGGGCGTCCCCCCGTGGGGCTCTCACCACCCGCCCACAGCTTGAACTGGTCCAGAGCTCCGATCTTTGCAGCAAAAGCCCTGAACTCCCTCGCGCGCTCCTCGTTCTCGTTACCAGGGGCCGACGCCTTCTTCGGAGATAGACTCGCTGTCTCCGGCTCAATGAAACTCTGCGAGACGAGCGACCCGGGGTTGCTCACTTTCTTGAGGGCTTGCTTGGGCGCCTTCTTCTTGTACTCCGGCGACGGCGGGAACATGGCCTTGGCGATGGACTGCGACGCGAGCTCCTTCTTGGTGCTGAAGAACTTGGCCAAGTACTTGCGGTACGCCACTGGACGGCGGAAGCGTAGCGTGACCGGCGCGTGCAGCTCGGCAATGGCGTCAATAACGTCATCAGGCGACAGCCGCGACGTGGACGAATAGCCGTTGACAGCCATGATCACATCGCCCACTTGCACCGTGGGGGCGTGTTGCTTGGGGTCGTACACCTCCACCGATCCGTAGAGCCGCGTGCTGGGCGCCAACGCCAGATGCAGCGGCGTGTCGTTGAACGTGACGTCGAACTCGCCCATGTCGGACAGCTCTGGGCCTGCGACCTCCTTCCCGTCTTGATCCAGCCCGCTCACCACCACAGCGCAGTCGATCTCCCTGATCTCCAACGCCCCTGCAATGCCCGCGGGCGGGGCTTCATGGATAGTGACAATGTCCCTGTTCACCAGCGCCTGGGCCAGCTCCCTCGCCGTGTCGTTCTTGGCCGACTTGGCGTTCAGAGCCAAGTCGTGCTCCAGCGAGCGTCGCCACTGCATGGACGACGCCCTGGCCACCACTTTGGACGGGTAGCAGTGCGGGTGGTAGTCCATGGAAGATGGGTACATTGCCGTGGACATGGCTCTCGAGTCGAAGGACCCGTAGACGTCCGGGTTCCGCAGCGTCATGACGATGGGGCACGCGCACTGTCGTAGGTACGCGGCGAGCCGCGCGCGTGGCAGCTGCGCCACGCGGCGGCTGAAGTTGATGGCGACCAGCACGTCGCCCCTGGCGATGTCGGCCTTGTCGCGCAGCTCCCCGTGCTTGCCCACGAGCGGCGCGGCCTTGTCGTCGTCGTCCGAGGGCTCCGGGTCCTGCACGGAGCTCACCTCCCACGAGCCGTAGAGCTGCGAGCTGGGCACGAGCCCCACGCCCAGCGGCTTGCGGCGGAAGCACACGTTGTACTCGCCCTCGAGCGGCTGCGGCACGTACGAGGGCTCGCTCTCCCTGCTGTTGTTGTTGCTGGTGTTGTTGCTGTAGCCGGGGGCGCGGTCGTTGACGTCCCAGCTGCGACGCGTGGAGGCGCCGCGCAGCTTCCGGCGCGGCGGCGTGGGCGGCCGCTGCTCGTCGAAGATGGCGCGCACGAGGCCGCGCATGGTTAGCATGGTGCTGGAGGGGATCTGTGTATTAAGGTTAGCAAGTGGGGGGGGGGGGGGCTCTGGGTTTGACTAGCTTTGGGGCGATGTCTTGCACTTGCACTTGCGCCCTCGGTTCCTTTTTTAGTTGTGAGCGGACACTTGCGCCTGATAAAGTGACGTACTGTATCGCTTGAGGTTGCGAGAGAAACGTGGTGCGTTATATGGTAGAGCGACCAATCAGGACAGAGCTACGGATGCGTTGCCGTATTTTTCAATCGTACCGGTGGAGACTTTGGGCTCACGATGATGATTCCTCTGTGCGTCCGTCCCGTCAACACAGACATGAAGCAGGAAATGAATGCACATCGAGTGCTGTCCCATCAACAACACACGCTAGGAGTGTTTGCTATCTGCCATTTCGGGGCCTCTGCGAGGCCGCCTCCCCGCCCAAAACGTAGGTAGATCAAAACTTCGCTGGAAGGACGAGAGCCATTCGTCGGCTGGAGATTTTTCTCCGTCGGCACGACACTCTTCTTGTCGGCCAGCTGCTTGAAGCTGAATTGACCTCCGCCATGGAGTAAAGAGCTTGTAGCGAACAGATAGATACATCTGAGTTGCGCGATTAATCGTACGCAGCCATTCATCTCCAACCTGCAGGAAAGGCCGCATTGCAATGCTGTGCTGCAAGTGTCGACCGCATTCCGGCTTCTTCAAGAGCTCAGACGACCGAAACGTGGCATCGGACGGAAATTTTCAGCACTAGAAGCAAACGAGAGCCCCCTCCGCAACCAATGTGCAAGCCACAATACTACTTGCCAAACAACAACAAACTCTCGCACTTCTTCCGGGAATTTGAACACCTCGTTCTATGCTGGCCAGCGTCCGCATTATTTTCGCGTCGTGTTGTGGTCCTTATAATCTTTAAACCCACGGTACGCAACGGCAACTTGAACAAGGAATGGGCGACCCGTTACGCGCCAAAGTTTCCGGACGCGACGATTGCTGCGGGTCCGGCGGTCTCCATGGCGCTAACGGCGGCTCGAGCCGCTTGCCTGCGCGTCGATGCGCTTCCCCACGTGCTGCTCCTGGTCTCGCAGTACTTGGACGCATCGGCGCAGTGGTCCCTGCCTCGTGCCGCCCAGCGGGGCTTCGTTCACCTGGTGCGGCGGCTGCTGGCTCGAACCCCTCGCTCCCTCGCCACGCTGGCCGAGATCCGCCTTGCAATGCGCCACGCAGCGGCCAACAACCACCTGAACATACTGCAGTTACTATGCAAATACTACAACAATGCTGTGATTGACGAGGCAGCAGTGATGGAGGCGAGTGCCAATGGCCACGTGCAAGTGTTGCAATGGCTTCAACGTCAACTTGAGAGTCTGTTGCCTGGGTACGCAGACTACGACTTTTACAGTGTGAAGAGCGTGGCTGCAGCCGCGGAGAACGGACACTTGGAGGCGGTTAAGTGGCTGTTGCAAGCTCGAGGCGCTGTGAAATGTATGAAGGAGACGCACCTGCACCAAGCCGCCGCGAGAGGAGGCCACTTGGAGGTCGTCAGATGGCTACGCACCCATTTGATGGAGCAGGTCGAGTCTCGAGCTTTGGACGAAGCTGCAGCAAATGGGTTCGTGGAGGTGGTCGAGTTCCTGCATCAAGAGTGGACGGCGGCGAAGCTGGAGAGCAATCGCGGCAGTTGCAGCGCCACGGCGAGAGCGATGAACGGCGCGGCGAGCAATGGACACTTGGGCATGGTGAAATGGCTAGATGAGGACCGCGATGATGGATGCACTGGTGATGCCATGAACCGAGCAGCTTGGAACGGGCACTTGGAAGTTGTGAAATGGCTACATGAACATCGAACCGAAGGATGCACGCAGCAAGCGATGAACATGGCTGCGAAAGGCGGACACTTGGAGATTGTGCAGTTCCTCCATGAGCAGCGGAGAGAAGGTTGCACGTACAACGCGATGGACTGGGCGGCGCATGAGAATCACCTCGAAATTGTACAATGGCTGCACGCGAACCGGACTGAAGGGTGCTCGCGTCTCACCATGAATGAAGTTGCTAAGCGTGGACATTTGGAGATGATCAAGTGGTTGCACGCCAATCGCACTGAAGGCTGCACTGTTGCTGCGTTGAACGCCGCGGCGACATACGGCCACCTCGATATTGTGAAGTTTCTGCATCAAAATCGGTCCGAGGGCTGCACCACCGCAGCTATGGATGGCGCGGCGGAGAATAATCACTTGGCGATTGTCCAGTGGCTTCATCTACACCGTAGTGAAGGCTGCACGACACGCGCGATGGATATGGCAGCACGTAATGGCCATTTCGAGGTAGTGCAGTGGCTTGACAGCAACCGCACTGAAGGGTGCTCGGTCAGCGCGATGGACGGAGCAGCGGAGAACGGTCACTTGGGTATCGTTCGCTTGCTTCACTTGAATCGTACCGAGGGCTGCACTCATCGAGCAATGAACGGAGCTGCCAGAAATGGGCACCTCGAAGTCGTGAAGTGGTTGCACGAGAATCGCTCGGAAGGCTGCACCTCGGATGCAATTGACGATGCTGCCACGAACGGACACCTAGAAGTTATGCGCTTTTTGTACACGAATTGCGGGCAAACCGGTACCATGCGCGCATTGGATGCGGCTGCTGCTGGAGGGGATTTCCCAATGCTGAAATGGCTCCACTCCATTTACAGCGACGATGCTGAGGAATGGCCGATACATGCAGGGCTTGCGGCGATTACGAACGATCGCGTGGAAGTACTGCATTGGGTACTGAAAACCTTCAGAGGTTCTGCACAGTTGGACCTGAGACTTCTCTACAATGCTGCGCATTACCACAACCGGGCGCATATGCTGGCGTACCTCGACGGCAAATGGGCAATTGAATTCTCGTGAGAGTACAGTAAACTCTGACGTGCGGAACCCAGGAGAAAATTCTGACGGATGAGAACACTATATTTTCAGAGCCTGAAGCGTGTGTTTAGCTGTTTGCACCGTTCGAAATAGCTGCATGCTGAGCTCAAGCTCATAATCTCGGCACTCGCTTTTTTGTTGGTATGGCATGGTCTTCGTGAAGTTAGAGGCTGCTTTCATCTGAATCCTGGCTCTGTATGCGAGAAACCTTCGACCTAGAGCTCATCTTTTCGGTTGAAATGTATGGAATCGATAGCCTTGGCTCCGGATCCGCGGCAAGTACGTGCTGCCGCAGAAGTTGGAATCGATTTCAAACTCAAAATAGTACTGGGTTGGTTCTCCGGAACTGGGGGTTTGAAAATAACGAGCCATGATAAGACTGCATGCATTGTGCACCAGCTCTAAAATGTTATCCCTGTCGTGCCAGCGAGGGCTATTCCGATTCTAGCGGTGGTCGACGTTAAACGCTTCCTCTGTGACCTACAGGGGGCGGGGCTCATGACGACCAGGAAGATTATCCCTCTGGATGAAGGGAGAGATAAAATGCCAGGCCCGGAAGACTATGCTACTACCCAACAGTATTCAGATGAAAGCCTACCGATTCAGAGTGTCCCAGGAGCAGTGCCAGCCACCCCTCCCGATGCTCAAGAAACTCAACGCGAGAAGGTTTTGGAAGCTCCGTTATCCAACCACACGCCCCGGACTTCAGCGCGAGTGAGCTTCGATGCAACAGCAGTCGACAAGCCCGTTAGAAGACGCACGATGCGCCAGCGAACTGCCTCCAAATTGGCCTCTGCAGTGTCAATGCAAACTTTGATAACGCCGCTGCCTTCCACCAAAGCCGAGCTACTGGCCAAGCAAAATCAAGCCATTGCGAACATCAAGCATCCGTCCATGCACATCACGAGAGTGGAGAAGGTTGCGTACGAAATCGACCAGTACATCTCGACGCGCAAGGGGCAGATTTTCACGCTCACCGTCGTAGGATTAATACTGATTGCAATTGGAGGCGTATTCTTGAAGGCGGTTCAACCATCAAGAAAGTTTGGCGAGACGGTGTGGGAGTCCTGGACGTATTTGGCAGACACAGGGTCGCATACTTCGTTGACTCAGGACGTACGTATTGGTTTGCATTCCCCAGCAATCGTGACCTGGTGTCTGATTGATTATTTTCATGCTATTACCTTGGCAGGGCTTGCGCGTGGTGGGAGTACTGACCACTTTGGTGGGCATTCTCTATTTTTCCATTGTCATGGGGTTCGTCGTTGATGGTATTCGAGGAAAGCTCGACACCCTGAAAAAAGGCAAGTCCATTGTCGCCGAAGAAAACCACACGGTAAGTGGAGGCTCGCTTATTTGTTTCGTTAAAATGTTGATACAGCTAACAGTTTGTGGACTATGGTCTTTTAGCTCCTACTTGGATGGACCGAGAAGTCCATCTCATTAATCCGGCAAATCTGTTTGGCGAACGCAAGCGAAAATGGCGGTGTAATTGTCGTTCTAGCTGAAATGGACAAGGAGGAACTGGAAGCGGAGCTGGAGTCGCAGATGCGCAAAGAGGAACTTCGAGGAACGCGCGTTATCTTCCGCACGGGTACACCATTACTGTCCGTCGACCTGCTCAAAGCATCGGCCCATCGAGCGAAAAGCATCGTTATCATGGCAAACTCCACGGGCGATGCGGATCGATCGGATGCTGCGGTACTGCGCACCGTTCTCAGCCTCAAGACCCTACCCGAGGTAATTACTCTACGTCATTGCTACTTGTACAGCTTACAAACCCTAATTTCATTGAAATATGCTATAGCTGGCTGGCCATATCGTAGCAGAACTGCGTGATATTGACAATGACCCGTTAGTTCGTCTTGTCGGAGGGAAAGAGGTCGAGATTCTGGTATCCCACGACATTATCGGTCGTCTGGTGCTCATGTCTGCTCGATCCCCTGGCCTCGCACGAGTATATTCATCCCTCCTCGGCTTCGAGGGCAACGAATTCTACTTTAAAGAGTGGACGGAATGTATCGGCGTAGCGTTTGGAAGCCTCACCGAGCGCTTTCCGAATGCGATTCCACTCGGTATCAAACGGAAGAACGGCGAGGTATTTATTTGCCCAGACGCAGATCTCATCTTAGAGAAGGGAGATCAAGTTTTGGTTTTGGCTGAGGACGACGACACGTACAAGGCGTGTCCCCCAGTGTCGATTGAAGTGGGGAAGGTTCCTCCACCTCCGGCTAAAATGCCCACGAGTGAGCGGATTCTGATGTGCGGCTGGCGTCGAGACGTTCGCGATATGATCCAGTTGCTGGATGCCATTGTGGAGCCAGAAACCGAGTTGCACATCATCTGCGAGGAGCCGATTCATTTACGCAACAAACTCCTGCTCGAAGGAGGGCTCACGGTGGATAACCTCAAGAATATCAAACTCGTGCACTACGTCGGCAACACGGCGATCCGCCGACAGTTAGAGAAGCTGCCGTGGCACTCGTTCACGTCCATTATGATCTTGTCGGACCAGTCCCGGGAGATGGACATCATGCACTCGGATTCGCACTCGCTGGCCTCGTTATTGCTGATCCGCGACCTCCAAGCGCGTAGCTCCAGTCGTAACAGCGTCATCCAAGGAGCCCCCGGCTACTGCAAATGTATCAGCGAAATTCTGGACCCACGCACGCAACGAACAATCTCCACGAGCGCTACGATTCTCACACTGTCGGAATTTATCCAGTCGAACGAGCTGGTGAGTTGCATCCTTGCAATGATTTCCGAGAGTCGGGATGTGCGCGTGGTCCTTGATGAACTTCTAGGCCCCCAAGGCGCATTCTTTGAGGTGGAGCCTTCGTCTCTCTACTGTGATCCGAACGAGAGAGTTTCGTTCTGGCAGTTGGCTAAACGTGCCATGGTACGGGGGGATATTTTGTGTGGCTATCAAGTTCGAGGTGCGGATGACACTGTGCTCAACCCGGGAGCTAAGAACCAGCCCCGATCATGGATTAACGTCGATATGATCGTCATCCGCAACGAAGACGATGGATTCGCAGCCCACGAGTCCTCGCTCGTACCGGTTAATTCAGAAGACTTTGAACGAACTACGCGCAGTCGGCAGATGAAGGCGACGTATTCGAGACAACGGCTGCTGGACGCCATCGCGCAGGAATCCGATCTCAACAGCTTCACCGGGTTGGGGGGTGAAGCTGATAGATCTACGATTATGCGGGCGCTGTATTCTTTCGACTCGGAAGATGATGATATTGGGGTGAGTGTGGCTAGCAGCATGGCGGATGTGCTACCGGCGCAAACTCAGCAAGTGAGCGTGCGTGCGCTGGTTGCCGCGGCACGAATTCTTGCAGATGCACTCGAACAAGCCAACATCACCCACATAAAGAATGCCTGAGCCTTTTGCAAACTTTACCATCTATAGAATCACTTTGAAACGAGATCCTACTGTACAGCAAGATCGTGATAACCCTTGTGTTCGTACTTGGGTAGGCCACGACACTTTCATCGTTCTACTACAGTAGGAATAATAGATCAGTATGGACTAAAGGTGGGCATATTGCCGTCCACGCGACACTGTACAGCGCCGGAAACTGACGAAACAAACTGTCGAACTCGTGTCTCTCTTCCGTGCTGTTTGCTTCCCTACACTAGGTTCTATATGCAAAAACTTCATGAATGCGGTATCATTTTCGCGATGGTAGCCTCAGCAGCAGTCCGTAAACTATTCAATCGCGAACATTCACAAAATCTTGCAATCGTAACTTCCCTCCATTCGTCACGATATAAGCTGTTTCGACTTGACTTTCACCTAAAATTGAACCGAGTAGCATCGCAATCGTCGCCTCTTGCCATTGCGCCTCCTCACCATTTTTTCATCTCCCGACTTGCACGACCGGGTGTGTCGCTATTTAACTGACCGTCCATGAAGATATGAGCGCGCAGAAGGTCATCCCGGGTCTTGAGGAGGTCATGGCCGACGCACCGCCGGATGTCGAAGTGGCACAGCCTCCACCATCTGCCTCCTTCTCCATCTCGGCGCCGGTGCAGCGCAAGTCCGTTATGCCAAGTCAGCCGAGCAGGTCACAGATGCTGGCGAGGATGCCGACGAGCAGAGCCGAGCTCCTGGCCAAGCAGAACAAGGCGATTGCCAAGCTCAAGGTTCCGCCCAAGAAAATCACCCACTCCGAGTGGATCGCGTACCAGATCGACCAGTACATTTCAACGCGGAGAGGGCAGATTGCCACCTTGTCGCTGCTAGGAGGACTGCTCATTATCATTGGGGCGATTTTTCTCAAGGCCGTGCAGGTGACGAAAGCGTTTGCGGAGACAGTGTGGGAATCATGGACGTACCTCGCTGACCCGGGAGCTCACACGGGCTTGACCATAGATGTAAGTTCCATTGATAAAGGTGTTACCGAGGCCATAACAACTTACCACCTCTATCTTGTGCAGGGTGTGCGCGTTATTGGAGTGCTGACGACGTTGGTGGGCATCTTGTACTTCTCCGTGATCATGGGTTTTGTGGTTGATGGAATCCGGGACAAGATGGACATGCTCAAGAAGGGCAAGTCCAATGTTGCCGAAGAAAAGCACACCGTAAGCAAACGAAAGCGAATGTTCTGTTACTACTGGTTAGCTTACACTTTTTTGTCTCTCCTACAGTTGCTGCTTGGCTGGTCGGACAAGTCCATTTCACTGATCCGACAAATCTGCCTAGCGAATGCCAGCGAGAACGGCGGAGTGATCGTCGTCCTTGCCGAAATCGACAAAGAGGAGCTGGAGGCGGAGCTCGAATCACAAATGAGGAAGGAGGAGTTGCGCGGGACGCGTGTAATTTTCCGCACGGGAACGCCATTGTTGTCCGTGGACTTGCTGAAAGTATCCGCTCATCGAGCGAGGAGTATCATTATCATGGCCAACTCAACAGGAGACGCAGACCGGTCCGACGCCGCGATTCTCCGTACAGTCTTGAGTCTCAAGACACTCCCAGAGGTGCCGTATTTGATTACATTCCGTGTTAGTATCACACTATCGCGTTTGACTAATCTTCTTGTGTTTGATAACCTGGCGGTAGTTATCAGGTCACATTGTCGCTGAGTTACGTGATATTGACAACGATCCACTGCTTCGGCTCGTTGGAGGGAATGATGTGGAAATTCTGGTATCTCATGACGTGATCGGTCGTCTAGTGCTAATGTCTGCACGCTCGCCTGGTCTCGCTCGAGTGTATTCAGCTCTGTTAGGGTTTGAAGGCAATGAATTCTACTTCAAGGAGTGGCCTGAGTGCGTCGGAGTCCCGTTTATGGAACTGGCCGAACGTTTTCCCAACGCAACGCCACTCGGCGTAAAGCGGAAAAGTGGCGAAGTTTTTATTTGTCCGAGCGCAAACATGAGGGTGGAGGAAGGAGACCAGATTTTAGTGTTAGCCGAAGACGACGACACGTACAAGGCGTGTCCCCCAGCATCCGTTGAGGTTGGAAAGGTACCCGTTCCTCCTCCCAAGCCTCTGACAAGCGAGCGTATTCTAATGTGTGGGTGGCGTCGAGACATTCGCGATATGATTCAGTTGCTTGACGCTGTCGTTCGGCCAGGGACTGAGCTGCACATGATTTGTGAGGAGCCGATCCACCTGCGCAACAAGAGTTTGCTCGACAGTGGCTTGGATATCACTACCCTCAGGCACTTGACGGTGGTACATCACATTGGGAATACGGCTATCCGCAGGCAGTTGGAGAAGTTACCGTGGAGCACGTTCACGTCGATCATGATTTTGTCGGATCAGTCACGAGAATTGGACATTATGCACTCCGATTCGCACTCACTGGCATCATTACTGCTAATCCGTGACTTGCAAGCTCGCAGTCTGAAGCAAACCCATGGCCAGTCGCCCGAATCCGTTCCAGACTATTGCAAATGTATCAGCGAAATCCTCGACCCACGGACACAACGGACGATCTCCACTAGCGCAACTATTCTCAAACTTTCCGAGTTTATCCAGTCGAATGAGCTGGTCAGTTGCATCCTAGCAATGATCTCCGAGAGTCGGGACGTGCGCGTAATACTCGACGAATTGTTAGGCCCCCACGGAGCGTATTTCGAGGTAGAACCTTCGACTCGGTACTGTGAGAAGACCGAGAAGGTCTCCTTCTGGCAGTTGGCGAAGCGTGCCATGACTCGAGGCGACATTCTCTGCGGGTTTCAGGTTCGCGGCGAAGAGAGCACGGTACTAAACCCGGAAGGCAAAGACCAACCGCGAGTATGGGGTAACGTCGATATGATCGTGGTCCGCAATGCCAAGACAACCATAGCCACACGCAGATCGTCGCTTGCTGCTGTGAATGCCGAGGACTTTGAGCGCACGACCAAGAGCCGGCAGGTGAAGGACCAGATCTCTCGTCAGCGGCTCCTGTCGGCAATAATTCAAGACGCCGACCACGGCGGGAAAACCTCCGGCAGCGATACGGACCGGACGGCAATTGTACGAGCACTGTCCACGTTTGCCGAGGAGGAAGAGACCGGCACCGGAGGCTTTGCCGCCCACCCGGCCTCGTTCACGTTCGGCCAGAAGCGGCAAACCAGCGTCCGTGGTCTCATCGCTGCCGCTCGGATGCTGGCCGACGCACTAGAACACGCCGAGAACAGCAAAAGTATGGGCAGCGAGACGTGTGACGACGTCGAAGAAGCTGTGTTCGCGTTCATAAGCACCGACAACACGTAAAGCATACCTTTTTCGTCTTCAACGTGCATGTAGCCATGACGAAATGGCTACAGCTGCTCGTACTTAGTGTATTGCCACACCAAAATGATGGGTGGTGTGTCCCACACATTACGCTAAACATTTTTCACTTGAGTTGAGTATGCTGGAATGTTCGAGAAAATTTCCGCAAAGTACCAGATCTGTGCGGCTTCGTCTCGCCGCTAGCCTTTGGCTTGGGCACACACAGCCAAAGTGGAATTTTGACTGGGGCTCGCGGCTTCCAGGGGGGTACAGTACACACGGTACACTCGGCAGGTTAGGTAGCCATCATGACGGACGCGACCGCCGAGGAGTTCAAGGCGCAGGGCAACGAGCTGTACAAGCGCGGCGACTACCAGCGCGCCATCGACAAGTACACGCAGGCCATCGACGCCGCCCCCACGGTCGTGGCCTACTACGGCAACCGCGCGGCCGCCTCCTTCATGCTGGGCAAGCACAAGGACGTGGTTACGGACTGTAACCGCGCCATCGTGTTCGACCCCATGTACATCAAGGGTTACGTTCGCAAGGCCAAGGCGCAGCTGGCTCTGGTACGTCTCGTTGCAGGCAAAAAAAAAGAATATTGGCATGGGTTATGACAATATTTTTTTCATTATTGGTTATTGGCACTTTTTGCCATGGCGAGGTTAAGGTAGTGCTAACCGTGAGGATGATGGGTGTTGTTGTTTATCTTGTTAGGGCGACAATGACGCCGCTATGAAGACGTACCAGGCGGGACTCATGCGCGACCCGAACAACGCCACGCTGCTGAACGAGAAGCGCACGCTCGAGATGGCGCTGGACAAGCTGCAGCGCGGCAAGGAGCACCTCGCGGCGGTAAGTGTTGCTGCAAGATACATATCTTTTATGACAATAATTATTGTCATCATGAAAAAAACTCGTTTAGACGAAGTGCTAACCACAGCACGACGGCAACACTAACTAAAATTGCAATATTGTCACTTTCCCCCGATAATTGCAGGGCCGCTACTCGCAGGCGGTGAACGTGCTGGACGGCGCGGCTCAGGTGTGCACGGGCTCCAGTCAGATCAAGCTGCTGCGCGGCGAGGCGCTGATCGGCGCCGAGCGCTACGACGAGGCCTTCGCCGTGCTCACGCAGCTCATGCGCACGGACTCGAGCTCGCCGGAGCTGCTGTTCCTGCGCGCGCGCTGTCTGTACTTCCAGGGCGAGTTCCCGAGCGCCATCAAGCACCTGCAGCAGGCGCTGCGCTCGGACCCGGACAACAGCAAGTGCATGAAGGAGATCAAGCGCATCCGCCACCTCGAGAGCAGCAAGGAGGACGCCAACAACGCCTTCAAGGCCGGCAAGATGGCCGAGGCCGTCGAGATGTACACTTCGTGCCTGACCATCGACCCGCAGAACAAGGCCTTCAACTCGAAGATCCACTGCAACCGCGCCAACGCGCTGTCCCGGCTCAACCGCCACGAGGAGGCCATCAAGGACTGCGACAAGGCCATCTACTACGACCACGGCTACGCCAAGGCGTACCTGCGCAAGGCGGCGTGTCTGAAGGCGCTCGGAGGCTTGGAGAACCTGGAGCAGGCGCTGCGCGTGTACGACCAGGCGTCCAAGCTCGTGGGTGACGACGCCCAGCGCGACATCCAGAACAGCATCCGCCAGACCAAGCTGGACATCAAGAAGGCCAAGCGCAAGGACTACTACAAGATCCTCAACGTGTCGCAGAGCGCCACCGAGGCCGAGATCAAGAAGGCGTACAAGCGGTTGGCGCTCAAGTTCCACCCGGACCGTCACGCCGGCAAGTCGGAGGAGCAGAAGGCCGAGGCCGAGGCGGCCTTCAAGGACATTGGCGAGGCCTACGCTGTGCTATCAGACGCGCAGAAGCGGCAGCGCTACGACTCGGGCGTGGATCTCGAGGACCTCGACAACGACTTTGGCGGAGGTGGCATGGGCGGCGGCATGGGCGGCGTCGACCCCTCGCAGATCTTCCAGGTACGCGTAGAATTCTCCGGTTGTGACCTGTTGCAGTGGTGGACATATTTACTCACTTATTCTTGCTGCTTCTTGTGTGTAGATGTTCTTCGGCGGCGGCGGCGGCATGGGCGGCATGGGTGGCATGGGAGGCATGGGTGGTATGGGCGGCATGGGAGGCATGGGCGGTCAGCGATACCACTTTGGCTAGAGAGACAACAAGAGTTGCGAGTTGGTTGTGTGCGCGCACGCGTGTACCCGTAGTGGTTCGTTCGGATACAGACAACATACATCAGACAGGAAGTTTAAGCCGGCGAGATTGCCCCTCGCCGCATTTGACGATAATAACTGGTTCGTACATGCAGCGCGCGCATCGGAACTTGCGCTCACCTTAAACCAAACTCTGCTCACTCACTTGTCCTGCTTGAAGCTCGCTTCAACTGCGATGTGGCGTACACATCCTGAAGTACGTATCCGTGTCTCTCGCACCCCCTTGTCCCCATCCAACCGTTTGCACCGCATTGAGACCGTCACTAACGAACCTGATAACAGTCCTCAATCCGTAGTCATGGCAGGCAACACCAACACGAACGCCGACTCGCAGAAGCGACTGCGCACCAACGAGGCCGGCGCGTCCACTGACGCCGCCGACGCCCAATGGGTCAATGAGTACAAAGGCCACACTCTACCCGAAGCCAACTGCGACATCGAGCGCATTCCAGTGAGCAGCGTCACGCCCGAGCAGTTCTTCGCCAAGTTCGTGTGCACGCGCACGCCCGTGGTGCTCACGGGCTTCCTGCAGGACGAGGACTTCATCGCCCCCAGCAAGTGGTCGACCTCGGACGACCGACTCATTGAGTTGGCGGGAGACACCAAGCTCACCGTCGAGCGCCGTGGAGATGTCAAGGAGAAGTTCGGCAAGGGAATCGCAGTGGAGATGCCGTTCCGCGACCTGCTCAAGCTGATCGAATCCGGGGACGAGATGCACTACTTGACCACGCAGGAGGTGGCCTTCGAAGAGGACGGACGCCCGGAGATCATGGCCCCGTTCATGAAGAAGCTGCAGCAGGACTTCCCCGTGCGCCCCAAGCTCATGGGCCAGTTGATCCCGCAGAACATCAACATGTGGATGGGCAACAACAAGCACGGCTCCTCCACGGGGCTGCACCACGACCACCACGACAACCTCTACATCTTGATGCGCGGCAAGAAGCGCTTCCGACTGTACTCGCCTGGAGACGCGGACAAGATGTACGTGCGTGGGCGCATCGCGCGCGTGCACGCCAATGGACTGATCAACTACGTGGGCAAGGAGACGACTCCGTACGGAGCGGAACCTGCGGCGGAGCGCGAAGCGCTTGCAGCCATTGAGAAGAACGAGGCGGAGAAGGAGTTGGCCGAGGCGGAGCAGGCCGTGGAGGCGGGTGAACCCGGAGCGGAGGCGCGGCTTGAAGCGGCCGAGGAGAGACTGGAGAAGGCCATGTTTCGCGTGCTCCAGGCGGATAACAGTGATGGTGAAGGTGACGAGGAGTATGAGGACGGAGCTTTTCACTTTGAGGACAGTGAGGCTGAAGGGGACGACGAGAGCGAGAATGGAGAGCTGGATGAGTTGGCCCTGGACCCGGAGGAGGAGGAGGAGAAGAAGATGAAGAAGGCGGAGAAACGCGATGTCGGACAGACGGAGATCACGTACCCCGTGAGCTTCAGCCAGGTGGACACGTTCCGGTTGCGGGGCAGTGAAGAGGAGCGGAAGGAGCTGTACAAGGAGTTCCCCAAGTTCAGTGAGGCCAAGGCGGCGTTCTGCGACTTGGAGGTGGGGGACATGCTCTTCCTGCCTGCGTCCTGGTTCCACGAGGTTGAGTCGTTCGGATCAGCGCAGGGTAACGGCCACTTGGCGCTGAACTACTGGTACCAACCTCCGGACCAGCTTACGCCTGAGAAGTTCACCTCGCCGTATTCATCGCCCTTTTGGGAACGGGATTGGGAACAACGCTTTGCGAACAAAGCAGAAGAGTAAAACCACGAATGACTGTCGACCGCTAGCTGCTAATGCAAAACACGAATATATTTGAATGGGCCAAGCCCTCATCCTTCAAACCCGAATGAACTCCCAGACCCTGTGCTAAGTGTTGTTCGTAGTCCTCGAAATCGTCGATATCGAAGTCAAACTGCTGCAATTCCATAATAATGGGGTCGTCTTCCAACAAACCAAGCGTCTCAATCGTTGCTCCTCTCTTCAAAGGCTCTCCCCTGTCGAACACCTCGTTGTTCTTGTACGCCACCAGCCACGCGGTGAATCTTCTTCGAAAACGAGGTTGGTCATTTTCCTCCAACAGTTTTTCTTCGTATGCCCCCAGTTTTCTGAATCTACATAGGATAGATGGTAATTCTCTATTGGGGACACGTGGTGGACCCGGGGTTTTTCGCAGTTCGAAGCTAGCTTGTACGGATACCCTTACAGGGAAACGATGTACTGGGGCATCTCCTGCGCCTGCTTCACAGCCGCAGCATCTGCCCAATCTACCACTGAACAACCAAGTGTACCAAGCTTGATTGCTTCTTTTCAAAGGCATTGTCAGTTCATATATCGTCTCTCCAACGAATTGGTACTTCAACTCTTGGGTTTGACAAGCCCACCGTGGTGATTCTACCTCCTCCTGTTCGTCGGATTAGGACTCCACGGATTTAGTTTTGAGTTTATTAATACTTCTTTTGTAGTTAGTAGAACGGTTATCAACAACTAGCTAATCAACGTAATTATTTCCTTCCTGCCTCTGAAATGTGCGCTAATGCCCAGGCAGAATCCTATGTTTCTTGGATAACTTACAGGTGGCGAAAAAACAGGAAAAATCCGTGCATTCGAATATTTAGCGCTGCCAGGCTAACTGCTCTACCAAACTTGCAGGGTAACCCGATGAAGCCAGACATTTGCTTCAAGTTTGAAAGTTAAGACTGAGGTCTAGCAGATCTCAATCGCGTGTAGAAGTAGGACACACCGGGTGTTTGTCCTTCGCGTTGACGACCGCCCGGGCTTCCTCTCTCACTGGAATCCGGGGCGTACAGACAACATGGAGCATTCATACTCTGTTTGATTAAACATGGCACAGCCGCACACAAAATTTGTCTGGGTCGCCTGAATATCTAACATCAACAAAAACTCCCAGCTTCGATTCGTCCAAGTGTGTTTTTGCCAGTTATCAAGTAGTACGAAGTATTAAACTGAACGTACCGCATTCATGTAGCATTGAACAAATATCGGTAACAATGTACTTTGGAGTTGTTTTAACAAGAACAGGATAAAGTAGAAGATTATTCTACAGTAGTAAATGGGCTCGGTGGATCTCGGCGGGTCACAATGTAGTTAAGGCAAGCTTTGTCGTTAAGGCAAACTTAATCATCCAAAGTCTTTGTAGATAAAATGCCTAAGCGAGTGCAGCTAGATTCTGAATGGCCCCACACGAGCCATTCATAGCTCGATTAATTGAACTACTGTAGACTTCTCCCGATTTCATACACGGTCGTCAATTTTTTGCGGTAGCTTTTAGCCTTTCAGTCGTCGTTGCTTCTCGATGTTGGGGGCGTGCCTTCAGCGGTACATAAATGTAAAGTCTACATTGCAGCGACTCCGCTGTCAGGGTTAAGCGCTAGAGCGGAAATATGAAACTAACGACTGCCTCCGGCTGCCTACGGTCTCCTACGGTGGTTTCATCTCTGCCACCTTTAGTGTACTCAACTAACATGTTAGCTAATTTTACTAGACACTAACTAACAGTTAGTTGTAAACTATACATGTTAGTACTGTATAGCTGTACTGTATAGTTTGAAAATGTATTTATTAAGCGATTCTGCTACGAAGGCTAATCAACAGTCTAGTTTCTACGGGTCCTCCTATAGCCTCCACGTCGACCTTCCGCGCCACCGACCTCCACGGATCCTGATATAATTAGGCCAAGCACCATTTGCTTCCTCCCTTTCAAAATCCGCTATCAGCTGCGCTGGCAAGTGGTGAGGCGGCTCCCATGTGAGCTCCTCCCAACCTACCCATTTTACTAGGTAGATTACTTAAGATTATGCGGGCGAGGCTTGGTAGTCGAGTGTTGGTTAGGAAGGAAATCCGAAAGTGAATTAGAATGAGTTAGGCCAAACTAACTATCATATCCTAGTCTCCTATGCTTAAACATGAATCGTACCAACCCATACCTCCTACTTCGTCGTAGGAGATGCGGGGGAGCAAAAAGTAAATGTTGCAGATCGTATCCAGAAAGGCAACTTCAACTTGCCTTTCTCTCAGCCAATCAGAAGTGTCAAATCTTGGGGCTCCGCCAATCAGATCCCAGTATTCCATCACGTGTACCACAATTGCCTACCATCGGCAACAACTTCACAGCAAGCACGTGCGTCGATACGGAGACACACAACTAGACTGCGAAGTGTACAATCGCAACACTCCCACTCAATTCGCAGTCTACCCGAGCATCTCAGTGATGTTACTGCGCTCGAGCAGATAGCGAAGAGTCTTCGTTGAGAGTCCCTTGGTCAGGAAATCAGCGAGTTGGTTCTTGGACTCAACGTAGTCGAGCTCCACAACACCACTCGTGATCTTCTCGCGGATGAAGTGATAGCGGATGTCGATGTGCTTGGTGCGAGCCTGGTAGCCGACATTCTTAGCCAACGCCATGGCACCTTGGTTGTCCTCGTAGATCACCGTAGGTCCATCTTGCTCCGCACCCAAATCCTTGAGCAGCTGTCGCATCCACACCACCTCCTTCATACATTCGCTGAGTGCCATGTACTCCGCCTCCGTCGAGCTCAGCGCGACCGTCTTCTGAAAAGTCGATCGCCAAACCACGGGAGCACCACACATCATCAGCATGATTCCGCTTACAGAGCGTCTGTCGTCGCGGTTGCCAGCCCAGTCGGCGTCCGAATACGCGACGAGCTCCGTGCCAAGCAATCCATCGTAAACGATCCCGAGATTCTTGGTCTTCAACAGGTACCGTACCACACGGATACCAGCATCCCAGTGCTTCTCACCGGGTTCTCCAGAAAACGGCTCAGCTTGGCCACTGCAGCTGAAGTGTCCGGTCGGGTTCCACACGCCAGGTACATCAGACTTCACACGAGAGAGCGATACGGGTTCGACTTCATCTTGGCCTTGTCCTCCTCGGTTTGGTGTTCGTCCGCCTTGGTCAACTGCACGCTTGGGTCGAGTGGAGTCAGACACGGCTTCGCATTCTTCTGGCCGAACTTCTTGATGATCGACGCGGTGTACGCCCGCTGGCAGATGCCCAGCGTCTTGGCCTCCATGTCGTAGTCGATCTCGATGCCAAGGATGAATCGAGCGCGTCCGAGGTCCTTGATGCGAAACTTGTCCGCGATGCCTGCCTTCACCGAGTCAATGATAGTCCGCTGGCGGGATGCAATCAGCATGTCGTCGACGTAGAGACACACAATGCACTCGTCGTCACCAGCTCCTCTCGTGTAGACACACGGATCGGCATCGGCATCTCGAAATCCTATGCTCTTGAGATGCGCGTCGATCGTCCCGTTCCATACGCGAGACGCTTGCTTGAGTCCATACAAACTCTGCAGTAGCAGGCAGACGACGTCATCTTCACCTTGAGCTTCTGCCAAATCTAGTAGTTCTCGAAGTCCTTCAGGCAACACCATGAAGATCTCCTCTTCGAGCTTTCCATACAAAAACGCGGTGTCGATGTCACATTGATCAATCTCCATTCCGTCGGCGCAGCACTTCGCGAGTTTCGCACGGATGGAGTTCAGGTACACCACCGGCGAGTAGGTCTCGTCGTAGTCGATTCCATGTCGCTGTGAGTACCCCTTGGCAACGAGACGAGCCTTGTACCAAACGACTCTCCCTGTCTCATCGCGCTTCAACGCGAACACCCAGCGGCAGCCAATCGCGCGCTGGTGTTTGGGCTTGGACACCAACTTCCATGTCTTGTTCGTCATCAGCGACTTGAGTTCACTAGCGATCGCTACCTTCCATTGGGCACGATCCTCACTCGTAATCGCCTCTTGGTACGACCTTGGCACCTCTTCCGTTGCAGCCATCAGCATTCCGCCGTGGATGGCTAGCTGGGTGTCGTCCGACTTGGCACGACCTTGGTCCACCTTCTGACGCTTCGTCCTGATCTCGGATGGCGCAACGATTTGTTTCTTGCGAGCTCCGGGCTCCTCAGGATCGTTGGTCTCTTCAATGTGACGAGCACGCGACCGAGTAATCATCGGATGGGTAGTGTACGGAACGATTGCTCCAGCTGTCGTCACGTCATTCGGCGACATAGTCGGGACGCCAACTTCAACTTCAGTCGAAACGTCGCGAACAGGCACCAGTGCAGGTACGCCGCCCGAGCTTGGTGCCGCTGGAGTCGAATCTTCATCGTCGTCAATCTCCAGGCGCGTCATCAGGTGATCGGGTTCCTCCATGAACTTCACAGTGCGCACGATTTGCACCTTTCCCGTCGCCGCGTTGAGAACGCGGTATCCCTTCACACCATCCTCGTAGCCCAGGAATCGACACTTGAACGCCTTTGCATCCAGCTTCCGACGCTTTTCATCGGCGATGTGGGCGTAGCCGATTGCACCAAACACCTTCATGTTCTTGAGTTGAGGCTTGGCACGATGCACAATCTCGTGGGGTGTCTTGACGGTCACCGAATTCGGGATCCGGTTCATGATCCAGGCCGCCGTGTTGACAGATTCTGCCCACCACTTCTTGTCGATTCCTTCATGGTAGAGCATGCAGCGCGCCATCTCCACCAAGCTTCGGTTCATGCGCTCAGCCAGTCCATTCTGCTGAGGCGTGTACGGAACCGTCTTCTCATGTTTGATGGCGCTTCGGTCGAGGTAGGCCTTAAATAGCTTGCCCGTTGCGTTCTCCATTGCTGCCTTGAAGATCTTGAACTTCGACAGCACCTCCGATTTCACCTTCATGAAGTACACCGTCACGTGTCTCGAGTAGTCGTCGATGAAGGTCACTGCGTATGTGCAGCCTCCAGGTGTCTTGGTCTGCATTGGACCCATGACGTCCGTGTGCACCAAGTCGAGTACACCTGTACTCTTACCCAAGTTGTCAGGGTGACGTGGGAAGTCGTCAGCGCGCACCTTCCCCATGCAACATCCAGCGCACACGTTATCCGTCGACACGTCGCCTACGATGCGCGGTACCCCATCGGCCATGCTCAACAGCTGTTCGTAGCGCTTGTACGAGACGGGCGTGCACGACGGCCCATGGCTCCTTACGAGATATCGTCGCCGCACGACACATCTCGTCCCCCACTGTCTTCAGCTTGTAAACATTTCCATAGCGCTTGGCCTCCATCACCGTCACACCACCAAAGCAAAAGACACACTTGTCCTTGCTGAATTGCGCGTCGACGTCCTTCTCGGCCAGCTTCGACACCGAAATGAGGCTCCCATCAACTTCCGGGATGTACAGAACATCCGACAATGTGACGGGCGTCCCGTCCATCAGCTCCAATCTGACGGTGCCCTTTGCAACTGCGTCGATCTTCGTGCCATCCGCGATCGTGATGCGGACTAGCGTCTTCAGCTCCTTCATGGACACGAACTTGTCCCGGACGCTGGTCATGTGCGAACTGGCACCGGAGTCCACAAGCCACTCCGACTTCGCCATTGCACCCGTAGCCGTGAACGCGAAGTCCGACGCCTCCAGCGCGACTTGTCCACGTCCCTCATCAGCCTTCTTCTTGCGGCACTCTTGCTCCTTGTGCCCGAGCTTCTTGCAGTAGAAGCACTTCCCGGAGAACCCGCGCTTGCGGAACTCCTTCTTCGTTGCGAATGCCTTCTCCCGAGCCGATGTCGAATCCTCCGAGACTTCAACACCAGACAGAGCTTGGATCGCGTACGCCAACGTCATGTTCGGCGTGTTCTCGAGTACGGTGCTGATCATCCGGTACTCGTCCGTCAAACTGCCCAGCAGCAGCACGAGTTGGCGAGTCTCGTCCATAGCTTCACCAATCGTCTCCATCTACAGCACCAGCTCCTTGAACCGGTCCACATGTGCCGCGAACCGCGTCCCGGGCTCCATCTTGAAGTTGTGCAACTTCTTGGTCACGACGAGCCGATTCTTGAGAGTGTTTCGGTTGAACTGCTCCTCAAGCAGGCGCCACGATTCAGCAGCGGTTGTCGCTCCACGGATGTAGACTTGGTATGTGAGACTCACGTCCCCAGCGATCACACCAAGGGCCTTCAGATCGTCAGTCTTCCTTTGTACCGTGGAGCGGTCACTCAGCTGGTCGAACTCTGGCTTGACGATGTGGGCCAGCAGTCCCTTGCGCGACAGCTTCATCCGCATGTTAAACTTCCAGTGGAAGTAGTCGTCTTCCACGAGCTTCACGGTGTCTGCGTAGCTTGGGCTCATAACCACTTGAGATTATGCGGGCGAGGCTTGGTAGTCGAGTGTTGGTTAGGAAGGAAATCCGAAAGTGAATTAGAATGAGTTAGGCCAAACTAACTATCATATCCTAGTCTCCTATGCTTAAACATGAATCGTACCAACCCATACCTCCTACTTCGTCGTAGGAGATGCGGGGGAGCAAAAAGTAAATGTTGCAGATCGTATCCAGAAAGGCAACTTCAACTTGCCTTTCTCTCAGCCAATCAGAAGTGTCAAATCTTGGGGCTCCGCCAATCAGATCCCAGTATTACACCACGTGTACCACAATTGCCTACCATCGGCAACAACTTCACAGCAAGCACGTGCCTCGATACGGAGACACACAACTAGACTGCGAAGTGTACAATCGCAACAAGATTGGGTGGTAATTCACGGTTCGGCTGGCGTAAATCCGTTCTGCATGATAATCCCCGGTCCTTCAGCCGGGATTTCGGGGTCGAAGTCGTCTTCGCTTGATGTTGCATCTGATAGGTCTACATAGTCACTAACTAGGCCAATAGGATTTGCAACGGGCTCTCAGGGGGGCCAGCCATCGATGGTGAGTCGGGCGATACATCATTGTCGAAATCGGTATTCAACTGAGAGGGAGTTGACGGAATTGACGGTGGGGTGGGGTGAGGGGGAGTTGACGACGGTGGGGTGGGTTGAGGTGACGACGATGGGGTGGGTGGAAGTGGCGTCGTAAGAGGCGTTAGACTGCTCTACGAATTAAATTCATAAGATTAGATTATTGATAGATTCTTGGCGCACACGCACCGCGCAATGACTAAATAAAGCTAAGAGTTAAACAAATTTATGTCCTCTAAGTCTGGCTTAAACTTCAAGTATGCCCTCTATGTCTGGTTTGAACTTCAAGTATAGTCTGCAACCTAGTCCCAGCTACACTATGGTCAAACAATGCGAGAACAGGTCAGAATAGATTATTAGAATAGCTTACAAGCGTTTATATAAGTAGAGCTTTTCTCCTCCACCTACATTTACTCACGTTGACCTATCTTTGTGCTCTAACGCTACTAACATGTTAGCTCAAAATACTACAGTAGACACTAACTAACAGTTAGCTAACATGTATAGCAACTAACATGTTAGCGTTAGGGAGCACACTAGCCGCCTTCCTCCTAAAAAGCTATTTTCACTCTTCGCTTGAAAATAACCATTTTCTCCGGAGAAGACATAACACCAGATGCAGCTCTTTTGAGTCTCCGCTGAATGAATTCGTTTGCCACCGTATAGAACGCCACCGCATTGTCGGCGGATAGAGTTGGCTTTGGATAAAAATATGTTGAATGAAAAAATCAAGCTAAATTTCCCATAACCTTAAAAACGTTGAGTAGTTTTTTGCGAAGTTTTAGTGGAATCTTTTATACTGGGATAGCAGTGGTCGATAGATCATGCTGCTACGAACGCCGGTATCGTGGTCCTTTGTCACTGGCTGTCTTTATATTGGTGACGCGGTAACGAGTCACAAGCTTTCTGTCTTCTTCAGATCGTGTTTCGTCAGTGCATGACTTCAGCCATTTCGCATTCTAAAGCAGCCGGCACCCACGTACGTACCTACCCACCTGCCTTGTGCATGCGGCTACAACGATTGCTCTGTACAGCCACCAAGTTCATAAACTAACATGCTCGCACGTTATTCGGCATAGTTCGCCTCTATCAGGTTCAATAAGACGCTGAATTCGAAACATGGTTTTGGCTGACTGTTGTAGTTGACGCCACAGGCTGTGTCTACCTGGGTTCCGCTGATAGGCACTTGCATGGCCATGGGACGTGCCATTTCGTATTCTACCACTAAACCAAGCAACCGGCCTACGTACTCACCACCCGCCTACATCCAGCTACAACGATTGCCGGAGTACCACCCACCACCACGGCACTAGGGCCCCGTAAAGACTAGGATATGAGGATTTGACCATATCTGTTGTTGTTTTGTTTTTAGTTTATAGGAGTGCGCCTGCTTCGGAACCGCAGCATCTGCCTGGTAATGGGATCTGGAAAGTACATGTATATACCGTATAAGTAGCAAGTTTGGAGCGATATGAGGACAACACGAGTTTTAACTGAGAAGTACCAATGCAGTAGCTACAAGACCGAAAGTGTGACCGCAGGAGACAGGAGGCACTTACTCTATGTATGTTGTATAGCCCTAAATCATTCCAAACTTTGACATTGAGCAGGCTATTTTATTAGAAATCCACAAAATTTCAAAGCTACATGTACTTCGGCACGACTACATTAATGACCCCAAGACCGCAACGTACGGCGCGCATCTTGGCGACTACAGTAGAAGTCGTGGTCTACAGATAATTTCCAGGGTACAAACAATTCGAAAAGAAACCAAAACGCACTTTAACTATGATACAAGATGTTTAATACTTCCGGTTTCTCATAAAGGTATCGCCGATGAAGCTGATTGTTCTTCCTCCCACTTGCTAGGCAAGAAATGCGGGGTGCGGATTAAAATCTAGTGTGAAAAGGCTGAAGTCCTAGTGCAGACCTTCAAATGGTGGACTTCCGTGTGTTTTTTATGAAGAGGGATGACTTGCTTAGTGTTTTTTACGTGCATTTTATTGAACGCGTAGTGATGAAGCCAAAATGGACACGGAATGCAAGCGAATGGCATCGCTTCTATTCTAATACGTCCATTTCCTTCTCAAGAAAGCTGATAGCCTTTTCCTCTAGCTTGTTCTAGCGTTCAGCTTGATAATTACGTCCTACGAGATTCCAGCACCGTGATAAATGGGTTCGGTGGGACCCCTGCGGGTCAAAATGAAGTCTTACAAAAGGGGCAAGCATAATGCCATCCATAGGCCTCGTATCATCGAGCGCAGCTTGCCTGTACTGGACGCACACGAGGCATTCATCCTTTGATTGATTTGCACATGTCTCCCATCCGTTTTTGTATCATACACGGTGGTCATCCTAGCTTTTAATCTTTTCTCAGAAATGCGACGGGCAGTTAAGCTTCGAGGTTGTACTCGCACGCCTTGATAAGCGTCGTAATACTACTGCTGTGGTGAGAGCTCTGGTTGCCCCCGTAAAATTGCTATCCCAGCCTAAGCGTAGCCCTAGTCTAATCCATCCAGACACCTTCCAATGGGTGTGGGGATTCACACAATATCAGCCTGCCGACAATTTATGTCACGGCAAACTCAGGTGACCACAAGATTTTCACTGAAAAACTATGCATGCAGAAGAAAAATGTGTCTGAAAGAGAAGGTACCCAGGACTGAATGAACAGATTGGGTAATGGCACCAGTTGTGCTCAAGGTCAGCATCGAGGCTTCTAATTGTCACAGACACCATTGCTACGACGAACAACGTACATGTACATCTGTGCAGTAGCAAGAATTGCATCCTTTCAAACAATACTAGGGCTCCGCGTAGGCTGGGATAGGAGAATTTTGGTATAAACCCCTTCTTTTATTTTTTATTATATTTTCTTATTAGCTACGGTCATCTCCTGCGCCTGCTTCGCAGCCGCAGCATCTGCCCGGAAATTTGCCAGTTCAAACTGTCTACCGGCAATGCTGTACAAAATTATGAGTGCGAATCTTGGTTGAGATCTGTTTGGAGCTTGTAGAAAATACAAACGTTTTAGTATTTACTTCATTTCGTTCATAGGTACTGATTCATACCAGTGTTGTCGGTAGCGCACCGGTTCGATCTGCCCACGCATATAAACCTTTTGGGAGGGCTCAGTGCACCACCGGAGTCGTACCGGTTTCAATAAAATATACCAGTAGATGTCAGGAGGGTTCATCGTTTGACTTGATGTACCACGGATATAATCCTATTTGGTCTGCGATAGCAGCACTAACGTTGCTTCCTATCCCAGTAAAATGTTTGTGCTGGAGCTCCACTTCCTCTGGTGGCACCTGGTATCAATCTAGATGGAAAAGAAGCTCCGATGCGAATAGGCATCTATCAAAAGCTGTAAGTGTAATTCAGACCGGATTCGATGGAGTGTTGTATGATGTTGTGTGAATGTTGTTTGATGCAATCCGCACGGGGGGTAAGTGACGAATGTAGCGTGAATGTCGTTCGATGTCATTCAAAAACCTTCCCCAATCGACAGTTCTAATTCCCACCGTATATACAACCAGTCCTTTCCAAGGCTGCCACAAAGTCGCATAGGCTCCCTCCACTCCAAAGATTTCACGAGAGTTTGCAGTGTATAACCGCTTTGTATTAGCACGTGAAGCACTCCATGCTGTGGGCAAGGTACAAACACATCACCGATTCGTTTGTCGGACGCGAGCTCTTCATCCAGCAGCTTTTCCACTTTGACAGGAATGGACAAACATCGCATACAAACAAATCAAGTCTGCGTTCTTCGCAAGGGAAAGTTGTAACTCGTCCGCATCGACATTCCTTGTAAGTTTTTACTGCTTGGCCTTGCTCAACTCTTTCAAGCGACCCGCCGACTCACTCGCGTCCATTTCGATACTAAACCCGCCTGCTCCTACTTTCCCAGCGACCGTGCAGGCTGCTGCTCTATCGAATATCCATGAAGTCGGGGAGAGGATGTTTGAATGCGAGTAACTTCTTCGCCATCTTAAAATGCTGTCGGGTATAATGAAGCAGTACCTAATAAAGCACACCGAGCCACCACAGAGTCTTCTCTCCAAAGGCTAGAGCCTCCGTAATTTGCAAAATTGGCCAAGTTAGTTGTGAACCCCGTCCTCCTTGAAATGATCGCTATCAAAGTAAAATTGCTGCAATTCCACAATAATGGGGTCGTCGTCCAACAGGCTCTCCCTTCAAACCAAGACACCGCAGAAACTGCGAAATACTTCATAACCTAGATGGGCCAAGAATGTAAGTGGACACGATAGCGACGAAGTGTTGAGCATTTCTACTTGGTTAAGTGGACCATGATGACTTTTTGATACGAGCAATTTGTAAAACCACATACCCAAGCATATTACGAGGCGATCGGTGCTGTACACTCTGATAAAGTCTTACACGACACGTACCAAGGCTTCATTGTAACGAGCAAGTAACGCTAGATTGATTGAGTAAGTTCGCTGAAAACTACGTTGGTAGCGACTACCATTAGCAAAGCAAGCCGTCATGCCGATAAATCGACTTGCGACGCGGTATCGCAGTGTCGCTCTAAGGCCCTTTTTTTCGCCCTTGCTGTTGCCGCTGGGAAAGAGTCGTGCAATTGCGTCACCAATACTTGAAAACGGCAGGATGGCTCTTCTGGATGATCTTCCCGGCTGTAACGTCACCCACTCCGTTCAACTCAACACAGCTCATGATACGAAGCGAAGTTGATATTCGGTGCCTGGAAACTGCGGTACGCACGACACGCGAACAGTCCGAAATATTCGTCAAACTCGCTTTTTGACACCAGCCCGCAGCGCGGAGGAAGAGGGAAAGAGTCTGCTTCCGCTGCCGTAATGAGCAAGAACACGTCCACGTTCTGGTCCACGGCTTTCTGCATCTCTTCCTCGTACATTTCCGCGGTTATCTTCCGTTTTGACTGCAGCAGCTTGCATTGAAGAACTTCGTTGCAAGGGGCTTGTTGCTGGTCGCCGATAATCAGCTGCACGAGCGAAAAAAGATCTCCAGCTGGAGCACTGGTTCCATTGATGACAATGGAGTCCATCTCATGAATGTCAACTTCTCCGCGATCAGTAGAAATCGACACGCCATTCCCTCCGGCGATTGCACGGGCAATCGCACTGGACTTTGTAGGATATTGCTTGATAGCCTCGACAACCTTGCGTGCATGCTGTTCTCCAATGCCAATGCCAGCGATCCAGCCAAAGCGAGCGCCAACGTGAAACTCGGACAGACTCACTGGAGCTCCACAATAGGCAACCGATTTCACGCAACGGTACAACGCCACGAACTTCTCAAATAGCTGCCATGTCATTGCGAAACGCGTAAGATGCGCGTAAAAGTTATCCTCTCCATCTCGCAGTACATCAATTTTCCGTATCAGAGTAAGAAGAACGATGAAGGCGCATTCCACATAGCCCTTAGAAGTCAGCCGAAATAACCCAAGACTTCGAAGCCCATCCACTGTGAGGCTGTGCCCTTCACCAACGAAGCAATGTCCTATCGTGTACACGCGGCGAGAGAGTATAGCGACGACCAGTTGCTGACAGTTCGCCAACGACGTGAAAAAACCATAATCGAAGAAGTTATTGTAGGTTTAGTGCAGAGCCACCCACACTTTTTCAACGATGCTCACTGGATCCAGTTTTTCCAATTGTTCGCTCGAGTACTTGCCAAAAATCTCGTGTAATATCTCAAGAGCTCGGCCATGCCCCCCATATCGTCCACCAACTGCCTCTCCAATCTCGTCTTTGCACCCAAGACGTCACCAGTGATGACTGGAGGAACTAGAAACACGCGCCTCTGCGATGAATTTGCCAGCGCTTCTTTGACAGGAGTTTGAACTGTTGCCGAGCAAACGCAAACAGCAAACGCTTTGGATGCGTTCATGAAGCTGCAAATTGAAGCCAACACTGAGTACAAGTCGCAGTCCTTGGTGCCGTTGTTCGTGAGCTTCTGCAGTCCATCCACACACAAAACGACGGTCATGCTCTCCACGTCAGTCCCCTCCAGATCGGCCAGCATATCAATAACCATTCCAATCGACAATGGGAGATGGCCATACAATCGCTTCATTTCAGAGCAAAACGCGGACCAATCGGTTCTGTTTTTCGTGAGCTGGTAGAGCATACGGTAGCTGACGTCGTGGTCCGGGTCTTCTGTGTTGATCAACGACCCCTTCGCAGATGTTCCTTTCTCAAACGTCACATGGAACGTATACACGCTCTTCTTCCTCTTCATCCTCTTCAACAGCTTTTGGTTTCCAGATAGTTCAGCAGCTCTGAGCAGAATTCCATCCATCTCATCCAGCATGCGGGATTTCCCGGTTCCTGGTCCACTCAATACGAGGTTGATCGCGTGATTCTGCTTGTCGTAATTTCCACTTGCCTACGCGTTGAAATGATCGGCGAGTGGATCTGCGATAATAGCTGATATGTCCTCCTTCCCTTGATACACCCAGGCTTTCCCAAAAGTATCACAAAGTGGCTTAGGTTCCCTCCATCCCAGCGAGTCCTGTAGCTTCACCATGTCGCCGCCCTTCCGCACTAGCACGTGGACATGATCGCGCTGCGGGGCTTCTTTGAAAACTGCACCAATAGCTGCACCTAGATCGATTGATGTCGCCATCATCGCCTTCACTTCCGCCGTAACGACCCCCCTGAGTACACTCTCCACAACGGAGCCGCTACTCGCCATCTAGCCACCGTCCGCTTTTGCCAGGAAGAGGTCCACGTTCTTCTCCGCGACCTTCACGAACTCTTCTTTCCGCCTTTCCATGATTTTCTGCTTCAGCTGCCACACCTGCAGATTGGTGTCGATCTCGACACCGAACAACGCCCCCGGCACGCCAGCAATCGCATACAGAAGCGCGACCATCTTCCCTCAAGGCGGCAGATTCTGGAATGAGCGTGGGAGGCCCCCGATTGGCCCAGTGGGAGCCAATCAAAAATCTGCGAAAGGGTTCAACGAACGTTACTGCAACTGAATAACAATTTGACGACAGCGATTTTGAGCAACGGAAGAGCGGAACACCATCAAAACGTTGTCATTAATGTCCGCTTCCATACCATGCTCACAGCATGATATCTCAAAGGTAGGAGGAGGACGGATATCATGGCCGCCTGATTATCTAAAGTCTAAAGGCTCCAAAATATATTTTCATTGCATTAAAACCATGCGGAGTTAGAAGAAACTGTTTGGTGATCTGAAATCAGCAAGACACGTGAAATTCTCCTTCTAGTGCTACCAGCTACAAGCACCCTCTGCGAAATTCAATCCACAGGGCGCCGAATTAAGCTGGTGGCCATGCTTCCCTTCACCACCTCCTCCCAAATGACTACGTTTTGTATGGGATTTGCATCGCTACAAACTTGCCTATTATCCTGGTAGTGCTTCGGTTACGAAGTATCTACAACATTAACCCGTTTGAACAAAAAACCAAAACAATAAGCGAACTTAGCTTAGGTTCGTGAAAGTATTAGTTTTCAAAACCAAAACAAAACCTCAACAAAACTAAGTTTGCTTCACATACAAAGATCAAGATAAATGAAGCGTCGCTACTATCCTGAAGCTATATTCTCTGAAACTTATTTCAGAGCTAAGAGAGGATCCGGGTGGAGATCCGATTTTGGCATTGATTGATGTCTGGTAATTTATATATACGATTTGGTATTCATAAATAGAGGTAGCATATAAAAAATAGTTGATGTGGGTACAGTGTCACTTCCAATAATAAATACCCGAGAAACATCATAAATTATCTGAATGTTGCCTGTGTCGTCGCCCCCTCCGCTTATGTACGATCTTGATGTTGCGTGAAAGTGTGTTGAAGCCATCGCTGCGCTATCCGGATACATCATTCGGTTGCCGTGAAGGCTAGCTACGTATGAATACGAACGCTGGAAATATGGATGGCCGCTAGTCCACACCAGCAAGAACGTTATGTGGTTGCCGATGACTACTGTAGTGAGGTGCTCGCAGCACAACCGGTCATCCCTGTCGCTCTTACGAGCCTAGCCCCCCCCCCCCTCGTCCCCTGCATGGAGGAGCACCCAGATTAACGCGGCGCAAGAGTTTGACCGTGTAGTCGTCAGGCGGAGCGTCGACGACGGCAAGCGTCCGCCGCTGCATATCAACAATCATCACTTTCGGTTTGAACTGCGCCGTGCCGTGCCGACTGCGCTCGCCAAGCAAGCGACAAAGTTTTGACCATTTGGCAAGACCCACCTCCGCTCCCATCACAACTGCAACGGGTCTCTGGTCACCTGCTCGCCGGTGGATGCTGCGGTACGTACTCAGAGTCCGTTAGTGTAGTTAACGAAACAATAAACACCGCACAGGCCACGTCAGTAGCCGGACTCGCGTCCTATTTATTTCTTCAACTTCGTGCTTCAACTTCGATCGTCTGTTCCTCTGCTCCTCGTGTCCTCCGTATACACCGGCCCTGCCCCTGTCTCCGAATAGGTGCCCCAGCCACCGATGGCCTGTAGTCGCCTCGCTCGTATGTTTGTCCCGAAAGGCCTTCGTGTCCCGCCTCACAGAGCCGTCAATGCTCCGCTTGGCACCGTTCCTCGTGTCTGCGAGCTCTTCGGCCCGCAAGTCTTCGAGCCGTCTGTGCTCCAGCCCGCAAGATCTCAAGTGAGCTTCTCCGTCGCCCACCGTTCTCCGGCTACCCACCTCCGTCCAATCAGCTGCTTCGGTGACCGTTCGGGCCGTCACCCACGTCCTCGTGGCGACCCTCCAGCATGCAATCTTCGTCTCGGTCGCCTCCCAGCCGTCCGTGGCGATCGTCCGGTCCTCGTAACCCACAGGCCTCGTCGTGAGCGACCCGCAGCCCGAACCGAATGACACGATGCGGCTCCAGATTTCAGCCCGAGCCCCACGTTGACGGCCTGGTTCTAGCTGGATCCAGGATCCAAGTGGCGGGAACAGCCTGGATAGCGCCCTGGATCAGGATGATCAAGGTGCATCCAGGCTGGACGAAGCCCGAAGATCCTGAAGTCTACCAGCCCGGATGTTCCCCAGCCAAGATCGAGCCAGTCATGCTGCAAGAGCCGAAGAGGTGCCCGGCCGAGCTCGTCGATGCCCAAGCTGCCTGATCGAAGTCCATGTATCCTGAATTGACAACGTGCATCCCGAATAGACGACTATCCAAGCTCCAAGATCTGACCATACAAACCCAAGACATTAACGACCGACCAAGCCGACCGTCCAAGATCTGCTCGGCACATGGAACCTTGAACTCCCTCCCAGCTGTGCTGCCGATCCCCGCTGGATCTTTGCGACTCAACCGACGACAACCCATACTGAAACCAAGATAAAACTTCCAAGACTGCATGTTACGATTAGTGATAGCCTACAAAGATAAGACCAAACAGAGTTCGTTTTCCCGAGTACAGCGCAAGTGTCTTCGGTTGGGGCCCAGACTATTCAGAGCTGGTTCAGACTCAAAGGAGCCTTGTGTCTTCGGTTCTTCCCCTGCATTCAGGGCACCTCGGCTAACAGCGTAAGGGTCGTGTGTGGAGCTCTCATAGTAAGTATCAGATCAAGTTAAGGCGAGTACCTGAGTTGTCGCACGACCAGGGTTGATAAGCATTATTTCATATTCTAGTTGGGGTTTTTGTCCTGTACAGCACTGCCATTCATATTAAGCTACTCCTAGGGCGGTTGAGGTAGTCACCACCTAGTGATTTGTTGATAGGCTACTGAGTGATAGGAAGGACTGTGTTTTGTATTGATTCGGCTTTTTCCCTCTTGATTGAGGGTGGTGCGCGATTGATTGAGGGCCTTGGGCTTGCCAGTGTCCTGGATCTACCCTCTTTGTTGACTGGTGTGTAGGGCCCACCGTCCAAGGGCCAACCAAAGAATAAGTGACGGTTGTGTGTATTGTATATTTGTGTATAACTCTGTATTGTAAAGGTTATCTCTCCGGATCCAGGCTGTGGAAGCTGCGTTCTGAAGTGTGCGTTGGCTCTGCTCCCTGGTCCTAGCGATATTATCCTGTTTCCCGCAACTCACCAAGTGCAAGTCTCACGTTCGAAGACAAACGACACCCAAAGGGATTCTACAAGAAACACACGCCACCCGGGACGACACCTAGTGCTCGTCCAGGTTGTTTCGAGGGGACAAGTCTAGATCCTTTTCGGGCCACTGTACACCTGGGCGGCAAAAGGTGTTCACCCGCCTCGCCTCAGCTGGTGCGCGTGCCCGGATTCGAATCGTTTGGGACTTCACTGAGTTGTGGTTACATTTATTGCTAGGATTGAGGTTGCGAAGTCTACTAAATCTCTGACCGAAGCGTTTATGGCGAGAGGAAACGGAGATGACATGCGCGAGGAAGGACGCGATGGCGAGGGACGCGGTGATGCGTCACGCCAGTCGCGTAGGTCTCAGGGGCTGCCGCCGGAGGAGCACGCGAGCTTGTACGAGGTTGTCCGGGCTGCTCGGAAGGCAGGCGCTGCAAAGCGCAAGGCGGCCCGCGAGGCGAAGGCCAAGTCGTTGGAGGAGCAGCCGACTCCAGCACCGTCCGTCCAGGATGACGCGCACCAAGTGTCCCGGGATGGCGAGCCGGACGTCCAGGATCCTGACACGAAGACTGGCCAAGATCAGGGTGAGTCCGTCCAGGATGAGTCCGCCAAGGCGTCTGCGGGAGGCGCCGATGAGGTTGAGCCCCCGGCGGCGGATCGAGTTTCGGACTCTTTGCTGCTGGATCAAGATGCGGAGGCCAAGGAGGCCCCGAACCTGGAAGACAAGCCGCTGCCGACTGTCCAAGAATTGGACGAGCTCGAGGACTCGCAAGAGACCTCGCCGTCCGCCTAAGCGACCACGACGAACCCTGAATCCTCGGTCGAGGAAGCTTCGACCAAAACGACCCCAAATCAAGTCGTCCCGGACCAAGCTCCGGATCCAGGCTCGCTTCGGTCGGGAACCCCTGACCAGAGGTTCGCCGAGGTCCAGGAGAAGGCGTACGTTGCGCAGCAAGTGTCCAGGTGGGAGCGGGTGGAGTCCGAACGCGTGACCCCGCCCACTGTAGAGTACTCATGGCCGACACCCAAGCCGGATGCACAGCCCTGGATGGCCGCCATGTTGACCACATCCAGGTACCTCAGTGCGCGAGCACTCTTGGAGGACCAGGATGGAGGCTGGATCGCGGAACTTCGTCTCGACCGTCGGGACTTGAGCACCGCCCAGGATCTCATGGCTGTCCAGGTTCCGGTCCAGATGCTGACGCCGCGGAAGTGCATGGCCATCCTGCAAGCTCTGCTGTTCGAGGCTGGATTCAGGTTTGACAACCTGGTTCCGGTCTGGTTCAGGACGAGAGCGGCCAAGGTCGCTCCAGCCAAGCTGCGAGTGGTCATCCAGGACGTACTGCGTCTGCTGGCACTGGAACTGGTGGAGTGGCGTTCGTTTGCTGTCGGTGCTACGTTCAAGATCATCCCTGTCCTGAAAACACAAGCATCAGAGACTCCTGAATCTGAACAAGCATCCATCCAGGACTACCACGCTGAAGATCAAGACGGAGATCTATTGATGACGGAATACGATCTAGGCCTACTCGGCGGTGAATACGTTCTCCGCCTCAAGCGGACTGGTCTTCGTCCGGCGAGGAGTCCAGGAGGGTCGTCCGATGGCGAGCCTGAACCGAAGCGCCAACAACACCATCCAGCCCGGCCGCCGCGTGCGTCGCTGCCGTCCACGTCGAACCCGTCTGAATTGCCGTCGCCCAGGACCTCCAGTCGGAGTGATGTCGTCCAGGTGGAGAAGACCGCCCCGATCCAGGAGTATGCGACTTCGGACCCTGTCCCGAGCTTGGTCGGTACTTCTCGATCCCCGGAGGCCTCCCTGTACGGAACGACGTCCGGATCCAACCCATCCAGGAACAGTTCCGCGAGCTCGTCCTCGATCGGACTTGGATTCAGCGCTGGCGCCGACATGCCGCCCCCGACGTACGGTCCGATGACTATGTGGATTCAGGCTGGCCGTCCTGGATTCGCGGTCGGTGGAGGCGCGGTGGGTTACTACGTGACCCAGCGTGTCGTGTCGAAGCGCGCCGTCGAGGTGGACCAGGATGACGTCGAGATGGCCGAGTCCGTTCAGACCTCCAAATCTCGGACGGACAGATCTAGGACCAAGTCTTCGTCCAGACACCGCCGGCACCGCTATGAGTCTGAATCAGGCTCGGAGTCGTCCAGCGAGTCGGAGACCAGCAGCGCCAGGAGCCGTCGTCACCGACGTTCCTCAAAGCGGTTCTCGAAGTCGAAGCGGAGGTCTTCGTCCAGGCGGTCAAGCCGGTCAGGACGCTCGAGACACTCGCACGGATCCACGACGTCCAGTCGGTCGTACATGTCGATCTCGTCTGGGGTGGCCAAAGTTGCGGTCACCACGATGAACGAAGTGAAGCGCCTTCAGGCTGCCCTGGATCGCATGGCCCTGGCCCAGCAGGCCACGTTGGAAGCCCAGATCCAGCGTGAAGCCGACGCCCAGCGCAAGCTAGAAGAGACTGAACACCGGATCCAGGAGTCCGAACGTCCGATGGCCGCCGCCCTGGCTGGAGTTCCCCGTCCGGACTCGGTCCAACCAGACCTGGACGCCGCCGTCCAGGCCGCTCGTGACGAGGCCGCCCTGGCCGACCGTCAACGCCGCCAGACCGATGCCCTGAATTACGTTCAGCAACAACAGGCCGAGGTGGAGGCGCGCATGGAGGCCGAGCGCGCAGCGTGGGCCGCGGAGACGCAGAGGATCCTAGACGCCCAGCAGGACGCGTTCCAGCGGAGGTACCAGACCTTGGAGTCCGAGCGAGACAACGAGCGAGAAGCTGCGAAGAACATGAGGCGTTTTCAAGCGTCCCAAATTCGGGACCTTCGAGCAACATCCACTCAGGTTCAAACTGGTCGGACGACATTCAACCCTGATTCGGCAACCCCGGTTAAGTCGGAGGAGCCAAACCCTGAATCGGCAACCACGAGGAGTGGCGTCAGTACTGGACAGATCACCAGTAACGGTGCACAGCCGGGACCGAAGAACATCGCCGAGGCTCAACTTCGTGCGACCATCCCGGAAGTGGATCTGGCCAGGCTTACTTCCAGCACTAAGCCCCGAATCCAAGTGCCTAAGGCTGAACCGACGCCCAAGGCGACGAAGGCAGAGGTGCCCAAGGCGACGAAGGCAGAGGTGCCCAAGGGGACTGGTCCCGCTAAGTCCGGATCCAAGCCGCCGCCGAGGAGGCCCCCGCCTAAGCCATCCAGGAAGAAGACCCGGAAGGATGAAGACCCGTCGTCAAGCAGTTCAGGCAGCTCTGACTCAAGCGACAGCGACTCCAGCTCAAGTGATTCTGACAGCAGTCTGGACGGGGGTGACCTGGTCGACGCCTCGACCAGGAAGATCAAGGCGGGGGAAACCTCGTTGACGATCCACCCCTATGTCAACTCGAGTGCGTTGGAGAAGTTCGACGAAAAGGCGTCCCTGGGTGACCGCCGAAGCTGGTGGGAAAGGTTCACGAACCTGGCCAGCCAGGGAGGCTGGTCCAACCGGACCCGGATCAGCGAGCTCAAGATGAAGATGTCATCCCCGTTCCGCAACTGGCGTGGGCAACTCCCGAAGCAGGTCCAGAACGACTGGAAGACCTTGGCCAGCGAGTTCAGGAAGAAGTATCTCAAGGCCAGGACCTCCGACTCTGAACGCTACTATACGATGAAGCAGAAGGGTGGCGAGTCGGCTCTGGAGTATTTCTACCGCCTGAACGACGCGGCTGGCAAGGCTAGCATCAACTACCGGTCATCCAGGAAGGACGTCTCGCATCACGTCAAGCGTTTCATCAAGGGCCTGAAAGATTCAGACTTGAAGCAGGCCCTGAAGAGTCAGCGGTTCAAGCGGATCCCGGATCTGGAGTTCGCCCTGGAACAGGATGAAGAGGTGACGTTGGGGGGGGGTTACGATACCCCTCCATCCAGGACGCGCGATTTTCGTGCGGACAATGCTGGTCAGGGGCGATTCAAGCCTCGCCGGACTGGACGTGCTTTTGTCGGTCTGGATGGGAGTGATTCAGATGACACGAGGCGGTCCCCAGAAAATTGCCGACGATGTGCCGTCACCTGATGACTTGGAGTTTGTATCGGATGCTGATTGGTGGATGACTTGGATACGGCGCGGCTGTACCCGTGTGACATGGATGGCGACTGTGGGAGAGAAGTGATTTCTCGGGATGAATCCAGCGCCTGACCGCAGATGGGCCCAACTGGCTGGAAGTGTGAATCCTGGGAGTGCACGCCCAGGATTTCAGAGAACACTCAGTCCAGCCGCGGACTTTCCTTTACGATGAGTGCCTAAAGTCTGGCGGAAAGTGTCTCTGGAGAATGTATCCCAGAGTACACTTCATCTTGCTGTGGCTCAGAGTGCCCCAGAGGATTAAATTACCCTGATAATCAACCCACTACCACCATGATCATGCACAGGAGGCCGCTAAACCCGCTATAGGTGTGGCTTTGTGGAGATACACGCGAGCCTGCAATGCAGCAGACTTGTTACCCAGAGTGCCGCACGGAAAACCAGAATGCCGCACGATGACTCAGAGTTCACCTCCCTGAGTGCAGGTGACCCGGAGTTCCAAAAATGATTCTCTGGGTATTTGGACCATAAATTCAGACTCATTATACTGAACTTACGTGTTTCCCAAGCCAACATCCAAGAATCCCCACGGTTCCCCAAGATTCCTCAGAATTCCCCAGGATTTCAGAAGATGACCCTGAGTGTCACATGATTTTCAGGGGGTTCGAGTCAGTTCGAAGTCAGTCTGCAATCAAAGTGATGCGTGACCTTGAAGAACCGTCATGGATGCACAGACTGGATACTTTCGAGGAGTCGAGAGGGAGTCCTGCACCATACTAAACCAAGTCCAAGGACCCACAATTGGCACTTTCGACGCTGTGCGATAATGGAGTCGCAAGCCGATCGCAAGTTTGGACCGCTGAACCCAAAGCATACTCAAGACAAGACATTTGACCCCAAGCATAGTGAACAGAAGATATTTGCCCGAAGAAGAATGCAGAAGAGAAAGAAGTAAGAGAGAGAGAGAAGCAGCTGATAAAAGACAAACAGAGTTCAATTTTCCCTGTATTGCGCAAGTGACTTCGGCCAAGCCTGCCGACGGAAATCCGGAGGACCCGAGATTACGACCGCAGGGACGCTAAGGGCACATCAACGGCGAAGGACAGCCGTCTGTGTGGACTCCATCAACTCAAGTCCAGTTAGGTGGGGACCAGCGACGGCCTTGAGCTTCCTGGAGTGATCCATCTATTCCATATCCTAGTTGGGTCACTTGCTGTGCTCGTGGTAACCCATTTCATATTATTCCAGTGGGTATTCTGGGGTGCTAGGTAGTCGCCTCCAGGATTTTGTATTGACTGCTTGTGTGAAGGACAGGTAATTGATAGTGATTGTATTTTCCTCCTTTATTGGAGGTGGTGCGCGTTTGTGTGAGTCTCAGGGGGGCTAGGCCCCTGAATTTCAGACTCGAGTGAGCCTAGTGTGTGTGTGACCCACCGTCCAAGGGTCCAAAAGAATAAGTGACGGCTAGTTGTAGTGTTTGTATACTCTGTATTTGTTGGTTTTATCGAGCTAGGAGGGCATTTGGGTAAGGTGTCTTCTGAGTTCCAAGTCCCGGAGTTGACTGAAAATCTGGACCCTGAATTCGTGATATTCTGGGTTTCAAGGGATCTGATTCTCTGGGTTTGCCTTTGGTGTGGCGGTGCGTTCTGAAGTAGACGTGCACTCCCGCACTTCTTCGGGGCTACATTTACAACCGGTGGAGTGCCGTTCCGTCGAAGACAAACGAGCCGACAGGGATTACACAAGGTACCCACGCCAACCAAGAAGTGTGATTCTCAGGGTTCAAAGCTTTGCGGCTGCGAATCTCTGTGTCTATCTCCTTGCTGTTGACTCTCAAGTCGATTCTCTGGGTCTACACCCTGGGGAACAGTCTTGGGCTGCGCTATACGAACCCCCCTGGGCGACAAAGGTTTCATCAGCCTCGCCTCACAGACCAAGATCAGGAAGTACATGTCCATTTCGAAGATGAACCAGAGCCGAAGCCTGATTCCCCTCCTGCCCCAGTGAACGAAAACATGGATGGAGTTGTTCGAGACGCCATCGCAGAGAGTACGGCCAGGGAGAACGAGATGAGGGAGGCTGTTTTCCGGATCTTGGAACATTCAGGCTGGCGTCCCCCAAATCAGGATTTCCGGTCAGGGGCGAAGTCACCCAGGCAGGGTGATCCTGATCGGAACAACCCGGATCGGTCCGACTATTGTGAAAACTGTCACGAGTTTGGACATCGCGCTGAACGCTGCTGGGCCGACCTGGTTTGTGACCGCTGTGGACGCATGGGACATCCGACTGACAGATGCCGAGCCCTGCCCTGCAAGAAGTGTGGCGAATCCCACGTTGGACGATGTGAAGAGCACAAGGCCATCCAGACCATCATGGACCTCATTCGCAAAGGTGCCCTGAAAGACCTGCCCAAGGCCGTCCTGGATCCCATCTAGGGTGGTCAGGCCGATCCTGGTCGGTTGTTAAACCAATAAGCCCGCTGGATGGGGATCCAGTACGCGCCGGGCTTAGGAAGACCCCAGTGTTGTGTGTCTTAGTGTATGTCGGCCCTGAATTGAGGATGAAGAAACGAGATAGTCGCTGAATCGGTCAAGGACGTTTGTAGCGTACTTATGCTGGTGGATGAATATCGTTCGGTTCTTACGGTCACGTTGAATAGACCAGCCGAGTAGGTACTTCACCTCCCCTAAATCTGTCATGGAGAATCGCTGTTTCAGGGCGGATTTCAGTTCGTCCACGAGGGCTGGAGTAGGTGCAATAACCAAAAGGTTGCCCACATAGACAGCGATGTAGCAAGTCACACCGTTAACTGTGCGTTTAAATACACAGCTATCCTTAATGAGTTTGTGGAACCCTAGACTCTCTAGGAAGGCAGATAACGTTTTGTACCAGACACGGGTAGCTTGTTTCAACCCGTACATACTCTTCAGGAGTTTACACACGAGGTGCTCCTTGCCCGGGATCTGAAAACCTTCCGGTTAAGTCATGTAGATTTCCTCCTCGAGAAAGCCATTGAGGAATGCCGTTTTTACGTCCATCTGATGGATTTCGAGGTCAAGCAGGGCTGCAATGGTGAGGAGGAGTCTGAGTACTTCCATTCTGATAACAGGAGAGAATATCTCGTTGTAGTCAATGCCATGTTCCTGAAGGATTTTGATAACAAGACGCGCTTTGAAGCGGTCAATTTCACCTGTGCCGGTATACTTTACAACAAAGACCCATCGGCTTGTGAGAATCTTCCGCCCTTTCGGGCGGGGTACTAGCACCCAAGTGTTGTTCTCCATTAGGGATTTATATTCTGATTTGGCTGCTTTGCGCCATCGCTTAGCATGAGCCGTCTGCATTGCCACTCGATACGTAGGCGGCTCTGTCACATACCGAATTGCTAGTAATGTGTACAGTAGTTGTCTACGCCGCTCCTGATCCTGCTGATCTTCCTCAGAGTTGAGGTTGACTTCCTCGTGGTCTTTTCTGAGAAGGGACCGCTTACGCGCCGGTGGTAAGGAAGATTCGGACTTGGTCTCTGTTCGAAAGGAGTAATATATTTCATCCCGATGAAGAGCCTCCCTGCGCGATTGTAGGGTGTGAGGAATGGCAGCAGTAGGTATATCAGGGCCTACAGGAGGAGTCATTGCGGGCGCCGGATCTGCAGTAGGAGTCGTTGCAGGGACAGGTTCTGCAGGAGTAGTCATTGCAGATGCGGGACCCGGTATGGTGGCACGTTGGTCCTTTTGAAAAGCTGGACTGTGCTCAGGGTTGAGCGTCAAGTCCGCGAGAGGGGGGAACTCATCCTCCTTAAACACGACATCACGACTATAGACAAGAGCGTGTGTGTTAATATCCATCAGGCGGTACCTTTCTTGTGGTCCGGTATGCCAAGGTACATGTACAGTCGTAAGCTTGTCACGATACTGCTCCGTGATATGCACGTATGCACTACATCCGAATACCTTCATGTAGGTCATGGATGGGATACGACGGTACCAAAGCTCATACGGGGTCCGGCCATCCGTTTTGGAGCTGGGCGTAATATTAATCAATGTACACACATTCAGCCCATAGCTGTTTTGGAAGCTTCCCTTCAAGCAGTAATGCACGCACTCGCTCCATGATTGTGCGCATGCGGCGTTCCGCAACACCATTTTGCTCAGGTGTGCATGTGTTGGTAAACTGTGCATGAGTACCGTACGTCTTGAAGATCAGACGGCCAAGCTTTTCATACTCTTTCGCATTATCTGCTTAGAGCCGTTGAATATCGTGATCTTCTATAAGAATCCGAGTGTGTTGCAGGACATGGACGGCCCGCCTGAAGATATTCAGGGCTTTTCTCCTAAAGTCCTCGTAGCAGTCATACAGCTCACTAAGGTTCGTGATAGGGTAAGTGAACATGAATCGAGAAAAGTCATCGATAAAGATCAGAAAATAGCGACAGCCAGTAAGACTAGGCACAGGTAATGGACCACAGATATCTGAGTGCACCTTTTCCAAAGGAGATGTAGCACGTTCAACAACTCTATTAGAATAGAATGGGGCGCGGTGTGAGTTCGCTAACGTGCAGGCTACACAGAAGAACTGAGCCGTAGGATCTACAGCCACAGAATCATCGAGTCCATCAATGGCTTGGCTCCTAGATAGGTCACGCAAGATGCGAGCGTTAGGATGTCCAAGGCGTTTGTGCAAAAGCAGTAGGGATCTTTGCTTACCTTTGGCCATGAGGGCCGTAGCATTGGCGATGTCGGCAAACCACTGGGATTCTTGCGTCACGTGGCGCGTGCATCCAGAGTCAATAGTCCAGGTAGGGTCAAGTTGAACGTTGGCGTGGGCGGCCAAGCTGATGGGAGGGTTGACCGTCGTAGCAACTGCAATCAGACCGGTATCGCGGCGCTGTTTGTGGAACACCTTGCGCTTGGTACCATCATCGTCATCCGAGTCGGAGTCGAGAGGACGGTTCTTGCCTTGGTCAGTATTGCGATTCTTACCACCGTTGCCATCATGCTTGTGCTTGTGGCTACCGTGGTGCTTGTCTCTGCGACCGTTCCCGTTGTTGTTGCTGTTGTTGCTGTTGTTGCTGCGCCCTTGATGCTGGCTCCAGTTCTTGAAATTGCGATACGGATGGTCGCGCTTCGAGTTGCCCTTGAACGCGAAGTTCGCAGACAGTACCGTGCCAGCCTTCACTCGTCCATATCGTAGGTCCTTTTGTAGTCCGCGGCATTGACGAATGTTATGGCGTGGACGGTCACAGTAAGAGCAATTGCCGTTCCCGTTGCGATCTTGGCCTTGGTGAGCAGGCTGTCCAGTAGTCACTAGGGCGCGCTCGTTCATGGTGTCGCTGGTCTCAGGTGTTCTCTTAGACAGTGTGTACCGCTCTTGAGCCTGGATGTCACGGACCTTGCCCTCGATGCTCTGCTTCAAGTCTTCGTACGGGAGATACTTCCATTGATTTTTCCAGATGCGGAGGTCATTCTTCCATCTGGGGCATGGAGTGAAACAGGTAGATCGACTTCTGCGACTCTGCCATCACCGTGTCGGTGGCTTCTTGCGCGGCTTTCATCGCGTTCTCCAGCTTCAAGAAGAATTGAGTCAGGTCTGAGCCCTCCTCGTACCTGATTTTCATCAAGTAGTGCTGGATGAAGTAGGGGTCGCCGTGGAATGCAGCACCCTCATACTTCTGGCAAATGAACTGGAAGATCTCGTAGGATGTCGTGAGATTCTTCACCAGTCGGACATGGGCGTTGTCCATGGTTTTCATCAAGAACACTTTGGTCTTGGCTTCTTGCCGACGTCGCTCGCGCGGGTTCAGAGGCTGAGGCTTCTCTTTGGCACCGCGCTTGTGATCCTTGCGCCATTGGCTGCGGCTAAATGGTCGAATTACCGGCAGCTTCTTGCGTTTGGAGGAGGTGTCCGAGTTGTCTTCGGAGTCTTCATCGGAGTCGGACCGTTGCTTGTCATCTTCGCTCTCCTCGTCGTAGTCCACCGCGTCCGAGTCGACCTCGACTCTCTCCGACGGCTTGGCCTTCGTTGCATCGTCGGAGTCGGACATGTCGCTCTCGCTCTCATCGCTTTCTTCCTCGGAGACGCTATCGTAGTCGGGTTTCTGTACGTAGACGAGTAGATGCTTGCCGTCGAGGACCGCGCACACGCGAGTCTTCCTCACGTCGAAGTTCTCGGCGCCGATGAGGCGCGGGAAGTCGTCGCTTGAGGCTTGGCTTGGGATCATAACCTATGAATGCGAAGGTAGAGAGCGTAGGTAGCGTAGAGAAGAAGATACAAGTGTGTAGGAGGCGTCAAAAGACGAAGTGAGTGTATTAGCGAGGAGAGCACAGACAGAGCGCAGTGGATGGCTGGTGCAGAGCATATTACTGTGTATAACTGTATACCATACTAAATACGAGAATAACAGCTATAAGAGGGTCTGAGATCACTGGCTATCAGCTTTGAGGTACAGTGTACCAGAGGTTAAAGAGGCTACTTCAACAGAGAGTAACTATGACGTGGGAATGTATATTCAGGTGATACCGGTAACCGCAAAACTACCGCCGCGTAGCGGCGGCGCTCGGCTAGTCCTAAGAGTCAATCAGAGCGTCGTTGTCCGTCCGAGAGTTGATCACGCTTATTCACTAAGTACGAATTCCACTAATTACGATTAGCTGCCGAGCGCAGCGAAGGCGACCCCACCATACGATATTGCGGGGCCGCAGGACCCGCCCAGGGCCTGAGAGTAGTGCAGCGAGCCGACGAGGCGAGCGGAACGGGTCCGCCCAGGGCTTCGCATTAAGTGGTAATACTCAATACGGTATTAATACAGCACCCCATGCCTACTGTATTGCTACTGGGTGCACCACTATCTGGCTTATGTATTAGCTGCATTACTTATTACGGTCGTAATACAGACGGGGCCATGTCTACCAGTACGTAGAGTGGCCGCAAATGGCATTGAATCCCAAAACTTAAGCATGCAATGGGCTTGAATAGGACTCCTGCTGTCGATCTGGGCTCCCGTGACATGGATGACCGAGATATCGAACCACCGAAACGCGCTCCATCCTACACTTTCATTCATTATTATTTAAGTTCTCTACGAAATGCACACGACTCTACAGCAGACTACGCAACAGTATAACAGCAAACTACAAAGCAGCACGCATCTACTTCCAACTCCGCCGAATTGATTCCGAGATCAATCGTATCCGGTCAGTTCTCAATTCGTAGTTACTAGCTGTGAATCGCACTTATGTGGATACTATAGATTATCCCAGTAAATCGTTGGGAGCTCATTAGACTGCTGCTGTATCTACTACTGTAGTACTGTATTACTATACACCCTGTCTATTTCTGTGCAGCATGCTATAATAATGCACACCATTCATCCGTATTACCTGTAGTGGTACATCTCAAAAGGTGGTTAATGCGAATCCCTGGGTCCGCCACTGCCGTAGCGAAGCCTAGGCAGTTTGCTCCAATAGCGGAGCGAGCATAGCGAACGAAGCGCCAACAAACTAAAAAATCGCCACCGCTACGCGGCGGCGCTCGGCTAGTCTGACATTAAAAAGGTAGTAACGACAGTTCTTACGAACTGCAATTATCAAGCTGGAAGAACAGAGCTCGCGAAACGCCCACTCGCACGTTCCCGAAGAAGTGGCAATGCGCCGGACGTGGGTTAGGATGGTGGACGCAACGGGGGCTCCGTTCAAGGGAAGTCGCGCGACATCACTGGAGGAGGATCCCCAGGATGCCGAAGGCCTCCTACAGGCTGTGTACAAGAAGTTCAAACCCACTCTTCCCACAGATGTCGCTGAGTGCACACTCCGCGTCTTCGAGAACCAAGTCAAGTTTAAGTCCAAAGCTGACCTGCAGCCTTGGGACCCCCTTCAAAACCTTGGATCAAGCCCAACAGCCCCATTGCTGGTTCGTGTGCCGAAGAGATACGTCTGGTACCAGTTGCTGGATCTGACTGGGGCTCCGTTCAAGGGAAGTCGCACGACATCACTGGAGGAGGACGTCCAGAATGCAGAAGGTATCCTACAGGCTGTGTACAAGAAGCACAACCACACTCTTCTCGTAGACGTCGATGGGTGTACACTCTGTGTCTTTGAGAGCCAGGAGAAGTTCAATTCCAAGCATGATCTGAAACTTGGAGACTCCATTCAGGAGCTTGGCTTGGGCTTGGAGACGCCATTGCTGGTTCTTGTGCCGAAGAGATACGTCTGGCACCAGTTGGTGATCGACGGAAGCCCCTTCCAGAGTGAGAGAGTTGAATCGGCGAACGAAGTCGAGGACTTCTTGAATGCGGTTTACGCCAAGAACAAGATGTGTTTTCCAGACTGCGCAGTGGGCAACCTGGTGGCGTACGAGAACAACGAGGCGTTCAGCAGTTTTCCAAAGGGAGACCCATTGAAGAAAGGTGCAACGATTGAGGCGCTCGGTCTGTCGGAAGACAACCCCATTGTTGTGGAATTGCAGCAGGAAACTGACGAACCAGTGGAGGAAGAAATGGATGTCGACCCGGTATATGGACGTTAAACCCACTCGGAGCTCGGCTCCGACTTTGACAAAGGAGTTTCCGTGATGAATGAGTTGAACGTCATGATTACCAATGTGGAGAAGGCTCAATTACTCGCTGGTGTTCCAGTTCAGTGTACTGGCGTCCAGACGTTCAACTGGGAAGCTATTGCTGACCTCACCGAGAAGCAGCAGCAGGACGCGTACCGCAGTTATTTGGAAACCAGCCTTGCCGATGTCCTGTCGCAGAGAAATTTATGCGTGTTTGGTGTGGACATGCAGTCGAGTTTCCTCACCGCTGTGATTCCTGGATCCAACATCGAGCTTGCGGGGCGTACAGATTTGATCATATTAGGAGATGTAGTCAAGACCCATCCGTTCATGTTTCGCGCGTGCGTAGGATCGTCGAAGGTGGCGATTGAGGTGAAGACGTCGGTGGAGGAGAACCATGCATACGAGGCTGTTTCAGAGCTTATCACTCTGAGCGTATTGGCATGCGACCCCGTGACGGTTGTACTAACAGATTTGCAGAGAGTCTGGAGGTTCTTCTGGGTTGGAGAGAAGAGAGCTACGCAGACTGTGGTGTTCTCAGCAGTGGTTTCCGACCCTCATGAAGCGTTCGCGATTCTGAAGATGCTGGTCCCGCCAACCAAGAGGCCGTTTACACGATGCAAGCTTCGCGACATGCTATCTTCCGATGAAGAAGGCGGCTGTGGTCCCATTTTAGCGAGTGTCCAACGATACTATGATATTGAAAGCATGTTGGGGCCCGATGTTGAGATGGCGCGCGCTGTGGGCGACCAAATCGCCCGAAGTATCCCAAATCTGCAGACGTTAGGCTAGGAGTCGATGACTCACTTGACGGGGGGCAACTTTTTTTACTTCCGAGTACTTGGCGAAGGGATGATAAAATACATGCAATGAACCATAGTAATCCTGTGCGAACGTTTTCTCTGCACTGCGTCGATGCTTTGAATAACGGTTTTGACACTGCAAATTTGTTGCTCCGTTTGTGCATTCCTCCCCCTCCCCACACACACATTATTTGCTTACACTCTTACCACTCATTGAGCATATCACTGTTGTTGGCGCCAATATCTACAGTCCAAACAGTGTCCGGCTTGACCAGCTTCGTCAGCGCGCTGCGATCAGTCTTGCCCGTCAGCGGCTGCTTGCTCGGGTAAGCCAAAATGCTAATTTGCGACGGCGCCACGTGCGCCACCTCCTCGACATCGTACAGGAACATGGCGCACTTCCACTTCACTTCATCGAGCCCTCCACTGATGGCGTCCAGGTTCAGCTCCATTTTGCGGACTTCCTCTCCTGATTGCCCCTTCCGTCGGAGGCTCACGAATCTCGGACGGTGCCTCGAACTGGCAAAGGAGAAGCGGTCTTGGAACTTCTTCATCAGTCCACCGCTACCACTGCCACTACCCGAGAGGTTTCCGCTCCGTGTCCGACTATCCCCAGCCACCTCGGAGTCGCTCCCGCTGCTGTGTCCCGTGTGGTCACTTCCTTCAGACCCTCTCTCGTCGCCGCTATTTGCTCCACGCTGGCTTGCAGCTTCGTCGTGGCTGTTGGCGAACGAGAATCGAGCTAGTTTCTGAACAGAGGCACCGGTCGGAGTATCAGCCCCCGCATGATCTGCTTTGTTGTCATTGCCCGAGCTCCCAGGGCCAGGTGTTCCTGCACTCCCACCGCGAGACAGCAAATGGCGCGTCGTGGAAAATAAGGATCCACCACGCGAGTTCGCTTGCTGCTGCGCAGCCTGCTCTGCGATCTTGGCCTTCGCCGACAGCGCCGCCTGCTTGGCTATCCGCATCATCGCGTCGTTCACCGAGTTGTGGAACAGAGCATCTAGCAGCTCCTTGAGGGCAGCACGCATGCGGTCAGCGTCTCCAGAAGCCGCAAATCCGACGTACATCTGGTGCCTTTCCGAGCCGTGTGGGAAGATGCCATTTTGCCTGGAGGCCTCTTGGATCTTCTCGGACAGCACATACTTTAAATATTTTGAAGCACGAGTTGTCTTCCGGCCCAATCGCACTCTCTCTCCAACTTCCGTGGTTTCCGATGTAGAAGACAACGAACCAGACGAAGAAGAAGACTGACGCCCAGTAGTAGCTACAATGGAGATGTACTCCTCCCACATGCTCCGAAACACGTCTTGAATGAAATCTGTCGATGGCTCCTGGGCAGTCTCCGCCTCATCCTCATCTTGTTCTTCAGGCTGGTCTGGGGAGATTGGCACGGGCTGCGTCGGAAATGCTTCCTGGAAAAATATGGACAACTCATTCTTGGAGATGGACGGGATTGAAATGGCAGGAGGAGGGGGCCCCGCTGTGGCAGTAGAGGCGACAGCAGGGGCGAAATCTCCGAAGCCATCGCCGCCCTCCTCAAATGCGCCTGAACTTGACTGCTGGAAATCATCAAATCCGTCTGCATCATTCGCCGAGCTCTGGGCAAACTCACCAAAGTCGCCGAAGTCATCGCTATCATTCGTCTCGCCACTTTGAGCGAAATCTCCGAAGTCATCACCATCGGCGGTCTCGCTGCTTTGCGCAAAATCACCAAACCCATCGTCTTCAAATGCAGCCGATGCCGAAGTAGTAGCAACAGGACTCGACGGTGCAGCTATCCCAAAGTCCCCGAAAGAGTCCTCATCCTCTTCAACCAGCATACTTGGCGCAGGTGTTGGCGAAGGAAATGAACCCCATGCAGCTGGAGCATTCGGGACAATTGTTGCACTTGCTGTAGGCACGGCTGCTTCAAAGTTCCCGAAGTCTCCAAAATCATCACCATCGTCCGCCCCGCCAGACTCCTCCTGGCTGCTCTCCTGGGCCTCGCTTTCAAAATCGCCCTCATCCTGATCGGTACTTTGTAGATCAGCAGCAGCGGTAGGCGAAGAACTCACAAGATCATGTTGTGGCGAGGGAGCAGCACCAGAGAAGGTATCTCTCCAGGCTACATCAGAGCTTCCAATATCCACATCCGCCACGGCTGTCGAAATCCCAAATACGTCGCCTTGCTGTCCGAATGGGTCGTTGGGCTCCGCAACACTTTGCGTCGACGGCCACACAACCTCGCTGCCAGACGCCACCCGCGCATTCTCCTCGTCGCTATCAGATTCATCGTCGTCAAATGCGCCGTCTTGGATGCCAAGAGCATGAGCCTTGTTCTCAGTTTCCTCTGTCGGATTAACGGGCACAGCTTCTGTTTCGTTGCTCTCAGCATTTTTACCATGATCCATTGAGACAGAGAATGGCACGAAAGACTCATCGTCGGCTGTTTCCGAGGCGTTCGTAGTTGCAGGAGACTCAGCAGCGGCCTCTTCTTCCTGGCTCTGTTCCAGTGGGCTTGACGTGATGAAGCCAACGTGTTGCCAATCATTCAAAGCTGTTGGCTCAAGATTTGTTGGTGTTGCCTGGTCGGCCGCTCCAAAGAAATCGATCTTTTCTGCCGCAGCACCCAAATCATCGCCTGCTGCACTTCCAGCTTCAACCTGCTTGCCCTCAACACCTTCCTCGCCATCCTGCTTGTCTTCACCACCCTTATCTCCATCATCTTCTTCAGTCGGACCAGCCGAAGCACCCCACGCAGCGAGAGCTTCCGCCAACGGAACCTCCTCCGGCGCGGCAAGTCCAGCTTCGGCAAACGGATCTACCTCGTCTGAGTCTTCGGCAGCGGAAGCAGACGCAAAACCCATGAACCCATCCGTCGTCATCTTGAACGAGCTGTGCAGAGACGGCGGAGCTGAAGACGGCGACGGTGATAGCGACGGCGTTACACTGGTGCTACCAGCATCAACAGCGGAAGTGAACGCGCCGAACGAAGCCTGCATTCCACTCTGCTCCTCCATCGCTCCGGCACTGACAAACGACGAGTTCAAAGACCCAAACGACCGTGTCGTGCGCTCTGCAAACGGGTCACGCGGGGACGGCGTGGTCTCTGCAGCCCCCACAATTTCTCCAGAAGGCTTCACCGCCTCATGCAGCGACGCAAACGACCCACGCAGCGACGTCGGAGCCGACGAAGACGCCACCGACTGCGGCGTCGTCGCCGTCAGCGTGAAAAGCTCGTCGTCACCAAACGCCGGTGCAGACGCAGAGCTGCTCCCCCCAGTCTCCTCACTAATTCCAAAGAACGGATCACTCGGAGCCGACGCCTGCACGGGGGAAAACGACAGCAAGTCGCCCGTCTCCGCCCCCTTCTCTTTCTCCACAGCAGCCTCAGCCGACGGGAACGACGCAAACTTGGTCGCCGTCGGTGGAGGCAGCGGCATGGGCAGATTGAAGCCGCTGGGGCTCGACGCCGTCCTGCTGCGCGTCGACGCGCTGCCCACGGACGTCATCGATGCCGCCAGCGGGTTCGTCTCCGTCTCCTGACCGCTGTTGCCCCACACGAGGTCCAGGATCGCCGCTCTGGCCGCCGACGGAGACGCAGACGCCTCCTTCTCCTGCTTCAACTCGTCTTCCTCCTCCTTGGGCGCCTCCTGCTGCTGTCCTGCCGCCCCGAGTCCCCCCGTGATGTCCGCGAAGGGGTCCACCTCGCCGCTGATGGACGGGAGCAAAGCTGGTGGAGGCGCGGCGGATGACGCAGGCCCCGTCAGAGGCGAGAACGACATGAGCGACGAGCTGTCCGGAGGCTGCTGCGAGCTGCCGGCGGCGAAGGCGCCGAAGTCCGCGTCCGCGCCGTAGACGTCGCCGAACGGGTCCGAGAGCCGCTCGGCCGCCGCGAAGTTGCCGAACTCGTCGTCGGCGTCGCCCGCCGTGAAGCCCGAGGACGCCGCCATGGCCGAGAGTGAAGCTGCTGCTAGCTCGTACGTGGCGACTATGTCGAGTGCGCACTGCCCCCTCCCTCTCCCTACGCATACTGAGATGAAGTGAGGTGAAAATATCATGAGATGGCATAAAATTGTGGAACGGAATGGATTAAGAAACTGACATTTGGAATAATTATTCCGGACGTAGTAAGCGATGCTCAGGTTTAGTCTCTGACAAAAAACCGGCAACTGCAACAGTAGCGCTGCTCGAGTCTCTTCGAGGCTCTTCGCGCACGAGGTCTCTCAGCCTTCTGCATGCCCAAGTCAAACTTGCGTTGCTCTCAATAGATTAGCCCCGTAGCAATTGCATCACGCGAGCCCACTAATCCATGCGCACAACTCTACCTCTGTTGACTTCCACAGCTAAATACTTCTGCTCTTTCTTTCAAGGTGCTACATGCCTCCGTCACTAAGAAATTGCAGAGTTATCTTGGATCTCAATATGTGAATTTTGCTTTTTCTCGTGCACTCTTCTTTACCAGAATTGTAGTGGTTTTACTGCAATTGTTTCCGGCCGGAGGAATTACTCGCCTCTTCCGGCAGCTCTATTGGTCACCAACTTGGTGCTGCTCAATGCGAAAGCTACTTTCCTCTTTCTGCAGGCTGCCCAATGCAAGAACTGCTTGCCTCCCGACGGCAAGTGTGCGGTACACCATGTTTCTAACTCGTTTTTAAATGGCCGGGCTATACCAATTGAAGCTCAAGGGCCATAGTGAAAGCCTCTCACTTCTCTTCCCAGCTGCAACTGGTACAGCTCCATATTTTGGGCTGAATCTCATTGGCCGAAAGGGCCACTTAAACGAGTGACTTGTGTACTTTAACAAGTGAGGCGGGCGTCCCTTCGTGCGAGTGGCCATAAGCCGGGGTAGTACCGTACTTTGCTGAAAAAATATTCAAAAGTAAATGGCTTCAAAGCGAGATTCAATTGAGAGGTGGAATTTCTGAATCTGCCAATTCACTAATATGAAGGGTCGTCCCATGGAAGTCTTCGGGCAGAGTATACACATACCAAGACAACGAAAGAAACAGTATAAAACATATTTAGTGGTCTAGATTTCACAAATATGTTTAAAACACCTCCAAGTTGAAGCAGGGCACGTTTAGAAACGAAAAGTGAGCGGTATACTCTCAGCCCTTTAGGCTGAGAGAACTGGGGCGCGCTTCGCGTGCGGGTCTCTAAGCGGACCGAACAATTTTGTGTTTTTTGCTACTAAAACGGTTAGGACGCGCCGCGCCTCAGCGCCAGTCTGCACTTGTTACTGTTATTAACATTATCACCAATATTTTTGTGAGTACTATACATGAAACGATTCATATTACTACAAGAAACTTAAATTTTCATACTATTATAATTGATGTTGACCAGGGGTATGAATAAAAAATTCAATATGAAAATTGTCAATTAATATGACGAAAATATGTGTTATTGGCAAGCGCCATATTGACATTTGTATTATTGGCTCGTACGATTTCAGGGTATTCAAAAACACAGTCAAGGCGCATGGAATTGAAATAGTTAATCAGTATAATAATTAGCTTTGGTTATCGTCATATTTAAATCATTATTACTGTCAAGCAATTTTACCAATTCAATATAATACTGAATTGGAGGGGCCCTGATGTTGACAACATCATGTTGCAATTGGTATTTATTGCAACTGCCACTGTCGCCACCACTGCCATGCTACAGCTACTGCGGCTGCTACTGTCACTGCTACTGCCACTGCTTCAGTCACTGTCACTGACACTGGCACTATCGCTGCTGCTCTTACTCCTACCTCATCACTACTTATATTGCTATACTACTCATATTCCACTATTGTTAAAGATATTGCATTTGTTATGCTACCTGTGGCGCGCGTTACTGCTGGTGACAGGCACTATCTGCTTACCACTACTGCAACTACAGCTGGAGCAGCTGTACTACAGCTACTACAACTACTATTTCACTACTGTTAATGATGTCATAGTAATGTTGTCATTGATATTGCTTGTTCGTACACTCCACGACAAAAAGATATGGACACCACCAAAAGTGGCTGTAACTTCGTCATTTTTATCGTTTTAAGGTGCGGTTTGGACTAGAGTTGCAGAACACGCTGATAAAGATCTGCACGCTACTAACACGCGCTTCTTCAGGTATGGACAGCTAATCCCCATACAAAATCCTATATTAACCAAAACCCCTTACAAATGATACAACTTGGACTTTGTATGGGGCGACAAAGGAACCAGCCTCACGGCGATACTCGCGACGTTAGACAAATATCTGATGGCATTATCGTGTACTAGAAGGTGTGTTTAGTGATCTGTAATAAACACATCGACCATCGCACAGAACTGAGCAAGTAGTAAGCGACTGAAATTTCGAGTGGTGGCTACGTATTATCTGATGATTTGCGAGACACCTTCAGTTGCATCCTAGTTAGTGCCAATTTGTAGCTCTGTATGCTGCTACCTTTTGGATATACGATTGTCTTCTCCATTCTAAACTGTTGGTCGATGATATATGGCTCAGTACTAAGGTAGAGTGGAGAAATCATGGGTTCCTTTGTCGCCCCATACAAAGTCCAAGTTGTATCATTTGTAAGGGGTTTTGGTTAATATAGGATTTTGTATGGGGATTAGCTGTCCATAAGTTTTGTCACCTGGGCAGCACCAGTGATTTGTATGTGAGCTACCTGAAGAAGCGCAAAAGCGCGCGTGTTAGCAGCGTGCAGATCTTTATCAGCGTGTTCTGCAACTCTAGTCCAAACCGCACCTTAAAACGATAAAAAATGACGAAGTTACAGCCACTTTTGGTGGTGTCCATATCTTTTTGTCGTGGAGTGTATCTGCTGCTATCGCTACTGCGACTGTTTATTATCTGCTGCCACTACCGCTACCGTTGTTATTTACGCTACAACTACGATCTCAGCATTGATAATGGCACTGTAATGATATTGCTCCTGCTTTCTTTTTCATGCCTGAGAAAGACTGCCAAAATCTACTCCATACTGCTTGGCTTGCTGCATAATATCACGGGGCATTTCATGGCTTGCTCAAACTAAATTTATAAGTAGATGCCATCTGAATATCGCCGTCCACCGTGGTGAAAACGAAGCGATCCAAACATTATCGATGATCTTATCGTCCACTAGACCCTTGTAAATCACTCTCCTATTTTCCAAATAATGTGTGTGACTTGTATTGCTGCGTAAATAATATCAATATGACGTATTGTGTCTTTCACGTATTTTGGCGGGTGAGCTGTTAATTCAGGCGGAATTAGAGTCATAAAAGGGTGATCAACGCTTATTTAGTGCTAATTATGCCTAAGATCGTGAGCGCTTCCCCTAACATCCGCGATCAGCTAATCGACGGAGATACGAACAGAATGGCATGGATTGGCGGATAGGAAACCGCCAATCGCTCTGTTTCCGCCTATTAATAACGAAGGCTGGATTAGCTTATTCCGCCTTGAGTCGCCTCACCATCGCCGCTCCTAATTCGGCCACGGAGGGACGACCCGGAATTAACATGGGAATTAGCTAACTCGGGGCATAATTAAGGTCGATAACGGATTAGAGTTATGCCAGAATTATCACGGCAGAATAAGTGAAAGGCACAATAATTTTTATTCGGTATATTGCTATTGGAATTGTTCGCCTGCGTCACGATCACTGCCAGCTACCACTGCAACTGCCCAACTGTCAATGCCACCGCTACTGCAACCGCTATTAGTTACTGACTTTGAAACTGAAATTGTTATCGCTATTTCTGTTACTATCTTTTTTTCCTCACCCCACGATCAGGAAGAAAACTGTCAAGGTCTACAGTACTCCATGGTGCGTGAGTTGTTGCAACCAAGTATAATGGCATCCAACGAGACTTCTTCGCGAGCCGCACCTAGTAAAATACCTCTATTTTTACGAACTACATCTGCAGTTTACACGTTACTGCAGTTATAAAGTACGCGGTGCAAATTGGCGCTAATTTCGCTGCGCCATGCGTTCATATTGCTTTACTTAGGTTCTTGCTGCAGCAAACATCACGCCCATCTAATCGAGCACTCTAAAGTGCACCACCATGGACTTGTCCGTCTATATCAATGTAGATACTGGTACTCAATATGATGCGACGTCCAGAAAACACTACGCATGCTACTATGGTGCGACGTCCGGACACTGCATACACTACTGTCGCGCCATGCGCACTCCGTTTTGGATTCCGCAGCCTGCATGAGCCCCAACGTCGCACAGTACCACAGTATGCATCGTAATGGTGGGTGTGAATTAAACCGCACATTTTGTTTTGCTTAAGTTTTATTCCAAATCCAAAACCACGTCAAAAGCATCGATCCGGACGCTGCGCTGCTTTATACCGGTAATACCATGAGATTTTGGATACTCTAGTTCATATTAAAATGTACCGAATGTATTCAACTGATGGTCTGACAAGAAATGACGCTGGCTCTAAGCTATCCGCTTAGAGAACTTGGGGGCTCTACTTGTCGTTGATTCATGGCGACGTGGGTGAGGGATGTTGGAGTCCAACTTGGACGGGGGCTTGGAGGGTGAGGCTTCTGTCCGCTCGCGACAATGGCACAACGGCTTGGAGAGAGACCGCTGCGCCTTCGCCCTTCACCTTGAACCCGGTGTCACGTCGTTGTCAGATCCTCTCCGTACCGAACGGCAATCCGTCCGTCCACCTCTGGCCGAAGTATCAATCGTCGCCACCAAGGATGTCCTTCACGTGACTTGACAAGTGAGCAGCCCACCTCACCTCGCCTCGCTCCTTTCCTTTCCGTCGCAGCTGATTGTTTACCATCCATCGGCATCTTGGTCTCCTCCAAAGGCTCAAAAGCTCTCGGTCCCTCTTGAGCGCGTGCACCTTTTTCGCCTGGTCTCGCGTTACATCGCAAGGCTCAACGGCGACAAATTGTACATGTACCGCAGCCCTCGCGCTGTGAGTCACTTTCAGATTTGCGGCCTGCAGCTCACATGACGAATCAACGTGCAGCGGGGAACGCGTACGACGCCTTCGCGTCGCCCGCGCGGTCGTCCACGGCCATCGACATGGAGTTCAGCTCCATGCAGAGCGCGCCGTCGTCCGTGATCAAGTCGTCGACCAGCGCGTCGGACAAGACGCTGTACGACCACGACCTGGTCATGGTCTTCCCGCGGCGCGAGGGCGGCGAGCTCAAGAAGCCCGACGACTTCACGCTGCGCAGCTTCGTGCAGCTCATGCTGGGCAAGGACGCGGAGCGCAGTCAGCTCGCCAACAAGATCGTGATCGACCCGTTCCAGCGCGTGCTGCGCACGTCGCGCTGCTTCCTGGACGAGCGCGGCGTGGACGTGGTCACGGACACGACGAGCAACGACCACAGCGAGTCGGGCGAGCAGCGGCGCCTCGAGACGCAGCAGCAGCTGCTCAAGACCGAGTACGCGCAGTTCGTCGGCTCGCTCGAGGCCACGACCGAGACCAAGTTCTGCGAGCTCGTGGCCACGGCCATCGCGCGCCGCGTGCAGCTCGCGTGCGGCCTCACCACGCGCATGTTCCTGAGCTGCGACGCGGACGAGATCATCATGACCATCAAGGCCGACAACGACGACCTGCGCGTCGAGGCCGACCGCACCAACTACCGGCTGCAGATCAGCAACAAACCTTTTGACAAGACGCTGCACGACAAGAAGCTGCAGACGCTGCGGCGCGAGATGGGTGAGCAGGAGTGGCAGAGATCCATGGACCACCTGAGGCAAACGCGCGGCTGCGCGGACGAAGGCGCCGACCAGCCCGAGACGGACCCGCTGCTCGTGTCGCGCGGAGACGAGTTCCACCCGGAGCTGCGCAAGGCGCTGGACCGCTGGGGCCACACGGAGGAGGCGGACGGGCTGTTCATCGACGACGAGAGCTGCCGACGCGTCCAGGGCAACCACTGGGACCGCTTCTGGACGTCCATCTTCGCGCTGCCCTACGACCCCATGACGTACTTCGCGCCGTTCGCAGAGTACCGGCACGAGGAGAAGTATCAGCCGTATTACCGCCGCTACCCGGTCAAGTGGGGCAAGAAGAAGGAGGAGACGCTGTTCACGCAGAAGGACCGCATCCGTCTGGCCGAGGGCATCGTGGACAGGCATATCAACACGGACGCGCTGGAGGCCGCGGGGTACTTGGAGGGGCAGATGTTCGCTCTACATGACGCTGCAGCGCTCCATGACCTTCGTCACTCGTGGGCGCTGCACTGGACGATGCTGTATCAACCGCTGCACAAGATCCGCTACTACTTTGGAGAGAAGATCGCGCTCTACTTCGCGTGGCTGGAGTTCTACACCAAGATGCTCGTGTTGCCGACTATCGCGGGTATTATCACGTTCTGCTACATTGAAGCGCGTCAGGCGGTGACGGGTACTAACCAGCAAGGCTACATCCTGATTGCGTTCGCTATCTTCGTGGTGATCTGGTCGTCCATGTTCTCGGAGCTGTGGAAGCGCAAGAACGGTATTCTAGACTCGCTCTGGGGGCTCAGCGGGCTGCACGAGTCGTTCCGTTACCGTCCTCAGTTCCGCGGCACCAAGAGCTACCACCCGACGACAGACGTGGAGGAGGTGACGTACGAGAGCAAGACCAAGCGCCGTCGCGCCTTTGTCGTGTCCGTAATGGTCGTCACCTTCATGGTCGGAATCGTGGTCGTGGCACTCTTTGGTCTGTTCGTGCTGAAGCACTGGATCAACAACAGCGACAACCTCGAGAACCATAACATCAGCGCCAAGTACCAGCAGTCTCTGACGCTCGGTGTGACTGTGGTCAACGCTATCCAGATTCTGGTTCTCAATACGGTGTATCGCCTTGTGGCTCGCAAGCTGAACGACCTGGAGAACCACCGAACGGATGCCGAGTACGAGAACTACCTGGTGATCAAGGTGTTCCTCTTCCAGTTCTGCAACTCGTTCGCGTCGTTCTTCTACATTGCGTTCGTGAAGCGCTGGGCCGAAGGATCCTGCCTGTACGAAGACGACTGTATGAGCGAGCTGCGCGACCAGTTGCTGACGCTGTTCTTGATCCGAATCGTGGTGGGCAACACGACGGAAGTGGCCATCCCGTACTTGAAGTATCGCTACCAGCTCTTCGCCGAGCGCAAGGCTGCGAACGCGGCTGTCGAAGGCGCCCCCAAGGAGACTGGGGAGGAGAAGGGTGGTCACAACTTCATCGAGGAGCAAGCCAAGCTTGTGCCCTACGAGAGCAACGAAGCGTTCGAGGACTACAACGAGATGGTGATCCAGTATGGATTCATCAACTTGTTCGTGGTGGCGTTCCCTCTGACGCCATTGCTCGCTCTGGCCAACAACATGCTCGAAGTTCACGTTGATGCCGTGAAGCTCTGCTTCGTGCACCGCCGACCGTTCCCCCACCCGGCCAAGGATATCGGTGTGTGGTTCTACATCCTGCGCTTCATGACGTACATCGCACTTGGAACAAACTCGGCGCTCATCTTGTGGACGTCCGACTTGTTCGAAGACCAGGATGGAACCGTCAAGGCCTTCAGCTTCGTTGTCGCGTGCCAGGTCTGCTTGGTCTTGGCGGTTCTCGTCGAACGTTCGATTCCTGATACTCCTCGTGAGCTCAAGCAGATTACGGAGCGCTTCGAGCACATCGTGAATGTGGTCTTCAAGGGTCTGTTTGAGGGCGATGACTCCAACCTCAACGAAGTGGCGGAGCGCTTGGACCTGCAGATCTACCCCAACCACCAGTGGGATGAAACGAAGGTCCACTACACGTAGATCAAACACCTCAATGAGACCACGAAGCAACTCCAAAGGCGCTTGCTGGTAATAGATCGGGTTGCTAACGCAGAATTAAAACAAACCTTGTAATAAGCGGATCCCGTTCTTCGTAGTATCAAATCTCGCCCAACAAACTGCAGAGTGAACTCAAGAGCGACACAGACGCAAGATCGCTGCTGATGTCCTTGATATCTGCTCTCCAATAGAACGACCACTTGGTTGCTGTCCAGATTTACTGCGCTCATTCTCCACTCGAACGTCTTGCTCTTGCGACGCCAACTCCTTTACAACTTTGAGCACTCGTCCGTCTTCAATCATCCAGTGGCTCACGAGCGCGTTATTGCCTTCGCAACGCAGACAGTTCTTCAGCGTAAGCAACACACGCAGCATTACCACTCCATCGACTGCCAAGTCATTTGCTTGCAAGCATAATAGAAGCGAACTGCATATACAGACGTTCTAATCAGCAACGAGACAAAACAAAGTGCCAGCAATCCATACTCATGCTGCGTACCTCGATACGGATTCGCTTGCTTGTGTAGATTCCTTGTGGTGAAACAGCGCTTCATTCAGCTGCTCGCCGAAAATCTACAACATAGATGTGTTAGTGAGCGTTGTATTATCTATAGCATCTTCTGTAGCTGGGCAGTATTTACCTGGGATAGAAATACAAGACATCGAGAGGCGAGATCCGCAATTTTATCCTCAACACGGATCTTTCCGCGTGGTGAGAACGCGCTATCGACATCGTCTTCCTCCGGTGATAGATCTTCACCTCGACCGTTCATCTTTCTCTTAGCATTAGCACCAGTGCACAGTCGTATCATCAGTGGCCCACAGCGGACCAGCTCGTCAAACCCTTGTGGAGATGAAGGTATACTTTGCTCGCGCATTTTCCCGTACTGCTGATGAAGCAGATGTAGCAAAACCACCAACAAATCCACCAAGTTACTGTCGAGAACCTTCCGCCTTGTAGAGAAAACTAACCCAGCCACCATACCTTCAGCGATACCCGACTCGTACAACACGTCGAGGTGTCCCTTACGCGAATCAACCAGTACATTTAGAAGTTGTGTAGCGTGAGAGGGCAGCGCCTGGAACTTCGGCGATACACACAGCAATCCCAAAATCGCGGACATCACTCGGAGTTCTTTCGCCTCACTATGGAGAGATGAATCACTCGAGATCAAGCCAAAAAGCAGCTCGCTGGCAAGACTCCAAGTGCTTTCTACCTTGACACTCTGTCCATTCACCATAGAATCAAGGGAAGGAACGAGTGCTGATCGAATGAAGCGGTCGTACAGCTCGTACTCACCATTATCGTCCTCATAGTCAAAATCCAAGAGCACAACGTGAAGGATCTTGAGACAGTTTACTGCGAGCGCATCATCATTCTTCGATCCTTCGGTCGGCGTAATGTGCTCCACCACCGCAGGTAGCAAATGTGTGAATAGTACTTGCTTTTCTACCAACACAATGTCGCTAGCCTCCCTGGCGGAAAATTCAAACAGGTCCAGCAAAATTCTGGACACGTAAACCGCGACCGTCGTCGTATCCAAGTCTCCATAAACGTTTAGTTCTTCATTTGGGAATGCGGTGAGCAGCTTAGCCATCAATCGTAAGAAGAACGTGTACTGCTTGCTGTCATTCGCCACGAAATAGTTCAGAAGTTGAAGACGACACGTAGGATTTCTCAACAAACCACTGAAGAGCTCGAAAGGCAGCGGTGATATCTTAGGAGAACGGTGCTCTGTGTTGTTGTTGTTAGCACTATCGGTGTCTCCATGTTCATGGGATGAAAAACAATCGGCTCCAAGTTTGAGAGCCATTCGAATCGTGAGCTTGCACAGGTTTAGCGCACACTGCGAGAGGTACAATTCAAATGCCGACAGCTTCGACTCGGGCGATACTGAGCCAGGTGTGTCGTCGTCTTCGTACAAATGGTCTGCGATCGGAAACAAAACCTGCTCAACGAGCTTGAGGGCGTCGTTTTGCACGAAAGACTGTAGAAACCCTCGGTTCAGCTGCACACCCAAACGGAGCAGTATGAGGCTTTTTGCTCGCAGGATTGTCGTATTGTCACCTCCTTCGCCATCAGCTCCACTACTTGCAGTTCCTTTCAACAGCAACATCCTCTGAATTGAAGAAAAAGCCACAACTCGGTCCAGCAATAATTCACGACTGGCTTTGATCGCAGTAGATTCTGCTTCTCGATCAGCCGCAACCTTGATGTCCAAAAACGCGTTAACAATATTCAGCGATGCAATCGCCAAGTCAACCGCCCCCTTAGCATTTTGGGCACCTCGCCACACCGCATTCAGTACCTCGGGCTTCGCAAAATGAAGTAGAATCGACCGTTTTAACCGCGACGGCAGATTTGCCGCTGATGACGGTGTGCGAAGATGCCTCAATACTTGTGCAAGCGCCTCAGTTGTTGTAGTACGCAGTGCAAGATGAGTTTGCGACGCCTCCCAATCATTTTCCCAGCCAGAGTTTGCCTGTGAATATTGCAGTAGGCATTCAGTCAGAGTAACCACAATTTGCTCACTCATCAGTTTTGGAAGCAGGATATCTGTACAGTGAATGAGCATGTTGCCAAGCGTTCGGACGGCGTAGTAGCGAACGCCAATGTCAGGATCATTTACACAGGCCAGCACACCTTCCACACCATCCATAGGAAGTTCCCACTCCTGCTGCGTGGAAATATAAAACAGTAGTTCCCCCAGGCAGGCCAGCGCGAGAGGACGAGACTCCAAACCGCTTTCCTCAGAGACTTTCTCCATGCTTGGCTCGATAAGAACTTGCAGAAGTGTTCCCACAAGTTGGCGTAGTTGATCGGGAGAAGACGGCGTGATGAACGTTGCAAACCGGAAGAGAACGCCCAAAACGAGACACAGCATCGGTAGCAATACTCGATTCGACGATGCCAATCGAGATTCGTGACCCAACATCCTGATCAGTAGCTTGAGAATAGAGCTGTTGACAATCACGTGGGCCAGGCGAGCGTGGCAGCTGAGAGAAAATAAATACGCCATGACGCTGAGTTTTTCTGTGTCATCGGCCTGCGAAGACTTGAGACTGACGTAGATTTCCTTGAGCTGGCTTTCCAATGCCTCTGTTGTACACGAGAGAAGATCTTGAGGAGATGTCGGCTCAAAGTGAAGATGGTCCGCGTGAATACGTGGCAAGTCCCCGATCTGGATATCTTTGTTCCCGATGATTGACTTTACTCTGCAGTCAGCTGCAGTAAAGATGAGTTTTGAGACTTTCCGCAGACCACCTCCGGGTGCACCGTCGCGATCAAACAGGGTATGAAGTTGTATTCGCCGCCGAGGAGCATTGCTAACCGCCGGGGGCGCAGAGTGAGGGTCGTTCGCAGCTCGCCATCGATGCCTCATGTCAATATCCAATGGGATGGAGTCAATGTGCTGATCCTCTATGCTAGCATCATCCTCGTCCAAGCCCTCGTTATTACTCGTCGTTGTACGCATCTGTGAGCTTGGTGCACTAACGGGGCGTGTTTCATCGTGATCCCTTCGTTGGGTTGACAAGCCATCCAACAAATCCTCCGAACTGGAATCCATAGAGGCAGCAAACGCAGCTCCATCATCTCCAGTGGCTGCAGATGTAGGGGCATTTGCGTTTGCCTGCGCCGAGAAAATTCCAGGGGTGCCCTTGGCCGAATTCTCATCCTCATCATTTCCTTGTTGATCGTCATTTGGGCGATCTTCGAAGCTGACCGATGCACTTGACGCAGCACTGGCGTCGGGATACCTGCTACAGACTTCATGTGAAACCACGATGTACATACGACCAAGCCCACCTGCGCTTTTAAGATGACTTACCTGCGTGGACTAGGCCCGGCGGCATCGAAAATGGCTTGCGCTGGCATCACAACTTTTTCGAGGCGAGGTAAATCGTTCCAAAACGGGTGGTCGACTAGCTCGTTCCTGGTCGTGATTTCTCGTCAGAAAAATTCTTCGGATGCATGGCTAACCTTGCACCTCCGAAATGTACGACGCACCACGTGATTCGCTGATAAGGGTCTTTCACCAGCAACCGCTCCAGAAGATTGCAAAATACTGGGGACATTTCATATCCAGGGACCGGAAGCACTACGGTATCCGTTTGGATCTTCCTCAAATATCGAAAACGCCGACGACATGTTAACATGGCGGAGAGAAATATTAATTTAACCACATCTAGACGTACCATTCGCGCTAACTCGGAAAAATTGGTATGCGTAAATGGTTGTCGACCTGTTCTGAGTTCGTACAGCACGCACCCCTAAGTAGACCGAATATCCATTAGCTATGGCGCATGTTACTAGGTTGTAGTTCATCGTACCAGAGCCCAAAAGTCTGACGCAAAGCTGTGTATTGCTGGCTGCTGGAATAACTCCGGGGCCATATAGTGTGGAGAGCCTGGAGCAAGCTGCATGTTGACAAGATCTTCAATCAGTTTTCTACCATGCTCGAAATTGCAACAAATAAAATCCTCTCTTACTGGTCGTGTCGGGGCTGCGTCGCTTCCAGGAATGCGTCGTGCAAGTCCAAAATCTGCCAACTAAAACCGAACCAGCGTCAATTCTGGCCCCTCCTTGCGATTTCAACACCTACCGCACCTTCAACGACCCAAACTCGTCGATGAGCACGTTTGCCGGCTTCAAGTCGCAGTACAAAATGCTGTTGGCGTGCAAATACTGCAGTCCCGCCACGAGTTCAAGCCCGAACGACTGTAATACAATCATACCGATCAGATACGTAACACATAAAACACGCCGCAATGCTGCACTTCAATTGTTCCGCACCTTGACGGCCGCCTCTGGCAGCTGCTTGTCCTGCGTGATGAGGTTGAGCAGGTCCCCGCCCATGCAGAACTCGAGGATGAGCCAGATGTGGTTGGACGACTCGTACCAGTCGAAGAACTTGACCACGTAGCGACTATCCAGCTTGTGCAGGAACGGCACCTCGTTCAGAATCTACCACACCAAGCAGCAGCAACAACAAATATTCCATTAAAAATAGTAAAAATATCGCAAAAGGATAGATGCTTTGGCCTCCTCACCTTGTCCATGCGGCTCTTGGCCGTGGACTTGACGGTCACGTACTCGATGCTGCGCTTGCGCCGCGCCTTGTACACGAACGAGTGCGTGCCCCGCCCGATCTCGTCGTAGATGTTGTAGTTCTCCATCAGGCAAAGGCAAGGAAAAGTGCGCAATGCAATCCTCGGCGGCGTTTCGGCCGGAAAGATCTGGTGTGGTGCACACCACGCCTTGAGAATCATGTGGAGGGCTCTTTCTTTCTTCCCTTTCTTTTTCTCTCTCGCAGAGCCAAATATACTGCCTCCAAGCTACTGCAGCTGCCCGTCCTCGCCGCCGTCGTCTTCTCCACAACCCCCAGCGCCGCAACCAGCTACTACCAGACCGAGACCAGGAGGTGCGTTGGTGCACGCTGCGATTCGCTTTCTCCCCGCACCGGTCGCACGCTCCAGCGATAGTCCGAATCATGACACTTGTTCTTACTGATCTTTATTTATTTTCTATTGTGATGTTGCCGATGCTGCAGAGTCAATTAGGGAGCCAGCATGTCGTACGCGTACCTGTTCAAGTACATCATCATCGGCGACACCGGTGCGTTTGGTTGCCAGTCTACACTGCCATGGACCCAGAAAGATCCAATACTGATATTGCTGTTGCTACCTGGTTATTTTGCTGCTGCAGGCGTGGGCAAGTCGTGTCTGCTGCTGCAGTTCACGGACAAGCGCTTCCAGCCGGTGCACGACCTCACGATCGGCGTCGAGTTCGGCGCGCGCATGATCAACATCGAGAACAAGCAGATCAAGCTGCAGATCTGGGATACGGTGGGGCTCTAGCTGGGCAGTTGCAAGAGGTTGACGCTGGGGGCTGACTTTAGTGGATTTGTTCGCTGGTGCAGGCCGGCCAAGAGTCGTTCCGATCCATCACGCGCTCGTACTACCGCGGAGCGGCGGGCGCGCTGCTGGTGTACGACATCACGAGACGAGAAACGTTCAACCACCTGACGAGGTGGCTGGAGGAGGCGCGCCAGAACTCCAACTCGAACATGGCCATCATGCTCATCGGCAACAAGAGCGACCTGGAGCACCGTCGCGCCGTGAGCTTCAAGGAGGGCGAGCAGTTCGCCAAGGAAAACGGCCTCATCTTCCTCGAGACGTCCGCCAAGACCGCCGCCAACGTCGAAGACGTGCGTGCTGAGTTCCTATGAACTGACGGAGGTTTGATTGACCTGCTAACTGTTATGTGTGGTGTGATGGTTATGGCGCAGGCCTTCGTCAAGACGGCGTCCAAGATCTACTCGAACATCCAGTCGGGCGTCTGCGACGTCACCAACGAGGTTCGCACAAATATGATGTGATGATTGAGCCCATGCAATGCAGAGAAGCTGACACTCTATTGTGCGTTTGATGCAGGCACATGGCATCAAGGTGGGCATGACGGGCTCGCCTGGCCCTGGCGGCTTCGGCAACTCGAACCCTCCGGCCAACCGGGGTTGCTGCTAAAGTTGCTGCTGTCCGTTGGAACGGGTGACGTAGGGCTCACACACGAGAAGTGTGGGTCCCAGTAAGAGCCGAGAAAGCCATTCAGACAGATCTAACTAGTCGCTTTCATCCCCTTGACATTCATTGCACGGAAACAAAGACGTCCACATCCATGATGCCCATCAACTGCCTCGTCGTACTTTGCATGGCGCATATCTCCACACCCATCGTACACAAAAGCCATCGTACACAAAAGCCATCGTACACAAAAGCCATTATCAGGTCCTCGTCATGGTGGCGACGTCGATGCTCGCCGAGCTCTCGGCCGAGATCCTGGAGGCGCTGGAGCAGCTTCTGGACGTGGAGGCGCTGATCCATCTGTCCATGACCTGCCGCCTCCACCTGGGGACGCTACGAGCTCTCATAGAGGCGCGGTGCAAGCGCGAATGCTTCACTTCGTACTTGACTCCGACTGTGGCGTCCTACCGCATGCAGGCGGCCGTGCCAGCGACGTGGAGGCAATTGTACGCAGCGTTCAGCAGCCTCCAGAACCTCCGCTGGGAGGTCTGCAAAGCGGACGGCGCGTCGTCGTCACTGCGCGCGCTCAAGTCCGACAACCAGGAGTACGAGGTCGACACGACCGCCACGTTCCTCGTGCGCAGCGGCGGCCACTACTGGTTCAGTGTGTTGCAGGCGAGAATCGCAGAGGTGACGCTGGGTGGAGAGCAGCAGCCGCAACAGAACACAGCGGAAGCACTGAAGTCCAGTCGACTGGATGCGCTGCCATTCCTGCAGTCGCCGCAGCAGATCACCATGGGCAAGTGGGAGAAGATCCGAGCGGTGGGCAAAGGCCCGTGTCCACGACGCAACCACTCCATGACCTGTTTGCCCGACGCACAGTGTGATCGGAAATTGCTGCTGGAAACGGATGGGGTGAGAAGTCCCGTCGAGGAGGAGGAGGCCGTTGTGAACGTCCGGCGGATTGTTTTCTTCGGCGGGCAGTCGGAGGGCATCCCGTTTGAAGCATTTGGGGATCTCTACTTGTTGTGTGTTGAGGACGTCGCAGCCGGGAGTGTGAAGAAGGCTCGGGCAGCTTGGATAGAGCCGAAAGTTGTGGGGAAAGCGCCGTCGCCGCGCTGCGGACACACCGCGACGTTACTTTCTCCTGAATTGTTGCTGATCACGGGCGGGAGCATGGGGGTGTCGCCCATTTTGACGCTGGATGTGTTTCTGCTGCACATTGGCGGATGCTCTGGTAAGTTATTGCGTACCGAAAAATGCGCTGCTCTGTGGACCAATTGTACATGATGAACGTTGCAGACTTCCGCTGGTCGACGCCATCTTGCAGCTCGAGGATACCAACGGGCCGATCATTGCACGATGTTTATCGGTAAGACATCGCTGATACTTGCACCACGCAGCACGCGACACGCAGCACATTAACGCCGTAGCGTTCGCCATCTTTCATTTTCAGAGTATCGGACAGTGAAGTGATAATTTTTGGCGGTCGCCAGGTGAGGGAAGCAAGAGCAAAGAGGTTCACCACAACTCGTGCTAACGTTTGTTTGGTCATATAAGCAGATCCGTCAGTCAAATGGTCTGCTGGGTGTGCACAAGCTGCAGGTTACAACTGAACAAGACGAGCTAGGCGACACCAACTACTCTATCGAGTGGTCGGAGCCGCGGCTATCTGGTTCGTTGCCTTGCTCGCGGCGAGGCCACAGCACGAACACGATCGGCCCCAGAATGCTCCTCTTCGGAGGCCAAGACGAGTCCACTGGTCAGCTCAAGAACGACGTTCGGGTGCTCAACATCCCTGAGCAGAGGTGGCAGCGCCTGGATGTGCCTGGCGAGGCTCCGTGCCCCCGGCGCGGCTTCAAGAACCAGTACTTCGGAACGACTCTCGTCATCTCTAGCGGCTTCGTGCGCTCCACGCAGGCGGGCAAAGTCGACCACCAGCTCCCAGACAGCGACGTCCACGTATTGAGCTTACTGTAAAACGCTAGAAGACTTCTCGACTAGGAGGATATTGTCCTTCCTCATGCGGAGATGATGGAGGTGCCCAGACCACGATGGGGCTCGCAAGTTGAAGTTGCTCGGTCCCGTCGCTTGCACAGGATTCCACGCGCCGAGTCAATGCAGCCAGAAGTCGAAGAGCCAAGACCCGACTAGCCAACCGCCAAGACAAGCCAACTCAAGACCGTCGCCATGGTGAACAACAAGCTGTACAAGCTGTCGCCGTCGCTGAGCCACCTGCTGGGCAAGAGCGAGCTCACGCGTCCGGCCGCCATTAAGGAGTTGTGCGTCGCTGCGACTCATCCGTCTGTCTGTTGACGGAGTATCCTTACACGAGTGAGTCTCTCTGCGTCTGTCTGTGTGTCTGTCTGCAGCTGGGCGTACGTGAAGGAGCACAAGCTCCAGGACCCCAAGGACGGCCGCCTGATCCACCCCAACCAGGAGATGAAGGACGTCTTCAGTGTGGACGAGATCGGTTTCACGCAGGTCATGGGGCTGCTGTCCAAGCACCTGGAGAAGAAGCCCGAGCCGCTCAAGCACCCATGAAGCAGCTGATGGAAGGCAACAAGAAGACACCCACCAGACCAAGTGAACGCTGAGTGCACTGCCTGCCTGCGCCCACGGCTGCGGGCGTCCAGTTCGATTCCTCGATAATATCATTGCTATCTGTTGACCCCTTTGTGCTAAATCTCGGTCGTCAGCACTCCCTCGTCGTTCAGGTACGTCTCTGGACCGACGCGATTGCTGTCGTCTTCGTCGGTTGCAGGCTGCTCGTGGCCGGCGGAGTCGGCATTGATGTCTTCAGGGCGACGTCCCGCTGCGAGCGCCATCTCCCGGTTCACTTCAGCCATCATGCGGTCCATGAAGCGCTGGCTTTCTTCCGAAGACAAGCTCCGTCCACTGAGGAGGTCGTCGGGAGGCATCAGGTAGTGCTGGTGCTGATGCGCTTGAAGTGCAGCAGGTGGCGGCAGTGGCTCATGAGTAGAAGGAGCCACCGTACTGGTATTCTCCTCTGCTGCTGTGCCCTCGACCGCTGGCTGCATTGGAGCAGTGAAGACGGGCCTCCTCTTGACCTTCTGAGACCGCAGAGTGCGGCCGCAAAACTGAGCTGCGAACAGCTCAAACGCCTCGGTGGAGATCTGCGCCATGCTCTGCATAAACTCATCCAGTGCTCTCGAGTACTGCATGTTCTGCTTGCCGACGCCACGCCGCTCCTTGTCCTTGATCTCCACCATGCTCTTCATGAGTCCTTCAAACACGGGGTGCGACTTGAAGTGCCCGAACACGCCCATGCGAGCGAACCGCAGCCAGAAGTACACTCGCTTCAGCCGCTCAGCACCAGCCTCACTGTTGTCGCCGGGTGCGGAGGATGCCAGGCGCTTGACAGTTTGGTAAAGGCCTCGGAATGCCGCGTTCTTGGACAGTTTACGCAGGAAAGGGTCACTTTCAGTGTAGACACTGGGCACGTACTTGATGTTATCAAGCTTCTTGGGCACCTTGGAGCGACTAAGCACACTGCGGAAGTTGGGCACGGTACGCAAATCGCGGCAGGCTCGGCACACACCTTGGTACTGGGGATTCGCGCGGTCGTCGTTGTCGGAGACCGGGACGAATCGCTTGCAACGCAGACTTCGAACGCAGCGGCCTTCCTTGTCCACACGCCAGAGACACTCGCTGAACACGGCATCCTGCAGTACGAGCCGCTGCTCGTCGTCGAGCTTCTCCACAATACGCACTTTCTTGTCGTTGCCAAACACGCGTGGGAAGAGCTCGCGAGCAATTACATAGCGAGGTCGGCTGCCTCCAACAATCTGGACGGCATTAGCGACGTAGGCCTGCACGTTTTCGTCGCGGAGCCCTGTGCACGGCACATGATCACTCGGCATCACAACATCATCCGCTTTGCTGGCGTCGTTATCCTCAGGAGGAGCCAACTCGGAGAGAAATGCCACAGCGGCGGGGTCGCTTTCCATTTGGACGTCAGCCTCAGCGTCCTTCGACTCATCCACCTCGCCATCGTGATCGTGTTCACCTCCAGCAGCAACAGTAACTTCTGAGCCCGCGACTCCAGTAATTGCATCAGTAGTGCTAGTGTCATCGTGGTTGTCGGACTCCTTGCGCGGCACTGGTAACTGATACGAATCCGCTGTAAGGGTCGACTCGGTCTCCAGAGATGATGCACTTGGCATTACCGCGCTGCTGTTCTGGTGACTTTGTATCCCCGCAGACGTCGGAAACGAGCTCAAGTCTACGTCTTGAATGTCGCCAATCGATAAATTCGGCATCCCGAGGCCAACAACGGAAGGGTCCAGCAAGTGCACAAAGCCCTCTTCGCTTGTGATGCGCCCTGCAGTGGCCGGGGTTGACACACCGTACAGCGGATCACTCGACTGTTGGTCTTGAACAACTCTTGGCGTATTGTTACCAGTCGGGGGTAGCAGCTTACGCTTGGTAGGCAGCAGTGATCTCGATGTTGCTGCCAGCAGTTGACGTTGTTTCCTTCCACCCAAATGCTTCTGGAAGAGCTCGCACGCTTCAGGCGATAGATCGGCCAGCGAACGCATAAATGTATCAAGAAGATCACTGTACGTCATGTTCTGCAGTCCCACGCCACGTTGCTCCTTGTCCTTTAACCGCACCATCGCTTCAGTCAAGCCCAGCAATGCAGGATGAGAATCAAAATCGCCTGAGAGACTCATCGAAGCCATTTCCATCCACGTGTTAAGAGCGCTGGGGATATCTGCGAGCGCCAAATCTCGAAGCACACGCGCGTAAGGTTCTCGCATGTCGAACTCGGCCTCAAGCAGGGAGCACACACGCCCCGAGCAAAATTTCCGGTTTATCGGGTTCCGTGGAGGGCCAGGACGATTAGCCATCTTATACTTAGTCGCGGCCGCCGTTCTCAAAGCAGCGTTGGTCCGAAGAGCAGTACACGACGGACATCGGACTTCGCCTTTCCCTGAATCGATTATTCCCAGGCAATCCAAACTTCGCACGGAGTTGCCATCCTTGTCCACGAACCAGAGAGCCTCACCCTCGATTACGTCATGTAGTAACATCTTTTCGGCTTCGAGAAGCTGTTGCTGGAGCTTTGGCTGGCGCTTCTTCGAGATAGACTGCGTACTTCGATGCTCCATGTCACTTTCCTTGCCTTCTTCGGCAGTCTGGTCGTACTCCGAGGTATCAGGAAAGAGGTGAGGAAACAGCTCCCGAGCAATTTTCTGTCGTTGTCGCGCACCTCCCGTGAGTTGCACTGCAGACGTCACGAACGTGTTCATACGTTCATCGCGCAGTCCTGGGCACGGGAGCAGACCTCGCGCTCGAGCGACATCCCAGCGAATCTCACGCGGGAAGCTCTTCTTAGCCTTATGGGCTTGTAACAACGCACTTGCAGACGTGGGTGGCCTCATGAGCACCCCGGCCGATATCATCGTCCTTGCTGTAGGCGATGGGGACATGCCAGATGGGGATCCTCGCTTTGACGTGGATGCAGACGCAGTTTTCGCTCGCTTCTTCGGCTTCTGCTTGTCCGCCACATGCATCAAAAACTGTCCGGGTTGCCACGGCCCGCCAAGCAGCACTATCCGCGAGCACTTGCACTCTGCAAAACGCCCATCAGGCGTAATGCGCGTGAAATGGTCATTTTCACGCAGCGTCATTGCACCTTTGTACATCCGGACACGATCATCAGGAGCATCTGCAGTAGGAGGCACAACTACCCTCCGACCGTCTTGCACCACCCCGAATTCCCGCCGTAATACTGCATCCACCGACTGCAAGCAATATTCACCACTTTCATCCACGTCCTCCTCCTCAGCACCTTCTAGTCCACCGTCATTTCCTGCCTCGCGTTCACCAGTATTTCGATCTTGCCCTTGTCCAGCACCTGAACCTGTATCTGTGTCTGCACCTGCACCCGAATCTTTACCCTCTCCACCACTACCTTGTCGTCGACTATCTGCGCCACCCTCCACTTGACTCCCTGCCTGCTGTGCGTCTCCACTCTCACTTCCGCCTGAAGCTGCTGCTGCCGTCGCTGTCGCCTCCATCTCGGCCCTCTTCCTCTTCTTGGAGCTGGGTCTGCTCTGCCTCAGGAACGAGCAGTTCCTGCTGGCCACGTGCTGCTCGAACTTGAGGATGTACCACGGTGGGTTGAGGCGCACGTTGCGTCCGCACTTGCAGCCCACCGTGCGGCCGTCAGCCACCACCGACGCCACCACTGGATGCTCCTGCAGCGCGCGCACCTTGTCCTCTCGTCTGGAATAGTGCACCGTGCCGTTGCGCATTGCCTCGTAGGCGCTCATCGTAGGATGTTGCTGCTGTTGTTGCTGCTGTTGTTGCTGCTGCTGTTGTTGCTGCTCTTCCGGCGGCTGTGGGGGCTCCTCGCGCTGCGCCACAGAAGTAAATGCGCCGGAATTCTCGCTCTGGGCCTCGTTACGAGCCAGGAAGGCGCGGATCTGCAGCGAGTTGAGCTCCAGACTCATGTCCATGCCGCCCATGGCCATGTCCGCGAAGGCCTCGGCGCCCAAGTCGTGCTCGTCGCCCTCCTCGATGATGCTCAGCGGCGCTGCAGAGTCGTCGCGCTCCATGGGGTAGAACATGCTCATGGAGGCCGGCGCGGGGGCTGCAGAGGAAGAAAGAGATGATGAAGACGGCGGTGGAGAGCTGCTGGCGGGCGCAGCGGGCGTGGCGGAGGCGTCAGACGCCGCTGCCGCCGCAGCGACCGAGGACGCCTTCGGGTCCGACATTTTCCGTAGTCAGGGTTTGGTAGTAGTGGGAATATTGGCTAGTAGTCATACTACTACTACTACTATCCAAATTCTGGCAATAGTAGAATGATATCTATTAGTAGTAAGGCATCGGTGGTACTAGCATGACTACTAATATGACTAATATGAGTATTTGACCATCATTCCGAATTCTGACCGCAATGGTGCTTACTGGCCTCCATATGCGAAGTATGAGCTACAACTGTAGGTGCGCGCTGTCCGTTGTTATCCTAAGAGGATTCCTCACGAAAGACCCGGTTTAGACGCGCTTGGCTACGAGCAGCGTTCAAGCACGAGTAAGTTTTCGCGATCCTCCGCGAACCAACAGCACACGTAAATGCTTCCTCAAAGCTGCTCAACACTCCAGACCTTTATATTGCGTCTTCTATTTCACATGATCTCCGTTATTGCACTCTACCTTGCCTGAATATCCCGGTCAGTGCATTGCTCGATCACAAGCGATAGAGTGAGGTACTTCATTTAGAGTAAAGTGATGACTTCTGAGTAACTTCGCAAATGGCTTCTGGTTTCTTTGGAAAGATGTCATGCCCAGTATGGCAACCTAGAAATAGAAGAGGAAGACACAGCGCAAGTATACATGAGGAGGAGATCATCGGCATACATGTACTGACGAGAAGAGGTTAATAGGAAAGTTAAGCGTCATCAAGCCGAAGACTATGCAAACACCACCTCAGACTGCTTGTAGTATGCTATTCACTTCGTTTGTGCCAGTGCAACAGCCAGCACCTTACGTTGATGTATCTAGCTTCTAGTTTATACAGCAAACTAACTTCAAAAGAAATAATGTACTCGAAAGTTGAAGCATGTTACTCTTACTCAGAAGTCAGGAGAATACTTGAGGGTAAGGACGACTCCCAGATGTACAGTTGAGTGTAGGCTCCTGGGAGTCGGTATCTCCGCATTAAAGTCCCTGGTAACAAGTGCGCGGCTGCGAAATTAGTATAGCGAGCTGCTTAGTACAATTGAAGCTACAAAGGCAACCACGAACAGCAGCGTTACCTTTGAGATAACGTTAGCTTGCATTTGTCACACAGCACGTTGTTGCACAAATGATGCACCTGTCGGCCGCATACACAGCACGGAAAAGTCTCCGATATGGCACTTTGGTGGCAATCACTCTTCGCGCACTTCATGGCGTGAAGTTGGAAGCCTAATGAGGGATCCTGACTGGTGCGTGGCCACTCACTCGTGCGATCTGCCGTCGGTTGAGGAATGGGTACATTAGTAGCGATAATAGCACTACTATCCATGTTTCGTTTGGCTTCTATATAAATAGTACTACTAATGGCTCCAATCCCAGAGCTATAGTAGTAGTAATAGTAGTAGTAATAGTAGTAGTAGTCATAATATGCCTACTAACGGTACTATTCGGGAGACTACTACCAAACCCGGGTTTTGACGCAACTCGTATGCAAATTTGGTAATTTTAAATCCCGCTGTAATTTACATAATATGAAAATATATTACATTACTTACAGGGGGTTTCAAAGTTGGCAGACATAAGAACATAAACAGCTGTTCAGCCAATCCGGTTTTGCCGTCATGTCATGTTTTACTGACGCCAAAATCGAGTACAAACGACCTAAGAGCCTATTGACTTGGAATCTGATGGCTAATCTAGTCATCTCAAAGATTTCCCTTTCCTTCTTCCGCCAGTCGCGAGCCCCCACGAAGGCGCCAACTACGGCTCCAGCGTCCATGGCGTCCAACACCAGTGCGCGTTGTCTGCGTGACACTTGAAGCATTTCAGCAACGCCGTAGACTTGATGTCGGCGCTGCTGTTGCTGACCTTGGCCTTCTTAAGTCTAGTCACGCGTACTTGCCCTCGACGCTCGCGTGTTTCCTGTTGGCCTCGATCACGACGCCACTGCACTTGTACTTGCCCTCGACGACGGCGCTCGTCTTGCACTCGCCGTGGTTTGTGGACTTGCACGTGGCCTGGTTGCAGGTGCTCACCTTGCCCTCGGCGCTGCTGGTCTTGCTCTCGCCTCTTGCGCTCACCTTGTCATCGCCGCTGATACCCCGTGCTGGTGCTAGTCTCGTAGTTGGCACCTTGCAGCTGGAATCCAGCCGACTTGACCTTCGAACGCGGAACTGCACAGGCTTGTGTTTGCTTGCCGACTTGTAAAAAAAAGGGGGTTCAAAGTAACTTTTGGTACAGCCAATCAGGGAGGCTGAAAATTATCATGTCTTCAGGTCAATATGTTTGGCGAAATCCTACTTTGAAACCGCCTAATATATTAAACATGTCTGGGGCCCTCTCAGATCGACGTGGCACGAGGTTGTAGCGGCCGTAGATGATCACACAGGTGATTTAGCTGGCCATAGTGCTATGAAGTGGCTATATACAGTGTACTATTGCCCCCAATGTCTTGCAGTTCTAATGCGTCATGAGAGGTGAGGAGGTATGGCCAACTTGGAATGCCTCCCCTCTGAGCCTTATGCTACTATTAACTCAGGTCAGATATAGCTACAGTAAATTGGACTAACCGATCACGTAGGAGCTCCATTTTATATAAATCGGACTCCGAGATAACACGTCAAATCGGGCGGCAAAATAGTTGAAAACCACAATAAATTGCGGGGCGTAATTTACGGCGCCTCTTCAACTTCACCTTCATCGCCTCCATCAGCCATGACGCTGCGCGTGTCGGGTATCCGCGAGGACATGCTGGGCATGAGCAGTCGACTGGACCTGGAGGCGTTGAGCTCCACGTCGTCGCTCCCGATCGACCCGAATTGGACCCCGAGCCACATACGACTGCTCTACCTGCTGTCGCGGTTCGCGCAGTACCCAAAGTCGACGGACGAGGAGGAGAAGTGGCTGCGCAGTCTCCCGCTGCAGGTGATGGTGTTCGAGGCCATTGTGCACGGTCTGCTGGCCTTCGACTACTCGCCGGTATGCACGAGCATCGTCAAGGACGGCCAGTCGCGGCGCCTGTGGCTCAACATGAGCCACGACGCCCGCGCCGCCATCGACGACCTGCGGGAGCACGAGCTGGTGCAGGCGCTCAAGACCTGCAGCGAGGACTTCCAGCCGTCCACGGCCTTCCAAGTGACGGAGAAGGGCATGAAGGTGCTGCTGACGCTGCTCCCGGGGCGAGACAAGCAGCGACTCGACGAGTTCCTCGCGTCTCCCGGCGAGATGAACGCCACCGTGTCGGTGCAGGGCGTCGAGGCTCTCTCTCCGCGGGTCTTGAGCTCATCGGCCACGTCCCCCTCGGGCCTCGTTCTGGTGGACAACGCACTGCTCAAGATCACGTACGACCCGGACAAGGGCCACTTCCGCATTCGACGAGGGGATGGGAGCGTCTACATCTCGCGCGTGACGGACATCGAGGAGGTGTCGTACGTCTCGAGTCCGTACTTGCCGTCGTGTCTGATGAAGAACGGCACGGCCAACTTCTCGTCCAATGCCTGGCAGGTTGATAAGTGCCGCAAGGCAGCGGCCAATGCGGGGAGCAGCAGCATCCAGGACGCAGACCTGTCGTTCGCCATTGTGCTGGAGAATGTGAGGCTGATGGTGGGCGAGTGGATCCCCTTTGGGCCGAACCAGATCGTGCTGCTCAATGATCGTTTGGGAGCTCTCGAGCGCTGTCAAGGTGGGCTGTTCACGTCGGAGCTTGACGACGCACCGACTTCCACCTCGCTCGCTATCCCCTTGGGGCTCACGAAGATTGCGATTGTGGACTTTGAGTTCGACAGCTTCACAAACTTCGAGGCAGACATCTACGAGCCGATTGAGGACGGCATCATCCAGATCGAGAGCTTTGGCATGCACCTGAATGGAGACGGATCGATCATGTACGGGATGGAGATTGACGCTACCATGGACCGCTCGGCCGACTTCCTGTGTGTTGATCATCTTGCTCGGTTGCTGGTAGATGTCGATTTGGACTCGTCCAAGATCATTAACGACTTGTTGTCGCCTCACCAGCGCGCACTAATGGATATGTTGTTCATGGGCGACGCACGATCGCGAAACAAGTTCGCGTTGTTGACGGCAAGCGGCATTTCTCCAAAGCTCCCAGCGCGAGCGTACCTTGATCGAGGCGAGAAGGAGAACGAGCTGAAGCAGGTCCTAGGCGAGCTCCATTCAGTTCATGATATTGGCCTGGATGATAAGCTGCTGGTTGGCCACGACGGTATGCTGCTTGCTGGCCCGAACGCCAACAAGCACGAGCCGCTGCTGGTCGCACACTTGGCTCTGCTGTCCCGGGAACTAGTCGTGCGTTTCTTCTTCAAGCGTACCTTCATTCTGGGCGACGTATTGGCACGTGCGAGGAACTACATGACCAGTTACGAGATGAATCCTGAAGCAATGGACGACATGCGCGACAGGGTCAGTCGCTGTGCGCACGATTTGGTGCTTCTGGAGGAAATTCTCGAGCTGTTGCGGGAGTCACTGCACGACTTGGCGCTCACGATCCCCCCGCGCCCCACGCCAACTGCTGACGACCCCACCGGAGGAGGCGCCGCGCTTTACGATCATTTACAACTACGAAAGACTCACAAGGACTTGGAGCTGCGCTGCAAGGATCTGGCGAAGTTATTGCGAGGCTTCCGAGCCAAGCTGAAGCAAGTGCAGGGCCAAAATAGTACGATGGCCAAGACTGTGCTTGAAGGACTTGTCCTTGGTGTCGAGCGCAACGTTGGGGTGTTAGCAGAGGCCACACGTGCTAATCAGCGCTCACTAACGGGCTCTTTCGACGTGCTGTTGTTTCTGTTTGCTGGAATTCTAGCCTTTGAGGTGATGGATCGAATCACGGATGGCCACCTCCTGGGGGTGGATGAAGCCACCGCGCCGTCGTTGCAATGGATAAAGGATATGATAGTCGAGAACTTCATCGACTACCCGGCCCTGTGGTTTGTGATGGATTGCAGCTGGTTGATCATCGTCGTGGTGATCCTTCGAGCCGGCATACGCATTGCCTATCGACGCCTTGCTCGCACTCAAAGGATGGTATTCGCTGATTCTCCTCGGCGCATCAACGTCGCAGCCGTGGAGCAATTTATACGCGCCCCGATTGATGAAGTAGTCTCACCTGAACCTGGAGCTGTACCGCCAGCAGCGAGGGGGCGATGCATTCGACGCCGGAATCGAGTAATCGAGTCGAGGAAAGCCAGTGTCAGAGGATCTATTCGCATTGTGAAGGTTTTGTGGAGTGAACCAGCCAACCGACCAAAATGCCAGACGTGGATGGAGTTTTTTATTCGAGTGCGTCAAAACTGGGAGCAGTTTATCGCGCCGCCAGTCCGCACTCAACTGACGTACGACGCCACCAACGGCTTCCTCATCGATGTCATCATTCATGTACGTTCGATCTCGATGCCAGTTCATTCATAGTGTTTAACGTTTTCCTTCGCTGGCCGTTGCAGGCGGGACTGGCCACAGATTGCTGCGAAGTGTATGAGCAGCTCGTGAGTCAAATGGAAAGGTACGTCTTTGCATCGATGCCAGGAGTGTATCACGGCTTCCCACTCACTCTAGTCGCGTATTCCAGTGCTGGGTGTTTCGACGAGCACTTCACGCCCCCGACCGTGTCCAAATCGGATACCTCTTCTCCAACCTCATCGTCTCGCCAATGGTTTCTACCCCGCTCGCTGACGCGCTGGAATGTACCCGTGCACCCGACTCAGGAGACTTGAAGAGCCCCACTTCGGCTATGACGCTATATGTAGTCGAAATTGCCGCGGCCAATTAACTCGATCCATCGCGATTCACTAGTTCTCTAGCCAGTTTCCAGAGAAGATATACACCGGTACACTAGCGCTACTGCCAGGGTCTTGGCATCGCTATTGTCCAACATCAGCATGACAGAGTTCGTGGCAAACGAATGAAGCCTACCGGAATCTTCGCAAAAGCCGGATCGTTACGCCGGAAGAAAGCTTTTGAGACTGCTCTGCCGGTGGTCAAAGTGCTGCTATGCAAGTCAAAGCCTTGCAGTAGACTGCAATACTATCTATTGTTCAATCTCCGAACCCATGCAAATCAAAAATCACCGCGCAGTGCTGACCATGGCGCACTACAAACCATCTCCAGGTTGCCACATCATGCGCTGGTTGTGACACGGACTTGCTTTATCGTTCCGAATGAACACTATCTGTGCGTGCGAAGCCGACGTTATTTTCGAGAAGAAACATTGAAACGAACCTCGTCGACCGGGCGCCGCGTCGTGCCCTCGCCATCAGTTTTCTTCACTTCACGTTCCTCCACTTGTCCGTCTCTTCGGTCCTTCCCTGACGCCACTGCGAGACCCGAAGGCGTCATGTTGGACAAGAAGAGCAAGTCGTCTCGCCGGGCTTCGCAGCCCCTCGCCATGACGCCACCCATGTCGAACCAGGAAACGCTGCCACGGTCCTCGAGTTTTCTGCTGGCCGGGCTGAAAGCCTTCAGGGAGTCTCTCACCCATCAGACAGCGACGAAAGCGCGACGTGATAGCAACACGAGGTGCATCAGCGCGGACTTAGGCTCAAGCGATGATGAAGAAGATGAAGAAGAAGTCCAAGTTCTCTCCATTCCAAGCAGGGGCCGAAACCAAGACCAACACGAATGCAACAACGGAAGTGACGACACCAAAGACGCTGAAATATCGTCGAGTGGGAAGCGTTCGCTGCGTCTGTGGAAGATCCTAGCCCCAAACTGCAAAGGCGAGTCCAACCGGGCCACCGTCATGTACTCCATCTCGTTCTACCCGTGGAAAATGGAGCCGCACGGCTACTATTCGCATCCCGAAGCTGCAGCCAACTGGGTCCCGGACACTGTCAGCGCTCGCTGCCAGATCTGCCTCGCGGCGTTCACGCTGACCCGCCGAAGACATCACTGCCGCCTGTGCGGTCACCTCGTGTGTGCCAACTGCTCTCACGATCGGACGTATCTCCCCTTCGCCGGCTCAACGCCTAGTCAACACCGACTCATTAAGGACGGAGCTCCTCAGAGAACGTGTAGCTCCTGCGCTAGTACACTGCGGAACATGGCAGGACAAGACGATCCTCGCGTGAAGCGCTTCACAGTGGCCGTATCCTCAGCGAGACGACGCAAATCCACTTCATCAGCGACAGCGATCTCGGTATCTGCCTCGCGGTCAGTGGTTGAGGTGGAGGTGGAGCGTCCGTCCCCGTGGTTGAGGCGTACTGGCATGGCGCTCACAGACAGCGACATCGAAGACGAAGAGTTCTTCATTGAGTCCACGAAGGCACTACAGCTCGACCAACGCTCTCGTGGAACTACGCACCACTTCCCGCTTCGTCTATCCGTTACCAGAGCAGAAGAACTTGATGAGATCCTGAGCGCGCGCGCGTGTTCTCGTGCGCTGGACCAGGGTGAAAACTCTGGCAGTCGACAGTTTGTCATTAGCTCCGCGTGGCTTGATCAGTGGTTGCAGTACGTGCGCGTAGACTCGGCAAGTGCTGACGCAGCATCGAACGCGTTCTGCAAGGGACGACGAGGTAAGCCCAATACGAAATGTCGTCTGACGAGACCCCCGCGACCTGGTCCGGTTACGAATTATACGCTACTGGACTTTGTGAACGGCGAACTGGTGCCCAAGCCCAACCTCACTAGAAGCAAAGGGAGTCACGGCGGAGGGGACTATCGCGTTGTCAGTCAGGAGGTCTGGGTCACGTTCTTGGAGCTCTACGGCGGAGGACCGAGCATTCAAGTGCCTCTGAATAACGATGGCGACGTCAACGTCAACAGCACTGCGATTGTCTCTGGGAACCGAATCCAATCGCCAGTTCGACGTACGAATCTACCGCAATGGATCATCTCGGAACTGGACGACTCAGCACCGACACTGGCAGCCTCTCCACCGATTGAGAAATACTCTGCAGCAACCAGAAAGGGGGCGGCTCGGGGGCTCGGAAACCAAGCAAACTGTAAACCCATCCAGCATCATACGAGTCCAGGGACAAGAACTCATTCAACTTCGAACAAGCGCCTGGTATCGGCAGCATCCATGTCATCACTCGTGAAAAAGCCAACAATGAGGCACTTGGCGCTGCGCTGTGAATCTCCTCGATCAAACTCGCCCAGTCGATGGAAGCTGCGCGAAGAAGAGGGCTCGCGGGCTCGAGCCGAGACAATGATGTGTGGACGAGCAGCTCACTTAGGAGAAGCCAATGGCGCTGAGACTGGAACACGCAGCACTACGGGAGACGCCGGTTCCACGTTAGCTGCAGTGTCGGCGTTTGCTACGGCTGCCACGTTGGCTCGAGAGCGCTCGGCCATTTCTCTTAATCGCCATTCTGCGGCGATTCCGAGCGGCTCCATGCTGGAAACGCAATGAAACTCACACATGACCGCGTCGATGCACGTTAGAAAGATACAGATTGGTATAAGCCGACGTGACGTTGATGAATGAAAGCATGCAACGTTGAGAGCCCACAACGCAAATCCGTTCAGAGTCTGCTTCGGAGACAAAGCTTTGGGTTTACAGGATCAACGGAGCGTCTTGTGGGGTCGAGGGGATCTCGAAAAGCTCGAGCAAATCTTCACCACTGAGGACGACATCCAGCAAGAACTCTAGTGGCGGCGAGTCCAGCGGTGATTCTGTTGCAGTACTCATGTCTGGGTTATACTTGAGGTGCTGTTCGCTTCGCTGGATGTCGCCCAATTCGCATTTGTCTCCACTAATGACAGGGTCCACCTGCTCTGCGCCAAACCCACGAGGCTTGAGCTTGAACTCTAGACCCTTCGAGTAGTGGTCCTCGCGAGTTACTAGGTTACTCGTCGATCCCAACTTGCCCAAAGTTCCTCGATCAGCCATACATGATCGGAGAAACTCTTCGGGCGCCCGCTTCCGCATTTTGGTCGGTGGAACCGCAGACAAAGAGCTTTTTGTTGTTGTCTGCTCCTCGACGGTTGATGCGGTTGTCCCAGTCTGGTCAGTCTGGTGACGCTTTTTGCGCTCTTCCGCTCGTTTCTCCTTGGCGCGAATGCTCTGAGCGTGACTCAGTACCTGCCGCTCGGTTCTTGTGCCGACATGCGCTGCAATTTGCCTCCAAGACCCGTAGCGATACATCTCGAGAGCTTCGCAGTACCGTGCGTGCTCGTCGCTACTCCAAGTCCCGGACTTCTGCGTAATGACACACTTTTGTGCCGCTGGAGAAGGCTGCCTTGGCTTTTCCTCGAACCACTCAATCTCCCTGGCAGCGAGCCGCGCACTTCTCATGTTCAAGTCGTCGCTGTCGTCGTAAAGTGCATCAGGAGGTGAGAGACGTTCGAGAGGTTTGGCTGGTGGTGACAGCGGCAGTAGAGGGGAAAGGTCCAAAGGTGTCTTTGTCCGAGCGAGGAGTCTTTCGAGTTGGAGCTCCAGGGCCTGCTCGGTCTTCCCACTGTGCGGGAGTAAACCACCAGCCACTCCAGCGCTTGGAGTGTTAGCTGATGGGGTATCTTCAGGAGGTATAGTCGTCGCATTGGCGCTGTCATTATGGACGGCAGGCCTGACGACGGGGCTTTGAATTGGCACGAAATCCACAGAAAACGAGTCGCCCCGCTCGTTCGAGGAAATCGTCGGCTTGCTGTCCAGTACGGGGCCTTGACAACTTGCATAGGATTCAGCATAGGATTCAGAGCGCTGGTGCTGTCGAAGACAACACAGGGACAGCGCCTTGACACACCATTGAAAGCTCGACTTGAGCCGATGGCGCTTCAAGTCAACTGCGCTTTCGAGTCGGGGTGGCACCGACGATGGTTCCTTGGTCTTGAGCTTCACGACGAGGTTGGGCAATCTCTGAGGCTTGAACGCATCCCTCGACGAAGATTGTTGCTTCTGGTTGTCTGTCGTTGCCCACGACCAAGTGTTCGTGACGCTGGCTTGGAGACTCATGGCAATGCTGGGTGAAATGAGAAGTGAGCTGGATATCAGTTGCCTCGATCGCGGATGATGCTCCACCGCTGCATCGAAAGTGGCACGTTGTACCTGTTTGAACCCATAGATCTCGTCCATCCTGACATGTCCTGCCTGCAGAGCACCATGCTCAAGCACACGCTAGTGAGATTCTCTTGAACCTATGACACTTATTGACGTCACCAACTTCAATTCACCCGCATCGCACGCAGTTGCCGTATATAAGGGCATTTTGAGAGGCAGTCGTTCAGCTTAGTCCTGTTTGTTGGCAAGTAGTTTGGTAAAACTGGCAAGGTGTAAATACATTCAACACTTGCACAACGATTAAGCTCTTACGTAGCTTGTGTTAGTGGAATATCTAGCAGATCGAGCAGGCTTTCATCACTGAGGGCGCTCACCCGCAACACGTCAGGCGGTGGGGAGCACAGCGGAGAGTCCGGGTCAACACGAGGCTGCTTGTCGGAGCATTTATCCGCAAACGAATCTCGGATCGAGTCACTCTCACGCTTTTTTCCAGACGCATCTTGGAAGCTCTTCGATCCGTCATCGCCGTCTTCACGAAATGAAAAATCAACACCAAATCGCAACTCCCCAGTCTCAAGGTGGTTATTCGCGAGTGCCGGGGCAGTATCAATCTGCCCAGCATTGCTAAGCAGCGACGCCATAAGCAGCTCTTCGGGCGTTTGGGTGTGGCTTACCCGGTTCATCATTGCAGTCGGAGTGGTCGAAGTAGCCGTTCTTTAGCTCTTGCGTGGCTCTGCTCGCTGAAGAATTCCCCGGGGTTTTGACGCAGAGTGGGGTTGCTGATCTCGTTCCTCAGCTCGTTTCCTCTTGGCGCGAATGCTTTGTGCATGACTCATGACTTGGCGCTCGGTTCTCGTTCCAACTTGTTCCGCTATAAGTTTCCACGATCCGTACCGATACTCCTCGAGTCCTGCACAGTATCGCTCGTGTTCGTCTTTACTCCACGCTCCACTGTTTTCTTCGGCTGTCGGGTTACTGGTGCAGTCTCCGTCACGCTTTCGTACCAGTCGATTTCCGCAGCAGCTTGGCGAGCGGTTCTCATAATCGAATCATCGTCTTCGTCTGCTTCGAGAGCCCCGGAATCGATCGAAGGACGAGGCTGCGGTGGTGCATGAAGATACTCGGGCGATGCTCGACGGTAAACTCCACGGCGATGCACGGATGGTGCGGACCCGTAGAGAGGTCGTTGTTGAAGTGGTGCTGGGCTTTGACTCTCTACTCGTCCGAAAGCGGGACCTCGTATCGACACAGGCGCAAACCCGTAAAAGGCTGTGTCCACTCGCTCATCTTTCGACGGGCCAGATCATTGGTAGGTAAGTCTGCACCCAGCTCTATCTCCGCGGCGTAGTAGTTGTGTCGGCGTAGACACCGGAAAGACAGAGCGTCAACGCACCATCTCAAGGTCCGTCTCAGCCACTTCCTCACTCGATGGCGTCTCACAGGAGGCGGAGGGGGCTCAACGTTCGCTGGAGGAGCCATTTCCTCAGTCTCAACTTTGATTTCATCCCGTGGCTGCTCAGCGTCAGAGCGGGAAACGTTGGCCCAGTATCTTTCTTCCACTTCGCGATCTTCTTGCTCTGCTCGCTGTCGTCTGGCCACGACGCGTTGATACTTGCCACTTTGCCAGCACTTGGTGCCGTAGCTCTCCACTTGCGCCGCTGTTTTTTGTCTGTATGAGTTCCGCGATCCCCAAGGTATACTGTCGCCCGTTAAAGTGAGTGGAGTCACAACCTGACCTTAAACTACAAGGGGCACTCGCGCGTTGGCTCTCGCCTGAGGACTTAGCGACGGCACTTTGGGGGGCCCGCTCCTCTCTCGCTTCGCTCGGGGAGCGCCGCTGTGCGGCCTACCCCACCCCCTCGTACCTTACGCTGAGTCCTCGGCTGCTCGTAGCTTCGTCTCGAACGCTAAGTGTTCTTTCAGCGTCCAGGACAAGTCGACCGGAGACGAGTACGGTCGGTTCATCTCCAGAGCTTCCAGGATGTCCACCATGTCGGGTGCCACCACCTTTGGCTGCTTTCCCTGCGCTACCAACACCCACGTTCCATCGCTCCTTCGTCTCCACGCGCTCATGGCGTCCGTCTATCGTAATTTCAGGACTCAACTTATGCGTGTCCGAGACCTCAAGTGAACCCATTGAGCCGATCACTGTCTCTATGAGTTGCCACAATTCCAATTACACAATACTTTACTAGGATACATGAAGTTAGGATACACATTGATGCTGCTATGATAAACAAAAATGAAATAAGTTGTAAGCAGCGTTTAGAAATTGTCTCTCTGGTTGTTGCTCTACTGAGCGAGTACCATGACGTCTCAGACTTCGGGCTGGGGCAATGTGCTGTCCTGCTTGCCAAACTTGCAGTTTTCTCGCTTGGCTAGATCACTTCGACCTCTCGCCTGCCTCCACATTCCACCAGTCAGGGTTGGCCATCTTTTCCAGCCAACTCGCTACCGTCTTGGAGAGGAAGGCAGTTGCTATTGCTTTACGATACCTGTATCTGAGTAAAAGCGGTTGCCAACGGTGTGGATGTTCACTCGCTAAACGCCCACATACTGAGGGATCTTCGTAACAGCATTGACGTAAGCGGTGTATCGGATCGCATTGTCATGTTTCTTCCAGCTCTTCACCGCTCGATCCCATGCGCCCCGATCCCTATCGCGGAACATTGAGCCCTTCATTACAATCGCCGCCTCTAGCTGAGCAATCGTGGTGATATCGTACGCTGCCAACGTATCCGCGGTGCTTGCTCCAATACCGATAATATTATTGACGCTCTGCGGAGTGCTAGCGTCGATCCCAGTGATCTTCTGACGCTCGAAGTTACCAATCCGTTCTCCTGGTACGACATATATACCAGTGCAACTCGCCACGGTTCTTTCGCCACGCTCTCCAGCAGCCCAAGCTTGTCCAGCACGTGGATGACCCCAAACGCGTTCACATCACTCGACTTGGAGACCGTCATCTGAAAGAGCACGAGACGACTATCGGGGTTTGACTCCCACCACGCAACGATATCTTGTCCGTCGGCGCGCTCGGGCATAGTCGGCAAGTAAAAGGCGTTGATGGAGTCCATTGTGTTCGACTTTAGCTGGTAGTACGGCCCGCGCGTGGCCTCCAACGGAGATAAACTGTCAGTGTTAAAGCCCTCGCATGTTTCAGTCAGTTCGATTGTGATGCTCTCCAGCGCAGGCATGCCCATGTCGAGCTGAAGAGCATGCAACTGGAGCTCACAGCCCTGGCGAAGTCTTTCGTGCGCTTCGAATTGCCAAATCCACTCACGAGGCAACTGTTCATCCATGTCTTCAATAGTTTGTCGAAGCATTCGTTGGTCCTCTCGACTTGCCTGTTGCATCACCGCGGAGCATTTTTTCTCAATGAACGAAAAAGTGAACTTGGCCATCATGACGGAGCTGTATCCATAAGGGACGTAATGAAAGACACGTTGGCGCGTGCTGTCATCGTCCCAAGCCATGATCAGCGCCCGAATATCCATGGGCTTCGTGATCCCTTCAACGACTTGCACAATCCTGCGAGCAGCGCGGTCAACGGCCGGCTGCTTGCGGTTCAAACAGTGCCGAGCGACTCCACCAAACATCTCGAACCGCTTCTCAATCTCGTCGTCGTCGAACGGGAACCCAAGAGCGTGTGCAGCTTCTTGGAGCTCCTTGCACGTCCAAGGTGGCAGGTAGATGGTGGATTGAAGCTTTGCAAATCCACGCACCGAGTGGCCCCAGTAGCCCATCGTAATTTCTGTTCATCGCGGCTTGCTTGCCGCACGAAGGTAAATAGTTCACTCTCTACGAACGAAGATGCGAAGACGGTGTCCACGTTGAACCTGTCCGCCCAAGGTTCTTGATGAAAAAGAAGCTGTCGTGTGCTATGATCTTCCTCTGCCAGGATCAGCATTTGAAGGTCACGAGGCTTCGTGATCCCTTCAACAGCTTCAACAACTTCCCTCATAGCGCGGTTAACGGTGAGCTGGTCGCGGGACAAATAGTACCGAGCGATTCCACCAAGTATCTCGAATCGCTTATCGATCTCGTCATCAGTGAGCGGGTACCCCAGAACCTTGCAGCTTCCTGGAGCTCACTGCACGTCCAAGTTGGCAGGTACAAAGCGCAGTCGATCTTCAGTAAGATCTTGAGCCATGTTTTTTTCGGACTGGTGAACACGACCCCGCCAATCCTGACGTATCAAATCTGGTGGCGAACCTTCACACAGGAAAAACACCTTTTGACCCGTCACCAGCGCCTCGTTCAAGATCGAGTCAACCCGCTCTTGGTTTGTGAGTGGATTGTGTTCCTGTATCGTCACCTCCTCGGCATTACTTGTCACCTCCTCAGCATTACTTGTCACAATGGCTTTAGTCAGCTTCTCCTCCTCGTAAAAAGCGGCGAGGACAGCCACCTCTGGATAATCTTGACGGAACTTTTGGTGGAAATTTGAATGGAATGTAGTTATACCAACGCCTGTTAGGTGAACGGTATCGACAGAAAATGAGCTTTGTCTCCGTTTAGAGCAGTAGTAAGGGTTAAGTTATCTTACCTGAAGTCGCAGTCACCGTCACGCAGACGCGGAAGAGTAACTTGCAGATGATATCGTAGTACTCGAGATAGCACTTGCGGTTGTACACGCCTTCCAAGTCCGGCATGACACTTTCATGTTGAAGGACATCTGGTACAGGCTTCGTGCCTCATCGTTGTTGCTCGCGATTTTACTTTCAAAATGTTTCTCCGCTACTGCTGGATTTTGCACGACATAATGAGACTGACAGAAGATAAATGGCAGGTCAGCATAGTAGTCGCCATCCATCACTGAAGCAAAAAGTGATAACTAGCTCGTCAATGTTGATATACGCGATCCGACACTCGTCTCGAAGCGTGAAAATAGATCTTTTGATAGTCTGCAGGTATCGACTGGGAAGGTGTTCATCTGGTTGTGCATGTCTAGCAATGACGAGGCAACTATTTTCGTTCCCTGCGACCATGCCCTTCCGACATGAAGCAACGCAGCCACCAGCCCCATTCTTCAAACAAACCGCCCCATCCAAGTGCCTCAGACAACCACGATTGAGAAATGGAGAGGGCAGGAGGGACGCCCGTGGATAATCACGCTATCCAAGTCGATATTTCTCCAAGGAGTAAGCCCGCGTCAATCTTCCACAAGTACGGAGGAGTGTCCGATGCGTACGAAAACACCATGTTCGAGAACGACTTGGTCATGATTTTCCCATTGCGCGAAGGCGGCGAGATCAAGAAACCCGACGCTTTCACGGCACAGGCCTTCGTCGACTTGCTGCTGGGTAAGGACACTAAGCACAGTCGCCACCCGTTCCAACGCGTACTGCGCACCCCACGCTGTTTCCTAGACGAGCAAGGGAATGACATGGTCGTCAATCCGCGGAGAAGTGGCGCTGGGGATACGAGCCTTGAGGTCGAGCGCCAACTGCTCGAAGCCGAGTACGAGAAGTTTGTAGGCTCCACCGAGCCCACAACGGAACGCCGTTTCTGCGAGTTGGTAGCCACTGCCATTTCACGCCGGGTTCAACTAGCGTGTGGTCTCACGACTCGAATGTTCCTCAGTTGCGATGGCGACGAAATCATTATGTCAGTGAAGTCTGAGAACGACGACCTCCGCGTGGAAGCCGACCGCACGAATTACCGCCTGCAACTGAGCAACAAACCGTTCGACGACATGCTCCACCGAGACAAAATCCACGACCTGAAACGTGAGATCGGAGCTGACGGCTGGCAAAAGTCCTTGGACCATCTTCGCTCGAAGCGCGGCACTGCAAATGATACCTCGGACATTCCCGAGATGGATCCTCTGCTTGTCTCGCGTGGCGACGAGCTCCACCCCTTAACCTGCAATGCGCTTCGCCGTTGGGGACACCGGGAAGAAGCGGACGGCATGTTCTCGTTCGACGACAACCATAGTCAGACTGCGTGGAACCGTTTCTGGTCGTCAATCTTCTCGATACACCACGACCCCATGACGTACTTCGCTCCATTTGCCGACTACCGTCACGAAGCCGAGTTCCAGCCCTACTTCCGCCGCTACCCGTTGAACTGGGGTGGCAAGAAGGAGCAGACCCTGTTCACCCAGAAGGATCGCATTCGTCTCGCTTCAGGCATCGTGGATCGCCACATCAACCTGGACGCGCTGCAGGACGCGAAGTTCCTCAAGAGCCCAATGTTCGCACTCCATGACGAAGCTGCGCTGCTCGAACTGCGTGATTCGTGGGCCCAAAACGTTTGGATGCTGTATCAGCCAATCCACAAAATCCGCTACTACTTTGGGGAGAAAATCGCGCTCTACTTCGCATGGCTCGAGTTCTACACCAAGATGCTCATCTTCCCGGCGATTGCGGGTATCGTCACGATCATCTACGTCGAGGAGCGAGACGAGAAGAAAAACAACAACAACCGAGGTTATTTCCTGGTGGCCTTTGCAATCTTCGTGGTGATCTGGTCGTCGACTTTCTCCGAGTTCTGGAAGCGAAAGAACGGGTTACTAGGTGCGCTGTGGGGCTGCCACGGCTTCAACGAAGTCTTCCGCTACCGGCCACAGTTCCGGGGAACCAGAAGCCATCACCCCGTCACCGACGCGGAAGAGTTGACTTACGAAAGTCGAGCCAAACGCCACCGCTGGTTCGTCGTGTCCGCTGCAGTCGTGACTGTGATGGTCGGAATCGTCATCATCGCGCTTGTCGGCTTGTTTGTGCTGAAGCACTACATCAATGACGGCAACAACCTGCGGAACGTCGACATCAAGTACCGGACTCCACTGACGATAGCTGTGACCATCGCCAACGCCATCCAGATCATCCTTCTCAACATGGCCTACAGGCTTGTGGCAGGCATGCTAAACGACTTCGAGAACCACCGCACCGACGCCGAGTATGAAAACTACCTGGCGATCAAGGTGTTTTTGTTCCAGTTCTGCAACTCGTATGCTTCCTTCTTCTACATCGCGTTTATAAAGCGCGAGGCCGAAGGCTCTTGCTTGTACAGTGACGACTGCATGCAGGAGTTGCGGGACCAGCTTCTGATCCTGTTTCTGGTACGCATTGTGGTGGGCAACACGACCGAGGTGCTGATCCCCTTGGCGAAGAAGCAGTTCCAGATTTACTTTGAAGACAGATCTAAGGGTGACCTGAAGAAGCTCGAACGCAACTTGATCGAAACCCAAGCGAAACTGGCGCCATACGGAAGCAGCGAGGCTTTCGAGGACTACAACGAGCTGGCGATCCAATTCGGCTTCCACAACTTGTTCGTGGTGGCATTCCCACTGACACCTCTGCTCGCGCTGGTGAATAATATCATTGAGGTGCACGTGGACGCTTCCAAGCTCTGCTTCGGCTGCCGTCGTCCGTTCCCGCATCCAGCGAAGAGCATTGGCGTCTGGTTCTATATTTTCCGCTTCATGACTTACATGACCGTAGGAACGAACGCGGCGCTGATCTTGTGGACGTCGGACTTGTTCGAAAACTACAGCGGCACGGTGAAGGCTTTCAGTCTGGTCGTCGTTTGGCAAGTGGGTATCGCTATCTCGCTCTTCATCGAGCGGACGGTGCCCGATTTGCCGCACCACTTGGGGGCCCTTCTGGAACGCTATGACCACATTGTAAACGTTGTGTTCAAGAACCTGTCGGAGGGCGATACTTCGCACCTCAACGAAGTCTCGGAGAACCTCGACTTGACCATTTACCCGAATGACCAGTGGGAAGACCAGAGTGGCAACGTGAAAGCAGTGGTTGGGGTGCGCGACCAGGAGGACGAGGTGAGAGCTCCGAACCACACACTGGAGACGGTGGCGGAGTCGATCCGAAACATTGAGGAATCGACGTCTTAAGTTTCCAGGCGTTCACGCTTGCATATATCTTGCATATTCTTCATAACTGGATTTGGCGATACAGGCTAGGAATGCCGGGATAGGCTGCTAAATTCTTAATTCATTGGTTCCAATGCACACGTCACCTCTTCTTTCGCTTCAACAGTGCTGAAGGCTGGGGAGGAACCGAAAATCCAGAGCATGTAGTATAGCCTCGAGCGAGAAGTCGGTAAGTGATTGCGAGAACGGAACCTTGCACCAGTTGACCATAGTAAATTCTGCGTCAGCCGAGCATCGAAGTGGTGTTGATGCAACTGCTGCTAAAGCACCGCAAAAAGAGCGAAGCACTCGATAATCCAAACCAGCACCTATCCCATCTTGCCACACCTCAGAAAACGAGCTGGTGTCCGATTGCATATCAATCTCTTCTCGGACGCGCTTCTCCAGCAGATAGGCATTTCGTAAAGCACGGTGCTGGGCCTCAACTTTCTCCATTCCCTCGCTCGAAAAAATGTTCTCCAGACGTACTCGATGATGCTTCATGACCTTGACGAGGTCTTGGTGCCGCGTGTTGCACAAAGCATTCGGAAGAAAAGGTGGTACGTGACTTAAGTCCGCATACTCTTCGTCTTCTTTGCCTTGATCTTTGCATTCGGAGATGATTTGGTTGAGTTTAGTGAGCACCGTCAGTACGAAAGTGCTCGCCGCGTCCACCAGCGCTTGGTATGCTTCAGCCGACAAAGAGTCAACTGCGCCACTTGCAAAAGTTCCTTGGGACTTGAGGAACGTAGCAGTAGCAACTGGGTTTATGGCGAACGAGCCGATCACGATGTCCTCACAAGAAATGGAAAGGTATTCAGACGCAAGGAACGGACCCACTGCGCCCGTCATCATGGAGAGGTGGTTCATCAGGTCCACGATGTGCTGGCGATCGTGTGATAGCCCCTTGCCAGCTCGCACTTGCCGCAGTATATTATTCACACGGCATGCCACGTTCGTAACAAGCAGCGCAATCACCCACCACTCAGGCCCTGGAACGCCAATGTATTCGTGCTTCTCAATACACTCGATTACAAACGTTTGGTTCGCCACAAGCCACTGAAGAGACTTCACTGCTGAATTCCAGGATCCTTCGATCAGCTTGGGACACTTTGGTGCGTCGGGGATATGTGCACGGTGTCGGCGTAAATGACTCACCAACGCTACCAAGGTGTTCATGAACTGAGCGGTAAAAACCGTCATACACGCCTCGCCCATTAGCTGGTTTAGTTTGATTTCAAGCCTGCAGTCACCAAATATTGGGGCTCCACACTCTGCAGCCAAGCGGTTGATAATCTCTTGCGTACAAGCACGCACTTTCCTCCCGCCTTCATTCGCGCTGCTAACTCCAATCAGCTTCATCTTCCAGCTCCGAATAACTACATCCAGATACTGTACCACGAGCTCCCCGCTCTCCTCAGCAGCATCGACATCCTGAATCACGACTCCAACCAAGTGTATACTGTGGATCTCCCCCTTATTCTCAAACTGCACGCGCACGTCCAGGAAGGGCGACCCAGCCGTCTTGCAACACTCCAGTACAACAGCGAACGCCCACACCTCTCCACTCGCCAGAAAGTCCTTCAGCTTCTGCAAATTCACCGCGCACGCCACGCGACAGAGGTTCTTCACGCGCTTCTCCGTCACGTCTCTGTTGGTCTGGTCCAGACCTGCAATGCCCGCCACCATGCCTCGAAACAAACCCACCGCCTGCCTGAAAGACACGCCGCCGGCCAAGAACTTGACGCACGTCTCCAGCTCCAGCTTACTCTCCACCGTGACTGTGTATCTAGTGTCGTTCTCATCCACGTCCATCACCTGGTCCTCGTCGTCCGAGTCCAGCTCAATCCTCTGCATCTCAAAGCCCGAGAACTCGGCGTCGTCGCCTCTATCGGGACCCAGAGCTCTCACCAAGTCGTCAACAATGTCCTTGTCCACTAAGAATGTCCCCGACTGCTTCACGGCAGCTGCGACGGTCGCGTTCAGCTCCGCGACGGGCTGCGCGGCGCAGGTCTCGGTCGTGATCTCCACTGTGTCGGACGCGACCGCGCGCGGCCGCGTGGAGATGGCTACATTGGGCGGGAAGTAGGCGCGCTTGTCCTCGTCGCTGAGCTCCTTGTACTCCGCCCAGCGCAGCGCGTGCTGCTGCTCCAGGTGGCGCCGCATGTTGTCGGGTCTCCAGGGCGGCGAGAAGCACTGCACCTTGGTCCGGGGCTTGCGGCGCCTGGCGCCCTCCGTCTCGTCGCGCGTGAAGACACGACACATAAGACACACGGCTTTAGTCGGCTGGCCCGATTCGGGGTCCCGCTCGGCCACCGCCAGCGCGTACAGCAGCGCCCAATGCGGGCGGAACTTGCGTGTCCGTCCGCCCGAAGCCATGACGGATGATGAAATGAAATGAAATGAAATGGCTGCAGTGTGTAAAGTTGGTGTGCATAGTTGTGTAAAGGTTGTGTAAATGTTGAAGTGGATTGAGGTGTGTCCGTTGGCAACGTCCGTCTAGCGGTCGCGAGGATGAAGGGGGCGGCGAAGCTGGCGCTGCTGGCTGTGAGCGGGGTGCTATATTATGCCCCGCCGAGAGGGTTGATGGTGCGGTTGGGAGGCGTGGACAAGGTGGACGAAGTGCTGGTGCTCAGGACGTGGTTGACACTGGCGGTGTCGATCCTCGCGCTGACGGGCGTTGTATCCACGCAGTTGCTAGTCGGTAGGGTGGAGTGATTGGGGTGGGGGATGAAGGAGTTATAAGTGCTGACTTGTGGGTGTTTGTTGGACAGCGTCGTGTGTGCATGGAGCTCTGCACTTCCTCCGCTCGATGGTGCCGCAGTGGGGGGAGCGACTGGAATGGGCCGCGCTTCTGGCGTTCCTGTGCGTGCTGAGGTACGCGCTGTTTCCGCCGCTGGAGTCGATGCTCGTCAAGTTTCAGATGCACAGGTGAGCTGGAAGACTACGTAGAGGGGTATCTATGGGAGTCTGACTGTTGTGCTGTATAGACGACAACTGCACGGGTTCTTCGACCGCCACGACAAGCAGTACGTCCCCTTTGTGGACAACCTGCTGGAAGACTACGCAGGACGCGAACGCCTGCTGTAACACGCATACCGCGACAGACTGGAGCAGTCAACTCGAACAGCGTAGAAAGCAATGGAGTCGTCTAAAGGCAATTGTATTAGAAAGGGACACGGAGAAATACAGGGCACAAGAGAGGAAGGAAGAATCGACACCTCCGTCCTCTTTGTCTCTCCACCACCATACGGCGCAATGAGGCAAAAAGCGAAAACTAGGTCTAAGCTTAACGGGAGTGCGTGTTGCCCTGGCCACGCTTGCCCGAGTTCTGCCACTTCGCCAGCTTGGGAACCGATATCCGATCGGCCTCGCCTGCACGGCCCATCTTGGCGGCCTTGCGCTGCGTAAACCGGGTGGCGCGCTTGGCAGCAGCCATGTCGGCCTCGGTACCGAAACCGGACTGGTCGCGCGGGGCGACGAGAGAAGCGGATCGGTTCTTGGACTTGGAGCGCATCTGAGACTTGGCACGGGCGCGCACACGCAGGTCCGAGCTCTCGGTCGCGTCCTCCATATCCACGTCCATGTCCTCGCGTTCGCGCTTGCGGCCACGGCTCTCGTCACCAGCCTTCCTTTTGGCCACCACAGCCTCAGCGTGCTTCATGTGGCTCGTATCCACGCCAAGAGCCTCCAGCTCCTTCTTCGTCTCCGTGAGCGTGCGGAGTTTAGCGCGCACCTTGCGCGACACCGTAGCGTGGTTCTTGTTCTTGTTCTGACGGTGCTCGGCAACCATGATCGCCTTCTTCTCGCGAATACGAGCGAGCTTATCCTGCTGCTCATCGTCAAGGTCACTCATCTCCTCGTCCTCATCCATGGGCGCGTTGTTGGTCATAGCCTCATCCTCCTCCTGCTCCAGAGCCTCCAGACGCTTGAGAATGTCCGGGTCCACGAAGTCGGCAATGTTCTTGCCGTTCCAGATCTCCGGGATCGCGTCCTGCGTCCAGTCGTCGTTGCGGAGCATGCCCTTGTAGTGCTCCTTGAAGTTGAACGAGTACACGCCAGCGCCGCCGTTGGCGTTCATCTTGTCCTTCTGCAGCACACGCGGCACCACGCTGTTCGGGTTCTCGCGGGCAGCAATGACACTGGCCGGGATCGTGATCTCGCGCTTCACATCGTCACGAGCCACGGGCATGGCAACACTGAGACGGTTCAGCACGTCCGCCACCTTGTTGCCCTTCACCTTGGAGTTGACACGGTGAGCCAGCAGCTCATCGCAAGCGTAGTTCCTGACGTCCATCACGTTCTCCTCCGAGTGGTTCGACATGGTGAAGAACTTGGCCTTGGTCTCATCCACGGCCGTGTTGATCATGTTCTGGTGGTGCTCAGACAGCTCCTCGAAGCGCATCTGATCGATCTTGTTGCACACCAGCACCAGCGGCTTGTTGGCAAACAGCGGGCGGATGTTCTCAAACAGACTCAACTGCTGCTCGATGGTGAAGCCGCACTGCTCCGAGATGTCCATGAAGAACAGGATCGACGCCTGCAAGTGGGCCAGCGCCGTCACGGCCTGCATTTCAATGGTGTTACGGTCCTCCAGCGCGTGGTCTAGAATACCGGGGGTATCGATCACCTGCCAGCGCAGGTACTTGTAGTCCAGGTGGCCCACGTACAGCGCCTTGGTCGTGAAAGCGTACGGCTGCACGTCCACATCGGCACGCGTGACCTTGTTCATGAAACTCGACTTACCCACGTTCGGGAAGCCCGTGACCAGCAGCGTGCGCGTGTTGGGGTCGATGGAAGGGAGACGCGACAAGTGCTTGCGCACCTCCTCGAGGTACTCGAGCGACGCCTTCTGCTTCTTGAGCAGCGTGCACATGCGACCCAGCGCGGCGCGCTTGAGCTGCTTGCAGCGGTAGAGCGAGTCGCCGTACTTGATCATGCGCACGTAGTCCTTGGCGATGTTGTCGATGAGCGCGCGCGCCGTGTTGACCTGGCCCAGCGCCAGCTTGTAGTGGTCGCGGTCGTACAGGATGTTGATGAGGTCGGCGTAGAACGGGTGCAGGTCGTCCAGGCGCGGGAAGTCATCGATGATCTGGCTGAGCTTCTCCTGGCACGTCTGCTGCGTGAACTTGACCTTGCGCATGTAGAAGGCGCGGATGCGCGAGATGGCGTACGTCGGGTGGATCACCGTCGGCGTCTTGCGCTGCGTGCGCGTGAGCACGATGTCGATGAAGTCATTGGCCGTCGGCACCGTCTGGATCTTCTTAAAGTTGTACACCACCATCGTGACCAAGTGACGGACAGCTAAGCGCAGGCAAGCGGGTAACAAGGCAATCAAGCGAGGGCTCTTGGGCGACCGGTGTCAATCAACGAGTGGAGCTTCCCACAGCCTTTCACACACGGCGTTTGGTTGGTTCTCGCCTTCGCAGGCCGAGTGTACCGTCGAAACGGTACAGTTGAAAACAAAATGTGGTGTGCACGTGCCACACGAGTTTCAAAGGCAGCTGTAGCCATCTTCTTAGGCCGTACCGCCTATCCGGTACAGCTGCTCTTTCACGTGCGCCACACCAAAATCAGTCCCGCTGAAAACCGCCGACCCCATACAAACTCCAAGTGCCCCGCAGTCCGTACCTCAGGGCATTACACGCAAGCGTATAGCGTCCGAAGGAAGGCCGCACGCACTCCGCGCTCCACGCCTCGCTAGGACCTCTCTGACCCCCTCGCTGTATCCATGTGGACGGTGCTCTTCGGAGACCAGGAGGACGGCGCGCCCGCGCAGGCGCAGCCCGCCGGCAAGACGCGCGCGGCGGCGCCGTCCCCGCAGCTCTCGACGCCGCCCGTGACGCCGTCGCCCCTCGAGGACGCGCGCTCTCTCACGCCCCCGCAGACGCCGCGCACGCAGCCGGCCGCTCCGCCCACGCCTACGCCGCAGCCTCAGACGCCGACTCTGGCGCCGCCACGCCGCGCGAGCGCCACGCCCGAGCCCAGCAACAACAAGTCGGACGACACGCCCATGGCCATGCTGCTCAAGCGGCTCAACAACCTCATGATCAAGGTGGGCGAGCACGAGTTCGAGAAGAAGACGCTGGTGGACCAGATGGAGAAGGAGCGGAAGCTGCTCACGGTCAAGATCACGGAGCTGGAGCGCCAGATCGAGGACCTCAAGGACCAGAACGTGCAGCTGCAGTACAAGATCGAGTACAACTCGGAGCCCATGCTCATGGAGCGCGTGCAGGACGTCACGGACATGCGCGACGCGCTGGCGGCCGTCAAGAAGCAGCTGGAGGCGGAGCTCCAGGACAAGGACGCGGAGCTCAAGGAGCTCAAGACGGCGCTGGACGCCAAGGACAAGGAGCTCGGCGGACTACGCGAGGAGTATGAGAAGCAGATCGACGACTTGTCGGCGCAGTGCGACGCGGCCAAGCAGGAGGCCGCGGACGCAGTTCGCGTGGCGAGCGAAGCTGCTACAGAGAAGTACGAGGAGCAGCTGAAGGAGAAGGACGCGGCTCTTCAGACGGTGACGGAGGAGAAGGAGACGCTGGAGGCGGCGCTGGCCGAGAAGGAGCAGGCTTTGGACGACGCTGAGGCTGCGGCGGCGCAGGCGCAGAAGAGTCTGGAACAGATTCAGGCTCAGGGTGCGGCTGATGCGGGCGTGCTGGAGCAGCTTCAACAACAGCTGGAGGAGGCTGCGCGCGAACACGAGCTGAAGCTTCAGCAAGTGAGAGATGAGGATCAGTCGAAGCTGGAAGCTCTGGAGAAGCACGCCCAGGAGCAGGAGGCTATCGCGGCGGAAAAGACCCAGGAGCTCGAGGACTACAAGCACGACTGCGTCGAGCTGTGGAAGATCAACGAGGACCTGAAGCAGCAAATTGCCCTCACGTCCGCTGAGACGATGCTCAAGCAGGCGGAGCTTCGGGAGAACGCTCTCTCTGGGCAAACCGTGCTCCAGGACAAGGTAACGGAATTGGAGAATCAGCTGGAGGAGCTGCAGGAGCAGCTTAACCGCAAGGCTCAGGAAATTGCGGAGCTGCAAGCTGAAGCAGAAAGCCGTGCCCTGGCTGATGAAGAGGCCTCTGGGGAGGATGAGGACAAGTTTGTCGTCGTCGGAGGCAATGACGGAGCGATCAGTATTCTGACAGAACAGGTTGCTAACGCTCAGCGCGAGCTCACGGAGGCTATGGAGCTGAACCTGCACTTGAACAACCGCAACGCCTGGCTGGAGGAGCAGTACCAAATGCTCTCTTCTGTGCAGTCTGAGGGTGACGAAGAGCAGGATGAGTCTGGAGTCGCTAAGCCTTCGCTGGAGGAGCAAGTCTCTGCGCTGGAGCAAGAGCTGCAGGAGGCTCAGCGCGCTGCCAACGAAAAGGCGGAGCACGTATCGAACCTGGAGCAGAACTACAGCGCTCTCTCAACTGAATACGACCGCCTGCGCGCTACCCATAACGAGCTGATGGATTCGAAGCAGACTGATGATGCCACGCTGAACGATCTGAGACGCGAGGTTGAGTCGCTTCGTGCGTACCAGGCGAATGCTTCAGACAAGGACCAAGTGTTGTACGCGAAGGAGCAGGAACTGGCTCAGCTTCGTACAACAAACTCGACGCTGACTGGTGATATTGAACGTTTGCATAATGCCGAGAGCCAACTGCGTCACGAGCTGGACGAGTTGCGGAATATTTCAGCTGCCGCCTCGAAGAACGATGAGCAGTTGACTGCTGTTCAGCGTGAGCTTGACCAGGTTCGATCTGAAAAGGATGTCGTCGCTACGCAGTTGGCGGAGGCGCAGGCTTCTGTCCACGAACTGCAGCAAAAGCTGCAGGAACTGGAGGGTGTTGTGAACAGCCAGTTCACTGAAAAGAAGTCGCTAGAGCAGCAGCTTCAAAACTTGCAGGAGATGGCACAGGAGAACATGGAAGGGTCGTACGAGCTTCAAGCGAACCTGGAGTCCACAATGGAGGAGTTGGAAAAGACACAGACCCAACTGCGAGCTGAGCAGGAAAAGTGCGGAAGCCTACAGCAGGCTGCTGAGGCGGCAAAGCAGTCTTCCATCTCCCGCGAAGAGCTGGAGCGCGCTCAGAGAGAAATTGCCAACTTGGAACAACAAGTTCGCCACTTCCGCGGTCAGGAGCAGTCGCTGAACCAGCAGCTGCAGGAGGCGGTACGATCCAAGGACACGCTGGTCGCCGAGTTGGAGGCCGCGCGCTCGGGGCGCGTTACAGCTGAGAACGAGCTGAACGCTATCAAGGCATCGTACGAGCAGGCGGCGGCGCAACTTGCGTCCGTGCAGTCTTCGACGAATGAACTTCAACGTACGAATGATGATCTTTCAAACTCGCTGGAGCAAACTCGCGCCAAGGCCATGCACGCAGAGCAGCAGATTAACGCGATGCGTGCTGAACACGGTGAGGCGCAGAAGCAGGTTGAGTCTCTCACGAAGAAGAACATTTCACTTGTGTCGGAAATCCAAAGCATGCGCGATGAAGTCAACAAGCAGCAGCAGATTGCTCGTGGTCAGCTTGAGCAGCTCAAGGCGGCGCATGCTAATGTTCAGCGCCAGTTGGCTGAGGCCTCGCAGGCTCTGAAGGGTAAGGATGCTGAGGTAGTTGCAGCGACCGAGCGCAGCCAAGCGAACGTGGCGCAGCTTGAAGGTATCGTCAATCGTTACAAGGCTGAGAAGGAGTCGACTGACCAGCGGCTGGCGCAGCTTAATGGAGAGTGCGAGCACCTTCGCCAGGCCCACAATGAAGCTAAGGCTGTGTTGGAGCGCTCGCAGCATGAGCTGGAGCAGGTGCGCGTGCAGATGAACGCCGCCCAGCAGGAGAAGGCTGCTCTTGCAGCGGAGGTGGGCCAGCTGCGTGGCTTGAACGATGAAAAGTCCCACCTGCTGCAGGAAGTGGACGAGCAGAAGCGTGTGAACCAGCGACTGGAGGACACGAACCGCGAGCTCGAAGGGTTGCTGCAGAAGTCCAAGGCGTACTGCGAGGAGCTGTCCCGTGACAGCGAGGACAAGGTTAGTCGTGTCCAGGAGTTCGCGCGCCACGTGGAGCAGGAAGCTCGCGATGAGATCGACCGTATTGCGCACGAGAATGGCGTGCTGCGGGACGAGCTGGAGCAGCTGGCTCAGGCTCGCTTCGAGGAGACGAACGCCCACGATGAGCTCCGCGTGAAGCTCGCCGAGCTGCAGGCCGAGAACAACGTGCTGTCAGCACGCGCGCACCGCCTCACGCAGCAGCTGTCGCAGTACACGGATCTTCCCGAAGACGACGAGCTGGCAGCAGGGCAAGGCCAGACGCCCGACCTGTGGGAGCTGCTGTCCTCGGGAATGGAGCAGCTCAAGGCTGACTTGGAGCTCGCCAGCAAGTATGCGGCCAGCATCGATGCCAGTAGCGTAGACGGCGGCACTGGAGACGAATCTTTCACAGTCGCACACTAGAATGGAGGGGAGGTCGAATGTACATGCCAGGAGTTTTGACGTTTAAAGATGGTGATAAAGGTGAGATGCGGAGGTCGAAGCGAGTTGAGATGGCGGAAACTGCGTCGTCATGTGTATAAAATGCATGCATTGCCCGGGACCCGTCGTCGTCGTTGACCTTATCGCGCCAAATTTACGCGGATCAGTCCATGATGACCATGAACACGGGCCAAAATTATCGTCGTGCTGGCATCGCTGTCGTTGTCTTCGAGCTGATCTCGATCTTCACTTGAGTACCCACCCACACTACAGCAATCAACCAGGAGCAAGCTTGTGCTGCTCGGTAGTCGAAGAAATATGGCCGACACCATGGAGATCCCCAAGAGCCGACTCATTGAAGCCAAGCAGGTGAGGCACAAGTACATGCATGACCCATACTTAAGTAGTTACTATCCTTGATGATTGACACTTGGTTTATGTGCTGTAGAGGCGACAAGAGGCGTCGAAGGATGCGTTGCTGCTGAAGAACCGCATCGCTCTGCTCAAGGCTGAGGAGGACAAGGCCTGGAAGAAGATTGAGCAGACTCGTCGACGCGCTGCTGAGCTCATGAAGCTTCGAGAGGACAACGGTCGAGCTCACGCCATGCTGAAAGAGCTGGCGATGGAGGTCGAGCGAGAGACTCAGGCGTCCATCCAGGTCAAACGCGAGCTGGTGTTGAGTATCGACAGCATTCCGAAGAAGAAAGAGATCAGCATGCAGATCACCGAGGCGCGCAGGAGCGAGGCCCTGCAGCTCAAGGAGGACAAACAGCGTTGGAAGGAGATCATGGACCGACAGAAGCGTGACGAGCTGATCGACGCCATCCGCCGCAAAGAAGAGATCGAGAGTCAGAAGGAGGCGCTGCGCGTCAAGAAGATCCTGCACAAACAGGACGTCGACAAGCACAACCGAGAGCGCGCGCTGGAGAAGATCCGCGCAGAGGAGGAGCAAGCTCGGCGACACGAGGCTGAAGTGCAGGAGATGGAACGCCAGGAGCTCGAGCTCATTCAGCGGCTGCGAAACACGCAGCACCTGCAGAAGCAGGCCTTCGAGGAGCTGGAAGCTGCGCTCAGCGGTGGGAATGGTGTCGCTGCCAAGATTTATTAGGAATGTTACTCGACGCCTTCGTCGCTGCTCCACGTAAGACTCGATCGCATCTCCTTCACTTTATCTATAAGAGCTTGCTTTCTGGACACGCAGTGTTTGCTTTCTTCGTCTTGTTTAGCCTCGTCAGCTGAGCGGTCAACGCCTTGATCTTGAGAGGCTACAGGCTCTTCCTGTAGCAGTTGTGCAGCTACCAGCATCTCGTTCAGCAAAGTTTGTAGTTGCGACTGATTCCCAACATCCTTCAAGCCTTCGCACATCAGCACGTTGTTATCGTCGAGGAACGAACCACGAAGTAGATGGAGCAACGACACGATCAGTGACTCCGGACTCGGCATCAAGCCCTCTGTAGTGTTGGTCTTGGCAGTCGTTGTGGACGTTGACAGAACCACTCGGCACTGAGAGAGCAAACTCGAGCTCCATAGCACGAGTGTGTCCCCCTGCTCGTCTGCGAGCTCGCCGCATTGAGGGAGCGATTTCGGAGACGCGAAACCGCACGGATACAGCAGTGTCATCACTTCGAGGCGTAAACTACCAGCTCTTGGGTCTGATGCTCCCTCGGAGGTCGAGTTCGTGTCGGCAACAGCACTGGAATCCTCGCACTGCGCCAAAAGCAAGAATGCCTCTCGCATATGCTCGAGACCGCCAATAAAACTCCCGCTCATCACATCAATCGTGAAGCGCAGCAACCTCTGGGAGACTTGCAACAACACACTAGTTGCGCTTCCAGGTCGTTCACTAGCAGCTGCAACAGCCTTCTCGATATCATTGAAGCAGTTGGTTTCCACTAGCAAGTCCTGCGCTTCTTGTACGCGAGTTTCCCCCTCAGCATCAAACCAGTAACCACTTCCTTGACATACGCTCAGTATTTGCGAGTAGAAATGATCAGCACGACTTGAAATCCATAATTCGTCCAGCTTCCTATCGTTTTGGCTTGCTACAAACGCAGCAACCATGCGAGAATAGAGGAGCGCGGCGGCGTCGTCCTTTTCGCGTTGATGTCGACTAGTCAAGAACTCGAAAAGCTCGCGAACACTTGACGGAGGATCGGAGCCCAGCAACTTTCCGACCTGGGTGCCATCATTCTCAAGTTTGCAATGGAATTGCCGGTGCTCATCAAGTGTCTTGACGATTCCGAGAAGACAGCATGTTAAGCGGTGCACCGGGGAGAACGAGGCCCCTACCAGCGGCGATTGAAGCAAACTCGCCACTGTTTCAGCAATGTCAAAGCGGGATTTTGCGAGAGCTTTACCCGCAATTGAGATGAAAAAGCTCGCGGGAAACGAAAGCTCCTCACCTCCTTTTTCAGAGCCCTCTCCTTGATGTCTGATCTTCGCCGGAGACTTCGCTGCCGCTAGCAGAACGTCGAGGGCAGCTTTAATGGAGACCATCTCGCCTGTGTTCACAAGCATGTGAACCGCCCGCGTCGTGGCCTTCACGGAGCCAATGTTCAACAGCGCCAAGGCGGCCTCTCCATGCCGACCGCGCTTCGAGAGGAACTGCGAGTATTTCCACAAGGTGCCGTATAGGAGAGGATCGTGGGGCCCCAACCTAGATCGAACGAGCGCTATAGCTTCCTGGTAGGCATCCCCACTCACCAAGCACGCGACGGCAGATCGAACCTTCGCGATGCTGAGGAAATGCAACGCTAAAGCAAAAGAACCAAATAAAACAGCGATTTGTCAGTCACAACGAGGTAGTTAAATAGTCGAAGGAAGATAAACAAACCTGCAGCTTTCTTGTCTCCTTGCGCATCGAGCTGGTGGGCATACAAGTTCGTCATCTCTCGCCACACGTCCATCCCAGCCATTGGAGCATACGAAAGGTAGGTGGGTGAAAGAGCTCCTTCCTTTGCAACAACGCGCAGGGCCTCCGCAATGTTTCCCTGCAGCAGTAGCATGTTGGCGAGGTTCTCCCATTCACGGTCATCTCGAAAGCGCTTCACTTCGGTAGCAAAGAATTCCTGAACTTGCGCCCGGGTAGCATTCGTGAGAATGGTGGCCACTGCTGGGTTAGCTTTCGCACCAGCTGCCTCCGTACCATTTGCTTCCTCACCATAACCGTGTATCGCAAAGGCAACTTCAGCTGGTGCAAGCTTCGTCTCAGAGTGGAAGATCGTCATCCTCTTTTTCTTGGCTTTGGCTGGTGTTTTAGCACCACTACTACCAACTGATGGCAGTTCAAGTACGGCATCCGACTCTCGTTGCGGCTGCGATGCTCCGTTGCGTTCTGTAGGCGACGTTGCACTTGTTTCAACTTCTTGGGGCTGTTTCACCTTGCTAGGCTTCTTTTGCTTCGACAGAGGATCTTTGGGCTGCTCCCTACAGTCCCAGAGGCGCAGTGTTTGGTCCTCACCTCCAGTAACAAGAACGAACGGCGAGACCCACTCCAGTGATAAAACGCGACCAACGTGGTGGCTGAAGTGTGCTTCCCTCCGGAAAGATGCTGTTTCCCAAACTTGAACAGTTCCATCAGAAGAACAAGAGGCCAAGCGGCCTTGGGCTACGTCGGGGCACCACCTTAAACCCATGATTTTGTTCGAGTGGGCTGCAATACTGCCGAGAATTTGGTTTCCTAGACCCGGCTCAGCTGATGTGCCCAAGTCATCTAGTGCGTTCGTTTCATCTCCACAACCGTAGACAAAGATTTTACCATCTTCACCGCCGGATGCCAGCAAACCAGCATGTCCTCCACTACCCCACGCCAAGCACGTTACCCCCTCCAAATGCTCGTGAAAGCGATGAATCGCACTGCTAGTGTCAAAACTTCCCTCCCATTTCAATACTTCCACGACGCCGTTAGAGCGCCCGATGGCGAGAAGCTCACAGTGCTCGTCCCATTCAAACGCGACACAACCAGAGACTACCTCACGAGATTTCTGGTCGATCGCATCTGCATTTGATTCCAACAAATGACCACCAGCGTCGCGGCTCCACAAGAAAACCCTCACCTCGTCCCCATCGCGGCCCTTACTTGTCTGTTTTTCCTGGGAAGTTAAAGCCTCCTCCAGACTCTGACCTTGCGCTTGTGCAGCTTCCAGTTGCTTCATGCTGTCGAGAAACGAGCTATCTCCATCATCAGCACTCTCACTGGCCTTCGACTGCTGTACAATCCATTGGAGTTGCTCGACCTCGTGATCGTGACTGGTACGGAAATGGCTGTACTTGTTGGTTTGAGTGTCGTAAACCCCAATGCGTCCGTCTTCCATGCTGTACGCCAGCAATGAATGCTGGAAGGGATGCCACCGAACGCACGTAACCTTGCTCTGCAAGCCCTTCCAAAGCAGTTCGCATTGGTAGTCACTCGTTGTAGATGCACCATCGGTACCTAAATTCCACAGCCGAATCGTCTGATCTCCAACTCCGGCGGCAACGAGTCCAGTTGCTACGTTATGCGAAACGCTGTAAGCGTGTCCTCCTAACCCAGTCAGCTTCTCGACATAAGTCGCAGCAGGCGATGATTTTGAGGGCGGGTTCTCCTGCCAAAGGCGCAGCTCTCGATCCAGCGATACAGTCAGCATCGACACTGCATCGTCTTGAGGCAGAGCAGTACTTCGCGGGGGCACCATCACGATGCTGAAAAGCATTCGGTTATGGCCACCTTTGACGGCTACAGGCTTGCACGGAGTGCGCTTCTTCCCTTTCTTCCCCTGGTCTTCCGACTTGTCTGCACTCCATTCCCAGCGCAGCAGACTGCCATCGAATGATCCCGACCAAAGGCAATGCCTCGCTAAAGCGTTATCGTTAACGCTCCACGCCACAGATAGCCATAATTGTTTTGTCTGGGTAAACGACATCCCCTGCTTTCCTGTTGGAAGTCGCAGCACTTGATCCAAGGCGGGTTCTTCAGCTGAAGTCGATGCAAGCTTCCACACCTTGATAGTTTTATCCCGAGACGACGATGCAAGCCATACATCTCGACCAGCCTTATCAGGTTCACCGACGTCTTCCTCATCTCCTTCCACGGGGTTGTTGACTTTTAACGTCGCCTTCCAAGCAACGCACTGAACTTCCTGGTCGTGCCCAGCTAGACGGTGACGTACAGTACCTTTCGCAGCATCCACGAGACAAAGCACTCCACTACGATAACCTACCGCTACGAGTGCTTTATCATGCGGTGAAATAGCCATCGAGTGGATACCGTCGCCTGATACCGGCATGAACATTGACACCTTCCCTCTGCAATCACCAATCGTCATGAGGAACACGGTTAGCTCGACAGTTTAGACACCACCAACTCAACGGTGCGATCATTATTCTCTCACGCACGTACGCGTCCCGTTCCCACGCGCTGATGCGTCCTTGTCGATCTCCCGCCACCACAAAATTCGCGTCAAGCGTGTCAGACACGGCGATCGCCATCACCTCCGCCTTGTGCTTTCGGTGCTGCTCGATCATCGTCAGCGTCGCCACATCCCTATCGTCCATTCATCAAACCACCCAGCCACCAATTAGCATCTCACCGCTAAGTTAAGTTTCCTTATCGTCACTCATCCACCGCCGCACCAGATCTGCACGCTTCCTTCCTCGCCGCCGCACACCAGCTGCAGCTCGCCCGTCGTGTCCGTCAGGAACATCACTGCAGTCACGCGTCGGTCGCGCTTGCCACGCACCAACTGCGCGAAGAACGAGACCTTCACTGCGTCATCTCCACTCGAAGCTTGTCCTTCACCTCCATTTGTCACCTAATTAGGCATTGGCACAGCATGTAAACCATGACAATGATGTATCATTCATTTCACTGCCACTGCAAAACTATACCGCACCTGGTAGATGAAGACGCTGTTCTTGGCCCCGAAGGCGAATAGCAGCCCGAACGCGTCACTGCGGCCCCAGTCACAGATCTGCGGCAAATATAACAAGAAGTAAAATATTCCAGCAAACTAGTGACTAATTACACTCCGAGCGCCATTACTCGACAACCACTGACCTTCGAGCAGTACCAATTGGCAGAAGGCGGCAGCAGACGCAGGTGATCTTTGCCGTGCAAGTTGCCCCTCCGCCCGCGCTCTCCACCGCCCACCCGAGCGTCATGAACCTCGGCGTTCACCTCGCCCGGCGTCATTTTCCGATTCAAAATGATTCGGCGCGCAAAGTGACACTGTGCCGTGGCATATGCCGGATCGTAGGCTAGCCAATCACAACCCAGCATCCGTGTAGCATTTCGCGTAGCTGCTCGCCATGAGAAGCGGCGGCGCCAGTCTCTCGGTCGCCAGCTAACTCTCGCGCTCCGAGGCCTCGTCGCGGGCGCGGGACACGACGCAGAAGACGCCGTTGGGGGAAGCGTAAAGCCCCGCGAAACGCGCACTTCAACGCGGCCGTTGGGCGGCAAGAACAAAGCGTCGAAGTCCCGCAGTCCGCTGTCGGTTCCTGTCTGTCTGTCACAAGGCGAAGCGCGCAGTAGCAGGCAGTTGAAGTCCATCACATTACGCGTTGCATGAGTCCGGCCATCGCGTGCGCGGCCATGAGCTCCGGCAGCTTGGGCACGTCGCCGTCCGCCGGGTGGAACTTGAACGCGCAGCGGCGCGAACGCAACCTCTGGAGCGGCATCGCCGAGCGGCTGGAGGCGGACGTGGCCGTGCTGCAGCTCACGCTCGTGGAGCTGGAGGAGATGCTGCGCCAGCTGCTGACCGTCGCACTGCCCAACCCACGGATCCGAGGAGATGTACGTGCAGTGGATGGAGGAGGTTGATGCAATACATGAGGAGGAAGGTGCTGATATTTATTGTTGTTTGTAGGAGATTGCGGCGCTGGTGACGGCGCTGGCGCAGATCCTGCCGCTGAGCTCCGGGCTGCTGTGCTCCGAGTACACGCGCTTCGTGCAGAAGTGCTGCAGCAAGGAGCGCGTGCTGTTCTCGAGCGCGCAGCTGAGCGTGGTCGTGACGTTCTTCCTCAACTTCATCAAGTCGTGTCCGAGCTGGTACACGGCCAGCTCGATCCGCGCGCTGGGCCAGGTGCTGCACGACAACGCGGACCGCGCCAGCGGCGAGTTCGAGCTGCTGTTCGCCGTGCTGCTCAAGCACCTGGACCCGGCGGGCGTGGACATCGAAGCGCGCTACGCTGCCACGAGCTGCGTATCGAACATCTGCACGCAGGCGGGCAAGACGCCCGAGGTATACCACTACTTTTCGTCGTTACTGCGGATGGTGGTGGAGAACTTTCGGCAGCAAGCGCAGAGCCTGACCAAGGGCCAGAACGACCGCATCCTCGTCAAGGCCTGCACGTGCAGCATGAAGTGTGTGTTCACGATCATCAACTCGAACTTCGACCGCTTGAACGACCGGATAGCCGCGACGCTGCCCAGTCTGCTGACCTCGATGCGGCAAGTTGTGGGGTACGGTCTAGTGCTCAAGAACGAGCATGACGACGTGGTCTTCTCATGCCAGGAAGAACTGCACCCGTCTGACTCCGACTCGTCCGTATGCGGTTCTGACAGTGGAGGGGGACGACAAGTCGGAGAGTAAGTACTGATGCTTTAGCTATTAAGGTGGCTACCTGTTACTAACTGGTGCGTTGTTCGTGTCTATTATGTAGCGGTTTGCTGGCGCGACTGCGTATCACTGTGCTGTACACGCTGGAGACGATCGCACAGCATTTTCCCAAAGCAATTACGTCGTCGATGGGGCTGTACCTACCGGAGCAGACGACTCCGTACATGACACTGTTCAACAATGCTCCCTCAGTGCTCACTCTGCTTATTGCTGACCCCAGTGAGAAATCCCGCATGACGGCAGCCAAGTTCTTGGATGCATTCTGGGAGAAGATCCCGCTCAAGCTCTACTTCCGCCGCCCGTCTGGGGTCAGTGGAGCCACGACCATATCGGCGAGCACGTCTTCAATGTCATTTGCGTCGATGCCCAAGCGAATCTCGTTGATGCTCTACCAAGTCCACGTCACCCTGGTGTTCTGCATTCAGCACGAGAAAGAGTCAGCACCTCTCGCGCAGATATTGAAGGTGCGTAGCTGAGAAAGGTTACGATGGTGGGGGTTGCGGTTGCTAAATGGCGCTAATGATGTATTGCAGAGCACGGCATCGGTGATTCAACATTTCCCGTATGGAAGCGTGGCTGCGATTCTTGACCAGATCGAGCTGACGCCAACCTTGGGGGATATTCTGAAGGCACTCGCATCGAGTCTGTATGTTGCGGCCGCGTCAACTGGTAGGTGTCAGGCTTGTAGAAGATGTGCTATGATATCGTGGCCTAATTGTTGCTCGATTCATTATTCTAGATCATGGTGTGCGGATGGCAAGCTTGTCGTGCATGTCAGCACTGCTTAACGTCCAAGAAACTCTACCTGCCATACTGGACTGGATGGTGCACACGAGCGATACTGACCGCGTGATTGAGGTAGCTCATATCATGATCGCTTGTGGAACGTGGCTGCTGCGACGTCGGTCGTTTGTGGAGGAACTCTTGCTGATGGCCTCCCGTCCGGACGATTCATCGCGCACCCTGCTGCGCTTGGAGGCCATGTCGCTGCTATCCAAGATTGCCAAGAATTACTCGCCGGCGTTGAGTGCTAATTGGAAGAAGCTGGCGGAATTCATGCTGGCAGCTTTCCAGGATCTGGACTCGGGTGTTCGTTTGCAGGCGGTAAAGATCTTGGAAAACTACATCAAGGGGGAGAATGGAGGTGCTGAAAGCACTGTGGCCGGTGCCCAAAGTGCTCAGAACGCTTGTCGCGTGGACTGTTTGGAGTTCATGGCAACGCATTTGGTGCGAGCGTTCTATGACACCTCCCACCACGTACGCGCGAGTGTTTGTGCGTGCTTCACGCTTTTGTCTGCTCAAGATTGGGCCTGGCTTGGTGAAAGAAAGCAGCCTCGGCGCCTTCCAGTGCTGGCAGCAAAGAGTGGCGGGAACGGAGTTGGCTCTAACGTTTCGTGTTTAGATTCATACACGCGCATCTTCCTGCAAACGCCGAAAGACAGCTCGCCTGTCGTGCGCGCGGCGGGGTTCCGATTGCTTGGGTCGTTGTGTTTGGCGCCGACGTTTAAGGCTCGCGCCTTTGCTAGTAGTGTCGTGGGTTTGGCGTTGGACGCGCTCAGCGACTCGACCCTAAACGTCCGCGTCCGAGCTGCGTGGGCGCTAGGCAATGTTTGCACGACTCCGGGCCCCGAGTCAATTGCTGAGAGCGATGCACCTCCGCTGCCTCCACCCGCGCCGCCGTCTTCGTTCGTTACCAAGCCGGAGACGTCGATGCCGTACCCACCGCTACCCCCACAGGTGCTGTACGAGCTTCTGCCAGCGTACCAGTTACGACTGGTGATCGAGAAGATGCTCGTGTACATCAACGACAATGATAAGGTGGCATCAAGCGTGGCTCGTACGTTGGGGCTTGTATGCCGTTGGATCAGCTTCCCACCTTTCCGGCGCACTGTTAGCACGCAGAAGGATCGTGCACGGCTGGACGATCTGCTGGGGCAGGCCATGGTTGTGCTCGCTGGGAAGATCAACGCGGGGTCGCCCAAGGTCCGCTGGAATGCATGCCACGCCATCGCGAAGGTCCTGCTGTGCCCCAGCTTGCCGCTGGCATCGGTGACGTGGGCTCCATCCGTCTTCCAAGCTCTGCTGACTGCGGTCGCGCAGCAAGAGAACTTCAAGGTGCGCATCAGTGCTGCTACCGCGCTTCGAGTCTCTCAAACGCGCAGCGCGTTTGGCTCGTTCTTCCAGTCGGCGCTTCGAGCCACGGTGGATGCACTGGAGACGGCGTCAGACCTGAAGGACGTGACCGAGTTTCGCTACAAGGAGCAATTGGAGACGCAGCTGTCGTTCACGCTGGTGCACCTGATTCACATCGCGACGGAGGAGGACGACGCGATGATCCTGGAGGCCCTGAAGGCCAAGCCGCGCGGGTTTCTCTACGACTGGCTGCTGCACAATCTCCATCGCATGGTCGCTGCCATTGAGCGCGAGAGCGATGCGGTTGCTGGTTCGAGCGCGGTTGGAGGAGACATGACTGAAGACGGGCGAGCAGGGGGAACTGGTGACGCCCATGACGTGAACCCCATCAAGAAAGAAGAGCTGCTGTCGGCAGTGCGCTCGCTGTTGCGCATATTGGATCGCCTTAACACGGACAAGGCGTACGCGACCAGCTGCGTGTCGCTCCTATACGACACGAAGATCGGACTGGAGCACGATGTACTATATTCCAACGAGGATATCCCGTTCGAGCTATGAGAAGGCTACGCAGATATCGTCATCAATAGCAGTAAGTATCGCATAGCGGACGATAATAACAAGGCCTGCGACGGATGACCCCGGCAGAAAACATGAGTGGTTTAATGGCAGCACAATTTCTTTGGTCGTCAAGTTGAATATCTTGCCGTCCTCGTGGCCGAGTCTGCTTGGGAGTGTTTGGTACTAACGTCGCTGGAAGCGACCGCGTCTGTTGCGTTTGCGACCGCCGCGATGGCGGCGCTTGCGAGGTGGACCCTCCGGCTGCTGGCTCTGGCGCTCCTTCCGCTCCTTCACTTGCTCGTCCGTGAGCGGCAAGTAGTACAGCACAGGTTTTGTCTCCGTCTTCTGGAAAAACTCGTCGATCGTTACCTCTTCACAAGCACAAAACGAGTTAGTCTTTCGGATCCAAATCAACAAATACCTCTTGGCTGCTTACTCTGCCGTTGAGCAGGTTGTGTAGTGGTATTTCCCTTGCTTTTGGGTCGGCTTGGTAAGTTTGCCTCACCAACCTTCGACACCTGTCATGGCATGCGTGTTAGCTTTTTAACCTGTTGAAAGGATACATCATTTACCCACGCACATACCTCCATCGCTGTATGATCTACGAACTCTACTTTGAGCGATCGTCCGTTTTCCGGGGGCCATACCTTGCCGTTCAAGGCAGCTTTTGTCTTCTCGGCCTGTGCCACGCCGCAAGAGTATTCAGGTCAGCAAAAACCGGTGACGTGATAAGTCAATAATACGAAAAGACTCACGATATCGGAACTCGGATATGTCACGTAGCAGTGAGTCTTGATAGCGTCCATCCAGAACCCGTCCTCCACAAAGCTGCCAAGTTCTTGCACCAGAGCCTACAACCAGCGCCGTCAGTAAGACTTCTTCAGCTTGTGCACCTCTCAGCAAGTATGGGTGACGTACCTTGACGGCATTCAGCGTAAATGGCCGGACGAAATTGTCAATTCGCAGTGTTAATCTCCGTTCTTCCTCGCTGCTGATGCACACGCGCAACAGTTAATCACACCCATCAGTCACCAACCCACTTCGCCTCAGCATGTACATGAAAGTTCACCGTACGTCGTCTCCGTAGCTTCATCCGCTGCCTTCTCACCGCTCATTGCATCATCAGCGTCCGCATCAGCATCCGCATCAGCAGACGACGCTGGCTTGGCGCTATCATCCTCCTCTGGCTGCGGGCTGTCTCCTTCTTTATCCTCCGAGACCCTAGCCTTCTTTGCTCCCGGCGCGTCCTTCTCGTCCCTTTCCACTGCATCTGCGCCGCGCTTCACGCCCGACGCTGACTCTGATTTCTCTCCATCCTCTGCACCATTAGCCTCTGCCGGTTCCTCCACCTTCTCTGCCCCTCCTTCAGTCGAGACTTTTTCCTTCTCAGAAGTCTTAGTCTGGGGCTCTTCCTGCTGCTCCTTCTTCTCCCGTTTATCGTCCCCCTCTTTCCCCTTGTCTCGAGCCTCAGCGGGCCCAGCTTCCTCCTGTCACAAGACGGCATCGTTAAACTATCAACCAGCACCAATCCCTCCACGAATTGACTACTCCAACCTGCTGCAGATGCTCCTTCAGCCGCCCCACTAGCGCCGCCTTCAGGCCGCCCGTGTCCAGGCCGCGCTTCTTGAGCTCTCGCTGCAGATCCTTCACCTGGCACGTAGGAGCACGAGAACGGCGCGTCAATTGAGAGCTGCAGACTGGCACGAGCGACCGCACAGGCGCAAGGCCACGGACCTTCAGGCTGCTCAGCTCGTCGACGTCCAGCTTCATCATGCCTCTCCTCACTCGCAGCGATCTATTGACTTGATGTGCGCTTATATGTGGACCACACAGGAACAATTTTACTTGACCCTAAGTGATTAGCATGGACGCCGCATTGACTCTGGGCGACGCCGCGCTCGAGCAGCTACGCGAGCAGCTGCTCGCCTTCAGCGCCGATGCGTCTACGCAGCCAACGCATCTCCACCTCGTGGAGCAGCTAGCGGCGGAGCTGCCGGTGGCAGCGGCGTCGGAGCTGCAGCGTCTGCTCCCAGACGTCCTCCGCGCCGTCAAAGCGCTCTGTCGCCTGGCCATCAAGTGCGTGGCAGCGGTCGCAGCGGACACGCAGAACGTGGCGGCCCTGGTGGCTCTGGACGACAAGTTGCGGCCGATTCTGCGCGTGCTGCGGGCGGTTGTGGGCCGTCTCAAGGCCCGAGAGCTGGCCGACGCAGTGTACGAGGCCAAGGAGCTGCGACGCTGGCTGCCGTTCGTGGCGACGACCTGCAGCTTCGTTGAGGCGGCGGAGCTGCCGGGCGCGGACCTGATGCAGAGCGTTGAATTGGCTGGCGAGACCCTGGACGGCTGTGTGGAGCTGCTGCAGGTGGACGGGCGGACGCAGGTGCTGGCGGAATACGTCGCGCAGATCGTGGCGCTGTGCTCGCAGGACGTGAGCAAGGACGAGTGGGTGGCTGCTGCGTCGGTCAACAAGAGGGTCATGCTGCATGTGGTGCAGCAAGTGCCGTTCCCTCACTTGGGCGGAGATCTGCTGGGCCGCTTGCTGGCGCTCACGTTCCCACTGGTGGACGACCTGACTGATGCCACGCAGCTCGTTGGGGCGCGACTGCTGCGCCACCTTGTGAGGAACGTCACGCCCACGGAGCTGCGCTGGTACTCGGACGTCCTGCTGGAGGTACTACACACGGCGATGGTCTCTCGAAAGCCGGCGACGCTTGATGTGCTTCTCGACTGCCTCGTGGAATCGCTGGACAAGGTGTCTCCTCCGGGCGAGCTCAAGCACTACGACCGCTTTACGCCGCGGATGCTCCGCGACACCAGTCTGTGCAGCGATATTGCGGTACGAGTGGTGTTTGTTCGGCACCTGCGGGCTCTTGTCATTCGACAGGGTGCGCCGCATAGCCTCAATGTGATCCGCTACCTCCAGCCGCTGCTGAAGGTGCTAATCGCGGGCGTTGAGAGCGTCAACGTCGCAATGTTGGAGGAGACTCTTGAAACATTACAAGCTACCATCCTCGCTGCGTGGCCCCGCATTGCACCTCATACCGAGCAGATTCTCGTTGGTGTGCTACGTGCCGTGGCTTTCTGTGAGATTTTTGAAGAGGGGGCCGATTTTACGCCGTCCCCAAAGGAAAAGGAGCAGCTTCTTGCACTCGGCGAGGATATCCTCGACTTGTTGCACCAAGTCAATGCTGGAAACCCCGTTGTTAGTGATATGTTGGCCACTGTCGGTAGCCAGAGCCCCAACCTGTCGCCGTTTTGCGATCGTATGCAGGTTAAATGGACATCTCGCTAGCAAGGTAGGAGGATATGCTCTAGGCTAACTTTGTGAACGAGCAACAGTTGTTGAAGTGGAGCTCCTGTACTCAATCACAAATGCCAAAACACGACACCAACATTAGTTGCCTCAAAGCAAACGCAAGAAGCATTATCGATCAACTTCACTGGAGTATTAACTTGCGCATTCTCAGCGCGGACCAAAGTACTGGGACTTCGACGATGGACCTAGTTGCTCGCACGCTTCGCCAAATGCTTCCGCCGAGCACATTCAGCACGGTGCCACTCCGCGTGCGCAGCCCACGCCCCGCGCGATCTCATGCGTTTCCCGCATCCTCGCTCTGGGCAAGCAAAGTCAACTTCTTCTTCCGACGACGATCCAGGATCCTGGTCAAGCACCATCTCCAAGTCGGTGCTGGTGAGAGTGAATCCGGGAAGAACATCGCGGCCATCGAGGTCTCTCCACGCAGTGTCGTCCGAGCATTTCACCTGCCCGCGTTCGTTGAGATAGTACTCATACATCTTGTAGTGGCCGGGGCGCGGATCGATCAACCAGCCCAACTGAACGCCATGCCGGAAGTACTCGTAGCGCATCTTGCTGTTTAGAGCTCTGCGTTGAGATCCACGACCGGAGAGCTTGTCAATTTCAACGACGAAGCTCGGGTCAAACGGTTCTCCGCGGTACGTCCACATTTGTGTGCGATCTAGACCCCTGTCCTTCTCATCTCGCAGTGTGTATGCCACGTCAGGCATTCTCACTGCTGGCTTTATTGGACGCTGCTCCAGAACGAACGCTCCTTGTGAGGTTGTCACTCTGCCTCCTTCTCGAGACCACTTGGCCCACCGGCCAAAAAGTTGTGTTATCTTGGCTGCGACCGCCTCATTGTTATACGACCATTCAGTAGGGAGTGAAGTGTCCTTCGTCGATTAAGAACGCTGGCTGGACACCAAAATCGGGGCTTACAATTGGACCGTGCTCCGCCGCGCGAGCGTCGCACCAGGGTAGCTTTTGACTGGGCACAACGTCGGCTTCTCTTTCAAGTCGCGGACAAGTCGACCAAGTGCGTCTTTGGGGTCTTTCTTCTTGCCCTTTGCGGTCTTCATGGTGCTTGTCCTTCCAGCAGAAGTTGCTGTTCTCCTACTGTGTGGCCCACTTTACTTAGTCCAGCCAATCGCTGCATGAATAGTCATTAACTTCAACTTGCGGGGTGTCCAATGGATACTATCTATCCGCCCGTCGCGCCGCGCCACTTGAGTACAAATCTTTTTATATTGAATCGATCTGGATAAAGAGGACATGCACGAAAATACTACTGTACTACGCACGCTTACACGTTCGGTCCGTAGACCGACAGGTCGTTGCCCGGCAGGATGAACTGCTTGAAGTTCTCCTTGAACGACTTGGCCAGCTTGAGTGCCGTCTCGTCGAACGCCGCCTTGTCCGTCCACGAGTCCTTGGGGTTCAGGATCTCGGACGGCACGCCCGCCACCGCCGTCGGGATCTCGAAGCCGAACAGCGGGTCCTTGACGAACGTCGCGTCGTTGATGCTGCCGTCCAGCACCGCGTCCACGCACTTGCGCGTGAACGGCAGCTTCATGCGCTTGCCCACGCCGTACACACCGCCCGTCCAGCCCGTGTTGATCAGGTACACGTGCGTGTTGTGCTCCTGCAGCTTCTTCTTCAAAAGGTCCGCGTACTTGGTCGGGTGCAGCGTCATGAACGCCGCGCCGAAGCACGTCGAGAACGTCGCCTGCGGCTCCGTGATGCCGCGCTCCGTGCCCGCCACCTTGGCCGTGTAGCCCGACAGGAAGTGGTACTGCGCCTGGCCCGCAGACAGCTTCGACACCGGAGGCAGCACGCCGTACGCGTCGCACGTCAGGAAGATCACGGCGTTCGGGTGGTTGCCGCGCGAGTTGGGCTGGTGGTGCGGGATGTGGTAGATCGGGTACGACACGCGGCCGTTCTCCGTCTTGCTCGAGTTGAAGTAGTCGGGCTCGTTGTTGGCGTCGATCCAGACGTTCTCCAGCATGGCGTTCGGGCGGATGGCGTTGAAAATGTCCGGCTCGTTCTCCTTGCTCAGGTCGATGGTCTTGGCGTAGCAGCCGCCCTCGAAGTTGAACACGCCCTCGTCGTCCCAGCCGTGCTCGTCATCGCCGATCAGCTCGCGCTTGGGGTCGGCCGACAGCGTCGTCTTGCCCGTGCCCGACAGCCCGAAGAAGATGGCCGTGTCGCCCGCCTTGCCGATGTTGGCCGACGCGTGCATGGCCATCACGCCGTTCAGCGGCAGGTAGTAGTTCATCATACTGAAGATGCCCTTCTTCATCTCGCCGCCGTAGAACGTGCCGCCGATGACGGCCATGTGCTTCTCGATGTTGAAGATCACGAACACCTCCGAGTGCAGGCCGTGCGCCTCCCAGTCCTCGTCCACGACGTTGCACGCGTTGATGACCGTGAAGTCGGCGTTGAAGTTCTCGGCCACGCTCGAGAACTCGGGGCGGATGAACATGTTGGTCACGAAGTGGTGCTGCCACGCCAGCTCCGTGATGATTCGCACGTTGAGGCGGGACTTCTCGTTCACGCCGCAGTGGCCGTCGAACACGTACATGCGGTCCACGCCGCTGAAGTGCTTGGCGGCCTTGGCGTACAGCGCGTCGAACACCTCGGGCGTCGTGGGCTGGTTGATCGAGCCCCACCACACGTTGTCCTGCGACGGCGCCTGCTTCACGATGAACTTGTCCTTGGGCGAGCGGCCCGTGAACTTGCCCGTGTCCACGGTGAACGTGCCGTTGGCCACGAACGTGCCCTCGTTGAACTTCTTCTCGTGGTCCGCGAGCTGCTCGTACGTCAGGTTGTGGAACACCTTGCAGTCGTTCTGGATGCCCAGCTCGCCCAGGCCGAGCGCCGCGGTCGTGGTCTCGTGCTGCGCCATGGCTTCGGTTGTGTGTGTGGTGCGGGTTGCGCTTGGTTGCTGGAGCTGCTAGTGCTCGGGCCGGTGCCAATTGGGAAGTGACCTCTGGAGGCCAACGCGAGACCGACAGTGCTTTGTTGAGAGGGCTGCGTGATGCCTGGGAGTACTTTGGGTCGAGTGCACGTTGGTCAAGCCAAGCCTCGATGTGAAGCACGGCCTGCCGGCTACGCACGTTGCATTTCGACCGGAGCCCTACCGGTTTTGGCGAACAAAGAGGCGCCGCCGACACGCCCTCGTCGACGCAGGTAGGTGTTCCTTTTCGGCCAATCAGAAGCATGTTGTATTTGGCCTCGTCTCTGGCGACACCTAGGGCATACGAAGCGCAAGTGGGTCGGCTCTCCCGGGTAAGTTGCCATGTCGACGCGGCGCGCCAGAGACGAGACTGTTGTGACGTGTTCGGCGTGCGTAGCAAGGCCATTCAAATTCCGCGCGGTCTCCGACGTGGTGCTTGGTTTTGGTAGAAGGACACGCTCGTTCAAAACAACACGACTCGGACCCGAAGATCCCACAGCTTGCGTTTCTTGCCATTTAATCCCATCTGTCGGCGCGGCCTCCGTCACAGGTTTATCGTGGAGCGCTTCAACACGTGAGATACGTACTCTGCGGCGTTCAACCATCTGTGCGAGGCACGGTGGCAGTGTCGATTCCACGCGTGAGCTCAACTCGAGGTCATACCGAAATGGATAACAAGGAACGGAGGGCGGGAGAGCTAGGTTGGCTTGGTCGACAATTTCCGAGCGTGCTAAGCTACTTCGTCACTTACCAAACCACACGACTCGCGGCCACAAGTTTTATTCGCCTCGATGACCGCTTGAAGCGGCCCGCATCGGCTTCTTCTCCTCTCGCCCTGTTCAACGCACCATGGGTTTGAACAACTCGTCGGGCCCCGATTCGGGGCAACTTCAAGAGCCACACACACTCCTGCCCTCGCTACGTACACACTGCATGCCATCCAAACATCGGAGTCAGCGCGTTCATTCGCAGAAATTCTAACCAATCGTCGCCTTTAAATTCAACCACTTCAACTTGCCGGTATCCGCGATGATAACGCGAACCAAATGACGCAGATGAAAGGGTTACTACATGTAGTAGGAAGTTTTCGAGAGTTTTGAATGAAGTCGACACCAGATGTCCATCGGCAGATATGCTGTTGAACGACAGCGTTGCATGTTTAAACTAGCCGTATATTGACTCGAATTCGATGAAGCAGAGCACATGCAAACTACACCACTAAGCTAGATAGATAAAATAAATTCTCCTACAGCAACCGGCCACCAGCAGCAGCAAGCTCAATTGCAGCGGACGCTTGAGCCTAATCAGACTTACACGTTCGGTCCGTAGACCGACAGGTCGTTGCCCGGCAGGATGAACTGCTTGAAGTTCTCCTTGAACGACTTGGCCAGCTTGAGTGCCGTCTCGTCGAACGCCGCCTTGTCCGTCCACGAGTCCTTGGGGTTCAGGATCTCGGACGGCACGCCCGCCACCGCCGTCGGGATCTCGAAGCCGAACAGCGGGTCCTTGACGAACGTCGCGTCGTTGATGCTGCCGTCCAGCACCGCGTCCACGCACTTGCGCGTGAACGGCAGCTTCATGCGCTTGCCCACGCCGTACACACCGCCCGTCCAGCCCGTGTTGATCAGGTACACGTGCGTGTTGTGCTCCTGCAGCTTCTTCTTCAAAAGGTCCGCGTACTTGGTCGGGTGCAGCGTCATGAACGCCGCGCCGAAGCACGTCGAGAACGTCGCCTGCGGCTCCGTGATGCCGCGCTCCGTGCCCGCCACCTTGGCCGTGTAGCCCGACAGGAAGTGGTACTGCGCCTGGCCCGCAGACAGCTTCGACACCGGAGGCAGCACGCCGTACGCGTCGCACGTCAGGAAGATCACGGCGTTCGGGTGGTTGCCGCGCGAGTTGGGCTGGTGGTGCGGGATGTGGTAGATCGGGTACGACACGCGGCCGTTCTCCGTCTTGCTCGAGTTGAAGTAGTCGGGCTCGTTGTTGGCGTCGATCCAGACGTTCTCCAGCATGGCGTTCGGGCGGATGGCGTTGAAAATGTCCGGCTCGTTCTCCTTGCTCAGGTCGATGGTCTTGGCGTAGCAGCCGCCCTCGAAGTTGAACACGCCCTCGTCGTCCCAGCCGTGCTCGTCATCGCCGATCAGCTCGCGCTTGGGGTCGGCCGACAGCGTCGTCTTGCCCGTGCCCGACAGCCCGAAGAAGATGGCCGTGTCGCCCGCCTTGCCGATGTTGGCCGACGCGTGCATGGCCATCACGCCGTTCAGCGGCAGGTAGTAGTTCATCATACTGAAGATGCCCTTCTTCATCTCGCCGCCGTAGAACGTGCCGCCGATGACGGCCATGTGCTTCTCGATGTTGAAGATCACGAACACCTCCGAGTGCAGGCCGTGCGCCTCCCAGTCCTCGTCCACGACGTTGCACGCGTTGATGACCGTGAAGTCGGCGTTGAAGTTCTCGGCCACGCTCGAGAACTCGGGGCGGATGAACATGTTGGTCACGAAGTGGTGCTGCCACGCCAGCTCCGTGATGATTCGCACGTTGAGGCGGGACTTCTCGTTCACGCCGCAGTGGCCGTCGAACACGTACATGCGGTCCACGCCGCTGAAGTACTTGGCGGCCTTGGCGTACAGCGCGTCGAACACCTCGGGCGTCGTGGGCTGGTTGATCGAGCCCCACCACACGTTGTCCTGCGACGGCGCCTGCTTCACGATGAACTTGTCCTTGGGCGAGCGGCCCGTGAACTTGCCCGTGTCCACGGCGAACGTGCCGTTGGCCACGAACGTGCCCTCGTTGAACTTCTTCTCGTGGTCCGCGAGCTGCTCGTACGTCAGGTTGTGGAACACCTTGCAGTCGTTCTGGATGCCCAGCTCGCCCAGGCCGAGCGCCGCGGTCGTGGTCTCGTGCTGCGCCATGGCTTCGGTTGGACTTGAAGGTTGTGCTGCGCTTGACTTACAGCGCTTGGTCTCTTGACTTGTTGTTGGAGCTTGTGCTTGGTCCAATGCCAATTGGAAAGTGAGGCCCGGCGACCAAGGTGCTGGTTGAGTTTAAACATCGGCAGGCGGAGCAGAGCAGCGCGGGTACGTGGCCGAGCAAGCGACCCCTCTCGGAGAAAGATTGGCGACGTACCTCGTTGCATTTCAGCGAACAACGCAAAGGTTTACTTCAAGTCGGTGGGACCGTGCGCGTTATCGCGTTTCTACGGTGATGTTGAAGTTTTGGCTTAATTGGCATCTAGGCGCCACTTGGTAACGGAAAATGTACCGACGGGCTCGATTTTCACGGGGGTGTCGTAGATCCGCGGCAGGCCAATGAGTAAGCTGCCGTCGCTCTTGGAGCGCCCCATGTCGCCCTGTTCCTCGCGGATGCCTCGTGGACGGTAGCGCAGCGGCCCGGCGGAATCGCCGCCGGGCATGGCGAGCCCCCGGCGCTGCTGCAGCGGCTTCAGCAGCTCCTTGCGCGCCATGAGCAGCTCGGAGCGGTCCTTCACCCGGCGGAACTCGAGCGCGTTGGTCGGGTCCACGGGCAGCTCCGCCGGCGGCAGCTGTACGATGCAGCCAGACACGCCCAGCGAGGACTTGAGCTTCACGAGCCGCTCCTTGGCGCGCAGCCGGTTGAATTCCGTGGCAAATCCGGCGCCACTTGCTATCTCGTCCACGATCTGGTCCGTGGACTTGTAGCGGAAGCTCTCGTCGTAGAGCCACATCTGGCCGGCGTTGCGCTGCACGAAGTCCGCCACCATCATCTTTCGCCCTTGGATCTGCTGGAGGTGGCGCGCCTTCACCTCGTCGCGGTTGTTGCTGCTGCCTGTGGCCTCCTGCAGACGCAGGTGCATCTTCATTTCGTCGTCGTCCACGATGCCGTCTCCGTCGATGTCTATGGCTCCGTAGGCGTTGGAGAATACCTCGGGGCTGCTCACGCTGGCTGCCAGATTGGGCTCGACGTCATCGAGCTGGTTGGGATCGAGCGCCGGTGACACGAACTTCTTCTTCGGTTGCAAATCCGGTAGCGGGTGCTTGGTGAACGACGAACTGCGCAGCTTTCGAGTCGTCTCCACCCACGTTTGCCGCTCGGCCGACGAGGTGGGGGCCGTTAACGCGTCGGCTGCAATGTCGCCTTGAATACACGAGCGCATTTGGTGCGACGAGCGCACAGTGCGGTTGCGCTCCGTGCTCTCGAGGAACGGCATGAGCTTCTTGAAGTTTTTGTGGGTCGCGATGAACTGGGCTGCCTGCTCGTCGTTCATGCCCGTGAAGATGGAGCCGTATCTCCAAAGTCGCTCGTGGTTGCGCTCCACGAATTCCTTTGCAATAAGCAGCCGGCCAGCGCCTTGACGCATTGCTAACAAATCGGCTTCAGTTGGCTCAGGACCTTCATCAAGGGGGTCTTTTCGTCGATCGAGTAGCATCGCGTCCAGGAACTTCGCGAGGCGCATCTCGCGGACGTCCACGAACCCGTCGCCGTCGATGTCGTAGCCGAGTTTGAGCGCCCCCTTTATCGTTGGTCCTGGTTTGACGCTAGACTTCCTACGGGCCTTCGCTCGGAGCTTGGCCGCTGGTTTGTCGACGACGTCCGAGACGTCTGCGCTCAGGTACTTCCATCGGGCCTTGGAGTTGGAATTGCCGGCCTGCGGCTTGCGAATGCGCTTGCCCTTCGTGCGCCCGTCGTGGCCGCTCATCCCGGATGCGTGCAATCCACGCACTCTTGGACTCCGAGTCGGAGGCTCAAGTTAACGCTCCTTCGACGCAATCGCCCAGAAATAGACACACGGTGGCCCAGAGTGTTCTTGACACTTTTCATATTTGTCTCGAGTCCAGAAGTGAGTGAGTGAACGAAGTACTTAGTAAGTTACGACGAGCAACGCAGCCTTGTGCTTGATCACCAAAAGCGAAGTCACAAGTAAGCATGCATTGGAGGATCGCCGATAGAGAATCAACTGGATTCAGTATACTATATTCGGTAGTTGACCGGTAGCCTAACGGTGGCTCTGTGACGCGTCGACATGGCAACTTACCCGGGAGAGCCGACCCACTTGCGCTTCGTATGCCCTAGGTGTCGCCAGAGACGAGGCCAAATACAACATGCTTCTGATTGGCCGAAAAGGAACACCTACCTGCGTCGACGAGGGCGTGTCGGCGGCGCCTCTTTGTTCGCCAAAACCGGTAGGGCTCCGGTCGAAATGCAACGTGCGTAGCCGGCAGGCCGTGCTTCACATCGAGGCTTGGCTTGACCAACGTGCACTCGACCCAAAGTACTCCCAGGCATCACGCAGCCCTCTCAACAAAGCACTGTCGGTCTCGCGTTGGCCTCCAGAGGTCACTTCCCAATTGGCACCGGCCCGAGCACTAGCAGCTCCAGCAACCAAGCGCAACCCGCACCACACACACAACCGAAGCCATGGCGCAGCACGAGACCACGACCGCGGCGCTCGGCCTGGGCGAGCTGGGCATCCAGAACGACTGCAAGGTGTTCCACAACCTGACGTACGAGCAGCTCGCGGACCACGAGAAGAAGTTCAACGAGGGCACGTTCGTGGCCAACGGCACGTTCACCGTGGACACGGGCAAGTTCACGGGCCGCTCGCCCAAGGACAAGTTCATCGTGAAGCAGGCGCCGTCGCAGGACAACGTGTGGTGGGGCTCGATCAACCAGCCCACGACGCCCGAGGTGTTCGACGCGCTGTACGCCAAGGCCGCCAAGCACTTCAGCGGCGTGGACCGCATGTACGTGTTCGACGGCCACTGCGGCGTGAACGAGAAGTCCCGCCTCAACGTGCGAATCATCACGGAGCTGGCGTGGCAGCACCACTTCGTGACCAACATGTTCATCCGCCCCGAGTTCTCGAGCGTGGCCGAGAACTTCAACGCCGACTTCACGGTCATCAACGCGTGCAACGTCGTGGACGAGGACTGGGAGGCGCACGGCCTGCACTCGGAGGTGTTCGTGATCTTCAACATCGAGAAGCACATGGCCGTCATCGGCGGCACGTTCTACGGCGGCGAGATGAAGAAGGGCATCTTCAGTATGATGAACTACTACCTGCCGCTGAACGGCGTGATGGCCATGCACGCGTCGGCCAACATCGGCAAGGCGGGCGACACGGCCATCTTCTTCGGGCTGTCGGGCACGGGCAAGACGACGCTGTCGGCCGACCCCAAGCGCGAGCTGATCGGCGATGACGAGCACGGCTGGGACGACGAGGGCGTGTTCAACTTCGAGGGCGGCTGCTACGCCAAGACCATCGACCTGAGCAAGGAGAACGAGCCGGACATTTTCAACGCCATCCGCCCGAACGCCATGCTGGAGAACGTCTGGATCGACGCCAACAACGAGCCCGACTACTTCAACTCGAGCAAGACGGAGAACGGCCGCGTGTCGTACCCGATCTACCACATCCCGCACCACCAGCCCAACTCGCGCGGCAACCACCCGAACGCCGTGATCTTCCTGACGTGCGACGCGTACGGCGTGCTGCCTCCGGTGTCGAAGCTGTCTGCGGGCCAGGCGCAGTACCACTTCCTGTCGGGCTACACGGCCAAGGTGGCGGGCACGGAGCGCGGCATCACGGAGCCGCAGGCGACGTTCTCGACGTGCTTCGGCGCGGCGTTCATGACGCTGCACCCGACCAAGTACGCGGACCTTTTGAAGAAGAAGCTGCAGGAGCACAACACGCACGTGTACCTGATCAACACGGGCTGGACGGGCGGTGTGTACGGCGTGGGCAAGCGCATGAAGCTGCCGTTCACGCGCAAGTGCGTGGACGCGGTGCTGGACGGCAGCATCAACGACGCGACGTTCGTCAAGGACCCGCTGTTCGGCTTCGAGATCCCGACGGCGGTGGCGGGCGTGCCGTCCGAGATCCTGAACCCCAAGGACTCGTGGACGGACAAGGCGGCGTTCGACGAGACGGCGCTCAAGCTGGCCAAGTCGTTCAAGGAGAACTTCAAGCAGTTCATCCTGCCGGGCAACGACCTGTCGGTCTACGGACCGAACGTGTAGTTATCGTGTGTATACTTTCATCAAATCAAACAAAATGAAGAGAAACATTTTAAACCCACAAGTTGAAGTGAGCGAATCTCGAGGCGGTGATTGGGAATTATTCCTGCGAATGGATTTGTCAAGAAGTAGCAAACCGAGGGGCACTCGGCTCTGCTGCATTTAGAACGCTGTGTCTGTGTATCTGTTTGCTTGCTGTAGTGACGAATAGCTAGGCCCACTTAAAACCTATGTTTACCGATCTCACTCGTCTGGGCACTGCGCTGTTCTTTCGTCTGGTGCGTTGTTGAAGCTCACAGAATCGCCATTGATTTCAAGATTCCACTTCGAAAGCTCGACGCTGTTTCCCGATGCATCGACAGACTGCACTTGTCCACACTGCCACTCGCTAAGAACAGGCTTGTAAGCAAGAACATCCGTCGGCTTGAAACCACATGAGCCAGCTGCCGCAGTTGGATACGTACCTCAGTCGATGAGCCCGCTTTTCCGGTATTGCCATCGAGTACAGCCGCGACAATTTCGTATGGCTGATTCCACAGCGCTAGCTATTATAGCTCCTGCTAACAGGCGCGCGTCACAGATCTCTGCTTAGTACAGTCACAGCGGGGAGAGATAGAAAGATAAAGTGAGAGTACTCGATCGCGTTTGATAGGTGTCGAGTCAACACGTTACATCGATTGCAGCGCCTGGGAGGTGGTTGATGGAGTACAGGCAGCCTTGAAGCACCAGGCCAGCGCAGTCGGCAAACATGACACCGACCGTGTCGCCCACAGGCACCGCTGCTGCCAGCTCAACGTGACTCGGTGGGATCTCCTTCGACAGCAGCATGTAGGCGCTCACGTAGACGCCGCCGCCGAGCAGTCTGACCACGAAACACACGACCAGCAACCCTCAGTTGTACCAAAAATGCGCGGCCGCCACGAGCGTGAAGAACCCGAGCAGCAGCACCTGCAGCGCTGGCATGAGGTATAGAATTGGCCGCGTAGCTTGGAACAGCACGCCGGAGGACCTCGAGATGAACACCCCCGCTTGGTAGGCCAAGCCCGCGGCCGAGTAGAAGCTCGCGTGCGCGTCCTTGCTCTCCACTGGGAACCCGATGGCCGACCACACTCCCGTCTGCATGGTATACTCGGCCAAGTAGACCGTCGCCAGCGGGATAATATACGACCCCAGTGTCATAATGAACTTCATCTTGGCTCGTTTCGGGTCGGTTCCCGCTGCCGTCGCTCCTGGGGCGGTCCGGCAATAGGTGGGATGCATCTTGCTGCTGCCGGCGCTATATGTACATACTGCACCAAAATCGTGGCAGTATGGAAAGGGGTTGGCAGCAAGATAGCAATCGAGTTTTAACCAATCACAGCTCATATCCTTCAAGATGTGTTCGAGCTGCTGTCAGAAGTTCTGACTCAGAACTGAGACCCACTAGTGGGAATATCAAGTGTATCTCGCTTCCAGCAGAATGAGCCGGCACAGCAAGAACGCGACGGCCACCACGCACTTCACGTACCACGAGCGCGCGGCCGCGGGCCACGGCACGCTGAAGCGGCGCTTCGGGCGCGACGCGCAGCTGTCCTTCGGCGTGTGCTGCCTGTGCCTGGCCTCCACGCGCGGGCGCAGTCCGCTGGCGTCGCCCGCGGGCTTCGTCTACTGCAAGGAGTGCATCTACGCCAACCTGCTGGCGCAGAAGCGCGCCATCCAGGAGAACACGGCGGCCTACGCGCGCTTCTTGGAGGCGCACGACCGCAAGGCGCAGGACGCGGCGCTGCAGCAGGAGCGCGACACGCTGCGGAAGGCGCTGGACGCGGCCGAGGGCCAGCAGTCGATGACGGCTGCCTCCACCTCCTCCTCCTTGGAGCCACAGGAGCGCGCCGCGCTGGCCACGCGCAAGCTGCAAGAGAAGGTGGACGCGGCCACGGACAACGAGCGGCGCGAGGCTATGAAGCGCACGAGCTTCTGGATTCCGGAATGCACGCCGTCGCAGGAGACGACGGTGGCCATGCCCGACACCAAGACGCGGGACCCCATGAGTCTCGACGAGATGAAGCTCAAGCACCTCCTGCCGATCAAGTTCGAGTGGGACGCTCCTGGAGACAACGCCAAAGAGGCCCACGTGCTCTGCGCCGTGACCAAGAAGGAGATCTCCCACCGCCGCGCCGTGCTGCTGAGACCGTCCGGCCAGGTGGTGCTGGAGAGCTGCCTCAAGGACATGGTGCTGCCGAGCATGACGTGCCCCGTGACGGGTCTGAAGCTGCGCAAGAAGGACATCGTGCACCTGCAGGCGGGCGGCACGGGCTTTAGCGCGCACAGTACCGTGCAGGCCAAAAAATACAGACCCACCATGACCTAAAGATACCTACACGGGTACGCGCCTGGTCGGTTTGTTGGTCTGTGGGTGTGTGCTGAAATGCTGTGTAGTTACTGTCGGATCGTTTCGTAGTGACGCGCGTGCTGCTACTGGAGTATTTTTAACAGGCGCGGCACCTAAGAATGTACCTATAACTGGATTTCTCCGAGAAGACGCATATTTAGGTACCAGAAAGAGACTACTAGTGCAGACACGAGAGGCATCATTGGATAGGTCTTATAGTTTGTGTCATACAAACAAAATGTATCTGTTGGCTCTGAGGCCACTTGGGTCACTATCCAGGGGAGTGACAGATGTAGCCATCCCGTAATAGTGACAGGGCACTATTCCATGTAACCCCGTTACATCCTCCCCCACTTAGATTCGATCTTATCGACCAATCAGAGCGAGGTTACGCCGGCGACTCATATTTCACTCGCAAAGTCGAAATCCAACGACGACGGTGCGAGCTCTGGCGCCTCGGCTCCTCACAGAGCAACTGGCGCATCGCCGAGCAAGCCGCAGGGTCTCCACGTCGACCGGAAGCATGCCTCCAACGCGCAGTGCGCGCAGTGCGAAAGCACCTCCGAAACCGCGGGCCGTAGGGCCGAAGACCAGGGCGGCCGAGGCCAAGGACGAGTCGTCCGCGCTGATGGAGGCCACGAAGGCGGCCGAGGAGGTGGTGCGCTCTCGTAGCAGCACGCCGGAGAGTGGCCGTCAGGCCGGGGCTCGGAGCAAGTCTCCTGACGCCGCGCAAGGCAAGGAGGAGAGTCCTCGGGGCCATAAAAGCCCGGCTCGCGACTGGGAAGCCGCCGTCTTTGACTGCACGATGGTCCAGTACTCCGGTGAGAGTTCACCCGACGACGAGAACGTCTCGGAGGGCAGCACGCACGCTGCCGAAGGCACGGAGCTGGCGGCAGGCGACATGACCAACGCCTCGGCCGACGCAAAGGCCTCGTCAGAGAAGGAGGCGGAGGACGCCGAGTCCGGCTCAGGCGACAGCAAGCAGTCGCACGACGAAGTCGCCATGGCCGACGCTGGGGTCGTGGCCGAGAAGTCGCCGAGCGACGCGGGCTCCAAGCCCAAGGAGGTGCTGGCATCCAAGCATCTGGCGCTGGCACAAGGTCGTGAGCGTGCCCAAGCGTCGAAAGCGGCTGCCGCTGCGAAGGCCGCCGAGGCCAAGGCGAAGAAGCGTTCAGCTTCCAGGTCGCCTCGCGGCTCCAGCTCCAAGCTGTTCATCGACTCGGAGTCCGAGGACGAGGAGGGTGCCGTCCACGAGCCCAAGGAGCTCTCCAACAACCTCGACGAGCAGCAGCAGCAATACCACGCTGCTAGCTCGGGTGCGTATGCCAGGCAGCCGACTGCCACGACTGCCATCGAGTCTTCTTCAGGCGGGGATGCCACGTACCTGCAGGGCTACTTCCCGCCCGAGCCTGGCACTGGTGCGCCAGCGCTGTTGGAGAAGCTCTCGGCTCCTCGTGGCCTTATCGGCGGGTACACCTCGAGGGGTTCCTATGAGCGTGCTCTTGTTGAGAAAGAGCCACTCTTCCCTTGGCGACGTTGAAGTCGCCCGGTGTGTGCTACTAGCACCACACAAGCTCACACTGAAGGAGTTCACCACGCTTCGCAAGAAGCCGGAGGACAAGGGTGGACTCCATCCTGTGTGGGGTTTCCACTGGGTCAAGCCGAATGACAACATGACCTGGAGCGAGGTGGAAGACCTCTTCTGGCGCTACGTCCAGAGCAAAGGGTATTCAGACCAAGAGTTCAAAGAACTCGTGAGGATCGCACTCTGTCCGCAATCCTGGACGTGCGCGAGCTCCGCATCGAGTTCGCTCAACTCGTGAGCAAGCGCAAACTCCACTCGAAAATGGACGAGCTGAAGCAAGAGGCGAGAGCCAAAGCTCGTGAAGAGCGTGGGCGTGGTGCGACTACGTCTGCTACCGTGCCCCGGGTACCGGCCAAGAAGCCAAGGACTACTTACGAAGCTGCCGCTGCTTCTCGTCCCATATCGCAACAGCCTTCGGGCAGTCTGCCTGGAGCTGCTCAACGGGCTCCCACGAGTTATCCGACTCAGGGTAACCCCTCCACTTCACGAGCAGCTGGCGCTTGCCATGGAGCCGCCGCTCCCGGACGACTCGTTTTACGTGGTAGTGGATCTGCCCATTACGATCAAGGAGGGCCGGCGGTGGCCTCGCACGGCCATGGCTACGAGCCTGAGGCGACGCAGCCGTATGCTGGGGCCCCGAGTCAGGTGGTGACCCTGCAGCAAGAGGAGATTCGTCTTCTCCGGGACCGTGTGTATGTCCTCGAGATCGCGCTTGGCGTCGGCCTTGGTGGCGAGGCTGCCGCTCGTGCCGGTCAGCCTGGTGCTGTGGAGCGGCTCCGTGAGGATGTTGCCTCGCTCTATAAGAAACTCGCAGTCTCCATGGCCGTGTGGATCGTCGAGCCGACCTGTCGTCTTACGACTCGCTGCGAAACCAGCTCGCTGGCCTTCGGGCCGAGCTTCATGGCCACGCGCCGTATCCGGAGCAGCAGCAGCCCCACTCGTATCAGGCCCAGTTTGGCCAGGGCTCGTACGGGGCCCCTGCGTATGCTGCTTCGATGTACGCCGCGCCGTCTTACGACCAGCGCGCGTATCAGGCGCCTTACCGCGACTCGACGCCGCGCTTCGAGGAGCTGCGCTCTTCTCCACCGGGCCACCCACCGCTTCCTGCGGGGCAGCCAGAGCCAGAGGGTCATGGTACCTCTTAAGACGACTCACGTAAAACGTCGGGTGAGTCGTCATCGACTTGGGCAAGTCTATGGTGTACGCCGCGCCATGCCGGCTGAGGACCGTGAAGGGTCCAATGAAGCGGTGCTTCAGCTTGTTGCTCTCGACCGAGCTAACAGTGTTTAGCGGTAGGTTTCTAGTATCTAGGAGAACTAAATCCCCAACCTTAAACACGTTCATGTTTCCTCTTCCATTTCGGTCAGAGTACTCCTTCTGTTTATCTTGGGCTTGCGCCATGGTGTCTCGCACCCTGCTGATTATGTTCAGCCTGTCTTCGGCAAACGAGGACAGTTGCTTCCGCAAGGTGGCTGGACTCACGTCCGAGACTTGGGAGGAAAAGGTTTTCCGAGCCTCTCCCCCACTTAGGACCGAAGCCCCGGTACTGCCTCGTAATGTGAGCAGCACCTGGGGGTGGCGCAACCCGTTCAGGTAAAAGGGCGTAAAGCCCGTCGATGCATGTACCGCATTGTTGAGTGCGAACTCAACCATGGGCAAGCGATCAGCCCAAGAGCGGGGCATCTCCGCGCAGATACTGCGGAGCGTGTCTTCGAGCACGCGATTGACGCGCTCCGTCTGGCCATCCGTCTGCGGGTGATCCGCCGTCGACATCGACAGTCGTGTGCCGAGAAGGCGAAACAGCGTCTGCCAGAACGTAGCGGTGAACCGCGGGTCTCGATCAGAGACAATGGTCTCGGGCAGACCGTGGTGTCGGAAGACACAGTCCATGAACAGGCGAGCGACCTCGTCGCCAGTGACGGTGTCACGAACTGGAGCAACGTGGACCATCTTGCTCAGACGGCACACGAAGGCAACAACACCAGTGTTGCCACGGTCATCGGCCGGAAGTCCGAAGACAAAGTCGAGACTCATCGACTTCCAGCAGTCCGCTGGGACCGGCAGGCTCTGCAATGGTGCCGAGGCGTGACCGGCAGGCTTCACGCGCTGGCACGTCTCGCACCTACGGACGTAGGTGGCGACCCACTTGTACATGTGACGCCACCAAAACATCTGCGAGACAGACGCGTACGTCTTCTCACGGCCGAGATGGCCACTGGATGGAGCGTCGTGCGCCTCCATCAGGATGTCGTACTTGAGATCCTCGTCGTTGGGCACGACAATACGGGGAGGATCCTCGGGCTCGACCCTATAGTGGAGCAAACCGTCAGCCCACTCATAGCGGTGCAGCCTTGCACGTTGTCGGGACGTGAGCCACTCGGCCTTGGCTTCCGAGTCAGCGGCCAAGAACCGCACAAGAGGTTCGATACTGGCATCGACTCGGTACCCCAGCCTGATGCGATCATACAGATCCGTCGTGACCCGACTAATATGAGCAAGCTCGTAGTCGGGTCGGCGCGACAGCGCGTCGGCAAGCACGTTCAACTTGCCCGGCTTGTACTCGACACGGAAGTTGTATTCCGCGAAGAATGACAGCCAACGCGCCATCTGCTGTGAGAGATGCGGCGTGTTGACGGCAGTCCGCAAGGACGCGTGGTCTGTATAAACGACAAAGGGCGTCGAGCCCAGGAGGTGCACTCGGAACTTGACAAGAGCGTACTTCATGACAAGTAGCTCCTTGTCGTGGACTGGATAGTTCCGTTCGGCTGTCTTGAGCTGCCTGGACTGGAACGAGATGACCCGTTCGCGGCCTTCATCGTCGGCCTGCAATAGCACACAGCCAATTGCGTAGTCAGACGAATCACAGACTACGCTGAAAGGCTTCGTCTCGTCCAGCAATGCCAGGACTGGCGCGCGCTGTAAGCTCGCTTTGATGTCGTTAAAAGCATCTTGATGGCGACGCTCCCAGCGCCAGTCGACATCCTTCTTCAGGAGATCCGACAAGGGCCGTGCCAGCTCGGCGTAGCCTGCACTATACTTGTGCAGGTAGTTGGCGAGGCCCAACCACTGTCGTAAGTCCTTCTGCGACCGAGGCGGCGGCCAAGCCGCGATGGTTTTCACCTTCTCCGGGTCCGCCCGGACCCCGGCGCTGCTGACGAAGCAGCCCAGTACCTTGATCTCCTCAGCTGCGAACACACACTTGTCGATGTTGGCGTACAGCTTGTTCGCCCGCATGACTTCGAACACACGTCGAAGGTGCTGGAGATGCACCTCCATGGCCGTCTGGCCTGCCTCGGCACGGCTGTGGACGAAGATGTCGTCAAAGTACGTCTGTGTGAACGCACGCAAAGGTCGGAACAGTTGTATGACCAAGCGATTGAACGTTGCCGGGGCGTTAGAAAGCCCCTGAGGCATGACCAGCCACTCCCAGAGCATACCGCTCGGCGTGCTCACAGCCGTGAGTGGGATGTCGCTCTCGCGCATCAGGATCTGGTAGTATCCGTCCACCAGGTCCAGCGCGCTATACAGCGTGCAGCCGGCCATGTTGTTGAGCAACACGTCCTTGCGCGGGATCGGTGTCTGCGCAGGCACTGTCGCGCTGTTCAGCTTGTTATAAGCATGAACCAGACGCCACTTTCCGTTCGGTTTGCGAACACAGAAGGTAGGCGTCGAGTGCGGGGACTTCGACTCCCGCACCATGCCTGCCTTCGCCTTGGCGGCAAAGAAGGCATCAATGACTTCACACTGCTCCCGGGGAAGAGGCCATTGCCTCGTGACACAGTACTTCGTGCCCGGCACGAGATCGATCTCGTGCCTGATTCCCCTGTCCGGAGGGAGATTGGACGGTGAATCCTTGGACACCACGTCCTCAAACTCCTTCACCAAGGGGTACACCGGGTCCCGGGGGTTCTTAAGAATCTCAGAGCCCATGCGCGACGCGCGCTGTCTCTGGAACTCCTCCAGGACTGCCTGGTCCATGACCGAGGACGAGTTCAACTCGGCCGACGTGGACTCCGGTCGAAGAAACCAACTCTGCGATCTCCCCGGCCTTTAGCTCGGCCAAGAAGTCCTCCATGGCGAGCTCCTCAAGGTTCAGCAACTCTGAAACCTCGGGCAGAGCTGTAAGCTCGACAGCTCCTGTCTTGACCCGACTACCGGTCACGCCGTCGAAGATGTGATAACACTCTTCGGCGGCTGGAGCCTTGGCTGGAGGCTCGGAGTCGCTGGCGACTGGCGTCGTCGGCCACACGACTAGGCCCGGCTTACGACGTGACCCTCGGGTGTCTTCGTCTCGTGGCGCCGCCTTGACGGCACCACCGATCTTCTCGATCTCGTGCGGAACTACGTTACCCGCCTTGTCCTTGAGCGGAACTTGGCTACCCGCCTTGTCCTTGAGCGGAACATGGTTACCCGCCTTGTTCTTGAGCGGAACTTGGTTACCCGCCTTGCTGGGTGGAACTATGTTACCCACCTCGCCGTGTGGAACTTGGTTACCCACACCAGGAGCGCTTCCAGCGACTCCCGCATCAGTTATGGTCTGAGTGACCTCCTGTGGAACTATGTTACCCACATCGGAAGCGCCTGCATTGCCTTCCTCATCAGTTACGGTCTGAGCGACCTCGCGTGGAACTTGGTTACCCACGCCAACGCCAGCGGCGCCTTCTCCAGCAACCCTTGCTGCCTGCGGTACTTCGTTACCCGCGTGTGGACCTACGTTACCCACCTGGTAGGTGCTGTCCGGCACCTCCACTCTCAGGCCTTGTCCGGCCCGGTCGGAGTCGTCGTCAGTCTCGACGGACCCCAAGAACTCATTAGACGCTGCTGCGCCCTGGCGGCCCTCGCGGGCGCCCCAGCTGCTGCCAGAGGTGGGAACATGACTCACCAAAGCTCTGTCAGACCGTGGGGGACGGCTGGCCCCGATGGCCTTGCCGCGCCAGTCGATCCAAGGCTCGTGTTTCTCCAGCCACGGCATGCCAAGGATCAAGTCGTACTTGTCCATGTCTAGGACCAAGAACGGCTCCGTGCTGTCGAAGTCCTCGAACTTGACAGTGAGGTCCACGTGGACCCGAGGTACTTCTACCTCCGTACCGTCGGCCAGTCTTACCGAGACCAGCCCGTTGTCTTTGCTGCCTCGTAGCGCATCGGCGTACTTGTCGCGATTGCGTGCGACAGTCTGGCGGCGCGCAAAGTTCTTGGACGCCCCAGAGTCGATCAAGATTCTCAAGGGACGATCGTATC